TCGAAGGAGAAATCCGAAAATAAGATTTTAACGAGCTTCGCCGAAATAAGCTTATTAGCCGTTAATATTACGGCTATATTAATAGATAACGATAAATAGTATACTTAGATAGTAGACTCTGGCGTATTAGCGTATATAATACCTTATCGTGCAAATTTCATTAATTTCACGCTACTTATTACCGATGTGAAGCTTCCAAACGGTTATCAAGTATAGACTGAAGGATATAGTAATATTATCCTAAACTTTTTAAATGGAAATAATGTTTCTGAGCTTAAGCTACTCAGAGTCTGGTGTATTCCTTCTTTTAATGTGAACCTTATTTCCTTATGGTAACTTGCGAAGGATTCTGGTATTAAGACTCGATTTAATAAGATATACGGCTCCCTATATAGGGGGGAAGAGCTCATCGTTACGGCAAAGCAGGAGAACGGTCAATATTAGGTTCGTACCTATAATAGTGACAGCCTTGTTGATACACTTGGAGCTCTATCTGTTTAACTGTCCTACGTATTTGGTAATAGCTACGTACCCGCCGCAGATTTAGCTGTAGCGAGTCCAATTCGAGAGGTTTCTACACCTTTTGGGCATGAAAAAGCTCTGATTCAACAGCCATTCAACGGCTTTTCAACAGCCTCTATAGCGTGCTTAATTCTAAGGGTTTAAACACCTTTTTGAGCTTAAAAAGCTGCATTAAGGCGTTATTAACATATTTGTATGATCACTTTTCATGTTTTTCGTGTTTTGAGTGAGATTGGTGGATCGAGGTCCAGGGGGGTGTTGAGATAGCTTGGTGGTTTGGCGCGTCTCACCAGCGTGGTGCGCGCCCACGCACACCACCTTCGTAGCTTAGATAGGCACCTCTCACCAGATGCAATCTCACCATTCCTTTCTCCCCTCTTTTGGGTCTGCTACGTTTCACAGTAGCCTCCAATAAACCCCACGGTAGATCTGCCCTCTGGACGCCAATCCTTCGATTGAGCTTTCCATATGACTCCCACCTTGGCCATGCTTATCCTTGTCCTCCGTCAAGTACCCTGCGCGAGCAAAGACTCACGTCCGTGCTAAACAAAAAGCGGGGTCGGGCAGGGGTGCATCCTCCGAGGCAGGTCGTGTTTATTCCGAGGAATGAGTAAGATGTCCAAGATGACGGATAAGTAAGCAGCTTCATACCTTACCTCGAGCTGGGGACGGATTCCATTCCGCGATGGGGGTTCTGCGTACCTGTGCTTTTGAATGTCGCGCCCCTATCAATGAACGCAGCCGGGTTTGTCAGGGATTATCTTAGACACGACTGCTGCCAGTGGGCTGACCGGAGAAATCATGTTGGCAGTCTTATTCTGAACGAGTCCTAATAGAAAGAGCAGGGCGGTTTCCAATTCGAGGCAATTTTGATGTCGTGTAGAGGTAGATAGTTTCAGCAAGAGCCCTTTGAAAGGAGGAATACTGACCGGATGATGGCCCGTGTTCATGACCTTTCACCCCCCGCATAATTTATTGGTCAATCTCACATCAGCCAGGTCGAGTACCCGTCAGCAACATCCGAGGTTGTGTTCAAACAGATTGATGTGACCTGCATAAGTACCTGTACAGGTGGTGCCTCCATGCAGAGCTGACTTGAATGACCGTGCGCATACCGCAGTACATACATGCCCGATATATGTACTAACCCATCCCTTATTGATGTGGTAGGTCTCGCATGGCGACTGGTGCTCAGATCTCCACCGAGTACCTACTCAATACCTGGTGAACTACATCGAGTACTGATAATAGGCCACATTGTGATATTCCCTTTATATATTTCGCAATTGTCAGCTTAACACGTTCATAAAGAAGTAAGGACAGCTACTGGAGAATCATCTTTGTTTTCTGGATGTTGATTGATATTAGCTAGACGGTGAGCACATACTTTTATACTACCACCCACTTCTACCATATATCTGAACTCAAATTTACTCAGTCACTTGTTTATGTTCAAGCTGGGATCAAACAAACTGGAAGTAAGTAATCATCTCAATCCATTACTACTACAGTCCCAATACACTCATCACTAGGTCTAGCCTTAACATTAGATCCATTAGTACTTGTCGGCATGCCTCAATCACGACGAACATAATTCCCTAGTACCCTACATAGGCACTATGTTCGATGGACTCCATACTCCATACTACCTAGATACCTGACTACAGTAAAAAATAATACAAATAGGCACATGCCGCAGTAAGTCATTTACATATTAAGTACATGCAATCTAGCGGCCCGTGGCGCCGATTCCCAGACAGCTCGCATTGTGACATGATTTGGATTCAATGAAGCCGCGGCGTCAAAGCCACGTATTGATCCGTGCCCCGGAGCCCCAGCTGTTCGTATCGTGACCGCTTTTTTGCCCTTTGATCGATTGGACTGCTTTCAACCTTTGGGATCTTGTGGACCGGAGTGGCATGTACTCTTGTCAGTCAGATCTGATTTTGCGAACAAGATTACAACTGGTGTATAAGACTTGAGGGTAAGTCTTGATTAGATAGCACCTGGAGAGATTTGGGCTGGCGTAGGTATATATTTGGTTGGGCTACCTAGCACCAGAGGTCGCTAGCTAGGGTCATTCTGGGTCTAAGAAGGAATTTGGACCCTTTTCATATGGGAGGGGGAGAATCTGTAGTACTAAGCCCATAGGGTTGAGATTACCTAGATGAAACCCTAGCTGCCTAGCATATTGAGATCAGGGCTTCTATAACAAATTCGATTCATGCGTCAAGATATCACTATGTACAGAACCGAACTCTGATATGCTAAAAGACCTCTCGTCGGCTCTTCGGGATCTAAGAATTTTAAGTCTGGTCTGCTTATTCACCTAAAACTCATTTTTATTCCTCATTGATAATGACGATGAGCACAATCATGGCTGGGTTAAAAGATGCGGACAAAGAAACATAGATGAAAACAATTAGCTTTTACCGAAGCTTCAAAAAAAGGCAGAAAAGGGCGACCTACAGTGGTCAGGGGTGGGATCGAATAGGCAACAGAAACTGTCTCACTGCCTGTCAAAGGACATGGTTTGAGATAGTTCACTCGTTTTAAACATTGTAGGAAAGTGGTAAGTTGAATAAGGTGATGGGCTGAAAGTTATGGAGGAGATTCCTTGATCGACCCACCGTTTAAGGAATCCACACTTGCTGTTCTGCAGCCACGTTAAAAGCCACTCCAACTACCCAGGAATTGGAGTCACTCAGTGCCCAATTCTGACGTGAGTCAGACTCTCGCTTGGGAATGTTGAGGCCAGGCTGTATACTGAAGTGTATGGCTAGTCGCGCCCGAAGGCCAAAATGCCCGTTGGTGGCGTTCTGTACCAGTAAATGAATGCCCGGCCCAGCATTTACAGTAGTCACTCTTCAGGAGGAGCCGTGCGCTTGACTGGGAATGGCCGGATAGGAACCCCGGTATGGTGGGATCAGAGGACATCATTCAAAAAAGTTGGGTCACTCTGGCATCCTTACGTCCTTGTTCGTTGTCATATTTTGGCTTTAGACGCGAATGTCTCCAAAAAAGACATTGAATCTTCACCTGGACCACTGCAACAGGGTACTGCATGAATGCATTCAATTTAATTGTCTTTCTTTTCGGGGACCCCCCTTTCTCACGTGAAGACGCCCCCGTCAAGTCACGCGGGACCGATCGACTCCCGCTCCACTAGTGCAAACCAAATTAGATTGGGACTAGCAACCGATAGTCGAAAGGAGGAGGACCAGGCGCTGCCGCATGGAGTCAAGACTGGAGTAGGTACACTGTACAGTGAGGTACACAGGATCGGAAGCAGTCTGTGGGCTTTCACGATGTAGACCGCAGTAGCTTCTTCATTAAGTGCTGAGATGAGTGTGACCCGGCCCAGCTGCATTAGGATTTGTGATAGGTCTCGGATTTGGTCACTGTGGAAATGTGGTTACTCAGAAGCCAGAAGAAAGTCTGCTGAGCGCAGTCCTGTCCACCCAGAGATGACCCGATCATTCTTTCCCGAGTAAAACACAACAGCGACCAACAGGACGAAACAGCCGCGATCGCGAATTGACCGTCCTAGCGAGTTGACAGCATAGGCTGCCATTCCAGGTTCCACGTACAACGGACCGGCTAACTTGCTACTTGGTCTCGATGCAACAGCTCGAGGCGAGCCCGACGGGCGCAACCAGCAGCCGCACGGACCGATGGCCACATTCCCGATCACAGCAGGCCCGATCACCGCCTCGAGTCCTGCACCGGTGTGGATTGTACAATCAGCAGTTCGCTCCCGTCATCCGGACATCACTCAGGTTGGCTCGACTCAAGGCTTGAGGGTCGGATGTCGCGTGCGCGCATGAGACGAATCTCAGAAGGGAACAGAAGCATGCCAAGCCAGCCATGGTCTTGGAAATCCCGGTTCACATTAAACGCTGGTATGGCCATAGCACGGGGACATTCCAACTTCATTCAGTCGTAGCCGAGGACTTTGGGGAGGACTGGAGATCCGAATGACAATTGGATGTTTCAGCAATCAGGGCAATTCCTTCACGTCCCCGTCCTGCTGGCGGATAATCATCAAGAAGGGGAGGGGGGGGGGTTTCTCAAATTCGAGATGCATGGCGGTGAAGTCTACTGCAATAGTGCAAGCTCAAGATCGACCCTGATCATGCCGTGGTAGTAGGCGCATTACCAATTTAACTCCTGAATGGTTGGGAATTTGGGCAAGGAAATGCAGTCAGTAGTACTCAAAGTCGTGTCGAAGGCGCCACCTCAACAGTTGGGTGGACAGTGGGCACTAAATGCCGACACTAGTAGATAGGACACGTCGGACCTCCTCCTCCCATGAGGCAACATGTCGACGAGGCGTCATCCGCATCGTCAAGTGAGGAATGCCGACTCACGCTTTACCAAGTATTCCGGCCAGTAGGCACGTTCAAAAACGCAAGGCGGCCAGTAAATTATCGATGGAGAATCGTGTGCAATGATGCACCGGCACTTGTTATTGCAGCATGATCGCAAGCTGGTCACTGGGTGCAGATGATACGTACCGGGAGTGGCTGAAGGACTACCGGTGGGATGATAAGACAGGAACGGTGATTCAACTGCTGCTGCGGTCTCGCCGTCTCGTGGGTTCGTCCAGACTGGTCAGGTGATTCGACTATTATTAAAAGTGGTAGACTACTACTACTCTGCTGTGCGGAGAAGTTCACGTTGAACCCTCTACTCTGGAGTCGTCCACAGTCATGGCCCTTGCCTCGGCCTCTCGACAGTGAGTCATGTCACATTGCCAGCCATTTTACTAAGCAGATTCCTCCGACCAGCCGTAGATGTGTAAGCAATCGTCAGTCCGAGGTCAGTTGCGGATCCATCAGAAGAAGAGTGGTGCCCTGGGCACCTTGTCATCCTGGGACGAGACCCGCTCGCCTCCACGCTGTGGCTGATTCCGTCACTCCTCGCCCAGAGAACGATGCGCCCCGGGGGGGGGGGGGGGGGCGAACATCATCGGTGAAACCAAGGAGGGTTCGGTTTCACCTTGCAGAGTGGCCAGATATCAGATGCCAGATGTTCCGATGCCAGATGAATCTGGATAGAGAATTCCGAGATTTAGGTTCTGGCGGCTGTGAGTTGGTCTTTGCCCGAGTGGTGATGCCGTAGATCTAGGGCCTGACTCCGAATCCGAGATTGCTGCTGCAGACATACCACACCTATTACTACTACTACTACTACTACTACTACTACTACTACTACTACTACTCCTACTACTCCTACTACTACTACTACTACTACTACTACTACTACTACTACTACTACTACTACTACTACTACTACTACTACTACTACTACTACTACTACTACTACTACTACTACTACTACTACTACTACTACTACTACTACTACTACTACTACTACTACTACTACTACTACTACTACTACTACTACTACTACTACTACTACTACTACTACTACTACTACTACTACTACTACTACTACTACTACTACTACTACTACTACTACTACTACTACTACTACTACTACTACTACTACTACTACTACTACTACTACTACTACTACTACTACTACTACTACTACTACTGCTACTACTACTACTGGTCTATGTTATTCATAGAAGCTCTCCAGTACTATGACCGTGATCGTCTTGAAAAGCTTGAACGGCCGACCACTGGGAAGCGGTGCAATAAAGATTTAGACGGCAGTTTTGCCCACTGTTCCACATTATATTGTATGTCGATGCAATGTCCTGACGACCAAGGATGTACATCAAGACACCATTTTGCTGCAGGGCGGGATTCTTTCCGGGGACCATCATTTCAAATCAACGGCCGCATCCCGACTGATCACGGCACCAAACTGATGTGTGATGGATGATCGTCGTTCCGATTTTCACTCGGCATCTCCCTTTTCTTCCCCTCGCCAGAGCGAACTATCTCCGTCAGCCTGTTCGCTCCGGATTCGCCTCACTTCTCCTGACTCAGCCGAGCCCGGGCATCTGGATCTTGGGTCAAGGTTCGGTTAGTACCAGTACTAGAGGAGTAGAGGAGTAGAGTTACAGAGTACGATGTTCATTGCAGTCGTACAGTCAACGCCTCAACGGTATGGTCTCTTTGGATTTACCATTGCCCATCTAATCCTGTAGCATGCATTCAATGATGGACTGCAGTCCTTGAATGTCATCGTCGTCCAGTCCATTGCTGGAGTACCTTTGTAGTCGTCTCGCTGCGACTGGACTCTCACGACATGGATTGCCCGAGATTTCCAACTAGTGAGACTATACCCAGCGGGCTGGGTATAGTTTCTAATCTCCATGAGGGTTCTTTCAACCCTGGATCCGGTCCTCCCTCTTTTCAGTGTACTCTACCACTAGAAAGTTTCTCATCTCTTTTACAGCGATTTGCTTTCTCGTTCTGTGATTTTATTTCTTGTTTTTACAATTTTTGATTTCTCCCTCATTTTTTGGCTTTCGGCGTTTTACATGATCCAACAAGGCAAATCAAAAGTCCTTGCCTGCGTCTAGTGGAGATTTCCAGTAGTCCCGTTGGTTCCGATCCCGGGCTCTTCTCCCTCTTTCTGGCGGTCTCTGTCCTTCTCTTTCGCTTGACGCGGAGGACGTAGTCAGGCGGGCGTGCTTTCTCTTCTTGTCCAAGGAGGGCTGCCTTTCTAGCCGCTTGGGCTGAAAGAGGAGAGTGTCGATATATCGGCGTCTATATATACTGCCGCCTCTCCGGCCGGGCCCCCCATCTCGCATTTCGCCTCCGGAGTACGATCCTCCTTCCCCTTTACATCATCTACTTCCCACGGCACCACCCTTCACCCCCAACCTAACCCAACCCCAACCCACCCTAGACCTTTTCCATCCACCCGTCACTCGCCCTCTTTATCTTCTGCCTTCTTCCTCAATTCGATCTTCCTGCTGTCAACTATCCCCTACATCGATTCTCATCTCCCGTTTCGTCGAGTCTGCTCCCTCGATCGGTTCTACTCTCATCTTCGAGGCTCTCCCCCCCCTATCGTCAATTCCTTATCAGCGGTCTTCTCCTCGCCTCCCACCCTTCTCCGCACGGCTCCTCATTACCCGTCTGCGGCGCTAGTCATTGCGACCACCTGTCTCCTGACTTATCCTTCGAACGACCGTGCCTCTATTCCCCGCCGCCGTCGCTCATAATTCTTCATCACTGAATCAACCGGCCGGATTGCAAACCATCCTTCTTCCTCTATCCTTCCGGCGCCTCCGGACCTCTCTCTCTCTCTCTCTCTCTGCTCACGAGACTCCAATCCGCCTACCGTCATCTTCCCTTTCTCAACCACCACATCACTCGTCCATCGGATATCATCATCGTCATCATCATGGCACCCCGCAAGCCTCGTTGCAATTTCAAGGAGTGCAAGGAAGCAGCTCAGCGAATTGTCGGAGATTGCAGTTTTTGCCACGGCCACTTCTGTTCGAAGCATCGTATGCTTGAAGCTCACTCGTGTACCGGGTTAGAGGACTGCAAGAAGGAATCACATGCTCGCAATGCCGACAAGCTGAATAGCGAGCGAACGGTCGTGGTCAAGGGTGTATAAGGAACAGTCATGGGTCCCTGATTCAGGGTTTTGGGAACCCGTCTTTCCGAGAGAGCCGCTCGGTCTCCTCTTTCTCTCTTCTCTCACGCTTCTCCCGGTGTCTAGGCTGGTGCCCAACAAAGCCGGGACGGACTTTTAGCGCGGTGTTTGACTCGGATCTTTCCTTTCTTGTTGCTTCTTTGCCTCTCCTCGCGAATTCTGCGTCGTTGTTCGGATTTGGGATTCGTGGTTATGTTCGAATCGCTCGTCTCTCTTATATATTCCTAGTCGTGAACTTCTCATTCTTCTCGCCAAATGGAGGTGTTGCCATCATCGGGGGCGTTCCACAGCTTATTATTTCACTCGTTGCCTTGCAAACCCACTCGTCCGTGGTCGCGCTTGGGGAACAAATTCGAAACTTTGCATATTTTTTTTTTTTTTTTGGCATGGTTGATGTTTTGACTTCCAGCCCACATCTTTGCGTTGTGCTCTGCTCCCTTTTCCATCATCGGTTCCAGTGCAACCTCTTAGCATCACGATCGTATCATAGAACGTCTTCATGGCAGACTTTTTATCCTCTCGATGCGTTACTCGCTGTTACTGGATTACTCGATTGGTCCTCAATACAAATCTTCTACAATAAATTTGTCTCAATGTAGACGTGTTTAGATCGAGTTAGCAAAAAGCGACCCGTAAGGGTAAAGAGATGACTTTGGACCACACCAATTTCTCGCTAAATAGACACAAGGTGGTTTGATAAGTATGTATACCACGCATTTGGCAACGATGCGCTCTGCCGTCGAGAGGGCTTCTTCTTCGACACGCCAGCCACCACGTCCAAAGCTAACCGGGTCCAATTTTCGGCCTGTAGATAATACCCTCGTCAGTAAGGTTGACATTTCCTCGTCCCCCAAGGCAGAACCGTCATCCAGGAACGTCCACACAACGCACATATCATGATGTTCACTCAATCGACTGAGGTACTTGTTGAGCTCCTCGACCCGTTCCTTGTGTGACTTGATGCCTTCCTTTTTCAATCTTTCCTGTAACTGTTGCCGTGGCAAAAGAGAAAAAAAAAACAAATTGACCGTGTAAGCTTTCTACTCTCGGGATCATAACTTGAGGGTTCAATGTCCAGAACAGAAAAGTGTACATACCCTCTTCTTCCTCATCTCCTCGTACTTCCTCTCCGCCTCGGTCTTTGCAACAACCGCTCCAGATCGAGATCCACCTTCAGACCCGGATTCAGAACCATGTCTGCCTTTCTCCCCTTCCCGGTCCCGAGAGCCCGATCGACTGCCGGTGATGGTGCCCTGTGCCTGAACTAGATCCTGGTTCGAATCGTCGCGGGTATCGCGGTTTTGCTCGCCAGCGAGATCTTTCTCCCTCTTGGCCTTCTTTTTCTTCTTCTTGTCGACGCGACCATCGCTCACTTTGCTTCCTTTGAGCTTGAGTTTGCCGCCTCCACCGGTGGAGTATTCATCTGGAGCCATGGCCGAGGATGGAAGACGGTAGATGGCTGACGGGGAGACAAAAGTAGAAGCGCGATCGGGCGAAGAGGGTGACGAAACGCGATCACGCTAGAAATCAAGGTGGGGCCGAGCTTTGGAGCAGCAAATCTCGAGATCATTCAGTAGCGACGGCAGGATAGACCATATGGGACGTTGTATGTAAAGCGCCGCTGTGGCAGGCAGTTGTCCGGCTAGAATTGTCGCCGATGTAGTGCACTCGTGGAGTAGTGGCGCATGACTTTCGGCGCACGATTTGCCCGAGAGGCGGTGCGGAGTCAAAAGCAATGGGCTGAGGCTCTGAGCGCTGGTAGTCAGGTGAGGAGATGATTCCATCGGGACTAAAAGAAAAGTGGGCCTTCTGGCCCAGAACCCTATGCGATGTACCGTGCCTTGACGTTCACCGAGCCTAGGTCAGCCTTTCGGACTTGAATCGACAAGGCTGTTTGGAAACCTTTCCTGACAACAAGCGACTGAAACTAGTTTCGGATGGGCGGTCATGGAAAAAAAACAGTCTCCTCCTGGTTCTTTCCCGACACATGGGGAATGAATCGATGAGACTGTGCAGGGACGACAGAAATTGTGGTTTAGTCTCTTTACTCGGTCGACAGACATGAGGTGATGCAGCTCTGAGCATGAAGCGGGAGAAGAAAAGTCGACTCGGTGGCTTTTCCTCTTTTCTAGGTAAGGTGTCGAGAATGTAGATCACCAAAACAAGCAAGACTTCAGCATATGTGGGTAGTCTTTTATTCATCTTTCTGGCCTCAGTAGTACAGGCTACAAATTACTTACGACTAAGATAGCGCAGTCTCAATATCACACAGCTGGGGGAAAAAAGAATGAATTGATTAAGAAGTTATACTTCTGCAAAATTATTTCAAGTTTCCAACATTCACGCCAACGCTATGCGAACAGATAGAAGAATAGAGAATGATGGTAGCAACATCCGATCAAGTAACAAGAAATGGGCGAAAACATGACATGCACCTGTTATGCAAAGAATCAGGGATAGTGTGGAGGAGGACATCCCATAGCTGGGGCACAAGCGGAAGCAGCCAAAGCTTCTCTTGTAATCCAACAGCTTTGGTAAAGGAGTGTCAAGCCGTCATGATGGCTTCGATTTCGAATCGTCAGATTCTTACTCGATGGTGATCTTCTTCGTAGCCGGGGCGGTCGCCTTGGGCACCAGAATGGACAGAATACCATTCTTCAGACTAGCCTTGACATGGTCCTGGTCCACCCGATTCGGGAATGAGAAAGTGCGTGAGAATTCCCCAACAGTACGCTCACTAGCCCAGTAGCGGTGGCCATTAGAAGCAGTCTTGGTATTGTTCTTGGCGGCCTTGTCAGCGGTCTCAACAGCCTGTTCTGTATCGTTGCTGCTGCTGTTGGACTGGTTTTTGGATGGCTCCGAAGAGTGGTGGTATTCACGCTCGGTACGACCCTTCACGACCAAGGTCTGCGGGTCGGTGAACTCGATGTTGATGTCTTCCTGGGCAATACCAGGAAGTTCACCATCGAGATGAAAGGCTGACTCGCTCTCGCGGACATCGAATTTGGGGGCGAAGCCACGCACGGCAGATTGACTGTGGCTCCGGTGGCGATCATAGTCGTCCAGGAGGCGGAAGAGAGGGGCGAAATCGCCGGATGGGTGGAAGCTGGATCGGAAGAGAGACATGATGATTGATGTTGATTTCAGAAATTGGTTTGGAAGTTTAGAAGATAGAAGCGATTTAGGCGATTGTAGAGAGAAATGGTTTGCGCTCTTGATGTTTGTCTGATTTGTTTGATGAACAGGGAGAAAGAATGTAGCACGTCGAGGGGTAATTTATAGCCTACGTCCGACTTTTTCGGTGATTCTAGATGACTGCTTGATCATCCAAATCTGGAAATCTTGACTCTATTCGCAGGACAACTCGCATATACTGGAGGTTGCTGGCATCCTGTAGATCCCCGGCGATGTTTCTCCGCGCTTCTATGATCACGTGATATATAACAGGGCCTAGACCATCCGACCATGCATGGGCTTTTTCATCGTGCTCTCCAAGCTTATGGAGTTGCCACCCACATATCACGAAGGTTCTGGAGACTTCTCTCGAGCTTCGTTTCGGTGCAGTGTGAATCAGTTACTAGAGCCTTTGATACGTGGGGTATGTCCGGACCCGCTTCAGGCCTGGTCCCCCACGCTGATTGTATGCTACTTTGGCAGTAATAGAAATGACGTTGTCTAGCAGTCCCCCCCCCCCCCCCCCCCCCCCCCCCCCCCAAAAAAATGGCGTTACGTATACACACGATGGATGCGAGAGGGAGATCGTCATCGGTCTTTCGAATACATGGGCATACAACACATTGAGAAATTTCGCCAGGAGACGATGATCAAAATATTGGCAAGTTTGCCGCCGAGGTCAATCCGCTGATAGAGAGCCTTATCAAAGGATCGGCAATCAATCGTATGACGGCACCGAAGATGACGCCGCCGAACCGAACCGGGAAAGGGCATCCGCTTTTTTTTTTCCCGTGACAGTCAGATGATCAATTCAGTGCTGTACATGCGCAAAACAACCTTGATATAGAGGTACCTGTGAGGGCGTAGAGTTACTAGAGTATCAGTATTAACGTTACTAGTGGTAGGACAACACTATTATACCGCAAAATGAAAAATTTTCCACTTCCTGAGAACCGGGCTGAAGATACCCCAATTGACGCACCGCGTGACTCGACAAGCTCCTCACTGGACTAACCGCTTGCAGTTAGACTGACCACGCATCTCCAGCAACACTAAACGACTTGCAGCATATCAACGGCGGTCAGCTTGCGGCAGACCCCACCGGGCACGAGGTACCTAGCCGTTTTTGCCGTTTTTACCCAAATAGACTCCGCCGGAGCTTCGGAACTCAGAACCATCTGGAGTCGTATCCTCGACAACACCTACGCGCCCCGTCCTGCTCATCATAGCGAGCCATGTCGCTCGTGCAGCACGTCACTCCCATAGAAGGTGTCGACGTTGAGCCAGACGTAGAGCATGATGAGGATTTCCACCCAATTGCTCGCAAGATCAGTTACGATGTGTTGCAAGCACCAACGCAGCCGGTCCCGGTAGAGGACCAGCCACCCGCGTTACCTGCCTACCAGGTCTCTGTGGCGCGAAGATTGGGTATGTTGTTTTGTTTATCCCGACGCGAACTGATGCGCGAGAAGAGGAGCAGAAAGCCTTGAGCTCAAATGAAAGTTCCGGTTCTAACTTTGTTGCAGCGCAGGTCGCATTCACAATCCTCGCGTGTTGGCTTGCCTCAGGAATTCTTTTCGGATATGCTGCTCTAAAACCGATTCTCGTAGAAGAGGGGGTCTATCACGATCAATGCACAGACGAAGAGCTGCGCGACGGCGTCAAACTTTGTGTGCAGCAGGACTTGAGGTAGGTGATCGTGGTGACTTTCGAGATTGAAGCTATCTCCATGCACTCTTCTGACCATCTCGCTTGACAGACTGAACCTATGTTTCACCATCGCATCCATCACCGCCAATGTGTCTGCATTGCCCGTCGGGACCATTCTTGACCATTACGGATCCCGCATCTGTGGCCTAATCGGAAGCTTGTCTCTCGCGATTGGGAGTGTACTTCTGGCGTTGTCGTTCCTCTGGCCTCAATTTCAAGGATTCGTTATGGGCAACTTCTTCCTCGCGTTTGGAGGCACTTTTATCTTTGTGCCCTCGTTCCAGATTGCCAATGCGTTTCCCAAATCCGCCGGGACAATCGTCGCTCTCGTCACTGGGGCCTTTGATGCGTCTGCCGCTGTCTTCCTCCTCTACCGATTGGTGTATGAGATCTCCAACCAGAAATTCAGCCCTGACAAGTTTTTCCTGGGCTATCTGGCTGTGCCGGTCATCATACTTCTTGCCCTATTGACTTTCATGCCGAAGCGAGACTACTACTCTACGATGCGCCTAGAGGATCAGATTCACAAGGCAGAAGATCAAAGGCGCGACGTGCACGATTCTGACCAGGACATTGACAGTGACCGGGAACTACAGAGAGTCCGCAGTCGACGTGCTGAGCAACGTCAAGAAATTATAGAGAACATCAACGAGGTTCTAGGTGACGAGGATGAGCGTCTGCAGCGTGCGGAACGCGAGGAGGATCGACAACAGATCAGTCAGGTCTGGGGTGTGCTTCATGGACTGCCCGCTCACAAACAAATGATGACGCCCTGGTTTATTCTCATCACACTGATGACCGTCATTCAGATGGTGCGGATGAATTACTTCATTGCTACCATTCGCACGCAGTACGAGTACATGCTCGGCTCGGATGAGAGCGCTCAACGCATTAATGACTTTTTTGACGTGGCTTTGCCGATCGGCGGTATTCTCTCCACACCGCTGATCGGAGGATTACTGGATCGTCTTAGTGTTCCTGCGACCTTGAGTCTCATTGTAGTTTTGACGACGAGCATTGGCATTCTCAATTCCATCCCGGCAATGTGGGCGGGCTATTGGACCGTCATTCTCTTTGTGTTGCTTCGTCCACTCTACTATTCAGCCATGTCGTATGTTGTTTGTTCCCTTGAGCTTCTTCCCCCCCCCCCTCCACACACATACATATATTTGAACGCACCACTGACCTGAATACTGCAGCGACTACGCAACGAAAGTCTTCGGCTTTGCTACCTTTGGCCGTGTCTACGGGACCATCATCTGCCTGTCCGGACTTGTCAACTTCTCCCAGTACTGGCTGGATTCCTTGACTCATGGTCCCTTCCAGGGGAATCCCGTGCCCATCAATATTGGCCTCGTGGTAGCTGGGTTTATCGTCGGAGTTGTGCTCGTCGGATACGTCACGTTCGCAGGCCGACGTTTCCAGGCGGAAGAGGCTACGGAGCAGGAGAGAGCGCCTCTGTTGACTGTGGAGGAGGAGAATGATGAAGACTAAGGGAGCGGAATTGATTTGGACATGACGAAGTATGTCTATTCCGCCATGGGCTTAATGGGACTAGACACATTGAAGTGTGTGATGATAGATGCACATGGGGTTGTAACAGGGTTATGTGTTTTGTGGCTCTGCTGGAGTTTCTCAACAGGTAGCAGTACATTGAGATCGGGTTTGAATGACATGCATTTGATAGATCATAGAAGAGCAAGGCCGGACCCGGTGATATCGCAATCCTAAGGTTCATGTTCGTAGATATTGATTGAGTAAACCGGTGTATTTGAGGAGACCACTCTGGGGCTTAGATATAGGAATTTGTCCGTTCATTACTGATTTGTGATACTTGCCAATTATGCAGATAAGATCATTTGTAAGTGCCGAGATTCGACTGGGACTTTATTGGATTGGCTTTAAAAGAGGTTCGTATCCCCTAGTCAAATGGAATCGGACGGAGATTTGACCCACCGATGCGTTTGCGCATTTCGGCCCCAGCGGCAATCGTACTGGGAACCTTGATACCACAGCAATCCCCAAAGTAGTCTGTCGTGGTATGGCCGTGCGGGTGATCATGACATTGGCCGTCGGCATATTCATCATCATTGCCACCTTCTGAGCGCTCGCCCATGCCCTCGCTCGCGGGGAGAAGGCTGCCGAACAGGAAATGCTGCATGATGGGGAGTTTACCCAGCACCTCCTTGACGAACATCTTCTTCATGCCGCTTTCAACTTTAAACCAGTTCTTGGCTCCGGAGATGTCGTCCAACATGGGACTGTGCCACCGAAGACCCTTGACGGTTTTGACGCTGTCCACCCACCGCACTTGATCGAGATAGATGTATTTGTCCCCTTCCTCGTCGAGCAGGGCCACATTGTGAATGCCGAGGGGTGTGATGTACGGATGATCCACGAGTTGACTGGCGCCGAATAGGAAGGGAAGGAAATGGTAGTCGTCCAGTCCCCAGACACCATGAGATCCGGCAGGTTCGAGGTAGTATGTAGATTGGATATCTCGCATCAGGTGTAGATACTGGACGTAGACCTTGAAGACGACTGCAGGGAACTCTTCGCGATTAAGTAGACCCATCTGATACAACGCCAGCAGCCACATCATGAAATTCAGTTCGTGGCCCGATCCGTAATCGAGTCGGTCCTGAGATCCAAGGGAGTGGACCAAATATGTCGAGACTTCCTCGATGGCGGAGGAATCCGTCATTCCAAGGATGTCCGTGTGCCATGATGCGCTCTGTGCGGCCACATCGTCGAAGAATGTCCGAAAGGCCGGATTGCCAAACCGGGACCCGCCCTGATCTAGCGCCGGATGGGTTTCTAGTAAAGATTGTAATCGTCCCACAACCGAGACGATGTTGACGATGTGGCCGGATTCGAGGCTTTTTTGAGGGAGGTCGGTGACGGCACGACCACGTATGGAGTCGGACAGACCGAATATGAATGATAGGACTAGCTTATAGGTAGGCGATGCCAAGAAGAGTTCATGGTCTTTGGGCGACAAGATGCGGCGGACTGGACGCGAGTATTGATGGGTGGAAAGGTCTGGTGGCGATGGCAAAGGTGGGGTGATAGGGGTCGGTTCTCGAGAGGAGGATGATTGTGATCGGCGGTTACCGTTTGAGCGAAGCTGAGATAGCTTTTGAGAAAGGTTCAAGGGCCCGCCTTGAGCTGAGGGTATTGAAGTCGAGGTCATATTAGAAGGAGGAGGATGGATGATAAGGCTAATGTTGAAATGATCTTTTGACCAGCTGATTCGCAAGATGTAAAAACAATCAGATTGGGTGGGGACAAGACGCGGGCAGAATCAAAGCTTCGAGCCGCGACGACACCGCCTGCCAAAGTAGGACTAAGTATGACGAGAGAGCTGATCTGATCTGATCAATCAGACCGGTGGCTACTACTACTAATGCGGGACTGCGGTGGGACTCTCTCTCTCTCATGCGGAGCTGGATTCTGCCAGGCTCATTTACTCAGAAGGTCAGGATTAAACACCGAGTTCCGTAGGAAACGAGCTTAAGTTCCTTCTGCTAGTATTGGTGTAATCGGAAATGAGTAGAGTCTCATGAGGAGTATTGTTTCCGTCAGATCGTCGGGGCTGCATATTTCAAGATCTTGTAGACACAGGCACATACAAGATCAATTGGGGGGTCTCAAGGCGGGGATATAAGCGGTGAGACCACCAACAAATCAAGGATCGTTCGTCGTCTCCAGAGCATGACACTGAATCCCGGAGTCGGGTAGCATCTACCCAGAGCAGAGCATGTGATCACCTTCTGCCCGAGAAAGAATCAAAGATCGGGGTGAAGATCACAATATCTCCGCATCACACCATCTTCCTCAGAGAGACGACATTGGGGGAGAATGCATAGCATGCCTTTGAGCTGACTGAGCCCGCCCCCCTCCCATATTTGCACAAATACATCCAGATCTGAATACACGCCAGCGGTTCGAGCCAGTCGCTAAGGTGTTTGTGGGATCGTCAACACGATCGGTTCCTGAACTCCTGAGATCTTTTGATCGCGCTCTGTGTCTGCCTGCAAGTCAAGCACGCCATCCTGTGTATAACCTGAGCTGTCCACGGCAGACTCGCTATATATTGCGCCCTCACCACAGGCCGTCATAATCAACGTCATAACAGGTTTGCTGAGAGAGACAAGGAAGAACGCTTATCCAGACGTCATGAGCACCCTCAATCAAACAGCAACGCCCTCGACAGGGCCCCGCGAGTCTCGGGATGGTAGACGCAAACGAGACTCCTCCTCTCGCTCACCAACCAATAGAGACTCGGGGCTGTCATCCTCCTACGGAAGCAGTCGGTCTCCATCGAGCTTCTCGTCGCGAAAAACGGGAGGCAAGCCTCGTCCGTCTCACCAAGAGGCCAATGAATCCTCGCGTGTTCTCGGCGATGGCGCCACATCAACACGAGACTATGGCGCCATGGACACGACTGGCGCAACTGCCACAAATCCCACATCCTCGAATCCGGACAGTCACAGTGTGCAACAATCTCGGCGTGACGATAGCGCCGCTCACCACGATCGTCAAACTAATCATTCGGACGAAGACGAGCCCCGTCATTCCCGATTCGGTCAGTTTGTTGATCACTTCGGCTCGCTTGAGTTGGATAACAAAGGCAGCGTGGCGCGTGATCATCTGGCATTAGGTACGTTCACGCTCAGTAGAATTTGGAGTGATCATTGGTACTAATCAACGACTTTAGAACGAACATTCTTAGCCTGGCTCCGCACATCGTTGGCCTTTGCCTCCATCGGCATTGCCGTCACCCAGCTCTTCAGACTGAACACGACAGGTAGCTCCGCACATTCATCGACTTTAGGCCAAAATGCCTTGGTCACTTCGGATATACTCCCCTCCTCAACTTGACGCCTCTCAAGTTTATGCCGTCTCGGCCGCAGCGCGTCTGCGCAGCGTGGGCAAGCCTCTTGGCTCCACATTCATCGGGGTAGCCATTCTCGTTCTCATGATTGGATTCCACCGTTACTTTGAAAGTCAATACTGGATCATTCGTGGTAAATTCCCCGCGAGTCGTGGGAGTGTTGCATTGACGGCATTTGCCGCGGCGTCCTTGATCGTTGCGGCGTTGGCGGTTGTTCTCGCCGTTTCGCCCAGTGCGATTGAGCAGTGATGTGCTGTGCTGTGTGTTTTGGGGTTTATGCGGCTCGAGCCTTTTTTCTTTTTCTTTTTCTTTTCCATTTTCTGTTTTTCCCCAACTCCAACTCCGTTGGCATTGTCGCATTTCCTCTCATTCTCGGTTCGTGTAATGATTTGCATCTGTATATAGTTGGGAGGCTTCGCCAGTCTAACCATTATCAACATTTCTATGATTCTCCGCTTCTCCCGAAATGAACAATCAGAAAACAAGGGCGAAGCCAGTGTTTCAAGCCGTGTATGTGAGGAATTCTGATGAACGACAAACCCATGAAATTCGGAGCTCTCTCGGCGACTCTTGCCCGAAGACTGAAACCTGACTTGGCATAGGCCAGATATATGTCTCAATCAATCGCCTCGACAAAGTTATCTGGGACCATGATCTTTGGAATCGATCATGCAATGTGGTTGACGAGGGCGGGAGATGGGCATTGGTGGTATACTTTGGATTGATCTGCGGTCAATGGATGCCATCGAGCATATTTGAAGATAGCATCTTTTCTTTTTCCATAAGTTACATATAGGAGCAGGTAGGTGGTGGTAGGGCATGTCCTGCCTATCACCATTTAGGTATGGTCCGCCTAGGGGAACATTCTGTATGGAAAGACATTGTGCTGTTCTAGATTCCATGACTTGGTGTGTCCATTCCTTACCCAAGCCAGACCCAACGGCGCAGGAGAGTTGACCACGCACTTCATCTTAAAATAAGGTAAGTGACAGGACTATTGGTAAATGCTTCGTGTACAGTAAGATGGTGACTGTATTAACTTGTCATGGTATATCATTTCATAATTTGTCAAGGCTTGGATCAGCACTATTCATACTTGACTGGCCTCTGCGCTAAAAAAAAAAAAAAAAAAAAAAAAAAAAGAAAAATAGACGATGCGGGCTATTTCGAGACCAAATTTAAACAGATCCAGCTGCCAGCACATACCCACCGTCCACGACGACGGTCTGGCCGTTCAAGTACTGATTGGAGGTGGCAAAGAGCACGGCACTGGCCATATCCTCGTCCTTGCCCGGACGACCGGCCGGCACTTTACCCTCGAACTTCTCCTTCTCCAGAGCACTCTTCTGCTTGTCGTCACTTTCCTTGGCGGTCATCTCCGAGGGGAAAACGCCGGGCGCGATGTTGTTGACACGGATCTTGACGCCCGAGTCGGCAATCTCGTGCGCCAGCATCTTGGTCAAATGGATGGCGGCGGCCTTGCTGGTGTTGTACACGAAGTGATGCTGGGAGACCTTGACAATGCCCGAAATGGAAGTGATGTTGAGGACGGTGCTGGACCAGCCGGGGGTCTGCTCGGTGCCCTTGTTCAGCAGGGGCAGGAAAGCGGTGGTGACGAAGAAGATCTGCATGACGTTGGTGCGCATGACCTCTTCCCAGTCACTGATGGAGCTGGTGTGGTGGAAGAGTTCCTGCTTCAGCTCTTCGGGGGAGGATTTTTCAACATCCTGCTTGGTGGAGCTGATGCCGGCGTTGTTGATGAGGATGTGCAGCTTGGACTCCTTGGCGGAGATCTCGTCGACCAGCTTTTGGATGGACTCCTTGGAGGTCACGTCGGCGGGGATGGCGATGATCTCGCCGGGGATATCCTTGGAATAGACCTCGACGACCCGATCCAGCTTCTCCTTGGTGCGGCCGGTGATGTAGACCTTGGCGCCGTTGACGGCCAGGGCCTGGGTGGCCATCAAGCCAATACCGGAACCGCCACCGGTGACCAGAGCGACTGTAGCATTGAAGTGTCAACATATATCTTATGGATCTTTCTTTTCAATTGAAAAAGGAGCACTAACCTTTGCCCTTCATGCTGAAGAGGTTCTCCAGCTTAAAGGCCGCATTGTTGGGTTGGGACGACATGATGGAACGGGGAGGCGTGGAAGAGAAAAGTCGTGGGAAATATTGTTCAAGATTAAGCACGGTAAGAAGTATCACGAAATGAGAAGGTAAATCGCCAGGTTCTTTCTTTTTCCACGACACCGGAGGATCATCAAATCCTTATATATGCTCCCCCAAAGCGCCATCTCCCCAGCTGGCATTCTCCCTTCCACCTCTCAGTGGCGGAACGATAGACCAGACCAGACTTGCAAAAGAAGGTCAGAAGTTGAGAATCGAACGCTCGCGCAGGGTCCACTCAACCCAAACAGTTCGGTCCCGGAGCTTGGCCCACGCCCTGACTTCATCATGACAGCCTCGGAAATGTACATTTTGAAGCAACCAGACGAGAGAGTGCAGTAGTAGCTGCGTAGTCCAATTGTCACTCCATAGTACGCACACACCGTAGAATACTGCGGTGTACTCCATGAGCCCCCTCCAAATTCGAGTCTCTGCCTGTCGAATGCATGCATCTGATTGATTCAATACCTTGTCATGTACCATTTCCGATTCAAGTTTCTGGCCCATGAGGTCCAGCCCGTTCCATCAGGAGTCCAATCGATCGGTTCATGACCCTCAAATGGGTCATTCCTTCACCATCTTGGCGTTGGATTGCGATCGCAAGCGCATGGGACCCGTTGCTTCTCATGCATCAAAAACTCAAGACAGGTTTTTGAGTTTCTATTCTGGACCCACCAACCACAATCGCTCAATGGCTCAGTAGCTCAGTAGTTCGAATCGATGGACCATCGAGACTTGGATCGGACTGACTGTATACAGATTGAGGGCTGGACTGCGCGAAAGTGATGCTAGGGGCGATCGTCGAAATGATGAGTAACCTTGTAAGGCTTAGGGACCTCGGAGTAAGTTATCTGGTGTGATCATGAGCTTTGTAATACTGCATGTATCGAGTCAAGTCATGCCGAGCAGTGAAAGGCTGGAACTGTGACTCGTCGTGTCGGTCAATTGTCGTCTCCGAAGCGTTATCGATTTCCTTTTTCGGGATAAGATGTCTTTTACTCTCTAGTCTCTACAAGTCACAAGTTACACTCCCAAGTTACACTACCTCCCAGAAAGGGAAGAGACACTTGTCCTGCAAGAGAAATTGGCGGTGGAATGATTTTGGAAATTATCAATTGGTAGAAAGAATCATTAAATGTCATGTCCATTCAACCCCCACTCCGGCTTCATTATCACATCAGCTCATACCAATGACCCCCCCAGATTTAACCGTTCACGACAACACCACCGTTGGGGTGCAGCGACTGGCCAGAGATGAAGCTGGAATCGGGACTGGCCAGGAAGACAAAGCAGGTGGCCACCTCGCTGGGCTGCCCCGGACGGCCCATGGGAGAAGTGAATTGATCCTGAGCAGAGCTGTTCATGGTGGCGGGGATCAAAGGGGTCCAGACTGGTAAAGAGAAGCGAGGTAAGCGATTGAGTATGGTGACGGCATTGCGTTTGGCTTTTGTTGTTACAGTGACACAGGGTAGGGAAACAGAAAACTTACTAGGTCCGGGACAGACACAGTTCACGCGAATACCGTTCTTGATCTGTTGATTGGAAAGACCACGGGTAAAAGCGACGATGGCGCCCTTGGTGGAGGTGTAGTCCAGCAGATCGGGACGTCCAATGTAGGCGTTGATGGAGGCACAGTTGATGATGGTGGAGCCCTGTTTCATGTGAGGCAGAGCGTACTTGGACAGATAGTAGAAGGGGTGAATGTTGGTGTCGAAGGTTCGCTCCCATTGATCTCTGCCAAACATAAAGAGAAAAAGTGATATGTTAGTGATCAAGACTCCTCTCTGGGTTACGTTGCGGAGTGATAGATGAAGCCAAAAAGGAAGGGAGGGGAAAAAAAAAGCAAAACACCAGCTGCACCGGCTGCGCGAGAGTACGTACTCATCCAGATCCTTGATATCCTCCACCATATTCTGATATCCGTGGTTGTTGACCAAGGTATCAATTCCGCCCATGGTTTCCAACGCCGTGTCCACGACTTTCTGGCAGTTCTTCTTGTCGCGCAAGTCCACCGCAAGCAGATGAGCTTTGCGGCCCGTCTCCTCCACTCGACGCTTCGTGTCCTGCGCATCGGACTCTTCCTGAGGCAGATACGTGATCAAAACATCGGCACCCTCCATGGCAAACAAGATCGCAATCGCACGGCCAATACCGGAGTCACCACCGGTAATCACGGCCCGCTTGCCTTCCAGCTTGCCGGCGGCCCTGTAGGTTTGGTATCCATTGTCCTCAGTGGGGAGCTTGGTGGAGGTAGGCTTGGGATCACCTAGTTCGCTCTGCAGACCGGGCTTTTCATGGTGTTGAATGGGGACCTTGTGGCCTGGAGAGGAGGTTAGCGATAGCTTTTTCTGTGAAGTGGGCTCTGCGGTTCTGCTCACTCACCAGACTTGAACTGATCCTGGGGCCCTTCGGCGCCTCTCTCGGTAGATTTGTGCATAATTCAGTTACGGTCAATGTGTTTCTGTAGTATCACGTTAGAGAGAAAGAATCCGAGAAGCGAGAGTTGGATCACACGCTCCAGCGATCCACCATAGCAAGATTAGAAAGCTCAATTGAACGGGTTTCAGATGTTAAATCCTGAAGATGGCCAATTTGCTCCCAAACGAAAATAAAAATAAAAATAAAAATAAAAATAAAAAAAAAGAGCAGAAAAGCAGAAAAGCGGAAAAGCAGAAAAGCAGAAAAGCATAGACCAAGAATCAAGAACCATGAAAGAGCAAAACAAATCTTTCCTCACGATTTGTAGGTCGCTAGGCAGAGCGCTATGATATTCATGGGTTGGTGAACACTTACTGCGATGACACAATTAGGGAATGGCGACGATGCAAGTCGGCAGTGGAAGAATGCTAAATCTTATCTGTTGTTCGATTTCAACCCATCTCTAGGATTCTTCTATAGTTATACCAAACATCGACATCTTCCACTCCAGCGATGATCGTCAGCGTGACGTCTGTTCTGGCAAGCCCCGAGTCCCCGACAGACTCAATCGCGTTGCAATTTCCAAGATTTGACGGGCGCTGCAATTCAACCGGGACCGCAGTGGGGCTTGCCGTTCCAAAAGAACTGGACTCTGGAGAGGCCGGACTCGGTGCTCGGGACGGTACAAGACTCATCGTAGAAACGGCAAGACTGTCAGTGTCTGGCATCTGCTAGTGTCGGGGCTTTTGGAGAATGCTGGATGCACTTTCCACCAAAGGGAGCCACCAGAAGAAGTGAAGTGCTAAAATGAGAGCAAGTCCACCTAAGAAGAAAACACATTGGTCGAATTCTCCCCCTCCAGTGGATGACGGCTTATTCGTTCACCTTCTCTGGACCTAAAGAACTAACAAGATATCTACATTGCTTGCTCCGCTTCATCATGAACGATCTAGACTCCCACCAAATTTCCTTCTGAGTGTACTGTGTAGTACTGGGCTCTGTCAGCCATCAAAAACCGAGAGACATGCCTACCAACCGTGCTGTATCTGCATGATGCACATATCTGGCCCCGAAGCGGCAAAAGCAGTAGTGGGAGCGGGATCTCCAATCCGCCATCTGCCGGATCGAATTGCGACTTGGCGTGCATTAACGCAGCGAGCCTTTTCAGGCTGTCTGTCCTCAATTGATAGGACCAGACGGGTGGATTGATGCCGAAGCAAACAAAGCGGGTTTCGCCGCGTCAGGAAAAATATCGGGAGTTCGGGACTATGTCAACATGACAGAGACATGAAGGCAGAGGTTCCGCCGTTACGTCCACATCTAGAAACCTTCACGTACACCAACGCTGCGCCGGGCGCCACCAGATGATTCTCAAGACTCGACTCAAGCTCACCGCCTGAACTCCAGTTCCAGTAGTCCAGATCTAACCCCGAGTCATGCTCCAACTCTCATGATGAGAAGGGAATGGTAGGTCGGTGATACCATAATCATACGTGAACAGGCCGACGACGTCGTCGAACTATTGGACCAAGAGAGCTTGATCTCTCGGTGAAGTTCTTACCTCTGTCACCGGGCTCGCTCACGAACCTTGCCATTCGAAGGCGTCGGGCACACATTGACAGAGAAATACCCAGATATGCGTCAATGACGGTGCAGATTGGTGGGCCCTTGACCGCGTGAGAATTCGAGAAGAGCACGACAGTCATTGATCCCTCGCAGGACAGAGAGCTAGTCTATACACAATAGTATTTACTCAAGCGCTAAGACACCACGGAGCTGCTGGACGTTGATGAATATGGTCACGTCGTCACGTCGACACAGGCCAGACATGACGGGTTGAGGGTTTGAATGGCAAGAGGAAGCGAGGCGAGAAGAATAAGGGGTACATCAATGCCAAGCACACATGGAAATTGAAACTTGACAGTACTAGAAAGCGCACGACGGGTCTGAGCTTGAAAGGGAGGTTTTGATAATAAACAGAGAGACAGATGACCGCTTTGCATTACCGGGGCCCAAGCTTGGCCAGGGCACGAGCACCCTGTTCCTGCCACTCCTGCTTTGATACCCACATGTCCTCTTTGTCGGCAATCTTTGATGGAGAGTCAGCACGAGCTTGAAAAGTCGACGAAGGGAAATGTGGAGAACACATACGAGATTGGCAAGGACTGCACCACCCAAGAAGACCATGTGTCTTCGTCGAGGGGGATCTTCAATGCGGACCTTGAATTTCTGTACGAAGGGTCAGCTTTGGAAATCACGCCATATCTAGGCAATGACCGTGAAGAAACATACGTTCAGACGCTCAGGATTGCCGCCCAGAACCCGAGTCAGCCAGAGCTGTTTCAGCTCCTTTTCCAACCGTGAAGGGAGACCGGGATACATGCTGCTACCACCGCTCAGCACAACTGCCTTGTAAAGGCTGGATCGGATATCGACATCGGTGCCCTGAATGGTGTTGAACAGCAATTCCGCCATACCGGGCTGATCCACATCAACCAGATGGGGCTGGAAAAGACACTCGGCAGCCTCGAATCGCTCACTGCCAACTCGGATCACACGACCGTCGGGAAGCGTGTAGGACTCGACTAGGACCGTGGTATCTTCGGAAAGCTTCTTGTCCAACTCCAGGTCGTATGAGACGTAGCAAAGCTTCTCCTTGATCTGGCGCACGGTTTCGAAATCGGCCGTTCGGTTCAGCGCATAGCCGCGACGCAGGAGAAGGGCGATCAGGTTGCGGGTGACATCACGGCCAGCAACATCCAGGCGCTTGATGTGATGATTCAGAACAGTCGACTCATAGACGGGAATAATATGGGTGACACCATCACCGGAATCGACCACTACACCACTAGAAAGACCTAGAGAAACCCCGTTGCGTTAGAACGCCAAACTCGGCCGCCAAGTAAGTTGACCCTTGGGTCGGCAAAATCAATCGTTTCATACCCTGAGCATACAGTGCCAGCACTGCCTGGATCGCCACATAGACACCTCCAAAGTTGTATCCTTCCAACATGACCTCGGCCATCTGCTCACGGTTCTTGAGAGGGTTCATAGGTGGCTCCGTGAGGAGGATCTTGCGCCCCGCAGGATCGATCTTCAGCTTGTCGTAGAAGGTATAATTCCACAGGTGCTGCATATCATCCCATTTCTTGACAATACCATTCTCCATCTAAATCGATGCCCCGGAAAATTGAGGACTATTGTCAGCGCCATGTCTCGAGCACCTGAGGAGGAGAGGGGAATGACGAGGCGGGGTATTCGGGCGCAACAGAGGCTCGCAAAAAGTCACAGCCCCCAAATGCCATTGGGAACTCACCGGATAGCTGATCTGAAGCATTGATCGTGCAGCAGCAGCTTCTTCTCCGCACATGATATCCTTGACCACAATATCGCCCGCCTGCTCCTCCGTTCGCAAGATGGGTCGCCCCACTATCGAGGGGAACTGGTGCTCGGGGAAGTTCTAGATGAAAGCGAGAGCGTGAGAGAAAGTCCTTGAGTTTGTTGACTGACGGTGGGTTTCAACGTACCTGACCAGCATATCCGACCTTGAGGAAACCGGTTCCTCCATCGAGCACTGTTCAGCTGTTGTTAGCGTGGGGAAAGCGAGGAGAGGCCACGCGCGGAATGCCGGAGAAAGAGCATACTTACCGATAGGGACGTCCGCCATGGTGAAGGTCTGTATTGACGAGGCGCCGTCCGAAAAATAGTCCGATGTAGCTATCACCACAGTGTGAGAGCAATTGATGAAGCGACGAGGGCGCGGAGGTGGAGAGGGAGTTGGAGTTGGAGTTGTTGTCGGTTAGTTAGGAGTCCCACTGCCGCCTGGGCATCATCATCGTTATTTACGTGACAGTACCTTACAGCGGCTGCTCCCCGCACTTGCGGCTTGAATTGAGCATGGATTAGTTTCATGACCTTGAGTTTACAGAGAATGAACTTTACATTGATGAAGAAGGGTCGCCAACGATGGTAGATTGAGGAAGTCCATCGACCGAAGGTGATCGGGAAAGTTTTGATTGATGCCTTGAAGCAATGACCGCGTAACCAAAGGTGAACACCTCGAGTCCATCAGCCATGGAACTTAATAGCATTGCTGCCTGAGGCGCTAGTCTTGAGCTACAGCTACGGTCAACTGGTCACTGAGTCTGCTAGCATAGTACAACAGCATCAAGCTCCAGATTTTCGACGCGATCGTGTAGTACGCATGACTCGGAAGTTTGACTCTCTGTTGTGATATTTCGCAATATTGGTGATACATTCATTGTTTTTTCTTGGCTATGTTTCAGTGGAAGGGTGCCCATCTACCATGAACCTATTGCGCTTGATAGTGATTCGATATTACGACATCGCCAATCTCTTGGAAATACTGTATGCGTTCATCAAAGTGTGGACAGTGACACAGCCTGGTAGTTTCGTATCTCACGACAAGTAGAGGTATCGATTTCCCTCTCGCTTCACCAACAAGTATTCCGCAGTGATTCAGTTGAATTCACGATGGTGTAAGAGCGTGCATTTTCAACTCGTGTCTGAGACTCGGTTGCTTGGCCACCGACTCGATCAAGTCCACGCTTATACTATATCCCATCATGAAGATACTCTAGACAAGTACAGTACCTAGTATCGCTTCACCGTCTGCCATAGAGAGCTCCTCGGGCAATTTTTGGGGTACGGATCAATTCAATAAGTAGCAGGTGACGAGCACAGCTCAATCGCCATCAGGAACCTGATCAAGGGAAGGTCAAGATATCTGGACAGCGTTCTAAATCGGTACAGCTCTCACCCCTCTTGATCTGCTTCCCTCTTCTTCCACAAAACCACTATATCAAAGTACACCGCTCTTGCAACTTTGTCACTTTCCTCCGGCATCACCTTAGTATCAGCTAGCTTCCCGTCACCTCACGGTGCCTCGTTGAGTCATCCTTCAACGATCCGTTCAGACCAGTCTGCCCCAGGTGGGAGTGAAGGTCGTGACTGGAGTGTCGACCACATGAGCGATACTTTGAGCTATTGTCTCATCAACTCGGAGACTCGATGAAACTTTCTCGGCGCACTTACATGATCACTTGGTGAACCAATCAACTAAGAGCTCAATAGGTGATCGTTCAACTGGTCATTTGAGTGAGAACCCAGTCAGGTACCCAACTGCTCGTCTGACAAGTAGGTATACGGCCGCTTGTACACTGAATGAATTCTTGGCCGAAAGGCACACGAAGAATCAGAACAGTCAAACGAGGACTCGACTCATCTCTTCACTCAACTCTAGACTCAGTCCTGAACTCTCCAATCAACTCTTCAATGAACTCTCAAATGAAAGTTCAACCAACGACTCAACTCAACCCTCGACGCAACGCCGGGCTCGGCATGCGACTAGAAACACGAATGCAAAAGCAAGTGGAAATCCGACTGACCACGCCTGTGGACGTTCAAATAAACACACGCGCGCACACGCACACATGCACAAACGAATGCTCAAGCAACTCAAACGAGGACCCAACTCGACACTCGACCGAGAACTCGGTTTATGATTCGATAACACACACTCGAATGAAATTCGACTGATTGTTCGGATCCTCAATCACCGCAGCATCAGCATTGCTACTTAACCTAGCGGAGTGACACACCGTCCACATGAACTGCTCCTATATCGCGTTTCTGTCTGCGCTGGACCTTGTGGACAATGGCGATCTTCGCGATTCCAGACGATGAGAACGGCGGCATCGTTTGCAAGACTAGAGTTGCTGCGTCGCATCGTCGAATTGCGCAATTACTCCATTTTCTCATTTCGTCTGAAGCGGTCATTCCACGGCGGATTGCCTCTAGTTATTTGTACTTCCGCGAGTAATGAAGCCTGACTTTGGCCAATATGGCTCTCTTCCGTCTGGTTCGAGAATTTTTAGCGCTTGATGGGAGGCCTTGAAATTGATCGTTCATGGTCTTTCATAGGGAACGCGTGAAATCAGTCAGCGAACCATCATGACTCGAAAGACTGATTTGATGATTTTCGATGAGAGATTAATACTTCCCAATTGACTTCGCCTGTTGCAGGTTGAACTCGTACAAATTGACATTGTTGCGGGAATCAAAGAGTCGATCCTTTTAAACACCCTCCTATCAGAAGTAGGTACCCAGTGACGGAGGAGAAGAGAGAGAAAAAGCGAGATAAGAGGTGTACCTTCTCGGCACCTTATCATTGAACCCATCAATCCAGATCATCTAGAATACATAGAGCAGTAGAATGCAAAATTGATGTATAGTAAGAAATTCGACATCCAATACTCAAACAAGTGATCCGAGGCTGATGCTTTTGTGTCAAACCGGATACAGAGCATGCCCGCCCTAAGGATAAACAGATGACGCGGTAAGGGAGATAAAATAAAAGAAAAACGAGATAGTGAACAATGAGAAACAAATATCCGCCCCATAGACCGAGGCCAGCTTGGTCACCAGAATGAAGAAAATTATCGCAGAGGGAGAAAGGGAGCAGGAGGGAGGATGAGACGTGTTACACTGGGTTGGAATTATTGGACTTGCCAGGCTCCGGTCGAATACGCGCGGTATCCACGAGTCCCGGGTACGCCTCTGCGAAAAGTGGGCCGAGAGACCAGTTGTTCAGATTCCGCATGTGACGTTCAAAGACCGGGTTGATGATCAGATCATCAGAATCCACGGCAGACAGCAGACAATCGGTTGCTTCGTAGGGCCAATTCAGGTCCATGCCTCGCGTGAATGGAATGAACCAATTGTCAAAAGGATAGTCCTGCGGGGAGGTGACCAGTCGGTCTCGCATTCGTGGCCAGGGGATGTAGTCCATCCAGGGAGGATGCGGCTGGAGGAGCTGTGTGGGACGGGGTGTGAGCCACTCGGGAAGACGATCGTAATTCTCTTGTGTGGGATAGATTTGCCAGCGCATAAGGAGGAACATATTGTAGAGCACCGCGACCTGAACGGGGAGGGAATTGATATCTGGAAAAGTACGAAGAATGTCCGTGAAGACCTTGGACAGAGGATGGGATTGCGCACTCTTCTCCGGGTTCAAGAGCGAGGAGACACTTGGGTAAGGTGGTCCAACAAGCTTCTGCCCGGGAATCCCCTCGGCAGCCTCGCGTTGTCGGTTGTGTAAAAAGTCAAGCAAGATGCTATCCAATGTGCATGTGGGGCCCGAATTCCGAATCGGCGTCGCGTAGGCCGGCGCTGGATTGGCGCCGTAGTTCAAGGGCTGCATGTAGGGCGGCGTGGGGGAGGGTTGAGAGGAGCGGAAGTTTTCAGAGGTGGTACGTCGCAGCCCGTCTACCTTGGGGACATTTTGAGAAGGGTCCAGAAGGAAGCTGAATCCGAGACGTTCCTCCATGCCCAACTCCAATCCATGAACGAGGTTATGGCGCTGGGTATCCAAGGCAGCTCGGAATGATGGAGGTTGAGAGGTCGCATGGTGACTGTTCCGCCGACTGCCCATCGCGGATCCGGTTTGCGTGGGGGATGGAGTATCGAAACTGGCCACTGAGTCCGCATACGCTCGGTCATTCAAGGGTGCGGACTGGCTGTTGGTACCCGTACCGACCTGGTCTGTGTCGGGGAAGAGGGGAGAATGGGATTGTTCGGGCACGGTTCGACGTTGAGCTACAAAGGACGGGAGGTCTAGTCCGAGTCAGTCGAGATCTCAATCCAATGAAATGAGACTATCAAGCGTCCATCGCAGGTTTTGCTTTTAGAAAACGTACCTGAAGCTTCCTGTCTGGCCAACAAGGGCTGCACGATATCCATGACGGCCCTCAGTCCTTGACGAAGCTCACGGTTCTCCGAACGAATGCGCTCATTCTGCTGCAGTGCCGCCTGTAGGTCCAGCACTGGTTTCTGCGATGCCAGATCGCGCACCTGCTGCTCGAGAGTCTCAATGTGTGATTTGGTGCGTTCCCGAATGGCCCGCTGGGCCTGACGGTCGTTGGCCCGCTTCTTCGCCAATTGATCCGGAGTGAGGTTCGCCACTCCTCGAGATGAGGTGCTATTCAACTTCCGCTTCCGCCCCGCAGTGGACGGCCGATGGTGCTCGGCGGCCTCGTAGATTGCGGCGTCTGCTCCCAACGACGTCGACCGTGACGGGCCAGGAGTCTCTTCGGTCTTGGATACTCCCGCATTGGGAGGTGTGGTCGTGGCCGTGGGTGTTGTGGTGGCGGTGGTAGTGCTGGTGGTGGTCGCGGTCGTCGCACTCGTGGGAGCTGTGGTGGTGGTGATGGTGGTGGGCGGCATCGGGACACCTTCGATCATTATCGCGACTGGCGCCAAGGGCGCAGAATGATTGATAGCCACAGCTGAAGCGCGATTGGTCATGGCCTTGTCGCATGTGCACGCTGCGCACTGGTTCATTCATGGATGACCATCCATGCAGCAGAGGCGGCGAACGATGGGATTTATCTGGCAAGGTCTCTCTCCCTCTCTCTCTCTCTCTCTCTCTCTTTCTCTCTCTGATGGGTGCGGCGACAATTGTACTCCACACGAGATAGGGAGAGACAGACAATCCCCAAGAGCGGGTTTTTTTTTTCTCTTTGGCTTCAGCGGGACGAGTGGGTCACCGACGATCGAGTCGAGATTTCAGGCCTTTTCAGGCTTGGGAAGAGGGGGGGGAGGAGAAGAGACGAGACACCAGGGAGTTCAATGGTGGGAAGATGAGGTTGAGAAGAACTGAAAAAAGGTTAAGCTCAGAAGAAGAATGCGATTCCACCCTGCAGATCGGGCACCAAGCCCAATTCTCCAACAAAGTTAGAATAGCGTGTAGGAGACTGGAGTTGCAGAAAAGAGTGGCCGAGTTGCGGCGGAATTTGGAGGCTTAGCGGAGGAAGCCGTTGGAGACTCCAAACTTCCCTTCCGGCCGAGCCACCAGAAACGCGATGTCGAACAAGACCAACCACAGCCATCGATCCGCAAAGTCTAACTTTGCCGCATGAGGGAGTGTTTGGTTCTGGGGTCCCAATGATCACGAAGGTGGTGATCCTGGGAAAACATCCCCGAATCAAGAGATCCGCCGAGAGGAAGAGAGTCAGGTAGTGAGTACTAAGTGACCAGCTCGATGATCCCGTGCTTCTGGCCATCCACATCCACAGCCCTTCGCTCAGTTACTGATCGACAACTACAGTACTGAACCACTACTGATCGACTATGGATTGTTCCCCGCAAGATCGCGACTGCGCATAATACTCCTGGCGAGAAACCATGCAGACAATGCTGGGGAATGCAAATGCTCAGGGACTGACTCACGCAGTGGACCATGCTCCGACATCATACTGTGACTGTGATCGAGAATTGGCCCAGCCCATCACCACGCATCAAGCCATTCATTCAACCTTCTCAGCTCTCCCAGCTCTTGGGGTCATTTCTTCTTCGCTCAGGGGGCGTGCATGCCCTACTCCGAGGGCGCCGAGGTCCCCGAGGGCTTTCATTAGGCAGAATCCTACTGCAGAACTGTAGACTGTAGACTGTAGACTGTAGACTGTAGACTGTAGACTGTAGACCGTAGACTGTAGACTGTAGATAACAAGTCAGAATGAACCGCTCACTAATTCAAGCAAGATGCGCATGGACATGTAGTCGTCCTCTCATGCAGCCACAAGCCGAGACAATCATCCTGCGTTAGCCTCCAACGGGAGCTTGAGCTTGCCCCTCTATGCATCCGCGCTAATCCATATGGTTGCTTGCTAAGTCGCCAGGAATCGTGATCGGTCTCGCCAGGTCCTGATTCTTCAGCAAGCAGTGCGGTGGAGCCCGATGCGCCATCGCGACGATCCTGGCACTTGCGTGGACTGAATCACAGTAGACGAGTAGACTCAAATCACCTGCGACTACGACTTCTTCTTGGGGGTCATGCCTCAAACACTCACAAAATCCTGGCTTATCTTGGGGCGTCATTCGGGAGAGGACTAAGTGCATTCGTCTAGATTGCCCAAAGGACTTAGGTGAATGGACCACAAGTACGGACCGGGTAGAGATCGACATGTGCATCGCCGCGAGTCATGGATAGCCTGATCAGCGCCAAGATCCACTCGGTAGCCATCTTCCCCCGGACAGCCTGAAGGGTCGGTTAGGCAATCGAGTCACTGCGCCGCCTCTACTGCAATTCCAAGCCACGATCCATGCTTTACAAACGGGCAACAACAAAATGAACGGCGCTGAAATTAACGGGATCCTTGAAATGATCGTTCACACGATCGTAGCCAATCCAGTGCTTCGATCGTAGTCATCATAGCACGTCGAGAGAGACATGAAACGACCGATATGTACATGTCACGGTGCATTACACAGATACAATCACAACACCATCCGGATCCTCCGGAGTCGACGATGCAGGGATATTACACGGAGACATAGAGACAAATTATCCAGCCAGTCACCTCACTTGCCGATCGCAAGCCATTTCGAGGACAGAAAAGGCGAGAACTGCAGAAGGATGAACTCGACAAGATGATGCCGGTAACTTATCACCTTTCGCTCTGCCGGGCCTTCTACTGTACAGCCTCGGCGACCTCAACGAGGGCTGAAGAGGCATTTGGAAACTTTAAGATAGTAAGACATCCCTCAAGCTGTCGTCCCGGCAATCTCGGGCTTCAGATGGAGCCGAGCACACTATCAGGCAAGCGAGATGAGATTGTCTAAATCAAGACGGAAAACGCGCTCTATTCGCATGTTTATTGAATCATGTGACCCATTTTGGAAATCTGCTCATTATCAAGGTAAAATCGTTGTCAGCCAACTGGATGTTCCAGCAAATCCACCTTTCGACGTTCTTGGTGCCAACGGCTAGCTTCAACGCCTTACGATCACCGGCGTGGAAATAGAAGGTTTGGAAGAAAAAAGGGGGGGAGGAACTTGGGGTAGCTCGAGGGGGCAGAGAAGAGGAGTATTTTCGGAGAAATGAATCCAAATAAGATGCTTTAACGGGCTGACTGACCTTTGTTCTCAAATAACCTTCAATTTCGGAGCTCTTTATCCCGCGTTCCCCGCCTGTACGCCAAGCCAAGGGAATCATGGGAACACGCTCCTTCACCAACACTTCGCGATTCGGCCCCTCAATCGCGCGAACTTTATCCGGGTTATTCGTCAACAGTCGAATGCCCTCGGCATTGACATCAGCACCACAGCCGAGATCCATGAGCATGGCGGTGGCCAAGCCGTAGCTTCGGGCATCAGCAGGGTGGCGCAGGAGGAGGTTGGCCTCTACCGTGTCGGATCCCAGGTCTTGTAGATTGTAGGCCTTTAACTTCTCCCCCAGTCCGATGCCCCGACCTTCCTGTCGAAGATAGATGATCACGCCGCCCGCGGACCGAGATCGCAAGGATTGCGTCTCGGGCGGCGCATCAGCGGCCAAGTTTTCCACGGGGAAGGACATCAATCGCGCGGCCTCGTCCAGCTGCTCGCCACAGTCACATCGCGCAGACCACGCCGTCTCACCTGTGTAGCACTCTGAATGGATTCGAACCAGTGGCGGCTCCATACGGGCAGCCTGCGCCGACTCGGGGTTCTTCTCCTCGTCGTACCAGCTGCTTGTTCGCCCAGGATGCAGTTTGCCCACATATGCTCCACGAATCATGCGATCCATCTCCGTCTCCCCCGGCCGTACGCGATCCAGGCTACGGCTGCGGATGTTGCTGCCAAAGACGATCGCCAAATGCTCCTTGTTATCGATATCGTTGTGGTAGAGGTGCAAGAACATTTCCGCACCATTGGTGGTCGGGATACGAGCTCGGACGATACATTCCACCTGTGGTAGTTGTTCCAGCAATTTAGGGCCCTTTTTGTGCTGGCCTGAATGTCGGATGCTGGCTGCTTGACTCTCGTGCAGCAAATGTGTCGGATTGGACGTCAAGTGCAATGTGCCACCCGGAGTCGCTGGGGGAGTGAACGCAGGTGACAATATCGAGTCAGGAAGAGCTGGTGTCTGTTCACCGGTTGTGATGCCACTTCCTTGACTCAGATCATCGGCCAGGTCATCGTGTCGGTCTGTCGAAGAAGAGGATTGCGGGGTGATTTTAGGGGAGGCATGAGCTGGAAGATCCGCCATTGCGCCGGCTTCTCAGGTAGAGTGAGGCCGGGAGTGTGTGCGTGTGTGGAGAGAGAGAGGTATGTCCTCGTATAGGCGACAAGTGAAAAGAAATCTGGACCGCTGAATGCAGTGCGTTGGCAATGAACTCGGACAGAAAATATGCGGTGGGAGGCGGGAGTTGTTGTGGGTGGCACCGAATCTCGCATGGCGTCAATTATTCCCTCGGCCCCCCGGAGGGGAGTGGGCGGCATCGATCCGTGCCACGGCATCCATGGAGGGGCGGCTGACTCATGGGGCTGTCAGCGGGCTAAGGTGAGCGACCATTCGAGTACATACTTCGAGTACCCTACCGCTTTCATGCCTTTCCAAGGGGCCCGCTTACTCTAGCAGCTTCCATCGGCACTGCATCTCCAGTCCCCCTCCGCTTATCGATCTGTGGAAACTGATAAGCGCGCACTCCACACTCACGAGTCACAACAGCCCGCACTTGGCTCTCGCGCTGTAAAAGTCGTCTATTTACTTCATTATACTCTTCGAATGATACAGATCGTGGGTAATTGAGAGGAGTCTGATAGTCCGATGTCTTTGCAAATTACATGTCTCTCGAGATATTGTAGGTGACAGGTAGACTCTCAAGATTGAGCGTGCACTTATGTGTTGAGTGTGAAGGCACGATCTGGATTTTTATAGATCCAAGCAGGATGCCACGAAAGTAAATGTCACGTGGACAAGATCGAATTGTCTCTTTCTTCTTTGCCAGAAAAACCTGTGGCTTTGAGATGAATCAATTTCCAAGAAACTAACGCACAACATATATACACACCTATAGCTATCCACCAGTCCTTGAATAGAAACTCAGTCTGCATTCTTTCCATTCCCTTCTTGAATAGAAAGAAGACGCACCCTAGTGCAAAGTTGCAAACAGACCAATCACAGGCCTGCTTTCTGTCCGATCAGAGATGACGCGCATGTATGCCTGAGGCAGCATATTTCCCCGGTCAGCCAAGACTAAACTTCGTGCCAAAACGTCCGGCAGTAGTAGTAAGTTTTCTGTGATAGGCTGTGGAAGCACGTTTCCATTATTACAGTTCTCTGTCATCTGTTGATGATATCGTCCTGTGTCGCGGAATGGCACCGGTCACGAGATCAGCGGCCAGGAGGCTCTTCACTGCGTCGACCTTGACTCCTCCAGCCCTAAGAGACACCTGAGCTTCTGGAAATGATTCTGCTCCAAACAGACATGCGCACTCTTCTGACATCTTGTCTACGTGTCTGTCGAGACTGGCGTGATCTAATCATCAAGTCACCATCGATTCAAAAAACCCTCTTCTTTATCCCAATCAAAGAATCCGAACGGGCGGCAGAAAAGGTACCCAATCCGCTGCTGGCAGAGATGTTCCCTACCATTTTTCCTGCCAAGGACGACCCAGCCCCACGCGAGTTTCAATTTTCCGATTGTGCGATGACCAAAGATTTCGCAACTATGGAGCGGTTTGTCTGGAAAGATGCTAGCTGGCATAGGATTCTTGTGCACCAACCTCCTATTCCAGAGCTTGGCCTTTTCCATATCGATTTTACCAGGAGTGGCGACCGTGTTCACTGTACCAGTATATCCGTTATTTTTTGCAATCCATCTAAAATTGGACCTATTTCCCGGCTGACATGATGTATCTAGGCAACTCCGAAGAACCAAGCGAACGGAGGCGAGGGCCTCCAAATGGGAAGGCTATTTGAGATCTTACTATTCGATTCGCCCATTCGAAATGGAAGATTCCCGTCTTCATACCTGTGTTGGTCAGCAGATGAGCCGATTTATTTGTACTCGAGATATGAAGTCAATGAGGACGCTTTTCATCGAATGCTAGGCCAATTCGATCTGGTCCTATATACCACGCAAGTCATCCAGGGCATGATGGGAGTCTGGGGTGATTCTAGTGCCGACAAGGGGACCAGGGTAGATATCATTAAAGCCTATCACGACCATGGCTTAAATGTTGAAACCCAAGCAGAAGAGATAGAAGCCTGTACAATGTTGGCGGAGGAGATCGAACGACCGGAGAGAGATTGCGAATCGGAGGAAGCCGAATGGGAAGAGCTTGATGAATCACAGGGGAAATGTTACGTGCTAACCTTAGAAGGCCAAGATAAGTTTGTGTATTCAAAGAAGCTGAAGGTTTCAAAGCCAGAGAGAAGAGAAAGGAAAAGAGGAAGGAAAAGAGGAAGGAAAAGAGGAAGGAAAAGCTAGTGGGGTTTTGTAATGGCAAAGTCGAAGAAGGACCTTAGCCCGGGGAAAAATGGGTCGTATCCATGGAAGTCACAGGGAGTGAGACGATATGAAAGACGCAATGAAAAGATTTAGAGGTGACAAGGTAGCTGGGAGTTACAGAGGGGCGGACAAGATTCCAAGTGTCTCTTGCTGCTTCCCCCCGCCCTCAAAAAATAGCTACCTAACCAGTGTGATCATTCTTCAAGGAATCAACGTACAGTACATATAGACCTGTGTAACTATATATTCTTCACCTCATGTTGTAAACTTCATCAATATGCACATAATCACATAACTCATGTATCATCCTTTCAAGTAGCGACTCGCTTTGGGTATCATTGTCACATCATATCGTAGGGTTTCGGCGGCCGGCCATCAGAATCTACTTGGTAGGTATTTCCAAGACAAATCGGCGCTCAGTCTCCATCTCCTTGTCATCTTCTTCGCCTTCGAACTTCAGTCTGTAGGTGTCTTTCTTTGATCCCATGACCTCTGCTCTGTAGAATGTCGTTGTGTCGGGATATCGCGCAAGGACCTGCTTGCCGACAGGGAAAGAAGGTAACGGTGTACCAGCTTGGGGAATAGGGATGAGCGACGACGCGGTCGTTCGGAAGACAGCTCCCTCTTCGCCGTTTTCGTTGGGCTCGGGATCTTGGACATCGTACCACCTGTGAGCCAGTTAGATAGGGAACCTCAAGAGCTCGAGCTTCGGTGCGCTCTGATTGGGGATCCCATGTACCTTTTCTTGGACCCATCCCCGGAGATGTTCTTGATGATGCACTGTATGCCTTCCCCTTCGACACCTTGCTTGTTCTTGTTGTGTTTGAAGACAACCAAGGCTCCGACGACCAGCAAACCACTTCGTTCCGCCATAGTACCCTTTGTCCCCTCCGAGCCTTCTTCAATTTTCACTGCAATCCCCTCACTTCGGCCATCGCGCGCATGATTGCTCGACACGCTCATGCTGCGCGGAACTGCACCCTTGGGTCGGCCAGACTTGTCACCGCCAGACGCACTCGCCGAGTCCATGGCCGAATTCTCCATTTCGCCTCGCTTCTTGCGGGATTTTGATAATGCAGCCGACCGATTCGATGGAGCTTCCGCTTCAGAAGCTTTCCGTAGCGCGGTCAACAGCTCCAAGTTCTTGACCACATCGCAAGGCTCGTCCACCATAATGGCGCGCTCTTCCTCACTGAGTCTCTGGCTTTGTCGTAGCCACTTGTCCAGTTGGTCGTGGTCGGAGATTGTTGGTTCTATATTTGAAACCCATGTTCAGCCGTTGCCTGGAGCAGGTAAAGGTATAGTGCGTGTGGCGATCAGCAAGACGGACCACCCCCGCATCGATGGGGGCCATCTTCTTCGATCGTCGATCCGGGGTGCGACTGGTGGAGCATGACCTACTGTTCCCTTCGCGGGTGATCTTGTCAACGAGAGTTTTGATCTGGGCAGAGATTGACGCTTGTTGGTCGAATTTCTCTTTAGATTTGCGAATGTCCTGGCAGATGCGCGTCCACAGCTCCATCTCCTCGTTGTTCCCCAGCCCGTTATCACGAGGCCGTGGGCGGTTCCGAGACATCTTTGTAGTTTTTGTGGTCGACGGATTGTATGCAGAATGCAAGGTTTACTAGAACGGTCTATATCTCTGTCAAAGAAAACCGGTATGCAACGATCGAGCAATGGAAAAGCGCAGGGATGCGACGATGATTAGCTTGAGGGCGGTCGGCTCGGTAGCTTTCTACCCGCACGTCTGGACTTTGGAGCCGACTATTGAGACGACCAATGATGATCTGATACAAGCAACAGCCGCTAACCGAATTTGGCTACCGCCTTCGGGACCCTTCTTGGGGTGCTGTTTTGCATTCCATCGGGTCGTAGTCATGTGTTAATTGGTAGCATACCGGGCCGACTTTTACCCGGCCGAATGCAATACAGCGGGTTCTATTGTTGGAACTTGATGGCCAGCCGAGTCCGCCCAGCCTAGTCCCTCAAGGCGTGTTGCAATAGACTGATAGAGCAACATGATCCAGTATACCGAGGACACGAATGCTACAGTGGTAACACGAGTAGTTCCTTAACAACGTCCACAGGGTGTTCGTGGTTCCAGTGATATTGCAGCTTTCGGCAAATCGTTACTTATGCAAAACATGGCCTTTGAATTACTGCACCGGTGCACTCGCTGTATCCGCTGTTTCTCCAATCCAACAGCTACACTATGTAGTCACTACTCAGTACTCACTTTGACTATAGTCATAGAGCATATATCTGGGTACACCCAATATTTAGGTCGGGCCCTTTTCCCATCCCAATCCAATATGGGATATTTGACAAAGTTGTGTCCATCTCAATCTTTTTGAGCCTCCGATACTTACTATCGGTGTCCACGTCGAAAGCACCGATAGGTGCCCCTCCGGATGGCACAGTCGTACCGAAGCTGACGGTTGCGGACAAGAGACGGAGACAGGTCGTAGAATCCTCTCGATTGGGTTATGAGTCCCTGAAACTTCACTTGATGAACCTCCATCATAAGTAGGGTCGAACCCTTTTTCGGCCTTCTTCGGCTCTGAATTTGGCGTGTCCGCTCCTTGCCTTCAACCCAAGCCCGTGTTGGTCACGGACCCTGGACTGATTCGCCGTCACCGAGAGCCTAGGCGGGGTGTACCTAACAGCAGCCCCAGACAGCTACGTAAGAGTGAAAACATTACGCGCAGCTTTTGATCCATACACTTTTTTTTTTTGGCTTCACTTCCCTCTCCTTTTCTTTTCTTCACTCAACGTCCTCTTCAACATGCAGATTCCATTGCTTCGCCTACAGTGCGGTAAGGGTGTTGTCTTTGGCTCATTTCATACAGTTTCTCTTACTAATCAGTCGATAGGCGTCAACAGCTACGACTGGGGTATGCTTAAATCAGTACTACACAAGAATGCCCCGCACTAAATACCGTCATAGGCAAGGTCGGCCACGAGTCGGCAGCAGCACGTTATGCCGCAACGACAGCGCCCTCGGATTTCACAATCGAGGCCGAGAAGCCCTACGCAGAGGTAGGACCGTTTCGTTCTCGTCGCAGACCGGCGATGTTGGGATTCAAGCTCGGTGGGCGCAGACATGCTGACCGGCTTCAACAGCTATGGATGGGCACACATCCTTCCCTGCCTTCCAAGGACCTCGAGACTCAGCGGTCCCTTCTCGATCTCGTGCAAGACAATCAGGCTCTGATGTCGATCGACATTACCGAACGATATGGGGGCAAGCTTCCTTTCCTGTTCAAGGTCCTCTCCATCCGCAAGGCCCTGAGCATCCAAGCCCACCCGAACAAGAAACTGGCCGAGCAGCTCCACCAAAAAGATCCAAACAACTATAAAGGTATGCATGTGAATACAAGCCAGAGCGCTGTAGTTACGGGAGAAAACAAAAAGGTTGCTAACCTGCTTTGCCTTGTGTCATAGATGACAACCACAAACCCGAGATGACCATTGCAATCACCCAGTTTGAGGGTCTTTGCGGTTTCCGTCCCTTGGCCGAGATCGCTCATTTCCTCCAGGCTGTTGCACCCCTTCGCAAGCTGGTGGGTTCGGAGGCTGCCAGCAAATTTGAGAAGACGATCCGGGACAACGAAGAATCGAGCGACGAGGAGACGGTACAGAGGAACAAGGATGCCCTTCGGTCCCTATTCACAACACTGATGGAGTCCAAGTCGGAAGACATTGAGAGCGCCGGTAAAGATCTTGTCTCTCTGGCAGAGAATTCGCCGTCCCAGTTCGGTGTCCTTGCAGACAATGGGGCCACGAACCCCTCCAACCCCGAAGAGCTGGCCAGCATCATTTGCCGGCTGAACAGCCAATTCCCCAAAGACATTGGATTATTTGTCTTCTTCTTCCTCAACTTCATCAAGTTATCCCCCGGCGAGGCCATGTTCCTCAAGGCTGACGATATCCATGCCTACGTCTCCGGAGATATCATTGAGTGCATGGCCTCGTCTGACAATGTTGTCCGAGCTGGATTCACCCCCAAATTCAAGGACATTGACACATTGACGCAGATGCTCACCTACTCATACGCACCCATTGACGAGCAGAAGCTTACTCCCACTGACTATCCCTACGCCACTCTCAACGCCGCCGCCTACTCAAGTGGCTCATCCTGCCTTCTTTATGATCCGCCAATTGAGGAGTTCAGTGTGCTGAAGACGGACCTCAAACGACCGGGCGCCAAGGTGACGTTTGATCCAATCGATGGCCCGAGCATCCTGATCTGCACAGGCGGCGAAGGCCGAATCACTGTTGGCAGCAAGACCGAGGACGTTAAAGAGGGTCATGTCTTCTTCATTGGAGCCACGGCCGAGTGTGTCATCGAGAAGACTGGTAGTGGCGATGGCGATGAAAACGCGTTCACAACATACAAGGCGTTCTGTGAGCTTACTGGTAAGGAGGACATGACCAATGGAAATTGATGCGCTCTGTTTTGTCTAATGGCTGGGAATGTCAATAGGCTCTCGCCATTTGAGTGCAAATCTGTGATGTGACTCGGGATCAAACATCTGGTGAGATCGGCCTTTTGCACATATTCAGGACGCATTCTCTTGTGTTGTCTACGTAGGGGAACAATCCTGATCATCATAATGGCAATAATTGTCTTGTATTGATTCGATCCTGCATCCGCGCCGCTCATGCTCATGGCTTGTAGCATAATCTCAGCACTCTACAGTTTACAGGGTTCTCTCAGCACTCTGTACTGTCACAATCTTACAATTACGCGTTGGCTTCTCTTGACAGCATATTTCACTGATGCTTCGATGCCACCGTGCCTTGCCAGTTTCTGCATGCAGCCATGCACTACTGTACTAAATCAGAGTGTCTCTGCTCTTTCTGTAAATGTGCCCCACTGCCCATCCGAGCCGAAGACCGAGGCAAAAGGTGGAGACATCATTGTTCGCCCTGCGCAAACGCTTCCCCTCATGTTCCACTTGTAGCAAATACATACAATCGCAGTGCTGCAGTCTTTGGAAAGCGGGGTACTGCATACATGATGATGGTGCATAAGGTAATTTACTTCCAGCCTCCAAAGCACTCCCAGTGGTTCATTACAGCACCCCGGGCTGATCAGCACTTTGGTGCGGGGAAGAGCGTGCGCCCCCAAGTTCTCCCGTGTGAAATCGAACTGGGATCGAGACTCGAAATCAGCTGAAGATAATATCGATCAAAGCACTCACTCAACTTTCCTCGTGTTTCCCATCCTCTTTGATTGTCGATCCATTTACCCCCTCCACCATGGCGGATGTAAAATCTACCGACCAAGTCCCTCAGCTTGGTTTCTGGGAGAAGGTGGATCTACCCTTGGGCCAGGCAACTGTGCTGGTTCATTCGCTTTTTGCAGCTATCACGGGTCTTTTCCGGGGCCAAGGTAGTCCGAAGGTATTCAGTCACCATGTCACTGCTGCGGCGATCCGGACAATGGTCGATCGGCTGTCAGTTCGTCAAGCACAGTAAGTGTGGGATGAGGAAACTTGTTCAGATGGTTTCGTCGAGGAAGCTGGTTCCGTGAGTTCGTATGAATGCAGGGACGCACCAACATCTCTGCGCAAGCTCCATATCCACCACAGATGTAGATGTCGCAAGGCTCAAGGAGAAGAACTACCTAGGTGGTACCTACTAGGCCAACTACTTTACTAATGCCAGACTCTCCCTACAGATACATGAGCCCGACCACGCCGCAGTCATATCATGCTGTGGTGAAGCGAAGGGGTTTGCAGCCGGAAGTTGTGAAACTTCCCCATGATACTGAAGGCTACTGGATGGGAAAGAAGAGTGCGAAGAATGTCATTATATACTATCATGGTGAGCCGGAAACCCTCCCATCACCCCCCAGACCCACTGAGGTCTACTCCATCAAGATACAATCGTCTATCTCTGCTCGTATGGCCCGGAAGAATGACCAAAGAATCTTCCATTCGCGGGTGTAACCTCTTCTCCGCGACTCCTCCCAAGTGGGATTGGAGTACAAATGTCCGGGTTCTCAAAGCTAATCTTTTCTACTTTGTGCAACTCAAGGTGGTGGCTTTGCGATGGCGGCGACAGCCGCGCACTTTGATTTCTGGATTGACCTCATTCAGGTGCTGAATGACCAAGGACATGATATTGCCGTCTTCTTTCCCCGATACACGCTTGCGCCGCAGGCGACCTACCCTACGCAACTACGTCAGGCAGTCGGTGCTCTGCGATACATCCTGGGCGATGAAGGACGGGACCCGTCGACCGTGATTGTCGGGGGTGATTCAGCAGGGGGTAATCTCGCGATGGCTCTACTGCTTCACTTATCGCATCCTCATCCAGAGATCGATCAGATCAATCTCTCGGCCTCTTTGGCAGGAGTGTTTGCCTTTGCGCCCTGGGTCAACTTTGACCAAGACTGGCCTTCGTACAAGACCAATGCTTACAAGGACATCATCACTGGGAAAGCACTGTCGGAATGGTCCAATGCCTATCTTGATGGCAAGCCAGGCGACAACTGGAGCGAGCCCAGCCGTGCCCCGGCAGAATGGTGGAAAGATGCAAAGACGGAGCGAATCCTCCTTCTCGCGGGCAGCGATGAGATTCTGCTTGGGCCGATTGAAGATTTTGCGAAGAAACTCAAGGTACGACTCACATTTTCACTCCCGTGGAACTGTTTTCTTGGGAAGATAGTGATGTTTCTTTCCCACGGTTCGGTCTCGATGAGGATCAGTGTGGATTGCCCAGGCGCTAACCTCAAGTCTAGTCGGTGTTCCCGCATACTACTTTTGTCGTCGGAGATGATGAGAGTCATGATGCGCACCTCTATGTTGCCTCCGGATCCAAGGAGGGAACTCAGACTAGTCGGGAGCTTCGTCGGTGGGTTGCAGCCCGCTTGTGAGAGAGCTCGAGATGTTGTCTGAGGCATCGAATGGAAAGATGAGCCGGTGCCAGCCTGGGTATCAGTTGAATGATGACCGGACGAGTGAGATGATGCGATGGACAGATTCATGTGATCGAAGTGGTCGTCGCGCTTTTTTAATTGTGATATAGGTAGATGGAAAGAAACATCGCCATGAATTTTGCAGAGTGATGAAATTGATCGTGCCGCAAGCACAGCTACCTTGGTAAACCGCGCGAATGCAGATTCATGAACATCTAACAACTAGGTGGTGGTCTCCGTCAGGGTCGATACTAGATAGCAGTAAGGACCGCGTAATGCATTGCCGATCCGAGGCCAATGTGGGCGCTGACACCAATCTTCAGAGCAGCTTTTCAGTGCTCGTCAGCGAGCAGCAGGACTCAACAATATCCAACGAAGCTGCACTAGCCCAGCTGGATATATCGGTCAAAGAGAGTAAACAGAGCTCGTGAAAATCCGGCTTCGAAGGAAACAATAACTGATCATATTAAATCATGACATGTCTGGCTAGTGGCTACTGGATAGGCCCGCAATTCTAAATTATTCCTCGTCTCTCCAATACCTAGATAACGGTTCAAAGGACGGTGTCCACACCTACGAGGAAACCTTTGGTGAATATTTTGCAGCCGCCACATCAAACAAGTCGCTCTTTTCTTTGATGTCAATGAGGAGTGGATGAGACGAGTGAATCTGGTTGAGTTGACTATAGGAGAGATAATGAGAATTAGCAATAGGCCCTCGCTTTCAATGCGGAAGCATATAAGGTAACGTACGCCTCAAGTTCTGCACTGGGCTTGCCTGCCAGCACGTTCAAGACAATTGTATTCGCAATTATCTCGGCATGGTCCGGGTATTGCTCTAAAGCGGCGGTGAGAGCTGCTTCGGCTTCAGGGAGACGACCAAGGTGGAGCTCGGCCACGGCTTGGCCGACGATGGAGAGCGCAGCGGATGTGCTCGGGGCGGACGCCAATTCTTCGTAGACATAGAAAGCAGATTGGTATTTTTCGCCGCCCTGTTGGAGACCATCCAAAGCAGTCAGTGACAGGTCTCAGCAATAGCATATGGTGGTGTATAAGGACGGGACGGTTATCCTTACAACTCGCAGGCCAACCCACGACTCAGCCAGGTTTACTAGCAGGGAGTCCTGAGCCCAGCGCTTCGCAGCCTGGACTTCCTTGAGGGCAAGATCGGTGCGATTCTGCTGGAGGTGAATCTGGACAATCAGAGCTACCCTGTTTACCCGGGGGAAGTGGTCAGTGTTCGAGTTGTCATGCAAAGGGAGCTAGCTGGTGACGGAGCACGTACGCCTCCAGGTTATCCTGGTGCTTGGACAGCAGACTCAGCGCATCTTCGCTGTGCCCCTGGGCCTGCAGCACCGTGGCCGCGAGTACTTGCACCGTATTGTTCTCTGGGTAGTTCTCGGCGAGATCCTGGGCCAATTGCAGGGCGGCGTCGGTGTCGCCCGCAGACTGCTTTGCGAGGGCCTTGACGGCCGCGAGATCGGGGGTATCTTCTCCGACTTCCAGGGCATTCTCTGTTTGACCGAGTGCAATCTGGGCGCGGAGCTTCAGTACTCGGGCGGGGAGCTGGTTCTCCGTGGAGAGTGCGGTAGTGTCGAAGTCGACCACGTTCTGGTATTGACCGGAGTGGAAGGCATTGTGAATATTGAGGAGCTCTGGGGGGAGCTGTTGTTAGTAAGGAAGCCGCTTGGGTGAGAATCCCACGTGGAATATTTGACGTACCGCCCTCTGTTGAAAAAGGATCCATTTTGTGGTGAATTGGGCTTGAAGTGATGGGGTACAGTACTCCTGAGGTTGCGGTGTTGATGTTCTAAGACGCAATGGCATGTTGGCGTTATTGTGGAACAGGAAAGTCGGCCGACTGGGGAAGGTAAGCCGACCGCCAGGGCTCGCTCGACATCGGTTGTTGAACGCCCCCAGCTTCCACATTTGATGGAGATTGGACTTCTGAAGGATATGTGGGCTAATTATTACAGATTTTGAGCCTCGGGCTGGCATTACAATTCATGAGTCGTTCCAGATTTCCCTGTCCTCTTCACAAGCCGGGAATTTCAAAGCCAGATTAAATGTGAGCTACAGTACCAGGCTACCAGCAGGCAAGCTGTAACTGGTCGCTAGCAGGTCATTAATCTCCTTACATCACGCGGTTCATGTTGGTTATTGGCACCGTCACTGTGTCTTTTTGATACTTGATCCGGTTCATGAGACCTGTGTCCTTATTGTGATAAGCTATAAATACATGACCATTCGTATATCCCAAAATTCACTCGACCACCGAGGACATGTATATCCAGTGCCTCGATCCTCACCACGGGCAACAAGCTTCTCAATCAGACGGGACCTCAGCGTCATACTCGGGAAAAATCCAACGAATCTACAGCCCAACTGGATACCTCACCAGCTCAATCAGTGCCTCAATCTCGACTTAGCTTTCGTCGGATCTTGCGGTACTTTTCGGCACCATGAGCTGCCGCTCTGTGAACCTTGTTGGCAATCAACTTGCCAATATTGTGCTCACTCTTTGGCTCAGAGCCAGAGCTTGCAGTCGAGGACGAAGACCCGGCAAGAGGCGTAGGGAGAGGCGTAGGCGCGGACGGCTCGGGAACTGGGTCACTGAGCAGTGGAAGAGGTAAAAATGGGCCTTCTCCCCGTGGGTCGATGTAGATTCGGAGGCGGTCCCCCGAGCAAGACGCATGTGTCTGAGCCCGTGATAAAGACTGGCGTTGCATCTGGGTCGTGCAAGGATATATTTGGTCGTACAGGCTTGCCAGTGAGTCGCCTGCGACCTTGTGTTTGGGGTATGGAGGAACAGCCTCCATACGAAAGGATGAGAGATCCAAGCCGTTGAAACTCTCACCACTCTCGTCTTCATCGAATTCCCATTCGATGGTATAGTCGAGGAAGGGCTCAAAGCCGTCTTCCTCCTTCCAGGCGCTGGTGCGTGTCTGGACACGAGCAGCTCCTGGGGGCTCCGTAGACGTAGGAGCAAGTCGATGATTCTCGGAGAAGTCCGAGTCCTCTATCGAGAGGGAGGAGCCCTGACAAGGGCGAGAGGGTTGGTGAGATTGACCAGTTCTGTGCATGTATGTTAGAAGAAGAGAAGCCATCAGAAGTGAGGACGAAGATCTTACAATGGGTCGAGTCGAGCTTCTGCTTCGACAGCATCGAGCCATTTCATCATGGCTGTATGCGAAGGCCGGGCTTTGACGGACATTTGTGAAGACATCGTGAGATGATGCCCGTATTTGTCCGAAAGAGAGGGTGGAAGGTGAGAACAGACTATTGAGACGAGCAGCAGTCTGTGGAGAAGGAGGTGGCGATGAGACGGAGATGAAATCTGATGAGAACTGATGGATAGATGACTATCACGACTGTCAAGGACCAAACGAGGCACGGTGAAGAGACAAAACAGAGATGAGAGATCAGTGAGGTTCAGTCATCTTCTAATAGTGAAGCGCTGAGGACCTCTTCTGCCATCAGAATTCGTCATTGTACGAGATTCTTCAGATCAGATGTGTCTTTCAATTGACTAGACTGGCGAATCACTGCGTCTAGACCTCCTCTATAGCGTCAAATTTGCAGAATTCCATGACTCAATACGGCAAGGTCCAGTGTGCCCATGGTCCCGGGGTTGAGAATCCAAAGTTCAGAGAATGGTATCCAGATTCGTCGTCGGCACCCATCAGTACGCATATTATCGTCCAGATTAAATCGCGGACTGTACGTACATGATCACAAGATGGGAATTTGATGAACCTGACCTTACTTTTGCAGATTGAACAATGAACTCAACCAATCATTAGAAGCTGTACGCTTCTGCATTGGACTCACTGTGTTGTTACTAAGGTAAAGCCACGCCGCGTTCCATTCTGGCAAGTAGTCGATCCATGACGCCATACTTAGCGGGATATAGGCGAAGTGGAAGTCTTCGTATTGCACATGTCGAATCTCAGACCACTAGTCCACTCCATCAGGTTCTTTCGTTTCTGAGATGGAGACAGAGAACGCAATAATATCAAGTCTGAATGACAAGTGAGCACTCGGTCAGAGATCACAGTATCACAGCTGTGATAATGATTCTCGGCCGACCTCGTTTATCGCCAGCGAGTCCTTCAGTACGGGGCTACGTTCAGTAGGTGTGAGGTAGGTAATTATTAAAGAGCTATCTCCTTATCTGAGAATGTTATCCAGGATACACTGGATAGATAAGAAAGGAATAGAGATCAGTTATGGCCTATCTAAAATTTCGGAGGTCCACTTGACGAGCCAAGGCGGATGACAGCCCTATAGTCAGGTACACCACTAACACTAAGCGGACCATGGGAGAAAGCATCGACGAAGATATCATCAGGTCCAATGTTTTGATCAGTATCTCACAGCACCAAATTGTGTTGCGGTTGTGTTCATGTACGTACGTTCACTAAAGTGCTAAGTCTTCCCAGGCCACGATACCTAGGCCTTGAGTCTACCTGTAGATGAAAATAGAGGTCACCCAGGTCTTCACGAGCCTTGAGTATAGTCTTCTTCTTTCTCTTGCTATTATTTCTGCATACTCTGAACGATTTGCATTTGCCAAATACTTCTTGATGGGAAGCAGTCTCTATGTGAGTCTAGGTAAGACTTTTCAAGAATTCACGATGCTCGGTAGAACAGGAAAGGGCTCCGCAGAAAGTCTTTCCCCCTTTATCCAATTCAAAGCCAGTCCCTGTCGAGGTCATGGGCAGCTTCATGAGCCATGAGGAATCCTGTCATGGTGAGAACCTTCAAGACCAAACTCAGTGTCATAGGGTAGATCCCAAGTGGACAACGTTCCTGACCGTCATGTTTGCATCCGGCAAAATCGGGCGGTTACTCCTTTGGGATCCCGCTAGTGGGGCTCTGACAGGCCTCCCCACGAATGACTGCCATCGAGTTCTCTTTCTGTACAGCCTCAATGATGTATCGCGCAGTCCAGAATCAACACCTACCCTCGTGTTCCCTGACTCACATTTCGCCTGCGGAAGACGCACGGCTCTAGCCCGAGATATGAGCAATGCCGCTAAGTTCAATCCGTTGCCCGCCTGAACTCTGATGTGTCATGGATGTTTTGGTGTGGTCGCACGGCGGGTGATTGGTCGTGATGGCCAGCTCTTTCTTAGCTCCATCATGGGATGATCAACCGGTGACTCGCTCTCAGCCCCTGAGAGTTTCATCCCAGTCATCGCATCACCAGTACCGATCATATTTAAGGAACGGTAATCTCCCTCATAGACAATGGGAAACTTCCTTCAAACAAGGCGATTAGTCAATCATCCGTCGTTTGCTCGTCATTCTTTTCTGTCAAGAAATATCCTACAACGTCCACGCAGCCTACACACACCCGTGACATCTCCAGATCAAGCTGGGTTGAAAAAGTTGCCCTCCGCCATAAAGACCTCAAGCAAAGCATCACAAGCCCATCGGAATTTCTCCAGCAAAGTCAGAGCCATGGCGATGTCGGAAGCTCTTCCGCAGACTCTCAAGTCCATCACAGCGGTCAAGATCCAGGAGATTGTCAAGCAGCGCAGTCTCTTTGATCAACAAAAAGCAGAGATTCTCGCAGCGGCCGAGGCGGCCCCCGATCTCCGCACTCGGGCTCACGCGCTGCTAGATGGTCTCTCCCGCTTGAAGGGATACCCCAAGGATTCTCTAGACAGCGATGACATGGACCTGGATATCGACGAGGAAGGGGATCACGACGTCGACAATGCCGAGCTCAAATCCCCAGGAATGGGCCAACTCCTCCAAGTAGATCACACCAACATCCGCCGCTTCTTCCTTCAGGGCCGCTACGATCCCTCAATTTCGGAAACTGTGCTGAATGAGTGGATCTCACGCCTAGAGACAGACATGCGGTTCCTGGAACGTCAGCACGATCATGCGTCCTTCTACAGCAAACTCGTGACGGAGTGGCTGTCTAGCCTGGACGAGAGCACAGCGAACAGTGACAAACTACTTGGGGATGATGCGCCCTCCGCCCAGTCGCAAGATAGCTTCGAGAAGGTGGGCCGAGCCGAAATGCACGAGCAGCGTGCGCAATGGGAGTCCTTGGTCTTTCAGGATGACTCTCAAGCCGACGCAGCCTCAATCGAAGCTTATCTCGACGGGCTTTTCAAATTCAGTCAATTGACTCGTGAGTCCCTGAAGAAAATTCGTGAGTCAATGCAGAAGTTTGGCAACGAGATGTCAACCAAGGGAGAGTGGTTGACTGCAACGGATCTCAAATGGGTGTCGAAGGCCGTTTTAAAGGGAGACCAGTTGATGTCCGCCAAATCGGCCATCCTGAAAGAGTTCATGCGCAATGAAGAAGTGTTGCAGGAAGTAGCTGACGTTATCAACATGCGCCTCGCCTCTCTCGAGACCTGGTCCTGGGGCGAAGCGGGTATTCCGGTGGAAATGCGGCGTCAACTCAACGGTAAATACCGTGTCTTCATGGATGCAGAACTTCTCGACAGTCTGATGTTTCAGTACTTGGGGACGAAATGGGCTGTCAAGTTTCGACAGGCGTTTGTGGCGTTTTACGAATCTCACGCGTGGGCCTCGGAAGACCAGCCTATTCCCAACATGAAGGAACATCTCGAGAGACGGCAATACTTCCTGGGAGACGCTGGCCAGGCCCTTGGGAAAAGCATCGCCGGGGCACGCAGAGCGAAATACAAGAGCGAGTATTTTATGAGTCAGCTGCCCCGCAGCATAGACGAAGGTTTCCGAAGCTACGATGACAATCAGCAACAAAAAACTGCGCTGGACTCGAAGCATTCTCTCCTTCACATGCTCATCACGGAGTCACTGCTACAGAAAGATCGCCATGGACAATTCACCGCGATCAGGTCTGACTTCCAATGGTTTGGGCCCTCACTACCCCACAATACCATTCTCACCGTGCTAAAGTACTTTGGGGTCCCTGAGACGTGGCTGAATTTCTTCAAAACCTTCCTCGAGGTTCCTCTCAGTTTTGTGCACGACGGTTCAGCCGCGACTACTCGCGTGCGCAAACGTGGCGTTCCAATGAGTCAAACCCTCTCCGATGTCTTTGGAGAGTCAGTCCTTTTCTGCATGGATTACGCGGTCAATCAACATACCAATGGCGGAATCCTGTACCGGCTGCATGATGACTTTTGGTTCTGGGGTGCCGAGAAGCAGTGTGAAGTCGCATGGCGGTCGATGACCGAGTTCGCCAAGGTGATGGGCTTGCAGTTCAACATGGAAAAGACGGGAACTGTCCGGATGGGCGACATCAAGCCCCGAGAGGACTCTCTCCTCCCCAAGGGTGACATTCGTTGGGGGTTCCTGGTCCTTGATGCTGAACAAGGAAGATTTGTCATCGATCAGGCACAGGTGGACTTGCATATTGAGGAACTGGACCGACAGCTGTCTGCCTGCAATTCCATCTTCACCTGGGTACAGGCATGGAACGGTTATTTTGGACGGTTCTTTACCAACAACTTTGCTCGGCCTGCGATGTGTTTTGGACGTGACCATATCGACATGGTTGTGTCGACACTCGGTCGCATTGAGCGCACTCTGTTCGCCAAGTATCCCAAGTATGCCATGGCGGATGAACCCGGCATGACCAATTACTTGCGAGCGGTGATTTCTCGCAGATTTGGTGTTCACAATTTGCCCGAGGGAGTCTTTTACTATCCAGTCGAACTGGGTGGTCTTGGCCTGCTGAACCCGTACGTCAGACTGCTGGCCATGCGTGAAAACATCAAACAGACACCACAGCGACTTCTCAAGAAGGCTCTAATTGGTGAGGAAATTCAATACCGCACGTACAAAACACGTTACCAAGCTCGCGGTCCAACTCCCACGAAGACGATCAAGGCCAAGGGTGGTGAACCGGTGACGTTCATGCCCTTTGAGGAATACATGCAGTACCCCGAGCGATACAGTTCTCACTTCATGGCCGCATACGAGGAACTGGGACGGGTGCCGGACGAAAAGGGCATCGATGCAACGGCCAGCTTCATCAAGAACCAGATGGGACTCAAGCTCAGCAAGTGTTCGATCAGCCCGAGTTGGGATAAGATGACTCCCTACTGGCGCTGGGTGGCAGAGTTGTACCATGACGAGATGGTGCATTATTATGGAAGTTTGGCGGCTGTGAACCGAGAACTGATGCCTTTGGGGGTGGTCAAGACCTTGAAGGATGGCCGCTTCCGATGGCAAGGTTGAGGACTTATGTACTAAATACTGACAATGGCGTTGGCGGATGATGTTTGCAACTACAATTGTGCTAGGGAAGGACCATGATCACGATCATACTGCTGAGAATGCAGAGACTTGGAGATTTGATAGGATGGCTTCAATGCTTCGGGAATTCGATTTGGAAACAAGCTTCCTCGAGATCAGGCTTATGTGAATAGCTCTGGTAGCTAGAGCCCAGTTTGCAGATCAACTTATTTTATCTACTAGAAACCCAAAATCAAAAAGGACAAGGATCCCATTGCTTAACAGTCCCGCATACATCATTCATGAGTTATCAGTAAGGCACTAGGTGTTTGAAATTACTAGAAGGTAGTTGAAATGAATGAACGAGATGCTCCTTTGTTAAGGTCATCATCATGAACCGTTGATACAGTCTGAGAGAGCTTGGGTTGTCCCGATGAAGACCTCCGGATTCTGACTCTTCTATTGCGCTCACAGACACGTCTCATCAAGTGTAAGTCTGCCACGTTTTAGACCTTGTATGTTCTGTCTCTATTCCCACACATCTCCATCCGTACGCCTTGAATCTAAGGCAATATGACCAGTGAAGTGACTACAATGATTACACATTAACAGATCACTATTCCATGCACGTGAATGGCTCAACTGATATAGCATGCATATGGCACGGGCTCCTCTTACAAAAAAGGGTGGCAGAGCCGTAGATCATACACTAAAAATAAGGACCACGTTCGCAATGCATAGGTTTGCCGATGTAGACTGGGGCTCATACTAAACAAATCCGAGATTGGGAAGTAGTCATTTACTTGGTAGTACTCCGTAGAGTCAGTTCTTACAGCTCTTACCGATTACTTCTAGTATGTGCTACCTACTCAGTGTTCGGATGTCGGCTTTTTTCCCCGTAATTTGCCGATGATAACCTCCAGTAGGTTGTAGACGGACTTGTATGATAGATCCGGTTCTGACCGCATTTCCTTATCAAATTACTTTGTTTCGAGCAAGTCGTGGTAGCCCTGGCTTATCCCATAGCCAGTGACGGAGTCCACCCCAGATTGGGCAGTCTAATCAAGATATGTGTTTTTGCATAGACCAGTGGGTTCCGAGTCTACGGTACATGGATGTTAGATGTTTTTTTTGGCTCTCGCTGCATACTAGACACGACGGTCTTCGCAAGTCACCAGTCATAGTCGTCAGATTGTTATCATCTCACTCAAGTAGCGAATGGGCCGGGAACGCCGTTTCCCATAGTTTGGACCACGAGTTGTTCGCCGACCCGGCCGCGGAAGAGGACGGATGCCAAGGCTGGATTTGGTACAACAGGATGGACTGGCTGGTTTATGGCAGACGCGTCCAGTCCGAGGGGGAGAGGGAGAGACTGTTTCTGGAGAGGTGCAGAGACCACGAGGACGAAAGCGAGGTGGTGATATGATGGAAGACGACCGCTTAGTGTGGTCATATCCATGATCAGGGATGGTCCCGTGACGGTGTGAACAGTCACAGTCATGCCTACCAAGGCAGGCACTGAGCTGATTGACCACTGCTACTACACTGAGTACACTCCAACCATTATGACCACACTACTCCTTCTCTTCTTCTTCTTCTTCTTCTTCTTCTTCTTCTTCTTCTTCTTCTTCTTCTTCTTCTTCTCCTCCTCCTCAATTATCGTCTGTATTGAGGCACATCATTATTAAGTGGGTTAAATATGGATTTCCTTCCAGCTGAGTTGCCGCATTTCCTGCATGTCAGATTTCAACTCTCCCTTCCACCTCCTCCACCTCCCCCCTCCACCCCACCACCGCGCGATCCTTCGATAGGCCTTCTGGAAGCCACGTTGTTTGCCGCCCGATCCCGAATGGATGTGGGGAACCCAGTCCGCCATGATGTGGATGTGGGAGAAGAAGAGGATCCAGGAGGTCGGTGCTCTGATCCTTCCATTTCAGCCCCAGACGATGCACTCCCGTGAACTGGTTTTGCTTTTTAGGCCACTGTGCAAACTTCTGTGATTGTGGTGTCAGTGATTAATGACCTGTTCACGACTTCACATACTCCCGCTAGAATTCTCATTTCGGTCGAATTCGCGAGTGCACCGCGGAGTCCTTGATCCTCCAACCTCCTCCGCGAGACAGACGCGTGCACGCGTTTTGGGCGATTGGGTAGTGAACCTCGGCAAAAGAAGCGTGGCTCGCATCACAAACATGAACTTGGCACTACTATCCGGCAATCTGCTCACTGACTGGGTGAAACTTTGAGTCCTCCCGTGGAGGCGTGGACTCGTCAGCCCCCGAGTCTTGACGTGCCGTCTGTAAGTATCACAGGTGTATCACAATTCCATCAAGGCCTTTTTCCACTGGGCTCGCCAGTTCTCTGATTCGCGGCCTTCTTATTGCGGGGGAGACTTGCTAGCGAACCACCATCGAAAGGGGAGAATGTGTTTCATTCACAGTAGTGAACCCAAAATCTCATTCTTCCGCTTTGTCACTTACCGGATTTCCCCTAAACCTACAAAGCTTTGCCGAGGGGAACCAAATCCAGGCTGGAAAGTTGGAAATGGCTCTTTCATGACTGGGGTACCAGTGACGATCCTCTGAGAGTGGTATTGTTGAGATTTGCGACCTCTTAAGCGAGACTTGAGACGTTGTGCGTCCGGAATTTGTCACAGACTGAATCTTGAGAGTTTAGCCAAAGCGCCTGCGCCACGATCGGTATTGCGGGGAATTATCGAAGAATTGGACTGTCAATACTCAACACAACTGACCGGTGGCTGTGGGCTACACGGTATAGGATGATGTATGGGAGCACCGGGTATAGTGAATTGTGGTCACTGGTTCCTCTCTTAGTATACGACTATACGTACTGTACCTGGGACACTACCTAGTCCTACTAGGTGGCAGGTAGGTAAGTGGTTAGTGTTACTGTATTACTAGTCAGTCACAAGTACGTACAGCACGATGGACTGACCTTGTCCAGTTAGGACGTACACCAGTATCGTCATATGGTGAGAACGTCGAGTCTTTTAGCGACAGCCACCATGAGCGATATAGAATACATGTCAATACTGGTCTTGTTCCCACAGCTGCACCAGCACAAGGAAGTCCAAAGGCAGCAATAGCGGTGGACAACTGGTTAGGCAGCTTCAGAATCTTCAATGGATGGTCACGCCTAAGCCGTGTAACCGCGGCGGAACCAAACATGAGAGCAAGAGTGCGTTGAGGACGAAGCATTGACCTGCTCGAGTGTAGTGAAAAGAGGCCATGGAAGTGAGTGATTCCATTAACAACTTTGTGGCACCGCTTTTCTCGTGATCTCAATTCGACGACCCATGCACCATTGCGGGGTCGAGTGAACAGCCATAAACCATGATGCCCGTCAGGGCATCACATATCCCGTCTAGCTAGGGCCAGAGGACATGCGTGTAAAAAGTCCCTTGTTGCACAGTCATTTCCTGATGGATTCATTGTCAGTTTCAGGGAACACACAGGACAGGAAGAACCCCCTTATCCTCCTTCTCTCTAACCCCTAGACAGAGTCATACTCGGCACGTCGTCCGAAGAGATTGTTGGTCTATCATGATTCATGGTGCACTGCAGATTCTAATTTGGCCTGGAGGCGGGGTGGTAGTGCAGCTGGGCAGCAGCACTGAGGTAACAGCATCTTGGAAATGAAGTCATCTCTCTCTTCTGATAGGCGGTTCAGGTGGAATGGATTCTATCCTGGCTCATTCAGCGGGAGAAAGAGTAGCACCCAGTGCATCGAGAGCATAACTCGGGACGGGTCACAGTTGCTGGTATTAAACTGGGAGCAAATGCTCGTACTCCAGGTCTTGAAAAGAGATAGTCGAGACCGAAAAACAAGATATACATGTAGTTGTGTACTGAGTGCTTAGTCTTACTACTTAGTACCTACTTGGTACTTACTTAATACCACTAAGCGGAAGTGGCGTGATCGTAATGTCATGACCTACACGGTCAGCATTGAGGCTCCCAACTCAACCCTTCTTCACGGACGAATAGTACGTAGGCGGTCCACGACTCAACGGCCCACGGAGGTAGACTGTGTCTCGTGTCCGGTGATTGTTGAAATAGCGACAGCTCGAATGGATTGTTGAATCCAACTATGACCCTGTCATTTGGCCCGCTGCGATAGAGTATTGAGTATTGACACCTCAGGGTTGTTCACTTGTTAGACATGTATAATACACGGCTGTGGACAGGGCTGTGCACGCAAGTTAAGCGGAGTAGCGGACTAAGTGGTCTGACTTTCTCGCCGTACTCAAGTAGACCATGGATGAAACTGTCACCTTCCCTTCTCCCCGTCTTCGTCTCAGCATACGACAAATTAGGAAGGCCATTGTGGTGGTTAACCTACCTGTCAGGCGCCAGCCACACTTTGTCATGACCACGCCATCGGGTCCAATCGAGGTCGTCACCACAAGGGGGACCAATTGTCCCGTGTCCATACTCCATACACCATTCACCATAGCCCATGATCATATACACTTGGACACCACCTTGGCTCCAGTAGTAGCGTCCAAGTGCAACTTGGAACGGCCTCCCTGTCAAGCCTCTTAGCCGACTAAGAGGTTTACTTGGAAGTTCACAGCCGGCCAGTCATTGCCAAGATCCAAAGACTCCAATATTATAAAAAAAAATACACCATCTCATCACCTCGCTGCCCGTGGCGGTCGCATTTACTGCTGGAGGCTTGACTGAAAAGAAGCTTGAATTTTTTGAAAAATCATTTCCTGACCCCTGATCGTCGGTGATGGATGTGGCTGGTGCTAGCTCGAGCTGCCGCCGACTTGCTCGACTGGTCGGAAACTGTGTTGACTGTTTAGTGTTTACTAGTTTAGCCTTTGACTTTGGCAACGGTCAAGGAGATTAAGGTTGGTGGTGTGACACTGAACATTGAGAGCACTGGAGCAGTGAGTCACTGACTGCAATACAATACCGACGGAAAGATGTCGAGTGCTGTATTCGTGTAACCATGTAATCTACCTGTGTAATGACAGCGAGTCGCGACCGGGGCTGTCGTACGGATGGCACGCTGTCGCCGGAATAGGGCAAGCCAATTACCGAGGACCTCCAGCACGTCTCGATGATGTCATCGATCGTCCACCGACGTCGTCGTGAAAGAATCAAGGGCGGTGAAGATGAACTGCCGGGACGAGGATTTCCTTTGGTACGGTAGTTCTGCACACAGGCTGGTCGGCGCGACTCCCCGGGCAAGTAACCCGGCCGAGTTGATGATATTACGGGACATGTGTATTGTGTAATATCAAAAGTCTTCCGAAGACTGTGGAACCTATGTGGAATTGTAGAGGGTTTCGCCCTCGACTCAACAGCCTGAGACCAATTATATATCATTATATATTTAATCAGCTGAGCTCCTGCAGCTCTGATAATCAACTACCAAAAAGTCTTCCAAGTAAAAGGGAGGAGCCGGCTGCATGGCACCGCGATGTAGTCAACATTTATTGGTGGTGCCCGTCTGCTCAGAACTGCGAGGGTTTCAACTTTCAACTCGTTTACTCTTCTGCCTTGACCTTCAAGCTGTGTCACTTTGTTATGGTACTGTAACACGGTATGGCTATGCAGTATCTGGTATCGTACTGGGTAATGTTTTCATGACTCTGTAACATAAATCAGATTCCGTAATCAGGCCTACTTACCCGAACAAGAATAGCGCCGACGTTGAGCTAAGAGATGGTCCCTCTCACCCCCACTGAAGCCAATGGAAGCACCGAAGAATCATGGAAGGAGGCATGTCTCAGTCAAATTTAGTACGACCCTCTTCCGTGAGGCTACAGTCGTTGTCCGTGGCGCCTCGCTAGCACTAGTTTACTTGGCGACTAGGAATCCTCAACCGGCCCCCATTGTTATCTTAGGCTGACTGGGTCAACGTGGGGGGGGGGAGGGGGGACGGGAAACTGTCATGTTCATCACGATGGGGGTGTTCCCCTCAAAGTTACGTGATTTTGGATCCTGATCTGAACCAGTGAACAATAAACATAACATTGTGTACGATACGATACATCATACCACTGGATCAGTGGATCACTGGACATTGACAATAATATGCGTTATGTGCCTCATGCAATGATCTTGAAAATAGGCGGCCTCTGATCCCCTTTTTCCCTGATCGAGTGGATCAGCTTTGCGAAGCAGCGTCGCCGCTAAGAGCGGGCAATAGTCGATAGCCGCAACGCTACAACATTGAACATGCCGTGCTAGTGTGCTTCAGGCCTCCAGTAGGAGCCTAGGAGGCAGTAGGAACGAGGAGGCCATGGAGAAACTTGGCTCAGTATGATCAAAGATTGAATTGGAAGGTCACTGGCCAACCCCCCCCCCTCCTTCAAATACTTGAAAGTTCTTTGACTGATTCTTTGGTAGAGAAAAGCGAGCCCTTTCATTATTCGATGCTAGTACCATTAGCGTAGGAGCCAGGATGGCAAGATCCGAGGGACAAGTGTGTCGCTGTCTCGCATGTAAAGTTCACTATACGCCGTATACGGTAACCCGACGAGGCGGTCTGTAAACAATCGTGACCGCGACTCTCCCACACTCCCCATGTATGGGTCATTGATGTACGTTGAGATTTGGAGTTTAGGAACCTTCCTCCTACGGATGGGATGTACAGGGTCATCATCATGTGTCAGTGAGACTGACAGGACCCTTGACAGCCTCGTTCTGTAGGCGCATTTGTTTCCTTCCCCATTCGAGCGCGAAATGTTCCACTGGGCTTATGCCAGCAAAAGTGGTCGTGGCGGTGTGAACTGTGAACAGGTGACCCTCAGCCCTGATCTGACATCCTCCCCCGCAACGACGAACCGCGTCCTGGTCTATCGATAGGACGCGATCTTAAGATCTGCTCCGCTGATAAGATGCCTCGTCTGAGGCGTTTGGAAAGTAGATTGGAGGATGGGCGAACAGCCGATGATCCAACTTGACATGATTCGCGGGGGAATAAGCTGGAGGACATGAGTGAGCATGTCAGTCTTGCCTATCTATCCTGTTCTTGACCACCTCAGCACCAATCCCTTCACTTGTCCCTAAAACAGGTCCGGTGCATCTCATTTTGGATGTATGAAAAGCCCAGCGGGCGGATGTTCTAGGATCATTTCGAGGTTCACGGCCGCCACAGCCGCCGTGAACGATCCCGATAATGCGCGGATCTCCCGGCATGCGGGAAATTGTCATAGCTCATCACGACTTCAGAAGCGTGGACGACCACTCGTCTACGAGGCCTGATCATGTCACGATGACAGGGCCACCTATGATAGGAAAGGGCCTAGTAATCACCGGAAAGACAAGGCGGGGTGTCGCCCGCTTGAAGCTTGAGCCCGTTATTGGAGGGCGATAGCGATGTCACGTTTCATTCCTAAGCTGAATGAATGGGGAGGGGAAAGTTCATGATCGGTGACGATGATGCCTGACAGGCTCGGGGAAATCCTCTTTGATTGAGCAACACATCCTGTTCATGATCCTCCCGGTCGCCTCGTTCTTCCTCTTCTTCTTCATCTTCAATAGGCCCGGGTGTCTGCAGCAATCTCCTGAATCTTCCATGTGTCTGCGAGAGTCAGGTGGGGGTACATCCTATCAAAAGGTCGAAACACGAGGTCCTCGGTGCTTACAGACGAGTTCTTTCTTCAACCCTCAGCAAGGCAGAGGTAACGCAGCAGGTCCCACTCTGTGCATTGATGGGAATGGGGGAAAAAGCAGGGAAAAGAGGCATGACAGAGGACATCACGAGGCTGCCAGCACATCCACCCGGGAACGGCGATACAATAATCGATATTGTCATCGACCCCGCATAACTGACAGCTGCATGCACGGCTTTGCCCTATCTCTGTCGCTCCACGCCGGTGCCCCTTCACGTTACAGAGTCGATGCACGTATCCGCTCTGGCAGCGTGATTCTCACGACACAATAGTTCTCCTCCTCAACAAACCCCCCTTCCCCCGCGCCTGAGATTCTGTGGTATCACGCGTTGATGACCACATTGCCAAGCTGAACAGCGCTGAACAAGTTGTCCCAACTGGTCGAGGTGCATAATCGCAGGAACGAGCCGAGCACTAGAAACCTTGCTGTGTGACTCTAATTTCCACACCCCGCTTTTCTCCAGCGTCGATAGCCAGCAGGGCCCTAAGCACGTGGCGGAGCTGGGCATGCGCGTTTGTACAATTGTGTGCAGTGGCTGAGTGGTTAGTACTGCTACGAAGGGTAAGTCGTGAGTACTGACTACTGAGTACTAGTCGTAGTTGGTGCGAGGAAGTCGGAACTACCTAAGGGACTGGGGACCGGATATGCTCCTCTCAAGCGAGTCGCGTCCACAGGTGTGCAAAAGATGGACAAGGCCACCAGCATTAGCGTGATCTGACCGGGTCGTCGTACAAGATTTACGCCGTCTTCGACTTTTGGCCATGTTGTGGTGTCATAATTCACGAGTTGCTTGAGGTACATCTTCTCATACCGACCACGATCATCCTCAATGAGAAATTGTCGATGACAACATGTCTGACCAACTGACCATATCTTATGTACAATTGTACAGTAAAGCCACGCTGAGTTAGGTACTGTAGGTCGGTGTAAGTATGTAATTATTCTAATACCAACTACAGTATCTGAGTATATGAGTATAACATTAACTCTGGGATACGACAGTTTCCAAGCTCGCAGCCGCACTACCACACCCAACTCCTGCCTAAAATGGCGACAGAAATTCATTCCCATGGATCTTGGATCCACGGAAAAGCGCATCCAGTTGAATCTCGCAGGGCCATCTCTGGCACAGTCATACTTCGCGACTGGAGAATTGGTCTGTCGATGCAAATGGCTCAGGGGCTCTGTCTTAAGATTAATGTGGGGGAAAGTATCTGATCCTCTTCCTCCTCATCGACGTTACAGGGGGAGAGTTGCTTTGCGTCGATGCACGGACCCAATATCCTCCCCAAACCGGTGCGGGATTGCGGAGACTGCCGGCTCATGAGCCGCCGAAAGGGGCAAAGGGCGGGGGGTGGAATTGCTGGTGGTTCAACCGCTTTTGACCTCATGGAGTTAGGGTAGGGCTTCGCCGCAAAAAAGGAAGGCGCCGATGTCTTGTCCCAGGGGTGCTGAATGGAGAGTATGTATGGCAAAGATAGATGCTGTAAGACTAGAGAGCAAGTTTCCATCATACGACTGGTGAATAACTTACTCAATAGTCGATACTGTATGCAAGCATGCAAAATACACTGATGCAGTGATGCTGTATGGCGATGAGGCTCTGGCAAAATTACAGAGAGGATCCTAGTGAGCATGAAATTGAGGATCGACCTATCTGGCCTCGATCAAGACGAATTTCAAGATGTGCTCAACAGAGTGTATCTACTATCTACTATTCAGGATACTTGATTGCCCATGGTGCTTCTCTGAGTCATATCAGGCATTCACTGTAGGTTCAAGGAGTTCAACCTCGTCCCAAGGGATGGTCAGTCTGACTCAATTGTCCAATTTGGATCTGCGATTGGATTGACGACTCCACGTGACAGATCCTCAACAGACGAACAATGAAAGTGATAGACAGCGCTTAACACCATCTCCACCTCGATGATCTTGTTCAATAATAGAAGCATAAAGCCGGGTTGAATCAAGTGACCAGTTGAGTGGTAGGGAACGTGTTTGGGTGGGAGGGGTGGAACGGACTCAATGCGATGGTCGATTCTCAAGAGTTCAAACACTATTTCACTTCGATCGCGAAGCGTGTTCCTTGCGAGATTCACGTCATGTTTCATAAGGCACAGGAAAAGAACGGCAGGACTCAGGAGTATACAAAAGCGGTGAGCTAGAAAGAAGATGGAAGTTGAAAGGAACGAGAGGAATGTGAGACCAAGTCATGTGAAATAAAGACGGCAAGGGAAAAAAACTCCACTATTTGTTGAATATTCGAATTGCACAATAAAGCACCGTTCGAGTATACGAAGTACGAACTACGATGCTACTGTACCAGTCCACCAGGCCGAGGAGCGCTGCTGTCCTTTCATCATCTCCACAAGTCATCTTGTCGGTGCTCAGTGTTGGCAGCTGGGTCTTGACACGTACTAAACACTTTTCCTGGAGATGCGCTTCGAGGACCACTGAAATCAGCGATACACTCTCCATCGTCGCAAATTGTCATTCCTTTATGCCTCGACTTCTTCATCAGATCGTCATTGGGCTTGAGCCTCGGGCGCGTGACAACGTGTTATCAAATTGAAACTCCCCAGCTAGAACCCACTCTCTGTCGCTGATAATAGGCAGGATCCCAGTTCCCCCTAACTCTCAGACCTCAAAAAAAGGGAAAGAGAAAGAGGAAAGAAGGAAAATAAAAAGGATCCCGAGCTAGCGGTCGAGCAGACATCCAGTGGTTCTCTCCTTCTAGGAGAAGATCTACGCGTCTCCCGTCAGGCAGCCCGCCATCCTCCACATCGTCATCTGTCTTCATGAGCAGTGCTGCCCAGCAGGGCCAAGGTGTTGGCACCGAAGGAAACCACGTTTCCACCCTTTCACCGTCAAAGTTGGCCTACTACTATCAATGCCCCATTGAAACCTCTGCACTGCGGGCAAAAATGGCGAGTCCTTGGGCCCAATTTGACACTGAGAGTCTTGACGGAATTTGAAGTGATAGACTTCGAAAAAGAGTTAAATAAGGATGGATTAAACCCCCATCGTGAATCGTGAACCATTGCCTCCCGATCTGCAGGGTTGATCGTCCAAGGTAGCAGCTCTTGTCAGTCAATAGTTACCTACTACATATTTCTGCCACTTCCCCATCTGGGGACTCACTTGTTGGACACCGCCGATGCGCTAGTCCCATTCCTTGCAGTCAGGAAGAAAGCCGGGGGGTTCTTTCTCCGTGGATCGGCCTGAAGATCTTGGAAGGGAGGGAGAGCCTCTGCTCACTCGCAGTAGTCTCCCAGCTTCAAGAGGACGCTTGCCCTACAGCCTCAACCGGTAACCCGTCTGATCTTGTCGTATCTTACCGTACAGTATCACTGTACGATAACGAGTCAACGACTGTCCCATCCCACGATAGTGACGAATCTGACGATACATCATCGAGACGGTTCCGCTACATCAACGACGAGTGGCACCACCCCGAAACAGGGATGAGCATTACTGGGAGTCTGAGAGTCACCCCGTCACCAAGTCCCAAGTTCCCAGCTCTCTTGGAGGGTGCTTCCGTCGCTAAACCCAGAAGGTCCTTGGACCCACAACCAGGGCACCATCAGCATCGAGTCGTCACTCGTGCCGCCTCAGGTATCCGGTCTTGTATCAGCAAGCTGATACCGCCGTTTCCACTCCTAAACTTCTCGTGTTACGAAACCCGTTTGATGGTCAATTTCCCCCACAGTTCAGTCCAGTGGTCCATTGCCGTCCCACGTCGGCCTGACGGAGCCCCAAGTCACGGTCCAAAAATACCAGCCTTACCTCCTGGCTCCTGCCCACTTGCCCTTACCCAAATATACCCAGTGTGGGCGTATCGGGCCATACTCCCAGTACCCACTGCAGCTTCAACCCAGCGTGCCGGAATCACTGGGAACATTGCTCGATTCATTGAATTGAATTGAAATTCCAAAAAAAAAAAAAGAAACAAGAAAACAGAAAAAAAAAGAAAGCAACAGAAAAAGGGAAAGAACGGGGTTTCCAATCTGGCTTTCAGTTTTTTTGGGGACAATTCAATTTCTCCATTCTCCTCCCCTTGCCCCTTCTTGACTAGACTTCAAAGTTCAAACACTTCTCCCTTCTTCCAGAACCTTCATTTCCCCTCATCGCATTTACCGTGCAAGAAACACGATCTTCTTGAGTGTGGTGATACTTCTTATCGTTTAGCGGCTTGAGATCTCGGCTCCCGTGTTCGCACTTCACCGCGCATACGGACGGACTTCGGCCTCTGAGAGGCCATCACGTAACCGTGCAGCATTGGACTCGATCAGCTCCCCCCGCGACAACGCGCCCATACAGCCTACAGTTTGCACTCAATTACCTCCCACATCCCAGCGACTATCGTTGTCGGCACAATCCCCGTTTCCTTCCACCTTGCCCTTTTGGACCGCCTGCATCCGCTGCGCTGGCAGTGTCGCAACATACCGATTTCCTCGTTTCCGCCCTCGCAGTGCCCCGTTGCGCCGCCCCCAAAAAAAGTTCCCTGCACACCCTGGTCCCGGGTAGTCCCTTCGCCGGCCGCATTGTCATTCCCTAGACCCGATCGCTGAGCTGGCCTAAGCTCACCATATACCCCGGTCATTGAGTCAACCTTGGAGGCCGGTCGTCCTCGTTCGACCGCTAGAAACCGACCTTGAACACGCGACCGCGCCCGGGTCGAAAAGGCTCTGTTACTGACTACCCTGAAGACCGGAGTTCAGCACACGGGCAGCCTCTGCTCTTCAAAGCGTTTTTTTTTGGCTCCCGGACCTGAGTTTGGCGCATCCTGTGCGATCCTTGGTGCAGATTCCGTGCTTTCTCACATTCAGCGCAGGGCGCTTTTGCCTCATTTCTCTGGTTCGCTCGCTGGCTGCGCGATCAACAACCAGGTACTTGGCATTATCCGCTGATCTTGCGACGAGCGGCACTTTGTCCTCATACAGGATCACAAATCCACCAGCAAAGAACAGATTTGGGCAAGTTGTGCTCATCCTTGGCATATCAACACAAGTGCCGGCTTTCAGCCTTGTCAACATCAGAGCTCTTTTGATCGACATTCCTGGACTGACCTTGGTTGAGCTCGCGATTGCTTCCCGGAACTAAACTACTGGTGTTCTCTCTCAGCATTTTGGCGCACTCCGGCCAACAAGTCACGAGAATCTTGTGAAAACATCAGTTCGAACACTGTTGCACAAAACCAGTACTCTTTGCAATCGCGATCGAAGGTGTGCCCTTCTGCCTCACCTAAAAATCATCCGTGGCTTGTCTATCGACCGCATTGTATCAAGATTATTGTTTACTCTTTTGCATGACCGGCAGCCAGCTTCTTCGGCTCACTCCGACCTGGCCTTAATTCCAGCGGCGCTTCCTCGCCGGGACCTCCACATTACTGCTTCTTTTCAAGATCATCATGCAGGCTCCAAGAACTGACTGGTTCTGCTGAAGACGTGGCTGAATCGTCATTATCTGACTGTACCGGACTATTCTATTACCCGTTCAATTGGATCTAAACCCCCTCTCTCCCTTGGCTCGGATCCATTTCCAATCCTGGCCTCCTGCAACTTTCAGCAGCGCCGGCTGGTCCCTCGTGCTGAACACCCATTCGTCTTTGTGTAAAGAGTCCAGGTGACTTGAACATTGGCGTGGGTTGATAAGCCGCTACAAAAGGTTGCTTTTAATCGACGTCTGAGTCGTCGATCTGCGAACAAACGGCCATTATGGCATATGCCGCCACGACTTCATCTCCGGCCATGGATGCCGACGCTCAAACGAGCTTGAAACTCACTACTCATATGCGTCGATCTCCCTCCTCACAAGATATTCTCAGCACCCTTTCCCCCTTCAGCTCAATATCTTCTTCCGCGCCATCTTTCTCGGCTTCCCCCATCTCAACTTCACTCTCACTCTTCCCTCCGCAAAGCACGCCGAATGTCTTGACTCCGGCTGGGACACCCAAGCAACCTCCCAGCGAAGGCCCTCGCGGTCGAAAGTACTATCTCCCTCCTCCTGCGCCGCTCGAGCTGGGGGAATCGATGATGGCCTTCCCCGATACCATTCCATCCAGTGTCAACGGGGTCACCAATGACAACAACTCCGTCAAGGCTCCAGGCTTGATGCGCAGGATCTCACGGGGCGCAGCCAGCAAATTGACCCGCAGAAGACCCTCGGCCTCTCAGATTGACAAGCGGGACCGCAGCTCGGGTCCCGTGATCATGCGCCGCAGAAGCGACAGCAAGAACGGCACTCATTCCGCTGCTCGAGATACCGCACTGGAATCAAGCAACGAGGACGAGTCTAACGAGGCTTTGGATTCCCTAGGTCCTTGGACTGGCTCGGAGCCCTCAAGTTTGCGAAGTGAAAGCCGCATGATGTCTGCTCGCGACTTGACTACCACCGTGAGTGGAGCTGTGGCGCCCAAGGTAGATTCTGCCGTTCAACGTGGAACGGTCTTGACCAAGGTCACTAAGAAGCACCGCAAACAAGTCCGGTTCTTCTTGGATTTGGACGCTGCCAAGGTCTTTTGGGATGTGTCCAATCCCGCCAAACGATTCTACATTGATGACATCAAAGAGATCCGTGTCGGTGCAGATGCGCGAAACTACCGAGAGGAACACCAAATTCCAGAAGATACCGAGGCCCGTTGGTTCACGATTGTCATAGCCGATCCGGAGCGGCTCAAAGGCCGCGCTTTCAAAACATTGCACCTGATTGCACCTAGTTCCCATGTGCTCGATCTATGGACTAGCACTTTGGAACATATCTCACGCTATCGGATTGGCTTGATGGCTGGGCTGGCCGCATCAAGTCAAAGCGAGGCTGTCCTACAGGCTCATTGGCAGCGGGAGATGTCCAGGCTCTTTCCGGGTGTGTCCCGGCCGGTAGAGGAACAGAGTCTCGACCTGGCTGCTATTGAAAGTGTGTGTCGCAGTTTACACATCAATTGCTCCAAGAACATGCTCCGCGCACAGTTCACCAAGGCGGACGCCTGCCACAACGGCCGGTTGAATTTCTCCGAATTCAAGGACTTCGTGGCCCGTTTGAAAGAGCGCAAAGATGTAAAAGAAATCTACAAGAGCCTAATTGAAGACCATAAGGCTGGTATGACTCAGGCAGAATTCTTGCGCTTCTTGCGTGATTTTCAACAAGAGGACATTGAGACTGAGGCCCACAGAGCAAAATGGATCGCGCTCTTTGACAAACTTGTCAAGAAGTCAAGGTCACGCTTGTCTAATGCGTCTGATAAATCTGAGACTGGTGAGGGCTGTCTGTCTCTCATGGATCTGGAAACCTTCTCGGCGTATCTCGCGTCTCCAAGCAACGGCATCTACGCGTCTAGAGCTCCCCAGTCGCGATTTGATCGTCCGCTCAATGAGTACTTCATCTCCAGTTCTCACAATACATACCTGCTTGGTCGTCAGGTTGCGGGAGCCTCGAGCACTGAGGCTTACATCAGCGCTCTTCAGCAGGGATGCCGTTGTGTCGAGATTGATTGCTGGGATGGTGCGGATGGGCGTCCCATCGTATCCCACGGAAGAACTATGACCACTAGCGTGCTCTTTGCAGACTGCATCACCGTCATCGACCGATACGCTTTCATTTCCTGTGACTTTCCGTTGATTCTGTCTCTCGAAGTCCACTGCAACGCAGAGCAGCAGCTTGCCATGGTGAAAATTATGAAGGACACATTTAAGGAACAGCTCATCCTGGAGCCTCTCATGAGCCATAGCTTCAGTTTACCGTCCCCGGAGGAGCTCAAGGGCCGGATCCTCGTCAAGGTCAAAACGTGCGATGAAACCGAAATTGAACCCCGCCAGGAGGCTGTTCACACGGTCGGTACCCATGGCCGGAAACGCAGCGCAAGCACTCCATTCGTCCGTTCCACGCATCACTCGGACTCGACTGTCCCCGGCACAACAGTTCCACTTGCTCCTTTCATGACTTCGTCCGGATCTCACACTACTGATGGAATCGGACCCCTGGTGAGTCAAGAAAGACGTTCGCTCACCACGACAAGCATGAGCAGCGCTACCGAAGACAGCGATGGAGGGATGGCCTCGATGTCCAGTGAAAAGAAGAAACAGCGTCGCCAAAAGAGCAAAATCACCAAGCCTCTCTCGGATCTGGGCGTCTACACTCGCGGCTACAAGTGGCATGGCTTCTCAACTCCGGAGAGCAGAAAATACAATCACGTGTATTCCTTTGCGGAACGGGCTTTCGAAAGCATCTGTCAAAACCATGACAACAAGGTGTCACTTGAGGCCCACAATCGCAAATACCTGACTCGAGTCTATCCATCCGCCTTTCGCCTTCGGTCTTCTAATTTCGACCCAAATAAGTACTGGCGACGTGGAGTCCAAATGGCAGCGCTCAATTGGCAAACATATGATGTTGGTATGCAAATGAATCAGGCGATGTTTGCGGCTGGATCCGATCGTACAGGCTACGTGCTCAAGCCAGAAAGCCTCCGCCATCCGATTCCTGAAGGTGGCCTCCCCAAGCGGAAAACGGAACGACGGCTGGTTCGATTCTCGGTGGACGTCATATCTGCGCAACAGCTTCCACGACCCCGTACACTTGGAGCTGAAGAGATGATCAATCCTTATGTCGAAATTGAAATGTTCAGCGCCGACGATCGCGGTCAGAGTTTTGCCTACGGCGAGGGTGGAATGGATGCCTCAGCTCGCAATGGCATGTCCGGCATTGGTTACCCCCATCGACGACGCACCAAGATCGAGCAAAGCAACGGCTACAGCCCCGTTTTCAACGACCGCTTCAAGCTGTCATTGGAGACCAAGTATCCCGATCTAGTCTTTGTTCGTTGGACTGTCTGGAGCTCCTTGGACGGCCGCAGCGCAGGAAACAACAATAGTGTGCAGCTTGCTACCTTCACTGCCAAGCTCACCAGTCTTTCGCAAGGCTATCGGTACCTTCCTCTGTATGACGGCAGCGGTGATCAGTACCTTTTCTCGACATTATTCTGTCGCATCGCCAAAGAGGAGCCCGTTCCTGTACAGCGTCTCGATCTGAATGAGCTTCGTGCGGAGCGCCTGGGAATTTTCCGCCAGATCGGACAGACTGTCTTCAAGCGTTCATCTTCTACAGATCGCGAGAAGGAAAACCCTGCGGATCGTAGTGATCCTACCAGCCCAGAGGACAAAGACAGCTCTCCTGGCCTGACTCCTACCATATCCATGACATCGAACTCTTCGTTCTTCCAGTAAGAACGAGAACGGTTCTGACCTGTCCACGAACCCCTTCTCACCCCACCCTTCCTCTACATCCACCAGTCGGCGCCATCCTACACGAGCCTGTGGCTTTACATTCGGGACCCTGTGTTTGGTTATTTTGTTTACATGTTGACGTTATTGCTATACCCTTATTGCAGCGATACCCATTATCTTTGTTTTCTTTTCTCATGTATCTTCTCCTGCTGTATTCTTACCCAATTTGCTACTTGAACGGTGTCTGTGTTTTTGTGAATGATCTTTCCGAGCTTTCTTCATCGCTACTTCCGGGGCCAACATGGCTGGATGTTCGTGTGGAGTTTCAGAGTGGTTTTGCCCTCCCCGGTTTTTTCTAGTCATCCGCAGCGGGTGTTCGGGGAGAACTTGTATGTTCGGCCAGAACAGAGTCGCCGCCTCTCCATGTTATTTGTTTCTGACTGACTGCATTTTTGGAAGCAACTGGCCATGTTCAAAGGTGTCTTGGTTTACTTTCTCTCATTTGATCATTCCACGGCTGGTTCCACATGGTTTCCATATCTCACTCACATATCATCGGGGCATTTCATTTCACGGCAAGACGGAAAACGCTGGACCTCGTTTTTACTGTCATAACGAAACTCCTTTTCGCATAACGAGCATGCAAATCGGGCGCTACTGGGCCTTCTTTTTACCATTGATCTTATCACGTACAACCTTTCCCCTGACCCCCTTCTACATCACGGACCCTTTACTTTGCAGGCTCGAATGTGTCTTATCCCTCATACCCTCCGTACAGCGGCAGGAGCAAATAAGTCTACTCAGAGTCTCAGAAAAATGGCCCTTCCACTTGTTGGCTGTCACGTTTTGAGTCCTTTTGTCTCGGACAAGCCTGTCTGTTTCTCATTCAATCCAAGTGGGAGCTTTTCTCATCCGAGTTTCTACTGCAACTGCTCTGGTACTTATCACTTCTAATCAATGACGCGCTGGGTCGCATGAATTGGAACATCCATTTGAATATCAGTTCGTCTTCCAAGCACAGTACATGATCACTAGGTAGTTGTACATTATCGGCGTACGTGGAAGGATGTACATGAAACGCGAGGAGATCTACATCGAAGGTTGACAGGCCGTGTCGCAGGCACTTGCAGTATAGCTGTTATATCTTCATGGGTGAATCTTGGCAATAATGGAGTATTTACCACCAAGATTCCGTATGGAAAAAATCGGTCTCTCTATGAGCACAACATGAGAGTCTAGATTAGTAGACATGGATCCTCTCAACTGGGGTGTGGCGTGGTATGTCAAGAATGTATGGCTTGTCATCATTCATTAGGTCGTATAGTAGGAAGTGGCATGCAGCAAGGCGGCGGTTCTGATTACATGTGCGCCGGCTTTCTGGACACATAAAAAGTGGTGGGGCTTCTTTCGGGAGACAGAACCCGGTGGAGAAACCCAGGGGTCAAAAGCTTGAGAATAAAGACATCAAACAAAAACGAAGACAATCGACTCAAGCCCAAAATTCCAGACGCTCAAACTCGCTTGGTAGCAGCCAAAACACCCTTTTTCTGCTCGTCCAGCGGCAGGGACTCGGCCATCGACCGACGATCATATCCAGGTTGCTCTTCATCGCCGACAGGCTGTCCATAGGCAACTCCATAATCATCCAGTTCGAGATCAATGTCGACTTCGTTCCAGTGGTCACTTGTCGCGGGCACGGGGAAAATGCGAGTGAGAATCCAGTATGTTCCGCCCGACACCAGCACACCGGTGAAGTAGTTGATGTTATAGATGTACTGTGCTCCGATGGGGACTTTACAGCCCACGGCGCCTGCAAAACCAACAATGTTGATTAAGATGCCGGCGAGATAGGCAGCGTAGGCTTTCCAGGAGAAGCCGAGGGTGTAGTAATACGGGTCGGTTTTGCGGCCGCTGTAGAGGGCTTTGATGTCGAGGTAGCCCTTGCGCACGATGTAATAGTCGCAGATCATGACGCCGGCGATGGCGGACAGGAAGAGGGAGTAGGCAGAGAGGTAGGTGGTGAATTGATTGGATGTGACGACGAGGTTCCACTGGGTTTTTCATGTGTTAGAAGGGATCGTCTCTTTGAACTCTCGTTCTTTTGAAGGTATTAGGGTGGATGCATACCGGACACATGGCCAAACCAATGATTGCACAGAGATAACTACCTCTGCGGATGGTCAAATACCGTGGCATCAGTGCAGTGAGATCTGTGCCGGCAGACACGGAGTTGGCAGAGATGTTGGTTCCCAATTGAGCGAGGGCAAAGCCGGTCGAAATCACGAAGATGCCGAACCGCTGTCCCGAGCTGGCTCCGTTCAGGAACATACCGAGTAAATCGAGGGGGTTCCAGACGGGATCGCCGTTGAATATGACTGACGAAGACGAGGACACGATAATGCCAATAAAGGATGTGATTCCAAACCCAATGGGAATCGTTAGAAGCTGCGACCACAGTGCATCCTTGGGTTTCCGCGCAAAACGCGAGAAGTCGGGATCGTTCATGATCAGGGCAGCAAAGTTACCAATGCAGTTCATGACGCCTTTCACAAATGCCCACGCCAAGGCGCTGCCTTGAATAGAATTACCCTGGTGTACGATAGGCCCAATACCGTTTGCTCGTGCAATCGCCCACGCAAAGAACGCAATTGCTGCAATGGGCGAGTAGATGGCCTTGACGGTGAACAGATGGCGCACCTTGTGCACGGGGAACCATAGAGCGGGAAGCGATAGCAGCCAGAAGAGGAAGAAACTCAAGAACCCTCTCGTGTCAACGCCCGCGCTGGCAGAGAGACTGTTGTGCAGATGTCTGTAGCTCGGCCAGATTGCCTCGATCATCAGAGAGACGCATTCACCTGGACAAGTTAGGACACGCAATGACCTTAGGACACCGTCAAAGTGCGACATCCCCGTTCGCACAAGGAAATGCTCATACCTCCAATGTAACTCTGCACGCCGTACCAGATAATAGCCATAACCACGCGATTGATCACAGGCCAAAATGAGCCCCAGATTCCAAATGACGCTCGCGCTGTCACCGGGAACGAGATATGATAGACTGCTCCGATGCGACCTGTCAAGCACACGAAGCCGCCCGCGATGAAGTATCCAATCCAAACACACAGCCATGACTGCCACCACGATAGGCCGTCGACGATCATTGATGACGAGATCATCCATGTATTCTGTGGATGTCAGGCTATGCGGATCTCCCTTTCGTGAAGATGGGATGGCGTCTTACAATGTTCAAGGAATCGGCAATCCAGAATGCAATATAATTCAGCCATGACCATTGCCGACGCTCTGGGTCCACTGCATGTCATGATTCGTTAGCGGCTGTTCGTTTCTTGCAGCCCAAACTCTGCTCAATATCTCAAAGACATCAAGCAGGAACCAAGGTCGAAAGCATATCAATACTTGCTCGGATAATATTGACAAAGTCAAAAGGTCATCTCACCTGGCCTCAGGTCTTCATTTGTCAACATCATTTGAGCATTTGACAAGCCCGACTCTTGAGTCACCTCGGCCTTCTTCAAGGCCCATTTGATTCTCGACATGATTTGCAGACGCGACCGGCAACTTGGTCGCAAAACCGATATTGAATAGAGCGGATTACTGTAGGACAAAGTCAACAGCAAGAGAAGAAGAAGTGGCAGCAAGTGAGTAAACAAAAGATCTCACCCTCCGAAGATGGTGTGAGTATGTTTTCTGATCCTCAGATCAAGTCAGACCGGCGCTCAGGGCGATGATATAACCATTCTCTCAGAGGCGTGCCTTGACTGCTCCTCCATCGGGGCACCTCATCCTGCGCATATGGGGAGGTGTGTTTCGTTCCACCTCTGACCAGGGTCAGATAAGCCCGAGCAATGAGATGTCCCCGCTCACGGAAGATCATGCGGCCCCGACTCCATCTGCCGAGGACGATGATTCGCAGTGGAGGAATATACTTCTGAATAGGGTCGATAACATCATGAATAATTCACGTGTGGAGGGCGTCCCCTCATTGCATATGCCCTATCAAGGCAGTCCAGGGAGTCCACCTCCGATGCGCACGGTTTATCTGCGATAACGCGATAGTCAACGGCTCCACCGGCATTCCTCGGTAAGCGGAACCAGCAAGGCAATTGGCAGATACGCAAGTGTGGCGTATGCCTAATCAGCCGGTGGGAAACCGGGGAGTTGAAGATCCTGGAGATTACGTCGGGTGCACAGATGATGGTTGTGTGCTTGACTCGATCTCATCGAGTAATCGTTTGAGGTGGGTCACGTGTCCGATATCGCTGCAGCCCGTCCATCGTCCCTATCATGCAACGCCTGCGAAGGCTGACCCAACGAGGCTGCGTGTATGATGGATCCCGTCTAGAAGTCAATGGTTTCGGTATCGCCCATGGAGACTCACAAGCCTCCCATCAATTGTATGGGTCCCGTGTCACGTGAGGTCTCCATTCTATCATTACGGCACTGAAGAAGCCCTAAGGATCGAGGTACAGAGCTGCTTGCGAGAGCTGCATTGAGTCCCAACATTGCGTTTGATAGGGCGTGCTCTGCGGTTAGTCCACATCGCCTGATTGCAATTATCTTCCAAGGGAATGAACTACAGCGGAATCGTCTTCTTGTAAAAAAACACCGACCATCGCGATGCCCTACGTTATTCGGCGTGGAAATGAATGACAGAGATTTGAGGCATGTAAATATCAATTCTGCGCTGAATCTATAGCAAAGTCTTCCGTTCAACTGCTGTACATGGTATCGTACACATCGGGAAGCGACAAGATTCCTCTATCGACGCAGAGCATCTCTGACGGGCGAATCACCGCGGCGGAAAGAAGCTAGAGGTAGGGTTAGCTGTCTGTCAGAAACTCAGGAATAGGAAGCAGGCGATTCAACGGGAGTCAGAAAAACAGAGGAGCTTTCCCTTGCAGCTGCCTGACAGGCGGCCCAGATTCACGCGCTTCTTCAACCATCAATCCCCGACACATTGAAGCTGCAAGCAAGCACGTATATCCCTGAGGTTACCGTTCAAAAGCTGCAAGAGTCGCAAAAGCTACGACAACGAAGAGGATAACCTCCTCGTGTCGAATCCGGGCGGCTCGAAGTCAATCAACACGTACCGTCAGCCTCCTCCCAAGCGCGGCCGGCGCCAAAGCCGAGGCCGACCCAAGCAGGCCAAGCTCTGCGCTTGAACAGCAGAACAGAGAAAACGACACCGAAAGACAGGCCGAGCGAAGACTTGATGATCATCGAGGAAATGGCGCGGTCCCACTATACATGCAGCTTGTTAGCTTCTTGTCCAGCAGCACAGTACCTTCGACCAGCAGCAGATCAGAGACTACAGAGATCTGCAGCTCACAGAATGGATCAATTCGCATAAGATGTATCGATCCATTCTGCATTGGAGTGTGGCCGAGAATGAGCAGTCTCGTACCTTCTCGTTGAGCAAAGCCTCGCTCACAGGCTTGGTAGCCCGCGCAACCGGTCGCGTCTCGCTGGAATCGGCCATTGTATGACTTCTGGGTAGTCTTCAATTAGCTCGGCGGCTTTTGACAGCTTCAAATCTCACATAAGTGACATACTGGGTTATAAAAAGGCCGTGAATTGGCGATGTTGACCGGACGATTTGGGATGGTGCAGGGTGTGACGGAAAGCGGAACTCCCTAGTGACGATGGACCCAAGGCGGTGGGGAGATTTCGCCGCGCTTTTTTCATCCGCGGAGGATGCGATCTTTTTTTCCCCAAAAAGATCTCCCCAGCGAAGGAACTCAGCTTCCCAAATCGACCGGCGTAGTCGATCTCTCCAAACATGCCTTTGCTCGCGGGGGTAAGCTTCTCTTGAACACCAGGCAGTTTTCATTTCATTCTCGATTTCTAACTCTTCCGTTCATTCAGCCCTCGAGCTCGTCGCAAGAGGCGCTCCTCCGTCTCGAAAAATGCAATAGCGCATCCGCAACCTCCGACATTCACGAAGCTGCTCAGATTCTCGGCTTGGATCTTCGCACCTGTGATAGTCATCCTGAAATACATCGTCATACGAAGACCCGCTTTACAGCGACCCCGAAAGAAGAATGGGTGCTTCGTTGGCTGTTGAAGAGGCTGAGAGCCGGAAAGCATTATCGCGTGGAACCGGCTTCTTTCCTGTTGTTGCGCCAACTCATCGGACTGATTTCGCCAAAGACTCTGGCAATCATATTGAAAGATCAGAAATTCTTCACTATCATCAGCGATACGATCCGGGATCTCAGAAGTGATGTGCAAACAACCTTTGAAACCGTCCCTGCAGGCGCCGACTTCAAGCTTGGCTCCGATGCACTCAGCACACCTGCCCAACGACAGGAATCTCGAGCAACCCAAGGCGTCAAGCGGAAGAGAGTACGTGGAGAAGATGACGAGGATGCCATGAACCTTGACGATCAACCACAGACCCCAGGTGCATGCTTCGTTGCCTTCGTTCGCGCTCTGGATTGTATCTACGGAATTGTAGCATTGATTCAACAAACTATTGGTGAGGACGAAGTGGCTCATTCCCACTTGAAATTAGCAGTCAGAGGGTCACCAGAAGGTGCTGCAGAACTACTGGGCACATCGCTTCAACTGGCAGCCGTTGCGGTCACGCAATTCTCAAATGCAGGTGCAACAACTGACCTTCAACACCTCCTGCTCGTTTTCCCTGCCATGCTTGAGCTCTGGGAGTCGCGCTCATACCGTCTTGATGACTCCGATAATAACTCAAGTAACGAATGTTTCGCAAAGTCTTGCTTCGCTCATGCCCTGAGGCTCGAGCTTTGTCTCAGAAACCTTAAACTTGACACGGACGAGCGAGCTCATCTGCTTCGTTCTGTCGAGCGTCTCGTGGCTCTTCACGTTTTGGTCCCTGCTCGGAATTCTTTCTTTGTCCGTGGTGGCTCTGGCATTGACTACTCGAAGGAGGAGCCGGATTGGAGCTCCGTGAAACCGGTCACCGATACCTTCAGACCTATTATTCGCGAGACATCCATCGGCCGAGGAACATCGCCTTCCGACAGTAGCACTACTGGTACCTCTTGGCGATCGATCGAACTACTTCCGGAGCTGTTCGACAATGCTGTCCGCGCTGTCCCGAGGGACGACTTCCGGCGCCAGACTCTGGAGGCTCCTTGGTTAGAAACCTTGTTTGTGGCAGTGGCCGAACTCGCTTATTCCACTGCAAAGGAGGCTGAACCCGATTCATACTCCACTCGGTTCATTGTCGTCCTGGAGGATCTTCTTCGGATTGCGCTTCACCGAAAGGTCGGCCTGTCATTGCAGACGATTCTCACGCATGCCGGCTACACTGGTCTCCTGGAGCAAGGGCTAGAGCAAGTTCAATGGAATGTCACAGGTTTGATGATCAGTCTGGGCGTAGATATCTTCTTGCCCAATTCAGGGCTGCGGGATGCCAGCAAGCTGCTTGATGCCCTGCTTGACAAGATCATGCTTTACTGGCGTACTCACGGTGCATGTGGTTCTACCGAGTACGATATCATCAAGTCTGACGTCGTTATTCCCCTTTTGCGTGGCTTTGCGGATGCGAGAGACTTGTCCACCTTCATGGAGACGTGGCATAATCAACTAGTCATCCTCGAAGAAGCTCGCGTTCGCAACGAACAATTTTCAGCGTTCTCTGTATGGGAGGATGACGACTTGTGCGACGCCTTCTCGGAGCTTACACGGACCTCATTGAGTGTCGGTCACTTCTATGCCCAACTTCAGACTGCTGCAACAGAAACGCGTGCAGATGACGGTCAGATTTCAATCTCCGCGAGATCTTATGCAAAGTTTGTGATCTTGGAAGCCACTCTCAGGAGCAAGGTAGCCGCAACAGAGGTGGACAATCATTTGTCACAAGTACTTGAGACTTTGAAGTCCACGCTCATATCAAAGCAAACGTTCCACTGGCGCTGGCGTCTATGGCGTTTCGTTCGAAATCTCTTGCAAACCAATTTTCGACTCGCTGACAACCTAGCGGGCGAAGTGTCAAATACGTTTGTCCCCGTGGCTGTAAAATCACTTCATAGAAACCTCAAGAACCTTGCCAAAGCCCCTTTGGCGCACCTTGAAGCCTGGGAAAACTACCGGCTTGTCCTGGTCATGCTGAAGGACGCACCCACTGGCGAGCACTTGGATGCCTTTACAAATGCGAACAAAGACGTCATCAAATTTATCACGTCGGTGTCTGCAGAGGATGCTCAAGCCCAAACAGAAGCACCCTGGTCCGGCCGCATTGAGACACTGCGTTCGTCCACGGCCCTCGCTCTCGCGTTCCTTCTGGCGCTTATCAGAGAGCCGAATGTTTGGGAGCTGATCTCAGCTGAGCAGCGCACATCTATCTTCCAGCAACTTATGTCACTTGCTGCTGCCGAGTATCCTTCATCTTCCCACACATTGGAGCACATCGAGCAGCGCGCACGTTTCCTTCAAGCCTGGGCCAGTGTTGTCTGCCATGAATATTTGCTCGCTGTGCCCTTGCTTGTTCCCGACCTTGTCATGTTGCTTAGCAAGCATATGGAGGAAGATGGTGCAAACCGTCGATTTTACGTGGAAAGCATGCAACGCATCCCATCTTCATTGATCACCCGTGGCCTTCGGACGATGCTCCTTGACAAATCACATAATGTGATTATTCGTCAGGGCGATGCTTTGGAAGTCACTTTGGGCCTCCTGACCATGATGGCCAAATTGGCAGCCATGCCGAAGTCTGATGCTATTATCACCGGTGACTGGGAGCCACTTTGGGCGGAAGCCCGTGTGATCTCTTTGAATGGTACTGAACTTGACTTGCAAGTCATGAAGGCCTTCCGCAGCCTCTATCGTGCAGTCATTGCCAAGTTGCTGGTCCTGTCGAATGACGAGCGAAACGAGGCATTCAAGAAACTCTACACTCGGGTCTCAAAGCAGGCAAATAAGCTACGCCAGATCGAAAGGAACTCACTAGCTTGTTTTCTGCTTCGCCTGTCCTTGTCCGAGCTGTGGGCTCATCGCAAACAGTTGAGCAAGGCCGTCAAAGAGGACGAGTTTGCAACTTGTCGACAGCGTGTGTTTGACCTCGTCTTGGCAGATGTGCGGGCGGTCAAGGACCACTGCAGACAGCATAAACTGGAAGAGACAGTGACCCTGATCAAGACTATCGATGCATTGGAAGACTTTGAGGATCTCTCGATGAACAACATCGAGGTCGAGAAGTTTCTCAGCAAGCTGGAGCGGTACATGGAAAGTTCGATTGACTCAGCTCCGTCGCGCATGATTCGTCGCCGCTTGATGGCCACCAAGGGAAATGACCAGGAAAGCTCCACAAAGGCGGTGCTGCAGTGTGCGGAAACCCTCACTCTCCGATCACTGTACGCTGAGGATCAACAACTTTTCATTCGAGCGACCACGGAGCGTTTCCAAAATCTGACCCAGGAACAGATTGGCGGAGTTATTCGAGAGATCCGTGAGCTTGGATTAACTGGGGAGCAAGCTGCAAACCGCCTGCTTGTCGTCTATCTTGCTGTCATTTCTCTGACGCCCGTGGAGGATAAAGAGAACGCCGTCTCTCGCGAGCTGTCTCTACTCAGTCAGTCTCTCACAGACAGTCTAGTGCACAGCAAGACGATCGATCAATTTTGCTTGGCGGCCGAGACCTTAGGTCTTCTTCTGCGTACTCACACTCGCAGTGTGGCCCAGTGCAACGTGGATGATTTGCTCGCCGCTATCGCCACCGCTGCTTCAAAGCAAGGTCCCCATATCTCCCCCGAATATGCTCCCACCATCTACACACGCCTCTGCCGCTTGATGGGTCTGGTTCTGAACCTCCAGCGCGTGAAGATCGGTGGCCGATTCCACCTCGTGGTCACAGCCATGCAGCGATTGCTCGGCTGCCTCTTTGCCCGCACCCGCAAGCGATCCCGCTCTGGTCGGGCTGCAGTTATTTCCCAACCATTCTGGCTCGCACCCCTGGACACCTCCCACGCCACCCATTTCACTCGCCTTCTGACATCGCTCAGCGATCCTACAGTCTCCGCAGTGCTGCGGTCTCAGTCCGGTTTGTCTCGCGACGCATTGACCGACGAGACGAAGAAAGCGAAACGCATCGCTGGTCAGTACTTGCAGTATGTCATCACGGCGTACATGCAATGCTCCCTTCGCGGCTCGCTCGTCCCTGAGGTCAAGAATGCCCTGATGCCGGGTCTGTACGCGGCGCTGGATGTCATGTCTCGGGAGTCTATGCGAGCGATGAACGCTGGCTTGGACGCGTCGGGTCGTGCGGTCTTCAAGTCGCTGTATGATGATTACGTCAAGTTCGGAAAGTGGAACAATGTTTAAGTTGTTTCACCTCCGGTTTTTTGCGGCGTTTTGTTTCTTCCTGGTTGGCTTTCAATTTGCATTGACTTGGCCGTACTTTTTTTGCTTGTACCATAGCTCGCTGTTCACCATTATCCATAGATCCATGATATCCCCAATCGCATCGGTGACCCTTTTCCAAGCTTTTACTCAACTTGCATACCCCACTACCTATCACTTCCGCTCTTACGAGCATGTTGACGTATGATTTTTGCATCCAAATCAGTCGGCTGTTGAAGGTCACATTAGTGATTCGGGACTACATAACTTTTCTTGACATGAAAACTATACGTGTATGAATTGGAAAGAAACAGCCAAAGCTACTAGTATGATGCAAGCAAGGTTCAAATTCTATATGGTTAAAGCCAACAATTGTCTAGAGGGCGAGAATTGTCTATAAGAGAGAGAAAGAGGGAGGAGGGGGGGTGTGGGGGTATCATTGCATATCGTGAATCATGAGGCTGAGCAGGACCAACTCAAAATAATAAAATAAAACAAAAGACCCACAGTCCTGCGACATGAATGCTGCCATCTTTGGGGGGGGGGGGGGGGGGGGGGGGCAAAAATTAAATCATAGAGGGCCTGGTGGTCGCTTGAACCGGAGAGGACATGGACGTGTTCCCCCATGCAAAGGATTGGACAGGATAAAAGTCAGCGGCCGGGCCTGGTATAATGCCGGATGAATGGCCATTTTCTCTGGTGTTGGTATTTGGAGCTGTTGTCGCCGGTGGCTCCAGAGCTACACCGTTATGGCCACTGTGCGTCAGACAGCCAACACAGCTACAATCGTTGCCGCATTGGCAGCTGCCAGTGACATCGGAGCAAGTACTTGGGATACCGACTGGGTATTCGATCGTATAATATTCACCAGGATGCATAAGGGGCTGATTGATAGTATGCCCCGGAGGAAGAGGCGAAGAGTAGCCACTTGGGAGGGTCGAAGGTGGGTTGGAGTATGACAAAAGAGAGTCCGGGTGGCTGATCTGATTTACCGCGGGTGTCTGTTGCACATAGAAATTGAAAGGCGGTTGGGCGCTGATTTCATGTATTGACGTGTCTGCAAAATTACTGGCATTGGCCGCCAGATCTGGTGAGTGATCACCATCATCGAAAGTCATCAAAACGCCCATCTCCTGAACGTGTTGGCGGGTGGTGCTGTTGAAAGGATGAGCGGCACAGCCAAGGCATTGACAGTCGTCTCCACAATTGCAGTCGAGACCGGCGCTGTTGCCGAAACCTCCTGCAGGAGCCTGGGTGTGATGAAGATCCATTGCGAATCCCATACTCTGAGGGGGAATTGCGAGCCCATTTGCCGACTGTCCGTTCGTAAACACCGGGGGCGGCTGGGAATTTTGCATCCCATAGGACGAAAATGATGCTGTGTGTGTTGCTAGTAAAGGGTTTTGCCACGATTGAACATGTGGACTCGAGGAATTCAGATGATGTGATGAATCCCAAGTGGGATGCCGGTGTGTACTTGAAGAGTGGTCGATGATGTTGCCGTTTTTCATCATACCCCGAGCATCTTTCTCCACATCACAACAAGTCTTGGGTACATCTGAAGGCGGCGCGAGGACGGGTTCCTCTCGGGGCTTCTTCTTGGAGCAACAGCTGGATCCTTGGTCTGATCTCGCGAGTATTTTTGTGCCGGGCGATGCTTGGAAGATATCTGGGTCCACAAGATTGAAGTTTGCTGATTGAGGCAACGTTTTGTCAGGCAAATGGAAGTTCTCCTCTTCAAATTTGAGGTTTTCGGGCATCGTCTCGAAGGCTTTGGCGAAATTCTGAGGGGTAGTTTGTATCAGGCTTTGTTTCCTTCCTGGTTTTTGTATTCGCCCGAGCGAGGGTGATGACGTCGAACTAGACGGGGTCTGCGGCGCATCACCATCGGTTGCAGGGACCCTGTAGAGCGGGCGACAGAGACAGCTTGACCCTGTGGAGTGCTTAACATGGAGGTACGGACTAGATACCGGAGAGACTGGATCTACCTTTGGGAATTCGCACCATGAAGGCGTATGTTTTCTGGCAACTGCATGATCCTTTTGGATGGGGACACTTTGCCAAAGGTCGGCCGGCTTTGGGCACCTTCATCATGAGTCGGTCGAAGTGCTGGCATTTGGAGGAGCGATGTCCTCGAATGCAGGGTTCGCTAGAGGATCGACCGTTAGCGACTGAGACTGCAATCGGGCTAGGTCCAACAAAGATCTGATCTCGTACCAGGACCATTTGGCACCTTCTTCGTCAAGAGGCATGGCGGCGAAAATGGGTAAACTTGGCTGACCAGCAAGCCCTAGTCCAGATGATATTTTGAAGATCGACCAATGACGATGTCCGGCCCCACGGTAACGCAGATCTGGTGCTTTGACAGGCAAACGACAGTTTTTTTTCCTCTAAAGTTTTTGCCTTCCTGGGGATTCTCTGTGAATTTGCGGAAACGAGAGTATTCACGACATGTACGCTCGAGATCTTCTGACTGTTCCTGTGGGGTCTCACAAAAGGAGGGTCGAAATCCGGGATTTAACGATGATGAGGAGCCGCGGACTTGATCATGCACGTTGTAAGGACGTTTCAGGGTACTCAAATATCGGATGACGGCGTCTGGAGGAGGGAGCCTCTCGGTCATCACACGTGGTAGTGCAATATTGATCGATTGACCAGGCCAGGTGAGAAGAACTTCTTCAGATTCGATGCGGGGGGAGGGACGAGAGATTACCTAATCCAGCAGCCCGAGACGGTCCCGAGTCCCGACTGTAGTAGTACTTTAGTTCTCCGACAAGTCACCAATACTCCCGAGGTTCTAGCCCCGCCAGGGCCGGAGAGGCGCCAGCTCTGGGAAGTCGAGCACTTGGTTTTAGGTAGGTGCTTGGGACGGGTGCGGTCAGCGGTACTAGCAAGTACCCCTTACTTACGCCTCCAAAGAGGTACCTTCATTCTACCGTTACAAGTCTCGAGGTTGAAGGCGGAAGGGTCTCCGCCGAAGAAGTTACCACAAGTAGTTACTTCGAGGGAGGCCTCGGCGCTCAGTACAAAAGTGTCCATCTTTCTATTTGAAACTTGTACTTGCAGACTACTGCTACTCGACCTACGCTCATGCATCCGGGCATGCACCGTACCTGTTCAGGGGCCACAGAACATCTTCCGTCCCCGAGACGGTCTCTGTAGGGCTGGTAATCAGTCTCTGCACTGGAATCTTGGTTTAGTGTAGGTTAGTTCAAGGCTGTAGGAATTGCAGAAAACAAAGATTTAGTTGGAGCCGTACATTTTCAGAACGGCTAGTAGCTAACGAAAGTTAGAAATCACGTGTCGGCGCGAGTATCATGAGCCTTTTCTGCATGAGCAATGTTAGATCATTACTTATCGAGTTGTTTTTCAACACTCCAGATTAATTTCTTATTTCAGCGCTTAATTGAATCATACTGCCAGGAGTTTATTTCGACAATTGAAGTTGGTCGAATTCATGTGAGGCAATCGGCAGGCACCAAGATACTGCTTCATGTGACAACGCCGGTAGCGGCGCCATTTACGCGTGATGGAGTTCTAAATGGATTGAATAACTGTATTTCCTCACGTCGAAGCAGCTATGAGCTAACAAGACCAATGGATGAACTTGATTCACTGTTATTTCTTGCAAGCCACCGGAAGAGTACCCCCCAAAACCTCGAGGAGAATACCGTTTCTAATTCTCTCTACAGAGGGTACTGGTAGCTAGTCAACACTGGATCAGCCATATAGTGAGTTGAGAAATCTATTTTGCTGGCAAGGTACTTACTTAGTCCTACTTGTCGTTTATCGGGCTGAGCGACTTATGTTCCCCTAGGTCAAAGGGTCGCCAAGTGGCAAGTACTAGTCCAAGAAAGGCTTCCAGGTGTTGGATTGTCTGCCTGGTAGCTTTATCTATCTAGTGGCCAGAGGAAGTCCTATAAAGAACAGGGCAGGAAGGTACTTCCATTGTCAACTTCACACTATGAAGCCCCAAGAGAACCTAGCTTCAAGCTCGTACTCATGGGGTACCGGACCCTAACATAGGTACTCAGTAATGGTCGGATCTGTCCGTTAGAAGGGCACATCCTTTTCTCAGGCACCAATTATGATCCCAATATGAGCTTTATGTATACCGATTTTACCGAGTCTAACTGTATTGTCGACAACAGGACGATTGCAGGACTTTTTGACTGGGAAATGGCTGGATCTTCTGGCTGAAGGACTGCCGGAGAAGTCCACCGTCGTATCAGAACCCCACAAGTTACAACGAGAGCATTTTGTAAGTGCCAACTTGAGGGAGGAAAAACTCCAGGATATGTTGTTCTGGAGTAACATATATGGTGGTCTGCCAGAGAACTGAGCGAGAGATTTTCCTAGTTCCCTGGTTCCCTGGTTTTAAGGACCGTTTTTGTGCGGTTGTATCTACTTCGTTGAGGCTTTAGTTCCGAGTCGGAATACAGTAATACTCTTGTGTAACGTGTTCAAGTCTTAGAGGCGTGAATACTATGAGTGTTTGGATGCACGACGCGCACGTATTGGGGGAGATACTGCTCCGAGCCTCCTGCAAGAAATGAAAAAGTCATCTCCAGTGACTAATTTCTGAAGTGTAAAAGCTATAATAGACCCAATTCCGACACCACATCTATAGGACCAGATGGCCAATCAGCCCGTACAGGAACCGTAGTCTGTACACCTGAGGCACTGATGGATCCAACGGGAGCCTCACAGGCTCACAGCGCATTCCACGAGGACCGAGCTTGGCATCCACGGACAGGTCGATCTTCGCCGCGGCAACAATCCTTGGAGCTTTCCCACCATCAACAATCGAACCCGCAATGCCCACACCGACCAGCGATGGATCACAAACGAGCAGCGGCCCTGCATCATTCCTGCGTATTCCACCGCCTCTGAAAAGACTATTCGACCGGTTCCCTCTAACGACGTATCCCGCCAATGATCTACCCCATCGGGTTCCATCGAAACGCGCCGACAACCAGCTCTTTGTGTTCAGCGATGCCGCGGGGGCGCGGCGAGGCCGCCCGTCCTTTAATCCGCAATGTCTCAAGTGGCAGGTTCGTCGCATGCGATCAAACCCGCTCAGATCAATCGGCGCATCTGTTCCTAACTTCTCAACGGATAGGCCTACCTGAAATTTGTCGGCGTCGACTTTGAGATTACCCCTTCCAACAACCATGCCTCGCCGACTGGCGCTCTCCCTTTCCTCCTGCCCGCCTTTCCCACAGAAGCAGCGGTCACAATACCCTCACACAAGTTGCAAAAATGGGCGATTGAGCAGGTTCACTGTGAAGAGGAACAACAGCTGGACCTCCGCTTTGATGTGTACGCATCACTGCTGGACCATCGGATACGTAATGCTTGGGTATGTTCATCCGCTGGCTGGCCTAGCTAGTGCTTATGAAGCTATACAGCGTACTCGTACTGACACTGTCCTTCAGCTCTACACGCTATACCTCGATGATGCGAACTTCAAGTCTGTCGCGCAACGACTCTACGTGAACCCCTCCACCACCTCCTCGCTTGTCCGAGCCAGTCTTGCCTTCCAACTGCAGCAGGCTGCGCGCGACGAATTGCTCAAGACAACTTCCTATATCGACGTCGCTGCCATAGAAGGAGATGCACAGAATGCCTTTGAGGCGCTCTCTACGCTTCTAGCCGAGAATGAGCACTTTTTCGGTCGCCCGAACCCCGGCCTCTTCGATGCGGCGGTGTTCGCATATACACATCTCATTTTGGACGAAGGGTTGGGGTGGAAACACAATAGGCTGGCTCAGATGCTGCGACAGCACACCAACCTTGTACAACACCGCGAGAGACTGCTGAAATTTTTCTAAAAAGAACTTTCATACTGTATTATTTTGTCACCGGAGCAGAGACAGCAATGCTTCCCCTACTATCTATCTCTCCGATGTCTTTTTGCTAAAACATACCCCGAACCACACTGTGATTCCAATCCATTTCCTCGCTCTCGGACCTAGTTCTCCAGCTAGATCTTCGTCAATGGCCCGTTCCCTGACTCCACCGTTCGAAGCCTCCTGTCGAAAAATATCTTCCATCTGGAACCCGGCCGCTTCTGCCGCGCTTACTATCTCCTCGATCGAGTGGCAGTAACTGGTAGGTCGAATCTTGATCCCACTTTGGGGATCAGTAAATCCGGCTTGGCTGCGAAGACCCATATCTGCATGCATGTTGGTAAGCAACAAATACCCCCCGGGACACATCGTCGCAGACGTAGCTTGGAAGAATTGCCTGAGGGGAGCGTGCTCCAACACAAGTGTGCATATCACCCCAGCTGCGCCAGTGTCCCGAAGTAAAGGCGGCAACTGTGTCCGTAGCGCCGCAGGCTGAAGCAGAAGATCGATAGTACCCAGCACCACCTTTGGACCTGTATACCTCGGGTTGGCAGGAGCGCCCCCAGCGCCCATGGCTTCATCAATGGCGGACCGCGCAACTTTCAGCATTCCAGGTGAGGCATCCAAGCCGATAACGTGCACATTTGGAACGGGAGGACCATCTGGCTTTGAGGTCGTCTCTTCTTGTTCTTGGACTGCAAGCGCATTGAGTAATTGGATTGTATTCCGGCCCGTCCCACAGCCTAGATCCAACAGAGCCATGCGCTCAGATCGAGTGGGCTGATCATGGAAACGTGCATAGACGCACTCGAGGAATCGAGGTAGTATTCGTTTCATCTCCATTGTGTCAAGGCGCTGGAGAAAGTTGCCATCGGTGTCGTAGACCTGCTCTCACTGACAAATCTTAGTGATTTCAACAATCGCCGTGCAGGCTTTCAATGTCTATGAGCGAAATTGAGGTCCCAGTAGAGAATACCGAGACTGGACTGACTCCAGCTGGAAGATACAGCCTGGACGGGGTCCATCTTGGACAGCAATCAACGCAGCCCAGTACTGCATAGTGCATACAAGATTCCATAGTAAAACCAAGATGCAAAAAAGAGGTAGGGAAGTACCAAAGTACCTGCTAGATAACATACCTCGGCCCATTTATCGTACGCCTCCACCGTTCCCAAATATCGCACCGATTGAGAATCAGAATGGCCATCCTTCTCAGCCAGCATTTCTTGAATCGTCTTCATGATTTCGTCAGAGTACAAATGAAGGTAGTGATGAATAGGCTCGTTCGTTGAGCCCGATCTCTTCCCAGGCGGAGAATAACCGAGGTAATCGCTGGTCGCCCGAATTGAACTCAATCGACACAAGAGAATGCAAGCATGACTTAGACCACATTCAAGAGTCTCACGTGGCGAAGCGATCCTACACATAACACACTTCTTGGGTTGAGAACGAATGCCCTGAAAAGTAAAGAGTCATCCATCCTAGCCTCCCGTAGATTCAAGCTCGTCCGAGCGTAAACCTTAAAAGCATGGATCGATCCGTACTCGCTTCCAAAAAGGGACCCCGAGTCCAAGTCACTGACTCATAACTGTAAATGTGAACTACATCGATGCTTGACGAAGCACGTGCAGGACATTAAATAGAAATTCGAACGTATTGGTGGAAGACAAGTCCAAATCGACTTGTCACATGCATCTCAGTTCAGTTACGCTGGACTGGGACAAGATCTCAGGACGGGGAAACGACTCGTGTAGATCTACTCGTGTACGCAGTATAAGCTTAAATACGGAACCTGGTTAAAGTCTGACGTGGGAAGTAAGGCCGAGACCGAGGGTTTTCAGTTGCGAGCAAGGCATTGCGGCCTTTTCAGTTATAGCCCCATCTTCTTCAAGGTCGGGAGATGAGACATAGGGCGCTCCTGTGCACCGGAAGGAGTTGTGGGAAAAGGTGAATCAATTTTTCACCGCGAGCAACTCTACGAGCTTGAAGTTGGAGTATCAAGGAGACTTGGGTCAATCTTGAATCGTGGATTGGTATTGCGGAATATTCCAGTGTCGGAAAGAAAAGAAAAAGGCCGAGCCATTTACCTCAGCCGATAACAATAAAGCTTCCTAGGAGAACATAGAGGGAACGATCAAAAACGACAAACAGGTCCAACAAGCAGGTCAGGAACGATCATAAAGAGAATGTAAGAAAGGGAAGCGTCATATGTCGAAGAGAAAGAAAGCAATACTTCGTCAGAGTCTTGGCCTTCGTCATCACGCCGTACCAGACGGGTACACTGAGCTCGCACAGAGAAAAGGAAAAAGGTATGTAAAGCAGCGCTAAGGAAACAGAGAAGGGAGGAAAGATCAAAGTGGTATCGAGAGAAGGAAAAAAGGAGGAGCGAAGAATGAAAAAGAAAAGAAGCAGAAATAGACAGATCCCGATCCAACTCCAAGCCCGCGAGATAAAAAAGAGTTGGCAAATCTCGTCAGGATGATGATCTTCCAATCGACCGTTACCATGCACACGTATGCAGTCTCCGCCTGAAGAGAGAGAGAGAGAAAAAAAGAAAAAGACAAAGGGAACAAGTTCAAAGTCAGTAAACGGTAGCTCCGAAAGGCGCCGTTTCCTTCAAGTCTTCAACCAAGTCTTCCACATTGTTGAGGTATCGGCCCAAGAGGGCTTGTTTCTCATCCGTCGTTCGTGTACCCCGACCCGATCGACCAGAAGCAGCAGAGGTATGTGAGCTTTGAGACATGGGTCTTGCGGAGATCTTGCTGGGGCTGCGCTGCAAGGGTGGTGGGCTCGAGCTGGGTCCAAGAACGGGGGTTTCGGGCATCAAGTAGAAGTACAGAAACTCGACGAGCTTTAGTTTCACTTCGCGGGATGTCGCGCGCTGTTTGAACAGAGATGTCACGGTGAGGAGGCCATCGAGATCCTCGAATGTGCGGGTATTGGCGGGGCAATCGAGGAGAGCGGTCACCAGAGTGAGGAGAGTGGCAGATTGAATGGCAGGACAATTGATCGGGTCGAGCAGATCGAGAAGAAGATTCATGTAGATTTCACGGGCGAACAGCGAGCGGGAAGGTGGGTGAAGAAGGAGGGCGCCTTGAATCAGGTCCAAAGTGCAGACGATAAGCATATCGTTGGTTCCACTACTACCGCGTCCGAGCAAGTGCTCCAAACACGCCACTAAGCGCATTGCGACTGTTGATGTCAACGTTAGCGTCGCAAGCTTCCACGAGAGACTGTCGGTTCCGCAATAGAGGGCTGCCTGTATGCATGGCTTAACTCACCATTCCACTGGAAGCTCTCCTGTAATTTGAAAAACTCTCGGAACGCAGGGTCATCGCGCAGTTCCGACAAGCCTTTGGGTGCTGGGTGAGCTTCGGTCGTCATGTATGACCGGCGACGGTCGGCGGTGGATTTGGATTTTGATAGACATATTTGTGCCAAGAGGCCCTCGACTTGACGCAGACCTTTGCGAACCTTACTAGGCTCGTATGAGGAGAGGTAATCAAAGGAGTGTGCGAGTAGAGTCTCCATTGAGGAGGGTGTGGGCAGTGGCGGTGAATGGAAAGGTGGAGTTGGATGGTGGGGGACTAGAGAGATATGTAACTTCCAAGGTTGGAGGAGCTGTCGGTGGTCGAAAGACACGATTTGTAGGGAGAGGGAACACCTCGATCATAAAAGAAGTAAGCGCCAGGAACTTTAAAAGCGGATTCACAGCTGACGATCAGATCCGCTGTGAAAGCTCAGCTGAGGAGGCTGGAGCATTATGATATCAAGAAGAGAGAGTGTGTAGAAAGGGAAGACGGAGAAAAAGAAAAACAGAGAAAATCCAGGCCAGAGGGAAAAATTAGCAGCAGACTGTGTGAGAATCCCGAGAGTCGGGGGTGGTCCGTGAGAGTCAGGGCCGGTGATGAGGTCAGTCGGGCCGCAAGTCCTGGCAGTCAACAGTCGACAATCATCATAACATCAGCATTCCAAGATCTGTTGTATCAACTTTGATGATAATGATCGTGGGTCAATGCAAGGTTTAAGCGGCTATCTGCACAATCCAAGAACCAATGATCCACGATTATCCCTCAGCCAGGGCAGCGTCACACCGTCACCATGATGCTCCAGGGCCCAGCCACGGTAAGGTGGTAAATAAAGTGACCCGAACAGGCAGTTTGGCTGGTTGCCCCGGACGACCCACCCGATTCCAGTCCACGCGCTAAGCCCCTTTGGGCCTCCAAGTGCTTCTTCAGCCTCTTCCAGCCTCCTCTTTTATCCCAATCCTGTCTAGACTCGTAGCATTGCACACTTACACAGTCGCTTAAGTTTGGAGCGACGGGGATTGGGCATTCAATCACGCCAGTCTACTGCAATGTATTATTTTCTCCCTAACAATGTAATATTTTTTGATCAGCTTTCCTTTGAACTTTTAGCTAGCAAGGCATGAATCTTCACATGGAGTCCATATATTAGACCTAATGGCGTCAGATAAAGGTTATTTTGACAGGTGGCTCAAAAACCGGTTTTGATTCAATCTGGGGGTGATGAACTGGTAGTCTGGTCCAGTGGTCCTTATGTTTTTTGCGGGTTGGGAAGTCTGCCAGGACTGACCGATGAGGTAATCGGTTTCAGGTCCGGTTCGAGGAACCAGTACCTGAGCTTGATAGCAGTCCTGTACATAGTTGCGCACAGAGAATCCGTAAAGATGTCACAATACTTTGCCGATGAATCTCACCGTGATACTAGAGTCCAGCCTGCTAGTATCTTCATGATCACGACGGTCAGGATCATCACGCAGCCCATTGAACTCAACCATTCTACACCGCCCTCCATCCCACCACTCCCTTTGCTGTTCAAACGCACGGGGTCGCCGAAACATCACACGTTGCCTGGGCAAAAATGCGCGCCTTACAGCCAGCCTTCTGCTACGTGCTGTTTGGGCCCACTTGAATACTCTCCTCACTTGTCACCCATCACTTGAGCCATTGTGAAACATATATATAATATATTGATTCCGCTGGATTTGGCAGTTGATGGACTCAGTATTCTTTGGAAGCAGACTGGAGGCGCACGACAAAATTCATCTGTTAGAGGATACCAGGTGGTAGACGAGTATGCCACAGGGTAGTGACTCAGCGAGTACTGAGTGGACAGACGACGGTCCCGAGACACGAGAGTGCTTGATCAATGGGTCATCAAGCTCGTCTATCTGCGGCAAAATATGGATCTCAAGCGGCTACTGTCTAGCATTTGGCTACCTCGTTTAATGATCTTAAGTGCCCATGTTGTGAAACGCCCGTCTCGGTCGTGGTCGAAAGGAGGAGGAGTATCAAATCCACCACTTTCAGTTCTTGTTCACGGTCACGGAAAGTCATATACGACAATTTGGCGTAGCGAATAAGGTATATCTCGGAGGACATCTGAGGAAGCGGATCTCATTCGCTTCGAGCAAAAAACACGTGTCTCAAGAGACAGACGGGAGCGGCAGAATGAAGCGGGGTCCATGAGATGATGATTCAGAAATGAGCAAGACATGAGGAGTTGATGAGAGGATAACACAAGGATAAGAGAAGATCGCCTTGGCAAGGTTTCCATGATTCAAATCGTAACCTACTATATGTAACTACCTTTCAGACCCCAGAAACCCGGCACTCCGGCATCGTTGTCCAAAGTCACCCCTACCTAGGTCCACCCACGGTTGACAGACAAATTCACGAGCCGGGTCTCTATTTACTCCATGTATGTAGCAATCGTTCCTCGTGTGAAGAAGGGCAGAGATTACTCCGTCTCTCGGCCCTGGAAGCAGCTGGCAGACGAGCGGGACCCGATTTTTCACCTTAATCCGAGGCCTGACGACTGTCTTGAACAGGATGATTATGAGTGGGTAGCAGGGACTTAGGGAGGTAGTAGAGACTGCTGCGTTATCTTCACAGCGACTGGAGAAGTACCTACTGCACACAGTGGACAGTGACCTAAGGATGGATGGAGCCAGCCGAGGCTGGATACATCATCTGAGTGCAGACCATAATGTTTCAATCTTGTTCCCTCAAGAGAGTTGTAACACTGGTGTACCAAATAGTTTCAGTAGACTTTTCTTCAATCTCCGTCTCCCCAGATTCGGGTTGGTCGTTTGAAATACATATCCTCAAACTGACTTCATAGTATCGTGGAAAAACAATTAGCCTGCCCAGTATATTTATAGACGGAGGTGTTTTCAGACCTGAGTAATCTAGAATATGGAAGCCTACGGCGTGATGGATAGGAAATACACCCGCCGTCCACTGCGGACTGGCGTCAATCTCGATACACTAATTGAGGCGAACAAGTCGGATGCATTCCACCTGGGCAGTACCTGGCAAAGATTCTCTACTAGCTGAGTGAGTAGCTCGGCGGTCTTTGGCAAGGTCTGACAAATGGCCTCGCATTGTCTTCTTTTGTTCTTCATTGTCAGGAATTATTCCGTCCCGCCTGTCCTGCCACGGATTTACAAAGGAACTCTGGTTCCCGGCCCTCAGACCTCCTCGAGAGTCAGTCACTAGGCCAACTCAACACTGCTCTTAAGAGTCTCCACGCCATGGCTGGGGATCGATCGATCGGCAATCTCGATCAGGCCCGTGCCCGCCCGCCAAACCCGTTTGGGTCAACGTGCAGGCGCCGACGGGCCCGAACCCTCACTGGAACCTGTTCGATGGCTCACGAGAACAGAGGGCGATGGGAAACACCTCAGGAAGCATCTATACATATGCACACCTTTCCTGTTACACCGCTGCCTGTAGAATGTTTGGTGTCAAGTCAAGTGTCAGTACTGATAGCCTTATTTGGTGATTTCGGCTCAACGTCCCAGTCACTCAACACCTGGACATCCCCCCTCGAGCCATCACGATCAATCATTCCAGTTGGGCTGATATGAGATTTGTACGACTCGACTACCCCGAGTGAGCTCGACGGTGGTGATCATAACGAGGGAGTGACTCCCAGTCGAGTCCAGACGAGAGCAATCTTATCTGTGTATGTATCGTGTAAGCATGGGCCTGTCAGAGACCTGTGACAGGTCGTCTAGGTCAGTCACCGCACTCTTCAGGTGTACACTGTCTGCCCACGTTAAAGCATGTCTCTCTCACGTGTCACCAGCGCGCAATAGTACAGTCAGGACAGCTAGGCAGCATGGAGGGATAGGTAGAATGATCTGGATAGTGTCCTATCCGTCTCACATCTTCTCCAGATCGAAAGGATCCGTTCCGAAGCATCCGCTCCAAGATCATCGTCGTTGATAGCGGGATTGTTGTCCAAGATGGCCAGGCACATGCAAGTCGATTTGGCAAAGGAGCGGGGGCTGGATGGTCCCGCCAGCCAACCCGGAATCCCGGTTCTTCCCCTCGTCTTCGATCCGACTCCACCGCGTGCCTGTGCGGCCAGATAAACTTGGTTGATGTCATCTTTTCTGCCCTCCCCGCAGTCCTCTCAAAAACTTCAAGTGCGCAAGAATTCTCGGAACACACAACGCTTCCCGTCTGTTTTCTCTTTGTCTTACACAGACATGAGCTCTGAATTCCAAGCTACGAGCGCAATGCCATCGCAGGAATCTTCTGCGGAAGCCGCAAATGGATCGGTGAGCGCGTCCTTGGAGGAGACATCTCCGCTCGACAGCGACATGCCCTCCAAGCCTCAACATCGCCGAAACAGGTCCAGTGTCGACGGCACCAAGTACAAGGATGGCACCTGGTCGGCTAAGAATGAGAAGATCCTGATGGGTCCTTACGACTATATGCACGGACATCCTGGCAAGGATGTTCGTCGTCAATTGATCCAAGCCTTCAACTCATGGCTTCAGGTTCCTTCAGAGAGCCTGGCAGTCATTGACAAGGTTGTCAGGATGCTTCACACGGCGTCTCTACTGTAAGCGCTGCACCATAGACCCTTCCCGCGGCTTGCAACTATCTCTCACCATGAGAAGAATCCTGTTGACGAAGCCCTTCCCCATCCAGAATCGATGATGTTGAGGACTCCTCCGTCTTGCGTCGCGGCATTCCCGTCGCGCACAACATTTTCGGCACAGCACAGACCATCAACTCGGCCAATTACGTGTATTTCTTGGCTCTACAAGAGGTGCAACAGCTGAACAACCCAGCGGCGATTGACATTTACGTGAAAGAGCTTCTGAATCTCCACCGGGGCCAAGGCATGGATCTTTTCTGGCGTGACACGCTGAGTTGTCCCACGGAAGATGAATACTTGGAGATGGTTGGCAATAAGACCGGTGGTCTTTTCCGACTGGCGGTCAAGCTCATGCAAGCCGAGAGTTCTACCGGCAAGGACTGTGTCGCTCTGGTGAACGTCATGGGTCTGATCTTCCAGATCTGCGACGATTACCTGAATCTGGCAAACACGACATATACGAAGAACAAGGGCATGTGCGAAGATTTGACCGAGGGCAAATTCTCGTTCCCCATCATTCACAGCATCCGTTCCAACCCTTCCAACCACCAACTGCTGGCCATCTTGAAACAAAAAACTCAAGATGAGGAGGTGAAGCGGTATGCTGTTCAGTACATGCACAGCACAGGTAGTTTTGAACATACCCGTCGAGTCGTGCGGGATCTGCATGAGCGGGCATTGGCGTTGATCCAGGTGATTGACTCGACACCCAAGGTCAATGGTGCCGGTGATGGCCATATGGTGCGAGCTGTCCTGGATAAGATTGTCAACACAACGTTATCTCCGGCCGAGGACGAGATTATTGGTGGGCAGTAGAGCATTGTTTTCAAGCTGTTACGATCTCTGCCTCGTGGACACGTGAGGGGTTGTTAATACATGGGGTGAGATGTCGTTCAATCATTTGAGATACCATTGATTACATTTTTGGGACTAGGGGGTGAGTCCGACTTTTGAATATTCATGTACGCCCGCACTGTGATTTTTCCTGTTCCAGGGACAGTTCATATATCCTTCCAATCTGAATATCCAATTCTTGCATGATGAATTGAAAGGTAGAAGATCCAAACCCTGAACTGCCAAATAGATTGGTCTCAGGTTCGTACACCCAATGTGTGTGGTTGTAAGCCGCCGAAGCTGTCATTACAAGTCTCGTGACGCATTGCAGTGTACTACAGTCCAGGTTCTTACACGCTGAAACTCGCCAACGTAATGTCCAACCACGGGACCAGACCGGGGCTGATTGAGATAGAGCAGAACCGACAACAAACCTAAACGGATGAACCATCAAAATATATGTCACGGGACCGATGGACAGACATTGCACAGTCCTTCCATCTGAAAGAGGTATGTATCTCTGTCCTGCATCTATATCAACAGGCTTCAGGAGCCCCCGAAAAATGTACTCTTCACGCAACGAATTTGCCCCCTTCGTGAAAGTCCTTCATCCACAGACCGAAAATATCCCGTCGTATGTTCATCTAGATCTTCCAAGATATCCAACCAGCATTACCCAGGATAAAACACTTTACATGACCACACAGCACGCTTTCTCCAGCTTGCGCACAATCTTAGTAACCAGCTGCTCCACCTCATCCTGTTGCTGCGGCTGTTGCTGTTGCTGCTGGTGATGCTGTTGCTGCGGCTGCGGGCGATACGGTTGTTGTTGCTGCTGGTGATGCTGACCCGGGTAGGACTGGCCACCACCGTGATGAGGAGCTTGGGGCCCGGGGTACGGTGGCATGACGGCCTCGCCACCGGTCAGATTCACGTAGATTCGACCGGCGTTCTCCTCGGTGGCGTATTGCAAGCCCAGTTCACGGCAGATTTGTTCGACACGAGGCTTGATCTTCTGGACGTGGCCGGCAGAGTGATTACCTTTGCCGACGATCCTGTGTGGACGCAGAGCCAGAGGTGGCAGAGTTAGCTAGGGACGTTCGCCTCACGAAAAGGGGGCCACCGGCTTGGGGAGTGAAGAGAGATCAAAGTCAAGGGGGGGGGGCAAGATGGCCATCCTCAAGACGTACACGTGCAAATGGTCCTGTCCATGCGCTTTCGCATACCGAATGCGCTCCTCCAGAATCTCCTCCGCCTCTTCCACAAATTGACCGTGCAAGTCGATTGTGTCGGCCTCGACTCGACCATTGGCGTTGTTCTCGCGGAAGATGAATTCGGAGGCCTGCTTGTTATATTCCTCCATCTTGCGACCGTGCGCCTTGCCTTGTTCTGACAGTTCTTTGGCGCGCGCGCCGTCTCCATTGTTGTACGCTTCCTTGGACTGTAATTCGCATCGATCCGGAGAGGGAGTTCGTCAGCAAGATGCCCGGGTCGGATCATGCGTGCGACCTTTGCTATGACCGATGTTCCATGGCAAGAGCAACCGGTCTGTATTGATATCGTACCCGTTGGAAACAGTCGCCTCGCTTCGAGGCCTCCTGTCTGGCGAGCTCGCGCAGACGATCATACTCCTGCTCGGCGTCGTTGCTCTGATCGTGATTGAAGGCTGATGCGAGAGAAAGAGAATGAAAGACTATCAGCCTGGATCATCAAACAGCATGCGAAAACCCATTCAAAAAAACTGGGACGAAGGACGTCATCAGACACACGCGCTCGCGCCCTGGGGACCTTTCGCATTGGTTCGCACACCCAATCTACTTACCGCGATGGCCCAGCTGGGCCATTTGATACGACATTGCGAATTAACGACTGGTCCGAGGTGAAATCCTGCAGAGACAACGACTATCTAGGATCCTGCCAACGGGGGGTGATAGACGACCGAACGCTGCGCGCGATCGAGGTGTTGCGATACGGTGAACTATTTGTTGAATTGGGGGGGCAGTCCAGCCTGGGTTCCGCCCGGGTGTCTGCCCTCTGCAGTAGCCGTCTTCGGCGTCACTTGGGGCGAAATGGTCCAAGCGTGGAGACTGGTGGAGACTGGAGCCAGGCATGCAGTAATAAACGTAGGAGGCTAAATACTATCTAGTTGATATGGTCTACCGATAGACTACTTGGGTATCATGGATCCACCGTATATTTATTTACTGAGACCTACCTAAGTACTATGCTAGGAACTCCTCAGAAAGATGGATGCTTCGCTCCGCCTAGAGAAGAACACCAGAGGCTGTCAAGGAATTACTCGTCGTCTAATATATACTCGGAGATAATCTAGTCCCATGTAGAATCGAGGATCTACCAGGATTAAGTAAATCAGAGAGTATAGACCGGAAGTGTCCTGGCAAAGCTCCGTGAAACGCACGCGGGAACTGGAAATGTAGAAGTTCATCCCCGCGAAGAGAGAGTCCGTCTCGATGGCGGTCTCGGCAGTAGAGGAGAAGGGATTCTCCTGTGTGTGTGCTTGCACTCGTTAACGAAATGATGGAAGGGACGGACGTCGAAGGAGGATGATGAGATTGCCTTGTAGTAGAATCTGACGAAAGAAAGAGAAATGAGACGACGAGTGGACTGTAACCTTGTGAGCTTTGGAAGAGTGGTAAAGACGTGAAGGGGGACGGGGTACCTACTGTAGGGTATGAGGCGTAGGGCGATGTTTGACGCAGATGAAATAAGGATGTGGTTGTTAGGTAGTCTTGTGGGACATTTCTCCCAGAAGGCCTATCGTCGGTATTCTGATACTAGGATCTGTGTTTCGCGCGAATCAGGTTGTGCTCAACCAGCCATTCAATACTCTTCGCCCAGGGCCTCCAACGGGCGAGATACTGAAGCTTCCTGCACAGTACTGCTACCTGAGTACATAAGCTTCCATAGAGGCACTAGGTTGATAGGTTCCAGTCTATCGATATGAGCTCACTGTGATAAAAAAAAAGTCGTGTAGGTCCCATGCCCAGATGGGTCAAAATCTCGAATCTCGAGCCTGATGATATTCCAGCTGGCTCATGGCAGTGTCATACCTCACTGCTTTGGAGTCGAGATTCTAAACCAGCTCCTGACCTTTCCAGCTTTAGTCGAGACCTGGTTTCAGCTTGCATCTTTTCCAATGATGAAGACAGCCCTCGACACGGGCACGTGCAATATAAGCTTAGTGCGCTAACCTCGATGTAAGGGCCTGTGTGGATATGGAGAAAAGATGGAGTCTGCACTTTGTAGGTGATCACGGTAGTGATGACGATGGCTTATTGTTCGTCCTAGGTTCCTAGGGCTGCTACCTCAGCTACTGCTACCACCGGAGCTCTGTTCTCGATAGCAGTCTCAGTCTCGATCTCCATGCCTGGCATGCCGTCAGGTTCATACCCTGAAGAGTTCGTGAAGCGTGCAAAGCCCGTGGCTGAATCCGACGGCCCAAAAAGGCGGCTAGAAACACTAGCAGGTGGGTCAGGAGGCCAATAGTACCACCTTTGGACTTTGGGTTCCAGCAATTCGATGCGTTCGGGACGCTTGGGCGATTTCAGCCCCCCCTGTAAGATGGGTTGTATTGTACTGTACAAGCAGGGTATCATCATTGGCGGAATTGAAGCGGTGGATGAGCTCGCTCTAAGCTTCTTTCCTTTTCGCGACGAACCCGACAGGGATGGAACGGAGAAAGATCTTCGGACAATCGCAATCTTTCCAGGCCCAGTCAGCGGGGGCACCAGTATTTGCATTGATACTGGAATTAGTCTATCATCGAGCACGGTATCTTTCGTGCGAGAGTCCCTGCTCACTGGCCATCTTGCAATTCACAGTGTCAGTTGGATGACCAACGAAACTCGACTGATGTCGGACAATTAAACTGGATCCATTGACCATTGGGGTCAGAGAACCATACAGTAATAAAAAAGGGACCTGACATGGCGTTCTGCGTTCTGACTTTTGACTTTTTGACTACTCAGGTACCATAATATAACACCCACTTATCTCATTCTCCACGTTCCCCTTTTTCCCTGGGCTGGTTTCAGGTGCCCCAGCGGGTCGCCGTCTTTTACCATTCCACCAGTCCGACTCTGCGGTGGCCCGCCAGCATGGAAAAGAAAACTGGTTCTCATTTACTTCTCACGGGCTCTGTGACCATCTCGCGAGTCGCCAGCGGCCAGCCTTCGCTTCAGCCGTAATTGATAGTTACCAGGTAGCTTTGCCACACAGCTCGACACCCTGATCGGTATATCTCCTTTTTCCGTCCGAGGCTCACCAGGTGCAGCCACGACTCCATGATGGGTACCTTTGGACGGTGGTATTTGTTGTCGTCCAGTCGATGACTGTTCCCTGTGTCCACCTCACCTCTGGCAGATCGGCAGACAAAGCCCTGGAACTCAGATTCATTCAGGGTGGAGCAAATTGCCACGAGGGTTTGGCCCACAGCAACTCGTGCGGCCTGGGCCTCCAGAGCACAGCACCAGTGAGTACTCAGTAGGGATACAAAATTTGAGCCCAAATGCTCAAGTCAGGTTGGTGGTAGTGTTGTACGTATCGTGGCCTTTTTGGCTGTATTTCCAGATTCCACCCCGTGCCCCGGCTTTGTTGACATTTAGAACAGTCTAGAAAGACTCCTGTTGCGGGAGAAGGGATAAAAGGAAACAGTTGGGTGGGCACACGGTAAGAGCCGCAACGATGTACCGCTACCACGACCCATCGCGACGTCAAGTACACTCAGTACAGAAGGTCAGGTCGAACATTGAAACGAAGGGGCGACAAAATAAGCCTAGTACTAGAGGTGTTTCTAGAAGGGTTGTCCATCTACAGTAGATGTGAGATGTTTCCCGCTCATGGACGGGAGGGATCGGTTGCGACCGCTGCTGTGGGTGTTTCAGATTATTGGGACTTGGAACGAGATACAATTTGTGCAGTACCTGAGTTCTGGAGGTGGAGCTTACTGCTTACGGTGCGACTGTGGCAGAGAGGCAGAGACTTTTTTTTTCATTCTGGTTCTCCATGACCTAGTTAGGGACCAACTCGGAGATAGGGAAGTGTATGACCATGGAGGTGTATAGGTGCTCTAGGTTTATAGCAGGTAGAATGCGTGTGTAGGGCCGGGGTAGATGACCTGATCAAGTCCGGGATCGTCGGACAGGGTGGTACTGTACTCGGAGATCCACGTCGACGAGTGTCCACGTCGAGGAGGGTGTCGGCTTCAATCGGCGTGACCGACATTTCAGACGGCTCTTGTGTCACCATAGTCAAGTTGGCCAAAGAGTAAGGTGCCAAGCCAAGCCTGGAGAGGGTAGAACATGATGAAACCAGAGCAGAGAGTAATACCTTGTGTATGGAATGCTGTAGAGGTGTCCCGGACACTCAGACAGTACTATATTTTCCATCTACCCGTGTATGTGGCTGCCTTGAGTTGGCAAGCTGGGCAGCTGGCAATACTAGATACGCGAGTGAGTCGGACCACTGGGGTCACGGGTCAATCATACTATCATACGTGACCCTCTGATCATCTGATAAGCTACTGTACATGTACAGTGTACGTGTACAGTTGTACATGGGCACTGTACAGTGTACACTACGAACCCCTGTCGAGCAAGTAGACAATCATATTGACCCGAGTTGATGCTCGTTGACCCCACAGAAGATCGGCGTGGCCAGAGAATGGGTCTGACAGTAGTGAGCATCTGAGTGGTGAACTTACTAAACTGAGCACACTTCTTTGAAAGTTCTGACGATCGCTCCTATGGGTGCTCCATAAGGTGGTATTTACTACAGTAGTGTCTAGTGACTGGTGACTACTAGGGACTATGGCGCTGATATCCATCTCCGAGTCATGTTGATGGAGTGAAGGCTTCTACTGATTCATGGCTTTCTCTTTTCATCTGATACTGAACCTCTCGAAGAGTCGTTTGGCAAAGTGTGTATCCCTGCAACCGAGCATACGATCTATAGCGACTGTAGTATTTCGGAGCGGTATGGTACGTCGAAATGGCTTACACTTTGTGACTTTGTGACTTCATGACCTGACAAGGACTCTGGAAGTCTTCTTCTACATATTACATACTATATTCACTATGGTATGTATATCACTTTATCCCATTTATCATTCAGCTTTGGGTGCCAGTGTCTCTCAAATGCTGTCCACCAGACTTGACGACGACTGGGCGTGATGTTCTATTGTATGTCTTTTTGTACTGTCCTGAGTCTAGTCAGTCTACTGACTCTCTACACTCTAGTGACTCTACAGTCTACGCTACTGAGCACTGTGAGTGTGAGTACTCCCTCCAGTGCTCCGTAGCTAAGACCTGTCCGCGGTGTTTAACGAGACTGAATAATGAGACAAAGACCATGGCTGTAGGCTAACCCAACTCGGTAAGACACCAAGCAATTGAAGACATCTGACGCTGCTGGATGCAGTGGATACGCGCGATGATACAATAGCCTATGAGTGACTCGCATTTTTTTACATCTTATCACCTACCTACATGCAAGTTGGAAAGAAGATACAGGATGCAGTCATATACCAAGGTCATGACTACTGCTTCTCTTTCCAGTACATCTATGGCTGTGAGTGGGGTGGTTTCAGGATACAAGCCTTGTCGGCTGCACAGTGCAGACTGTAGCCGTGCAGACTGCAGACTGACCAGCATCACCCTGTTGGGGGCCAAGTGGACATCCATCCAAAATTACACTCGGACAAAGGCGAACAAACTTACATCCCATGATTGGCTGACACCCGGGCGCGAAAAAAGAAGTGGATCTCATGGTCCTGACCAATCATGACCATTATATAGACCCCAGTGATTGCCAAACTGGCCCACGATGGAGCGGCAACACAAACTGGTCTGGTATAGGCCGTGTACCGAGGCCGTGTTTCAGGTTTTTATACATTACTTCCATACCAGAACCATCCCGGCTAGTGCTACTGCAGTAATGAGTAAGACTTAGATGACTGAGTTGATGCACGTTTATTACTAATGTACTGTTGCAGTGTCTCTGAGCATTGGGACGCCGCTGAACTGTGGTGACGCTGGTGAGTACTGACTCCTGAGTCTGCACTCTGCACTCTGCACCCTCCACGCCCGGGCTGTATTGTGATCCCGCTTTTGCCCCCCCCAAAGTGGTCAGCACCTGCCCCTAAGCCGTACCAGTGACTGTCAGACTCAGCTCTGAAGGGTCAAATGAGTACGTATGACAGTCCCATCTGTTATACACTTCGACAAATCGACAGTATGCATTCCATAGTCATACTGATGATATACTCGAAGGCTCAAACTCCTTCACGCTATTGCCACCTGATGACTAGTATCCTACCGATAATCATCATCAACAATATCTTATGATGAGATTTTGAAGCCTAGTTGACACTTGACAGTTGACCACAGTCACCTGACTTATCTCGTTCATCACCAGAATCTGGGGGGGGAAAGAGTCAGGGGTGTAGCACTGCCGAAGATCTGCTGTAATCAAGGTGCTCACCAAGGCTCAACGTGAGCAATTAATCATATCTCCAATTGAAGACTGGAACCTGTTATAAGTTAGGCACTGCTAGTAGTACTGTAGTAAACGACTAAACTCTCCAACCAACGACACAGGTGATGGTTCAAGCTTGGGTCCGGTCGTACGTGTATTACCCGCGTATCCCCCTTTCCAGACCGTTCAAAATTTCCCGATTCCCCCAATTCTCTAATTTCCCCTCCGCCGTGGCTCCTTCCCAAAAATCCCCCTTACCTGCAGTTCTGCTCCCATCTTTCCCTTCCCTTTCAACAGCTCGAGATCATCGACCACGTCCATTCTTCTTCCCACTATACCCCTCTCCGGTCCTTGATTCCGTTCCTTTCACGCGCGTGCTGTTCGTCTTTGCACCTCTACCCATCAATCATCCATCAACCCACCTACCCAGAGCACACCATCCGGTACGTATCTGCTGGCGGCGCAGCCTTCCCTCCGTTTTTGCCTCCCTCCGCGCGCGCTCTCTGTCGCTCCGTCGCTCCGTCTCTTGCGCCTCCCTTGGTCGACACTGCGACCCTCGTTTTCTCGCTGCTCCTCACTGCTCTTCGCATCTCCTGGGCGGAACATCGGTTGAAGCCTCTGATCATTCACTCACTCACCCATTTTCACCCTTGCGTCCTCCCGGATTGCAATCTGAAACGTCGGCTCCCAAAGACCTATATCACCTTCGTTCCGTTCCTTCGACAGTCACTTATGTGTGTGACCAGCAGCGAGAAAACTCACCAACAATTTGCAACATTCGCACTCCAGCTTTTTTAAATCTGTGCTAACCATCTGCCACCTGTACAACAGAGTTTCCTGCCCGTGTGTCTCAAAACCTAATTGTCGGCTGGACTTTTACATCACTCTCGTTTAATACTACCACCGAACAACTACCAAGATGGGTTGTGGCATGAGTACCGAGGATAAGGAGGGGAAGGCGCGGAACGAGGAGATTGAGAACCAGCTCAAGCGCGACAAGATGTTGCAAAGAAATGAAATCAAGATGCTGCTCCTGGGTATGGACAAGTCCCTCCCCCTCCCCCTTTTTCTACATCAATTTTCGATTTCGACTTCCCTCCGTGGACGGCGATGCATTGTGTTGTGAACCGGCATCCTCGCTTCCAGTACATCGTCCCTCCCACCCTCGAGTGACATGGCTAATTAGGGGACTTTGGTTGGATGCAGGTGCTGGTGAATCTGGAAAATCGACCATACTCAAGCAGATGAAGTTGATCCACGAGGGCGGCTACTCCCGTGATGAGCGGGAGTCATTCAAGGAAATTATTTACAGCAACACCGTCCAGTCCATGCGCGTGATCCTCGAAGCGATGGAGTCCCTGGAGCTGCCCCTGGAGGATGCGCGCAACGAGTACCACGTCCAGACCATCTTCATGCAGCCCGCCCAGATCGAGGGAGATAGCATCCCTCCAGAGGTCGGAACCGCCATTGCTGCCTTGTGGCGCGATACTGGCGTCCAGGACTGCTTCAAGCGTTCCCGCGAGTACCAATTGAACGACTCCGCCAAATAGTGAGTAACTGCCCCTCCACATCTCCTTGCTCTTCGCCGTTCTTTGTGCCTTTCCCCCCATGATATGGACATCATCTCTCTCGGTGTGGTCTTGTGCTAATCTCCCAACTCGCAGCTACTTTGACGCCATTGACCGCATTGCGCAGCCCGACTACCTCCCCACCGACCAGGATGTGCTCCGCTCCCGTGTCAAGACTACCGGTATCACCGAGACCACTTTCATCATCGGCGATTTGACCTACCGTATGTTCGATGTCGGTGGTCAGCGATCCGAACGAAAGAAGTGGATCCACTGCTTTGAGAATGTCACCACGATTCTCTTCCTGGTCGCCATCTCCGAATACGATCAGTTGTTGTTCGAGGATGAGACCGTCAACCGTATGCAAGAAGCTCTGACCTTGTTCGACTCCATTTGCAACTCTCGTTGGTTTGTCAAGACGTCCATCATTCTCTTCCTCAACAAGATCGATCGATTCAAGGAGAAGCTGCCCGTCAGCCCCATGAAGAACTACTTCCCTGATTACGAGGGAGGCGCCGACTACGCTGCCGCTTGCGACTACATTCTCAACCGATTCGTCTCTCTCAACCAGGCGGAGCAGAAGCAGATTTACACCCACTTCACCTGTGCCACCGACACAACTCAAATTCGATTCGTCATGGCCGCCGTCAATGGTATGTCCCACTCTGGTCCAGTGGACCCCCTCCCTCCCCCCGGTTTTATCTTCGACCTGAGGTCGATTGGTATCTTGACGGGCTTATGCTGACTTGGTCGTTACCAGATATCATCATCCAAGAGAATCTGCGTCTCTGTGGTTTGATCTAATGAGTCCCAGTCCTACGGATGTTGCAGTGTGTTGAATCTAGATCGCATGTGTCATCTCTACCGGCTCAAGCGCCGAGATTTGACCAAAAGCTTCGTCCTCGTTACAAAGAAACCCCCCTTCCCCCGGCGTTCAACATTATCGATTTCCTCTGTCCATCTTATCTGCGTGCGCGCACCCTCACCTTAATTTTTTTTCCGCCAACCCATTCCTATCGACACGATTCTTCTATTTCTATTACAAGCCGGTTTCGCCTTCCCTGCTCTCGATGACGCGGTACAGGACTTGCACTTGGGGGGAGGACCAATTCCCATGTCTCTCTCATATTTCCTTTCCGTCCCCAACTGTCTTATTCTATTTTAGTCTTCCTTGTCCTGACTCCCTTGTGTCTGATTTGCAATGCTGGATATCCTATCATCAATTTTTTTTTTTCTTTTTGATTCTTTTGTCATCAGTCTCATTCACTTTTGTTGTCCGACAATCGCCATGTCTCCTTATCTGTTTTTCCCCCTTGTCAATCTTGTATGTATTCATACCGTCAACGTTTTTCTTGACCTTTCCTTGCACTCGGTCTGCGCATCGCCCGAAACAGGGGCTCGGCAGAGGTGATGCAGGGGAGGGAGAGAAGACTGTGCGGAAGCTTTCATGTCGTTTCTCATGTGTCATGCCCGGTCGATCGTTGGGTTTTAGTCAAGACCAGAATCAATATTTCAGGTTTTTGACTTGAATGACCTTTGAAGAATGGCGCCTCAAATTACCAATTTCATTCATCCTTATTCCCAGTGCGTAAGTGCCAGCGGTGACATTGGACGGGTCTGGCATTGACATGGTCCTCTTGAAGCCTGCATCTAAACGAAACTCACAGCTGACATGCCTCGATGGAAGATTCACTGTCGAGTGCGTTGTGTTGGGAAGCGATAAGTATACTCAGATGAGTATACTACTAGAATGAATCTCAATCAACTTGGCATCACCAACGCATTATTGTCCTGACGCAGCACACGGGTCCTTCTAATGCCTAACCCCAGATTCAAAACCTCAACTTAGGCCCAACATAAACGATCAAGATCGCAACCACCCATAATCCGAAAATCCACGCATAAAGCATCATGCGGCCCCACCATCCTTTCCCCTCCGTCATCCGCCTTAACATGCCCATTCTCTGGCCCGCAGCCTCCATTGTGCTACTTGTCTTGTCCATTCCCGAAACGGCGCGGTCCAGCACCGACTTTTCATTCTCGAGTGTGGCCTGGAAGGACTGCGACGATGCTTTCAGTTGGCTTGCCAGGGAGAGAAGGGATCCTGTCAGGTCTTCTTGTTCGAGGCGGGCTGCGCTCAAGGCGTCTTCTTTGGATGAGAGGTTGGGGTCTGGGGATGGTTGATGTTGGTGTTGATGGACGTTGGTGCTGGTGGAGATGGCTGTCGAGGGTGTGGACGTGGGCGCTGAGGGGTGATTGGGGTGCGTGTTTCGTTTACGGAGAGTGGTAGACGGTGGAACGGGTGTAGATGTGGACGGGTTGGTGGTGGTGGTGGTGGTCGTCGTAGTAGATACTGTCGTAGGTACTCTGTCTGACCCCGATGTCTCCATATTCGGGGGTATCGTCTTCGTTCGAGCATTCCCAGAATCCTCCGCAGTAGCGGCGTCATTCAGGGCATCAGCCTCGCTCGTGTGTCTGTCTGTAAGTTGAGCGGCGGCCGGCTTCTCGAATAGATCCTTCCATTCATCGTCAGTTGTGCCTGTGTATTGCTGGTCATCCTCGTCGTCGCTGTCATCGGTGTGCTCGCGCGTCCGTGACTCCTCCTCGTCAAGAATGATCTGCATCCGCTTGAGCAATTGTCTGTCGCGCGCGATTTCAGATTGCGCTTCATGCCGACGGTCGGAAGATTTGATTTGTGGGATCGAGCGTTCAAGTTGGGAGAGAAGGTTGCGGGCGTATTCGACGTTCTGCAGCGGGGGCGATCTATAGAGTTAGTGTTCTGTTGCGTTGTGTTGGAATCGATTGGAACGGTATGAATATTGAAAGCACCCGAAAGAGCCCGGACCACGACATTTCCCCCAAGCTCTCCCTTTCTGTTGCATCACCTTATACAAGAGAGATAGAGAACATATACATATAGCCGAAGGGAGAAAAAACGAACCTTGCTCACTCGTAGCCGCTGAAGCTCGGATTTATGCAGCGTGCGGACCTCGGAGCCCGGATTGAGGAGATTATACTCCAATCGAGTAAACAGTCGAGCGACATTGAGGAGGGTGAGCTCTGGAGAAGACTCCGCGGTGGGGAAAGCAGTCACTGCCATCTCTGAGAGGTACCCTTGAGAGATTTGGGATCGATCGCAGTGGCCAAAGGTAAGAGTCGTCCAAGCTTCGTCCTTGTGGAGCACGCTTTTCGACTTGGAAAGATGCCACCGGACGTTGCGAAAGCGTCCGCTGCGAGGCGATGGGGACCTCAGGCTGCCCCGGGGGAGGACCATGTGATGCTGACTCATCAATCCCAGGCCCGTCAGGTCCCCGCCCGGAGGTGGCACTCGCAGTTGAGTCTAGTCAGTCTACTTATAAGAGTCCCGTCTTCGGGCGGGCATCACCTTAGTCGTCTCGAGTTGTTATTACTTTCCAGTTTCAACTACTTGAGTTGTTCTGACTGCACTGATACCACGTTGTGCTCTCGCACACTAACAACACTAGGTTGAGGAGCTGTGAGCTTGAAGTGTCTATATATGGCTGAAGAAAGATACTCTAGCCTCGTGGTTGTCTTGACTGCCGAGTATCTGCTAGCTGGTGGAGGACTCTATAAATGGAGTTTAGTCGGGGCGGACTGCCTTCAGTATTGATCTGCTCGTCCAGAGCTTCTACCTTATCAATGCTTCTTTCGACACGATCAACCCTCTGATTGGATTACTTTCATGGGGTTATCTTTCGAATCCACCAGAATAAGATGCTAACGAAATGACAAATTTCGTGCCCAAGTCGCACGGCAGAAGAAAGAACGTAGCCTCCCAGGAATTGTCACATGAAAACCACAACACCTGTCTACTGGAGAGTGAAGATCCGTACTCCTGGTGAGGACAGACTCGAAAAAACGCTCCATAGATCGCAGTGGCTCACCGAAAACAAGAAAGAAAGTAAAAACAGAGAAAAGCTTAAAGCTTCCAGCTTGAGAGTGTTACCTGACGACTGGAACCTCACTCCAAGAACAAAGCGCAAGAACGTTCGTTGTCGCCACAAGTCTCGTTTCCCCATCATTCGAAAAAAAAAAAAAAAAAAAAAAAAAGAACCATTTCCCTCATTTCGACAAATTCGACCCAGTACAAACCTACCGGACCGCTTGACTTCTTACCAGTACTCCATCACCAGCCGGCGCCAAGTCCGCACTCCGTTCTGGTCCTCTTCACACATTTGCTGTAACACCTCACTACGCTCCTGCAAGCTGGAACCAATCTCATGACTCAGATCGGGCTCCATTCTCGCCGGTGGACTCGTCTCTGTCTCTGGCTGCGGAGAAGACGGGGATGCCTTTTCCGTCGCTTTCAGCTTCAGAACCTGTGCCGCCACCGCCCCGCTGGATGGGAGCACGCCGCCATGCGAGAGAGGTTTCAGCATGTCACAGGCTGAAGGCAATGGGAGGGCCTCCCGGCTGATGAATACTGCAGGGTACAGGCTGCCTTTTTCCATGGCGTTTGTTGGGTCGGTAGGTGCACGTGTGTGGGATGCACTGGGTTGAGAGCGAGTCGCACTCCAGTTGGACTGGATCGTGCAGCGGCCGCGGTGGCGTGTCGTGAATCTGAGAAGCGACAGAAGTAACACGAGGCCGACCAGCGCAAGACCGAGACCCCGATGGGTTTGTAATGCGTGGACGATCGGATTCTCTAGAAGCCCAACGTAGCTCGTGTAGACTGGAGGCGATTCGTGGACTGGAGCATTCAAAGGCATTGCGTCGCGAAATGGCGACGTCAGGCAGTCTGTTGGCTTGACTCTTTCCAAGAGCACAGACCAGAGGGTTTTTGATATGGGACTCAGGAGCTCTTCGTCCAAAGTTTCTGGGAATGACACCAGGATGAATAGTATCGTCAAGGGGATGCTCCGATGAATTGGTCCTTCAAATACTGATGGACTCTCTTCTCGACTCTTGGCTGTAGGTTCACCAATTAACACCAACGAAGTTGTAAAGATTCAGGTTTGGAATGCCTGCAGGTCTGGAGCCAGGAACAAACCTCAACCTGGGAGGAGGGTAAATGGGCTAGACTTATACTGGGCGACTTATGATAGTGGCGATGTCCAGTATATCCCGGTTGTCGAGACGGTGTGGCCTGAGGAGTGCAGGAGATGAGCATACACGAGTCTTGGATGTATTTCATAAGCTCGATCAGTCAAAAGAAAGCGCCAAAGGGTTGTATTGCTGTTGTTAGCTCTTTAGAATTAGAATTTCTGAGCAGTCAAGGTATCCAGGAAGTATGAACCCTAAGCCGGGCATCCCTCGAGACGGGGAACACGGAGCGAGGCTTTCCACGATCAGATGGAGGTCTTCAAAGAGGAAAAGATTTCCCATGGACGTGGCAGCGTAGCATGGAAAACCAAGGAAGATCTAAATTAAGCTTATGGTGGAGCTTCGACACAGCTGCCCAGTCTCAGATGTTGTGTTTACCGGGGCTCTGATCAAGAAAGGTTTTCATAGATCCCGATGTAGATGGAGTGACCCGAGACATCACAAGTTCACAGCACCAGCCAGCCACATCCATGTACCTCGTAATCGAGGAAGGAAATAAGAGTATCTTTAATCGATGCTCATGTGCTGGAATTCATGAAGGCACTGGTGATGTAGGTGGCATCGGTAGTAATCGTCTGCTTTACCCTTTTCAACCTTGGTGTTAGTACCGGACCAGATGTCGGCTTCAAAACACCACCTGCACGATCTATTCTAGAAATTCCAGCCCAACGTACATATGCATCCATGACTCTTTGTATGTCGGGATGTATTGTAGGTCATTTGATACTCATTCCAAAATTTTGCTTGACAGAACCCTGTGACACACCAGTGACCGGTGACATTCCAGGGCTGTTTACGGTCCGAAGTAGCAATCGCCAGGTCTGGACTCGCGAGAGCAGGCTCATCTAGTATTCTCCAGTCCAGAGGCATGATAGCCAGTAGTCCAAACGAAGCAGCAGGCATCGAGGTGACGCAAGTTTGAAATTTCATGAGTTCGTCCAAGATATGCCACCTCGTCTAATTTTCCTTTGCTGGCCATGGATGGAGGTGGCTATCCTCAAGCTTCCAGTGTAAGATGCTGCTCATGCAGTGATATGCTGCATCGCAAAATGCTGGACTAAACTCAAACTCTTCGATCATTTTGAGTGAGACTCTAACCCTGGTCATTGCATGTCATGACATGATGGACTGTGCTCTAATAGGTACAAGTGATTGAATTGAGCGAGCCCCGAAACGAAACTAATCGAACATGCATCTAATCTCACCCGTCTCCACGGGCCCACACACACCTGGGATCTTTCTTCCGCCCACATACGCTCACACCACATCAACAACACTCCTCCTCCACAATGCACTTTAGCGCGCCATTGGAGCCGCGCTAATGAAAGGTCCTGCCATACAAGGTGTTTGCAATGGCGGATCCCATGGCAACAATAAGCGACGTCCAGCTGCCCACCATCCAAGCCACGACTGCAGTTGTGGGGACTCTGGGGAGAGGGTCCGAGGGGTTCAGCTGTATTTTGACAGCGCCACTCATGGCGGCAGTAGTTCAGAAGCTGGTCGCTACTCTCAAAGATCCACTGGGAAGAAAGTGGACACGAAGGGGAGACCTTGTTCTTAGCTCAGGAGCGAATCGCCTCTCTTTGGCGAAGAGGTCCTGTCCGATCCGGAGGCAATTTTACGATATAAGAGCGCATTTCTCTTTGGAGGCTCTTCGGAGTGTCGGTCGATTGCAGACTTTCCCAGCGTCGGACTTTTTGACACAAGTATATCCACAATGACCGAGGGGTAAGCGGCTGAAAATCCACTACCCTGGTCGCAGATCGAAATCATCTCCAGCACAACTCAATTTGAACCGATGCGGCGTCGATCCATCGCCATATGTGGCGCTGCTGGGGGTCACTTGATCAATGAGCACTGATCACTGAGCTGGCAGCGGATATCCCACAACAGAGGCCAAGACCAGGGTCCAGGATCTTGATATACCACTTTTGACGAATGGGAATAGCACACAAAGCTCCCTGGTTCTTGTTCTACATCGGAGGGAAACACTGACACTGACTTCTGGACGACCTCACCGCCTCATCTCTTGAATGTCATACAGCATCCACAAGCGATCCAGATGGGCTCCGATTGGACCATGCAAGATCTGACATGATTTCTCTCTCCCTCTCTCTCTCTCTCTCTCTCTCTCTCTCTCTCTCTCTCTCTCTCTTGCGCTGATCGCAGACGGTGGAGACCTTGTGCGAGAATCGAGGCTGACTGTGTTCAAACGCGAATCCGGGAACTTTAGGACCCATCGTCCCATCCAAGTGGGATACTTTGGTCAGATTGATGCCCTGAAGTGTGTCCCAATGCCCGAGATGGGTAATGGGAAGGTCTTCGATCCGCATCCTCGGAGTTCCCCCGCCGTGGGATCTATGATCAGATCTCTGGCTTTACAATCCTTGCATCGATAAGACATTCTCTCGAGCTGTTACAGGGCTCCTTGAATTTTTGTGAACTACACTGGACTCGGAGCTGAGACTGCGGTCACCCAAAACGGCGTGCTGATGGATTGTATGCCAATATTATTCGTTCATGTTCGTCAAAAGACTTAGGCAACTAGTCCTGAAGGAGTGCGCTCGAATGGGTTCTGTGTTGTCATCACTCTACAGCTTGGCAGTGGCATTTGCTCTCTTGACTTCCTCTGCAGCCTGATCGCGGAGCATCTTACGCAGAATCTTACCGGAGGGATTCTTAGGTATAGCCTCACAGAACACAACACCTCCGGTGATGCGCTTGGTGGCAGAGACTTTGCCTTCCATGAATTTCACAATATCTTCGGCGGTTGCCGAATGACCAGGCTTGAGCACAATGTATGCTCGAGGGCGCTCGTCGTTGTTCCTGGACAGTAGTCACATGTCAGTGACGGACTGTATCCACGTACAACCAAATCCAGATGATTGGAGAGGGCCACGAGAAGACAATCCATGTGTCACAGTGTAGCGGTGGATGACGGGACTCAAAAACCAGCAAAGGAAACTGGATTGCACTTACACAGTTACACCAATCACCGCCACGTCTGCCACGGCTGGGTGGTCGAGAAGCAATGCCTCCAACTCGGCAGGGGCGACCTGATTACCCTTGACCTTGATCAATTCCTGTGTGCGGGAAACGGTTCAGTTCCCATTCAGATGCGCAAAGGAAAATGGTATTGAAGAAAATCAAGGGACGCAAGACAATTAGGACATGTCGCTGCAACATACCTTCAAACGATCTACAACGTGGAATTTGCCATTGTTATCGACATATGCAATATCTCCAGTTCGAAGCCATCCATCCTCGGTCTTTGTCTCCTTGGTCGCTTTCTCGTTACGCCAATAACCTTTCATGACGTTTTGTCCGCGCACCCACAGCTCACCTCGCTTATTTCGCTCCGTAATCTCTGTGACACCATCGTCTGCTATGATCTTGGCTTCACAGTTGGCGTTGAGCTCGCCGACCGATGCAGACGTACTTGATTCACGGGGGTCCCATCCCAGGATGGAGCAGGTCGCCCTAAGAAATACGAAGGGCCATTAGTACTTGACTGCGATTCCTGATTCTCACTGGCCGCACCGCAATGGAGTACCGTTTTGGGGAAAAAGAGAGACTTACTCGGTCATTCCCCACCCCTGCTTGATGTTGATTTTTCCTTCCGGCCACAGTCTTTCTACTTCGATGCAAACCTCTCTGCCCAGGGGTGCGGCGCCGCTGGCCACACTCTCGACACTGCTCAAATCATACTTCTTCACTGCAGGATGCTTGGCCAAGGCAACCACCACCGGCGGCACCAGGATGAAATCGGTGATGCGGTACTTTTGCGTATACTCCAACATCTGAATAAAGTCGAATTTCGGCATGATGTATACGGGCGTCTCGCGCTGCAAGGCCGCGGCGATGAAGATGTTCTGGGCCATGGCATGATACATAGGCAGGAAGCAGAGCCAACGCGCGCGGGCTCGTCGTGCCTCATAATCCGGGTAAAAAGTGCTCATGTATGTGTACTGCAGCATGTTTGACACATAGTTTTTATGTGTAATCTCGACACCCTTGGGGCGACCCGTCGTCCCGGATGAATAGTTGAGCGCGAGAGTGGTATCGGCCAACTCGGGGGTATTGAGTTCTTCCCAGGCAAATCCGTGACCTTCTTGCGGCGATGCCACCAGCTGGCCCCAGTACGGACATCCATTCTGTCCATCTCCACGTCCGTCAAAGATTGCATTGTCAAAGACAAACACCTTGTCCTTTCCCAAGCCGGCCATCTTCGCAGCTTCGACACCTGTATCCAGACTTCCGGCGGCGCAGATCAAGAACAGAGCACCGCTGTCTTCTAGTTGGTAAGCCAATTCCCGAGCCACATAGGTCGGGTTTGCCCCGGTGAAGATGCCGCCGGCCATGATGATCCCCATGAAAACGACCGGGAAGAAGAGGTCGTTCCCGGAAAAGAGCAGTACGCGATCGCCTCGTTGGAGACCGGCTTTCCGTAGCCCTGCCGCAAAGCGCTGGCTCCACAGACGAAAATCATGAGGTGTGAAGTAATGAGTATCTGGACGGGCGGCGTCGAGAAAACATGGCTTCTGTCGAGAAAGGGGCGCCGTCGGGGAGGTCAACAACAAGGACGCGAGATGCGTGTGGGGGACATCAATTGTCCAACGAGATTTATAAGGCATTGTGATCGGAAGAGAGAGAGAGAGAGAGAGAGCAGGAAGTGGAATTGTCGCGTGGTACAGGGGTATCTATACTACGAAGTTGTAGCGGATTGATCAAGTCTTCTGCGATTGATAAAATGGGATAAAATGGAATGAAAAGTTCCCCGCATCAGCTTTCCAGATTCCAGGAATGGACGTATGATGATGATGATGATGATGATGATGATGATGGAACAACAATAAAGACCAGATCGACTTCGGGGCGTCTCATCATTATAATTATGTCCTCCATAACTCTCGCCCACTGAACTCACCATCACCCTCCGCTGGCCCTCTGGGGATCCCCATCGCTTAATCCTCCAACCAAGAACGAACATGCTCCATCATCCATCAAGGATATGGATTCCAGGATACCCAACCGGGAGAGAATGGACCTCGAGCCAAACGTTTCAATTCGATCCAAGCTCGACGTGCCCCGATGATCTGGAAAAGTCTAAAGTGAGATGGAGCGACCGGGCCAGTGACTTCGCGCGTGTTGTTGGTTTCCCCGCATTTGGGGTCTCGGTTATGAAGTTATGAAAATGCGGGGAACCAGCACCGAGGTAAAAAAAAATAAAATGTCGGTGGCCCAGGTTTTTGGGGGTTCATCCTCGGATATTTCGTTGTGAAGAATTATGAAATTGAGCACCGGGATGTGGTTGTATGGGGATGGAAGATGTCAGGATAGGGTCGCTGACGACTCATGAACTTCAGACGGTTGGAGAGTCTTGATCTTAATTCAGAATTATTGATGGGACTGCATTATCTCAATCCTAGCTCTCCAGCTTTCGCCACAAGTTGTCATTTCTCCTACCTGGCGAGGACGGATAGACTTTGTTTACGGTCGCGAGTCGGACACAGAGGTAGCTGACTGGGCGAGTCATCAGGCGAGGTAGTACATCAAGAACCTTGTGGCTCTCAAACGCCTTCCCCGTTGTGATACTTGGAGTCAGATCACATGGTTCGCGACGGATTATATATCAGACTCATCAGCTTTCTGTCTCTCACGATGCAGCTGGACTTGTAGATCGGCAGCAAGGATGCTTATGCGTAAGCGAAGCTACCGTCTATGCGGTCCTGTCTTGCACATAGGAAGTAAACGAGGCTTCGCATAGAATCGGTACTCCCACTATATACACTGACCTTGCATCGATGGCACAGTTCAGTACGTACCGAGGACCATGCACTGGAGATACTACTTCCCTTGAGTCACCTGGGGAGTGTATATTTTGTGGTACTCAATATCTACAGTAAATACGACTAATCGACCCCCACACTCCACACCCCACGTTTTCCTTCTGCCCCCGCCGTCTTCTTACATTCTCCTCGAGGCTTCAATAACACTCCTCGAACCAGTTTCAGCTTACCTCAGACGTTGGAGCTGTTTTTCAAGTATCATCCTCCCGTCTTTCGCTGGATTTTTCTGAGGGTCGTTCATCATCACCTACCAGTATACACACATCTACGCCCAGAACGTTCATTCCAATCTTCCGAACAAAATGTCCCAATACACCCACCATATCGCCATACTAGGCGCTGGCACAATCGGTCTCTCAACGACAGCCATGCATCTTCGTCGTCCCGATACAACCGTCACCATCTTCGACCCTAGACCCGATGCCGAAGCACAAATCCACGCCCAACTCCCCTCTTTCCTCGATGATCCCACAATCATCACTGCCCCCAGCATGATGAACACCGAGACCAACCTCAACAATCCCGATGTCCCGGTCCCATCGCCGCACCAATCTCGTCCCCATCCCCATCTTCGCCTCCGTCTGGCAACCTCAATCCAAGACGCCGTCCAAAACGCAACCATCGTCCAAGAACAGACGCCCGAACTCCTCTCGTCAAAACAGTCCCTCTGGCAAGAGGTCTCGCGGTTCGCAAGTCCCACGGCCCATTTGTGGAGTAGTTCGTCGGGAATTCCGGCGTCCGCACAGGCGCAGACCTGTTGTCCGTCTGATCGGGGAGATGTCCGGACGCGATTACTCGTCGTTCACCCGTTCAATCCGCCGCATGTGATGCCTCTGGTGGAAATAGTGCCTGGTCCATTGACGAGCGCGGAGAGAGTTCGGTTTGCAGAAGAGTATTTCAGGGAGATCCCGGCGCCTGTCGGGGTTGACTCGGTATTGCCGTCCTCGTCATCGTCGCCGTCACCGTCACCGTCACCGTCATTTTATCGCCCGGTGACTCTACAGAAAGAAATCCCCGGCTTCGTGGGCAACAGACTTGCTTTTGCGCTACTGCGAGAGGCATGTCACTTGGTCGGTGAAGGGGTGGTCACGGCGCAGGATCTGGATACCATTGTGACGTCGAGCTTGGGCCCGCGCTGGGCAGGCAGCGGTGTCTTTGAGAGTTATCATGCAGGGGGCGGGCCCGGGGGCATCGGTGCCTTTTTGGACAAATTGGCGCCGACGATTCGTGATGTGTGGGCGCAACTGGGCACGCCGGTGACCCCTGCAGAAGAGGAACGCGGCCAGACGCGGCAAAATGGCGGTGACTCGGTGGACAAGGGGGATGGGAAATGGCGACAGATGGTGGTGACGCAGACTGAACAGGCGTATGGCCTGGAAGTCTCAGAGGATACGAGGGCGCGCAAGGAGAAGATGCTGAAAGGGGTTCTGGAACTGCAGCAGAGAAACCTGCAAGAAGAATAGCTTCCTTGCGGAGAGATCGTTCGACAATGTGATTGTATCGTCTATTCGGGGACTACGAAGATACCTAGAATCCATAGCTTTTAGCACTTGGTACTATAGAAGTGAGGGAAGACCTAAAGACAGCATTGACCAATGAAAACAATTCGCTCTATATTCATTCGTAAATAGGTCCCGAGGGTTATATTTTGACCCTGGTGAGGTTTGACGCAATCCTCCATAAAAAAAGAAGGGGTTGAAACATGATCATAACATTAAAATTTTCGTCGTTCTTTTTCTGTCCTTCACGCGGTCCCGGGTATATGTCCAACGACTTTCCTCCTTTAGATGATCTGCTGGAAAGCGCGGTTGATGGGAGAGCGGACGGGCTGACCCTTGTAGAAGTCAATGGTGGCAACGGCGCGCTTGGCAATGCCCTCGGGAGTGAACTCGAACTTGGCATAGACCTCCTTGTAAGGACCAGAGGCACCGAAGCGGTTGAGACCGAACTGCTCGTGAGAGTAGCGGTCCCAGCCCATGGTGGAGCAGACCTCGACGGACAGGACGGGAATACCGTCGGGCAGGACCTGCAGACGGTACTCCTTGGACTGAGCATCAAAGACCTCGAAGCAAGGCACTGACACAACACGAGCCTTGACACCTTGCTCGGCCAGAGTCTTGACAGCGTCCACACAGATACCGACCTCGGAACCAGTGGAGATCAGGGTCACGTCAGCCTCGGTGTTCTCGATCGCGACGTAACCACCCTTGATGGCCTTCTCAATGGAGGAGTTCTCCAACTGAGGCAGGTTCTGGCGGGTCAGAGCCAGGATGCTGGGGGTGTGCTTGGAGGTCAGGGCCATGTAGTAGGCGGCGCTGGTCTCGTTACCGTCAGCAGGGCGCCAGACCATGCAGTTGGGCAGAGCGCGGAAGTGAGCCAGAGTCTCAATAGGCTGGTGAGTGGGACCGTCCTCACCCAGACCGATGGAGTCGTGGGTGGCGACGTGGATGACGCGAACGCGAGACAGAGCCGACAGACGGACGGCACCGGCAGCGTAGGAGACGAAGTTGAGGAAAGTACCGCCAGCGGGGATAACGGTGCCGTAGGCGGCGAGACCGTTCATGACGGCAGCCATGGCGTGCTCACGCACACCGTAGCGGAGGTAGCGGCCAGACCACTCACCAATGCCCAGGTCGGGGGCTGGAAGTCAACGGCGTTCTTCCAGCGGGTGTTGTTGGAGCCAGTCAGATCGGCAGATCCGGACAGCAGCTCGGGAACAACGCTGTGAATCTTCTCCAGAACAGCCTCGGACAGCTTGCGGGAAGCAATGGCGGGGTCGGAGGAGGTGTAGGTGGGGAGGCTCTTCTCCCAGCCCTCGGGCAGCTTGCCAGCGAGACGGCGGGCCAGGTCGGCACCCTCGGTGGGGTACTCCTTCTGGTACTTCTGGAAGAGAGCGTTCCACTCCTGCTCCTTGGCGGCACCCTCAGCGGCGTGCTGGTGGTACATGTCATAGACAGCCTGGGGGACGACGAAGGTCTCATCGGGCTTGAAGCCGAAAAGCTCCTTGACGTGCTGGGTGTCGTCGGCTTTGAGGGGGTTGCCGTGCACACCGTGAGTACCGGCGAGCTTAGAGCCGAAACCGATGGTGGTGGTCAACTTGATGACGGAGGGCTTGTCCTTGACCTGCTGGCAACGACGGATGGCCTCCTCGATACCCTCGAGGTCATTGTCACCGTCCTTGACCCACTCGGTGTGCCAGCCATAGGCCTCGAATCGCTTCATGACATCCTCGGTGAAAGCGCACTTGGTGTCACCGTCTGACGAAGTGAAATGGGCGTTAGTTGATCCCGGTCCCTGGTTCTTTCCCCGAATTTGGATGCTACTTACCGATGGAGATGTGGTTGTCGTCGTAAACCATGATCAGGTTACCGAGCTTCAGGTGACCAGCCATGGAGGCGGCCTCGGAGGCGATACCCTCCATAGCGCAGCCATCACCGAAGAAGGCGTAGGTGTAGTTGTTGAAGAGGTCGTAGCCGGGCTTGTTGAAGACACCACCGGAGTGGGCCTGAGCGATGGCCAGACCGACGGCGTTGGCGAAACCCTGGCCAAGGGGACCAGTGGTAACCTCAACACCGGGGGTGTCGTGAGCCTCGGGGTGACCGGGGGTCTTGGAGTCAAGTTGCTAATAAGACACAAAGAAACCGAAGGTCAGCGTCGAGCAGTGAAAGCCACGAAAGTCTATTTGTGGTTTTCGCTTTTGGAAATGTCGTGGAGAATTCCCATTTGCCGTCTGCTAATCAGGCTGCGGGTAGACTTACACGGAAGCTCTTCAGGTCATCCATGCTCAGGTCATAACCGAAGAGGTGGAGGAGAGCATACTGAAGCATGCAGCCGTGACCGTTGCTGGAGAAGGGAAAGCATTGTGAGTCCTGGGATTCTGTCGGGGAACCAATGGAAGAATCGCACGGAGGCGATCAACATGCTCCTCGATGGCGTTGTACTTCCGAGAGGGATTGACCAAGGAAGACTTACGAGAGAACGAAACGATCACGGTTGGCCCAGTCGGGGTTCTTGGGGTTGAAGCTCATGAACTTGTTGAACAGGACGTGGGCTACAGGGGCCATGCCCATGGGGGCACCGGGATGACCGGAGTTGGCCTTGGAGGTGGCATCCACCTAAAGTAGATTGTCAGCATTAGTTGAATCAGCGAGCGTCCGCCTCTTCCCCGGTCGTCAATGCGATTCCACTGTATCGACAGTTGTGAATCGACTTATCAATGACCCAGGCTGCCGCAGAAGGTTGCGAGGCCACGCAACAGAGGAAACGTACCGCGAGCAGGCGGATGGTGTTGATCGCCTTCTGGTCTAGTTCGGTATAACCCATGATGGCAGATACTAGCCTTGCGGTTAGTGGAAAAGGAAGAGCCTTGACGACGATGAACCGGAGGGATTGGACACTCACTGTATGTGTGATGGTAGAGAAAGAAGAAGAGGAAGAAGAGGGGGGGGGCGACGGAAAAAAGAGGAGGAGGGACAGGAGGGACTGACTCCGGCGATGGTGGGGGGAGGGGAAGAGAGGCGGATGATGATGTTTCGGGTGGGGCCCTCAACAATCAATTGAACCGCTCATCCCATCTGATTCTACATTCCACCGGGTCCCGCCCCGTGGGAGTTCTTCCACCAGGCTCAATTGAGAATTGGCAGCGAACGTGGCGGCAGGACGGCTGTCATCCCACGGAGCAGCTGATCACATGGGGGTACTTATTTTTGTTCTGCCTGTACGAGAGAGAGACCGAGTCTCATCTACCCGAGTCAATCCAGCCCCAATGGACGTTGGCGGATATGATTCGAGCATAAGAGAACTTGACTATGGCGGTAGAGAGGTTTCTCGGAAACTCATTTCTGTAGTGACATCAGCAATTCAGCCATGGCTTTCTCGACTAATTCTCGTGGATAGTAGATGATTACTACAGGACGATTTGAAGAGCGGGTGAACCTCCAACTAAGATGCCGTATATAGAGTCATTCAGAGCCAAGAACAGAACGACGAGAGGTACGGCTACAAGTTGAAGGAGAGCGAGCGCTTGAGCCCTTCAGTGTATGACTATAGTGTATTTTCATAGTGTAGAGTGTAGACACTAGACAGTATACCTACGGCTGAACATTGGTTAGCTTAGCGACATCTTCCTCAATTTAGCATTGGAACATAACCCCCAAGTCAATCGGTAGTAATAGTAATCATACTCATGTCTCCTTCATGCGAGGTGGACCAATGCCTAAGAGATCACTCAGACCGTAGGGATTGGAGGTCATCCTGGGATAAGCTTATTCGGGCGGTCGTTCGCGCAGGACTGATCCCATTAGCCGACACCGGGGCGGCACCCACCATTGAACACGATCGTGGCCGACGAATGTTGGGGTCCTTGGGGAAGATCATGACAGTTGCAACTAGTCATTTCCACCGCGGCTTCAAAAGCTGCAACGGATCACGGAGACCGCTGACGAGTCTGCTTATTTCTTCCACAATTGCAACGGTCATCTCAGAGGCCCTTCAGACTCAACGGCCTGATATACACTGCCGTAGATGAAGACACCGACAGGAGTATCAGCCTACTAGCCGTACATTATGGTGAATATGTCGGCAAATGGGGTCTGTCGGTGGAGGCGTGGGAAGCACACCGGGAGCCCACCCGGAGGACGGCGCTCCGACTCATGAGGAAATTAGCCGAAAATTGACGGCGTCACGGCAGTGAACGGAAGAACTAATTGAGTCGGACATTAGAGTCTCGGTCAAATTAGCAAGGCTAGATGTGAAGCAGGTACGATGAACCGGACGACTTTGAACCGGAGTCAGTGTGTATCAGAATACAATTGGACCCCTGGTGAGTTCCAGAATTGCCTGGCCTCGGCTTGGCATGAACAGGTGTCATCCGAATATTTATTCCATCAAGGGCGAAGAACAAGATTGGACATTCGTCAGCAATCGTTCCAAGTGCTCTAGGTGGGGGGTATGAGCCATGATGTTCGACCGCAACCCTTTATCAAACTGACCTTGAGTATGTCATCAGTCCGACATGGAATATTTGCCAGTCTCGCCTGTGAGCTTTGTGTGGGTGAAAACGGCTGGTCTGCATGCCCTAGCTGTTCATGCCTTCATGGATCCGTGACTTGTAGTTGAAGACTTTATCTTGCATCTGATACCTGCTGTACCGTGGAATGATCTGAGGAGAGAAGACTCAAGACTCAAATCTCGATTCAAAACATTCCCCACAAAAAGTCCGGAATGACCAGATGATGATGTTGTTTCGGTGTAGCTTAGCGGCTCACCGACTGGAGTCCTGAGGCGCAAGGCTGCAAGCAGTGGAGATGCAGGGCGGTGAAGCTTTAACGGGTGCCGTCTGGTCAGCAGGATAACAAACTGGTATCGACTATCGATAGGTTATCGATAGGTTATCGATAGTCAAGACCGAGGTGATGCCTGCGGGGGACACCCTCGTAGATCCCAGCCATTCACGCCTGGTGCGGGACTAGATTAAACTTAACCATGATAAGCAAGTGAAGTCCCGATGCAATTGAACAGCACTTTGGTCAATAATACTCAAGTGACACGTCAAACGACAGTTCTATACCAGCAGCATCCGCTGGGCCCCGGCGAAATAAGATAGGAGGTACTCTTCTTGTCTCACCACCTCCCCAAATTGGGATACTGGTGAATGACCCATAGGACTTCCTGAGGCATGCCATTCAGTCACATGCTAGACATGAAGACTGTGAGTGTATGCTACAGCAGGATACAACATTTACTACACCAATAGCCCCTCAAGGGAAAAAGTGATGATGCTGTAAGCTATCGATCATCCAGCCATGAAAAACCCAGCCCCGGCAGAGACCTAGCTAGCCATACTTCCATTTCTCCTCGGAACATCCACGTCCTCCATTCCCCTAATCCACCCATCCTTTCGATGATGAAAGATTTCCATTCCCAGCTCCGAGCACCGAGCCCGATCCTCTTCACTCAGCGTTCCCGACTTGACGGCAACATCATCGCTCCCGTCATCTGTTCGTGACGAGAGTGGCGTGCCGCACGATGGGCAAAATTCCCGAAGAACCGCAGGGCCCTTGTCACTGCGATCCGTGTACACTTTCGGTGTGCCCTGCGTGTATTTGAATTGCGATTGTAGCACGACAATGTTGGCGGAAAAGCCGGAGCCAGTGTTGCGTTTGCAGTTGTTGCAGTGGCAGAGAATGACCTGGGTGATTGACGCTTAGTCGCTTGGTCACAAAATGGATGTATGCGATGCGATATCTGATAGCAGGCAGTGCATAGGAGTAACGCCAAGCCGTGGAGTTACGTCGTCACTGAGGACCAAGATCTTACCTTGGGAAGCGTGTCAGAGGAAGGCAGAGCAATGCGATACTGGATCTCTTGACATAGACATGTACCGGTCACGTATGTTTCAGTCATGATGTCGAATGAAGAAGGGTTCGATATCGGCTTGAGAATAGTGCTAGTTGAAGATTGTGACAACACTTAAGAGTAAAAAGAGGGGTAAGAAGAGAACGGAAGATCTGGAATTATGAGAGATTCATCCAGGATTTAAAGATCACCTGACCTTGGAGGGGCTATTCCGTAAGTAATGGATCACTTCAGCTTGGAAAGGGGGCTCTTCAGGCGACTTCAAGCCCTAAAATGACTTCTTTCTCGATCTAGTATCTTTTGGGCTCCTATGACTCGCAAGTAAGCGCCTAAAGTGGCTTAGCGTTGACTTTATCGGCAAGGCTTGGCTGTGAAGTGGAAGCGCGACGGGGTGGCTGCCTCAGTGGCCTATGGTGTGTGAATGGGTGGTTTGTATGCGACGCTTTGCAACACAGAGGAGAGAAAGGAAAGACACGAGGGAGGCGAATCGATGTCAGCAAATTCGTGGAGTAGCTGGCAATGACTGCGTACTCTGGAAAGAGAGGGCGAGACTCTTTAGGACCTGCCTATCACTCACTCTTTAGATCGACTCACTAAACCTGCTGAATTCGCACTCAGGTGCCCACGGAGCTTCAAAGTGCCGTCACGAAGCTGGCTTTATGTCAGGCTCAAATTGGAACTTACTTGGATTGATACAAATAGTCCCGGAGATTCTAGCACGCGGATTTCCATGTTATAATTAAGAGATGCTCAGGAAAGAAGGTGGCTCTACTATATTGCACCACCTCCGAACTCGCAAGTTATTGAATTGACGATGTATCACTGAGCCACATCCAATGATAGTTGTTGTTGACTTTATCCCACCCAAAGAGGTTTTTATACGGCGGATATTTGAGTAGCGTTGTGTCATGAACGGAATCGGTGTTGTGACCTGTCTTCCCTAAATTTCCAAGAGAGATTTTGCATCACGGTGTATGATTGCCCGGCTAGTGTGGAAATTATGGGATTATTGAGGATGAGAAAGTGTTGCCTTACATGTTTTTGCCATGTAAAAATTAGAGCACATGCTCCCTAGCCAAACCCGGCTGCCGGAGTAAATGCAGTCACAGAACCTAACACTTGATAGCCATGGAGATGCAAATGCATATGAATGCGATAAAACAGCCAACGATGCTGGAAAACGATGTCAGACCGGGAGTGTTTTGTCCAGGCACTTCAACATTCATTTCAAAGAATCCCGTCACCAGACGGCAGGGTACAAAGATCGTGGCGAGAACCGTGATCTTGCTTAAGCCCCATGTGAAGGTGCAGCTCAATTGCAGATTGATAGCGCTGATCTGGGCCAGGCAATTTGGCGGAGATCGACCGATCAACTCATCAATGTGTTCCAAGGCTGAGATAGTCGTGACAAGGTGATCTTGCACGTCGCTCAGATAAAGAATAAGCTCCCCATCTGAGAGAACTGGGTACTTGTCGGGGCCTGGCAGCATTTCACGTAACCGTTCAAGACATCGACTTTACGGCTTAGGTAGCGAGTGATTTGAGCGATTTTCTTGCGGAGGACGTTGACTCGTGGCAAAAGAATCTGGGCGTCATCAATACGGACTGTATAAATTTGGTCCTCAATCGCCTCACCCTCGCGTTCCGCGTCCCGAGCAAAGGACTCGAAGCTGTTGATGATCTCGTCTCTGTAGAATATAAGTTACTTGTGCACTGTGATTAGAAGATAAGCCTACGGAGTTGACTAAACGTACATCATTGCATAGCAGATCCAGTCACTGGTCAAGATCGAGGGATTATGCATCCCATGAATCCGCTCTCTCACTCGGTTCACATGTATTCCACTCAGAGAGGTGATTGCCCTACACTGAAAGACGAGAATGCACAGGGCCACCGAGACTTGAATTTCCGGTTGCTCCTGTTTCTGCAGGGACTGGTGGATAAGGGTTTGAAAGCAGATCAAATAGTAATCGTCCCAGACATCCACTTTCTCACGAGGCTCGCGAATAACCACGTCCTCTGCCGTTAACGGATGAATAGAAAAAGCATGGGAGACGGCTCGGATATCTTGCTCAGTGGCGTCTTGAATATCGATCCACCACACGGGTTGATTGAAATCAGAGCAACCCTTTTACTGGTCCTGAAGAACGTGCTGGAGATCCTCGTCGGGAAAGAGCGTCGCCCAGCTTGTGTAAGTGACCGTCTTGTGTGCCTCTAATGAGGAGAAGCTAAACCGCTCGAACAACACCATCGCCACTTTCTCCGTCTCTTTCCCCGGGTGATTCATCTGTGATGATTGAGAGGGCTTGTTTGTGTTGGGATCTTGGTTCGATCATCGAACTGGGAGTCATAATCACGAAGACAACCGCTAGCAGGTCCCCCGGTACAGGTCCAGGTATCGATGATAGAACGGAGCGAGTAAAGGGATGTCTCCTCACTAGAATCCATGAATGTAGGGTGGAAAAAAGACCGTCAGAAGTGTCTCAGGACACCAAAACGAACTACGGCGAGGATGTAACCTGACATTTGAGTCTTGTCCACCTTCTTCAGGTTCTCACATGGGACCCAAGTCGATTAGGAGTGATAGTGGAAATATTGATAGCCAATGGTAATCTGGGAGGCTAAAATGGGTATGAGAGGTGGATGTTCTTCTTGCGCAGGCTTCTTCGTCATCTGAAGGGGTTGACGCTGGGGTCGTGCCAACCATTCCGACTTTTGGAGACGGCGCAAGGAATCGGCGTTGTTCCGATACTCCGAGAATTGTCAAGCTTTGCGTCTGGGGCCATCACCTGGACGGTACCTCGAAGCCTTGATGCGCACGATCTTTCATGTCAGGGAGACTGGACTGAGAGGATCCGAAATCAGAGCGTTGTGTCGATCGACATCGAGTGAGATGAGAGGAAAGTGACACTAGAGAGCCACTTGTGGCAGCAGAGGTGAATCGATTGTATGCGCCTAAGTGGTACTGGTACCCTGTGTTAGGTAGTGTGTAGTGTGTAGTGTGTAGTGTGTAGTGTGTAGTGTGTAGTGTGTACTCGTGGTATACTGACATATCTACCAGCCCTGCAAATGAAGCCCTGCTCTCCCGACAGTAGTAGTACGCATACTAAGCGAGTAGCAGCTACACATGTACTTGCCTTCGTTCTTGCAGTTCGATACAGGACCGGAAAAGTTAAGTGCTGGACCTAGGGCCGGGAACTGCGGAATTTTTGTGACGGGAAGTATTTCTGGGCGGAATACTGACTGACAAGAACAGAAAAGACTAGTAATATCCGCGGTGACGCATATTGCCCAGAGTCCGGTATATTTATGTAGTAATATAGTATAGACTATAGACACTATAGACTAGAGTATTGTATCTTGGTATTTGCTCGGTCGCACCGTAATAACTAGTTCAAGTCCGTTTGGAACAGTAGCAATCTAGCATTTTAGTCCATCATGATTGATGTAAAGTTGATCCTGCAGCTGACGCCAAGACCGCGCCAAGCGTTCGACTCCGGACAAACTTGGCAGCGTGCCGAACAGCCGTCTCTGAGATGTTGGATGAAACCACGCCGTTCTGGAGTTCAAGGAAAACCCACTTCCTTGTCGAGACCAGCGCTGTCGATGAGAGCTTGCTCCACGACGAACCCCGGACAAATGTTCAGGATCTGGATTGCCATCTCGATCCAGCTGAGGGGATTAGTCATGGTGTACACAAGTCGCATATATCTTGGTGCACAAGTGCCTCAATTTTGTAACTCCAGTGAGTTGATGTAACCCTCGAACCCATGTGGATTGTTCAGTAGGACCGACCTCCTCACCGAGTCTCCACTTCTGTTCAGTCCACGAGCCTATTATTATGTGCCCGTTGGATAACACACAGAAAAGGGCATGCACAGAGGCTCTTTTGCATTATATCTATATCAAAGGGGTACTACTGAGTACTGACCAAGGTTTCCTATCCAGGTCTGATTGTCCCCTGATTTAAATTCCATAAACATGGAGATTCTTTATGTATAGCTGTATACAATTGAAATTCCCCATTTGTCCCAAACCCCGTCAAAGATTCCTCTCATCGACTTCTGCCAATTCTGGGTGGATCCTGAAAAACTAAAAAGACGAGAGTGATAGAGCGTCTGGTCATCCCGCCCAGAACAAGTCTGCATGATTCAAGACGTTTTGCCCTGATTAATTCGCTGGGTGTGGGAACTATATTGATGCAAGTTAGTAGGTACCTGTTAGTAGGTACTACCTAGGTTCACATATCTCGAAGAGCAGGGCCCTCGATGGGTGGACAGTGGAGAAAAGTTCGAGATTCTCTCGTCTCCCTGTCCACTAGATGAAGGCCAACGAAAGGTTTCCCACTGGAGCGACCAGCGTTGAGTGATTGTTTACCTTGAGCCTACTAGAGCCCTCGGTTGAACTGATGGATTTGGCTCAACCTCATCGTATCTAGTTCCTTGAGATCAGTAATACAGGTTGGTTTCCCCCACTGGTTGAATACCTGGACTTGGACTATATGTACTTCACAAGTTCACACACTTGGGTCGAGTGATGGGCGAGTGAGGTTATAGGTTGGTCGATCAGTCATGGACCTAGATCCCCTCACAAGTGATGTTGCGTACTTCTATCAGCATCGAGTGCCAATGATACAAGCTTAAGAATTCTTCGATATAAATTGGACCATTTCCGCACAACGATTCCCTTCAAAGGATCAAAAATAATCTGAACTTTTCTTTCAGACAACCATCAATACTTGATAGGAACCATGAAGTCTTTCAAAGTCCTCAGCATCTTAGGAGCCGCTTTCTTCGCGGGTGTATGTTGCAATCATTTCCAATGAGTCCATCCCCAAGCTGACGCAATTCCAGGCCCAAGCTGACGCAATGCCAGGCCCAAGCTCTGAACGAGGCTCCGAGCGAGGGCTACAACATTGAGGAATTCAGCTGGGAGGTTGAATCCACCCCGGGGAGCGACAAGGGTCGTCCTTGACGGCACTATTCCACAAATCGCCACTCAGCTCCGCGACATCAACCCTAACTTCGACATCTCTCTCTTAACATTCTCTCCTTTACTTCTCTCTTCTTCCGATCCGGGGTCCGACATACCAGGTAGCCTTTGTTTTCCATCAAATGTGGGACTAGGGAGAACTCTCATCATAGGGTTGTTCTAGGCTTTCAACTTTCTTTTCATCCAGAATTCCATGCTGAGGTACTTACACACGGGCTGCTTGTCTGGCTTGGCGTTGCTGAGCTCGAGGACCGAATACGTGGGGAGATGGGGGCACTCAAACTTTTCTTCCCATCTGCAGACTACTCCAGCAGTACTCTACTCGTCGACTCGGGACTCGGTACTCGGTAGTCTAGTACTACTTGCTACTTAGTACTTCCCAAGAGCTGAAAATCAAGCGAAACCAGAACGGTTCGGTGAAGAAGGGCCATGATAACCTTACCTCCGATGCGCACGCAATGCTACCTATGCGGAAGTCCTAGAGCAGCACGGATGTAAGAAACAACGATCGTAAATCAATATAGTGTCTTCACTGCCTTGAGTACATGAAATCTTCACAAACATAACCATGCAAACACAATGTCGAGTCGTCGAGATTGAACCAAAAGAGCAGAGAAATCATCCAGCATATCCACTTGGGCGCATTCTTCATCTCTTCAAACACAGTGGGGACTTCATATCCACTTTGAATGCACCCATATGGAGCCATCTCGAACAGGCAGGCGGCTGCAGTGTCCATCCCTAAAAGGTAAGAGGTAAGCAAAAAGGCACTCCTAGCTCAGTACCTGATTGCAGCCATGCAGAATCAACGAGGTTTAGATGGCGGAATCAACTAGACAGCCGCAGGGAAGGTGTCTTCTGATCGGATAAGTTACTCTTTTTAAACAACATGAAAGCGCTGTAAACAAGTCAGCACTGTCTGGTATCGTGACTTCCGTCAGGCAGGCTGCTATGTGAGAACGGTGGTACTGCTCAATTATCAATCTTATTCTTCGCATCGAGATGAGCCGACGTGAGTAATCTGCCCGATCTGCCTACAAGGAAACCCCAAGATTTATTCTCCCACCCGAAAGGCGCGACCTTCGTACTTGCTTAACAGTCTGTAATAAAATACCTATCGATTGTATGGAGGCTATGGAGTTGGGTAGTTTTTGGCCCCCAAGTTATAGCGGGAATGGTGTCCACTTCCTTCCAATATGCAACTTCTGCGATCTTGGAAAATGATTCACGGGTCATGGTTGGCTACTAGCCTTGATATCATCAATTGTAGTATTCTATACTGCTTGCACGCTTTACTCAATATGGGCTAATGGCAAACCCAGCCAGACTGGAAGAATCTTCGCTATAAATTGAAGCATATTCGCAGAATACCATCGATCAATCCATCAATAGTTTTACTCTCTTCTTGTCGCAATCATGAAGTCGTTCAAAGTTCTCAGCATCCTGGGAGCCGCTCTTGTCACCGGGGTGCGTGATATATATCTCTCAAGATCAATTCATGAATCAACGTCCATATGAAGCTGACCCCCCAGCCAGGCCCAAGCTCTCAACGAGGCCCCCATCCAGGGCTACAATATCGAGGAATTCAGCTGGGAGGTTGAATCCGCCCCCGGCAGCGAAAAGGTCGTTCTGAACGGCACCGTCCAACAAATCGTGGCCCAGCTCCGCGAAATTAACCCCAACTTCGACACCGACTTTGGTCTGGACAAGGCCGACGAGGAAGAACAAGCCCACGCTGAGTCGCAACTCACAAAGCGCGGTGACTCTTGGCTGTGCAACATTTTCGACGGCGCCCGTCAGGCCGACATCACCAACGGCATCAAGTATCTCCGTGGTGTGTCTGGTCAGCCCACAGCGGGCCCTGGCCCGGGTAATTGTGCACGAGTCAGCTGCTCGTATGCAGCAGCAATTTGGTGGTGTAACGATGTAAGTGTTCGAAGGGAGCTCCTGGGAAGTGGCGAGACCCAAGTTAACAAGAGATTTAGAACACCTTCACAAAGGTCCTCCCCGGCTTCTACAACATCGCTGATGGAGCACAGGTCCTCAAGAACAAGTGCTGGACTGGAGGTGGCCAGAAATTCTCGGGACAGCTTTTCCACGATGACAAGTGGAATGTTATCGTTCGGGCTGACCACGACAACTGTTAAGTCGATCAGTAGAAGAGGAGTGCAGACAAAAGGGGGCAAAAGGAGACGGGCGAGCGGAATTCAGGATAAAGTATCCCTCGAGGATTCTGGAACAGCAACTGTCAATGTCAGTCTATTAAATGAGCGCAAAAGGCACGGATCCCTCGCCAAAATGATAGGCGGAGCGCCCTTCCTGGCTGTTTGATATTTGGGAGTTTGCGTCGAAATCCACAGTCCTCGAACAATGTACTCGCCAGGACTGATCTTGTTGAGTTTGAGACATGGTAGAGAATGTCTACACGCTAATACGTGTATGTACACTGGGGAAAGAAACCACTTGGACCCTCACTCAAATATGCGGAGTGGTTACAATCCGTATCCGAAAGCCAACACGATGCCAGCTGGAGGCTCTCTTAATGCGTTGCTAGGCCTTTTACACTTTCAAACAGCACCAACGGTGTGAATAAGAAAACGTATAAAACTCAAATAAGAAATTAAAATACATAAAATTTTCGTATACATGTACACATAATGGAGTTCGACACGATAGGGACACAAAGAAAGAGGAGTTGGGATGCATATATACTCATTGAGAAATGTTCATCCAAAAGATTTACGTGCGGTACTCCTGTGTCTGCCTTCGAAGTGGATCAGTAGGTTGTCAGCCGATGAAATTACCTCAATCCATCAAAGCTCGGTGCGTCCTCCAGTCGCAGTGACAGGGGCAGAAGGACCTTCCGACTCCAACACACCGTTACCCGCATTAGGTCCATCGATGTGCGAAGCGCGCTGCTGACCCTTGTCAAAGGAGCCGCGCATTACGCTGGGATCAGCGGGGAATTCGAACTTGGAGCTCTTCCACGGCTTCACGTTCATCAGATACATGGTATCAATTTCCTCCAGAGTTCGGCCCTGGCCCTCGACGACGCCAAAGTAGACTGTGGCTGCCGCGAGGAACAAGCAGCCTGCAAAGACATAACCGTATCGGAAGTCGATGGCGCTAGTGATGAACGGAGTGAAGAAGGCGAGCAAGAAGTTCCACAGCCAGTTGGAAGCGGTACAGAGGGACATGCCGCGGGCCCGGTATTGCGAAGGGAAGAGCTCGGCGATGATGGCCCAGACCATTGGCCCCCACGTGCTGGCGAAGCCCAGGATAAACAGACAAGCGAACACCACCATGACAACTCCGGCAGTCTTGGTATTTTGAGGGTTCTCTCGATCAAGTGAAAAGTGTCCGACAGAGGCGAAGATCATGAAACACACGAACATCCACAAGGCACCCGCAATGAGTGATCGGCGACGACCAAAATGTTCGATCAGGTACAGTCCGAGGAAGGTGGTACCAAAGTTCACTCCTCCGAGAATCATCTGAGTCACGTAACTATTCTGGATACCAGCGCCCTGGAAGACGGTGGTTCCATAGTAGAAGAAGTAGTTGGCACCGGTGAGCTGCTGGAGAGCCTGGAGAACGACTCCAATGACCACACGGCGAGCCATGGTGGGAGCCCGGAACATCTGCACCCAAGACGCTTGGCCATTCTTGACTTCCTCTTCATACTTTTGCTTGATTTCGTCAAACTCAAGATGGAGGGCGCGATGATTGCGGGGAACGCCGTAAATCTTTGACAGTGTACTGATAGCCTTGTCGACTTTGCCATGGCGGTAGTCGTATCGAGGACTCTCAGGGAAGAAGGCCATACCAATACCAAGAATGAGCGCCCAAAGATAGGTGATTCCCATTGGAATGCGCCACGACGCAGTCGAGGTCTTCTTCTCAGTTCCGAAATTGATACAATTCGCAACGAAGATTCCCAAGGTGATGAACAACTGGTATGTGCTGGAGAAAGTTAGTTACAAAGATCCATATGCAGGAGACGGAAATTATTGCACACCTGATCAGAGCACCACGGATGTGTCTTGGCCCAGACTCGGCCTGATACATGGGCACAAGCAGAGACAGACCACCCACACCGAGGCCCGCAACCCAACGGCCAAGGGCAACCTGATACCATTTCCCGACGGGAGACGAAATCTGCACGGTGACACCAACACAGACAATCGCAGACCAAAGACTAATGGACCATTTTCGACCAATTCGATCAGCAACGAAACCGGCGACAAGAGCTCCCATCAGAGTACCGATTGACAGCTACAGATGTGTTAACATTAGCGCCTCTCATCTTCAGTCAAGTCATGATAAGACAGGTCGTCAGCATACCAAAGCCACAATAAGGCCCGAGCGAACGTTTGTGAAATAGTAAGTCCCGTTGGCGTTAGGCTCGCCAAACCGCTGCAAGAAGTTCTTCATCTCAAGGAAACCGGAAATCTGACCCGTGTCGTATCCGAACAAGAAGCCACCCATGGAGATGAAGACGCCCATCAAGAAGGACCGCCATGTGAGGAGAGGAATGGGCGTGTCAACGACATCGTGTGCGCCCTTTTCATGCTCTGCGGTCGAGGTAGACTCTCGAGGAATGTCTGCGTTGCCGTACACATCCTCCGGTTTTGTCTGGAAGAGATTCTTAAGAGGCATCTCGGGATGACTCAGACGCAGGTGGGTGTTCGTAGTTGTGCTGATCGCTCAATTAGTCTTACGGTATGTATCTAGTCGGACTAAAGACACTGAAGCGTCACCAGAAGTACGAGAAAACTTGCCGACGAATAAACCCTTATACACTGGCTGATTCGTCTACGTCACTACTGAATTCATTCCTCATTCGTCGCCAAGCCTTGGCGACCAAAGGAAAAGCCCTCTCCATGTGGCTGTCATGGGCTCCGTCTGGGGAAAAACCAGACCTTTGACCATGGATCGATCGTCCGTAACTGACGCAACGACATGGGCGAGGCAACGGCGAGACAGCGGCGCCTGCCATGGTTCCAGCGAATGGACTTTACAACAATAGCACCCAGGCAGTCTTTCAGGGTTCTCTAACCAATCTCCGCACTTGTGAAATGGCGTCCCGATCAAAGCACTGCCCGTAATGAATAGTGATAAACGTCCGCTGATAAAGATAACGGGGGACTGGGGGCGAGTCCAGTACAGTACTGCTCCCGAGCACATCTGAAGTTCGGGGTAATGGAGACGGACGAGAGTGCAGCCAATCCACAACCGCAGCGCCCATACGAATCCGGACGGCGTTGTGAGAATCCCTGGCGACGATCTTTGGATCGAGACACAGACGAACCAGAGTGACCTCAGCGGCGTGGCAACCCCCGTTCTTGTGACCTTTCGCACATGATTTCCAGTTTGTTCCGGATCATCCGCCCAGACGAATCGTGGCGATGATTGTTCTCTTTCGAATCGAGACCCCGCTAGGGGCATCCAGCGAGGGACTGCGCTATGCGTAGTTTGCGTACTATGGCCGACCCGCAAGCGGTGGACCCCTTTAACCTCGCAGTAGAAGGATTTTAGAACGTGTCAATGATGCTGGTGGTGAGCGCCACTGAAGGGATTCCTCTCGGAACCGTATTCCTCCAGTCAGCCAGGCCACTTGTTACTGGCCGGCCTGTTCGATAGGCCTTTCCGATAGTGGAGCGGACGCCGTGCTTTTTCTATCATTGGCTTGGAAGCAAGAGCTGCGAGGGTGCCGTCCAAAGTTGAACAGCGCAGCGGCTTGGCTGTCGCGGTCTTCCATGCCGCTCGAGCTTTCATCATAGCAAAAGCTGAGAATCTGCAGGAAGGGTTCATAACAGGGAACTATGCCGAGGTTGAATGTGCGAAGCAGCCCAGAGTGGTTACGAAGGTAGGCAGGTCCATGTGGTGGTTGGGGTTGGCGGACAGCGGACGAGGCTCCGAGCCCAGTCCCTGACTGGGTGAGGAACTGCCGCTGACTTCCGCATATCTATTCTGCGCGATGTGACAACAGTCATCTCGTGATTGCCTTGCCTGGTCTCGACACTGTATGCCAAGTCCTGACCATGCAAGGAAGGGGCAATCATGCTCTTTAGATCATCAACCGCGGCCTATTAGGTTGGCTTCTCATCAAGAACCCGTGACCTAAGTGTGAGGACAGGAAAGTACAGAGGCAAAACTCAAACTTACAAACCTAAACACACGATCAAGATTACAATCAAACACATTTATGATACTAACTATCCTGACAAGATACAAGATATTTCGAATATGATTATCAAGATTTGAAAAAAAAAAAAAAAAAAAAAAAAAAAAAGGGACACTGGCGAAAAAGAAGACGACCAAAGCTTCCACAGTAGTAAATAGTGCCAACGCCTCCCCAAGAACGCCTCAATTTGGTAAGGTATCATTAGCAAAAAAAAAAGTAGGGGGGGGGGGGGGGGGGGGGGGAAAGAAAAAAAGAAAAACAGAAAAAGAAAAATAGAGAAAAGAAAAGCTCATGTCAACAGTATAACGATAGCGCAGTATGTAGCTCTGAGGAAATTTCATTGCACAGAGGGTCGTTGGTCCCAGCTCTGGGCGAGACGGTATTCACCAACATCGTCCTTGGAAGGCACGGCGAGACCTTCTAATGAATCGGGCAAGTTGAGCTCGTCCGGACGTACGGACAAATTCCCCGTCGTCGAAAATTCCTCACTGCTACCTAGAGGGTCCCCAGAGTAGCTCAAGTACCCATGATGAGGCAGTTCACTGTGAATAGAGTAGTCTCCGCTACTCGCAGACCATGCCTCGGGGGACAATTCTTGCAGCTCATTTGACAACGGGCCGGGCATCGCAAGGGTCGAGTCGTGAGATTTGCGATGGCAATCGGCGGTGATGGAGGCGAACGGACCAGAATCTTCACCGCACTCACTTCCACCGTAGATGCCGGTGAAGATATTGGAAAGCCCGTGATCCATATCACTCAAGACGTACTCCCAGTCAGCCATCGTGATGGCTCCTGTGGCTGGGTCGGCTCCGACAGACGTCATTCCCACGTGAGGCTGATCATATATGGAAAGTGATGCAGGGCGCCGCGTCTCGTTTCCGAGGTCCAGGGAGGAGTGTCGGCTCAAGGGGTAAACGGTATTCGTGGGCTGCTGGTGGTGGGTGGGGGGCAGGCTTGTCCAACTGGGTGATTGTATAGCGTGGGTGTCAAGCGGAGGCGTAGAGCCAGAGACAGTGTTTCGACGAGACTGGGAGCTCGAAGAAGCAGATTGATCCTTACTCAGACTGTGCCTGATTCGCGCCTTGAGGGACTGCAACTGCTTCTTCGGAGATTTTGAAGGCTTGTGAGCCGGGGCCTTCATCTCATTGGACTTTTTACAGACAGCCGCAGAGTCACTTGCTGGGCTCGGATTGAGCGCCGGATGGAATCCAGCAATCGCTTTGAATTCGGTGGCAGACGTCGAAGATTCAGCTTGTAGCCGATCCACGACCGTTGTGAGCAACTTCTGGCTATCTTTTGCAAGCTTGCTGTCCCGCTTGAGACCCATAGTCTGCCACAAAAGGCCCAATCCCGAGAAAAAGACCAGCTCTTCCCGGTTGATGCTGACAGACAGACAAAGCCGGCGCTCGTCAAGCAAATCAAGTATTTGCAGAATGTGTTTGGCTGACTCAGCCACGACCATGATGGACGGAGATCGGACGTGCTCTTCAGCAAAGCAGACGGCCGGCCGGTGAACCAAAGACCGGATAAAGTAAAAGACCAAAGAGAGAAGAGGTGACCGACTTCCTGTGACGTTTGTACTAGGTTTGTCCTGACAAAATTCGAGGCGCAGATGAGGAGGGAGACCACGGAGCCATTCGTCAAGATCCGCGCTGATCGCACGCAACCGGGCCACATAGATGTCGAAGCGAGTCTTTGAAGGATATAAGTACTCCATGGCTTTGCTCAGAATACGGGACGCACTGAAGAGAGCAAGAGCGCTTGAGATCCGGGTCGATTCGCCAGGAAGAGTTGGTAGGAAGCCTGACTCCGTGACATTCTCATCATCGATGTCCACCGGAAGTTCGGTCTGAATGAGGGAATCGGGCAAGATTACAGGCATGCCTGTGAGCGCGGCACAGAAGCGATCCATGGTGTATTGACACCAGAAAACCTTCTTCCGGGTCTCGGCCTCCAGGTGATTGAACTCCGACTGGCCAGGGTTGTGATACAACCCTAGTTGGTGGCACTTGTCTGCAGCCAGAGCACGGTAGCGGAGCAAGGCACGATAATCGCGCTTTGTCATGTAATAAATCTGCGCCAGAATGATGCATTGCAGTACTTCAATTGAAGTCTCCTCAATGAATGCATCGAGACAGAGAGTCCAATTCTGCTCGAAAAAAGCCGGATCTTGGTGTGTTCGGGACTGCGCACCTCGTTAGATTGTACGGCAGAAACGAAGAATGATATGGCACAACTCACCTGGGACGACAAGGCCGCAATGCCAAAGATCAAATTTAGCTGAGCCATCAATCGGGCGTTCTGTTGGAAAGAGCCTAGATCGTTCAGGTATTCTCCGTAGGCCTTGAGAATAGTAGGTCGATGAACGACTGGGTACATAGGTGCCCATTCCTGGAAGAATATGTTGATAAGTTGATCCGACACCAGACGTGGTGGGGTTGCAACAGCTTGCCCGGGGGATCCACGGGCAAGCGGCTGCAATGGTGTGGTCAGAAAATCTGTGTGCGTAGGCTGAGCCTTGCCTTGTCCCACAAGTGCATGATTCAAGACATCTAGAAAAGGTTGGATGAGTTGAGTTGTTCAAGCAGGGAAAGTCCTGCAATAAGGATACCAGCTCCCACACTTACGAGCAAATCCCCGAGTAGTCGATAAGCCGTCGTTCAGACGACTGGTGTCCCTTCCTGAATCAGCGATGTGGTGGTATTGTTCGACATGGATGATGCCTTCAGATTCATCCGAGATCAGCGCTTTCGTCACCACGGGCATAGACGGAGACCGTGCGGGGACAGCCCGCTGCGCAGCTGAAGAGAAAGAGTGAATCCGCGATAGAACATCAATCTTCTCGTCCTTCTCATCCAGCAGATCTTTGAGGTCTTTGACCTCCGCTTCCAGACTGCGCACGCGCTCCTCCAACGACTCTGTATATCCACGTGGGAAAGCTCGACGGCTCAGTTTGTCGCTCGTTTTACATTCGAATCCGACATTTGCGCATTGCGTGCAGCAGGGGCGAATACCATCGCAGCGGATTTTTTTACTTCGACAACGATCGCAGGCTTGGGCGATTCGGCTTTGGCTGCCGCCCACTCTGATTACCTTCATCGGGAGGATACCAGGCATCTTGGCGAGATAGAGCGATGCGCATCAGCCGTGTGAAAGGATTATAAGACTTTCCAGCGCACGGAGTCCTTCTTCAGAGACTGTGAGACCGCCAGAGATTGTGTGAGATCATCTCACGAAGGAAGCAATATAGTCAAAATATCCAAAAGATATCAGCCTCGCCTGACGAAACATGAAGCCACCGATGCAGGAGAGGGGGGAGGCGATAAGACGGAGTGAGGACGTGCAGATGCAAATGCGGGCGGGTGGATCAGGCTGACTCAGTTTCCGGTGGGCGGGTGAAGAGGAGAAGACTTGGTGCAGTCCGCCAATGATCTTGGCCGTTTAGGTTGTTTCGCGAGTATCAGTAATTCCATCTTACGATACCGCTTTCGAAGGTTAAATCTGCCGGGTGAGGTACATGGTGCAAGACTCCTAATGACTCGCAATCTAGACATCTACAATACGCCCCTGCAGGAAATCAAGTCCCTCTTACAGCGAGAGAGCATTCGCACTCCTCCTTCCATACTATTGCAAGATATTCCCCAAAGGGGCGAAGAGTGATTGGTATCGTGGGTATCAGCTTGCCGAGGCGCCGACAGATGGGGGCAAAAGTGTGGACTCGGTTGAAGGCCCCAGCGATCTTCCCGAGAACCCCAGACTTCCAACATGGAGACTTGAGAGCCCCGGAAACTTGGAAAGGTCTTTGCCGTAATTGTCACAGGGTGCCACGGAACTCGCGCTCGCGGTATTACAGTATCGTAACGATCGGTATCGATGGGCTTCAATACCACAGTCCTGTATTCAGGTATGTAATCGTACTGTAGATTGCGGCATTGCGCTGTCGCACTACTCTACAAGTCTGCATCAACCACGCAAATGCGCAAATCATGATCTTCTTCACACTCTTGGCTTCCTACATTATCCCTGTCGAACGCCTCGAGGCTCGCCAGCTGACGGAAAGATAAAGATGCAAGTGTCAGACAAATGAATAATCGTGGTGATATCAGTCCAGTTTGCGGAGAAGAAGGGCGATTCTTTTCACGTACACTTCTCGGAAAGGATTGGCTGAAAAGTGAGTTTGCAGACAAAATAGTAAGGATTCAATGATGATCTACCAAGGTTCGGCAAGCTGAATAAACTTAAGCTGAAGTCATTGATGATCACAGATAGAACCACACCACAACGTCTGACGCAAGAATGCGGTCCAGTCACGAGTGGTCTTCCTGTTCTCGTCCTCTTTACGAACTGACACCTTGCTACCTTATACCTTGCCTTCTCGAGGGGCAGCAAGTTGAGCAAAGGGTGCGGAGTCCGGGGACAGCCCATCCAGAGATCGTCTTGGTGCACTGACTCGATCCACAAGTGCTGAGAAGCCCACATATTCTCCAATTGCATGCAATGTCCAGGCATGTCTTTAGTTCTCCCCGTTATCAACTGAATATGGGAGGGTATCGCGGTTCAATTTTGACCATGTCTACCAATTCTCAAGTTGGTGGTACAGTCCAATTTTGGCCAGATCTCGGCGCGGCGCGAGCTGCTGCTTCGGGAGTCTTGGATACATTATTGGCATGCAAATCGATCCCTGTCAAAGTGACATCGACTGGCGAGATAGTGTGAAGAAAGATAGCTGGGACCCTGCAGAAAAATATTTCTGCGGCCCTTCCACTGCAGTCACGGTCAATTTGCGTGACCACGATATTTGATGTTGCACATGGTGGTATGCACATTTCAAAGCCAAGACCTGCACTGCACAGGCGTGAAAGAATTCAAGATTCGGAATGGCCTTCTTGTCACTGACGGGCCACTGATCTTCGGGGACGATCCGCCCGTGGGTGGAGATGTTGAAGTGACTCGAATTGATTTATCACCCCGTCGCATGTGTATCCTTCTGGACCCTGAGAAGACAGCATCGTTCCAACGCCCCCACGGCTTTAGCCTGGCTGACTGCATGAAGTTGAGAAATTTGACCGGCAAACGTCAGCCTGGGACCATGCCGATACTGGCTGTAACATACCAGTCGAGACGGGACTCTGAACTTCTCAACTTTGGGTAAGCGAGTTTTACCCGAGTCAATACCGATAGACTCGCGAACCACGGTACCGTTTCGAGCTCATCGGGACGAGATTTGCATGAGTCTTATTGGGAAGAATAGCGGCGCTGAAGCTGTCAAGCACCACTCCCTGAGATAGTTGAAGGAAGGTGGCCGAGCGAGTGCGGCAGCGCCGAGCAATAACGGCAAGCTCCACGGACGCAGGCTCCACTCACTCTTTGGGCCTGTGCATGACTGCATGACTGCATCTGGCCATGAAGTCGTAGTAGTAGGTATCAATTGTTGTCCATCAAGGTTGCTAACACCCTGCAGCAAGTTCTGCCAACGGTCAGATTCGCTTGAAGGGCAGCACACATGAGCTCTAGACTCGGATCGCGCTCAACGTGGTGCTCTGCAGGATGCTATCCACATCCCATACTAGTTTTCTGCGCGGATAGATTTGAAGATACGACCTTGCAAAAGTACGCGATACGACGAATGCCAAGTATGCCTCACGGGGGGCTGATTCTGTGGCTACGGCAACCCCCTTGACGAGTCGGACCTTTCAGATCGGTCTACAACTCCTTTACGATCCTACCGACGGAACGGAAATTGACTCCGTTCGCTGAGCGCACGGAAGAGCCCTGCATTGCATCAGTGGCGGACGCCGGAACTCGCGAATTCATGCAGGCTTATCCTGCCTCTCAGTCGCATCGTCTCCTCGGTTGGAAGATGCGACGGTACAGGGGACTGCCCCCTTCCCTGTGTCTCCATGTCATCACGAAAAGTCTTCAACGTCCTCCGGGACCGACTGCTTCGTAAGATATGACATGACCGCCGGCGATTCCACAAGGGTGTTTCTCTAGTATGCGAAGATTAGCTAAGTATGTCAAACGGACTCTTGCTTCGGATGAAGATGATCTGACCTGGTTGATAAGACTCTGAATTGATCGCTGCAGCAAATCTTCCTCGAGCGTTCGTAACTTGGAAACAGTAGCCATGACCTCTGGTCTGAAAAGTTTCCCCATGAGTGCTTCATCATCGCGAATGCTGTCGATTGCGTTGCTGACCCGATGAAGCGAAGCAAGCTGCGTCTCCACTCGCTGGAGAACTAACATGACCGCTCGTAGTTGGAAAATCTCCCAGGATGGATCTGCTGTAAGAAAGCCCAGAAGCTGATCACAAGACTGAATGGGGTGGTCTTTCCAGCGTGCCTCGAGCTCCTTGGTACCATCGGTACGTTGCGCGATTCCGATGTGGAGGCCATCCTCTTCGTTGACACTTGCCCACCAAATCAGTTGGCTTTCCCAGTGAATGTCTGAGGCAGCTTCATCTGTCTGACCCTCGTTTGCACCACCGACCGATAGCTTGAGCCCGGGGTTCTTACGACAGAACATATTCTTCGCGACTGCCAGGGGGTCGTCTTCGGGCAGTGTCACGTCTAATAAAACTTGCTTGGCATCAGCCAGATCATCCGGCAAAAATCCGTAGGCGAACAACATCTCGGATGCTGGTTTCTCATCACCGTATCTGTACGGCGGAAAGTTTAGCGAGCTGTTGACTTGGCGAGGGCAGCACTTGCAAAGCGAACGAGAAGGGAGCGGGCTTACGAGATGGTCACTTCTTCCCCCGGTTGTATTCCTTGACCCCAACGTAACTGCAGGATTACGCTGCCCTCCGAGCTCACGTCGTAAAGGGCTTTCGCTTCCCCTCCGCCGGTGTGATTGGCCATATCGATGCAGGGCACTATAGAATGTCCGATACTAGGCAAATCGACCATGCGTGATCGATACGCGGCGTCCACATATTGCCAATCTTCGATGGACAATCTCCCCGCATCCGCGTCCCACCAGCACTGCTGACACCAGGGTATGCTCTCGGTCGACTGGCGTAAATGCTCAAATTCTCTTTCCAAGGCCGTGACTTTGCCGTTTAATGCAGATGAGAGCGAAGTACCTTCGAGCAGTGATACTTCCTCGCCTCGATAGAAAGTTGGCAGAGGAAATGATTCTGGGAAGAACTTGACATATTCCGCCCAGGGACTTGACACCCCAATACGCTGGGTTATATCTGGGCTTGAGTGTGTCAATTGAAGTAGGAGAAATATGAGAATTGCTCCACGTGTGGTCTATCCTTCATTTAGCCAAGCTCCCTCTGACGTGTTGGAATACAACAACAAAGATGTAGAACCGCTTACAGTGCCAAACGCTCCCACAGCATCCAAGACCTCGCGTAGGTGCTGATCTGACTTGGCATGGTCATGGACAGTCTCCAATGAGAGTACCAAGTCCGCTGGGACTCGGAAAAGAATCGTAGGTTCGGCGTCGCTCATACTACTGACTCGAGACTCGGTTGCTATCACCGCAGTACCTTTCTCGGCGCTCAGATCACCCGTGTCGGCCCTTTGAAATTTCACTCCATTTGAGGTCACCCCATTGAGGTGCAACCACGCTGCAAGAGACTCTGCTGGGTAGGAAGCCCGCTTCATTGTGGTTTGGGCCGTGGGCAGTCGTGCGGATATACGGAGTGCAAAAAGTCGAGCGGTAGGCGTGAGACCCTCAGATAGACAAGCACTGATTCCTTCCCAGGGGAAAGCTCCTCGATTTTGATCAATGAAAATGAATCAGCTGGGATATACGCTGTCAATCGTGGTTTCGTGTCGCATCATTGGACCCGCGTGATGTCCTGCTGCGGGTTCAAGGTTGTAATGAGTGGACACCAGAATCTTGAGGCATCAACAGCATCTTTAAACAAGCAGGCAGGATCTAATCGGTCAACGAAAACCCTGAACCATTACCGATGACTTGTGCTTATGGAATACTTGATGACAAATTTAAACAGTATTCATTTAACCTGAGATCACTGATCTAAAATAAAGCTCAATCTAATGCATTTTCGCGATCGTCCATCGAGATGGCATCGGCATGTGTTGCGGCATCAAGACGTCATACCTGGGACATAATGAAGTTACCGGGGAACCCCAGGTCTATTGATCATCGATATTGACGATCATACCTTACAAAATTGGCACAAAAGCACCTGCCCTGAGTGCTTTTCTTTTAATCTTCCAGTTAGTCACCACGACACTTCATATCATCAAACATGCTCGGTCCAATCTTTGCTCCATTCAAATTGCCTAGTGCGCTCGTCGTACGACCGTCACGAGCCTCCATCCTCACGAGACGAACCTTTGCGCGATTCGCCGTGTCTTTCTCTTCCGGGGGCTCTCAGAAGGAGCCCCTTGCAAAGGAATGGAAAGGGTCACATCCAGAGGAGCATAGTACCCAGCGAGTCAAGCGAGGCGACAACAAGGATATTGCTGCAGCGGCCGCCAAAGAGGGAATGGACGAGCGCGCAAACTATGAAGGCATCGCGGAGGGTTCCAAGTCGCAGGCGACGACCGAGCGCGGTGGCCGCAAAGCAGAGGCCAAGGCCAAGAAGGAACATCCCGCAGCCCCGGAGCCGGTAATAGGCATGAATGATGAGCGAGGCCAGGTGCGTTTCACAGTGTCTTCGTTGATTGCCGAGTCACTGCGTTGACTTCAAATATGGATATTCAACCTTGTCGGAGCTGTACTGACCGATCTCTTGGGTACAGAAAGGGCATTAGTGATAAAGGCTCGGTCTTGAGGACTTTATTTACAGGCGTGACCGGTCGCTCATCTCTCTGAACAATTCTAAGCCACTTGCACCTGATATCTGTCTTTCTGGAAGCGACGCTGGCTATATTGGCCTTTTGTCAAATGCAGGCCGATACTGTACACTATTCATCACCCCGCATAGATATGAATTTCATGTTGATGCAATTATTACCGTCCGACTTTGAAGGAAAGAATCTAGCCCCGAGCATTTGATTAGCGAGCGTAGCTGTTTGGCCGAGCTCTTGCGAGGTGGTTCGACTTACATCATGTTTCCCAACCGCTACAATATCTTCCTCTGACACCCGCGTTCCTCCAACGCCTTCAATGTAGGAGATAGGGACATCGCCCATGACCTTCCGAGCAACGTCGCCAACTGTGCTATTTCTGTGGCACTGTCAGTAGATGCCAGTCTGGTTTCTTCCAAATTGGTCACACTTACTTCTTAACCAGGACGCAATCACGAAACACCGCACTTCCTGATCCGGAGTTGAAAGTCTGAACGTTGCGCACGGGGAAGACTGGGACCAATCCGAGACGTTCTGCGGCCCTTGAGAGGCACTGCACAACGCCCGTTGACCCAAAGCGGTACAGGACCATGTCTTTTAGATTTTCGACACGACTGGTAGAAAAAGGGCAGACATCAGTCCCGGCCCAAAGCTCCTATCACTACCAGCACCCGAGCTACTTACGCCTTCAATTTTTCGTCCATCTCCTTCAAGCCACCGCCATCTGGATCCCCCATCTCGATCAGATCTTCCCTTGTGTCCACAAATTCACTGCCCTCGACGTATTTGATATAGCCTTGTTTGGCTAATCGTCGGAGAAAGACCTCTGATATGGCTGAGCAAAGAACGATGGCTTGAGGATCCTGCATTTTGGCGATTTTGCTTATGTTCTGTTGTCGAAGCTGGATCAGTATCTCTACTTCATCCCAAAAAAAACTTCTCCTTGTACCACCATCAGCAACCTATTTCCATACCTTATCTGCATCAGGGTGATCAATCTTGTTCAAGGCATAGACCATGGGGAATTTCTCGTCAATGAAAGCCTTGACCACAATCTCCACCGTCTCATTTGACCACGACTCGAGAGGCTCTTTCAATGCCAAGCGATCCAGACATCGCGCCACAATCGTTGATGTACTTCCGTACCCAGAGAATTGTCCTTGTAGAGTGTCCACGGGGTTTGCCTTGGTTGCGACATGACGGCGTTTAATCGACCCCCTGGCTCTGAAAGTCAGCAGTGAGAAAAGAGATGAAATCACCCGGGTGTCTGGCAACGTGAGACCGACCATTTCTCCATCAAGTTACCCAAAACCCAGCGGACAATCTCTGAATGCAGCCACTCAATGTCCACTGACGGATCGTAGCCCCGAGTCGCTTTCCCCTCTGCATCAGTTGTGCCACTGACATCCACCACGTGAATGAGAGCATCTGCGTGTCGCAAGTCGTCCAGGAACTTGTTTCCAAGACCCCGTCCCTGGTGCGCACCGGGAACCAGTCCTGCCACGTCCAGTAGCTCAATAGGAACCGAGCGCCGTCCTTCGTGACAACCACCATAGTTCGGTTGGCAGCGATCGGAGACATTATGGCGTAGACAGGCGCATTCAATCTGAAGGTACCCGACGGCTCTTTGAGGGTCGATGGTCGTGAAACTGGAGTCGAATCGTTCGTTAGCGTGTCATCGCGATCCGCCGGAGGAGGATTGTCATGGCAGGTGGAAGCAGCACGTACGGAAAGTTTCCTACAGGCGGAGGACCGGCAGATTTGTGATTAGCCCGAGCACCAGTGCTTGCCTCTTCCTCTTTCGTCTCATGATCTCTGCATCTCTTACCAACTTTGGATGAGGCGTCAGTCAAGCTGTTCAGAGTGGTTGACTTCCCACTCGATGGCTGGACCCCTCACACGCGTGTCAGCGGGGTTGACTCCGGGCAATGCCTGTGGGCATTCGGACAGACTGACCTTGCCCACCAGCCCAATCAAGGGATCGCGTGGCATATTTTTTGATTTGTTTTTTACAAGTCTATGCGAGTGTGTCCCAGAGACGGCGATGGGATATCACAACAGCAATCTCGTCCGCGTCGACTCTCAATCTCTCTGGCCGTGGGCTTGGCCTTTCTGCGGCGGCTGCGATAAGAAACATTTTCTGCCTGCTTACGGTCGCAGGCGGTGGACTCTACCCTGTATCGGGCTGTTTTTTCCGCCGAATCGGGTGCACGGACGAACATTCTTCGGGCGGAAGACAGAAAGAACGATGGATGGACGCTTCTCCCGCCCGTGCCGGACCCGATTGCGATTAAGATTGAAAAGAGGCTGACGCCGCCCGCCGAGAGTCGTTTTAAGGTTGGTATCTAAAGGAGCAAGCCAGTGGCAAGCTACTTAAGGAGTATCAGACACTGAACAAAGACACAAATCCTATATATGTTACAGCAGCTGGTTCACACACATGTGAGCTATACATACCTCTCAATGTTGTGAGGAAGACCGATCAGAGTAAGCAAAAGGAGTAACTACTGAGAGCCTGTCACAGACTAGTTTCCCATCTTCAAAATTGACCATGTCTATTTATAACATTTTAGGAGTCAATACTCCAGGGTGCTAATTCTTCAGATATTGATTGAACCTATCCTCGAGCTGGTGATTTCCCGCAGAGACTTGACGCCTATCGGTCTGTGGCATGACACATAGTATGTGGCTATTTGTAGGTATGGTATAGTTTCATGCTTCCAGGTAATTCGATGCACTCATGGGATACTCCGGCCCAAACTAGCTTAACCTCTGTCCAGCTCAACTCAAACAGAGATCCTGTAGTATTTTCGTGAATCCGTACAGGGTATGACACAATACGGTATTGGGTACATGGAACATCCATTCACACCACTGTCGCTGGCCCGGTACATCAGTAGTCCATTAGTCCATTCAATAGTGAGGCTATTTACTATATGATTATGGCATATGTTGATCAGACATACTTGGACATCATTCCTGTCTCATTTTCTACTCTCGATCTCGCTATGGATTCGTACAGGCCTTGGCAGCCAGAATTATCCAGCGGAAAGCCCACCGTGAGTGTCATTGCGGCTGTAGAGCCATCCAATTACACCCCACCATCCCGCTGTCACTCCAGTATGACGCTATTGAACCAGCGCAACGAACCACCGCACGGATCCTATTCCATGCCAGCGTATGTATCCCCCATTTATGCCAGGAAGTTTGGAGGTCCCATCAAATAACACAGTGAATAGTCATGTTGAACCGTCAGGTACCCTGTCTGTCGGGAAACAGTGGAGACCAGATGGAGATCCGTTGGCTGTTAGGCCTTGGTGGTCGCTTCATTCATGTCGTCATGGTTGCGGCACTCTCGTCGCTAGGATGGTAATCGTCCTGGTCACTTCATGTTTATAAAGGGTGGTGTCCAGCAGAATATCAACCCTTCACCTTCTACCCACAAGCTTTCCACATTCTCACAATCTCAAGTACATTTCTTGGCTCTCCTCACCACACACCACCTCAGCCTCTTTTCTCCAACCCAAACAAAACACATAACCTACCATATACAAAATGTCTGCCCAGACTTTCCACACCACCCGCGAGGACATCCGCAAGGATGAGGCCCGTGTCTCCCACCAGCACGGCGGTAACGTCCCTGCCGACTCGGATGTTTCCCAGATGAAGGTGAGATAACATCCAACTATCCAGTGTGACTAGGGATGTCTCCTTACTGACTTGCACCGCTTTGTACAGTCCATCATTGATGAGAACACCAACAAGGCCGAGCAGATCGAGAAGACCAAGGCCAACCTGCCTCTTCCTGATCAGCCCCCCGTCGCCTCCGACTGGAACTCCTCTGACCAGCGCACTGTGAACGTTGGCTCTGGTGGTATCGAGGGCCCCATCTCTGGTGACAATGACTCTGCTCTTCGTGGTCCCTCCACCGCTGGCAGCAGTGTCCGCATGGACGGTAGTGAGCTGCACAAGAACACCGCCCCCGGCGGTAACGTTGGTCGTCAGCGTGTCGAAGGTCAGGACGGTCTGCCTTCCGACGCCACTGCTCGTTAAATGATCTTTTTTGTTCATTTAATGTTTCTCTGGCAGGGACTACTGGATATCCCTTTTTCTCTTAATGTACGATAGCCATATTTTACGGAGTCACGAGCGAATGATTCAATTATGATTATCACTTCCCAAGGGCATACTTTCTTCCCTCTGGTACTTCACGTAGAGCCATTTGTGGTTAACCACCCTCTAGACAAGGGATTATCTCCTGAATAAGACAGCTCTACGCTTGATTCTTCGTTGTTTGATGCTCTGCGTTATTGTACTGTATCTTGATTGGGATAATCATCCATGCGAGCTGAAAAGGACGTGCCCGTGATATCAAAGTGGAGTGATCTTACGGATGATTTTTCCGATCACGCGACCTTAATTTGCAGTAAATATTCATATGAAGAGTAGCTAATGCTGTTAATAGCCGGTCGTCACAGTCTGCTTAAACAGTGTTCAGTGACTAACATCAGTCTCGTATATCCAAGCTGCACCGCACAATATTAGTGACGCCGATCATCCACTATATTTTTCTTGGTAATAGGGCATCTCGATCATGCCAAATTCTGTCTTAGGGGGATCGCGCCATCCGAGCCCTACAGTGAGCGCATCGAACCCTTGACGTCAAGGACCACTCGACTGCCCGGTTTCTCAACCGGAGTGTACTGGGTCGACAATGATCATCTTTACATATGAGGGCAGCTCGGGAGTGCATGGAAAGGATGGGACGAAGTGGGGGTTTAGCTGAGAGTCTATCTGCAGCTCATTCTCAAAAAGAGGCCCCATTCCCAGGAGCCGGGTATCGTGATGCGCAAACGGCCTCCACCCATCGGTAACTCCACCACTGATCAATTCTGCCTCTGCGCTGGTGGAGAGCCTGGTGTCGCCACTGGGAGTTGATACCAGATGCAACTGCAGTACCAGCTTGACGTGACCATTTGGGCCTGGTCGAGTCTGACGGGGCGGTCGATAGGTCATAGAGGGGATGGGGAAGATACCTTGAGGCTTGTCCAGGCCGCTCGCATCGGTTCGTCGTAAGTGTGACATCACCCTGCTTGTTTACATCAGAGGTCTCTTTGCCCAAAGTTCACACCATCATCAGAAAATGTGATAGCCGTGCTCTAGGTATATAAGCTTTTGAAGCTGCAACAGACTTTCTTTTTTGGTTAACACCAACTTTCCTACCCTTAATCAAACCCAATCCTTCTTCGACAACTTCTTCAAAGTCAGTACATTTGACTGAACAACGCTCATCTCAAAATCAAAAACGTTCAACTCTCCAACTCACTTTCCACCACCAACCACCCTTCACAATGGATCTCCAAGGCACTCCCATCGGCACCGGTCACCGCAGCACCAAGGTCACCACCGACCCTCTTGCCCACCAACAGCCCATCCAGGAACCTGCCGGCCCTGTCGCCACCGACTCCCTGGCTGCCGAGTCCGTTCGCACCGGCGGTGCTTTCACCGAGAACCGCGGTGCTGAGCCGACAGGTCCCTCCGGCAGCAACTCTACCCTGAACACCACCGACACCTCCGCCGCTTCCAAGCTCCCTTCCGCTGCTGCTGGCAGCCAGCGTGAGAACACCGAGCGTCAAGAGAAATACCCCGAAGCCCTGGGCGGCCAGGGCAACTTCCCTGGCACCCATGTGAGCGGATACGCCGGTGGCTCAACCGCCGCCAAGCAGGAGATGGGCCTGAATAAGGGTGGAAACTCGGCCTCTCACCAGCAGCAGTCCGGTCAGGCCAAGGCCAGCGGCAGCCAGCACGTTGGAGGCCAGGCTCCTTCCTACATTACCGATGTCACTCCCGGCCACCAGGCCCAGCAGCCCAAGGGCGCCGACAAGCAGGATGCTCAGTTCAGCTCCAAGGATAAGAACGCTGGCTTCGACTCTGAGATTGGGTCTAAGAATGACCCTGGTCGTCTTGCGGAGGAGAAGTTCCAGCGGGAGAACGCCTTCAGCACCAACGACAGCGGTCGCACCCACCAAAAGGGTGGTGTTCAGGGCGAGAATGTCTACGACACCCTGCAGGGTGACCAGCGTGCTTAAAAGATGTAGGCAATTTTTGACAGATGGTCGCACTTATAATGATTCCCAGCGATTAGTCAATTCTTCATATCATCACCTGTTGCATTGATTGCAATATGCTGATTGACGATGACATGATCTGAATTTTGTACGATAAAAAGTGTTACATATGAAGAAAATCAACAGAAAACTCTCGATATCTCTTGAGTAACTGTGTACTTTTCGATCAGGTTGATAGTGGATCTCCTAGTCAAGGAACTATGAATCGGCGATGCCGAGCTGGCAGTGGATCATCCGCAAAACTGCACGCATTGCCATCATCGCCTGTGTAAAAACCGTCAAGCATTGAGGACGATTTATCCTGGCACGTTTGATTCGACTTATAACATTAGCCACACGCCCCAAATGCTATCTCCACGGCGCAAGTTTCACATGCCCAAGTGGAAAAGAACATTGGATTTCAACATGACTGTTGCTGGCACTTTTCTTTTCCCTGATACTTTCCCCCACGGCGATAAAGCAATGCATCCCCTGCAAGCATCTCAAGTTGTGCCCATTGAGGATTTTCTCCTCCTCTTGCGTAAACAATGACCCAATTCAATAAGTCCGACTGCAAAGAAAACGAACCAAACCAGACAAAGCAAAATGGCAACTATCTTCAAAGGCTCAGGCAAAGTAAAGCGAGGCAGACACTTGTCGGCGATCCACGACGCTGAACGCCAGGAACGATGGTCTGAAGAAGACAAGCCATTGGGCGAGCCTTTGTCGTGACCTATCCATCGGTTGGGATTGCGTTTAAACTCGGTTGATCCGATATCTTCGAAAGGAGTTTGAAGGCGAAAGCTCTTTTCACGGAGAATCGATTCTCGCCGGCTGGGCAATTCATTCTCTTCATTTCCGAGTGGAGAGGACTGTATCGTGTGCAGACGGTCGTCGAAACGGGAGCGCATTGTTTGAGTGATTGGGGCTAAGGTGGAGATGATACTTTCGTCGGATGATGCTTTGCGCTTCCAGAGGCGATCTGAAATGACCTTTGATCTTGAACGATAGTAGCTTTTCTGGTTCCAGCCTCCAAAAGCTATTTGTCTTTTCTATTCCCTGGGTAGTCAGTCTTGATGAATCGCAGAGGTTGATTGACTCAGATTCTTGGTGCCACGCACTGATTCATGCCCATTCTTGAGCTCTCGAGTTCGCTCTCGGTAGTTGGGAATGTGTTCGTATTGCGGCTTGTCTTGTAGGACCGGGTGGGTTTCAAGATTCGGAATAGGGTGCGACACTGCTATTTTGACAAAGACCAGCAGAAGAGCTACCAGCGTCCATGTGCGCTGATATAGAGCCCTTCGCATATCGACCTGGCACTTCGTAGTGTTAAGCCCATGTATTCTAGGCTGTGGAAAGAAGCAGATAGGCCCAGCCAGCGTGTCACGCTCGTGGAAGACCCTGTCCGATGCGCTCGCTCTTGTGTTGTCGAGTGAATATGTTCAAAGTATGGCACATCAAGTATCCATCACGAATTAGGGCCCAATCTCTCTGACAAATGGGTCTGGGACGAGGGCCGGCGCCACCCCTTTTGTAATATACCCAACACGGACACGAGAAGACTGACGCGCTGTAAGGCCACCAGGGATAAGTTGGAGGAATTTTCAAGGGCCATCAATTGCCCAGGGCTATTTGATAGAAACCGAGGTACGCATAGTAGCCTCCAGTTCTACGTAGACATTCTCTCCTTAGGGGGCGCCGGGTACGTCGAAAAGCCGAAGGGCCCTGGGCTTCTTCGTCCAAGGGGATAGATAGCACTCAGAGCAGGACTGAATGGGTATGTGGTCTCTGCGACCCCTTCATTCAGGCTCGCCCTCTCAGTTCTGATCTGCTGCACCTGAATTGATCTCTTGAGTTGAATAGAGTCAGGGGAGTCGGACCTCGGTACGATGTCTTGTCTTGTCCATAAGCAGCGAGGGTCCATCGCCGGCAAGCTTCCGACAAGTCATACATGACGGGAATCTCGAGTTATCGGCCAATCGAACCAACCTTGAGCAGTCCTGCAGCTAGTTCGATCAATTGATCAAGAGAGACGGCGAAACCTATGGCTTTTTGCATGAATTGAAATACAATTGTCAACAGGTACTGGCACATGCTCCGAATTGTGTTTCTTTCCTCCAGTTGGGGGGGATTTCTTCCTGCCAGGGAGGTTGCAAGGCGAAAAAAAAGCTCGATGACATTGAGCATTAAATTATGTCTGCGCAACTGAAGTCTTCGTTTAATCTACCCTTGCCCACGCTCTGTTCACCCTCCTGGCGAGAAAAATGACCTTCCATAATGACTACTCAGCGCTCGGATAATAGAATCGCGTATCCATCTACCTCGCATGTTTGAAATCTAATCTGTCGAGAGAAAGGCTTGAGTAGAGACTGTTCAGCCGCCGCGCCCAGAATGACCGTTTACGCATCAGAATCTTGGATGTCGGAGAGCAGGTTCGGTCACAAGTGTAAAAATATGCATCAATGCATGGGATGGAAATGTCATTGGAAGTCTTCCTGCCTTTTTTTCATACACCGTCAAGAAAAACGCCGAACTGCAATACAGCAAAAGATGGAAAGATGGAAAGAAAAAATGGAACCCCAAAGGCCAGACCCCCTAAGACATGCACAGTCCTATCAGACAAGAACATAACCCTGTACAATAGAATATCCCACTGATCAGTCGCAGACATGGGGATGGAAAGCAAAGCATGGAACAATGAAAGAAGACGAAGCAGGCTTTTTTCAAAACAATGTTTAGACCTGAACACTCTTTCCCTCCTTCTCGGCGAGCTTAGCCAACTCCTCGAAGACCTTGCTGAAGTCCTCGCCGTCGGCACCCTCGTCGAGCTTCTTGTTCTTAGCGGACTTGGGAGTCACCATGACAACACTGGTAGGGCGCTTGGTGGCAGCGGAAGCACCGAGCTCAGCACGGGAGGTGACGAAAACGTAGGGAATGCCGTGATCCTCGCAGAGAACGGGGATGTGAGAGATGACGTCCATGGGAGAGATATCGGCAGCGAGAATGACAACGCCAGAGGGAATGTCGACCTTGACATTGGCGGCGGGGATGGGAGACTTGCGGAGAGCCTTGACAACTTCCTTGACACCACGCTTGAGGGACTTGTTGACAGCAGCTGTGGGAGAGCGAGTGATTAGCAGTGAACCCGGGAAGCCGTGAAAAGAGCGAGACTCTAGGTAAAAGCATTGCGCCATTCAAACGGCCATGGACATGCAATTGACGCATTGAGTGAGGAGCCCCGCCCAGTCGACGAGGTACAATCACACAGTCCCTTAATGCTTTCACACGATGCTTTCCTTGAACTTACCCTTCTTGACGCTCTTGAGCACCTTCTTGGCCTGCTTGTCCTCGACCAACGGGTTCGCGAATGGCACAACGGCGCCGACAGGACGGTCAACGGCCATGGCATCGACTTCGATCTCGGTCACATTGACAGCAGCGACGTTGTCACCGTTCTCAACGGCCTGGGAAGCAATCTCCTTCTCTACCGCATCGACGAGAGTGGTCTTGTCCTTCTTTTCCTTCTTGTCCTTCTTGGACTTGGAGATGCCGTCCTTCTCGGCGCGCTTCTCCTTCTTCTCCGAGCGCTTTTCCTTCTTTTCGACCTTGTCCTTGCCCATTGTGTCGGATGTGTTGCTCAAAGACGGGGAAACGAAAGCGACTGGTTGGTTAATTGAGTAGTGTGTGCCAGTGTGGTGAGTGAAATGGGTCTCGAAATAATTTCATAAAATTTTGGCGCTAGTCCCAATGCAGAAGCTCTGCGCTGATGACTAAGGTCCAAACATCCCCAAGCCCGCAAAGTACCATACTAGGTGTTGCCCTCGAATGAACCATGCTTACTCCATCTTCTTGGTCCGATTGTTAGCAAGCGGTCGGAGACATCGGCGAGGGCTTTCACAGATTCTTTTTCTTGGTGGTCGATGTTCCTGATCATCCCCGCCGTCTCTGGGACGTGAATGCCGATCCAGTGTCCAACATGGAGGACAGCCCGGCTCAGCGACCAGCATCCCAGCTGATTGCTGGATTTACTTCGCCCTCTGCGCCTGCTAGTTCACGCAACCTCTTACAGCAATCTTCTCTTTCAATGAGGCCGCCGTTGATCAGTCATGGTTAGTCTGATTCAATCATCCATCCAAGTTGCAGCATGACGCAACACCGGTGCTGACAAGCCATTTGTGCTTTTAGATATCGAGAAAGAAGAATTGCGTGTACAAGTGAGCACGCTCACGTACGAGCTGGCGAATCTGAAACAGGAGCGGGAGCTGGAGGCGATTCGATTCGAGAAAGAGTCTAGGAGCCTTCAATTAAAGGCAGATTCCGACTTTCGGAAAGCGCAAGTGAGTATCTATTCCAATAGCAATGGAAATTCGAACGCTGATCTGTGTCGTTATAGGCAGCCGAGTCCGCCAGTGTGCGCGCGAATACGAAGACGGAATCACTAGCCAGGGAGTTGAAGGAAACACAGGAACAACTGCTAAGCGACAAAACTGCATCCGAACGTAGAATTCGCGACTTGCAGGTTGAGAAGCAGAATATACAAGAAGAGCTCACCGACGCGTTAGCTCAAGTCTCCGATCAAGACCGTCAATTCAAGTATCAAGTATCCGAGCTTGAATCAGTGCGCGCCTCCCTTCAGAAAACGATAGACGAGTTGCAGCGCGACCTACAAGAAGCGCGTGCTTCTCAGCAGGCCATTCAGGAAAAGCTGTCTCAGCGTGAAACTGAGGTTGCAGAGTTGGAATCGCAGAACATCCAACTAAAGGCAGAAGGCAACGATGCAGAAACTTTGACCATCTTGAAACGGGAGTTGTCCGACCAAGTGAGCCACATTCGAGAACTTGAAACAACAACCCGTGATCAGGCTATTGAGCTGCGTCGCCTGCGAAAGGTGCAGAAAAGTGTCGAAGTTGTGGAAGAGCAGAAAAGATCGCTTGAAAATCAGTTGCAAATGATGCACGGCCTCGAGGCGGAACTAAATACTGTTCAGATTCAGAAACAAGTGCTAGAGGATGAGCGAGCATCATGGGCCAGCCTCATTCAGTCAAACGATCAGACTATGGAATTTGATTCGCCAGAGTCAATAGTCCGAGCTCTTGTCCAAGAGAGAATCGAAAAGGCAACTTTGGTCGACCGGCTGGGCACGGTTGACGCACAGTTTTTGGAGAAAGATGAGAGCATCACAATGCTGGAAAAGGAAAAGACTCAACTCCGACAAGAAATCGAGAAACTCCGCTTGGCGGGAAGCATCACCTTGGGGGCAGCAGCACCTGCAGCCGCAGAGGCTCGTATCCGGTCACGGCTCGAAAGACAGCGCGCCCTCGCTGTCAAGGAGGTTGAGTATTTAAGAGCTCAATTGAAGACATTTGACACTGAGGAAGAGACGATGAATACCGGAGAAAACAACTACGACGCGCAAAAATCGGAACAAATCGCAAAACTCGAGCAGCTGGTCGATGAATATCGCAACGAGTTACACAAAGCTCATGAAGAGCTATCACAGCAGGAACCGCCATCACAGCAGTCGGAAGAAGCTCAGCATAGAGGAACAAAGCGACCCCTGTCGCCTGCGGAAAGTGAAGCGGATAATGAACGCTTTGCTATTCTGAACCGCAAGAATCGCAAGCTACAAGAGTCTCTAGCAAAGTCGCGAGAAGCGACAACGCTTGCGAAGCGAGAACTAGATGCAGCAAAATCGCAGATCAAATCACTCAAGTCAAAAACCCACACACGCATTTTGGAACTGCGCGACAATCCAACTGCCGAGACTGAGAAGATCAAAATGACAACTCTGAACACGCTTCGTTCCGAAAATCAGGCTCTTATGGCTCAACTTCGAGGTGAACACACTGGCGTCAAGGCCGTCCCTGTGAGCACATTGGACAGTTTGAAATTGGAGATGCAGGAGTTGGAGCGAATCGTGGCTGAGAAGGAGAAGCGCATGCGTCGATTCAAGGAGATTTTCACGGCCAAATCCGCGGAGTTCCGTGAAGCTGTTGCCTCTTTGCTGGGTTACAAGCTCGACTTCCTACCTAATGGCCGTGTTCGCGTCACATCCATGTTCCATCTCTCGGCCGCCTACCGACATGGTGACAGCGAAGCACGTTCAGATGCTCGCGGACCCGGTAGCATGGGCAACGGCGAGGAGAACTCCATCGTTTTTGATGGAGAAAATGGCACGATGAAGATCTCTGGTGGGCCCAATAGTCTCTTTGCGCTGGAGATCAAGCCTCTGATCAAGTTTTGGGTTGAGGAAAGAAAGGATATTCCTTGCTTCCTTGCGGCTATGACGCTTGACTTTTATGACAAGACAACGAGAGCTGCTAGAATTTGATGGATCTCCATCAACCCTGAGAGAATTTTTGTACCAGTATCTTCGTGGGATTATGCATTGTCATCGCAAGTGATCCATTGTGTTCTTCTTTTCATTCGTGTTCTGATCGTTTCTTGGATCTTCTAAATATACCCCTTTCGTCAATCAGATCAAGCAAATTAGACGATAATGATATCTCTAGATAGTTCACTGAATTGATATCAAATTTCCTTGTTCAGGTCAACACGACACATATTGCCGTAGTGGTTCATACCAAAACTCAAACGCTCAGTGATCACCGTGCAGGTCTACACCCTGGGCTGAGTAACGAAGATAAGATCAATTAGGTATGACCATTTGGATTTGAATCTTCACTATGTAAAGGACAGGTACCGCACTCAGGCAATGCCGACGAAGTCTGCTTTGCAACCTTGAGCGTCGTGAAAATCGAATAGAAACAAATCGATATCGCGAGAACCCTCGATCAGGAAGAGCTAGACGGGAGGTCAAACAGAACGCTTTCGACTAAGACAGGTGGTGGCTTCCTACCGACCTTGAACCACCTCATGCCACTGCACTGACAGAGGCGGGGAACGTACCTGAAGGATAGAAGATCATTTTGCTGTTTCTACACTGGGCTTTCGATGATGCTTGACTCTAGAAACAAATGCGCAGGAATGTTTCCCGTGGAGATAAGATTCAAAGCAGTTACAGCGTCAAAGAGTCAACCGCGTAAGCACACGCCTAACATAGGATTTGTAAACGGAATCCGATGCACTATATGCCGGAGAGACACAGGCAATGCTGCGACGGGAGTGATAAGAGAAAATTAACACCATAGATAACGTAACAGAAATGAGAACAAGATATTTCAAACATCTTTCGCCTGCAGAATTCAGCCCTCACGTTGGACCGTCCGTCAGCCCGCGGGCCTTCCAAAGCTTGGCACGGCAGAAAACAGAAATCGACAGAGCTGGGTTGTTCCCCGGATATGGGTATCATGTTCAAGCTGAGACGTATTTACCCGCCACCAGCTTACGCGTTGTGGGAACGGCTTCCCAAGATGACGCACCCGAAGATTTACCGTCGTCGGCAAATGGGTCGATTTCGCTGTCACCAGCCTTCATTGGGGCGCAGCTGATGCCAAGGCGCGACCCAGTTTCAGTAGTGGTGTATTCGAACCGTGCCTCGACATTGCCCTTGCGAGGCCCGGGAGTGGCAGTGGTGAAGCGAACGAGGAACTTGCCGTCTTCGCCACCAGACCCAGGAGCCTTGACCTCGAGCTCCGGTATCTTCCAGACCACGCTGGAAGTCTTCCGGCGGAATACGGCTCCAGAGTTCGGATACATGACCGCACTGGTGGCACGTGCAACAGATTCCCGCGGCTGCTTGGTGACCTCGTCTTCAGACGCTATATCAAGGGCCACCGTGAGAACCACATTTTTCAAAATGATAGAGGACGAGGTAGCTGAGATAAACGCCGGATTCAACGAGTAGAAGATGATGGCACTGGCTTGGTTCTCTTGAACGTTCCACGCCGGTTTGAAGATCACAGGGCTGTAGGCGGAGGGATTCGCAGGATCAATGTGCACCTGGTACTTGAAAGCAACGGTGGGCATCGATCGCGAAATGCTACCAAGCTGTATCTCATATTCTCCGCTTTTATCCTCACTCTTCTCTGCGCTCGATGCGTGGACAAAACTGGGGTTCGCGGCAACCTTTTCTAGAGATGCGAAGTTGTCTAGATGGATGACCATTTTGTCGATCGGGTTGTCAGGCTGAGGATTGTGAGCCAGCGCGAGCTCCCCTACCACCGATGATTTGGTAACGTTGCCCTCGGAGAACCATGCACTGACAGTCTCGATAATGGACGCATTGAGGCCAGGCTCATGCAATTCGGGGTGAATGCTGGGACCGAGACTGTGCGCAGTATGACCAGATCGAACAGAGGTAGTATCCGACATCGCATGGTCATCCATGTTGTTAGTGGGAGATGTTGCATTCCTGATCGGGGAAGATGGGCCTTGGTGATCCAATCCACCCAGACCTGCCGACCCCATGGCCAACTCGGCACCAGCATTGGGAACAAATACGGTATTGCGTACGTCGCGACGACCTCGAATTGTACCGGCATTCCGTCTCATCCCAGGCTGCGGGGCACGCTGCGTTCCGTCACCGTTAGCAATAGGTGTGATGAAAGCACGTCTGAAAATACATACCATCCGAAGTGTGTTTGCCATGTCATCCATGGCTTTCCTGGCTTGGCTTTCATCTTCGAAGATAGGCTGATCGCGGATCGTCAAGTTCACACCAGAGTCCTCCAGACTGTGCGAGCATTAGCCAGGCCGATTTGCCATTCGTAAGCGGTGAAAACATACGCTGAAGCTTCCTTCTGTGCTCGTGTTATTTCGTCTACACTCTGAGGTCTTTCCGTGAAACCTTCAGAATCAACAATTGGCTGTATAAAAGTGATCAGTGACAATCAAGAGCGAGTGGCCTCGAACGTGCTCAAGCGGCAAAGACAGCAGCTCATTCCAATCACACACCTTGCTGATACCGTTACTGGCAGGTCTCTCGTCTGCCCGCAATGTGTTTTCATTCGAAGCGGAGATTTCTTGTTGGAAACCAGGTGCCGGTACAGGTGCAGGTGCAGGCGCAGGTGCAGGTGCTCCATGGGCATCATTATCATGCGACAAGCTTTCATTCCGCAGGGATGATTCTTCTGTCAGTGCAGTTCCAGGACGATCTGCCGTCCGGGGAGGCGATTCGGGGATTTGCGCCTCGCGAGACGAATCTGACCTCATGAACGACGAGAAGGGGCTTCTATGCTTCTTCTCTGCTTTGCGATCGAAACCGCCTCCTGTTGGTGTGATCACGCTCTTTCTGCGGTTCATCACAGTACCGAGCCGTCTGAGGCCGCCCAGTGTGGTATGACGAGGCACTGGCTCGGGAGCTGTGTTTTGGGGCGGCTGTCAGTCAAAGCAGTTCGGCCGCAACGGATCATCCAGTCAGTCAAGATCTTACCGGTTGATGAATGCGGCAGCGAGCCTACAGTGGGAGGCTCTGACCGGCCCGAGTGCTGGCTAGCTGTATCGTCCTGAACTCGGGGAGTGGGCACAAACGGGGCAGCAGCTGGAGGGGCCGTAGCCGTCTCGGAACCTGCTGTGGAAGGTGCGGCAGTTGAAGATGCTGGGTTCTCCTCCGCGTGGGAGTTCTGCCGAGAAGATATCCTTGGTGACAATATCGCTCGGTTACCGGCCATCTTGGCAGCAAATGTCTTGATCTCATCGGCCGTCTCCACGTTCAGGAGCACATTGAGACAACTTTCGGCGGCTTCTCGGCAACGCTCCACGTGGTCAAGCTCGTGAGTCTCCAGCTGGGTGAGCAGGTCACGCAAGTGATTCAAGCGGGACTCGTCTGCGGCCTGGAGCTGCTCGTAGACAAATGGCGCGCGTGATTCCCATTGCTGATTGACTTCTTCGGCCGCGGCTATGGCACCCGACAGACTGCTGGCTCCTTTAGTGCCCTTGCCCTTAGCTTTGTCCACTTTCTTTTGTGCGGCCTCGACATTCTTGGCCAGATTCGCCAGATTGTTCTGGATGCTGGACATCGACTGCATTTCGGCATTCTTGGTGTTGTACTCCCTCAGCGAACGCTCCACGTCTTCCTCGATTTTCGTCGCCAGCGTTTCATGCGACGTGGCGAGTGTTTCAGTAGCATTTATGATTCGCTGCCACGGGATTTGGAAGATTCTGTTGCATCACGCACATGGTGTCAGTTGATCTGAATAAAGCATGACCGCACGGAGGATCGATGCACCGCTTTTACTCACCCAAGTGCCGCGCCATTGTCCAATTGTGGGCGACTTGCCAGTTTCCGTAACCCCTGAGCATAAGTCTCTTCAACACGGCGACGCTCCTAGAAGTGCGTGGTTAATCCTCGGGGGTCAGGGGTTGTGGGCAGATCGTAGGGTGTGTGTCTAGCCGCGAATCCGGGGTAGTGAAGACCACGGCGTCCGTACCTGCAGGAAGTCGGCAATGTCTGAATTGATCTTGTTGATGAGTCGAACACGCTCGGTAAGCACAGTCGACGCTTGGGTAGGGTGGAGCGTGGCCTATACAGAGAACACGTTAATCAAAAATCAGTCCCAATGCCAATTCTCGTGAGCACCAACACAGCGCCGTGGCCTGCCAGACATACCAACAGCGCCGGGTATTCCTGCCGGGAGAGCTCCATGGTGTCAGAATTGGTGTGAAGATGCGCGGCGCACCAAGCGCATAGTTCAGCAGGCAAAGGGCGCTTGGGGAATTCGATGTACACAGCTGACCCTTTTGTCGGGAGGCCGGGGTAGATCAGTGATTGCGGGTTGCGTGTGGATGCGCTGGTGCTCGGTCACTGACGGCAGCCATGGGGGATGGAATGACGACGACCAGAAACGCCGCCAAAACGGGTATTGGTGATCTGGAGCCAATCAGCATGGGAGACATTCGTTTTGTCAGTTCCGAGCTCCGTCTCAGGGTCACATGACATCATCACCATCGTCAAGTATCTCGGCTGCGCCCGCGAAGCTTCACTGACAGCTCCACTGGACCCGAGATGGATTGGAGGATTGAGTTGGGGTTCACAGATCGATTAAGGGCGATCCAATCTCTGTCAGTTTCCACCTTGCAGATCGTGAACGCATGTCCATTCTAACGTAGATGTAATTAAGTACTGCTGCCCATCAGCAAACTGCCTCGTCCTCGGCCTTTGCAGAGGCACAAGCGAAAGCACGGCAATGCGAGACCGAAGCTTATGAGAAGGCCACCTCGAAGGTTCGCCTCATTGCTCTTGTACATTGCCAGAATATTGCCATTGGACTCAGACTGACGTCCCTGTTAGGAGGCGTATGATCAATTATGCCAGCAAGCGATTGACAACGCCGAAAGAGCATTCAAGGTGACATCTACCGATTGCTCAACGCCTGAGCGAGATGACATTCCAATCTTGAAAGAAAATCCGGACTCTTCGACTGAGCGGTATGCTGAAGGTAATGGAGGAGAGACCATTGGAGCCTACACATCGTGCACTCCTTGTTTCGATGGGTTGCATTCTACGATATACAAGTCTCACGCGGAAGATGGCACAGTGTGTGCGGTCAAGGTGACCACGCCGCACTTGATGACTGCTCCTCACGATACAGCTCGAGAGATACGACTCTTACATGAAGCATCCAGTGAGAATGTCGTTACCCTCGTGGAAACCTTCAACCTTGACGGAGGACGCATGGCTATGGTCTTCCCATTCATCAAATATGACCTTGCTCAATTACTCCAGCGAGATATGGTGACTGCCACACAGATAAGATCCATTCTGCGGGATCTATTCAAAGCTCTGCAGCACATTCATCACATGGGAATCCTCCATCGAGATATCAAAACCTCTAACATCCTCATGGATTCTCCCGATGGGCCTGCCTATCTCGCCGACTTTGGCATTGCTTGGAAAGAGGACGATCCAGGCTCCGAGCCGAAAGAATCCAAGATCACCGATGTGGGGACCACGCATTATCGAGCTCCGGAGCTCTTATTTGGATACAAGGCGTACGGACCTTCCCTGGATCTATGGGCGGCGGGATGCGTCGTGGGGGAAGCCATCGCAGTCGGGCATCGCCCGCTTTTCGATTCTGGCCCGCTTGGAAGTGACCTTTCCCTCGTCCACTCCATCTTCAGTACGCTGGGGACCCCAGATGAGTCTGTATGGCCGGTAAGCCCATTTATCGCGTTGGAAACAACTTTTCCGTCGTATCGTATGCAGTTGGGATGCAAGAAAGCTCATCATTTCTGCAGGATGTCGAAATCCTGCCCGATTGGGGTAAGGTCGAGTTCTTCACGTATCCGCCGCGCTCATGGCAGGAAATCCTCCCCGCGGTCTCGTCCAAGGGTCGCGATCTCGTTAGTCGCTTGGTTCGCTACCAGGGAAGCGAGCGTCTCTCTGCCGAGGAGGTATGTAGCACATATATGGAAAGCATTCGATCTGGGCTCTTCTGATCGTGGCAGGTACTTCGACATGCGTATTTCTCCATCAGTTGAAGCAGTGCCAGCCGGCCATGCGATTCTTCAGCGGATGTAATACACACAGTCCGCCACCATCCTCCGGGGAGATGGGTTCACCAGCTGGAATTGCCAATTAGGAAGGAAAACTGCTGATAAGTTGGATGGAGCTCAACCCGGCTCGGCGGTATTTCAGTGACTTTCGCACCCCGAGTACACGCAATTCTTGGCGACCAACAACACGCTTGCATGTGTCGTCAAGGGGGTGAGTTACTGAGTTTAGATCCATCATCCTCCAGTCAAAAGCCAGTGAGTTTCTGGGTTAGAAGTGTAGGAAAAAGTGACCTTCCAACACGGGCTTTTTATGAAGGAGACAGAGCGCGGCTTCTGGTTAGACCCTCATTGGCTGGCTTGCCGGGTAGTTTATTTACATGCGACAGAGACGTTCTTCTGTGCTCGAGTCATGCTCTCCCGTCCCCTCATTCCTTCGTGTGTCAGCACGAGGCTTACTTGACCATTTCAAGCTCAGAGTAAGGCGTCGAAATACTACTAGTAGTTCTACTATTCTACTTTTCAGTCGGACTGTGTAACCTTGTGCACCTAATGATACCATGATACGCTTTTGCCATCCATGTTGTCACCCGTATGCTTCGTACGCCGAGGGGCCCAGGACACGCAAACTTACGAATATTCGCGTGCTCTCGGATAAGTCACGTCCGTGGAGTCATGGACTGGTGTGATTACAGGAGGTCCGTTGATTAGGGATGTGATGAGAAAGACCGTGATTTCGAATAGAACTGCTTGATTCATGACGCAGGGTCCGAGATACCACCATACTTACTCCAGACCTCCGGAGCCCAATGGAAAGATACACCTCCTTTACTTGATGAGTTGATAATTGATAGTGATACGGGGCCTATACAAAAAACGTGTCAGACGTATGTATTCTGGATTTACTAATTAGTATTACAGCCCGAAGTCGAGGTTACTTCAGCCACGGGAAGAAGGAAAGAGGGGGCCCATGCATGGCGTCGCTGTCATCGGAGGATTCAGGGCCCGTGACCCGTCTGGTGTGTTGACTGTTGACTGTTTTGTGTGTAGATAGCAGATATCTGCTGAGACTCAGCCCTCAATTCCTTCTCCCCTTTTCAATGAAATATGTACCGACATTCAGTGGTCGGTTGGCCGGTACTTACTGCAGTGCTCGTTATGGATTAGGTATCTCGGCAAATATCTGGTGGATCATCAATAAAGGAAGAATTTTCACAGCTAAGGATCCGAGAGAGTGAGCAATGAGCATAACGCAAATGTTGACATGCATAGAACCCACGTGCAAATACCCAGGTCTCGATTGACAATCTACTTTATGCTTGGTGGTGGTACAGCCTGGTACAGTAGCACCTGGGAGATGAAATATGTAGCAAGTCTGCTGTTCGTCCCTTTCTTGCCAGTATCTACTATCTACTAGTACTATCTACTATCTACTATCTACTATCTACTATCTACTATCTACTATCTACTATCTACTATCTACTATCTACTATCTACTATCTACTATCTACTATCTACTATCTACTATCTACTATCTACTATCTACTATCTACTATCTACTATCTCTTCATCTACATATAAGGGTTGTCTACCCCAGCTTTCCACCCCCTTTTTCTCGGCACTGACATATAGAATTATGCAGTATTTGATTATCTGCAGGTTATTGTGGTGCCCTCGATCATAGACATCATGAACGTCCATTTCAACTACAGGGTCCGGTTCAGTACGATTTCCGCTGCTTTTAACTTTCACCCTCTTATGAAATGTGGTGTTATGCGGTCAGACCCTATCTGTCATCTCCTCCTGCCGCACTTTAATTTACAGTGCCACGGTCCACGTCGGTCCACTTCTGGTCCGTCGGTACTTTCTGTCGGCTCAGTCCTCACTCCTCAGTCGCTGTGTCGCAACTTGCAATCTTCTCATGGCAAACCTACAGTATATAGGCAGCACCTTTCACATGTGAGATTGACTGCGCCTACATGTTGATAGTGATACTGATGCTTGCATGTAAATATTGACAGGGCTACGTAAGAATCCTCCTTGCTACAGAGTTTTGTAGGGGTTGTCACTTGTACTGCAACACCTGACCTCAGTCTTACTGTAGTGAGTCTTTGGGTACATGAATTGATCAATGATGAGCGTCATTTTACGTCTTTACAATACCAGGAACCGTATTCTACTAGCCAATCATTACGGTGGCCTGGCCCCAATCACATCCCCATTTAGACTAGTGGATGCTCCCTTGCTGCGCTAAAATGGCTAATTGATGGGCTGATTGGACTGGGACCTCTTGGGTACCTGGTTGCCCCGAGTCCCGCCCTCACTTCCCTTGACTTTCCCAAGTCACTCACAATTCACGAGTCACGAGTCATCGTCACATCCACAGTTCCACAGTTCCACTCCGGCCTTTTGCTTGTGGGGGAAGACCCCCTCGTCCCATCCTCGGGAGCGGCTTGCACTTTGCACTTGTAAAGTCGTACTGTATGGAAACATGACCGCTATGAGTATGCTAATGCCTGTATGTCTGGAGTAGGCCAGGAGTCCCCGAGTCGAGGGTTGCCCTTGCCTCCCGTTCCGCAACTTAGCGACTGCGTCGCTAAGCATCGCAGAGGGAGATCGACTCTTGTGTTTTGCCTCGCTCTCAGGGTCGCTGGCACTCCCTTTCTTTCCCTTTTCACTCGGCATTCTTCTTCATCGACACCTCCACGAGTTCACACCCTCTTTTAGCATACCAGAACGGCCTGGACGTCGTTTGTACCCTCATTTTTGCCCTCCGACTTTCTTCATCGACTGGTTCTCGGGAGCAGCCAACCCCCCGGTCTCGAGTCGTCCATTCTTTAAACTCACATTCCTCGGCGCGCGACAACGTGCGACTTCACAGAGATCAACGCGATCTCCCCCGATCTCACTCCCAGACGGACTGAAGAATTCAAGCCACCCAGACCAGTTTGTCTTTTTAGGAGTGATTCCCCCCCCCCCCCTCCGATCAGCGCTGTGCCCGACCAAAACACCTGTGCGACTCTCGCCATTTCCGACAGGAGCTATTGCTCTTCCAGGATGGTGCATGGGCATGCCCTTTATCATATGGAGCACCGCCCTCTGGAGGCGCGGGCTCCCCACGACACTATCGCCAATGATGATTCCAACCTGGTCGAGCGCGATAACCCCTTGGTCATTATCTACAAGACCCTATCGGCTGACTTTGAGGGCGCCATTGGAGGCTACGTGACCAAAGTCATGGGCGCCAACAATGCACCGGTCACGACCGCGATTGCGATTGCGACGGCAACGGCGGCGACGGTCGCCCCCCATTCGAAGGACACCAACAATGTCGCCGTGGGTGTCGGCCCAGCAGTGGCGGTCACGAAGATCACGGCCGAGCCTACCCATCAGACGGCGGTGATGACGACGAAAGAGGTCAAGTCGCAACCGACGACGATCATTGAAAACACGCAGATACAACAGACGACTGTCGCAGAACCGACACAGGCCATCACCAGTCAAGCGGAGGTGGTGTCGCAAGCCCCGTCGTCCTTCATCACTTCCGTCTCCCAGGCGAGTACGTCGGCAGCGGAAACCAGCCAGGACATGAACTTGGTTGCGGCGACTCCCAGCACCACAGTCAGTGGCATCGGCGCGTCTTCATCGCCCACGACCGCCAGTGCCCCGGAAGGCATGTCTGGCGGTGCAAAAGCGGGGATCGCCATCGGAGTTCTCTTGGGACTGGGCGTCCTGGCAGGATTGATCTTCTTCTTGGTTCGTAAGAGAAAGCGCGGCGACGAGGCCGAGGCGACGTTGCAGGAGAAGGGTCCGGTCTCAGCCGTTCCTGCACCGGCATCGGCACCGCCTCCCCCGATGAAATCGTCGTCCCCGTCAACCCCGCCTCAGTTGAGTGTTCGCCCAGTGACGCAGTTTGCTCCCGATCTGAGCGGCACTGGTGGCTCAAATGCGGCTTCTGCTGGCTTGCTGGGTGCATCCGCTGCCGGTGTTGCTGGTGCAGCGATTGCCTCCCGCAATTTGACAGGCAACTCGCCGCCTCCGTCGCCATCTCAGTCCACCTCGAGCGCGCAGAACCCGTTCAGTGATCCAGTCAATCCATTCAGTCCTACAACGTCCGTGGCAGAGAACGTGACCCCTGCAGCAGCCCCTACTCCTGCGCCTTCTCAACCGGCGGGGGCTGCTGTGGCGACGGGAGACACTCCCACGGTTGTTGTCTCTGACGAATCTGAAAGAGAAGTGTCTCCCTCGCAGAATTCGGGCGCCGCAGTCTCGGGCGCTCCATCGATTCGCGTGAGTGCCGACGTCGAGTCGATCTCCTCTGAGATCCTCACTGCCGTCAGTGGGGCCGCGATAGGTATTGCCAGTGCCGGTGCAGTCGCTGCGGCTGTGGCGCCGTCTCCTGTGCCTCCGGGGCCAGACAACGTGCACCGCGTGCAGATGGATTTCACTCCTTCCGCAGATGATGAGCTGGAGTTGCGCGCCGGAGCCCTCGTGCGCATGCTACACGAGTATGATGATGGTTGGGTGAGTAATCGATTTACTACGACTTGTATGGTTGGAGTCTTTATGCTAACGTAGCCTCGAACAGGCGCTCTGCGTTCGAATGGATCGCTCACAGCAAGGAGTGGCGCCACGATCTTGCCTGTCTGCTCGCCCCGTGAAGCGTCGTCCCCGTCCCCCTCCTGGCGCCGGCCCGGGACCTGCGCCTCGTGGACCTTTGCCCCCAATGGGCCCTCATGGACGAATGCCAGGCCCTCCTCCTGGAGATCGTTATTACCCTCAGGGTCCACCAGGCGCTGCCAACTCTTCTCGACCACCTTACCCAGCTGGTCCAATGCCCCCTGCGAACGGCTTCCCTGCCGTTCCTCGGCCCATGTCGCCCGGCGCTCGCTCAATGTCCCCCGCCCCTCGATCTCGTCCTGGTCCCAATCCCGGTCCACGATCCATGAGTCCGGGTCCTTACGGCCCGGGAGGAATGCAGCGCCCTGCGATGCCCGTCAGTCAACGACAGCGTAGCAACAGTGCGGGAAACATGGCTCGTCCAATGGCTAGTGCTGCGCCTCTTAAGTCGAGCCCTCTTGTGGCTACTCAAGCTCCAGGCCCCGCTCCAACGATTCATCTACCTGCCCTGCCGCCCTCGACGCCGACCTCGCCAACTGAAGTTTATGCTCCGGGGCAAGCCATCTAAGTGGTCCTTTTTTCTTGATTCACAATACGTGCTCATGACGAGAGTCACAAAAATATTCCACCCTGCTGGTGCGGGGAAAGGGACTTTCGTGTGTACTGCATTCAAATGACCACGATCGCCCGAATGTGACGAACGACTCATCTGGTTCTCGCGTCATTCGAGAGCCGAGACTATAACACGAACCGCAACTATGCTCTGCTCATCTTGCTTGTACCATCTAGGCTTGTACAAGTTCGGCTGGCTCGATCCATGTGACAATTTCCTTTCGCCTCTTTGAACCGTCAAGTCCTTGCACTGTTTTTCTTCCATTCTTCTCTACTTGCTTTATGCTTCCCTAAGAGCTCTGCACCGTCATCTGCAATGTACTCTCGCCTGGTCTCTGAATTTTCCAGATCATCATACTGAAATCCCAGAGACATACGACTGTTGCCTCTGACTGCACGTGATTGATGAATGAGTTGCATACGTAAGCAGCTACTTATATTTTCTTTTTCTCGATTTCCCTTCACTTTCGAACCGGATGTATTTTTGTGTCAAATCACGTTTAGACCAGATATGGAATTGCAAGTCATACCTCCTGAGTAATTACTGGGCTCATGCATAGATAATTTGCACTCATGTGCTACTGAAACCCCTCTATGTACCATACACATACCGTTCCAATCTAGATATTAAAAAAAAGGAAGTACTAGATCGAGATAGTTTGTGTGTCAAAAGCCGGACTTTGCGCACGACCTTCAGGGAATTGAAAAATACATCATATCATAACGTCATCATAGCACTTAAGAGCTGAATGCCCCCCCAAAAAGCCTTGTATACAAAGAAGATGCTCGCACAAGACACGAAACCACTTTTGTGCCTTACATGCGCCCGATTGATCTTCATTCTGATCAACGCCAGGGCCACCAAAGAAAGACTGGGCTAGTAAGCGACTAAGAGAATTGGAAACGAAAAGCAGATTCATGCAAGTAAATCATCTACAAATGAGGAACTCGACCACTTGCCAGGAGCAGATTCACTATGCTCATGATGCCCTCTCCGAGGATCAGACCCGAGGCCAGCACGACGACCGTCGAGGAAGCTGCATCGGCCTTTTTGGACGCGGATTGTGCAGAGGGACTTGCCCTTTGTCCGGTGTGTAAAGGTGGGGGTGAGAGTACGTTCGTCGAAGATGAATTGATGCCGTGCGTGAGGTCGATCTGATCAGGTTGGCCGGTTAATTGCGCATGTTTACGCGCCCACCACCATGCGATCACGCCGCCGATTGCTCGAGCCAGAGTGAAAGATGGCACGTTGAACATGCCCACTGCGACGGCGATCCCGCCGGGGAGCAAATCTTTCCAGGCCGGGGGCTGACCGTTGTGCAAGAAACTCGGCGCGGAGGCCATGATGCGGATGGCGGTTAGAATGACCCAGACGATGCCGGCAATCACGGACGCCTGCCATGCCATGTCGGGCAGGCCCTCGCCGGTGACGAGACGGGCGGTGAAGATCCACACGTAGGCGGTTGGGGTCTGGAACATTTCACCGGGTATATCGTAGACGTTGACGTACATTTTATAGACGGCGGTCGAGAGGACAGCACCGACAAGACTGCCGATCATTTGTCCGTAAAACTGGGCTTTGGGGCTTGCGCCGAGCAGATGCCCCGTCTTGAGATCTTGCATCATGTCGCCGGCTTGGAGGGCGCCTGATTCAGAAACGGCGCCGGCGAGAAGATTGGTTACGAGCGCTGTGCGCCGCGAGAATCGCGAGGCTGGCGTGGCTATGGAGAAGATGAGTTGGGTGAGCTTGCTGATACCGGAGACTGGGTTCAGATCTGTCTCGCCTAGAGCTCGTACGCCCATAATAGAGAGAACAACTGCGAGTACGGTGGCGAGACTGGATAGCCAGGGTGAGATGATGTCGCCGAAAACGTAGTGCATGCACACAACATTCAAAACCAAAGTCAGGGGAAGAAGAATCACGACCGTGCGCGTGGAAATGAGCTCGGACGGAGGAGCATCTTCGTCCTCGGCCTCCTTCGCGATAATCGTCGCTCCGGCGTGGTGAGGAGTCAGATCCTCGTCGACATGGTCTTCATGGTTTCCCGAACGTAAGGCCGAATAATTGATGTACGAATGGTCAGTAGATCCGGAAGGTCTGAGTCGCCGCGCAATCCGTCTGCCCAAGCGAGTGGACCGAAGCCAAGCGATCCATTCTGGAGACTTATTGACGATTGGCTTGAGTACCAACCACCCAAGACTGACAAGTGAATCCGCAAGCATGATCGCCAGAGAGATCCAAACAATCCAAGCTTTGCTTCCATTGTCCCAGCTATCGACCGGTCCCGGAGCCCATCCACGCGATCGAGCCAAGGGCGACAGAATGCCCCAGCCAAGCACTGCGCCGAAGAGCATATGCATGCAAGTTGAAGGGCCCATGATGATTCCTTGTCCAATATACGCAGGCGATGGATTCAGCGTCCAGAGCCAATTATGTGCCAATCCCAGGCCAAACACCGGAATTTCTCTGACAAAGGGGACAAAGTACGAGAAAAGAGTCTGAAGGCGCGGTCAGCGATGCACCTTTGCAACACCTTTCATGAACACAGAAAAACTTACGTATACACCAGAAAGGACAAAGGCACCGATAAGAAGGCGCATCTTCGAGCGCCAGTCTTTCTTGTCCATCGTCTGGTCTTCGGCATCCAGATCTTTGGCCAAGAGGCCCTCATTTTCACCATTCGCAGAATATCGAATGTCACCGACTAGCTCCTCTCGCCCGCTGCTTTCACTTTCGGTTGTCAAGGGCTTCTTTTCGTCTTTGGCAGCACCGTGAAGAACCCGCAACATCAGGGCAGAGGCCGTTCCACTTGGGAAGCGTAATTTTTCACGCACAATGACCTCTTTCCGCAGCGGCACCGCGAAGACGACACCGAACAAACAGACTCCGAGACTCCAAACGACCAATTTCCAAAATCCCAGTTTCAGAGGACCACCTTCGCCTTCTCCTCCATCGCCTTTTGGTCCGTCTTCACCATCCTTGAGCAAGAACTCCAATGCAGGAATCACCCCAACAAATCCACAGCCCAAGGGCATTGTCCCCACTGCGCCGGCGACTGTTTGAATAAGAACGTTCTCGATTGGTGTGAATGGGAACGATAGGTATTTTGTCAAGACCTTGAAAACCGAAAAGCCAATCAAAGCTGATGGCATCGCCATTGTACTGATCCATCCTGTCTGAAGCCCGAAATATGTATTTGAAAAGGTGATAAGGGCACCAATAATGAGCCCGACGATCAATGAGCGCGGCGTGAAGCTTTGTGGTGATGTACTAGGTTTCTGTTGGACATTCGGCTCGAGCCGGTCATCGTGGCTCTGGCCGTTCAGCGGGTCGGCTTCGTTGACATGACTTTGGTCGTCTTGCTGCACTGGCAATGTAACACCAGCCATATTGAGTGTCTGATAATTCATTGGCTCAGCGGTTCGTCATGAGGGAGGATCGTGAGACTAAGTTTCATGATGAATTGAAGCGGCGGCGACTTGGTTGATAAGCAAGCAACTGTGGATACCCTCTGGTATCCGGGGACAGGACTGATAAGGTCACCTGATTTGCGGATGCTCCGCCGCGCTGGTAAGCTGATGGATTGTACTGGCTGGTCAGGACTCAGAAGTACCAGACGCACGCTGGTCAAACAACCTTGAAATAATCAAGGATTCACAATCAAAGTGATTCATACTTGGATCATTGCGAGGTTACGCCAAGCCTCACTGACACGCATTACTTTTCGCTTCTAGACCGGGAAGCCCAATCATGAATACTGTACTTTTTTTCTCCCGGGATGTATCTGCAGTAAATGTACGCCCCCGGAGGTACTCCGACTCTCGAATCAACACGGAGGTCAAACATACAACGTATGTGCAAAATGCTTTAGCATGGATCAGGCTTCGGGGTTGTTCATAGCTCACAAGAATCATGAGGAACCTTTCATCATTTTTAACTTCTGGAACATGTAAGAAGAGTATGCAGCCTTCTCCCTGCAGACAAATGGATGTTCTTACTTCCCAAAGTACCCAATGTTTGAAGGTTCCGCCTGCTATTAGTAGACGACTTCCGCTTACTTTTTATCTGATCAGAGTTGGAGGCTCCTGACACAGTTAGCCGGTGTTAGCCGTGACATCCCTTCTGGACACGCACGTTTATCAATCTATCCGCTTAGCCGCTTACATTCATTTCTCGTCTGATCAACTCAAAGAGAAAAAAACCCTTTCTAAACAACCCGGAGCACCACTCGCAGAAGGCGATATCTACCCAAATTCGATGGCTCCAGCCTTCGACTACACTTCCACGATCATATTCACTTGAGCCCTTCAGAGCAGGGTTACATTACACTTTCCAAGCTGACCTTGGAAGGATGCCGACCTCGGTCACGCTTCACGCCGCTTTGACTAGCGATTCTACCATTCGTTCATTTTCACATATGCAGTCGGGGCCGGATATCTCTATTGAGCTTTTCACGTCTCAAGATCTCCTTGCACAGCCATGGCTGTCAGAGCTCACCAAGATGATTAATGCAAGTTACCTGGTCGGGCACACGGACAGAATCAAGTACCTCAACAATAAGCTCCGACTTCGCTCCGACAGCGACCTTTCCCGTGAGCTAGGAGTCAGCGGCTTCACGGCAGTGGCCTTCGCTCGTGACCAAGCGGGTGAGAAGGCAGAAGTGATTGGCACTGCCAGCATGAAACCGTGGAAGAATGACGAACTTTGGCTGCGAGGTGAGGGGGAGATTGAGGGCGAGGACGGGAAGAAGAATAAGGACAAGATTCAGGATGAGATCGATGGAGCGGAAGCGGATACCGCTACAGATGAGCATGTTCTCCTGGAGTCCATTTGCCCGGGTGACTACGAACTTGCCGTGGTGGCGCTTCCGCCTGATAACCGCTACCGCGGCAAAGGCATCGCTGGGCGGCTAGTGAAAGCGTGTGAGGATGAGCTACTACGTCGACGAAGCCAGGAGGGCGATCAGAGCCAGCCCATCAGAGTGATGATTCGAGTCTTGAAGGAGAATGCCGGAGTGTACTGGCTTAAACAGGGATTCAAAGTCGTCGGGAGTCAGAGACGCCCTGCCGGGTTCTGGGACGCTTTGGAGCCGTTCACCTTGTGGGCGATGGTGCGAGAACTACGAACGTAATCATCTTTAGACAACAAAGGGGATTCCATTATATGGAACGTGTTATGTGCTCGAGGGAAGATGAACAAACTGTATATGACCTGGTTGATACACTATATATTTCGGGCTGCTGCTCTGCTGCGTCCATAGGTTAGGTGTAGCTCTTGAGGATTGAGCGCACAGAAGAGGTTTCTCCATCCTTTGAGTCAACAACACGCGAAAATTCGAAATGATACATCTCCATGCTTATCACATCCCTCCATCATGCCGGTCTCATAGTACCAAATCACTAATGTGTGTGAACAATTGAGGTGCGGCCTCAGTAACCAGGTTCTATCTGACATTCAATTTATTGAGCGGTCGATCTGAAGTGGAATCTCAATCCACTACTACCGTGAGTAATCCGTGCCACCCTGTTAGAAACTCACGTACCTTACCTTTTGATCGACCTCGACGGGAATTGACCTCCATTGGTCGGCAACTGTCAGGACGACGCGACCAGTGGGACATAGTTGAAACCCGAGTATGATTCTGCATGGTGATAAGCACAAAGTTACCACGTGTACTAAAGCGAGACCTAGATGACTATGATCGGGGTCCTGACTGCTGAATTCTGGCTGGTTGCTAGGTTGGTTGGGGACTCATGAAAAGAAAACAAAACAAAACAACTGGAGCTTTGCTGCTGGTTTTTGCTCAGGAGTGGACTGCGCAGACGATCTGCAGGAGGCCTACGATTACATTGATGGACGGACCACAAACGCATGGCATGGATCAGGATTCATCTGAAAACAATCGTCCCAGCTTGACGGGAGGGCTTTAGGCGGGATTGGTGATCTCGAAGTCGGGGCTTAACCAGTAAGGGGGCAACAGAACAACCTGCAATAGAGCTCGGACGATAAGAATCACGGTTTATGACAACACGATCCTCGATCGGTTCACATGCTCAGCTTGGAAACGCATATGAGACTTTGATTTGACGGAGAGTCTTCCGAACAACGCATATCACGACTTGGGGCCAAGCAATGCTGTGAAGTAGAACCCATTGCAGATCCATAGCCGATGCGTCCTGGTTAGAATGGGAGATCTTCGACGTCCACTATTCCTTTATCCATTCTGGATTGCTAATATACAGGGTTGGGTGGACGCCAAGGGACCTTTCCTTTTTCTGACGACTACATTCCGATACGGGGGGCTGCTAAATTGTATGGGAAAGAGGAGCTTTGGACAGGGTCGTAACCATATTAGCCGCCGCTCCTGCATTCCACGCCCTTGAGAATGCGTCTCTCATTGTCTGAGCAGAAGTGAAAATCGCAACAATGAACCTTCAATGAGTGGACGCGACTCGGTCAGAGGCCACAGAGCCCGGCTCATCCGACTGATTCAATCTACTTAAGTAGGCGGGAATATCTTGCCAGACGAGATGTCTTTTCCATTCATCCAGGAATTCCGACAATCACATTCCCTTCTTAAACTCACTTCGATACCAATCTCGCTCCTTATCCCACCGATATACACTCATTTTCAAGCATCATGCATTTCACTCAGGTAAGCACTCGCACCACGAGGGTCCAGATTGAACCTTGACACGTGCACCCGTCGCGTCGACAGATCACGATTACTGACCCTATCTCTCAGACAATCCTCTCCGCAGCGATGCTCATCCTACCCGCCTACGCAGGATTCCCTGTGGTCAACCTGGAGTTCCAATCCTATGAATCTTGCCCCGTCGGTTACCCTGGCCAACCTGCGATGGGTGTGCCCAAGTCTGTCGTGTCGATGACTTCTACCCCATTGTCATGCGACAAGACCACCGTGAACCGTGACTGGGATGTCAACAACTACGCCTTCAAGGCCACTATGGACACCAAGGATGCCTACACGTGCGCCGGTGTGAGCATCTGGAACAACGATGACTGCACAGGCGAGCCTGTCTTCTTCTTGCCCTTCGACGGTCAGACCGAGGTCCAGGGTCAATGTCTGCCCGACATGCTCGAGCTTGGTTTCATCTCCTTCCAAACGGAGTGTTATACCGATGCTGTCTAGGGGACTCGACCCCCTTGACAGTACGGTTGCTTCTTTCGACGAGCGGCCCAGGGAAGGAACTGGCCTAGGCCGTTGACAGCGTTTGGGAAGGCAGATGAGCAAAACTTTATATCGTTGCCCAGGACCACTTTCGTATATCATAATTTAATACTCCCCAAAATTCGAAAAGTACAATCTCAAGACTTTCTCAAGGCCTTTGATGAGTCGATTGCGCCCAGCTGGCTCTCTTACAGGATTGATACACGCCGTAGGGGTTGAAAGTCGCTGGCTGGCGATGCAAAAAGAGTAGACAGCTTAGACATGGCCAGTTTTCTTCAGAATATGACTCTTTCGCTGCTTTGCAGTTTCTACTTCTTTTTACCATCGTCGAGATTCAAGTCCGCCCAAGTGGATCTTTCTTCGCCGTCTGAAGATAGTTGCACCTCGACTGCCAGTTGGTGTACGTATTATCCAGCGTAAGCCGGAATCAGGAAAGCCATGCGTCTCAGCATCTGGCACAAGAACTGAAAAAGACCGACACAGTAGTCTAACAGTACTTGAACAGACGTAGACCAAAGCCGGCGATTAGGAAAAGTGGAGAGGTGATGATGATAGCGCGACTTGCTGACGGCCGATTGTCAAACTGCACTGCCTGGACTTCCCCGCCTCGTGTATTTTTCCACCAGCCTCCCCCCACACCACCCACACTGAAAGCCAGAGCACACCACACTTCAGAAAAAAAAACATTCCTTTGATCTCCATTCCCCGGGCCTTTCTCCGCTCCTGATCTGCAGAAAGCCACATCGCGTAGCCATCTCCGCTGGGACGACTGTACTGATTTGCTAGCCTAGCAATTCACTTCAGGCCCAACGCCTCCCCGCTCAAGTCCCACACGGGCGAGCGATCATGGCGGGCCCTCTGGCATCATCCCGACGGATGATCCCGTGGCTGTATGACCTCGTGCTGTGGCTGTTCACCTGCGCGTTGGACGTGTTCTTCCGCGAAATCTACCCCCGTGGAGCATGGAGAATTCCAGAACGAGGTCCGGTGCTCATCGTCGCCGCGCCTCACGCCAATCAATTCGTCGATTCGGCGATCTTGATGCACCTGTTGAAGTCGCAGGCGAAGCGACGCGTCTCGTTCCTGATTGCCCAGAAATCCATGAATGAGCCCTATATCGGCACTCTCGCATCATGTATGGGTGCACTCCCCGTCGTTCGGTCCATGGACTTGACCAAGCCCGGCAAGGGCTCCATCTATCAACCGGACCCGGAGAGTGATCCGGCTTTGATTCACGGTGTGGACACAGATTTCACGCAGCCCGAGTATGGGCCGGGAGCATCCATCACCATCAAGAACTCCAAGTCTACAGAAACCATGACTGTCGACGAGGTTTTGAGTGCCACGGCCCTGCGACTCAAGAAGCCTTTCACCTCACCGCTGTCGGACGACCCAGGCCGCAAAGGCACGAGGTTCAAGATTGCTCCTCATGTTGATCAGAGCCAGATGTTCAATGCTGTATACGAGGAGCTGTCATCCGGTGGTTGTATCGGCATTTTCCCCGAGGGAGGCAGTCACGACCGCTCCAATTTGTTGCCCTTGAAAGCTGGTGCCGCTCTGATGTCGCTCGGTTGCCTCGCTCGCGATCCCGAGTGCGGGCTGTCTATCGTTCCTTGTGGCATGAACTATTTCCACGCGCACAAGTTCCGCTCTCGTGCTGTGATCGAGTTCGGCCGTCCGATTCATGTGCATCCTGATCAGGTGGAAGCTTTCAAAGCCGGCGGTGCCAGCAAACGCAATGCCGTCGGTTCACTGCTCGAAACAATCTATGAAGGTCTCGAGTCCGTCACACAGATTAGTCCCGATCATGAGACCTTAATTTTGGTTCAGACGACGAGAAAGCTGTACAACCCCATCAGCAAGAAGATCCCGCTGCCGCTTGTGATCGAATTCAACCGACGGCTGCTCAAGGGCTACACGAAGCACCAAGATGACCCCCGAGTCAAAGGGTTGAAAAAGATGGTAAAGGAGTATAATCGACGACTCGAATCATTTGGGATTCGTGATCATCAAGTCGAGTGGGGAAACATTGAAGAGAAACCCTGGTGGCTCATTCTCATCACCTTGTTCTATCGCTTGGCCAAGCTGCTCATCCTCAGCTTTGGAGTCCTTCCTGGAGTCTTACTGTTCTGGCCGGTCTTTGTTACGACGAAAGTCATCTCGGAAAGAAAACGCCGTAAGGCTCTCGCAGCTTCAGTGGTGAAGCTGCAGGGCCATGACGTCGTGAGTACCTGGAAAATTCTTGTCGCCATGGGACTGGCCCCGACTCTGTATGTTTATTACACGATTATTGTGACCGCCTGGCTTCGTTACAACCGGAACGATGGCTACTACACACAGTCCGTCCCCTGGTGGATGATGGCTCGGACCTACGTTCCGGACTTTGTTCCCTTGTGGCTTTTCGCGGTGTGTTTCTACGCTCATATGGGCTTTGTGAGCTATGCGGCTCTTCGATTCGGGGAAGTGGGGATGGACATCATCAAGTCTCTGCCGCCTCTTGTCGTTGCTTTGAATCCGCTTTCCTCGTCATCTCTCGTCGATTTGAGGCAGCATCGAGAGGCGCTGTCGGAGAAAGTGACCATGACCGTCAATGATCTTGGCTTTGGAATCATGCCCGACATCGACGCCGAGATCCCAACAGACCCCTACAAACTGGACGCCTATCAATCTCATCTCAAGAGCATGCCGCCCAGCGAGCCCTCCAGTCGAGAGCGCAGCCGGAGCAGATCGAACGGCTCTATACGTGGAGCTCCTATGAAGGCGCTCAGCTCGATCAACTCGGAGGGGGATCTGGCCGAGATTGACCGGAAAATCCAAACCAACCTGAAGGGCCGTGGGCGGCGGTCAAACACCCTCACGTCCTTTGAGACGGGTGAATCCGTTCTGAAATATAAGCCAAGGGCTCTCGAGAAAGCAGAAAAGAAGCACAAGTGATTGGTGATTGTTCAGTGTGCCTTATTCTTAGCTCAGGCTTCTCAGCGCACATTCGGAGTGAACTTGGTGCCTGAGCACTGTACCCGCCTCTAAGTCCCCACGCTTGACTTGATACGCCCGTGCAGTGAGGGCATCCCATGTAATGATATGATATTATAGCAATTGAGGTAATAGTCTTAACAGTCCAGATCAGTATGATGTAGCCTGGAAGTTTGATTGGCCTACTTGATAGATGAAATCATGCGTCATCAGATATCTGGCGGTACCTAGTCACTGTCAGCTGGATCAGGGCTGGTGAGCTTCTTGACAAAATTACCAGCCGCCCATTGACCTTCCTCAAGAACTTGTCAGCAGTCAATTGCCGTGCTCTGGAATGCCACAGACGCGTTCACATACCACGTCGAGGCGAACTTCCCCCCCACCCGATTTCTAGATCAGCATGGATTGCCCTTTCGAGCACAGGAATGTGAGCGCGCAACATTGACTGGCTCCCGATAAAGCTATGGAGGACGCCCAGCCACCGGATCAGATGGCGACTAAGTGGTTCAGCATGCTTAGACGGCTTCTGGAGACACGTAAATCGAGCTTCAGCTCAGAGCGACTGCGCCTCCAGCCATTCTTTCCCGCCATCGCGGCAATCGCTGATGGATATGCGTCGAGAACTTAAAGTCCCCGATATAAGAAAGATGAGAACCCTGAACATTTGGACAGCATCTCATCATCAAACTTGTCACCCTCTCTTCATTTACGAATCAAAACGCATATCAACGTTCGACATCGATTTCTCTTTCCCAGCATTAAACATCTCACATCGAGACTGAGCAGTCTCCAAAACTTTCTCATCACGATGCATTCTGCACTCGCCGCACTCATCCTCCTCTCAACGCCCATCCATGCGACCATCACAGCCAAAGTCTGGGCTCATTTCTACCCCAACTGCCCAGGCGACCCATACTCGACCCTCGACGCATACGAAAGCTACGAGGAAACTGCTCCCACAAAAGTCATCACAGCCGGTGTATGCACCAGCTTCGGTGTCCCATCCTTCAATCACCAACTCGTCAGCTCTATCTCCGTCGACGCCGAGCTCACACCCGAAGATTATCAAAACTTGTATCCTTCAGACACGGGCGCAAGGTGTAACATCACCGTCCATGAAGAGCCAGAATGTATCGATCCGGCCCTGATCAATCAGGAACTTCACAAGGGGGTCGAGGTCAGCAAGTGCGAGACGCGCTCATTCGCCGCCTTCAGTCAGATATGGATACAGCTCAACTGCGAGAATGATGGCGAGGCGCTTCACTCTAATTCTTCGCTTGGGCAATCGTCCAACTCCACATACGAATCACGACTGGCAGATTCCGGCGGCGAAGACGATGTCGAAGCTCCATCCAAGATGCAGACACCCGGCTCAAACTCAAATACATGGGCCAACGCTCAAACAGGTCACGCATCGCAGCAAGACCCCGAGCAAGTCGAGCGTGTCAATCAAGACGGACACGCCGAGAGCGAGAAGATCCTTCAGGATCTCATGGAGAGACTGAAAAATCAAACTGCGACGCATGTCAGTGGGAAGAGCAATTCGACGCGGCCTGTGAATGGGACCTTGCTCCAGAGCAATGGCACTGTTTCGAGAAGTCCCGGCTTGATCAAAAGACGTTTGTCTGTGCTGCGCAGGAGGAGGACATGGGCATGATTGGATGTAAAAATTTGTTGAAGGAGCGTGTATTCAAAGGTTCTACTGTTGTCCATTGATGCTTTGTGTCATGAGTTGAATGATGTTTGCACATAAAAAGAAACAGATATAGTTGAATAAAGCCATAGTTTCATGTTGAAGCTTCAATCGTAATGTGCAATTGTTTCGTCGATGAGCAGAAAATATACGAGCGCTCGTATCTAAAACTGATGACCCGAGCAACCGCGTCTCATATTCACCCTTGATGGCTACGACGACTCGCTCTAGGTACACGCTAAGGGTACAGAAATATGGCGACAAACGCCCGGACAAAAAAAGCCCAAAATTTCCAACCCCGCCGTGTCTTCAATCAAAGCCTTAGAAACCAAAGCTATCTAACAGCGAGTTCGCATCAGGTTCATGGAACATGGTTGGAGGCGGCTTTTTCTTGGTCTCTTTCGCCGTATCGTCGTCGACGACCTTTTCCGTCGCACTTGTGGTTGTTCTCGAGGCATCCGTGAGACGCAATGGCAGGTCAGCGACGACAAGGCTGCTTCGCCGGCGAAGCAGTTTACGATAATCGACATCACCATCGCGGAACTCGAGAGCAGGCTGCGTCTGCAATGACCCAGGCAAAGGCGGACCGCCGAGGAACTCCCAATGACGCACGAGATCTAGCGCGAGCAGGTCACACCCCATACGGTCATAAAGCCGGGCGTTGCGGAGCACAAATTCCCACTCTTCTCGGGGACGAACTTGCGAGGCGCCTTTGAGAGTTTGAAGAGTCTTCTCTCGCAGCTGCTGATAGAGCACAACCAAGGCGGGATCGTTGGAAAGGTATGATTTGGACTGGAGTGTGGCTCTTCCAGGGCTTGCTGGGGAAAGCGGTGTTGGAGAGAGCAGAGTCTCGATTGGGGACTATTGCCAAGTCAGTATGAACGCGGATTGGAATCGAAATAGATCGCCTGCTTACGATTAGCGACCGCACAGCCATGTCTCGTCGACCGAGCATCCAAAAGGCCCAGCTGGCCATCCATCGATTTCCCTCGATGGCTGCGGTGGGGAGGACTTTCTCCTCGAGTATCTCCCGCAGGACAGGGCCATTGTCACCCTCATAGACACGTGCAACGGCGATCGCAAGCTGAATATCGCCCATCTGGTTGGTAATCACGTTCGTAGCATCGCGTAGATGATCCGCAAGTAAGAAAAATGACGCGGCATATTCTGTGTGACGCTCGAAGTCAGAATTCTGCGATGTTTTCAGAACAATGTGATGTGAGCCAGCTTACCGAAGCGACGCTTGCCAAGCAGCGCGTAGGCATTCTTCAGAGCGGACGTCTTCCAACGTGCTTCATTGAAATTGTTTGCAAGCAGACGTTGTGTGGCGGCTTGTTCACGATGCCAGTGTGCAATTCGCCATAATCCCTGCAGAATGCTCTTCTTCTTAAGAGCTAGATAATAGATAGTGCAATCAATGGGATTCCGCTCCTCGGTCTTGCTGTACTCGTTTCTTGCCACAGCCTCGAGTTGTGCTTTCTGAAAATAGAGTTAGCAGTGCTACATGACCAATCTCGTCGACAATGCTTACCAAAGCTGTCGAATCTGACAACCACATGAATATCCCACTTTCCCTGGCAGCCTTCCAGGTCAGCTTGCCGTTGAACTGATGTGACACAAGGTCTGTCAAAAGATCCTGACTGCCGCTGTGGAATGCCCAGACAATTTCTCGCCAAGAGACCGTATCCTTATTCGCCACACCCTGACTCTTCCTCAACATGTGTTGCCTAAAGAATAGTAGATAACGAGCGGCGTTGTCGTCCATAGATCGTCGGTGCTTTTCAACAGTTGCCACACATTCAATAGTATCGACGAGTCGAAATTGCTCGTGACTTGTAAGCTGAGGTAAGGCAATGCGTGCGAGATGCTCATTCAGAATTGCAGCTGTCTGCTCATCGACCACAGAAGAGCTTTCCTCCTCGATTGCCATGTCTGCATAGGAAGATCTCATTTCTTTCGAGGCGATTTGCTGCACAGCAACACTCTCCTCGTAGAAATAGCTGAGCGGCATATCCAGGAAGCCGTCCAGATCGTCACCCTCCGTGAAGAATTTCAATTTCTTCAGGAGATTGATCAATATGGTTTGGACAAGACCAGTTTTGCCAGATAATATGCATTGCGCCAGAAACTGCGGGTGGAACACCGGCAGCGGGCCATTGAGCCGGCTGACAATATCAAACATGTCGATCGACTTCAGCCCTCGGGAGGGAATGCGGAGATGCGACACGAGACGATCACCAATATCAACATCCTTGTCATATATGAACAACTGGTTTCCCGCACCTATGACAAGATGCCCATTTGTAAGCCAGCAGGAATCACCGATTGGATGTGGCGTCAGATCTCGAATCCAAATTTCTCGAACCTGAGTCCAGGAAGGCTGAGCGTCCAGATAATCATAGCGAAGTTGTGAGAGCAATACAACTTTATGTGGGAATCCGACGGCAAGAATAGATTGCATGTCCGGGGTTGAAGTCCAGTCAAGGTCCGTGATACTGTCGTGTTGAGTGAAATGTTCTTCAAACTCGAGCTGTGCATTGTTGGTATCCCAGATTGTCAAATGGGTACGACCTTCATCCACAAGCGCTGCCTTTCGAATATCACTCCCGCTTGCTAAAGATGGGTTCATGATGCCGGTGTCTACGGTAGACTTCAGGAGCCATTCAACCTTGGCAGATGCTTGATCCACCTTGGCAGTCCACGTTCGAACGATACCGCTGTGGGTGTAGGAAAGCGCAATATCGGGTGCGAATGTGTCGAAAAATCCGGATGACTTGACTTTCGGCCCTGCGGGGTCGACAGGCAGGATATAGGCCAAGTCTTCCTTAAGGCCCATCTCGAAATTGCAGAATTTTTGCATTCGGTGGCCCTTTGCTGAGTCGCTCTCGATTTCCCACGCAATGCCATTTCCATCAGCTCCAATGGTTGCCACATAGGATACCTTCAATTCTGTCTCGGGTCTTGGCAGAGGAAGCACACACAAAGGCTTGCTGGACAATTCGAAAGGCAATGATGCAATCTGTTTCGCGTGATACGTATCGAAATCCCATAGTGAGATACCACTGTGATGAAGATTGACCAGCAGGTTGCTATCTTCCAGTAGACAAGTTCGATGAATGTGTTCGTCCGAGAGCAAAATACTTTTGTGCAGGGGGGCTGACCCATTCTTTCGCTTCTGCTGTCTCCAGATCATAGCCTTGTTCTCGTCTGTACGAGATATAAGGGTATCACCAATGGCATTTCGCACAATCTTTTTCACAGGCGCCGTGTGTCCGGACCAGGATGATCTTGGTGTCAGTCGATCCTTGCGTGGGGAAGGATCAAAAAAGATGTCCACTTGCGAATCATACCATTCAATGCGACCGTCAAAGTGATGCAGAATAAAGCTAAGCCTGTCCTCGGTCGAGGTGCTTTGGAATGCGCGAATTTGGGCATAATCCTCGACTGCGGACAAGCCGGGCATGAACCCGAACTCCAGGCCCTCCACATGGAGAATGTTGAAAACGCTCACTTTCGTCTTGACTTTAGAGCCCACGTCTTCCAAGGCCCATGCGGACAGATGGCCCTGCCCATCAATGACAACACATATCTCTGGGCTCTGCTTGGCAACCTCAATGATGTGTTCCAAGCCGTGATTCTGCTTGGAGCTTGTATTCCGCTCCACGGCTCGTTCTGTTGCGCTACAGAAATCACGACCATCCAGAAAGAAACCGTATCTCCGTTCCGTGTGCTGGTCTAATCCAGACGTGTCTCGTGGCTGGACAGAAAGCTTCATATCAATATCGGCCCAGAACTGAAGTGGGGTGAGGGCGTGATGATCTGTCACCGCAAAAATCCGGATCTTGTTGTCGGCGCAGAGCGTGTAGAGGACATTTTCAACAGACTGGTCACGATGGTATGGTAGTCGCCAGTGTATCCCAGTGATGAGGTCAGGGTGTGGAAGATATGAGATCTCAAATCGAACTTCATCTTCACCGAACGCCAGTCGTCTCCAGACCTTGGCCAATCGGTCATATTGCCCGACTGTTACCACTAAAGATCCATCTGGAGAGAACTGCGCGAACTTGACCGGTGTTGCTAGATGCCGTTTCCAGACTAGACGAGGAGTGTCATTCAACATCCACAGTGCGAGGCGTGAATTGCCAGCCAGCAATTCATTTGGCGAACCCCAGGAGAGGGTATATATCGACTCAGTATCATCTTGGGCGCGAAATGTGGAAGCAAGAGACCACTACATACTCAAATGGGTGAGAATCCATGGCTGCCAATGCGCAATGAATCAGTCAGCGGGCCACTGACCTTCAGAGTCTCTCCCTTGATACCATAAGGCTGATACACGAAAATGTCTGGTCCCCCGCATACAGCGATCTTTCCAGATGCTTCATCGAACGTGACGGCTTCGAGTTTCTCGGTATCGTCAACGTAAATCGTTTGAAGCAGTGTTTGCGGGTCGCTGAGGATCACAAGGGCGTGGCCGGATATGTACACCTATTCGAGAAATATGCGCAAGGCGCTTGTCAATCTCTCTGCAGGTCTTTCAAGGAACAGAAGCTGCCCCAAGTTCCAATGAGACAAAAGCTTACCACTATGCGGAGTCCATCCCACAGCGCGGTGCTGAACGCATGGAGCTTCGCTGGGGGTCTCCCCGGAAGTACCGCTCGCATGGAGGCGGGTGGTTGGCAGGACGTGCGCTAGGCGTCAAGCCTTACGCATGGCCAATGTTTGAACACCAAGCTAGAGTTTCCAAAGGGAAGCTGTCGCAAATGCGTTCAGAATTGCGTCAATTGGTGCAACTTGTTCACTACGTTTAAGCAGAGACCGGAAGCTGGAGCGGGATGATCAACGGACTTGTTCCATAAGGCCGAGGGCGCTCCCAGCTCCACTTCTGAGCAACATACGTAGTGCGAACCACCGCTCTTCGCGCGGCCCGGGCCTCCTAGCAAGGATCCAACAGCGCAGCTCAATTATCTTGATGAATACGTCAGAGTACCTGGGATGACATTTGATAATAAGAAATGGAGACGAAGCTGGTGAGGGAGCTTATTCTCTTTCGCAAGCTTAATGATGGGACAAAGAAAAGACAGACTTGCTGCTGCTCTGCTGGCGGAGCTGGCGGAGCGTCAGCTGATCTCCGAGCGTGACGCAGCCCTGCAGATTGAATGTGACGGTGGACAAATCAATCCGCTCTGCCGAATCGAGACTGGTAACAGTGAGTTGATCGACGGCACTTGCATCAAAACAGCTAGCTGACAGCGAAGAAACACTGGAAATCTGACTGAAGATGACGGCCGTTTCATTGCTCGAAAGCTGGAACCACCCATCTACGCGGGATAAAGATCGATACAGCTCTATCTCCACAGAGTTTGAATCTACATCTCCTCTATTGACTACACCAATCTACTTGGTTCTTTTACTACTATGTGCGGAAGCCACAACGTCGTATCATTCGATAATAGCACCGTTCGTGGTGGATTAGATTATAGTTCATCAATACTTCACATTCACTCATGTTCAGAAAATGCTGTGGGGTACGGTACAGTTGGCCCGAAGTCAAGACATGTCGACCAAAACGCCAATGCCCTGTACATGTTGCGCCAGTTCATATGCATCGTGAGTTAAAAAGAATCAAGATAACGCAGAGAGGGAAACGGTGAGGAGAGCAGCTGCCGGGTCTAAAGGTCTTGCGGACAACTGCCGGGGCCCCGGATGCTAGCACTGGTGGGAGGACAAGAAAGTAGAATGGTAGTGAAAGTGTCCAAGGCTTGTACTTGAAAACAATAAAACGGGCCTCTACATCCCGGACACGGTGTTGGAGCGTCGATTCGCCGACCTGCGACTATCGGTAGGGGACTCCGGGAGCTCCTCATCAACAAAGCGAACACTGGTGCCCGTCATGGCCCGGCGACTTTGCTGTGAGCGACGTGACGAAGCCGAGCGGGGTGCCATGGCTTCCGCACGAAGGAGGCGACTGGCGAAAGGGGTATGCAAGGGCGTGGCAGGCGTCGTGGTCATCTGTGCAAGTGCTCGCGCGAGCGGCTCGTTTGGAAGGAGAGGTCATATAATTTGGGGTGGCCAAGGGGCTTGCCCCAATCTGATCAACAGAGTTTGAAGTAAAGTCGGTCATTTTAAAAGGCGTTTCGGATCCGCTCTGGAACCAGGGGTCAAAAAGAGCAGATCGGGGACGCTCTACTTCTCCAAACTTCAAGTGCGGCGTGGATGCTACCGCTGGTTCGAACGAGTCGCGCGCTTCAAGCTTCAGCCGTGCACTTTCCAACCAATGGCGAAAGAAGTTTCTGGAATGCTTTCGTGCAGTTCTCTCACGCATGGCTTCGGCGGTCTCGACAGTGCTGCCGATCTGGAAGAGACGGAGACTGAGCTTGCGAAGCGAGGCCCCGGCTTGAGAAAGAACATGTCTGCGATACACAGAGTCCGCTTGATCCTCCAACTCACGGCGAGCGACGTAGGCCTCAGACATTCGGAGCAGGTGATCGTAAGCGATGTGACGGAAGTAGCGTAAATCAGCTTCCTGATAATCTTGAACCCGTCTGAGGGTCCTTGCGTGCCAGTCACTGAAAATTTCAACTGCATTGCTCAGCGTTCTCTGGCGCTCAAGCTCAACGGAGTGTTGCTGCATGTCTGTTACCACCTGGGTTTTGGAGGCCCACACGGCAAGAACCCTGGAGGCCATGTTGATCTTGACTTTGCGCCGCATCTTCGAGTAGGCATCCTTACGCCGTCGCTTTGCGGAGTCCAACGTTGCTTGACGCCAGGTCTTCAAAAAGCGCTTCGTGAGGAAGTAGTACTCAGCATCGCGTGCCCATGTCTCCATCTTTTCGATTTGCTGGCGCTTGGATCTCCAAGCCATCAAAGATTCCTCAACTAGACGCGGGGCGTAGAATTCAAAAGCAGTATACTCTCGCTGCCTCTGAAGCGCAAGTTGATCCCGCCAGAGAGCAAATTTGGATCGCTTGAGTTCTTGGACCCAATGATCTTCATGCTTTTCGGCTTTGAACAGCAGTTGGGAGTAAGTTTTTCGGGTGTTGGTGACAAAGTGAGATAAAACCTCTCGCTTGATACGCTGCTCCCGTATACGGCGCATCAACTGAAACCTTTCCATTAAGATCCATTTGTACATTGTCTCCATTCTCAACCGCTCATTGATGCGAGCCTGGAGAGCTAGACATCGGAGTGTGTCATTCCAGGACACCCACGCGTTCTTTTCTATCCGAGTTCGATTCATATCGACCGCTGCCTGGGTCAGACGAGCCTTTGCAATCCACTTACCGAGAGCGGTGCGCAAGATTCGGCTGTCCACCCCTTCACGTATGTGAGAAGCGGCCGGGGCTAGCCTGGACTGTACTTTCCATTCGTCAAACACTCGACGTACGGCGCGGTGATTATAGGACTCAGAAGCTGTTTCTGCTGTCGAGTTGATGATCCATAATTTTCGGGACCAAACATTCAACACGCTGGACTGATTCTCTTTCTTCTTACGAATCACAACCTCCTGTTCACGCTCACGGTTGGTGCGGAAGTTGCGAAGCCAATATAGCAAGGACCGTCTCTTGAGTTGACTGTCGTACCATTCAGGAGCGCGTCGGTCACAGAAGCCCCAGAACCACTGCCAATAAGTGACGCGTAGTAAACGATTGTTATGCCTAGTGATCGCATCGGCTTCAGCATTCCTCAGTATGGCTGCCTTTTTTCGCCATTGGCCGAAGGGTCTCTTCAAAGCGAATCGGTGAGCCTTGAGCTCATTGACAGCAGTAATCTCTCGCCAAGCATTGAAGTACTTTACACTCAGCACATGTCTTCGAGCGGCAGAAGTTCGTGCGACTTCCTCAGAGGCCAACTGAGCCCAGTGAGTGAAGGACTTAGTCAACAGATAGAGATCACGAGCTCGGCACGCACGCTCCTCTAGATGTTTAAAAAATCGTTCTGTCCTGACCGTATGACGCTTTTTCTGGATTATCGCGCGCCAAGGCTCAAAGGCTTGCCGTAGCAGAGTGTTGCGATCGCGACTTATGGCAATGACTTCTCTAGACTCGCGCAGCTGTCGCGCCTGGAATGCACGCTTCAGCCACTGCGTTAGAATTCGGCGACAGTTTGCCCTCTGTCGATACATATTGAATGTGGAGGCATCTCGAAGCAAGTCCGAAAGCTGTGGTCGGTACAGCATGTCAGGAGGGACGTTCACCTTTCCAATGGACTCATGTCCCGTCGCCTGCGACGTTCCAGACATTGAGTCTCCGGACTCGGACATCGCCAGTGAGCTGATTGAAAGTGAGCGACGAGGTTTGAGTGCTGCGTTCTGTCTCTTGGACCGATCGGTTTGAACCGCAGAGCGAGTAGCTGCGCCATTCATCAAGATGGGCTTCTCTGCCTCTTGAGTGTTACTCGCTTGTTGTGCAGAATCGAATCGACTAATTAGCCGCCGGCCCACATCCAGGAATTGTGCGATGAGATGCGTGCGATCTGGGCTTCTTGGACGTTGTTTCTGTGCTTTGTGTCCCGGGGAGGCAGTCGTGGTCAAGAACTCGGACTTTCCAGTCTGGAGACGAGACAGGGATGCTCGTGAGCTTGGTCGCTCAGCCAGACTCTTCTGAGTGGCATCCTCACCAATGTCGAGGGTAGTATTGAATGATGCACGCCGCTTCGGAGTGATGGGTGTCTCATTAGGCAGATGATGCTGGCCCTGCCTTGGTCTTCTGGTTTCATTCTCGGGCTGAGCAACACTTATGTTCGTTGTGTCTCTTTGTCCTGTAGAGTCGTCCTCTCCAAATTCAATCAGGATGCCCATGTGATGAAGCGTACTTTCAAATTTCTCGAACAATGTGGACCCCTCAACATCCTTGCCCCCCATTCGAAAGAGAAACCGCAGACACGCATGACCGGGATCTGCATCGACGCCATGCTCACTGATGACCTCGTCGTATGCTGCGAAAAGAGCGCGAAAAGGTAGCCGGTCAGCTTCGGGCTTGCCCTCAGCGCGGCTGATGACTTGGTACAGGAAACCAACATCTGTGGAAGCAAATGTTTAATTCATGCGACTGAAAGAGTTGATATTCACAATGCGCGACAAACATTGAAGGGACTTACCATCATCGGAGAGCGACGGATTCTCTTCGGTCAAGGTACGGCGCTGTGAGGGTGTCGGCGGCATCGAAAAATCGCGATCTATTGCGCACTTGTCGCATCTGGAACGAATGGTCGACAAGACAGAAAAATCATTGCGGAATCAGATATATCTGAAGATCCGTCGACTATGCAGATGGCAGCCTGAATAGAGACGCTCAAATAAATCACAGCGTCGAAACAATGCACGGTAAATCTAAACACATACTTTGGGCCATCGAATTGTTATGGCGGTCGCGTCGGAAACATGCACTCGTGTCACGTGTGTATTATGTAATATGCAGGTGCTCCGCGCCACGGCGAACGGCGGAAGCTCTTGGCATGACCTAATCAATCGACGGGCCGCATCAGAGGTCACCTCCGTCGATGGGTAAATATTTGCTAGAGGAGTCAACTTAGCACAAGTTGCAGGCAACTTTTCTCTACCATCATGCCTAACAGAGTTCGTCCAATTGAAAAGGTGGCTAAAGCGACAGCGAAATGCTCGACTGAGGTAGGGACCAACTTCATACGCACGATTCGTGCAGGTGCTCATGAAAACAATCGTCTACTTTGTAGGCAGCGGCTTACGGAAAATGCATTATCGCGGACTACAACTCCGTTCACAAGGACATGTGTGCCAAAGAATTTATGCGACTGAAGGATTGTTTCCTGGTAAGCGAAGCCGATATCATTGTCTCAGATCCAGCCCAGACTAATTCGGCCAGGCTGCCTCCAAGAAGGTTTAAGTCGGATGTTCATCTGATGCGTCATTTTGCCTCATGTCCCAGCGGTGTTATGATTTGCAATCGTTGAAGCTATATTGACTTCATTCCATAAGAAATACTTCCTTACTGTTCTATTGTCAATTCATGTTGTGCAGCTACTATCTAGATAATCATGGGTATCGTCTTCATTGATCGAGAATCTAGTGACTCATCTGCTAGTATTTTTTGATCCAACAAGACTCAACTATATTTCAAACACTTAATATGGCTTGACATTGGAACTTTACAGCTTGACCAACCGCAAGAGGAATGTGGCGTTCTGTACTTCCTGATCCTCTTGAGCAATGGTGCCCTCTTCGTCACCACTAGGGGCCTGACCGTCGGCCAAAGAGCGCTCATCAAGCGGTCGTCGAACTGCTTTCGCGATGGCCTGGGCTTGTGACTTGAAGGCTTCACCAAGACCGATGTTGTCAGGGTCCGAGAGAACGACGTACTCCATCTTCACCTCGTCGGTTGGCACGAGGCCGGCCTTCTTACGGAGACGTTGGAGTCGGTTGATGATCTCACGACCAATACCCTGGTGAGCCAGCTCTGGGTACAAGTTGGCATCCAGGATGGTCATGACGTCGGCGTCAGTGTTAGTCTCCATGCCGGATGAGCTTGAATCTTCCTTGATTCCGCGTTTCACGACGAGGTCGCCCTCAATCAGCTCGATTCCGTCCACCACGATCTTTTTCTCCTCAACGTACTTCTTCACATCATCGCTTGACAACGAAGGAAGGGCCTTCTTGACCTTCTGCACGTCCTTCTTGAGCTTCTTGCCCAAGGTGGGCCAGTCTGCATTGACGCTGTACTGAACATTGTACTTAGCCTCGTCAGACGAGAGTACCAGGTCGAGGACGTTGAGCTCCTCCAAGATGTATCCCTCGAGAGACTTGACGTCGTCCAGATATTGCTGGTCTTGGTGAATCACCACGAGTGACTTCAAAGGTGTCTTCAGCGCAATGGATTTGCGCTCCCGAGAGATACGACCAAGCTCAATGACCTTCTGCATACGGGCGACCCGACGCTCCACAACTTCATCGAAAAGCTCCTGGCGTGGCTCAGGGAAGGCGAGGAAATGCACACTGCGGCTATCTTCGGCACGGAGAGCCTCGGGAATGTGCGGAAGAAGGCGCTGATAGATATTGTCGGTAAGGAAAGGAGTAAACGGAGCAAGTCCCCGAACCAAAGTGTAAAGCACCTCGAACAGGGTGTTCAAGGCATGCAGAGTATCATCAACACCGTTCTCTCCCTTTAGACGCTTGCGGTTGAATCGAATATACCAGTTGGTAGTGTTTTCAATCAGGCCCAGCAAACGCGGCACCACAGTGTACAGGCGGTATCCGGTCATTTCCTGGTTGACAAAGATCAAGAGACTCTGGCAACTGGCCAAGATCCAGCGGTCCATAACATTGGTGTTAGTGGACTCAGCTTTAGGATCGAACATGAAGTCAACATCGGAAGACTTTTTCAAAAGAGCAACTTGGCCTTCGAAGAATTTGTAGCTGTTCCACAAGGGGAGGAGAACCTTGCTGACAATTTCTTTGACGCCCGCCTCCTTGAAACGGAGTGGCTCGGCGCGCACGACTGGCGAGTTGATAAGGTAAAGACGCAGAGCATCGGAACCGTAACGATCCATGATCAGGGTAGGATCAGGGTAGTTCTTGAGACGCTTGGACATCTTCTTGCCATCCTCGGCGAGAACGATACCGTTGACGACGCAGTTCTTGAAGGGTAATTTTCCGAAAAGATGAGTACCAAGGACAGTCAACGTGTAGAACCAACCTCGGGTTTGATCGAGACCCTCCGCGATGAAGTCACCGGGAAAGCTGTTTTCAAATTGATCCTTGTTTTTGAATGGATAATGCTGGGAAGCGTAGGGCATGCTACCAGACTCAAACCAGCAGTCAAACACCTCGCTGACGCGGCGAAGCTCACCCTTACCCTGCTTACTGGGAATAGTGATGTGATCCACCTTGTCACGGTGAATGTCGGTGAGCTCGCCGGTGTAACCGCTCAGTTCCTTCAGTTCCTCCACACTCCCAACGGCGACAATCTCCTTGAAGTCATCGCTGACCCACAAAGGAAGCGGAGTTCCCCAGAAACGATTGCGGGAGATGTTCCAGTCACGGGCATTTTTGATCCAACTGGCGAAGCGCTTATCCTTCACCGAAGATGGGACCCAATGAGACTCCTCGATACCTTCCAGCATCTGAGGGATGATTGTATCGATTTTCACGAACCAAGAAGGCACTGCCCGATAGATGAGAGGGGTGTCTGACCGCCAGCAGAAGGGGTAGCTGTGAGTAATCTGGCTGTCAACAAGAAGGCGACCAGTGCCCTTCAGGTATTTGATGATTGCCTTGTCAGCCTCCTTGACGTTTTGGCCAACAAAGTCCGAGACCTCTGCGGTGAAGCAACCCTGGGCGTCCACGGGGTTCGGGGGAAGACGAGTCTCGTTGATCACACCGTGGTTAACGGCGACTTGGTAATCGTCCTCACCAAAAGCTGGAGCTTGGTGAACGATACCCACACCATCCTCGGCTGTGACATAACGATCATTGACCACACGGAAACCATGATCTTTGAATTCATCGTAGTAATACTTGAAGAGAGGTTCGTACTTCCAACCAAGCATATCGGCACCCTTAACGCGGTCAACGATCTTGAATTTGGCCTTCTTCGGATCCTTGTAGATGGTGCGAAGCAAAGACTCCAAAAGAATATAGTTCTTCTTGGTGGCCTCATCGTAGATCTTCACATATTCAAAATCAGGATGGGCGCAAAGGCCGGTGTGAGAGGGAAGCGTCCACGGAGTGGTCGTCCATGCAAGCAAGCAGGTCTCGGGGTCGTCCAACAGAGGGAATGTCACGACTACTGCGGGGTCCTGCACGTCCTTATAGTTTTGCTGAGCTTCGAAGTTGCTCAAAGGTGTGTTGAGGGCGGTTGAATAAGGCATCACGCGGAAGCCTCGGTAAACAAGGCCTTTGTCAAAGAGCTGCTTGAATACCCACCTTCATAGCAATGGTCAGCACCGGCTCCCCCAAGAAGTAAAAAACACTGATACAGACATACCACACGGACTCCATAAAGCTGGTGTTCATCGTCTAATTCCAGGCCAACGTGCGTTAGCTGCGCCGATCGATCAACGTGTCTGCACTGGAGCACTAGTCAAGCCAAAAGTACCTTGTAGTCATTGTCGAAATCAATCCAACGACCCAGACGCTCGATCGTCTGTCGCCATTCCTCAGCGAAACGCATGACAATAGCCCGGCACTCCTCGTTGTATTTGGCAATTCCGAGTTTCTCAACTGCTTCCAAGCCGGACATGCCGAGTTTCTTATCGATCTCATACTCAACGGGGACGCCGTGTGTATCCCATCCAAATCTTCGCTCGACATAGTGTCCCTTCATTGCCCAGTATCTGGGAATGATATCTTTAATTGTTGAGGCCAGAAGATGACCATAGTGAGGCAGACCGGTCGCGAAAGGCGGACCATCGTAGAAGGTATACGGCTTCTTTCCTCGAGAAAGCTCGACCTGGCGCTGGAAAGCATCAATTTCTCTCCACCGCTTGAGGACAAGCTCCTCCTCGGCGGGAAAATCGATAGACATGGCGCTTTGATTTGTGGGCGTCCTCAACAATCAAAGGTAGAGAAGACACAGATAGTTTGAGGAATGACTCAACCCCCACCAACACATTTTTTGCCAGTGCGGTCAATGACCCGCAGCCCCTCCACATCTCACCGCCTGCTAAGCTCAGAAATTATTCTATTCAATTTGAATACCTAGCGTACTTCCCAAGTGCGGAGTTAAGGATTATCTACTTAGATAGGTAGCATGTAGGCTACTAGGCACTGGGCACCGGGCAGTAGTTCCACGCGAACTGGACACCTGATCCTTTTAAAGGCGCCAAATCCTCGCAAGTGCTTGGTTGCTGTGAAACGAAAGGATCGTCAAGCAATCATACGGCTGCTGATTTATTGAAAAGTGTTCGTGAGACGCGCCGACACGGTTGCTGCTGCCCATTGCATAAATAAATTATTCTTCTTCTTCGTCTTCCTCCTCTTCGTCGTCCTCGTCTTCTCCCTCCGAGACTTCTTGGCCAAGATCTTTGAGTCGTTTCTAGAAAATGCGAGTTGCTCGCGGTCAGCGGCCATGTTCGCATTGCACAGGCGATGTGGAGTAGATCTTACCTTGTCTTCCGCTCTCTTCGCTTCCAAATCTCCGAACACGATCAGCAAGTCATCTAGTTCTGTTTGCGTCGCTTGGCGAGCTTCTTCTTTGTCTTTGATATCCGCCTGCGACTTGTCGAGCTGAGCTTGTATCTTTTGAAGAGTTTTAGCTGCATTCTCGGCTCGCGATTCAGCTTCCTGTGCTTTGCGTTCAGCCTCGAGAGCACGTGCTTCCAATGCCGACATCTTAGACCAGGCGGCTTTAGTAGCTATCTCAGCGTCTCTGCCCAACTCCTCTTGAGCTTTTGCTTGACATTGGGCGTCTTCTGCTGCCTTTTCTGCGGCTGTGACCCGAGCCTCCAACGCTGAAATCGTTGACAATGAATCTTTCTTGACTTTGGACACATCTCCGGCAGACTTGGCCTTTAAATTTTCAATTTCACTCTCAGCCTGTGCAAGAGTCTCCTTGAGGCCCAGAACCTCGGACTCGTGCTGCGACTTTATAGCGGTCAACTCGGACTCGAGTGACGCGATATTCGTTTTGAACCCGGCTATTTCAGACTCATGTCGATGCTCTGTCGACGCAAGTGCCGATTCCGCCAGCCGTACCTTGTCTTCGAGATGTGTGATTTGATAAGTGTTCGACTCCTTTGACTGGCTGATAATCCCTTCCAGTTCCTCGGCGCGCTTTTGCAATGAAGTGAGATCAAATATGTGCTGCTCCCGGGCGTTTGAAAATGTTGTTTCCAAGTCTCGGATGGTTTTTTGCAAGCCCGCAATTTCCTGCCTATGGTGTTCTTGCATTTTTGTGCATTTCCGCTCATGATCACTCGAAGCTTGTTTGAGCTGGCTGTCAATAGCTCGTAGCTGTTCTCCGTGTTGCTTAAGAAGATCGTTCTTCGAAATTCTATGCTGCTCTTCCAACTTCAGCAACTCCTGCTTGTGAGATGAAACGGCAGATTGGAGTGCCTGCTGGGTTCGAGAGAGGTCCAGGGCTGCTGTCTCTTTTGTTTTCTTATGATCTTGTTGTTCTTGAGAGAGCTTTTGTTGCAAAGTGACAAGATCTGACTCCATCTTTTGGATGGTTTGAGTTCGATCTTCCAGTTCGGCGCGCAAGGAGTCCACCAATTCCCTTGACACCCCCTTCTCAACTCCATTGGCAACAACAGACACTTCGAAGCCAGGCTCGCGATCTATCGCTCGAATCAATCGACTGAAATTATCTTTGAGAAATTCAACAAATGAACGATCAAAGAACACCTCAGGCAGTCCGTCAAGTTGGCCCGCAGCAGTCTGTGGCAAGACTTCGAAATCCCGAACCAGAGGACATTCGCGTAGCTTTGTGATTTTATCGATATATTGCTCCCGGCCAAGCTGGTCGAGGAGTAGCTTGTGAAGGGTAACCCGTGGAATCGGGGAATCTTTAGTGGAGAACTCGTAGACGATACCAAGCAAAACTGAGCAAAGACCAGGAATCAGCCTGCTTGGCGTCCGCTGATGCTTAATCTCCTGAAGAAGAGTCTGAATACTGCTTCCTTCAACTAAGAGATCATTGACAACATCGGGGTCTTCAAATAGCCAGCCACATAAAAGCATGAGGTAGCCAACGGTAATTCTCTCATCATCGCCACGCTGCAAACCAGTAATCAAATTGCTCACGACAGACTGGACACTGGTGACAACTTCCTCGCCGCTCTCAGCGTCGCCTTCCGTGACTTGCATGGCGACGGCTTTGGCCTCGGCACTTTCGAAAATCAGGTGGAATAAGAGCACAGATGCCATCCACACTTGATAAGGATCGGCATTTCCTCTGGCATCCGGAGCAGTGAGCAACACTGAGAGGATGTTTGGAATCCTATCATGTCCGCTGGTGTGGCCCTCGATAGCCCTTCTGAGTACATGCATGCGAATGCCTGGGTGATTGGTGAAGAACGCTTTCATGCATTCACATGCTGCAAGTCTTGCATCAAGCATGCTGTTTGGTGAAGGTTGAAGGCTGAGCTTCAAGAAGGCTTCAATGACATTGATACGTTCTGGCTCATTTGCATGACCATTCGAGTCCTGATCACTTGGCAAGTGCGAACCCCAGGACACCTCAATGTCACCAAACCGCTCCTGTAAGGGCGAGTTGCCGCGAATCAGATCAGCGCATGTTGATAGAGCCTTGGCTGTGACATTCACGCTGAATTTCTGCCCAAATGCAATACTCAGAACTTGCTCTGTTACACCGTTCTGCCAAAATATCGTTTGATTTGTGGTTGTTCCTAGTCCGCCGCGGACCAAAAACAATTGAATGATAGCGAGCAATCCCCACACGTTCTTATCTCTGTGCAGAGCAGTCCATTGCGCTGGAGAGTCTTCAGCTTGAGCTGGCTCCATCTGGCACTCATGAAGTAGTTTTGTCAAGTTTTTCGAGCAGCCAGTCTCACGGAAAAAGGACTGATTCGATACATTGAATTTGAGAAGATGGGCAAGCAAAGTGAGGCAGTCTTCCACCACCTCAGTACCGAGAGTCAAAGCGCCTTCTGCTTCAATGAGCGAGAAAATAATCTCGAAGGCATTCTCGAATGCGATGAGCTTTTGAAGTTCCTCGGAGGACGGTGTGAGGGCAATCATGAGAATCAAGGCCTCTGTCGCAACGTGTAAGTATCACTCAAAGGCGGAGCCGAGCGAAGGAATGTTGCATTGAGATCTCACCATTTCTTACGGGCTCTCTGTTGTCTGTCAAAACGTTCACGAGCCTTGAAATCCCCAGAGGCGCGGTCAAGATGCATTCCTGCGTTCGTTCTGGACGCGCACTGCATATCTGGAACATCAATTGGAGGGAGTAAAGTCGTGAATAGAAATCTCGAGTTTCGAGCAGGTCCAATAAGATTGTGATGTTGTCTTGTCGCTGCCAGAAATCAGCCTTGTCATAGTGTCATCTGGTGCAACTCCCATACCTGTGTGAATTCATCTGCCAACCATAGCGCAATTTCATCTGATGCCTCGGGCTATTCCTTGTTGTCAGCAACGACAATCACAGACTCGCAAAGAGGTTGGAACTGACACTTGTCTCATCCGGCGTGAACAACATCAGCAAGGTCTCCAGAACCACTTTCGTAGTGTCCACATCCTCGCGATCATTGTGCAAGCAGCCGATCAATGGCCGGAGTCCTCCAGAAGCCACTGAAGCTGGGAAGAGCTTTGCAAAGCTTCTGAGACCCTGAATGGCAGCGCGCCGGTCCTCCAACAAGGTTGCGCTCTGCAGCCTGCTACTCAAAACATCAATTGTTTCCGTTGCCGTCTGTTTGGCCGGAGCTTGTGATTCAAGGATTCGAAACATCGTGGCAGAATCGTAATTTCATGGTCATTGCCGACCTAAGGCGATATTATCAATAGGCATCGATTGTGGGCGACAATGCGATGCTATAGTTTTGAGACGGATCCTGGTGGGAGTCGATCGCAAGGCCAGGTCACTTCTTTGGATTGATGTTTTCAGGTAGCCAACCCACATGTGTAGACTGTAGCTTAGTACCTTAGTTTGCCTCCCAAGTTTCGAGTTGGCTCAAAGGGGCTTAATTGAGTGGGGCTAATCTCGCCGGAAGCGCTCCTACACCCCCGACCGCCCGGGAGTGCTTGCGCTCTTCGGCACTCGCAGAGACTTTTTGTATCATCTTTGATATAACCCTCGTCTTGCGCCGCTCTGAAACGTGCGGTTGTATATTTCCGCCATCCAACATTGACTGGTCTGGTCGTTCTTTCGCGAAATTCGAGTGTACAGCCGAGAACTCGAGGCCGAACACAACGCGACGCGTGTTCTCATCTAAGTGAAGGCGCAATCGATCGCGCTCGATCCGATAAAAAACTAACGAAACTTCACGATCAAGCGCTCGTCGCTTTGACAACATGGGTGTCCCTGCTCTTTTCAGATGGCTTTCCAACAAGTACCCGAAGATTATTTCTTCGGTGATTGAGGAACTGCCTCAGGAAGTGAATGGAGAGGAGATTCCGGTCGACACTACGGGCCCGAATCCTAACGGAGAGGAACTGGACAATCTCTACCTGGACATGAATGGCATTGTACACCCGTGTACGCATCCGGAGGGGAGGCCCCCTCCCGCTGATGAGCAAGAGATGATGTTGGAGATCTTCAAGTACACTGATCGAGTCGTCAACATGGTCCGGCCGCGAAAGCTGCTTATGATCGCTATTGGTACGTTGGCAACCCACTAATACAGAGATACTTATTGCTTTCGATCAAAAAGATCTGTTCTTCTTATTTGGCCGTCTGCTAATGCGCTCCTTCATTCTAGATGGCGTCGCCCCTCGAGCCAAGATGAACCAGCAGCGTGCTCGTCGGTTCCGCTCCGCCCAGGAAGCTCGAGAGAACGACGAGAAGAAGGAAGAACTTCAGAAATTGTTGGACCGGCAGCAGACCAAGAAATCGGGTGATGAAGTCATGAGGGAGGAAGTCATTCAGAAAACATGGGACTCGAACGTCATCACACCAGGAACGCCGTTCATGGACATACTCGCGGCATCATTGCGCTACTGGATCGCCTACAAGCTGAACACAGACCCGGCGTGGAAAACGATGAAGGTAATCATTTCGGATGCTACCGTGCCCGGGGAGGGCGAGCACAAGATCATGGAGTTTGTGCGCTCGCAACGCGCATCACCAGAGCATGACCCCAACACACGTCACGTTATCTATGGTCTCGATGCAGATCTTATCATGCTGGGTCTCGCAACCCATGAGCCTCACTTCCGCGTTCTGCGTGAGGATGTATTCTTCCAAGAATCGAAGCCCCGTACCTGCAGGCTTTGCGGGCAGGTGGGCCACAAGGCCGAGGAGTGTACCGGCAAAGCGAAGGAGAAAAACGGAGAATTCGATGAGAAACAACACGCTTCTCCGTTGAAACCGTTCATCTGGCTACACGTCTCTGTTCTAAGAGAGTATCTTGCTGTCGAACTACAGGTTCCTCAACAGCCTTTTCCCTTCGACCTGGAACGTGCTCTTGATGATTGGGTCTTCATGTGTTTCTTCGTCGGAAACGATTTCTTGCCTCACCTGCCTTCACTAGACATCCGTGAAAACGGCATTGATACACTGATTGCTATCTGGCGGGACAATCTTCCAAGTATGGGGGGATATTTGACTCAAGACGGCCACGTTGACCTAAAGCGTGCTCAGTTGATCTTGCAAGGTCTGGCCAAGCAAGAGGATGCTATCTTCCGCCGCCGCCGGCAAGCAGAAGAGAGGAAAGCAGCCAATGAGAAAAGGCGCAAAGAGCAGGACCAGGCTCGTAACGAAGAGCGAGCCCAGAAGCGCAGGCGTAGTTCCCCAGTCTACGATGCGAAACAAAAGGGTTCCAAGGCTGAGCCGGATGCGGACCCAACAGCTGGATTGGAGCTCATTACACCATCTCGTGCTCACTTGACGAAAGAGGATAAGGACTTGACTCACAGCATGATCGTCAACCGAGGAGCTATCTATCGGGCCAATATGGAAAATAAGAGCGCCGCTGCTGTTCTCAAAAGCAAGCTCATGAAAGGTGTTCCTCTTGAGCCAGCGGTGGAAAGTCATTCTGGCAGTGTGGAGATCGAGCAGAATGGTTCAGAGCCCACATCTCCCTCCGTCCTCGGCAAGAGAAAGGCTGGAGAATCTACCGAGCCGATCGAGCAAGAGCCTGAGGATGCTGGAACACCTGGTAGGGACTCACCACCTCCACCTGCTCCCAAACCGAAAGATGATGGGATGCCTGTAGACACCGTCAAAATGTGGGAGCCCGGTTATGCGGACAGATACTACGAGCAAAAGTTTGGCGTGGATCCCCAGGATCATGAATTCCGTCATAAAGTTGCTCGTGCTTACGCCGAAGGTCTAGCCTGGGTTCTACTCTACTATTTCCAAGGTTGCCCTTCATGGGACTGGTACTATCCCTATCATTATGCTCCCTTCGCGGCCGACTTCGTCGACATTGCCGATATGGTGATCGATTTTGATAAGGGCAAGCCATTCCGACCCTACGAGCAATTGATGGGAGTTTTACCCGCATCGTCCAACCACGCTTTACCAGAGGTCTTTCATGATTTGATGAGCAATCCTGATAGTGAAATTATCGACTTCTACCCGGAAGACTTCGCGCTGGATCTCAACGGCAAGAAATTCGCCTGGCAAGGCGTGATCCTTCTTCCTTTCATTGACGAGAAGCGTCTTCTGGCTGCGATGGAGAAGAAGTACCCTCTCTTGACAGATGAGGAACGAAGCAGAAATACCCACGGACAGGAAGTCCTCTTGCTTTCCGAGCAGCACCCACTTTACCAAGACCTCATAAGCAACTTTTACTCCAAGAAGCCAGGGCCGCCTGAGTATCAGCTCAACATGCGGATTAGTGACGGTCTGGCAGGACTTGTCGAACGCAACGAAACCTACGTTCCTCATGGTTCCCTCGTATCGCCGCTGCAGGATCATGGCATGCCAAGCCTCGACGACGATCACTCTCTCACGTAAGTCTTGAATACTGTCACCTTCTCGCACCGCGAATGTCCTTTGTTAATGCTGATTGTCGCCTACAGTGTCAACTACAAAATCCCCAAATCCTCTCACGTCCATAAATCCATGTTGCTTCGAGGTGTCAAATTCGCTACCCCGATGCTCAACACTGCTGATGTTCGTGCCGTTAAGGGCCGCGCACAGAATTCCGGTCGCTCATACGGCGGCGCACCTTTCAATGGGCGCGGCCGTGGTGGCCAGATGAACTATTCTTCGGATCGGCCAAATCCATTTGCCGCACACCTTGATTCACGCTTCGCGAATGCGCCTCCTGGCGGCATGCCCCCTATGCCTTCTGGTTGGGTCCCCCCTGTCCCTGGAGCGGATCACTCCAGAGGACCACCTGGACCACCTCGTGGCGGGATGTCGTATCAGTATCCCGCGCAGCAAGGATCCGGTCAATATCCCGGCCATCAGGGTTACTATTCAGGTAATCAGGGTTATCAGGGCTACCAGGGTCAGCAAAATTCTGAGGGGTATCAAGGACAGCAGGGATACTATGGGGGTCAACAGGATCGGGGATATGGCGGCGGAGGCAATGGAGGAGGATACCGTGGTGGCAGATCTCGAGGCCAGTCTCGGGATCAATATGGTGGTTACCGTGGAGGTGGTGGCGGCGGCAGAGGAGGCCACAACAGATACTGAAGAAAGTCTATGAAATATGGCTTTCGGCGTCTTCAGGGGTCTTGTCCATAGCTGTGCCATGAAGTGCACAAATAATCTACAGTTATTGCCAATCATCGCGGCATCAAACCTTTGATTTTCACTCCATTGCTTTGTAACTGTGTAGTGTGTACTTTGTGGCAGGTATTGGGACAAACGATGTACTGCCTCCAATCGAGCTTGTTATTCTCAACATTTGGAAATCCGTCAGCACTGACACTCCTAGCCATGGAAAGAAATTCAATTAGCGCTTTTGATGACCAAGTCCATCTGGCAGTGAAACTTCGAGGATCGGTCGACGGCTCGAGGTCCATACGAAAACCCGCTAATCAAGGGGTTGACAGGTACCCTGGTCTGGTAGGGCGGAAGGACAAGCAAGTGCATTAGTGAAGCAGAATCTGAGTAGGATACTTTTGCAGAATGATATTTTCACGAACAGCCCAACCCAACTCATTTTGTTTTTAACCTGTTGCTGTGCACCTCTAGCTCAATTGCGTCTATACAAGCGGCATTTTCTACGTAACAACTAACGTTGACGACCAAGATGAAGTAATCGAATCACATTAGTTGCGCCGGAACGCGCCATTAAAAATGACTTTATGAATACAGTACAGATCACAACATGGCTTTTTACGATCCATTGGGTCTTCAGAGGGAAGCGCTTGGTACTAATCTCATCTGACATATCATAATTACATATTATTATTCTATATTACTTTGCGCGTTTTTGTACTTGTGATAGACCAGCGACTCGAACATTGCACCGACAGAGAACGGGAGAAGTCAGCTTGGCTCTTAAAGCTGGAACTTAATGTGTGTAATTGTATATCCATTGTGAAACGTTTTGGCTGGACACGCTCCACTATCCATAACGCCTTTACGTCAACACGAGTTTCTTCGTTCTTTGGTCAATTTTTTTGTTCAATCTCGGAATTCCGGGTTGACTACTACTGTACCTTTTCAGACATCATGCAGGCCGTGGCGTCGCCGGAGTCCATGGAGTCTCTAGTCTACACCGGACCAGAAGCGGTGAAAGCCTTGCCGCGAGATCGGAGGGCAAAAGAACATCTTTTGAGTCACACTGACGGACGCCGACGGACGCTGACGGTTACACTACACTTCCAGGCTCGACAGTTCCCAATTGTCTCTGGATGAATAGCTGAAAAATCGCTTCAGAGCTACAGGTAAGCACACTTGGTGACTCCTCATTTATGGTTCTCCCTGGAATCGAATTTGTCCAACTTTCCCATTCTTTATTCTTGTTATACTCTTCCTCGGTGGAGAGCTCGATTTCGTGGTGGGGGTGAGACAGCAATATTTTCCGAATAGGGCGGGTTTGAGATCACGATCACATGGGAAATACTAACAATTGAGCAGAATGAATTGAATACGAAGGAATTTCAACTGTTTCACGGCTTCATTCTCTTTTTCGCCTGCTCACCATGACTGAGCCCACAAAGATCAGCATCTTGGGTGAAGAGAGCATCGTCGCTGATTTCGGTCTGTGGCGCAACTATGTCGCTAAGGATCTGATCAGCGGCTTGCCCTCGACTACCTATGTTTTAATCACGGACACGAATCTCGGCTCCCTCTACACACCTAGTTTCCAGAAATCCTTCGAGGCGGCATCCGCTTCCGTTTCTCCTGCTCCCCGCTTGCTCGTTTATAATGCCCCTCCTGGCGAGAGTTCAAAGTCTCGGCAAACGAAGGCCGATATCGAAGACTGGATGCTGAGCCAGAACCCGCCATGTGGTCGAGACACTGTGGTGATTGCATTGGGCGGTGGTGTGATTGGAGACTTGACGGGATTCATCGCGGCGACCTACATGCGGGGTGTCCGCTTTGTACAGGTCCCTACGACCCTCCTGGCGATGGTGGATTCCTCGATTGGAGGTAAGACGGCCATCGATACGCCATTGGGTAAGAACTTGATCGGAGCTATCTGGCAGCCATCAAGGATCTACATCGATCTCGAGTTCCTCGAAACACTCCCCGTGCGGGAGTTCATCAACGGCATGGCCGAAGTCATCAAGACTGCCGCTATCTCTAGCGAGGAGGAGTTCACCGCGCTGGAAGACAATGCTGAGTTGATTCTCAGTGCTGCACGTAGCGAAGCGAAGCCTGGACACGGCCGCTTTGACAACATTCGTGACATTCTCAAGGCCCGAATCCTGGCGTCTGCTCGTCACAAGGCCTTTGTTGTTTCCGCGGACGAGAGAGAGGGTGGGCTTCGCAATCTTCTCAACTGGGGCCACTCTATTGGCCATGCCATTGAGGCAATCTTGACCCCTCAGATTCTTCATGGAGAATGCGTCGCCATTGGCATGGTGAAAGAGGCTGAGCTCGCACGTCATTTGGGCATCCTGAAAGGTGTTGCTGTTGCCCGTATCGTCAAGTGCATCTCCGCGTACGGTCTGCCTACTTCCATGAAGGACTCCCGAGTCCGCAAGCTCACTGCTGGAAAACATTGCTCCGTCGATCAGCTTCTTTTCAACATGGCCTTGGACAAGAAGAATGACGGCCCGAAGAAGAAGGTCGTTCTACTGTCAGCCATCGGACGCACATTCGAGCCCAAAGCTAGCGTGGTCTCCAACGAGGACATTGGTGTCGTTTTGGCGCCAAGCATTGAGGTTTGTCCGGGTGTGCCCACAGGTTTGCATGTCACCTGTGCGCCTCCAGGCTCCAAGAGTATCTCTAATCGTGCTCTCGTACTCGCTGCTCTGGGTTCCGGTACCTGCAGGGTCAAGAACCTCCTGCATTCCGACGACACCGAGGTCATGCTGAACGCTTTGGAGAAGCTCGGCGCTGCCACATTCTCATGGGAAGAGGAGGGCGAGGTTTTGGTAGTCAACGGCATGGGTGGCACCATCACGGCAAGCCCCTCCTCTCTGTATCTAGGCAACGCTGGCACAGCTTCCAGATTCTTGACCACGGTGGCGACGCTGGCTAAACCTAGCACCGTCAACGAGAGCGTTCTGACCGGTAACAACCGTATGAAGCAACGGCCCATCGGTGATCTCGTTGACGCTTTGACTGTCAATGGTGCCGGCATTGAGTACATGGAACGTAAAGGTAGCCTGCCTCTCAAGATTGCAGCCTCAGGTGGCTTCGCTGGCGGCGACATCAATCTCGCGGCGAAGGTGTCATCTCAATACGTCTCCTCTCTGTTGATGTGTGCCCCGTATGCCAAGGAGCCTGTGACATTGAGATTGGTGGGTGGCAAGCCCATCTCTCAGCCATACATCGACATGACCACCGCCATGATGCGGTCTTTCGGTATTGATGTGAAGAAGTCGACGACCGAAGAACACACTTACCACATCCCCCAGGGTCATTATGTGAACCCGGCCGAGTATGTTGTCGAGAGTGACGCATCGTCTGCTACCTATCCCCTGGCCATCGCTGCGATTACCGGTACCACCTGCACAGTTCCCAACATTGGGTCCAAGTCTCTGCAAGGTGATGCCCAATTCGCTGTTGATGTGCTGAGGCCCATGGGATGTACTGTGGAGCAACTGGATCACTCCACTACTGTCACAGGACCAGCTGATGGTATCCTGCGTCCCTTGCCCAATGTGGACATGGAACCCATGACAGATGCTTTCCTGACTGCCTCTGTTCTTGCTGCAGTAGCCCGAGGCAAGGACTCAAATCACACAACTCGGATCTACGGCATTGCAAACCAGCGAGTCAAGGAATGCAACCGTATCAAGGCTATGAAAGATGAGCTTGCTAAATTCGGCGTCGTCTGTCGCGAGCACGAAGATGGACTTGAAATTGATGGTATTGACCGGTCTACACTTCGCCAACCCGCTGGCGGTATTTACTGCTATGACGATCACCGCGTTGCTTTCAGTTTCAGCGTACTCTCACTGGTCGCCCCGAAGCCGACACTCATCTTGGAGAAGGAGTGCGTCGGAAAGACCTGGCCAGGCTGGTGGGACACTATGAATCAACTCTTCGGGGTAAAGCTTGAGGGCAAAGAACTCGGGGAGGAGGAACATGCCGTCTCGGGCTCTGAGGAGCGTGTGAATGCTTCAGTCTATATCATCGGAATGCGCGGCGCTGGCAAGACTACTTCCGGTAACTGGGTTGCTAAGAGTCTTGGCCGACCCTTCATCGATCTTGATACTGAATTGGAGAATATTGAAGGTTTGACCATTCCTGACATCATCAAGCAGCGTGGTTGGGAAGGGTTCCGTGATGCAGAGTTGGCCCTGCTCCAGCAGACCATGCAAGATCGCCCCCAAGGATACGTCTTTGCATGCGGTGGTGGCGTTGTGGAGATTCCGGAGGCCCGCAAGCTTCTCGTCGATTACCACAAAAACAAGGGTAACGTGCTGCTGATCAGCCGCGACATCAAGCAGGTCATGGACTTCCTGCAAATCGACAAGACCCGACCTGCTTACGTGGACGATATGATGGGTGTCTGGCTGCGCCGCAAGCCGTGGTTCCAGGAGTGCAGCAACATCCAGTATCATAGTCAACACGCCGGCCAGGCTGAACTTGCACTGGCTTCTGAAGATTTCGAGCGCTTCATGCTGGTTGTCACTGGACGGAAGGACACTCTTGCTGAAATCAAGAAGAAGAAGCACTCTTTCTTCGTCTCTCTGACTCTGCCCGACCTTCGCGAGTGCGGTGACAAGCTTCACGAGGTTTGCGTCGGTTCGGACGCCGTGGAGTTGCGTGTGGACCTTCTCCAGGATCCTGCTGCCAATGGAGGTGTTCCCTCTGTTGACTTCGTCGCGGAACAAATGTCCTTCCTCCGCCGCCGAGTCTCACTGCCTATCATTTTCACCATTCGAACGCAGAGTCAAGGAGGACGCTTCCCCGACGACGATCACGAGGCTGCACTAGCACTGTATCAGCTAGCGTTCCGTTCTGGTTGTGAGTTCGTTGATCTCGAGATCGCCTTCCCAGATGATCTGCTTCGTACTGTGCTGGAAATGAAGGGACACTCTAAAGTTATTGCATCCCATCACGATCCCCAGGGCAAGCTTTCGTGGGCAAACATGTCCTGGATTCCCTCATACAACCGAGCGCTGGAGTACGGTGATATCATCAAGCTCGTCGGTGTTGCCAACAGCTTGGATGACAACACAGCGCTGCGCAAATTCAAGACATGGGCTGAGCAGGCTCATGATGTTCCTCTGATCGCTATCAACATGGGCGATCAAGGCCAACTGAGCCGCATTCTGAACGGCTTCATGACCCCGGTATCTCACCCCAGCCTCCCATTCAAGGCTGCTCCTGGTCAACTGTCCGCAGCTGAGATCCGTCGCGGTCTGGCTCTGATGGGAGAGATAAAGCCTCAGAAATTTGCCATCTTCGGATCACCTATTGCTATGTCTCGGTCGCCTGCGCTCCACAACAAATTAATCAAGGAGGCTGGCCTTCCGCATGAATATGGGCGCTTGGAGACCACCAAGGTTGAGGATGTGAGGGAATTCATTCACGCTCCTGACTTTGGAGGCGCCTCCGTCACCATCCCCCTGAAGCTGGACATCATGCCACTTCTGGACGAAGTCGCCAAGGAGGCTGAGATCATCGGCGCCGTCAACACCATCGTCCCCGTTTCAGATGGCGACAAGCCCAAACGTCTAGTCGGTTACAACACCGACTGGCAAGGTATGGTGCAAGTGCTCCGCAATGCCGGTATTTACGGCTCCTCGGGCACCGAAAGCGCCGTGGTGATCGGAGGTGGCGGTACCGCCCGCGCTGCTATCTACGCCCTCCACCAGATGGGTTACTCGCCGATCTATGTGGTCGGTCGCAGCCCCAGCAAGCTCGAGGGCATGGTGGCGACTTTTCCAACTAGCTACAACATCCGTGTTGTCGAGAACCCGGAGCAGCTGGAGACGGTGCCGCAAGTGGCCATCGGCACCATTCCTGCTGATCGTCCCATTGACCCCGTCATGCGCGAGACACTCTGCCACATGTTTGAGCGCGCTCAAAAGGCTGACGGCACCGTGATCGGCAAGTCCGTCGCGGGACACACGCCCCGCGTCCTCCTCGAAATGGCCTACAAGCCTGCGGTGACTGCGTTGATGCAATTGGCTGCTGACGCTGGATGGAAGACCATTCCTGGTCTGGAAGTTCTTGTTGGCCAAGGGGTGTATCAGTTCACTCACTGGACCGGTATCACTCCACTCTACCATGTTGCCAGGGTATGTTTCAACCCGCTTTATCAGGGTTTATGTTTCAGGAATGACGCTGACATCTTCTCTTCACAGGATACTGTTATGGGCTCTGATGTCTGATACTAAAGCAATCGGCTTTCAGATCTTAACAGTCTGACTGTGGCAATACTTTGTGATTTTTGACATGCACTCAAAACTAAGATAGAAGAAGAGGGCGAGGTACAGATTTGGGGGTTACATGCTTGCTCGTTGCTCAGAAAAGAGCTTCTGTTCTTATTTCGGGCGTGCAATTTAAACAGACATTTTCGGTTCATCATGTTCAGTATATTTCTACAAATCGCATACATATAACACATTGATACAACACGTGTCCCCAGTATGTGAGCTTACGGTCCAGTGAAGAAACGCTTTCTCCGTGTCATGGGAACACAACAGTAATCATGCCTCTTCAGGCTCGATCCAACATATGCATGTCGTATCGCGGCCTCGTCTTGGCCGAGCCCTTCCAAACTCTCTGACCATAAAGTATCAGAATGTCCTAATTTATTCCGGGGCCACCTGCGGGCGTTTGGAAATAGTCAACCAAACGTCCCGCCAGTATCCAACACCACCCTTGACAACGAATTTAGGCTCAGGCTTGCCCTTGACGAATTCAGGCGTGTATGAGCGGAAGAACTGCGCAGCCCCCGCGGGGGAAAAAGGATGGTTAGCACGTCTGACTTGAACCATGCCTGTTAGAAGAACCCAACTAGGACACATACCTGGAGAGGACCCTTGAACAGCTCCATCATTGCAATGTCACGGCCAAGGCAAACACGAGATCCATAGCCGAACGCAAAGTTATACTTGTTATACAGCTTCGCCCTCTCGGGGTCCATCCAACGCTCGGGCTTGAATTCTTCCGCATCCGCACCGTAAAGCGCCGGATCGCGATGCACCAGGTACGGATTGCAAGAGATTTCCGTGCCAGCGGGAGCCCACTTGCCATACAGGTCCAGGCCGGGTTCAGAGACATAACGAGGGAAGACGTTGGGAGCGGAGGGGCACAGGCGCATAGTCTCTTTGACACAACCCACGAAGAATGGCAGATGCTCAAGGACCTCATTGTATTGAGGCACCTCGGAAAGGTAACCCTTGCGGCTGGCCTCGTCGATCTCATCCATCATGCGCTTGTACGAACTGGGGTGAGTCAAGAGGTAGGTGATCAGGGCTTGGAAGGCGGTACCGGTGGTGTCGGCGCCGGCAAGCAGGACGAGAAGGACCTCGGCGCGAATGTACTCCAAGTCCAGAGGTTTGCCTTCTTCGGTGCGTGCGTCCAGGAATGTCTGGAGGAGGTCGATGCGTTCAACTTGTTTACCGGACTGGACGTCATCCAGGCGCTCCTTGATGAGTCGGTCACGGAAGCGCATCAGAACGCCGATTCCGGAGTTATCCTGAGGGGTAGCGACAAGGTATTTCTTCATGAAAGTACTCTTCATCCATGAAGTAAACGGATGCATGCGCGCAAGGAACCCAAAGGGTGCAAGACCATCGTGGAAGCCTTGAATAAGTCCACCGATGTCCTCGCCCTTCTCGATGAATCCAAATGGAGCGCCGAACCCGATCTCGCTGATGATATCATACGCCATGTATCTAAGAAACTCATATTCAACGTCAGCAGATTCTTCAGCTGGAGGACGACAACAATGTGCGCAACGTACACTGCCCACCAGGCGAAGTCGAACGCCTCGCCGGTCTTGGCAAAAGTCTCATCGAGCTTTTGGTTCCATTCAACAATACGCGCATCGATCATCGGCTCCATCTTCTTGATGTTGGTGAAGCTGTACTGTAGTCTCCATGTCAGATCGCACTGCTGGTTGTGACTTGAATTTCGATATGAATTGTGCATACAGGTCCTGCGATGTGCTTTCGGAAGAGGGCGTGTGTCTTGTGCGACCTCATGTTAAACAAACTCTCGGTCTCTCCGAAACTACCCGTGATGTAGTGGCCCGTCTTGTCTGCATTGCGGTGATAGATTTCCGGAAGTTTCGTGTGATCGCTGACGAGGAGCAATGTCGGGGTGACTCGCACAACAGGGCCTATTGATCATATTTCCATTTAGTGACGATGGCTTCATGCCAACCACTAGCTGTTCGGCAACAAAATCACCACGTACCATACTTCTTCGACAGGTCGTACACGGTCAAGTATTCCGTTTCCTGCAGATTCTGCTTGGCGAGCCAAAGCCGAGTGACAGATGCCCAAAAGGGACCGGGGAAAGCAGATAATGGGTGGAAGAAGCGATAATGAATGATCTGATAGACAAATTTGAGAACAATATATGCCACGAGCGATATAAGGATGTTTGTGACTGTCAGGAGCGACATTGCCTGCTCTGCGAAACCCATTGCGCCGGCGTATAGTTCAACTACCCAGCATCTGTGATCTGGAAAGAGGCTCGTCAAAAGGTTAGGGAAAGATGCCCCTTTCAACTAGAAAAGTCGTCGAAGGACCTGATTTCAAATTCGCAACCTTCCCCTCACTCGCCCCTCTCAATCGACGTGACAGCCATTGACAACGTGTTGCGATGATCCAGAGCCGGCCATTATTGGCCCGGGTAGATGCAGGCCGGGTCAGAAATGAACGCAGATGTTTCCACACAGGGAAGGAGGCCAATGACCATGCTTGGAATGTGCTTAGTTCGAATTCCAGACAATCTTCGTCCTCGCGCTAAGCGGCAGACGGTTCTCAACGGCGGTAGTAGGCACATCGGCGGTATGCGCCACCTCATCTGAGTTTGCATTGTCAGACAAGGAAGATCACAAACCACCGTGTCCACATACCCACCATGTGTACTGGGCCCGAACATCTCATGGGCTAACTTCTGATGATGAAATTGATCAAAAAGAAGGTGTGAGTCCCTCCACGACACAGTCGGAAAGTCGGGCTTCCATCGTTTCCAAATAGGCAACACCTCCGCCGACGGGCTTTGGTCGAAGCACAAGTGGCACAAGACATACTATGAAAGGACTGTATTCAAGAACAAGCACTCAATTGCCTCGTGGTGCTAGCAGGGATGGGAAGTCTGAGTCGAACGGGCTAATGGACTGGGTTGGCACATGGCCCGACGAAAGGAGCCATGCAGTCATGCATAACCCACGAGGACCCCCAGACTGCGCGCAGGCAATGTCGCATGCTATATTCACGATGATTAGCGGTGAGGTCGCTTCGGTTGTCTTTAGCTGTAGCTACAGAAGATCATTGCGCGAGTCAGCTGGGTCTGCGAGTGAAACCTGCAAGGTAGGCAAAGCAAGTCATTGCTCGCAAAGTCCTGTCCACAATCCAAAAGTGATCAGCTTCGCACCGGCTCAGATTGACACAAGCACCCGGTGTCTGCTGAGGTCTGGCCGTGGAGCTCGTGGCTGTCAGGCAACACGAAACTTCGGGCGGGCCTCTTACCCCACCGGGCTTAGTCCACTGGATCCAATGGGCCTGAATCAGACCGTGTGGGGTCCACTGCAGGGGCCTTTAGTCATGCAGCTAGACGAAAAGCGAGCGCACCCTTTTTGACCATGGTCAATGGGCCATGGTCACAGTGGAGTCGTAACACCTACCATGAAGGGGAAAATTCCTTTGCTAGTGTCGTCATTGTCGTGATGTTTGATGCCGCAAGACCCGGTGTCAAAGAAATGGTTGTTGTCGTGGTTCTTATTGTTTGTTTTTTCTGGCTTAGTTATGAATGAATGCATTGTCCACTTGGCTATCTGTATAGCCTTCGAATTCAATCGGGCTGAGCTGAATAGCCCAAAAGAGATTTGACCCTGTGACAACACAGCAGACATCGACGATCAGATGTCGCGACGGGCCATGTCTAGTAAGGAACCGTCGCCGCAATTCGAATCTCCTTCTCGTCGACTAAGGAAAAGTGCGACGACATCAAAGCTCAGGACCGTATCAGTTGAGCGTAACAAGCCGGCTCTGTTGACATGTCCTGGCGCCCTAGGACTGCACGACTCATCGGAAGCATCATCCATGAGTAAGAATCGGTTTGCATGATTCAACACAGATGCTGGCCACTCCTTTTTCTCTTTCTGCTCCGTCAATTGAGCATTTCGTGTGTTGTGGGTGGGACATCAAGGAAAGAGCCACGTCGTTGCAGAACCGGTCCTCGCTTTGACTTGAAGGGCGTGGCGAACGCAGACCTTCAGGGAAGCCTGTTCATTAACCGCTCCGACCTCCCAGGAGACCCGGTTGACTACTCCATCTTCACTCGGGGCGGTCCAATGAGCTGGGTTGACACAAGCCTGTTATGATGGGGGCCAGATTGCATGACAGCAATCCCTCTATCGTCAGTTCCGTGTTCAAAGGAATCGGACAGACTATAACTCGAGGTCAACCATCCTCCCGTTCAATAGTATCAAGACTGACGAAATAGAGCACCAAATCAGTGACATGGGTCCCCCCAGGTACGAACCCTTCAAAGAACGACAGGTCTCATGATCTTCAATGCGATTCTTCCCTGCAAGTCTGACATATCTTTGTGAAGGGCCTTCTTTGCATGTGAAGAGCATAATTCCTCGTCACTTACCAGGAATAGTCCATTACAGTGCAGGGATCTGCACCCAGTTTTCTCGGTGCTCGCAAATGGTCGTATCATGTATGTCCCCCATTAATTCTGGCCCGGCCTCCGACCGATTCCCCACTCACCAAATGCTCTATTCGACCTAGCGCTGTTCGCTTAATCGATGAGGTGACACGCCTCCAGATGCTGGCCTTTGACCTCCGCCGATCCGATGACTGGCCAAATAGGGGGTATCATGGAGGTCTTCAGCGTCCAGCGCTACAGCCCATGGATGATCGGACCCAATGTCCAACCCTGTAGCTCACAGGTGAGTGTAGTACTGTAGCTCCCTCGCAGACGGTAATACGGGCCCCCCACAAGCAATATGCTTTCTGGCTTCCTCCTTTTTCCGGCGGCATCCCCCGCCAGAGAACGGGTCGGAAGGGAGGGTGGAACGGGGCCGTCTGCAGATCGCAGGATTTGTGTAGCTCCAAAGGCCCTATCGCAATTGGCCCATCCCATCTTGGGTTTCTGAGACGGAAGCCGGGCCACAGCGGGCAGAGAAAGAGCTCCGATAGGGGCAACCACCGATCCATTGCCACGTCGGTGGATCATCCGGGCGTGCTCGCGGTCTCACGCCCGCGCCCGCGCTGATGCAGCACGATCCCCTCACAGAAACAGGAAGGAGACTACCCTAGCAGGCCAGCACTTTGCAGTTTGTAGTTTGTACCACTGCAGAGTACAGACTAAAGAGAAGCCAGTCGGCCTGGCCAACACTGACTCCAGCGGTCGAAAAAATGGGGATGGCTGCGAGCGCGGGGCCACGGCCGGGCTCAACCGCGACATTCGATGAAACACCGGTCCCACGCTTCTAAATGGAATGTTTTCCTGCGCCACCGTTTATAGTTGCAAGTCGGGGGGAAAAAGTCCTGAGTCCATAGACCATTCAGAGTGCTCGGGAGGTAGGAAGTGAGGGTCAAAGGATCACCGATAGGAGAAGAAGTTGATGTGGAAGTGGAAAGGTGCCACAGAAGGTAGTGCTTTCCTCCCAATCCCTGACTTGGCGGGTTGGTCACGGCGAGCACATGACGGGCGTGTCGATAAGATTCCTCCCGTTTTGCAGTCCAGACGTGATGAACGCAGTTCATCATCAATACCAGTCCACCTATGTAAATAGGCAATGGATCCAATTTTGTTTGATAGTTGAAGAGGCTGGCGACAGTTCGACTGCTCCTAGTCTGACTACTATTGTTGAACTCATCTCTTGCTAAAATTGCTGTGGACGTGTCTATTGGAGAATCACTCGTTAGACTTTCCCGGTCTGTCAGAATAACTAATAGCCTTCAGCTACCGTTAACAAGAAAATACAGTACAATAATAATGTACAATTGTACTCTCCATCGGAGGGAAAAGAATTGGGAATGACAGAGCTCTTCCGGATTCCAGACCTTCGGCACCACGGAAAAGTATGACTACTGAACAGGCTCAAGTCGAGCGCCTCATCGCTACTTGTTGTGTAACGACCAGGGCGAGTAAAGTTCACGGACTGAGTCAACACAGAATCTCGACCATTGCGAGACAACTCGGGAAAACTCAAATTTGAGAACAGAGCCTATTTTGACAGCTCCGTGAAGATCACAACGGCATTGGTACGAATAATAGAGTCTTTGTTTCAACGCCACCCGAGCCGTGCTCGCTTAGTACAATCTCTTTGAGAAGATGTTGGTAGACGAGTTCAGTCCCAACTACCATCGGCCTGATGGGGAGCTTGCACTTTACCCTTCTAGATAAGCAGAACGTCAAAGGTCTGGGGAACTGCAACAATTGAGCTCCGTAGTAGGGCTGATCTCGGAGTGTGCTCGCAGACTGTACAGTGTGCTCGCAGACTGTACAGTGTGCACTGGGACGGTGGAGTATACCAGCCGGAGTAGACATGGTTCATCTGGGAGAAAACGCCCGGGTCAACCGGCATCAGAAGCATGAGATCAACATGCCAGGTCAAGCCCCTATAACTGACTTACATGGACTAACAGGCTCCTAGTTGCCTCAAAAAAGGGGGTGATACCACTAATGTATCAGCAGGGCGATCTCATGCGATAAAGATGGGCAAAACTGACTTGGTGTGAAGAATCACGCTACAGTCTACGCGTCTCCACTGGCGCTATCAAAGCGTTCAACTTGGCGCTGCAGATTCAGTTGAACAGTTCGTTGGATGGAGTACACTCAATACGTACTGTAAAAGGGTACCGAGTGAGTCCACGAGGACATCCTGTTGATTGAATCCGTTCTCAAATAGGATCCACAAGTTCGAAGCCGAAGAACACCGTTCAGGAGCAAGCCGCAGTCGCTCACACCATCCGAGATGCACGGTGCAGCATGGTATGAACATCCCAATCACACCGCAAGCCAATCAGGCAGAGTAAGGAAAGTGAAGATAACATATCATTTTTTGGATAAGTAAATTATCAAGCGACGTACCTGCAGTCTACTGTTGACAAAGACCAACGAATATGTCCATTCCCGCTCTTCTACACAGTTCACACCAAACCCTATTGGTACAGCGGGCTCAAGGGAGGAGTTGTTTTGAGAGCGTAGCCGTTACATGATATCTCTAATCCCTGTAGATCCTATGGCGCTTAATGCAGCTCAACCTATCATTACCAGCGTGTAGACTTGACGTTGAGCAGAGCGGAAAGTGGCCATAGTGAACAAGAATTACACTCATGCGCAGTGCGATCACCACTGTCGGTGCTCAGTAGTAAGGAGTCAGTGTTCTTGTCTGGACTTGAATTTGGACTTTGGCCACTTGGCAGTCCTCGCGCTCTCCAGCTGCATTCTAATTACGTATGGACTGGCAACTTGCGAGACCCCCCTAATGTGCCACCATTGGCGGACAGAAGCACGGTGGATCTGGATATTGTTACCAGTCACAAATTGCAGGTGGACACTAGTCAACGTGCGCTTACTATATCTCGACTAGATCGCAGCTCCAGATGGATGATTTGGGCGCCTTTTCCCTTCTTCTCGCTAGCATACACCCCATCTCCTCTTCTTTCAGGCGTGGTTGGGTTGGATCAAGAACAATAAAGCGGAAACTGGGGTAAATAGTGCTTACAATTTTGTCCCGCCAAGGGTCTACCTCTATTGTCTTTTTCTTCTTTTTTTCTTCCCTGCGACCAAAAAGAGAACCAAAGGCAATAAGGCTTTATGACCTAGGCCTGATCCGCTCTGATCTGCCTTTCTCGCGTTTCCAAAGGGTCTGAAATTGCCGCAGGATCAGGAGGGGGAGGTTTGCACGATTGCCTTCTCGAACAACTTAATCACCACCAGAACCCTGCTTTGGATCAGTCTCGGTTATCTTCATCGCCGTCTTGACATACGGCTGATCGGTCACTCTTTTTTTATTATTCTTGGTCACTGCAAACGCCAGTATGGGGTTTTCGGGGGCCAACGGCTCTCAAGGACCGACCGTCGTCGGAATCAGTCTGGCTTTTGCAGTCTTGACATTCATTGTTCTATCACTGCGACTCTTTGCACGCATCTATGTTCTGGGCAAGATGGGTCTCGATGACTGTGAGTGCATCTTCGGAGTTGTGATCAAAGAATTACCTTGGCACTGACCTCAGACGCTATGGATATCTAGATCTCATTATCTGCGCTTGTGTATGGACCGAAGAGCTCTCCTCCTGCCAATTCAATCGGTGACTGATTTGAATCTCTAGATCTTTGCATGGGCCTTTATTGCGGTCACTATCGTCGGTATGTGAAGTTCAATACGGTCTAATTGAGAAAGAAGAGGAGTTGACTTGTCTCGCCAAAGCCGTCGAACACGGACTAGGTCAACACAGAAAGTTCGTGGCCGACTCTGAACTCGTCCGATATGCATTCGTATGTCATCCACCAAACTCCAATTCGATCACAGCTGACCGTCCGTGCACAGTTCGTATGGCTAAGCTCGATGTTCTACCTTGCATGCCTGGGCTTCATCAAAACATCTGTGCTATGGTTTTATACACGCTTAGGCGACCGTTTCCTCACCCGGCTATCGTACGTGATGATGGCCGTCATTGTATGCCAAGCAACATCATTTGTTCTTGTCGCAGCCTTTCAATGTCAGCCCATCAGAATGGCCTGGACTGGAACCGGCCCTGGAAAATGCGTTGAAATCAACATATTTTATCTCGCAAACGCCGCACTGAACATCTTGACCGATCTTCTCACCTATACTCTCCCTATTCGAGTCATCTTCAAGCTTCAAATGCCGCAAAAGCAAAAGATCGCTCTGATTTTCATTCTTTGTCTGGGTCTCTTGTAAGTCTCCTACATATGCTACATCGCAGCGGAGTATTCTGACGGTGGGATTCTCCACCGATCAACGGATCTTTGTTATTGACTGTCTCTCTCTCTCTCTCAGTGCGTGTGTCTCCTCCATCATTCGAATCACTTACATTCCTTACATGCTCACTTCGTCGGACTCCACATACGCAATCAGTGGCGCCATGTACTGGTCCGTCATCGAGACCAACATTGGCATTTTTGCCGCCTCTATTCCTTCATTTAAAGCGATTGCCTCTCGATTCCTCCCTCGCTTCATTGGCGAATACTCCAGCGGCCGAAAATATGGTGCCTGGTCTGGAACACCCGGGACCCATCGCTACGGCTCTGGATTTGCCAAGGTTACCGATCCGAACAATATCACTATGGGTACGCTCAATTGTGGCAGAGATGACATCGGTATGGGCACGCAAATCGGCGCTACGGTTGCGGACAATTCCAGCGAAGAGCGCATCATCATTCCCGACGGCAAGATCTTCACGCAAACCGAGATCGAGACGACGGTGGAATCGAATCATGAGTATCACTCCTCGATGGAGCAGAATCACCGAACGAAGAGATATTAAAGGAATTATACAACTCGCATAAGACTGGATGTCTGGAGCAATTTCTGGTGTAATTATATTTTCTTTCTTTCACATTCTTTTTCCCTCGTTTTTCTTTCTGGATCATTACTCTTGTCCTGGACATATATACGAAGTTGGCGGCCTTTTTTCCCATGCATTTGCATGATAGAATTCTTGGAGCCAGCCGATACGTCCTCACGTGGCTATGCATATTGAGCTGGCAGTTTTATTCAAAAACAAAAGTCCTATGGAGTCTCCTTCGATGCAATGATTACCTTACTGTCACACCATGAAGCTACGGAGCCTGCAAGAAATGCTCCAAGTGTATTCCACAGAAATCTATACTATACTGTGCCACTCGAGTGTCACCATAACGCCGGTCTTGCCGCCGTACATCATGGAAGAAGCTTGGGGGCAGAAAAGCCATTGCTACCCATGCATCGATAGTTTTACAACTCTTTACACCCGCTCGGATTTTTAGATTATCACGAGCGCATTGCAGCTGAGCGTTCGTATTCTCGCCAACCTCTTTCCATTTCCTAACGTGTCTACATCTGGCTGTGCAAAATACCCTCCGTTCCGTCCTATCTGTGTTCACTCGCGAGGAAGGTGGTTCCACCATGATCATCTATTTCATCTCAAGGGCGTACAAGATCACATTTCTGAGATATGTGTTCCTCATCAATCATCCATGACGATATGGAACGCTGCTGTCAGATTTTGAGGAGAGATACAAGCACTCACATACAGCTGGTGGAGGGTGTACAGGAGAGCTTGTCTTGTGGATCACAACGCAGTACATGATGTCTCTTCTGCTCGATTCGTCGCCAGTTCACCTTCAGTCGTGTTCCAGAGACTACTTGATTTGTTTCCACCATTCACTTGTGACAATCGAATATGGAGCTGGGGATCCGTAGTCTCGTCCAGGCCTAGGCGCATAGGATCATACCTAGCGTTCATGCTGTTGATTCACATTTACCTTGATTCATCGTCCATTTCAGGATGATATCGAACCCCCTAGACTCATCGCAACCATAACGGCCGGTTAAACTCATCTATTTCTATCTTGTCTCGTTCACTGAGCGAGATCAGCATCTCAAGAAAAAATCTGGGGATCTTTCCAGCTGAATCATTGTCCAGCTCATATAAGTCTAGATCACAATGCTACTGTGAATAGAGAACCCGTAACCATTTCTGGACCGTCCTCGTCATGTACCAAGACGCCCATGGGCAACATTTAGCGGGCTCTCTGGGTTTTCTAGTGGAAATTCGATGAGTGCTCCGCCTAGTCCTGCGTGTCAAGCTGACACATACATGAAACCAGGCTAGATCCCGGAAACATCTCACTCCCAGATCGAATCTCTCCTTAGTCGACGACAGAATAGATAGGTCAGGGCCGTATGCGGAGGTTTTCCATAGGATTGTGATAACATTCATCGAGACAATGGGTTATTCAATAGGATTATTGAGTGGCCAGTTGCGCCTGTTGCCTGTGGCACAGGCGCTGTATCACACATCTCCTGCTGTCTTTTCGACTGACATTACATCAAACTCTTGCGCAGCCTCTGTGTACCTTGGCAGTAAAGAATTTGAGAATCAGTTACTCTCTTGAATAGAGCTTCTTTGGCTTATACATATGTACTGATGACCATTCGAGATAACATGATTTTATTCGTATGGCATGCAATACTGCCGTCTCACCGCAGTCCATAGCCTAGATAGAACCTCCCCTCGCTAGTCAGTCTCACCCTCATCCATTTCTCTCATCGTGTGGCTTCACCTACGTTCTGCAGCTGCATCTCATCGGTTTTGAGACGCACGGGGCATGTGCCAATTCGAGCATTATTCGTTGAGAGTTGACTGATGGCTAGACCTCTGCACAGCCCTGTGGGGAGTCGTCGTAGGCTGTTGATGGAGATTCCCTCTACAAAGTGACTGACAGTGATCCGTCTGTGATGGGGAACGGCTTGTTCGAGCATACTAGAGAATAAAACTAAGAAATAGATCATATTGTAGTGACCTACCAGATTTCCGTCATCCAGTAATGCAAGAGAGAGATTGATCAACTAGTAGAGGACTCCGTGTACCTTCATTCTGCGTGTCTCCCTCTTTCTCTGCCTCTTCTTCTTCCTCTCTCTCCCTTTTTCATATGCCTATAGATCCAGCAGATTTATCTAATAAGCCTAGACCCTTTCGAGGCCCACACATCGTGGGGTCGGTTAGCCATCCCGGAGCTAAAAAGGGCCAGACCACGAGTCAAGTGAACCCAAAAAGTAGTGCCAATAAAGCGTTTGCTCCACTCAAGTCGAAGACTTAGGAACCTTACTGTATGTGTTTAGACCAACGCGCAGCGCGCAAGGTCAAAATCGTCGGCTGTTATTCTCAGTTGTGCGAGAAAAGGCAGCTGATGCGAGTCTCTTGGCATTGTGCCTTCCACTAATGATCTGTAGACCGATACACATAGAGACAAAAGTTTTCAGCTGTCTTTCTTCGGATTCTGAATTGATGGAAATCATGCAATGCGAGTACTACATAAGTACATACATCGCGACCACTTCCGAATTTGGGAAACATGGTTGTACAGTGCAAAAGTAGAGGTCTGGTACTCCAGGCCGACACGGACGGCATGACACCTTAACACGTGGAGTTGTCGGGATCCACCGGAGTTAAGGAAGGTCGTACCATTGTAGTCATGGCGCGTAGTTAACAGCAAGACCGTAGAGATCAAAGCGCTCCTTCGGCGTTTGATTCGTGCCGGTAGATGTTTGATCTGTCAACTACATTACAAATCTGCCCGGGAAAGAATCATTCGATGCACGCGACAAGAAGCGCTAAGCATGAAAATTTTTTTCTCCCATGCAGCTCTGGCTCGGTCAGGACGAACAGTTCAGCAGGATTCATGCACGGAGAATACCGGTGCCGGGATGTCGGCACGCACTAGAAGGATGACAGAAGGACTTAGCGTGGACTGGACTCTGGAGGCTTGAGGGGTGGGAAAATTACAGCTTGTGTGCCCAAGGCCCCAATCAGGCAGGACGGTATGATGGTGTAAACTTGTAAAGGCCACGAGGCCAGTATGACCGGTACAATACAGTATACATGTTTACAAGTTTACACACGCTAGCTGCAATACACCACGGTGTACCCGTTTAATATAGTTCGTCTTCGCATCGACCATGTGTGGCTGAGCATACCAGCATCCGCGCTAAGGGTTGGGGTGGACCAATCACTTGCACCGAAAATTTTTCAGTGGTGCATTAGCGCTGTAGGGCTGTTTCTAAATTGGGTTCGCAGGGTTTTCTGCGCATTCTGCAACGCAGGGACTTTACCTGGTGTCGGGCGGAAGAAACTCATCGGCACCGACAATTCGGGTGCCTGTTTAAGTGCTGACAGCTCTGGGTGTCCGGAATCTTGCGATAGGCCTGGCGGTCGCCGTCGACCGTATGCTTGAGTCGCAAGAAAGTTTTCTGAACGGGTATTGTTTTTTCTTTCCGATGCCTATCCCCAAAGTAGAAGGTTAGAGGGAGATATCTTTTTCTTGCGGATGCGTTGACATCGGGACAGACACTTTTGGAAAAATAGAAAATTTCTTTGACGAAGACAGAATATCAATTTTACAGTGCGTTAAAAGACACACGTGTGAGATCAGGTGGTCAAGATCGATTACTAGTCCATTGCCCCATGTGATGAACTTCTTTAGGATGCTAAAGTGGGCCGGCCAGATATCAAGGCTTGCCACTTCCCCGGATCGTCGCCGAGTTCGTCGGCCAGAAACGACGATGCGGGTTCAAGGTACACTGATAGAGAAGAACCCAGGCACATGTGTGGAAATCGAGCTCACGCTTGGTCGCGAGGTGCGAGAATTGCAAGGTGGGAAAGTGTTGACTCATTCAAGAATTCCAAATTACTGGCTTTGTTGTCTAAGCGATGAGCTGTAGCCGGTGAGCCACTATGAGTCCATACTATCTTCCTCGGTCCCGATTTGGAAAAAGCGCTTCGTGTCCCCCATGAGCGAGATCACAACCCTAGCTAAACTAGTGCTGTTGGGAAAAATCAATAATCTGTTGCGCTTTCACCGGCACACGGCATCCCCGGACTCGGGCAGATCAGCCCGATCGGGGGACCCGCATGCTGTTGGGATGCGCTACGCCGCTAGCGCTAATGCCGACCGCCGGTAATCTTTGCCGGAGGAACCTCGGGCTTAGGCTTTCGATTCAGTCAAAAGGAGCTTCGAGGCTTAGACCATGACACGTTCTCCTGCGTACTCTCTCACGTGAACTACCTGGGAAACTTGTAAATCAATAATTCAAATAATGGGTGGAACGGACAGCGCATCCTGTCGCAAGCCAGCTGGGCCAGGGTCAAGAGGCCCTCGCGGTCCTCGGATCAAGCGAGATCTGACGACAGCTGAAGCACAGTCTTTGATTTTTGTGGCTAGATGATGTCTGTCTGGTCCGAATATCTTATCACCGTATCACCGATCGCCAAGTCCCACCACAATGGATAGTCATGTGGGTAGCTACTGTAGGTTTACTTCAGTCGCTCGGCAAGTTTGACAGCTGACATGTGGTGGCAATATGCAGATCAAGCGCCTGAGAACGGAGATTTTCCCTCAGATCCATCCCGCCTGCACGAACCACGGCGAAATTTATATTAGCTCTAGCACTCACAGTCTCGCACGGCCCATCAAGCCCAGTTGTAAGATCTCGGACGAGACAAGCCACAGTAGCCCTGCCAAATCCCCAGCCTCAGATCTCCATTGAAGCATGTGGAAGTCAATAATGTGACGGACATAACCGAATGCGTCTTGGCCGTGCACTGTGGATCTCGATGTTGTTCACGTGGCTCCAAGTTAAACAGGCCCTCGGGAAATCTGAAATGGTGTTTCACGGTCTCTACTCGCTGACTGGAACGAAGCCGCTTGTCTCAGCTATTGAGAACTTCTGCGTATCGTGACTCATCTTTGACCCCATGAATGTCATCGTCGACTGTACTGAGGAGATCCACATTCGACGACCTTACGACTGCTGGGTCGGGCATGTGATCAAACTTGAGTGGAGAACAGTCTTGTATCCAAAGAAGTGACTCCATACAGTTGGAAGTACGATTTAGCATCGTCAAGCCCAATTCGGCAGTCTCCGCCGAAGCTGGATGTCAAGAGCTCTACCTGCAAGCACCGTGAATTAACGAAGCGCACTGTGAAGTGTATACCTTGGTAGTCTAGGCATCAATGAGAACAGGTTGAGTCGATTCCCGTCAAGACCAAATTGAGATTCGAGGGGTGTCCAGCGTGGACAGTACGCATTGCAAAATAACCTGATAGTCAACCCACAAGACAGCTGATGCTCGTCATAAAGATCAGCTGACTCGTAATGTGGATGAGGCTTCAGCTAGGTACCATCAGATAGGCATCTACATTCTATACTCTACACTCTACACTCTACAGTACGGGTCGTCGGGTACTATACTAGCGTATGACTATGTCACTGTACCGTTAAATGTATTACCTTACTATTCAGATTTCACTGTCTAGTATTGTATGTACTATGTAGTACAGACTACAAACTACAGAGTATAGACTCCGAGTCATGTCCAAATTTGGGTACAGTGCTTAGAGACAAGGATCTAGTGCTGTCAATCAGGCTCGATTTGACTCAGAGACAATCGGGCTGGTCGGTGATCAGATTTGATCGGACGAAAGATCTTCGACAAACCGCCAAAGTACTGAATTTGGGTGGTCGGCGATCGCAGTCCTGGACCCTTGCGGAAACTTTAGGTCCCCATTAAGTCCGCGGACACTGGTCGGTGGAACCAGTTGGAAGCGATCAATTGTAAGCTGGCCGTGGAATTTCGGATCTGACCTTAATAATCAAATACGAAAACGACGGGAAGGCCTTGAAGAATCGGGGCTTGAAAGTCCGACGAGGTGGGGTCGTGCCACAAAGTGGCGCAGCTTAACTTGTGGCTCATGGGGAGGAGTTGGCCTACACTCGCTGTGAAGCTTGCCTCGTAGGCACGTACTATCACAATGTTCACAACTTCACATGCCATCGGATCATTCGGTGGAATGCGATAAATGCGTCCTTCTGATTCGTAATGCGACTAGTAACACCAAACACTATTGGACGGGAACGGCTCGTTTTACCAAATGCATGGATTAGCATCACGAGACACTTCAGCGAGGCACGTTAGGGTATCAGATTTCTGCCTTAAAAATAAGGTCTAAGAAGTCTCGATGGAATCAGCCATGAGTGTCGGGCACCATCAATTTTGAGGCTTACTGTAACCATTCGGAGAGTTTCAAGTGATTTGAGCCATTATTGTCGAGTAGGTTGTCTCATTCACATTAGGAAGTTCCCAATGTCGGGTCCGAGGTAGGGCAATGTGCAGAACACTTTCAGTAAAGTGGTACCGATGCGCATCGTAGGAGCCTAGCCAACCACACGACGGTTGTCTATGATTCAAGCCCAGTGCTATCCGAGACAAGCGAACATGATATTGATTTTACAAGAATAGCCTGTACCATTCGTCCTCTTGGGTAGACACCGGGACTGTCCTGAGCTTGCTAAGCGATCAGTGGGGCTGATGTCCCCAGTAATGATTGGATGGAATGCTCTCGCCCGAGAATCTAGCAAACCCCGGCGTGTACTGAGTGTACATATCTCGCAATGACAGTTACCTACACCTCTGTACAGCGACACACATTAGCTGTGCATGGTCAGTAGTGGGCAATGTACACTACGCAATACACTACATGGACTCATTCTTTTCAACAATTTTGATGATGAAAACGGCAGCTTCTCAGGTTGATGAACGGGGACTACTACATATACTATGACTCGTGATTCTCCCCTTTTCTTTTTTTTTTTTCATGGATCAGGCCAAAGCTTCCATTCCCCGATATCTCGAACCCCATGTGGATAATAGTCGTACGTGCATGCTATCTTTGTTCACCCGGGAAGTACTGTATGGCCGGCCGGAAGGGTCTGAGAATCAGAAAGAGCCAGAACACTCATCCCACCTAGCACGGTCCCCCCGGACGATCAGTGGAGACCCGCACAGAATTGTCTGTCCAAAAGACACCGAGGTCGAGTCATGGCGGTCACGTATTGTATTGGACCGATGCACTAAGGCCTGATCAGGACTAGGGTCTAGATATGGACCGTCACAATACACCTTACAGGCAGACTGACATGGTCGTCCAATGACAGCCTGTACATCCCTCGAATCACGCGGGCCGGCTGACGAAACAATGTCTGTGAAAAAAAAAATCCGAAAATCATTAATTTTTAATCTCCATTTTTTCTGGGTACCGATTATCGCATCAAGCGTACAGAGGTAATACGACCTTCCGGAGCAGAAATTGGAAATTCAGAAAATTCACCATCACAATAAAGTATAATTCTCTGAAAAGGAATTCGAGCAATGTAAGTGGCCCAACCTAAGAAACGTCATGGCTGCGACAATCCTCATCTGCCTTTTTAAGACTCGCTGTGCCCACCGTATTCGACTCTGTTCCCATTCTCACATTAAGTATACCTGATTATTCATGATTATATGATCCTCCGGTGATTAACAAGCTCGATCTTGATCACTCGAATTCTATTTCTATTCATTCCGTCAATATCTGGTGAGTAAGACCCGATTTTCCGATCGAGTCATCTCCAACGACTCCGGGATAGACCGTCCTAACTGGTACCGTCCTTTCCAAAAAGCATTTTCCAGCCAATCTCCATCTATCCACTGCCCTTCGATTTCCTCCTTTCCCTGGGATCACTTTGTCCTCGACGTTTCCAGACTCTGCAGCTCTCGACCATTTGACTGGACCAATTATCTACCGTCACTCACTCGTCCGTCCCCTCCGGCCGTATCGAGTCAGCCACATTTAGTGTTCGATTTCCTCCACAGGATCTCTCGGATCTCAACCCGTCGGAGTTCCACCTCTATAAAGAGAGCTCGCCTTCCCCCCCAAGTGGCGAATTGGATTACTCTTCTTCCCTCGATCCGACACCTCATCCCCGTGACACCATAATGCTCATGTACCCACGTAAGGGTCTCATCACCGATCCATACAACCCTGAAGAGTGCTTGATACAAGACGACCAATATCTCGAAGCTCTCCACAACGACCCTCAGTTGCAACCGCAGGACTTCCTGCAACAATCGTGCCTCCAGCCCTCAGTGTCGCTGCAAGCTAATCGGCAATTCGATCCCACCTCGCTGACACAATTCGCATCGCCGCCCTCCTCCTCACCTTCCTCGCCCACCTTCTCCTCGCCGACCTTCTCCATTCCCTATCCTCCCACGACCGCGGCCGACAGCCAGTCTTTGGGGGCTCCTTCAATGACCCCAGCGTCCTCCTACAATCCGTCGTTTGACACTCAAGCCTCCGCCTCGCCCGCATCGCAGCAATATCTTTCTCAGTACCAGCCCTACTACGCACCCATGTTGGCGCACCAGCAACCGATGGCCAGCGGTCAGAGCTGGGACAGCAACCTTCAGCTTCTCACCCCAGCTCGTGTCCCATACTCTCACAAAACCTCTCCGCTGCCTTCCTCGAACCATTCCGCACCTTCTGGGCCAGCTTCGAGTAATGGTCACCGTCGGTCCGACAGCTCTGCAAAGCCTCTACCAACACCCGCACAGACTCCTGTTCAGGCCCAATTCATGACCGCTCCATATGCAAATTACGAAACCCCCTCGTGGGACGCCAACACGGCAGAGTCGGAGTCGGCGATGAGGAAAGCGATTATGGAGCAGCAGCAGCAAAATCAGCACACGTCTCCCACGCAGCAACAGCAGCAGGGCGATTACTCATTAGCGCCCTCCGTGTCTACCGTCAGCCATAACTCTCCCGTTACCCCCCAGACCAACTTGGATGAGTTGGAGGACACCAAGACGATGACGAATGGTGAGGCGCTCTATGATCCCGGGTCAGATTCCCGCTGTATGTTCCACTTACTTACCGAGCCTTTAGATTACGCGGGAAACAACGCAGGCATGGTCGGCGTCCCCAAGCTGAACCGCACCATGTCCGACATCTTCCAGGATGAGCTCTTTAACCCGACGATCATCACCAACCCTCAGCCAGCGGTCAAGCCTGCGAATTCCCACCTGGTGAATCCACGGAGCATGATGGCCGACCGGTTGCAGGCTGCCAACCAGGGCCATCTGTCCGCTCGGTCCGGATCGCCTGTCCTGGGCATCAAGCGTGAGCGCTCGCCGTTCCGCCATACCTCGCCTTTCGCGGGGGATCTCCAGATGGCAACTAGCGTCCCCATGCCGCAGAACCTGATGAGCATGGCGCCCGCCGCTAATCAGACGGAGCTGAAAACTATGTCTCCCAAGGACGCGGTCTTGGATCTCGATGAGGGGTCTGACCCTTCCATGCCCCCACTCTTCCCTCCGCAATCGGCCGATTTCAATCTGGGCGACGCCCTCGGTCTCCGTCGCGAGAGTTCGGGGAATATGCGGTCTGCCTTGTCTACATTGGACGTCTTCCCGGGACAGTATGCGACTGTCCAGAACCCTCAGTACAGTTTCCCTCAACCCCGTCCGCAAGCCAGCCTCTTGCAACAGACTCCTGAGTTCCCCACCGGTCTTCCTCGCCTGGAGTCGACAGGGAGCGACTTGCAGTCAGGTTCCTTGACACCGCAGGCGAAGCTCCCCGTGAACGAGAGCATCACTCGGCCGAACAACACGACCTCGGACAGCGGTACCTACACGTGTACCTACCACGGTTGCACGCTGCGATTTGAGACGCCCGCCAAGCTCCAGCGACACAAGCGCGAGGCTCACCGTCAAACCACCCCTGGCGGTCACCTGATCGCCCGAGATGCCTCTCTGCGCAACTCCCAGGCTGGCCCGCACAAGTGCGAGCGGATCAACCCGTCTACTGGCAAACCTTGCAACTCTATTTTCTCTCGCCCTTACGATCTGACCCGCCACGAGGACACTATCCACAATGCTCGCAAGCAGAAGGTGCGGTGTCATCTGTGCACCGAAGAGAAGACATTCAGCCGGAATGATGCCTTGACCCGACACATGCGTGTGGTGCACCCCGAAGTGGACTGGCCCGGCAAGCAACGACGTCGGGGAAGGGATTGAAGCTTTCCCACTGTGCGGCAGAGCATCACCATGACGAATGAGTCACCACCTCGGGGGACCCTCCTCTCTTCTTCCTCTGCTTCCTCGGGGGACCCTCCTACGATGGGGGGGGGGGGACTGTCTGACGTCATGTGTCCCCCCCGATCCAGCGAGTCGCCCCACTCTGAATCTGATCGCCGGGATCTGTTTCCATTTCGGGAGAGCCCTTCGACGGGGGAGGGTGGGTCGCTCGTCTTGTGGCCTGATAGCCTGATAGCCTGATGGCCTGATTGCCTGATCGCCTGATCGCCTGATCGCCTGATCGCCTGACACGGGGTTCCCCGAGCACTGCATTGGGTTCACCCCATTGCACATCATCGCCGACGTCACCCCCACTGATTCTCGTCCACCCGTTCGTCTTTTCCCCTTGACGTCGATGGTACGTCGTGATACCCTTTCTTGCGAGCCTTTGCTCTCACACATGACGCATTTCTCCCCTACCGTTGTTGTTCTCTTTTTCCTTCTGGCCCCTTTCCTCCGCGCCAGACCCCTTGTGCTCTCCTCATTCCCCCGTGCTTCTGACGTGTGCTGATGCGCTCGGGGTGGACTGGTCTCGATGAGATCAACGACCCCACCCCCCCCCCCCCCCAAATGCGCATTCTCCTGGGCCTCCCTCTGCTTTGGGGCCAGATGAGGTTATTGGCAAGCACACTGTATCGTGTCATGTATCGGGGCCGTCTGGTATGTTATGATTGTTTTCAGCCTTTCACGTCTCTTACGAACCCCTTGTACTATTATTCAGATATTTCGTTTCTTGTCGTCGACTTCGCGTGTGTTATGCCTTGTCTTTTCTCGTTGATCAGGGCTGGTCCTTACCCGTTGGCTTTGGACCACTGTATGAAATCGATGATTATTGCTGCATTGTTTTGGTGCTACTCGGAATGGTTCTCGGTGTTTTTTTGTTTCTTCACATTTGTTCCCCGATTGATTGAACATGGGCAGTTGGGCCTTTTTTTTGGGGCGATGTCACATTATGCGCAGCCGGCTTGAACATGTCTTTGGCACGAAAAGAAAATGTACAATATGAGAGTGACGACGACTATGATGTATTTGTTGATAGACTTTCTGCACAATAATGCTATACAGTGAAAGAGACTCGACAAAATTGCTTCGAAGAAGAGGGTCTAGTAGACGACCATCAAGGTCTTCCGACTGGTCAATCTGATCCAAGCTCATAGGACTTTCGAAATGGGAAACCGAAGTAGCAACAGTTACAGTCGTTATACTGTGTTCGGTGTTGAGCAGTCGCTCACTTTGGATCTTGACTGGCCTTGACGTAGAAGCATCAATAGTTCTCGAGCCCCAGCCTATGATGTCGCACACCTCTGGACCATGAAGACCGCTTGTAGCAGAATTCCCTTTGTTTTTTCCCTCCTTCTTTTTGCTTTTGCCTAAACGACGGACTCCTGTCATATGTCTTCTCCAAGGGGTCGGCTTCTGCATGGCAGCGTTTCTCTACAATAAATGCAATCCGGGGGGGGGGGGGGAATTCATTCTGACCCAACTATTGAGTAAAAGGCATGTCGACCGCGAACCCTCCCAAGATGGCGTACGCCGAGGCCCTTGATCTCCCTACGGCACAAGCGTACAAGTGCGCACCTGTACCCTTACAATTCTTCTCCATGACATGACCGCAACGGCCCCCTTCCCCATCGATCTTCATCAGAGCAAAATTGTCCATCAACCAATCCCATCAGATACCTGCAAGCCTCAATGCAAGCCACCGTTCCTAGCGCCATGACCAGCCCCACGATGGGTCGGACTGAACTGAACTGTGGGACCCTCTCTGTCCATAGCATATTGCGTTTTACGGTCGTCTAGGTTTTCATTCGACCGAATATGATCACGTCTGTCGAGGCATGCCCGAAACGCTCGAGTGACTCTTACCCAGTCATATTGGCTGTATGGCATCCGCTCGTCGACATGATGATTGGATCTGCTTCGCCGGTGAATGATGGATGTCCAGCCACATGGATTCGCTCAAGCGAATCAGTATCTGACGGTGACGCGATTGAGTATCCCCTAAGTACCGTTTCCACTACGTGTCAGCGTGCAAAGTCCATGTCTGGTGGACTTGTTCTACTGGAAGGGGGAGGGTGTAGTGACTATAGTACATAGCATGAAGCAGTACGTAAGGTCTACTAGGATATGGAAAGTACCTTAGTAAATGGGAAGAGTGGAGGTAGTGCCGAAATGACAGGATGCTAGTTGTTGCATGCGCTACATCATGTACTTTTGCATCACACTGTACATCCCTAATGACTGTACTATGTCATCGCACGGTATCTCGGTACTTCAGCCAGAATGTTGCTCACTTGTAGCCCGCTTTCATCCATCGCCGGCTTTTGTCCTGACTCCTCAGGACTAGTGACTGTCAGTGTCACCTGGACTGAAAAGCTCTGTCGGACTCAAAAGCAGAGATGATCCATGCGGAGACACCAATGCATTGCCGAGTGGTCCGCCGGCTGCCCAGTGTGGAGTAAGGAATGTACTGTGGAGACTGTGGGTACACCTTACCTCGTATGGATTGTGGATAGTACCAGCTTCGTGAGTTGTGGGCTTGGGCTATGGGTCGCGGATTGTGGACTGTGGATTCTCTGAACGGGGTGGGCTGTTCCGTCGTCTCATGTATTGAGTGACGGGTGGGGATGCGAGCTCTATGGAGTTCATTTCGGGGTTTTTTTTTTTTTTTTGGGAGGGGGGGGGGGGGGGTCTTCACGTGGGGATATCAATCAATTATTCAGTAAGCACTAAGCAGTAAAGCACTGTATTGATTATAGTAGTAGTGAGTATTTGCTAAGCATAGTCGTTTGTTCATCACCTCATCGTACCTGCGGTAATTGATTGATGACGTATCCACATCCATACATAACGCATCCGAACTAACCGACTTGATGACTGAGCGTACTACGAGCACTCAATTAACTTTAGACGTGTAGACTGTAGACTGTAGACTGTAGATGAACTCTACTTCTACGTTAGATGGGCAGGCACTCGTGGTCGTACAGTACACGGTTAGTCTTAGGCTACCAAGTACAGTACTGAGTACAATACGCAATTGATGATCTGCCTTGAACAAAAGGGTACGCCGTCATGAATCGCGAGGATCGTCTTGAGAGATGAAGATGATAAAATTTGATTGGCTTATTTACATACTACACCAACATTAGGTACGAAGTACTGATAGTAAGCGCGCGGCCCTGCTGCCAGCGACAGCCCTGTATATCACCCGTTTGGGGGGACTTGAAGATAAGGTTTGGATCAACCTCCGCTGTGTATGTGGTCCGTTGAGCGATTCCATCCAACTACAGCATAGGCGCCTAAATGTCTGGCTCACTGCTGAGTGCTGATAAAAAGAGAGAGGTATGGATCGAGCCCCCTACGTAAATTCAGAAACTGGCCATCTCACTCCGGCTTCTTTGATATCCGTTGCAGATAAGTCCACGTCGGGTCGCTCCATGGGCAAAACACTAACGACTTGGCATGGTACCAGGGAGTAGGAACTGGTAGGGGTTGTAAATCTACTATGAGATTCACTTCCCTTTATACCAGGTAGCACCACTCACTATCGATACCTAGTATCTCCAGTTATTCCAGACAAGGCTCCCGTCTGTTCGAATCAATCTGCAGAAAGCTTCGACCAGATATAGACCTCCATATTTTGTGCATTGCATATTTTGTCCTGCCGAGTCTACCGAGGGGAGCGAGCAACGACTATCTTGGAAGACGGGAGTGATGGGCGATGAGTAAGTATGTAAAGACGTTAGGCGTGCCGGCGTTGCAAGGTCCACACCCCCATCCAACATGGAATAAGTGATTGTTGATCCCAGGAGCTCATGTGGTTCCTACCCCTCTCCCTTGCGAGCCAAACACATCGAGATACAGAGATCGGCCAGGGGAGCTCTTTGACCCAGAGTTAAGCTCGCTGATTCGATCCTCTCGATCGATTGCTTCTGCGGGTCAGGAGGGGGGAGGGGGAGGGGGGAAGAGAGATCGGCGCCGTTGGAGATGTTCAGGTTGGTTGTTTCACAATTTGGAAGCTTCGAAGGAGCCTGACTGATCGCTCGGAGACTTGGAAAGGTGGAGTGGATGTCTCCATATTTAGGTATTGTGCTCCGCAGATACGATCATGACTATCTGTGTGGATGTCTCCATCCTGCAGTCTTGCGTGTTCATACTGTAGCTGATGGTCTAGCTTGTGTATACATCGTACCTGTTCAACATTCTGAGCATGTACTCATGTAGTACTTGGGGGAACAACTATGGCCATCCTGACGCTCATGGTCGAGCATCTACTTTCAGGTATAGATAAGAATACCATAAATCATAATGGCTTTGAACTATCGGTAGTGATACATACCTGCTACCGGTACATAGGATGGATGCTACGAAAGAAAAAAAAAATCTCATCAATATAGTAGTGCGTCGTCGTACTGCGTAGGAATTGACTGAACATCCTTTCTCATCTCGCTGGTCACATGTCTCTTGTTGGACACCCAAATGAAGAACATTGGGCATCCGAGCTTGATTGAGAGTGAAGCGTACGTACTTCTTCAAGCTTCACAATCATTAGAATGACCCTTCGAGTATGTACAATACATGCGTCCTCGAGGGACGATGGCCTGTCCCTGCATCTTCATCGACGATCAGGCAGAGAGCAGAGAGCAGAGACAGAGGGAGACGAGGGTACATCCTGGATGCTTGCGCGTCAAAGTGGGGCGCAGAGTGCCGTTGAAACGCCAGAGTGCCCAAAGTACTGTATCCTTACTCAGCAGAAAGGGGCTCAATCAGCTCGTGGTGCAATCACAATGCTTTCTGCCTCTGCAAGCTATGAATCGGCGATGGGGCCCCTGCAGGTAAAGTGTGACGATTGGTGGTGATCGATAGAATGGGTGGGACTGGTATTGAGAGATGGGGGTTGTGGCTTGCTGGTGGCTTGGAGGTGGCTTTTGCCTAGTGTGGGTTGAGAAGATGCATCATGCCTGATCGTGTCGATGGGCTCCACTCTTGAGTACCTCATGACAGGTATGCATGTACCTAGTACCTATTGTTTTAAACAGTATACTTACAGTAGTACTGTACTACTGTTTAAAGTATAAATATACATACTGTACACAAGTACAACAGGCGTTACATGGAAGCTCCCTAGGCCCCTAGGGTCCTACTGTACATATCGAGTCATCAACAGATTGGCACGAAATGTCGATCCCTCGGGGTTTGATGTCAAAAATGACATGTTTTACCCTTTGAGGCCCGCCTGAGCTTGTACCGCAGGTATTACCAGGGTGTCTGACATACAGTCTTGTAGTACCGCGCTCGAGCAAGACACACGTCTTGTGACCAATCATGTCATGTGATAATCCCAGCCCGATTGACTCTCGTAAGAGTGACTAAGCCGTTCGGAAACCGCGGGCCTACCTGCAGGTCACGAGATCAGCCACTGGGTCGGAAATGCTTAACCGTGTCGATGGATCCACGCTCATTGGACGATTCAGCAGTGTCAGTGCTGTAGATATCAATTTTGGTCAACCACCATAATGGACGACTCTGGACGAGTATTGGTCATTTGGAATCAATTTCGTGGCTGTGCATGGAATTGGAGTCATTCGTAGATGAGTCACAGGATTTCTAAAGACCCATGGCGCCGATCACAAGTGTTGATGGCTTTTCAGGCATTACGTGTCCGTTTCAGGATTGGCTCGCATAGAGTACAATTGGTACCCTGTACGCAGCAGTCATGTGAAACTGACTTTTGTTCCACGGTAGACTACAGTACTACACTACTACACTACTACGGTACGTTGGTTGACCATCTGAGTATACCATGATTGCAAGAGTCTCGTCGGGACACGTGACCCATGACGGGCTTGAGGGCGCTCCGTGTACATTTGCGCTTCGATCCGGCTGTTCCTTCCAATCGAAATGAATGGACACGAATCGAAGAGGTTTCCTGTCTAGTGGGCGAGACTGGTGGTCTAGGGCTTGCACTTGCAGTGCTTCGTTTAGCGTGGTATGGATGCTCTGCTTCTGGCTCGGCACACGGTGTTTCCTCGGATTCTGTTCACTGGTGTGGAACTCGAACAGGTGATATTGAAGGGGTTCGTGTTGGATTCGTCACCACAGAATTAATGCTTTGGGGTATTGAGTCGGTACATCTTGAAGCTGCTGGCGGGTAGTCGAGTACGGCGATCACCGAAACGGGGGAGTGATGACACGTTGAGGTTGACAATCAACACATATGCAATAGAGGGCTAGTGTGTGTCATCATGGCATATGGTGCGGCTTGGGTAGCAGGTCGGGTATGGTCTGGCATGTTTTTTCTTTGCCTCGGTGTAGTCGAGTAGTTCTAAAAGTCATTCGCGGACTTCAAGGCATCTGTGCAACCGGTGCCCTTTCGCACAAGGCAGGACAAGTGTAGCAGTCAATGTCGTATCTGTTTTATGTCGCTAACAAGTGAGTGCGTTTTCGAGGGGGAAAAGTGTGTACGATTCGCTAATATGAGAGTGCTCTTGTTGCCTTTATTCTCCTTGTCTTAGACCGGGTGTGAAACTGAACGGTATCAGTGTTGTAGAGACGTGGTCCAGCTGCAGATGCTGTGGGATATCATGACTGTGTGCTCACGCGTCGGTAGCATGTCGCTTAATCCGGTTTTCAGGGGCATGAACTTGCTCTATCGGATGATGAAGCACACTGAATATCTGTGTCGACTTTGTGTGTTGGGGGGGGAGACGCCGCTTGTCCGGCGTGGATTTGTACCTTGTCGACTGCCTGGTGTACGCTTCTTGAGTTATCGGGAGGAGACGTGCCGAGTTCTCGAAGTCATGGGGCAGTTTTCTATGAGATTGTGATGGACGTTGTCGATATGTTAAGTCGCCTTCGGGGGATGTTGGATTTGCTACGTCGTGATACGGACGATCCTTCGGCAATCTTGAATCGAGTGGTATATGTATTGCAATACAGTAAATATGACCGCCCCGTTTAAGCAGGATTCAGCCTCCTCGGGAAGCCTGCAAAACAGCAGCACCGTTCACACAGTCGCCTGAGCACAGGGACTTTTCCCGCCTTGAAGACATGACACCGTGGCTCACGGGCGGAAACGACCTCACATTCGCCAAATTTGCTTTCAAGCCAGTTGTCCAATTTCGATTTGTGGCAGGCATAAGCCGTGTCTTGAAACAGGCGATGGGCCCATTCAGATACTATGACAATGTCACAGTCGGTTTGTTCCAGGCAGGTGGAGGCGATGCTTAATCGTAGCGTGTCCCAGTCGACGGCGAGGTTCATCGGTGCCATCGAGGAACCTTCTTCCGGGATTTCCTCGGTTGAGATCCAGTTCTGTCCCCAGATTTCGAAGTTCAGTGACCGAGACACGGTTGTCCAGAACACTCTGTGCGTGGGGGTAGGCATCAGAATGCCGTTTTCGACTGCTTCTAGTATTTGCTCCATCCTCACTGATCCCGGTTTCACGGCGAGCTTGGAGAACCGGTAGCTTCCATACTGCTCAACTTCGACCACTCCGATTGTAGACGTGGGAGGTTGTTGGGGGAGCATGTTTCTCCAGCTTGCCTGTGAACGAAAGCACGGCTCGAAATTGGGCCATTGGCCGGGAATGACATAGTTCCTGGATCGCAGCAGTAGCTGTTGCAGTACGACCTCTTCCATGAGCGGGTTTACAGCGCGCTTCATCCGGCAGCCTTTTGCTGGTCTGATGTACAGGGCCTGTTGAAGCTGGACCGACTGATCGATAGTCTGGCGCCATCCTTGACACACTTCCTGCGCCGTGAGAAGTGACTTGAGGTCTAGCTGAAGAAGGATCGATTCCAACAGCTCTGTCGTTCCCATCGCGATGTCGCGCGCTGATGGTGCTGGATGCGACTGGCTATGCATTTCACCCCTGAATAGCCGGCATTCAGGGGTCAAGGCTGGCCCTGGCTCAATCGGATGATTTTCTGGATTTCCATAATCACTTATGCTGATGTATTGCTTCTTTGGTATTGTCGATGTCTCCGGTGTACCTAGCTGGAGTCGGCATTGTATCTTGCGTGTGGTGGGGGACGAATGTGGCACTCACAGTTCGCTGTGGCTACCTCGGTGGCTGATACCCAATTGGGGGCTTGGGGGCTGATTCTATCGGCCATTTCCTTCTCTCAGTTCTCCAGGACGTTTGTTCTCAGATGATGCTTCTGCAGGTTCATGTTTGACACGGTCCGAGTGCGTCCCCTTATACCAGTCGGCCACAAGGTACTTCGAGGACCATGTGCGCCAGTTCGTTGCCGATTTGAATCACGATTATCCATGTGAAATTCCATCAGTCCCTTTCGAGGAGAGGGTGGCAGCTTGCACTTGATGAATCATGCATTTCAATATCATGGTCGACTCTGACTGTCAGCTTGGATTTGCGTGGGGTGCGATAGTCAACCGCGCGGCGAGTTGGGCCTCATTTGGCTGATAGCCGTAGTGCCTTGCATCGCTGTGCCAGCTCTTCGATCATCATGGTATAGTAACGTGTTTTAGCAATGTCTAGGGATCCTCGCACGCTGCATATGCTACCTATCGAACATGTGATGGCAGTGGTGTCATGAACCTAGCTATATGGTTGCTGCGCGCGATGATGTACCTAGTCATGTGATTTTCGGGGGTTCAACTCGGACGGCACTTCCGGGTGAGGGGTTCAGCTGAGTTGAACCCCTTGGCGAACGGTAACTTGACCTCCATCATAGTACAATAGATGCGCGGCCATGTTTCGGGCCTGTGGAGTGGTTTTTTAAGAGGTAATGCCATTTCGAGTATACTTCTATACTTGAAGCTCTCTTTTAGATCTGGCTGAGCAGGATTTAATTCATGTTTCGATTCTCGCTGCTGGTATCTACCGAGGTACAGTGGATAGGTGATGGATGAAGTAAACCTGACCCATGCTAGAAGGATACACGCCAGGATATATATCCCGTCCACATATTGAAGTACTCAAATACACCACAACCCAACTTCCGCCAACACAACTCGACAACAATCTACTTTACCTACCCTTCAAATGCACCATAATGCAGCGATGAGAATTCCAAAAACCTACCAGGAGCACCAACCCAATAAACGACATAACTTCAATCTGACGCCGTAGCGGAAATTGTTATTTTACCGGGAATATGGCTGTCTTGTCGAACATCGTGCAATTCACGCTCATACGCTCGGCCACACTGTCCACGCCGATCGGATCAAAAGGAACCATATACGTACCAGGGGAGCAAGCATACTAGATAATGCCATGACCAGAGAGGGATGGCAGATCAAACAAAAAGATCAAATACACGATGGTCCTACTGTATCGAATCATTGCCAACGTCAGCAATGATCTACTGGGTTATAGGGAAGCTCGTACACGCAATTGACTAGGTAAACACCGGGGTATACCCTTTGAGGCCTGCCTGTCTTTTTTCTACATTGAGCACTTTCATAGAGTCGCAAAGACAAGACAGAAACATTGATCGGTATCACCGGTATCAAGTACGGGATCAGACATTCCAGACGCGCCGACACCAGTGGACCGGGTGACGCGACTACACGGTTCAAGAGACAATACGCGTCGCGAAAGACAACGAACATACAGCAAAGCACAAAGAGCCCAGAAACGAGAAGAAAGCACAAAGACATTATGGTAGTTTCCAGTTGATTGAATTCGTATCGGATCATTGATCCTTCCCACTATTGAGAGTGGTGCCAGCCATGATTGTTGGAAGGCCGCTATGATACAGGAAAAAGCCCAGAAGTCACACACAGATGTTGACCAACAGTGGGACGCGAAAAATTGGTAGTCGTTGTAAGAGAAAATCAGAAGCAAAACCCAGAGACCCATGACAATTGTAAAACAAAACAGTGAACACCCCAACGTCCCGTCATACCATGAAACAGCCCGGAAAGAGAAGAGAAGACATGACAAGCTTAACCACCGAAACCGTAGAGGGTACCTGAGAGAAAAAGCGTTAGCAACGTGTTGTACGAGTGCGGGTTGCCCGCAGGTTGTATCGTCGAGAGTAACTTACGGCCCTGGCGCTTGAGAGCGTAGACAACGTCAAGAGAAGTGACAGTCTTGCGCTTGGCGTGCTCAGTGTAAGTGACAGCGTCACGAATGACACCCTCAAGGAAGGTCTTGAGAACACCACGGGTCTCCTCGTAGATCATGGCAGAGATACGCTTGACACCACCACGACGAGCGAGACGGCGGATAGCGGGCTTGGTGATACCCTGAATGTTGTCACGCAAAATCTTGCGGTGACGCTTGGCGCCACCCTTGCCGAGACCCTTACCACCCTTGCCACCTAGAGAGAATCGAACGCGTGAGTGAATTGCTCGACCAGAAGAGAGAAAGACGCGTCCTTTCATGGATAGACGCGAGCAGGTGGAAACTGAAGACCACTGGAAAGAAGAGGCAGGAAGACTTACGACCAGACATGATGATATGAAGTTGAGGAAGTTGTTTTGAAAAGGAGAAAGGGTTGTTTGGATGATGGAGAGACTTGGTTGTCGTTGAGGGATGGATGGGAGAAAGATTGATGGCAGAGGGGCAAAAGGATATTTGTAGCAGAGGCCCTGGCTGGGGTACTCGGTCCCAAATCACGTCGGATCACACGCTAGTCTGGAGACCCACCAATCAGCATCACGGATCCGCCAGGGTCGCTGATCTGCCTCGCGCGGGCGGCTCTCTCGCGTTGCTGAGTCATCCCGCCCGTGATCTGGTTGATCCAGTGATGCAGTGATCTCGACGGTGGTTGATCTTGACTGATCCTGCTCATCTACGTTCATCTACAAGCCAATTTCATTAAAAATTTGATGACAAAGTCTTTGGAAAGCAGTAATACACATAGGCTAGACAGGATCATTCCATAATGCGTTCCGGCGTGAAGATCAGTGGTTTCGTAGACATCGCATTCCAGATGATTGATCCTGAGCGCTGATTGGCCAAATCACAAACCTCGCTCGCTTAGACTCTGATAAGGCCAATCAGACCGCCTGATCCCGGGCCCGGCAGTATCAGTGCAAAGAGTGATCCGAAAGAACAGATGATGATTGGATCACCCGCAAACCACCAGATCACCACCCCCCCAGCCCGCCGCTACAAATACCTTCTCCCCACCCACGGCTTCTTCCCTCCTTCAACCATCCACTCATCGACAACCTTCAACAACCACCTTTTTTCATCAACTTAAGTTTTTCAAACATCATCAGAGATGGCTCGCACTAAGCAGACTGCCCGTAAGTTCGCACACTATCCTACAATACCGTCGTCCTCTGTCGGCTTCGAACTCCACTTGGGACTCTCTTTTCTAGGGTGTCGTCCTCTCTGGTGACACTCCCGAATTGGGACAAGTGGAGGCTTTCGGACGCGTCGCGTCTACCTCCAACAATACCACCAAGCAACACTGTTACTAACATCCTTTCGCACAATAGGTAAGTCCACTGGTGGCAAGGCTCCCCGTAAGCAGCTCGCCTCCAAGGCTGCTCGCAAGGCCGCCCCCTCCACCGGCGGTGTCAAGAAGCCTCACCGTTACAAGCCCGGTATGTACTCACATGTGCACTTCACGCCCTATCACACGATCGGACATTGTTCTAACAATCACTAGGTACCGTCGCTCTCCGTGAGATCCGTCGCTACCAGAAGTCCACTGAGCTGCTCATCCGCAAGCTCCCCTTCCAGCGTCTGGTCCGTGAGATTGCCCAGGACTTCAAGTCCGACCTCCGCTTCCAGTCCTCCGCCATCGGTGCTCTCCAGGAGTCCGTTGAGGCCTACCTCGTCTCCCTCTTTGAGGACACCAACCTGTGTGCCATCCACGCCAAGCGTGTCACCATCCAGTCCAAGGACATCCAGCTGGCCCGTCGCCTCCGCGGCGAGCGCTCTTAGATGGAATTTTCCTGTTTAATCCTCTAATGGGCTGTGTTTCTTGACAACTTCTGGGAAGGCGATCGGGGTTTTGTTTTTCTTTCTTACGACTATTGGCGATCAACATGACGGGTTTTTGCTTCTTCGAATATCAAATGGGTTTCGGAATCAAGGGTTGTTTCTGAATTTTGCTTTGCTTGCGTGACACAATGCTACTGCCATCCTCACTTTGGCTCTCGCTGGCCTGGGATCGCGGGTGGTACAGATTTGGGCATGTACATTAAAGAATATCCTTCTTATCACGGTGTCTTAGCGCACACCATCTCATGACATAGGCGCTGAAAATGCGATCCTCTATGATTCAACCCACTTCCCAAGGACTGCCTTTCGTATGGATCTCAGTACCAGTACAGTACACATCCCGTCGCGCGTGTACGCGTTGTTATGATTGTGACCACAGTGGGTCTACATCATGCCACCCGCGTTCGCGTCGACCTGGCTCGTGATGGCTTTGCCTGTGTGAGACTGAACATCAAGCCAGTCGAGTCTTCTTGTCATGCCGTTCAGTCTCTGTTGTAACCCTCCGACAAGCCTTTAGATATACTCCAGTACTCTTTCATGCTTGATACTGATATCTATGGCGTACGTATGACTTCAGAGTCCTCAACAGTCATAGACCTCAAGTGTGAGATCATAGAAGGCGCCGGCCCGACATTCCGCTTACAAGTACATCATGAGCGCCGAAAAAGCCCACGATAAGGGAATGAGCAGCAGTTTCTTTCACTCATCAACTGACTGGCAAGATGACTGCCAGCGCTCGGAGTCCTGCAGAAAAGCAGGTTCAAGTTGCAGTGCGTAGAGCTGTGCCTGCGTGCCTGCGTGCCTGCGTGCCTGATGGGGTGCCATCCCCTGATGAGCATTTTGATCCCGTTCGAGGCCCTCGAGGCTGGCAGAGTGGAGAAAAGGTCTTTCTGCCTTAGGCCTACATCATGATCAAACAAGCGGCTTCGGGGGCTTCGGTGAATTCATCTTCTGATCCTGGATGCACCACGGACTTGTTCGGTCTGAAGATGCGATTTTGAAATTTGTGAGTCTCTAGGATTCATATGATACTATTTTTGGGGTTCGGCCTTTCTGGGGACACAGGATCACGGGGGGTTTGTTGCTACAATCGTCTGTCACGTCTGTGTCAGGTGGGGCAGAAGCCACGCTCGTCGTGGTCGTCGCGATGAAAAGCCTGAGGTTGGCCATTTTCTACCGTTGTAGCCTCAGGCCAGAAGTCTTTATGGGTGATCATGTCCGTAGCTGTGGTGGATGCGCGTCGACAATCATGATACACCATTTGAAGTACTCGTGCAGTAGTACTATTATCTCTTAGTAGAAGTTTCAAGTTTGTCTTTTGTAGTGTGTACCTCGGTACTATAGCACTGTATCGGTATATTCTAGGCACTATTGATAAGCGTCCTACTTCCTCATGGCCGAATTTTCACAGAAATTTTCGCTAATCCCTTAGTCCTGAGTCCATGCCTCAGGACTTACTCGCAACTCGCAGTTTTGCCTCGGTGTGGTCGTGACTCGTTGCCGCTACCAGGCACTTTCTTTTTGTTTCCAAAGGGGTTGGGAGACCCTGACCCGATGATGCTCTCCCGATGGATCTGGGCATTTTTCAGAATCCGTTACTCAATACTGAGGATGTACAATAACGGAGAAAGGGAAATAGGCAAAGCATCTGGGATCTAGATGCTCGATGCTCGATGTAGATATTCAAAGTGGGTGGGAACTGAGGACTTCGGTCGCCGGTGGGAGGCGATGACGCTTGAAAGCCCAGTGTTACGACCTACACACTACAGGTCTACACAGATGCGATCCCGAATCCGCAGGGGATCACGGGATCACAGAGTCACATGACCCAATACGGGAATACTTTACTAAGAATAGGCTCGGGCCCGACCACGTGCGAAAGCTTTGGGATCACAATTTGTGCATCTTGGAATGCACTGATCATGATCTTATCTGATCGGGCCCGACTTGAGCATTCAGCATTTTAGGTACCGTAGGAGGCTCGTGTCGAGAACCGCGTATTCTTGGTAATCTCCGAGATTGATTCAGAATCACATTGTTCAAGTCCTTTCTCCTAGTCTCTAGATCCGACCTATTTGTGAAGATGGCGTTTTATGTACCAAGGCATAATTTATGCGCAAGTAGGTACTCATCGTAATTTGTAATCGTGGGCCCCCGGATGAATGTCGTTAACTCCGGTCCGTCTGTGCCTTGACATATCTACGATCTTGATGGCTGATTCGGTGGACACTGGCCAGTGCCACCTGGTATACGATAGAGACGCTCATCATGGAGATAACGGAGCTCGAACTATTGACCCAACACATGTCTCCTGTATCGCATAGTGAGCTCTCACCTCCATGATCATCTGACAGACCCCAGACGCAGTGGATCATCGATACGTTGATGGACAGGCTCGCCTACACACTTCGGTGAACCTGCTTGATCTTAGTACGAGGCTTCAAGCATGAAGCAGACCAATACAGAAAAGGAAATCCATCTCTCCAGTCTCGTGGGAGGATGGGCATCACTTGGAATTTAGCAGGCAAGCAAGGCTTCTCGCCCGCTATTGACCCACCATGGATGCAGTGGGACCGATCAATGCTCATCACGGGGGTGTGTGTCTTTGACATGACCCAGAGTAAGCTGAACAATTGCATCCGAAATGAAAGTGGACAAGTCCCCGAACTACTAAAATCTTGTAGTACATAAGGTAAGGCTATAGCACCGTAATGGCTCGCTTGTATCCGAGCATCGTAGTGCGCTGCCACTTGGCAAGGCCGCGCCGGGAGCTGAGAGCCCGGGTGGATGGGCGGATAGAACCGAAATTTTGTGCAGAAACATCGTAAGCGTGAGCCCTACGGCAGAAAGCCAGACCGACAAGTCTCTGTGGCCGAGTGACCCATGATTGGACACTACTGCCAAGACCTGTGCCGACCTTCCGGACCGCGTAAAACCTGGTACCGGAGGAGTCACGTCTCAATGCTCAATGCATACTGTAATCTACATAGGATTAGGGGTTCACGTGGACGGGAAATACCTGCTTGCGTCATGACTGTTGAAATCAGATCGGGTCGCATCATTGCACAACAGGGTCTCAGGCTTCAGCGCCTCGACCGCTTCCTATCCACGGGCATCTGGGTGCTAGAATTTTCTTTCCTTTCCTTTCCTTTTCTTACTTTTGCTCCGTGATCCTTGGGAGGCTCGGTTGCCAAGATTGACCACGGTCGTCTGTCTTGGGTAGCCCCTAAAAAGGCATCGCGATCGAGGGAATCCATCGGGATCAACTGATCGCATCGACGATTACCAAAAAGTCAAGAGTCAGTCTGTGCTCAACGTTGATCGACTGTACAGGACAAATCATGTCATGGCCTCTACATGATCAGGTGCATAAATGTACACAGCGCCAGGAAGGAATTATGGCGGTCGGATGATTACAGTCCGAGCATTAATGTCCATGATTAATAAGGCTGCCTTTCGAAGCCCTTGGGCTGGGCTTCGGGCTGACAGACAGAGAGGATGTCAACTACAGTATGTTCTGTATGTGTCAGAGCCGAAGAAGAAACCACGGACATTATTTCAGGACATAAGACTGTTTTCCACCAGTCACATAACGGAGATATGGACGCTGCGACAGATGTATCATCTTGATCAGATTCTGGAACCAGATATGCAGAGACAAAATGTGGCACAACGGAAGCCACTCCAATTTATGTACCTTAATCCCAAACACCGGTGCATAATGAGGCCCTATGCACGTTGGCCCACTGGTTCTGAGCAAACAGCTGGCGGTAAAGTCTGAAATTTTGGTAAAACGCCACAAATCTAGACTTCATCGCGTGGTGCCGATTCGATCCTGGAGGCTCTAATGATTTCATTTATTTCAAAAGGAGTGCTTCGCCCACCATGTCCTTTCCTAAAGGTCTTGAATCCATTCTGTCTTCCAGTTAGCTCCGACATCGTCGATAATCAAACTCGCCCAAACATCATACCACCAGGTGATCGTCGCCTTCAAATACCGTTACCGAATCCGGCTTCCCCTGTCCTGTGCAAAGTTCATACTGTCACGATATTCTAGACGTCGGCTCTCCCCGCAACCGGCTGCACAAGGCGGAATATCCTGTTATACCTCCAAACCGATTCATAACCACGAAATTTCTCCACTTCTCTTGATCGACCCCAGACTGGTCCGCTCTTCGGTCCCTTTAAGATCCCACCACCTGCTCCATTATTGTCATCGCCTTGATATTCCAATATTCGCTGAATCCCTCCTCGCGCGAAACTCCCAGATCAAGCGCTGATCTCGAGGCTCTTTGAATATCGCACGTCTGCCCAGTGCCCACAGCTCCACGATGGCGGGCCACGACGACAGACATGGATCTGAAAAGATCGAGTCCACTCTGCCAACTTCCATTCCCTATTTCCGCATGGTCTGGGACCAAGGTGTCGTCACGCAACAAGTCGCCAGCCACCCCTACTCAGGCTCAGGAACCGACGATGATCCTTATGTTGTGACTTGGATTCCAGATGATCCGCGCAACCCTTTGCTATTCAGTCAAGCGAAGAAGTGGCTATTCACTGCTCTGATGGCTATTGCGACGCTGGCTGTCGCATTGGTGTCCTCTGCGTATTCCGGGGGTATCCAGCAGATCGAACAGCAATTTGGCATTGGAAGCGAAGTTGCCATTCTTGGTGTGTCGCTCTTCGTGGTTGGGTTTGCTGTAAGTGTCACCTGCGGAGTGAAGTGCTGTTGACCCTTGCTTTCTGACTCTAACCCCCTCATGAAATTCATTAGGTCGGTCCTCTCCTTTGGGCTCCCCTCAGTGAGTTGTTTGGACGCCAGGTTCTCTTCTTCGGCACCTACGCCGCCTTGACTGCGTTCAATGCCGGATGCGCTGGCTCTAAGAATGCCTGGACCCTTATCATCCTTCGATTCTTCGCCGGTGCTTTCGGATCCTCGCCCCTCACTAATGCCGGTGGTGTTATCGCCGATATGTTCTCGGCTAAGCAGCGTGGTGTCGCTATGAGCTTGTTCGCCGCGGCACCTTTCCTAGGCCCTGTTCTTGGACCCATCATTGGTGGCTTCCTCGGTGAAAGCGCTGGCTGGAAATGGGTGATGGGCTTCCTGGGTGCCTTCTCCGGTGCCGTTTGGATCATTGGCTCTATTTTCATCCCCGAGACTTACGCCCCGGTTCTTCTGCGTCGCCGAGCCGAGCGGCTCTCGAAACTCACAGGCAAGATCTACCGCAGCCAGATTGAAATCGATCAGGGCAAAATTTCTCTGAAGGAATCCTTCAAGATTGCGCTTTCTCGTCCCTGGATCCTGCTGTTCCGCGAGCCTATCGTCTTCCTTCTGTCACTCTATATGGCAATCATTTATGGTACCCTCTATATGCTGTTTGCCGCCTTCCCTATTGTCTACCAAGTCAACCGTGGCTGGAGCCAGGGTATTGGAGGCCTTGCGTTCCTGGGAATCATGGTCGGTATGATCATTGCCGTCATCTACTCTCTGTGGGACAACAAGCGTTATATCAATGTTCAGGAGAAGCATGAAGGTTTCGCGCCGCCAGAGGCTCGTCTGCCGCCTACGATGGTTGCTTCCGTTGCTATTCCGATCGGTCTGTTCTGGTTCGCCTGGACCAACTACCCCAGTATCCACTGGATGGCCAGTATTGCCGCTGGCGTTCCGTTCGGGTTCGGGATGGTGCTGTGTTTCCTCGGAATCATGAACTATCTGATTGATGCCTACACAATTTTTGCCGCGTCAGTCCTGGCTGCCAATTCCGTCATGCGTTCCCTGTTCGGTGCCGCATTCCCTCTTTTCACCACATACATGTACAGCAACCTCGGTATTCACTGGGCGTCTACTATCCCGGCATTCCTTGCGCTGGCATGTGTGCCATTCCCGTTCCTGTTCTACAAGTACGGCGCCGCCATCCGCAAGCGTTGCAAGTTCGCCGCGCAGTCTGAGGCATTCATGCGCAAGATCCAACAACAGGCTGCTTCCTCTCCCTCCGACGAAGAGGAGAATGAGGCAGACGACGAAACCAAGTTCGATCGCACCGAAGCTGCCGCTCCTGACACGGCCTCTTTGTCCAGCGTCTCGTCGCACGCCGATCACCATCCCATCTCAGCTCACCGAACTCGTTCTCGGGCTCACTCGACATATTCCACTCGCACCAATGGATCATTGGCCCGTGTGGCGACATATGAAGGCAACCCTTATGCCGTTGATCGTGTCAACACGAGGGAGTCATTCAAGGCATGAGTATACCGTGCTCCTCCTCTTATAATTCTTTCCACCACTTTTCCTGATTTCTTCACCACGCCATCAAAGCTTTTTACATTAAGCATCACCGTACCTAATCCGGGTCCCTCTTTACGCTTCCTGTCTAATCATTTTTCATCAAAAAGTCCACTCATCTTTGGTTCTTGTGGACACGTCATCTCTTCTTCTGCACATACCACTTGTCTTTGATACCTTGTCGTCAGCATCACATACATCTGCACGCACACTCATGTCTTTACGGAGTTTGTTTGTATAATTTGCATATAGATTTGGAGTTGGCCACTACTTGGTCAATATTTGGCCGAAGAATCTTTCAATATACCTCGTTATAACATTGGATCTGAGCATCCATTCGAGTAGTAACTCTAAGAAATTGATAGTAAAGTGGTCGCAATCTCGAGGGTCCTCGCAAATGGAGGTGAAGTAATTTACATCAAAACAAGCAACCGCGGATTTCCATGCAAGATTACCCGTTAGCCAACTTATCGGGATTTCGCGGCGCGTCCACATGCCGACAGCCGGGACATCGGTAGCGCATGCGACTAATGATTAGGTACGTAGTTTGCTGGAGATGCTATTTTTTTTCCCTCGGAACACCCCTCGCAGACGGCGTGGAAGATCGGTTAGACTGACAGTTGCTTTGTACGGATTTCTTCAATTGGAGACATTTTGCCTAAGAGCTTATCAACACGAACGCTGCATAATCTGGAGTCCCCCGCAAATTTGGGCCTTCCCCATCCGTCAATCAAGTCGCTCTTATTTCCGCCTTATCGCCACATCCGGGATCGGGTCCGACTTGCAAACAAACCCGACATTCGTACCTGAGTCACCTGCTGCTAATTCTACCCTTTCTCTCCCCTTCGCTACTTTTTTTGCTTTTTTTTAAAGGTCGACTTGAAGTCCTTGCACTACTCAATCATCCACATGAGGCGACTCTGAGATGCACGTCGCACACAGGAGCCTTGGCGCTCACTTACGGGCATCCAGGTTTGCGATCCGCCCGCGGATCAGTAATGCCAGCGGTCGAGCGCTGCAACGAAGCATACGCCAACCACGACGACAACAGTCTTCTCATACATCCGCAAAGCCAGATAACCCTACGAACCATAATGCCAAAAGCCATGCAAATACACTCGGGGAGAGCGCAGGCGTTGCAAGAAACTCCGCATCAAAGAGCACATCGTCAGCAGTAACTCAGCCGCCCAAGACATCGGCTGTGCCAAAAACGGCAGGTGCAGCAGCAGCTTCAAGTCCTGCAAACGTTGCGGTGCGATCAAAGGGGATACGTGCCATGATTATTGCTGGTCCTATGGGACAGCTGGGTCGGTGGTACTCTCGGGTCCAAGAGCGAAGACCATATATGACGCAGCTCTGCAGCTCCGTCGTCGTGTACTTGTTTGGAGACTTGAGCGCACAACTACTGTTTCCCTCAGATCCGCCTCAGCCTAGCAAGTCTGTGGATCAGACTGGCCAAGAAGGCGACGATGAGCAGACCGCTCGTGGAGGTGGATACGATCCTTGGAGGACGGTGAGACATCTGATGGTCGGTGCAGGGTCGAGTATACCTTCATACAACTGGTGAGCCATGTCTTAGGGGGCAGATGCGGTGACTGACAAGCGTTGTCGACATTTGGAGCGAGTTTCGCAAACTGACATGTCTTTTCAAGGTTCATGTTCCTTCACAACAACTTCAACTACCCATCAAAATTTTTCTCCATCTTGACCAAGGTGGTCGTACAACAAATCTGCTTCACCCCCGTCTTCAACACGTACTTCTTCAGCATGCACTCCTTGCTAGCGGGCGCCACAATTGAAGAAACGTGGGAACGTCTCAAGAAGGCTCTTCCAGTCAGTGTGACCAATTCGGTCAAGCTCTGGCCCGCTGTCACAGCCTTCAGCTTCATGTACGTGCCAGCCCAGTTCCGCAATGTCTTTGCAGGTGTCATCGCGGTTGGTTGGCAAACTTACTTGAGCTGGCTGAACCAGAAGGCTGCGCGCGAAGTTCTTGCTGCGGAAATGGCCATGGACTCGAGAACTACGCATCGCTTGCCTGCGATGGCTGACTCGCAGGCTTCTACAGCAGCATCGGCTGCTGCGTAGAGCATCAAGATGCGAGCAGAATTGGTTCATCATGCTCGATTCTGGATCCTTTTCGGAGACGTTTGCGAAGCGGATTTCGGCGTTGCAACTTTTCCTCCTCCCATATGCATATAGATACCACTATCATTAGACATAGACGCTAGCCTTTTTCTCTACGTACAAACTCAAAATCACGATTCGAGAGCAACATAGAATTGTCACAAGAAAGCAATGATCTACGGCACAATTCACCTTGAACCAGAGATTGATTCCTGTCAGATAGTTGGAAACAGGAAAAATCTCGAAGAACCGCGCGAGTCCGGGTAGGGAACTGCCATGACGTCCCCATCCCGCATACCGCGCATCCTCGGATTCCAGTCTTGCATATCACCAGCATGATCCCGCGGTCCAGTCGCAGGCATGTCCTGCCCACCACAACAAAGACCTTCTGATGAATCCGAATCGAGTGATTACGGCTCCGACTTTACCCCAGATGAGGACCGATTGCTGAGCGATTTAGTTTTGAAGGCGGTCGCAGACCACACGACGCAGCGCGACAACGAGCGCCCCGCCACACGACCGCCACCACCACCATCAACTGGCATCCTCAGCGAGGAACCCGCGACTCCCCTGGCCACAGTGCTTGATGATCTGGATAATATACAGCCTACGACTATAGCGGCAGTGGCAGCAGATATTGAAGATGCTATCACGAGCCCGGGCGTCCGTCTCCCGAAGGTCCTGGGCCGGGAGAAGCCTGGCTCTCCATGGAGGCGTTCCAGCCAACAGCCCTGGCTTGGGCCTGCAAGTCCGAGAAAGCCCTTGGCGGGGATGTCAAGCCAGAGGTCAATTGACAGGGCCTCGCCAACTGGTATGAAGCTGTTCCTTTCCCTTGCGCAGACTGGCTTTCTGCTTGTTGGGTTAGAGCTACGTGCCGTCGAACTGCCAGTACAGAGACTGACATGTGGGTAACCGAAGCGTTTAGTTGAGCATCCCGGGTCACTCGAAGGAAGACAACGTGAACGCGAACGCAGTGTGGCTCTCGAGCTCGAACGGATCAAAGAGTCCCAGGTCGCGCCCACAGTAGATGAGCGAACGCCCGTTGAGCGATTCCGAAGACCACCCAACAAGGCCTTCTCAGTCACTGATTTGGTCTCACCAGCATGGTGCGAGCTGCAATACTGGTACACATTGACTAAGCATGGCCGCAAAAGGAGGACGCCTGCCATGAAAAAGGGAAGTATGGTACACAAGACCCTTGAAGACGAGATATATACAACCGTCCCTGTGGAAATAAAGACGAAAGAGGATGCTTGGGCGTTGCGAATATGGAATATCATTCAAGGGCTGAGGATGCTGCGTGAATATGGCATCACTCGGGAGCTGGAGATCTGGGGTGTGATCGATGGGGAGCTCGTCAACGGTGTCATTGACCAACTGTCCTACGAGTGCCCTGATTCCGAACTTGAGGCTAGCGCTGCTCATTTCTACGAGGATGCGGCCAGGTCGCGCGCGGCGTTGCCTGAATATCAGATGTCACTATCTGATTTCTTGCTCTCATCGTCGCAGGGAGGGAAACGCATGTCTGATCTTGCTCAACAAGACACCGGCCCTGAGGATCTGTCCGCTGCGGAAGCAACCCCTGCTGCTGTCTATGCGTTACCGCGGATATACTTGACCGATGTGAAAACAAAGGCCAGTGCATCCGTCCCAACAGTCAAGAGCACTTCTTTCCGCCCGACCTTACTTCAACTTCAGCTCTATTACCACATGCTGAATCGTTTGGTGACGAGCGACGACGTCACGATGGATTTACTTGCGGCGCGGTACAACCTCGATCTAGACAAGCCTTTTACTGATGCCTTCATTTCCGAAGTCGGGGGTCTGAATGATGAATTTTTCGACACTCTCTCTTCCCAAGAGATCGACTTGGGCGATGTACCCACGCCTGAAGATATAACCCATCTGTCCACCAGATCCGGTCAGAACCTTCGTTCCCCCAGTGCCAGCCAGGATTCGACCAGTGTGCTTTTGACGCACGGCACTCTCAATCTTCTGTGGACTTACATGAAAGAACAGTTGAGGTCTACCTTCATTCCCACATTTTCGGACCACGAAGAGCCCGTCGCGCCCTCCATACCATCCCTCAAGCAACCAGAATTGCTTCAAGAATACCCTACACTCCTCTCTCCAGTCCTCACTGCTCGATTCCTATCGTCTGCACCTACAGTCGAGCCCCAGTCCCGGCATCTAGGAAGCAGGTCCTTCCTTTTTGATCCGAACATCATGTCATCGTATTTGACGGATCAGATGGAATGGTGGCGCGGCCAACGGAATCCACAAGGAGTTGGAATCGTGGATGCTTGGAAGTGTCGCATCTGCGAGTTCCGTGACGAGTGCTCTTGGAGACAGGAGCGTGAACTGGACTATGCTAGTCGTAACCGAAGGCGACGCACAGGTTCCTTGGCAGATATCTAAGATACACCAATCTTGAGAGAACAGAAAGGCCGCCTTCTCTCTCTCTCTTTTTGCGCAGTTGTGTATCATGAACTTAAATTCTGTACTAAATCAGGCCGTAGGGTAGGCAGGACACAGTTATCGGATCATGAATTAGATACTACGGGCCCGCTAGCTCAAGTGGCTGACATTCGGCGTACAAGAAAATGACAGCCGTTCATTCAGGGAAGCGCACTTGCTGTTCGACCTAAAGAGGGTATTTCCGAATCAAATCTTCTTCCTCGATATCAAGACCTGCTTGAACCTGTTCCTCGTGCTTCTGATCCAAATACTCCAGTAGCACCTCCGCGTACTTCTCCCTTCCTTTGTACCTAGAAACATCATCGCCCCAACTGCGAATAGCAGAAGCCAAACGACCGGGCACATAAGGCTCTTTCACAATCTCCGTGACCGGCTCAAAATAAGTCCGAATCGTAAAAACAACGACTCCCGATCTCGGTAACCGTCGTAGTGACTGCCTCTCTGAACGAAAAAAGTGATGCTCGACAGCTTTGTTCTTAGCAGCTGTGTTCCACGATACCGTCTCCGAATCCTCGGATCCAATACTGTGAGACCAAGCTAGGTTGTCATCCACCTGGATAAAGTAATTGTTCCGCAACATGGGCTCTTCGGGCTTGAGTCGACGGAAGAAGTTCCTCATGCCTCGTTGTAATTTTTCTTGATACTGTGGCACATTGCCGGAAGTGTGGATCTCGGACAGCGGCATACCGAATTTATCTCTGAAGCGCCAGAAGCCCGCGAGAAGAATCGCGCCTGCTAAGAGATAGTATTCGCCATCTGCGCGCTCGACCATAATCGCGAGGTCATCTTGGATCAAACGGGCTGCGGTGGCCATGGGGTCTTCGGGAAGGGGGCGTTGCGTGATATCGAAGGTTTCTCCCGTGAGGGCATTGCTGATCCCGGTAGGCGTCTTTTGGAACATGGTAGGGTATCTTTCTGGAAGATATTCGCATCTGGAGAGAGCACTGTCAATGACTGCCACTCGGCGGGTGCAACACTAGCGGTGTCGGGATCAGGACGCACAGTTCTTCGAGTAGTTCGATGGCTCCATCCATTGCTTCTGGAGCGGTACCAAAGCATTTCTCGCCTCTCTCCGCTATGCGCCTATTCCTACCCGAGTGATACTTGAGATACTGATTGTCCAGCTCTTCATTTAGGATGAACTCAAAGAACATTAGCACAAAAGTGTCCCGTTCAAGATGGCGAAAAAGTCGGGCATAGGACTTCTTACCGATCCATTCATCCCATTCCATGCTACGCAACCCCATAGTGACGGAATAGGTTCTACCATTCAACGTTCAGTCAGCTAGTCAAGAAAGCAGCCTGGAGGAGAACACCCACGGCCCATATCGGAAAGGCCTGTAAGGAATGGGATTGGAGGAGTGAACGTCCCAGTCTGAATACGGGCATGCTGCAGGTCGTTTGAAACTCGATGGTTTCCATTCTGTTGAAAGCAATAATTAACATAAGAACAGCGGCTGAGGCCTTTGTCAAAAGGGGTTACCAACCTCCCCATTTTCTTTTGGTCTTCTCTCGACCATGCATTTTCGATGACGAAACTTCGCCCTCTGCAGAACCCAGGCTCTGTGTGAGTCTGTACGATGTCTGCCATTTCTTCAACATGAAGACCAGTATACAGATGCACAGACTTAGCACAGGGACGAGTCGCACAAGGTCCACAAGGGACAAACTTGACAAAAGACTTTCTAGGCTCGGCTTAAGTGCCATTGTGTCTTGAAATGTCTATTGCAAGGATGTTTTTGCGGACCATCGGTCTATATGATCGAACATATACTCAATCAATGAACCCGAGCAAGTCGAGAGGTATGCGATACGAAGTCGGTATTGAATCCGGGCGACAACGACCGTCGAACCTGAGTGCGTGGAAACGTCTCGCAGAGCAGTTCCCTGAAGCCGTGAGCATTCAACTTCGAACAGAGTGACAATCAACCGTCTGAATGACACAAATCCGAGGACCAGATCCGCTGCCGGCCATTGAAGTAGACGTCGAGGGACTGGATGTTGACGCTTCGACCCGCAAGAGTGCGGGGAAGATGATGGACATACCAAGAATCTGTTCTCGGGTCGTGAATCCGATGAACTAGAGATATGTACCTGTACGGTCTTAAGGTCGGAAAGTCGAACCAGTGCTTGACAGCGTCGAGGGCTATACTCGATTGTCGTGGCTTATCTCTGATGCGGGGATCGTTATCGCCCGTGCAGGGCTGCCCGCATTGTTCGCAGGTTGTACGGATCTTTTCTCCAAATTGAGTTAGAGCCCAGGAACAGGTGAAGTTTGGAAACCCTTGCATTTTCGTGCAAATTCAGAGAACTGCTTGTTTACCTGGTATAGGACAGAGTGGTGCAGTGGGTAAAAATAACCCCCAACCGTGTAAGACTATACATAGGTGCCTACGTTACTGAAGTCACAAGCCTGTGACACTATTTGGAAATAGCATTTCGTTGACAGAGCCGAAGAGGCTCATCCTCGTGAAAATCCAAGAATATGGACACGATCCTAAGCCTCAAACTCGTCTCCTCATTCTCGACAAGCCACAGTATTTACAAGAAGGTAGCACGACGGCTGTCACGCCAAGATGCGACATTTCAATCATCTCATCTTAGACAGGCTCTTCACCTGCCTGACGCTGTAGAAGGCAGTACTGCCCATAGTGACGCCGGTATTTCTCTGGGATGATGGGAAGATCTGGGAGCCAAATTATACGTCCCACCAGGTTAGTCTGCGAGGCATCTAAGAATCTTTCACAGGACAAGACCTTCCAGTGTGCCTTGTCCTGAGCGTAATCTGGCTCCAGGTCTGTGGTCACTCTACCAGGGAAAGAGCTGTCAACGATGAAGGAGCATTGAGAGTTGTCGATCTAGAATTGCAAATTAGCACAAATGTCCAAGAGAAAAAAAATGAAGACGCAAGCTTACATATTTATTAGGATCTTCAATGTTGAGATCGTTCATGCCTGAGGGTATCCGCGAAGCACCCGCAACTCGGCCCAGGAGGCTCGACGCCTCAGGAAACTCTCCAGGCATCAACCCATTGAACTCGCTTCGAATGAACTTGGCACGCATATTATGCGGCAAGTGGTAGGACGAAGGAAAGCGATACCATTCCTTTCCAAAGCACACATTCGCCTCGATAGGTGCGACATCCAATTGCTGCAAAGGCTCAAGAACTTTCAACGGAGCATTGTACGCACTCACCATCCCCAGGGTACGTAGCAGACCGGCGATGACGGCCAAGACAATCACTGATAGCGCTGCGCCCAGCTTCACTTTCGCTGGCACACGGCTCACAATGCTATTAGGTTCATTGGATCCGAGCAATGTCAACATCAGATGAAACGCAAGAGCGGCGTTGAGCGCTAGGAACGGGTATGCCGGATACATAAAGCGTTCCTCCTTATGTGGCTGAACCGTGAAAATGGCAAACCACATATAGAATGATGCAGTCAAAGTGATTGAGCGAATGGCCATCTGCAGAGAGTTGGTCTTGGGCCGGAGAATGGCGTGTAGCAGAACAAGCGGCGCGGACAGTATTGCAAGAACGAACCAAATGTTGAAATTCAGCACAAGATTTCGTATGTAGAATGTCCACGGCTCAACGCCGAAGATATCAGGCCCTTTGCCCTGCCCCCCGAAGATGTTGTATGCGACAATATTCCAAGGCACTAGGGCGATTTTGCGGAAAAAGACGTAATCGACGGCTACCTCGAGGGCCTGCAAATTGTGGTTCGATATTAGCATGCAACCAGTCCTTGGAGAGCAACTTAACTGACCATGATTCCCAAGCATCGGAGTCCACCATCAATCACAGAGACTGCGAAATGACCTGTTTTCTGCGACAGAATGCTGATGACGAGCTCCTCGAGCAGGAGCGGCAACATGAGAGCACCTGCAAAAGGCCATCCCACTATCGAACCAAGCCCGAACCACATGATTCCCTGTGCGAGTCTACGGCCATTCTTCAAGTCCAAGATCGCGGCTAGTCCAAGCATGCCGGTGTACATAGTGAATGTCGACGGAAGGAAAGCGGTTGACGCATGGAACATGCCAGGGCTGAACAGCGTGATAAGTATGAACATCAGGCCGATGCGAGGGTTTAAGGCCCGACATATCGAGGAGTACAGTCTTGTTTGACAAGCTGCGCAGAACACGGCAAGAGCGCAGCGAACGAAGTAGAATTCAGCCGCCTTCGTATGGACCATCAAGGAGCCCAGCTTGCCAACTATTGCGTGAAGGGATACGTAAAGCCAGCTTCGGATGGAATACACTGGCGAGTATTCCCATGTCTGCAGTCCATATCCATGGTTGAGATAATGTGCAGGCTCCCAAAAGTTGAACACTTCATCGCAGTCTTGAATTGGTGAATATAGTGCAGCGAAGCCATTAACAATCAAGCAGAGGTATAGAGCGCCATTGAGGGGAAGGTAGAATGGTGGAGGTGGGGGGCTAGATGCGATCAATTCAGTCAGTCAAACAAAATTTTGATTTCAAGGACAGTCCTAGTGTCCTGACACACCGTGGTTTTGTTCGAGGACCGGCCGGTATGCCCTGCGCTCTCTCCGATGTTTCGGCCATCCTAGTCGCCGAATTGTTGGAGCCAGCGAGCTCAGCTGTTCTCCTCAGTCCTCGCTGGGTCTGATGCAATGCCGGCCGATTAGATAAGTGATAAGGGCCCGATAAGAACCGGGACAAAAAAAAGTTTAGTCACCGCCCGGCGCGACAGATTGATCGACATTAAATTTAAAATCTGCGTTCGATTACTACAATTCACGCCTCGTTGAGTCTTCACATCTGCCCGAGGAAGATTACTGCTCTGCAGATTAGATTGCAAGAATGAGCGAGTCTCGAGATTTGCAAATAGAAACCGTTGGAGAGATCGATCGTCCTCCTACGTCAGGACCCAGCACGGTCCATTCATCTCTTGGGGCAGGAACACCGACTGAGAGCGATTCTCGCAATGCGCCCACGGGCACAGACGATGAAGTGATTGCATCAAATTCTACAAAGGAAAAGACATCGACTGGGAGTGATCCTATATCACAAACAGGCTCAGCCATTCCCGGATTGGGCTTCATCAACAGTTCTGCCCAGCAACAAACAACAAGCGGTCCATCTCAGCTCATCGAAACCCAGCCACAGACTCTTCCGGCCCAACCTGAACTGCAAAAATCAAGCAAAGAACTTGCACAGGAATCATCAAATGCACAGGAATCATCAAACGCGAGCGTAGGCTCCAACGAACAGCAGGCGGCGAACGGAGCGGATGCGATGGAAGTCGACAATCACACCACACCTATCGCCGAGACGAATATCGTTCGGGCGGAGGAAATGCTGCAGGATAATGAGATGGACGAAGGAGAGGATGGTCATCCCGAGTGGGAGGTTGACTCCGATCCATATGAGTCTTCATCAGAGAGTTCCACGTCCTCTGATTCATCCGACAGTGACGACGAAGATTACCCTATTCTCAGTCCCGAAGAACAAGCCCGAATTCTCATGCTCGCCGAGGGCGGTTCAGACGACGAAGGAAATGACAAGGGCAAAGCTGGTGGCAAGATTCGCTCCACCAATGAGGTTGACGAGGATGTTCTGCCCATCCCAGAACTTGAAATCACACCTGACATGAAGATTGTGTTGTTGGGCAAGGTCCAAACCGCAATTGAGAATGCGGTTCTGATCGAGGCTAGCACCTCTGGTGAGTATCAAGTCCTTGAGTCAGGCTCACTGCTGTGCTCTGAGGATCGCAAGATTTTGGGGGTGGTCTCAGAAACACTTGGCAGAGTTGAGAACCCTTTGTACACAGTGATGTACAAGACAGCCGAAGAAGCGCAAGAGAAGGGCATGGTCAAGGGGTTGCCAATCTATTACGTTGAAGCACACTCCACCTTCGTGTTCACCCAGCCTCTGAAGGGCTTGAAGGGTAGTGATGCATCCAACTTCCACGACGAGGAGGTCGCTGAGGATGAAATCGAGTTCTCAGATGACGAGGCGGAAGCAGAATACAAGCGCAAGCTGAAGCAAAAGCGCCAAGAGCGCAAAGGAGCTGGTGAAGGGGGTGCTGCTCGTGGAAAGAAGGGACCTCCTGGTCCTTCGAAATTGAGCCACAACGAGCTGAACTATGACGATGATGGTGCAGCAGAGGAGGGATACACACCGCTAGCCCGCCCAACAAACCTGCATGAGATGATGGGTGCTCGGGAGGCGCCTGTGGAAGGCACCGAGCGCGCAGGGCCTAGTTTCCGTGGCGGCCGTGGTCGTGGCCGAGGCTCTGAACGGGGTGGTCGTGGAGGACGTGGTCGGGGTGGTGCTGGCCGTGGGGGCTCATGGGAGAGAGATCAGGATCATCGATCTCATCAACAGCAGAACGGTAGCACCTCGCAGTACGGACAGCCATCGGCAGCTCCCCAATCTCAACACTCTGCACCCTACGGGCAGCCCGGGTTCCCACAGCAGCAAGCATACGGCATGCCTCAGCCCTTCGTTGGCTACCCACAGTACCCTCAGCAGCAGCAACAGCTTCCTAAATTTGGACAAGGTCAATCGCCGTCGCCGTTCCCCTTCCAGTTCCCGTTCCAGCAGCCGTTCGCACAGGCATCCCCATTCCCAGCATTCCCACCTGGTGCTCACATCAACCCTCTCTTCCTTGCCGCATTGCAACAGCAACAGCAACAGCAGCAATATCAGCAGCCTCAACAGGCCCAGCAAGCCCCGCAAGCGCCTGGTCAGGCACAGCCGCCGAACCCTGCAGCTATGAATTTTGACCAAGTGAAAGCCCAATTGGATCTTCTGCGACAATTGAGCAATGCCAACCAAGGGCCCCCTCCTTCATGATTCAACCTCGGCTGATCTGCACCAAATACGGAATTTGCTCTGGTCGGTCATTCATGTCAAAAGGGCTTGCATTTACTCGGAGTTGCACATATCTAAACTAGGGTTTTGTTCAAGGTGCAGGGAATTTTTTTTTCGGAGGATTGTTCAAATTCCTTCAGGAACTAGGAAACGTGAATGTAATTTGAACCACGGCTATATTGCTTGATAATAAATATAGGCATCCCTGACCGGTTTCCTTAACCCTCTTGTTGGCCGGTAGGTAGGTATTCAATTTTAGTACTACATATCGATACTTTATGTAGACCGAATTGAGAGCAGTGCTCGACTGACCACGTGAACTGGGGCACAATATTGAAATCCCACCCAGACTGTCTCTGGCGCCAATGCTCAGCGGCGATAACTACACAGCCCGTTTCGTGAATTTCTCCAAGTCGTTGAATAGCTTTCAATTGATTGTACGGGCTCGCTTAATAAAAAATACAACGTGCGTAAACTTCCAGAATTAGCATTGCGCGCCTCCGACAGTGGCCCTCTCGTCAAAGGTGCAGTCATCCTTGGGAAGTATGAGCGCAAAACAAGTTCGCTAAAACTCAGATGGTTTGGCGCTCTTGGCCAGCGTCCAAAAGTTCTCCATCTTCGACCGAGTCAAAACATCTTTCGCAGCTGAATCTGTCTCGCAGACTCTTGCGCCAAGCCATTTCCTGAAAACTCTGGTCTTCGCTTGTCCTTCCCAAAGAAGTGTGCAAGTGTTGTTGCCAAAATCGCGCGGTTCACCATTTTCATCCTCTGTAGACAACCAGATTGGATGCCCTTCATCTTTGTCATTGCCGCTGGATGTGCTTGGACCAGGATTGTCAGTCCAGTCAATGCGATTGAGCATGAGTTTTCTGTAGTTGTTGATAGAATGCTTGCCGCCTTCCACGATGACCAAGTTTAGTTTGGGATGCATTACACAAATTCCGGTCAAGGCATTTTGCTCGGCATTTTTGCTGATTTTGAATCGATTTCGACCACTGGCCAGACTGTCAATTCTGTACACAGAGACGTGTATGCCAAGTTCTGCGTCCTTCTCTTGCTGTGCAGCTAGTTTTTCACGCCGCTGTTCCTTGGTGAGCTTGCGCTCCTCGTTCATCATCTCGTGCGCTTCTTTACGTTCCGCAATTTCTCTGTTGACGCGAGCTTCAACGGCTGTAGGGTCTTTAACCGCTTGTTCACCAAGCACCCTCATGAGGTTGGATTTCTTGACCTTGGGAGCTGGAGCCGGTTCCAAACCGAGTCGAATCTTCGCTTGCTGCTCCTTCAAGTCTGCCATGCGACGCTGACGACGAATCTTTGCTTGTTCCTTCGGTGTCAAATGCATTGGCTTTTGAGCGGGCATATGTTTCTCCTGAGGCGGTTCCAAAAGAATCGGATGTTGAACGTAGCGAGTGATAATTGAGTCGGCAGTATCGATCTTCAAATTTGCTGCGTCATCAATGACCGAATACTCGGTACCATTGATGAGACCTTCGTCCCACCATTCAACTGCCGGTGGCGCTGGTACCATGTAAGCTTTTTCGAGATCGATTTCCTCATCAAGACCAGCTTGTCTAGCTTTCTCTGCAATGCGCTTCTTCATGGCCTCAAGCTGTGCCTGCCGGCGAAGTGCCGCAGCTTGCTGTATGTATTTCCCCTTCTCATTGAAAATCAACTGCCTCGAGTGCCGAGGCTTGGCGACTGTTGCTTTGGGACCGAGACTTGGATCGAAATATGGTTGGTTCTTGATTTCCTCAACGGACGGGCCGGACAGATCGAGCTGCTTGCTTGGGTCCAACCGTCGATGATTTGTCTTCTGCTGCTGCCGATCCCTGGCACTGCGGAAGCTGGGTGTGGTGTCTGCGAGAAGAGCTGGATGTAGACCAACATCCAGGCCACCGCGAGCTTTTGAGAGACCTTCGTCATCTCGTACTGGAGGCTGATAGGACGGAGTTGGAGCGGCAGTTCGTTGCTGAGCTGATGCTGCGCTAGCCCGACTAGTAGCAGCTGCTACTCTTGCTTTCATCTGTTCCAATTTGGACATCGCAGGGCTCATTGATGGTGGTGGTGGAGGTGGACTGGGACTTGACGCTGAGGGGGGCGCTGCGAGCGATGCGCCACCCCGACTGGCTTGTAGACGAGCGCGAACAGCTTCAGCCCTCGCTCGAGCCTCAGCGACCATCTTTTCAATGTCGGGCTTGGCAGACACCGAAGCTCCCTGGCCCGGCGCAGGAGATCCATTGTTCGATCGGGTCCGTTTTTGAGTACCGATTCCGTCATCCTCAGGATGAGGTCTTTTCAGACCACTAGCTGAATTGTCAGCCATTATCTTAGCTTTGAAAAAGCTGTCATGTAACGTAGGAATTGAGCGAACAGAAAAGCCAGGTGCTAAGGTAGCAGGTAGACAAAAAAAAGAAGCAGATCTCGAGTATTAGATGGCAGCCGAAAGCTTGATGGCGCGCAGGTCGGTCGCGGCCCGCACGGGAAGTGAAGTTGGCGGTGTGATCTGGCAGAAAAAAAAAAGATGGTCGAAGGCTTCACTCTTCCGCATTTCGCATTTGGAGATCCTTTTCGAGGGCCCAGTCGACTTCGCACCGCCAGCGTTTTCTGTTGCTCATCGAGCTACAGGTCACAATGGCGACATTTGCACGACCCATTGCGTCAAGCATTGCCGGAGTGGACTTCACCGTTTACTCCGACGAGGAGATCAAGAAGCTTTCGGTGAAGAGAATTCATAATACTCCGACTTTGGATTCTTTCAACAACCCTGTGCCTGGTGGTCTCTATGATCCTGCCATGGGCGCATGGGGTGACCATGTGTATGTTAATATTACTCTGTCTGGCACTTATTCAACGAACTGACTTTTCGACTTGCCGAATCTGCTAGCTGCACAACATGTCGTCAGAACTCTTGGTCTTGTACCGGCCATGCCGGTCATATCGAGCTACCAGTTCCCTTGTATAACGTCACTTTCTTCGATCACATCTATCGCCTTCTTCGTGCGCAGTGTGTATACTGTCATCGGCTCCAAGTGTCCCGGGACATGATCAACATGTACACATGTAAACTACGTCTTTTACAGTACGGACTTACCGATGAGGTAGCAAAAGTCGATGCAATGGGAGCCGTTAAGGCTGCTAAATCGAAAACACAGAAAGCTACTGGTGACGACTCGGATTCCGATGATGATGACCCTGATTCCATCATGGAAAAGCGTATCGCATACGTCAATCGTTGTATCAAAGAAGCCAAGAGAGATGGCAGACTGGAGGGGTTGATGGCTGGCGCAAAGAACCCTATCGCTGCCGAGGGTCGACGAGAGCTGGTGAAAGCTTTCTTCAAAGATATCACCGGCATCCGAAAATGCGCTAACTGCAGTGGAGTGTCACCGTCATATCGAAAGGACCGCTACAACAAAATCTTCCGAAAGCAGCTTCCCGAGAAAGCCAAGCTTGCGATGCTTCACGGAGGGTTCCAGGCCCCTAACACTTTGATCCTTCTCGATCAAGAGAAGAAGGCTAACGCCAAGAAGGGCCAGTCAGCGGTCAAGGGTGTTTCCGAGGCCGGCAGCGCTGTGACCGAGACTCACGGCGCCGAAGAGGAAATTCTCCGTGGCGCTGCCGTCACAGCTCAATCCACGCAGCCTGGATCCACTGGCCAAGAATTCATGACATCTTCTGAGGTCTATGCCGCCATGTGTCTCCTCTTCGAGAAAGAAGGCGAGGTTCTGCAGTTAGTGTATAACTCTCGTCCAGTCCCGAAGGGAGTGAAGGTCGTGAGCGCGGACATGTTCTTCATCAAGAGCCTGCTTGTTCCACCAAACAAATACCGTCCCGCCGCTGCGCAAGGGCCTGGCGAAATCATGGAGGCTGCTCAGAACACGCCTTTCAACAACATCCTCAAGCAGACGGACGTCATCAATCAGATCAAGAAGGAGATGCAGAACGAGAATGAGAAAATTATGAGCCGGGCGCGGAATCTGAGTGATCTTCTGCAGGCTATAGTTGCTCTCCAGGACTTTGTCAACGGTCTGATCGATCGTGAGCGAACTTCCGTGACCGGATCGGCAATTGCTCAGTTACCCAATGGTATCAAGCAGCTGCTCGAAAAAAAGGAGGGCCTGTTCCGCAAAAACATGATGGGTAAGCGTGTCAATTTCGCTGCCCGTAGTGTTATCTCTCCTGACCCGAACCTCGAGACCAATGAAATTGGTGTGCCTTTGGTGTTCGCGAAGAAGTTGACCTTCCCGGAGCCTGTCACCAACCACAATTTCTGGGAACTGAAGGAAGCCGTAATCAATGGCCCCGACAAGTACCCTGGTGCTGCGGCGATCGAAAATGAGAACGGCCAGGTCATCAACTTGAAGTTCAAGAGCTTGGATGAGCGGACTGCCCTTGCAAACCAGCTGCTTGCTCCTTCAAATTGGCGGCTGAAGGGGACCCGCAACAAGAAGGTCTACCGCCATCTGACCACGGGTGACTATGTCCTGATGAACCGGTAATTGAATCGCCAATTTTACCCCCGCAATCGAATCATGAATCTAACTGATAGAGCAGACAACCTACCCTTCACAAGCCCTCCATCATGGGTCACAAGGCCCGTGTTCTTCCAAACGAGCGGACAATTCGAATGCATTACGCGAACTGTAACACCTACAACGCCGATTTCGACGGTGATGAGATGAACATGCATTTCCCCCAAAATGAGCTTGCACAGGCAGAGGCTCGCATGCTTGCCGATGCTGACCACCAGTATCTGGTGGCCACTTCCGGCAAGCCTCTTCGAGGTCTGATTCAAGATCATATCTCGATGGCTGTTTGGTTCACGTGTCGAGATGCCTTCTTTGACGAGGAAGATTATCACCAGCTCTTGTACAATTGCTTACGACCTGAGAACTCGCACATAGTTGGCGATCGCATCCAACTGGTCGAACCAGCTTTTCGGAAACCCAAGTTCCTCTGGACCGGCAAGCAAGTGATCACAACTATCCTGAAGAATATCAAGCCAGAAAATAGCGGCGGATTGACTCTCAAGGGCAAATCTTCCACACCGGGTGATCGGTGGGGTAAGGGCAATGAGGAAGACACCGTCATCTTTGATGATGGTGAGTACCTCTGTGGTATTCTGGATAAGAAACAGCTTGGTCCGACTGCTGGTGGTCTGATTGACGCTGTTCACGAGGTCTATGGACACACCATTGCAGGAAAGCTGATGAGTATTCTTGGACGCCTTCTGACTCGATTCCTCAACATGCGGGCTTTCACTTGCGGCATTGACGATCTCCGCTTGACAAAGGAAGGTGATCGTATCCGTAAGGAGAAGTTGAGCACGGCTGCAGAGATGGGTCGTCAAGTTGCTTTGAAATATGTTACGCTTGACCAGTCTTCTGTCGCTGATCAAGATGCTGAGTTGAATCGACGTTTGGAGGATGTGCTTCGTGACGATGATAAGCAGAGCGGACTCGATAGCGTTTCGAACGCTCGAAATGCCAAGCTTTCCTCCGAAATCACTAGCGCTTGTCTTCCTGCAGGCCTTGCTAAGCCTTTCCCTTGGAATCAGATGCAGTCGATGACCATCTCTGGAGCCAAGGGTTCTGGAGTGAATGCCAACCTTATTTCTTGCAATCTGGGACAGCAGGTTCTCGAGGGTCGACGTGTTCCTGTCATGATCAGTGGCAAGACGCTGCCCTCTTTCCGAGCGTTTGAGACTCACCCAATGGCTGGTGGTTTTGTCAGCGGTCGATTCTTGACTGGTATTAAACCTCAAGAATATTACTTCCACGCAATGGCTGGTCGAGAAGGGTTGATTGATACTGCCGTCAAGACCTCTCGCTCCGGTTATCTGCAGCGCTGCCTGATTAAGGGAATGGAGGGCCTTCGAGCCGAATATGATTCCTCTGTACGAGAGGCGTCCGACGGGTCTATTGTCCAATTCTTGTACGGCGAAGATGGTCTCGACATTACCAAGCAGGTTCATTTGAAGGACTTCAAGTTCCTCGCAGAGAACCAGCTATCTGTTTCAAAGCAAGTTCAAGCCAGCCACTATCGCGATCTTGTGAACACAGAGGCAATGGCATGGAATAAGGATGCTCAGAAGGCGGTGCGCAAAACACATGATCTCGCCGCTATGGATCCTGCCTTGTCGGTGTTCCACCCGGGTGGAAACTTGGGAAGCACATCAGAGGAATTCGCCCAAGCCTTGAAGAAGGTAAGTCCCACGTCACGCCCCAGAATAAGAAATTCAAAGCTGACAATGATCACTAGTTCTCGTCTGATAATTCCGACTTGTTCAAGGACAAGAAGGATGACTCTGAGCGCAAGATCAACAAGAAGTCTTTCGAAGCTTTGATGAACATGAAGTACATGAAATCTATTATTGACCCTGGTGAAGCTGTTGGTATCATGGCTGGTCAAAGTAAGTTGCAAAGTTCTGGGGTTGTTTTGTGCTGTGAAATTGGCTGACTTATCCCCTCAGGTGTTGGTGAGCCAAGTACCCAAATGACACTGAATACTTTCCATTTGGCTGGTCACTCGGCCAAGAACGTCACACTCGGTATTCCCCGTCTGCGTGAAATCGTCATGACGGCCAGTGCCTCAATTATGACTCCCACCATGACACTCTATCCCGTCAAGGAACTCTCGAAGGAGCAGGGCGAGAGATTCGCCAAGGGTCTCAGTAAGCTCAGCATTGCTGAGGTTGTTGACAAGGTTCAAGTCCGGGAACGCATCGGCTCAGGAGTCGGTCACGCGAAGGCCAAGATCTATGATATCGTTATCTCATTCTTCCCTCCAGATGAGTATACCAAGGAATACAGTATTCAAGTGACCGATATCTACCGGGCCCTCGAACTCAAATTCATTCCCCGCTTGGTGAAGCTTATCAAGGCTGAGCTTAAGAAGCGCAATGAAGATAAGACGGGTACCAAGACCTCTACAGCCCAACCCGAGATTGGAGTTTCAGTCGGCCGAGTTGCAGAAGGTCCTACCGGTCCCGATCGCGCGGAAGAGCCGGCGGACGAGGACAACGAAGACGACGAAGATGATGCTAAGCGGGCTCGCGGCGGTCAAAACCGCAACAACCAGGTGTCATACGAGGGTCCCGACGATGACGAGCAAGACATCATCCGTGGGCAAGACGAAGTCGACGTTGATGACGAGGATGAGGAGCTCCGTGATGCTTCTGATGACGAATCTGGCGACGACTCGGACGACGACAAGGTTCAAGAGCAGAAGCTCCGCGAGGACAACGTGAAGAGCAAGTTCCCTGAGATCAACAAGTTCGAGTTTGACATGAAGAAGGGCACTACTTGCACTATTCAGCTTGAGTACGATATCGAGACGCCCAAGCTTCTTCTGCTTCCTCTAGTCGAGAACACTTGCCACTTTGCTGTAATTCAGCAGGTTCTCAACATCGGAAGCTGCGTTTATGTTGAAGGCGATGAGATCAAGGGCGAGCCTCCTTGCATCATGACTGACGGTGTGAACTTGCTCGCTATGCGCGACCACCAAGATGCGATCAACCCGCACTCCCTCTACACCAACTCTATTCATGACATGCTCAATCTCTACGGCGTTGAAGCCGCCCGTGCCACCATCATTCGCGAAATGGACTCCGTTTTCAAGGGTCACAGTATCTCTGTCGACAATCGCCATCTGAATTTGATTGGTGACGTGATGACTCAATCTGGTGGATTCAAGGCCTTCAGCCGTAATGGTCTCGTCAAGGATTCCACATCTCCATTCGCCAGGATGTCATTCGAGACCACTGTTGGTGCGCTGAAGGACGCTGTTGTGGAGCGTGACTTCGACAACCTGAAGGGCCCCAGTAGCCGAATTGTCGTTGGCCGCTCGGGCACTGTTGGTACTGGTGCCTTTGACGTTCTTGCTCCTGTGGCATAGTTTGGTGTCGACGGGTCTCTCATGGTTTTGGATCATGTCCAGTCTTGCCCCTGTATATCACGTACTGATTGTGCATTTTTACTCTTTCTTGTTCTGGTCTGACGTGTCGATGATTTGGAGTTTTCTTTTTCCTGTTCAGCGGAGCTTAAAAAGTCCCTATCCTGTTTATATTAGCATACGTACCGCTTGGTCGAAAATATACTTTTCAACATGACTTCAAATATGTGAGGGAAACGATGTCTCTGTAAAGCTAATGGGGAACTTCTGAATCCAGATCCAGTACCTTCAATAGAGTGGTCGAAGTTGCACGAAATAGGTGCATTGATATTCTGATTGAAGGGTGCAGCATATTCGTGGCGGAAATCCCTTTCTCAGGACAACGAGGCCATCCTGACAACCTCCACCCCTTTTTTCTCACCGTAGTGTGTCGCAGCTACCACCAGCTTCAAGCATAGCTGGAGGTGCCTCTCTTTTTTTTGCGTGTGAGTAAATACTCATGTGGGCACTGACACGTCACAGGAGGTTTTAGTTCCTAAGTGATTTTGAAAGGTTGGAGGACTCGTGAAATTCAAAGTACAAGGTACTTTGATAAACGCAATTTTTGACACTGTTGTACAATCTACATAGTCATCTGGACGCTGATTCTCATGCTGCTTTGATCACTGAGCACCAAATTTGAGGGGTTGTCCGGCATTTTTCTTTCCAGACGCTCTCAGAGAAGATGAGCCCCAATATAATGCTCGGAGAACCTTCCACCCTAACGTGCCTGATCGCCTGTTGCCGTTGCAGAAGAAATGGAGTCGCGAAGCCCGTCAAGTAGTGAGGCTAGGATCGACAGGATTGATTAAACCATCAGGCTTGAAATCCCTTGGTCCCTTCTGCTTCCACACTGGGCTTTTCAGGCTTCGCAGGATTGAGCACGCCGAGTGTCTCTTTCCTGCCTCCATTTCTCGCCCCATTTCCACTCCAGCCAGATCAATGGCGTCAGCAGAAGAACAATCCCGCTGACAATGCAGAAAGCTTTCATTGCTTTGAGTGCGCCGATGAGCGGTTGAATTACGCTGACACCGGCCGCCCCGAGAAGACATCGGCAAAGGTTGTTGAGTGCAGTTGCACTCGCGGGTCGCTCTGGGAAGCAGTCGATGAGCACAGTGGAATTGATGTTGAAAATTGCCGTCGCTGAGAAGGCGATCAGAAACTGAAGAATGAGCGGAGCGGCTAAAGTTGGCCCAAAGTGTTCTCTCAGATCGTTGAATTCGAAGCTTGGTCCGTATAGAGCGAGACAGATGGTCAGCACGATGCTGAAGAGGGGCATGAGACGGAGACGAGCTTGGATGTATGGGAAGTCGCGATGGTGATCGATATCGTCTTCCTCCGAAATGCCTTTCTCCATCCTGTGTCGGGCGAGGGCATTCTTATAACTCCGGTCCAGAAGCCAACCTGTACTGAGCGAGCTCAGGATGCAACCGAATCCGTTGGGTAGGAAGCAGAGCCCGATCTGCCACTGGGTTAAGTGCGGGAAGCCGTGCAGCAGCATCGACGTAGTGGAGGATGTCACCATGCTCCATGCCGTATACGCAACGGCACCCCAGGCCAGAATGGCCGCAATGTCCTTCTCGAAAAGGAACACCAAGGGACTAAAAGCTTTTCGAAAGGTGATCGGTGAAGATTGCGTCCTCTGCTTTGCTTGCGAGCTTTTCACCCATACCGATGGAGGCTTCAAGTAATAGATGAAAGGTTTCTGGAATCCGGACACTTCAACCGAGCCATTGCCTGCTATTGTGCGCTTGGTCTCTGGAAGAAAGACCAACAGCGCACTCAGTACCACCGCGCTGAGGATGAAGAGAAGCCAGAAGATACTTCGAAACCCCCAGCGAGTGTTTAGAGCACCGCCGATAATGGGGCCAATGGCCTGAGCGGTCATACTAGAAGGCAAAAAACACGTTCAGCAAACCGAGAAGAACATGACCAGCGAAGAGGGTTTCTCATTCTTTCCACATACCGGATCCCCGCATTGGTTCCCATGAATCTGCCTCGCTCCTCAGGACAGGCGATATCGGCGATGACTCCAGCGCTGATGCTGATGGTAGCGGCGGATCCTCCAGCCTGAAGACCCCGTAACACCAGAAGCATAGGATAGTTCGTCGTGAATGACAGTGCGAGATTGGCCGCGGTGTAGACGCTGAGGGTCACCACGAATGACAAACGGCGGCCTTTGCTTTCTGAAAAGGAGCCGAGGAGCAAGGGCGCAATCCCTTGAATAACCATGTAGACAGTGATTGTCAGGGCCGTGAGACTTGAACTTACTCCAAGGTCATGCGATATGGTATCCATGGCCGGGAAGTAGATGTTGGATGACAAGGGCGAGAACGAGGCCGCCATGGACACGAAGATGATAAGATTCCATTTTTGACGTGTTGAGAGTATATGATATGGGCCTTCGTCTTTCTTCTCACTTGAGCTCGACGGCTCAGATAGGCTTGCTGGCCCAGTCATACTGGGTCTCACTCGTTCAGAGACTGTACCGTCAATGAGACTCGAAGACGCAGACAATTCACTCGAATATGAAACGGATCATGTGTCCTCCCAATGCAAACTTGGTCCTTCAGCAGAGGGCGGATCGTGTATGCGAAGGCTGCCGTCGTTGGACTTCTCCTAGCAACCGAGTCTCTCTCATCGCGGCTTCCCAGGCCGTATTTAAACACATCCAACACCATTATGGCGACCTACCGTGCTGGAGGGGTCTTTGGAGGAGGATGAAGCAAGGTGGCCCACCTCACGTTCTTGACAGCCACCTCAGCATGCCCGAGCAAAGCTTAGCTCTACAGCGAACTATCTAATCACCGTGTGGGGCCACAGAGGAGTGGAAGTCTGCATGGTGAAACATTTATAGAAGATCTCCCATGTAGACCGTGCATCCCTTGCGTTGTTTCATTACGATTTCCTCTTACAATCCATTGCTTGTTTCGCTCGCTGATCGAAAACGCCGTGGCTGTAGGGGATTGAAGGCATCTTGTCGAATTCAGGCTGACGTGGACAATGCTTCTAGGATTTGGAATGCTTCAAGTTTGTGACAACAAGGGTGGCGGAGTTGAGTCTTGGCTTCCGAACGAAGGGACTTGCATGAGTACCTACTCGGGCTATGCACGGGAGAAAGATTGTGAAAAGGCGTTAAATGCGTAAGTTTGTGCAACAGGATAGCAATGTCTGTGCCTAATGGACATGGGTTGTTCAAGACGGCGATGTGAGTTGCGGCTGCGCTCCGAGAACGGACCAACTCACAGGAGTCATATCTGTCGACATGATGGATTGTTGAATCTAAGAACAAGACTACAAGTTGAATGCCGTCCTATGGACGGCACTTATATACCGTAGTACTGCCAGAGCAGTCCGCAATTGCAAATATATCTGGTGTAGGGCATGTGTGCATATGCCGAGGAGAGACCAAGGAGCTGGCTATCTTGGCACTCCGACTGAGAGTGGAAAGTGGCTATAACGCCGAGGTGTCGTTGGTCGGGTCTTTAAGATCGTATTTGGTAAAACAGACCGGCGGGGGTCTTGGAAAGAACAATTCAATGGAATACGCATAACGGTGATGAGATTTAAACAAGAACGGAGAGGATATGATTTGTTCCAATTTTTGTTCCCCTGTTTGTTTCTGTTTTGTGTCCGCTCCCTTGAAAGCTGGTGTTTGGGAGCGGTCCCTTCACTCAGATAATATATGCGCACGAAAAAAGGAAGCTAGACGTCGCAGAATCAGGCTGGATGGACTAGGAATGCATCGGTCAAATCAAGCAATAGAGCTCCCCAAAATAGTAGCTAAGTCCGACGAGCAAGGAAAAGCCGAGAAAAACATGCAGGTGGAATGTGGATTGCCCCAATGCCTTCGCAATGATCGACCGCTCGGAGCTTGGGTTTGTAAGATGCATCCCTTGCGCCATTCGGAGTTCGAGGATAATGACAATCAGACCAAAATTCATCGAACCGCATGGGGACGGAGTCGCAGATAGAAGTGCAGTCAGTACAGATATTGCGAGATTAAGCCAATGGTCACGGACAAGCACGACACTGCAGTAGACCGAGCCTACTACTAGGTAACGGCTACTGATTTGCTTAGTTACGCCTGATCGAGCTCGGACAGGTGAAATCAGAAGTAGCATAAAAGACTTGAAGGCAAAAGGCTAGGAAGAAGGGGAGAAAAAAAGAAAAAAAAAGCTTAAATAGTCGAGGTTGGGCCGGGATGAGCCACGGCCGACGCGCAAAGAGCTCCGATATGCAATTAGAATACAGTGGTGTGTGTGGTCAAACGCCTGAAATGCTTAAAGTTTTCCGTTCACAAAACGCCCAAAATGACTAGTGGTGTGGAGATGAAGGTACGAAGAAGAGCGCTCCATGACCCTTCTTGAAGCAGAGCGCTGGCGAAGGGCAGGTCAGAAGTAAGTGGAGAAAGGGAATATTACTGGGCATCCAGCATCAACATATCTGCGTCGATGTCGTCGTCATCGTACTCGTCCTCGATAATGGCCAATGTGGAAGGAATTTGGTTCGCCCGGTGAGCAGGATCGACCTCTCCATGCATCATGCGAGCTTCTTCGGCCTTGCGCTTAGCTTCATGGCGTTCAATATCCGCCAAGCTCCATGTGGAGATGCCTTCTTGATCCTTGGATTTGAACGGCTGCGCCATAGTCCGCAGGAAGTTCTTGGCATTGGCAACTGCCATATCAGTGCTGAGATTGGTCTCGCTGTCCAGCATCGCTTGATTGATCCATTTCGGAAGCTGCGGCCGCTTTCTTTCGAATCGGCGGTCGGCGAGCACCATGACTCCGTAGTCGTCTTTGCCTCGGAGCACACGACCCAAACATTGCGCAGCGTGCCGCATGGCATCGAAGGACAGAAAATCGTTTTCTCGAATACGGTAATTCTCTCGTAGAAACTCGAGACGTGCCTTCAGGATACGAGACTCAGTGTATTGGAAGGGAACACCAATGCACAGCACAGCACGTCCGTAATGATGGTCAAAATCGATTCCCTCAGATACTTTGCCTCGAGCGACACAGAATAAGATGGCTCCGCGTCCGTTGCAGCACGCGGTGCGGTAAGTTTCCAGGGCGAGCGAGGATTCCTGTGCATCAGGTGTCTCAACAAGAATCAACTTGTAGTTCCAGATTTGATCCAAGATACCCATGCCCTGCCACATGCTGATGATCGATTCCATGTACAGGTATGAGGGGAAGAAGACGACGACGCCGTCTGGCGTGATACGAGCGAACTCGGTCACAAGAGTACCGTAATTTCGAACCACGCCGGGGTCATTACGAATACCGAACGACGAGGAGACCTGAGCTTGGTCCGAGCCTCGAGTGACAATCATGGGCAAGAACGACCGCCGCGCAAGTGTCATACTGTATGACTCCTGCATCACAGTGGTGAAGCCAAGCATCTTTGGATACATTTCCAGAGGTGATAGAGTACCGGAAGTGATAATCACGGAGCTGAACCGGTCGAGCACTGGTTTGATTGCGATCGCGGCGTCCAAGCATGTAAAATGCAGGATCGGGTTAGGGACCGTAGCCGCTTCGGATTCGAAGGGCTCCAAAATTAGCACGAAGCCTTTGTCATAGGTCGCGACCAAGGTCGCAAAGGTAGCCACCTCTTGTAGTGGCTGGTAGTCCTCGATATTAACAAGCTCCAGAGTCCGCACAAGGGAAGTGAGACGCTCCGCGCAAAACCTGAGCGGCTTTCGCTCAATGTAAGTCAGATCCTTTAGATGTGTCAGGAAGGAGGGTGGCGTCTCGGAAATCGTGTGTGTCACTTTCATTCGTGTCTTGAGATATTCGATGAATCGCTTCAAAAATGATATGAAGTGCTCGGCACGTCTGATGTTTCCTGGGACTGCCTCTTTCAGGAGATCGTCTGGTAGTACAGGGTTCGCGATGAACTGATCTTCTTCACGTGCCTGTTCCGCTTGTTGCAAGCCCTCCACTAATTTGGAATACTCATTCTGAAGCTTCTCGGCGTCGGTACTCTTCATTTCCTCGATTTTGCGTTCGAGATTCGTGGCACCTCTCGTGGCCTTTCGAAGGGAATCCTCACTAAGGTCGATGCTCAATGATTCAATACAGACGTTGTCAATGTTGTGCGCCTCGTCAAAGACTACGATGCAGTCTTTGGACAATTCTCGCGACACGCGCTCGGCGATCTTTGGGTCGAGAAGGTAGTGATATGAGTAAATGATGATATTACACCACGGCATCTGCGACATTCACCAAAGTTAGTATTGTAACCCGAGAAAGCTCGCACTGAATATATGCAAAGCGTACCATACGACGAGCGGAGAAGTAAGGACATTGTTTGTGCTCTTCTCCATAACGGGTCAAGCCGTCAAGAGTGAAGACTCCGGGGGGTACAAGGTTATGCGGCTCAAGGAGGTCGAGATTCTGTAGATATTGTGAGAAACAAAATCCATGTCTAGTGATCTTTCGTGAACGAACCTCATGATAAATGCACAAGTCGACATCCTCCCCTCGCTCTTTCTTCTCTTTCACAAAGCCCGCCGTCAAGCTTCGGCACCTGGCGTCCACCACCGTGCCACTTTTTTCCCGTTTCACAGATGGGTGGAGACACAGGTTCTTTCGACTAGTCAGACCAAGGGCGCGAAATTCCTCATCATGGCCGAGCTCCTTCGAACGATACTTCATGAGTCCCTTCAACTCCGCCAATGCCTTCTCAATCTCGGACATGGTTCGTGAGCAATAGATCAGCTTTCGATGTTCTGGATAATGCTGCTGATAGGCGACGATTAGCGACAATAGCGAAATTGTCTTGCCGGTGCCAGAGGGCATCTCCAGAACACAGTGACCCCCGGCATCGAGGGTCTTCTTGAGATCGCACATATACGCATACTGCTCGGGGTACACGCGAGGATATGGGAATAGCACCGGGAGGTCACTAGAAGATCAATGATGTTTTATTAGCGACTATTTCATCCAAGAGAATATGAGGCTTGCAGCCACGACAGTTCATACTCAATGAAAAATTTCATTGTGGGCAGGATCCCCAAGACCGCGAAGGTGATGACATCAAGAGAGACTGATTCAAGTCAACGGGGAGCTGGGAGGGTCTCTTTCCCTGCCGGGACAGCAACTGTGAGTGTCCAAACACGTGACAGCCCGATCTGGTAGCCGCCCACTTGATATCATTGAATTTCCTTGATCGAACAGTCCAGTTTGTCTTGCGATATTAATTCTGAAAATTTTCTTCAATCTGAGGGATAAGGCCATTGACCATCTGGGAACTACCGGACAGCTTTCTCACGCCGGAACCGTATTTACTGCAGCTTGAAGCTATCACCCCGCCATTCCCGGTGACCTCATAAGTCAACCCCACATGAGCAAAAAGTTCAAGTCGCAGGCCTCAAGCAGTCGCGCAGCTGCCGGCGCTTTTGGCAGCTTTGGAGGATTTTCGAATGCACTTGATAGTGATGGCCGTGAATCTTCAGCACTCACATACATCACAGAGCCACCAGATCTCTCTCGGATCTCGGATCAGCGCGTAGTGATCGCGTACAAGAACTTATTGAAGAAAGATGAGACCACTCGCACGAAGGCCTTAGATGAGCTCAAGGACTTTATCGGATCTGTGGAAGCTCGAAAAGGCACTTTAGACGATGGATTCTTGGAAGCTTGGGTATGATCATTGCATTCAAACATCACAACATGCGAGTAATTCAAAGAATAACACTGTTTGTCACAGGTCAAAGTTTACCCACGAGCTTCTATCGACCTGTCACGAAGAGTCCGGCAACTAGCCCACACTATTATGGGTTTAGTTGCAGGACTTGTTGGGAAGCGAATTGCACCATTCATTCCTAAGGTTGTTGGAGCTTGGCTGGCTGGACTCTATGATAGTGACCGTCCAGTTCATCGTTCGGCCCTGGACTCCTTGACCATTGTCTTTTCCACGGAAGCAAAAAGAAGTAACCTCTGGAAGTTCTATCAAAAGGCTATTCTAGACTTTGTTGAGGATGTTCTTCTTCACCAGACATCATCCACTTTAAGTGATGAACGGACAGTCAAGTCTGATGACGCAAAGGCTAAGTATGCGCGAGTTGTCGGCGCTGGCCTCTTGCTGTTCAATCGAATCCTAGGTGCGTTTGTATTGGCGATGTATCTCGGATGCCAGCCCAAAACCGTGCGTTGTGCGTTCTGCCTTTTCCAATAGCTGACTTTGACCTAGGAAATTCCTCCGACGAAGAGCTCCAGAAGAACGCTGCGGAGATTGGAATTTTGCTTGGAAACAAGGCATTGTGGGCCTTTTGCGCCCATGAAGATCCTTTTGTGCGTCGTTCTGCATACATTCTCCTACGGTCAGCTGTATCTCGCGAGCCCGCCTGGATTGACTGGCAGGTCTTGAGTTCCTGTGTCATTGCAAAGTCGCTCTCAATTGCTCAGTTGGGGTCCGCTTCTGAGCTTTCGGAGTCCCTCCTTTTGTTAACATCTTCACGACCACAAGTCTGGACTGACGATTATTCTGGCAAAACCTCGGCGTCGAAGAGATTACGCCAGTACATTCAGAGGGGATCACAAGGAGGTCACGCGAGCTTCTGGTCAAATCTTGACCAGATAATTCGTACTGTGCCCCACAGTATACTTGCTGGAGCTGACAAGACGACAGCGGACGAAATGGTGACAATTGCTAGTGCATCGATTTTGACCGAGACTCTCCGAGATGGCCTCACTTCTCGAGAAGAGCCCAGGCAGAATCTTCATGTGGGCTGGAAAACATACGTGAAAATTGCGAGCTGGCTTTTGACCATTTTACCTCAGAATGAAGGTCATGAATTTATCGAGACTCAACTCTTTCCGCTGGTGGCATACTATGTACAACCTAGTCATGAGAAGTCGAAATGGAGTCTTCCGCCCCAGTTTGGAAAGGAAATCTGTGTGGAATGCATCACCTCGGTCGTTTCAAACGGATTCAATGAAGATCTTGAGAAATTCTGGGCGACTCTGTCAGATAACCTGCTCACGGCTGTGAAGGTGTCAGCTCCTGAGCAATCAAAGGATTTCAAAGCATCCCAGGATTCAATCAGCTCCCAAGCTATGCGACAGTTGTCTCTTGTCTCTGCCGTCCTTCCAACTTTGAACAACAACGATCTTCAACTTCAGGCACAGAACGCCTTCGACAAGGCGACCCGTTCTCTTCTTGAAGGCAGCATTCAAGTTCTCTGTGCTCGCAATGGTAAACCGTACAGCGCCGCTGGCGTGGTCGAAGAGTGTGTCAAAAACCAAGGATATTTGGTCAAGACTTCACCGGCCTTTTTGAACTTCATCCAAAAAGACGCACCTGAGCTTCTATTCTCGCCATCAGGCGGACGACTTATTGCAATCATCTTAGCTTGCAAGGAGTGGGATGATTTTTCTTCGACTTTTGAGAATGTTGTTGAGAAAGCGATGGAACTCGAGCCTGAGCAAGCAAATGCAGTAGTCCTTCAGAGCTTACTGTCGAGCCTGGATTTCAATGAGATTGAAAACGCGGACAAGCTTTCTTCGCTGATGATGAAAGCTGTGGATAGGGCTTTAGACAGCAGTGATTTGCATTGGTCATTCGTCATTGCGGCTCTTCAGAACAAAACATCAAAAGGTCAGCTGAGAGACCGAATTCTCTTGAGGCTTCTTGACGCGCTTTCGGAAGATCAGACTGTCCTCAGTGGCTTGCACGGCTTTTACCGCCTCGGAGAAGCAGTTCCATCTGCAATTCGTGAGCTTCAGACCGGAGAAAATGGCTCAAAACTCTCAGCAAAGTTGCTCTACCTGGCCGAGTCTCCATCAGAGGACGTTGCAAGCTTGGCGGAGTCGCTCATCCAGGCTTTCAAGGACAAAGTTGTTGGTGAGACAAGCGCAAAGTCAAAGATTGAAATCCTTCAGAATGAGTTTACCCAAGTCAGCGGGGAGTCTTTGTCGTAAGTGGTTTCTTTCACATATGAGCAGTTGAATTTGGACTAAAAAAGATTTAGCATTGAGTCTCTCCTACTGATCGGCGAGGAGCTGGCACGCGGCTTGAGCTCAGATGCAGCTAATGACTCAGCCGACAATCTCCTCCCCCCTTCGAGCGCGTGGGAGGTTGCTATGAGACCTTTCTTACTGCTTCCACCACGTCCTTCATTGGCGCTCACTAGCCCGCTACTTGGTGCTGTCCATCTGGTCAATAACGATGTTTCCGAATCTTTGTGGTCGTTACAGCTTGCTATTCCTCGAGATTCGAATCACTACTCAGCTGCGTTCCGCCTGGCCAGTTATTCCATCCGAGCTCTCTCCTCTTTTGGAATCTTGCGGCGCCTGTCCGAGAATCAACTAAAGACTCTTATTTACTATGTCCCTTTGGCTGTTCAACTCATCGACGATGATCTGAGCATAGAGCATTCAAATGACATCTTAGGACTCAAGTCTGCCGACCAGCGCGAGGATTATGTGGATTTAGTCATTAAGGGACGACAACTGATCAGTGGCTGGACACACGACAATCAAACGTTGCTCCTTTCCCAGACGACAGTGTCATTCTTCGTTACCTCGTTTTGGGAAGGCACGCTCGAGAATTTGAGCGGAAACACCCCACTCGAATACCGCGTTGGAGAAGCTTTTACTAAGATCATGACGTCCGTGGAAGCGTTGGAGAATCCCAAACCCGCCGAGGAGGTCGCAAAGATTTGCCGAGAAGCAAGGACGGCCAACGGTATTCGCTCAGCGTCATGGTTTGCGGTTTTACGAAGCTCAATTCTTTCGAGTACCACAGGGAGCAGAATTTGCAATGAGATGGTTGCCGACTCTACTGGTCTCAAGCCTGATGATCCTTCTTCCAATGGTCAGTCATCGACTCAACCTCAATGCTATTACATCAACTAAATTTATCACAGGACTGCGAAAACTCGTACTGCTGAACGTTCTTCTGTCTGAAGATAGCGGATTCGTGTCCACAATTCCGACTCAGAGATTGGTCTTCCTCGCGAAGCACTTGATCGAGTGCGCGCAAGCGGGCACAATGTCTCTAGCCTTACGAGCTGAAATTCTTCGCACCTTGGCACTTATTATTCCTGGCCTTGCTGAGCTCTATGGCTCTCACTGGGAGGATAGTATGGATTTAATTAGCGGGGTCTTCCGAGAGATCAATGGAGGGGAAGAAGGGCTGCCCCTGGTGTTCTCAGCTTTCAAGATCTTCGCCAACCTCAAGTCGCTGGCGGATGGAGAGAGCAACGACGACCTCAAGGATGCTTGGATGGAGCGAAAGACTGGCCTATTTAACGATGTGGCTTCTACCATCAGCAAGTTCGGTATGTACCAGGAGTTTGCCCCTGTATCATGGTATCTTCATTGTGCTTACAGCCTTCTTAGATTCCGACACTACTTATCATCAACCGCGCGATGTTGTTGTCGATCTCTTAGGTCGACTCATCAATTCCATTCCCGTCGACAAGCTTGAAGACGTCAGCGGGGTCTTTGGCCTCTTGACTGCGCAAAGCCGCTCTGTGCAGCGCGCTGCTTATACTATCCTTCACAGATTCATTCCACAGGCCCAGGAACAAGTTTCTTTTGACGTGGCTTTGTCAAAGACTTCTGTCAGTCTTCCAGATGAGCTTGTTTCGTTGTTACTTGAGCCTCCGACCGCGCAGACGGTTCAGGACGCTTTCGACAATGACAAGTCCTGGATCACCATCCGGGCCTACCTTTTGAGCTGGAAACTGGTCTTTGATCACTTTTCACACGCAGTAAGCCATTCCTGCTCGAGCGCTGCAGTTGTTCAGTACTACGCTAACCACGCTTCCAGTCACTACCTGTACGAGAGCACTATGCTGCCAACATCAGTGAGAACGAGGTGTTGATTCCTTTGCTGGAGTTTACATTCGACTTTCTGCAAAGGTCTCATGGCAGAATTGTTGATGCGTCAAAGTTCAACGTTGCCGACTTCGAAGTGGACCAGTCCGAAAATCCCGAAGGGGAGACGCAGTGGCTGCTAATTCATTTGTACTATCTGTGCCTGCGTCATTTGGCCAATCCGACGAAGAATTGGTGGATTGATACCAAGAAACGCACCAAGGGCCCTGTGGAAGCCTGGACAGAAAAGCACGTAAGTTTAGCGGAAGCACAGTCTGCCCCGAAGGATAGCATACAGAACATCTTTGCTAACCCTGGTTCAAGATCTCGCCACTTGTTTCCGCGGACTCATTGCAAGGCGTCATGGACTGGATTTCAACTCAAGATGCCAATGAGGAAAGAGCGTTGAATGTGAAGATCTCGCCCAAGACCGCCGAGATCATCGCCAGTATACCCGTGGACGAAGAATCACCACCAGTGTCCATCTCAATTTCTCTTCCGCCGGCGTATCCTCTGCACCCCGCTCAAGTGGTCGGCCGCAGCCGCGTGCTGGTGGATGAAAAGAAGTGGAAGAGCTGGCTCCTCACAATTCAGGGAGTCATCATGTTCGCCAACGGGAACTTAGTGGACGGTCTGCTCGCCTTCCGGCGCAACGTGCAGGGTGCCCTCAAGGGCCAAAGTGAGTGTGCCATCTGTTACTCTGTCATCTCGACGGATATGCAGACCCCGAATAAGCGGTGTGCCACCTGCAAGAACACCTTCCATTCGGTGTGCTTGTTCCGCTGGTTCAAGAGCAGCAACCAGAGCACCTGTCCTCTCTGCCGTAACAACTTTGTGTATGTTTAATGGGCTTCAAGGGGGCATAATGAGCCATATGAATAGATGATAGACGCACCTGAAGCCGAGGTTCCATAGCATTGCTAGGACTTTGTCCGGATGATGACGAGCATGTGCTGCATTGCATACAGAAGGAATGAACATGAATATCCGACTTAGCCATGAAAGAGAACAAATCAAGGGACATATGACGCATGTGCAACTCTGTTAGATTTCAACTTCAATTCTCATGACTGTCTGCAATTTTCATGTTTAAATAATCGACCCATATCAATCCGTCAATTAGATCGATCCTATCTATGTTCTTGTGCCCCAAGGCGGGGGGTCCTGTCAGAGGCTCAGAGCTCATTAACTGTGGCTTAACACCGACGCTATTGCCGTGCCCCGCCCGGCGCCCAGACAATCCACTCCGCGTCCAAGCTTCTAGCTTTCTTGTCCCTCCTCCGCTTCGATGGCTGCGCCGCAAATTCCGAATCTCAACCTGCTTCGTCGAGGCAGAGGCCGTGGGCGCGGTAGCAGCAGCAGTGATGGGCCCGAAAACAGTCAGGCTGGCCGAGTCACGGGAAAAGACCGCATTGTTCAAAGCACTGACGGTGACGCGAGCGTCTCACGTCTCAGTGCGGTTCAGCTGGGGTACCTGAATGACCCATTTGCTGTAGCGTTGACGCCGCCCAATTCTGCACAAAGAAGACTTCCTATCATAAATCGAGGTAAGTGAATGTGAAGCGTGACTCGTTCCTTCTTTCTATTTTCGCTAATTGATCATTCGCATTGTCGACGCCATCAGGCACTTATGTCCGCACTGTTGCAATTGATCAACTGGTCGATCGCTTCCTCAATGACCCTTCCTCTACCGGAAGCCACTGCAAAAAGCAGATCATTTCACTTGGAGCAGGCTCAGATACTCGCGTCTTCCGGCTATTCGCGAAAAGCGATTACTCATCACGCATAATTTACCATGAGATCGATTTCGCTGTCAACACTTCTGCGAAGATTCGCACCATCCGCTCGACTCCACAATTACAAAGAGCGTTGGGTATCGAAGAAACGAGAGACAACGTCAGTATCTCGGATGCAGGCGATGCGCTTCATTCTCCTTCTTACCATATCCACCCGTGCGACTTGCGATCTCTCAAGGCGGACCCTTCGGTAACGGAATCGCTTCTGGGTATCGATCGGGGACTGCCGACATTGCTGATTTCAGAATGTTGTTTGATATATCTCCTGCCCTCGGAGGCGGTTCAGGTATTGACATTCTTCACTGGGCACCTTTTCGGTTCGCCACAAGGGTCTTCTGAGAAGGGAGAGCTGCAGCGTGGATGTGCAAAGACTGTGCCGCTGGGGTTAATCTTATACGAACCAATCCGACCCAATGACGCCTTTGGCCGGACAATGGTGTCCAATCTTGCAACGCGCGGGATCCAGTTGCAGACCCTCCACAAGTATTCATCCTTAGGGGCCCAGCGAGTTCGATTACTGGAACAAGGCTTCCGGGCTGGTCAGGCAGCGGCCGATATTGACTTTATTTGGGAGTGGTGGGTGAGTGAAGAGGAGAAGGGACGTGTTGCCGGTCTTGAAATGCTTGATGAGATGGAGGAGTGGAAGTTACTTGCTCAGCACTATTGTGTCTCCTGGGGATGGAGAGATGGAGACGACTCTGCAGTCTTTGATGGCTGGAAAACAGTGCCAGCGCAGAGTGGAGACTGATCTTTCTTCGAAGATCTCTTGCCCTTTACTAAAGTGTAAATCAGCAGCGAAATTTTCAAAAAAAAGTCATGGATTTCCATTCTATTCCAAGCTGGGTAAGCCTCTCTACATAGCCCGGGGTTTCGCCTGCGCTTCACGCTTCTTGTTGCGTGCTTGACTCTGTCAACAGTGGATGGCCCTGTGTCTGTAAGCCCCATTCACCCTCGCCGATACGTTTGCCCTTGTACTTGACCAGGTTACCCACGACCACTGGTCCGATGATCGTATTCAGGAGTATAGCCCAGACGGCAGTGATGAGGCCTTCCTCGCTTACATATTCCGTCTCATTGTAGCCAATTTCAATGATGAGAAGGCCAATCTCACCTCGTGCCACCATCGCGGAGCCAAGAAGTAAACCAGCCAGGGATGCTGAACCATATCCGCCGTTCCTGTCATTCTTGGCTGTTGAGTCGCTGGCTTTGTCTGATCTTTTCTTCGGCCCGGTGAAGGATCTCCAACCCGGGATCCAAACGCCTACGATGAACTGCAGATAAGAGTCAGACTCTGTTCGAAAGATAGACAGCTGACATAATCAAAGCATAAAACAAACATGCAGGATGGTCTTACCTTTGCAATCGCCATAAGCAATGTATACAAAATGCCTCTCCAGATGCGCTTTCCAGTCCAGAGCGAAACAAATGGAATGGCAAATCCGATACTTGCAAAGAACAGCGGCTCCATGAGATACTTCTGCGTATCGAAAAGGTACATCTCGAATGTATGCGTGAACGTGGGGCTTTTGAGTGCATTTTGTTCCCCTTCCTCGCGAGTCATCACCACAAACGGACCATCTGGATGCTTGCTCGGCAAGTAAGTGAGGAACGTGCCGGCAAGGAACGCACCAAAGAGCACGGAAGTCCCTGCGTAAGCGGCAATACTGATAAATGCAGAGAGTACCAGGACCATCAAAAGAATGTTGGAGACGTGATCGTATTTGGCAAACTTATGCTCAATGTAGCGTCGAAACATGGGAGCAAAAAGCCACTTGGTGAAGACGGGAGTGAGAATCGCCATGGCTGCAGATGCCACGATCGGACGGCCGATGATCCAGCCTAAATTCGCACTTCCAGATTCGGGCCCAGAGAGTTTTTTCAGATCTCTGATGACGCTATGAAAACCCGTGTTTTAGCGCCAGTATGTCTTGATGGTTTGCTGATCGAGAGGCCATTTCCTTACCTGGACAATACAAGGCCAACTACATCATCAATAACGGCGGCGCTGACAAGCACTGATCCAACCCGGGTCTGGGAGAGATCGATCGCCTCCGAGGCAGACGATATGACTGAGAAAGTAGTGCCCAAGGAGGTGGCTGACAGCGCAGATCCAATGATGAAAGTTTCCACCGCGCCTGTAGAGGGTCAGCAACTCGTGCAAACATGGCATCGAGATATGAATGGGCAGAATCACGCACCGTAGCCGTATCCGAGATACAGCAGTAGATATGAAAGACCGATTGGAAAACAGACACCGGTAGCAGCTGCAACCACACTAAGAAGGAAGTTCTGTTTCAACAGATCCAGTCTCACTTGGAGACCACCTGTTTCCATGCCCCGGTCACGATGTTAGTATTTGCTCAACCCGAACTCAAGAGGGTCACAGTTGATGTACCTTCAAAGATGATCAAAATGAGGCCAACATAGCCAATGGCGAGAAAGGTCTCCTGCCAAGTGTGCTCCAAGATGTTGGCAAGAGGCTTTCCATAGATGATCCCAACCGCGATCTGGCCAATAATGCCGGCCCGAATGATTTTAGTCGACACCCATTCTGCTATAGATAGAAAGAAGAAGAACGAGATGATAACCAGGATTGAGACGACTACAGATTGAATCAGCCAAGACAGTCTCTGAAAAGTGAGATCTGGGGAAAAGAGGGAGAACGAATAATGTCCAATGTATGCTGACACGTAGAATTGAAGGTCTAGGGAACAATGATACTTACTATCAGGCTCGTGATACGCTAGAAACCCCGCCATATCAAGCTCTTGCTTTTCGTCGTCTGTCGAGGCACGTATTCAAACAGAGTGACTTTCAGAGCTCACTCGGATTATCTGTTGAACAGGAAATAACATTTTGAACTTCTCGCAGTGTGTGGCTTCTGAATTCAAACCACTCATCCATCGGTGGTTCATCACGTGCCTCATAGATCGGTGACATCAGCACTTGCCAAGATCTTGGGCAAATTTGTTGCTGACTCAATCTTGATTTCATGGTACGTGGGTTGGTGTTATATGGAGATGGATTTGACCACCGCACCTCTTAGAATTGAATCCGCCACAGCGTGCTTTCTTGGCTCGGCTGGGCACTCCTTCGCCGAGCCCGCCGAGGCCGTTGGCGAGAATAGGCGCCGGAAAGCTCCAATTGCCTTATCCGAGATTCCGCCCCGAAAATGCCGACCCGATTGATTTCACCTGCGAGGGACCGAAGGGTTCTGCAGCATTCGAACGCTAGAATTGTGGAAAGTCGTCCTGAAGAGTCGGGCGCAGTAGCTTTTCTCTCGGAAAGGCCACACTCTGCGTTGAGGCAAATCCGCAAGACGACCATTTGGAGGTGCAATATGATCTCTGTCGCCATCTTTGACTTCCCGGGCATATACTACTTGGCTGGCGACAGTGCATTTCCATCCACTGCGAGACTTGAGTGGTCGGACACAGCGCCAAGAACCTAGGCAGAAACCCAGAGATTTCACCGTCGTACTCGACTGGTATATTCGAGGAGGGTGAAAATCAAGAAGAAACCCGCACGCAACATGCAGACCGTCCAAGCGAGCACTGGATTGCCTGAACGATGCCGCAGAGCGGCCAATATGGCTCTTTGAGAATGGCTCAGAACCGAGGTTTTCTTCAGCCAATCTCGACTGGTGTTATGACACCGTTGTTAACCTTGTCGTACAATTTATGAGAACGCAGCTAAGGACCTTCTGTCATGTTCTTGATCCGGGCTTTTCCAATTACCACGGCTTCAAGGCAGGTCTGCTGGCAGGTAGGAGTTGAATGAGACGGAATTTCGAACAGTTTCATCTACAGCCCGTGGCAATGATGGAAAATTGCCCAAATCATCGAAGGACGTTGTGCCGCTGCTCGCCAGTGCCATCTCTGGATCTTGGTGTATAAGAATGATGCACGCCGTGTGCAACTTTTCGCTGCAATGTGGACCCTCAAGTACTGTCCGAGAGCCCTGTAATCTGCAGATGCCCTGTCCTCAGGTTCGAGTTGGAAGTGTCATTCAGAGCTGATAACGTCGTAATTGAAAGCACCTAAGGAAGACAGAGCAGTGGGCAGACTGTGGCTCACAGCATGAGCCACGTAGAAACTCAAAGAGTACTGTGAGTACGTGCGGTGCATCAGGAATATGTTCATACGCTCAGATCATAAAGAAGGCCTGGAGCAATCAGCCTCCGACAGATTTACTCGGGGAGTCGGGACAGGCTCGGTCACAGATCTTTCCCGCGTCATCTCGAGAACTATGCGAGAGGTGGAGAAAATACTTACCTTTTTCACTGGCTACTGGTGAATCATGGTAGTTGAACGTGTCTATGCCCGTGTCACAAGTCCGATAAAAGTGAGCTAGCGAACCGTCGAGCATTGCACATTAATCATACTGACCTGCTATTGGCAGTCTGGACCGAGCTTATTCAATGAGAGCCAATTTCCCTAAACCATAGTGTTCATCATAGGTTCTAGGTGTCAGGCTGCAGATCTAGATCTTCATGGCTCATTCCGCTCCGGACTCTGAGCCGTACCAGAACCCTGTAATTGTGAACAACAAGCAATAATGGTGGTATGTCAGAGTTTGGACAGCAACAGCCAAAACGGCAAAGCATGTGAGTTATCTACCGCTAGTGCCGACGTTCCCTTTGGCGAGGGTATGGCGGTAGCTCCAATCAAATTAGGTATTGGAGCACGACGAATGAATTATGTCGATCACGAGTCGATCTCAAGTGGCATGCTGCCGCAGCGGGAACAGCTTATATAGTTCATACTCTGTAGAAGAATGATACATGGGACGCGAGGCCCTGACAACTGAGCCCAAAACATACAACGGCACTGATTTGAATCTGTATCGGAGCATTCAGGGCCATTCCCGATAAATGACTGCACTGAAAACACTTAATATACAATTTGTACATGGGTGCATACGAGGACCTCAGGAGTCAGGACACAGAGCAGGTCATATGACTTAAGCTTTAGTACATGAGCTACAGTGGTAGAAGGTTTGAGACCCAGGCACATATTTTTTTGCCTCAGGCGGTAACGGGACGGGATTCTTCCGCAACGGTGAACAGCAATCTTGCAAGTTGCAACAGCAGACTCCTAGAGTCCTGACTGACTAGTCACGAGTCTCACGACTCACCTAGAGTCCTAGAATATTCAGCTGGTGAGTGATTACCTTCCTCTTTGACGGTCTGGATCCCGGACCCGACCAAGGAGGACGCATCGACGTCTTCCCGGTCCTTGGGCAGGAACTGCGATATACGCCACATAACGCATTCGCTACGGGACTACTTGACTGGTGTGAAAGGGTTGGTAGGTCTGCGACAGACTCAGTCTTAGAGACTCGAGATTCGAGTCTCACGGCGGTGCCTGTGACAAGTTGCGCCTCACGCTTTGTCACTCGAGCAGTTGAACATCTCAGACGCGCCGAGGACCCTTTCGTGACTTTACGACTTTCGTTAGTACTAGTTTCCAGGGCTCCACTACTGGGCAATTGCCATAAGGTTATTGGTGATCCCCCACCTGCTAACCCTTGCCAAGCAGGAACCGTCGGGGTACCGTCAACTCTGATTTGTGCTGGTCAACGTGATAGTGGATCCATACCCCTGACGCTAAGTCGCTAGTGGCATCCACTAGCGGGCTCATCAGGTGCTCGACGGACGGCAGCTTGGATTTGCTCAGGGGCAACTGTTTGCTGCTGGCTGCTTGGCCTCAACATGAGTCACGGACGTGATCACCTCCCGCTGGCTGATGCCCGGGGCTCATTGGCAAATCTGATCTCATAAATGAACGGTCTCGCTGCCCGGCTCAATTGAGACATGAACAATCAAAACGTTGCAAGTCGAACATGCAGTGGCGTCTGTTCTTGGGGGCCAGGATCTATGTAGTAGCCCACTAGCCAGCCGTGGAGTTTCAAATCGTCTTGCTGCTCTTCCGGTGCTCGGAGTCGAACCCCAGAATTGATCTCCCCCCAAGAGTTCCAAATTCAAGCCGAGCCCTGACCGTCTGAGATTCACGGAGCACCCCAAAGAGGAAAGGTTGAGCCTCCTCCACTTGCAGAGGACGGGCCACTCAGGTACCGTCCTGGCCCACCGAGCCAGACTTTGAGGATCCTCTTTGGCGATGCCATCCTGGTTTGCGTTAGTGTCGTCACCTGCTGTGAGTCCAGTCGTGGCTGCACGGTGTGGGCGACCCGAGTAAGTCCCTCGTTTTTTCCCGCTAGAGGAAAAAGGAAAAGACTGTGGCCCCCCCCCCCCCCCCCCCCCCCCCCCCAACAACAGCCGGTGCAGAAGATCAAGTCGGTGGACGGCGGCCCACGGCCCAGTGGGCAAAGCGCCGGGTCCCTTTTCTGTCTGGCTTGCTCATCTCGTCCGGCTCTTTCTCTCCTTCGACCTCATCCTCTGTGAGCTGCTGTGTGTCCCCTCCCGCTCGGCCTTGGGCCAATTCCATTCATTCACTCTTTTGGAAGTATACCACCTTCGTTTGGTCTATCCTTTGCCGCGATTGTCAATATTGCACATAAAGAAATCTCGAAAACCCACCGTGAAAGGATCAGAATCGCCGATTATATAATATCCCCTCCTCCTCCTCCTCCTCCTCCTCCTCCTCCTCCTCCAACGCCATGAAGATCGAGTTCAAGTTCGTCGGCGCGCAGGCGCTCGTCGCTCTCATCGCCAGCGTGGAAGCCGCACGCCATGGACACATCAGCCACCGCCACGAGCATGCCATGGAGGCCCGTATGGCGATGGAGAACCATACTCTGGAGGCCAGAGGCGGCAATTGTCAATTCCCCACCGATGCAGGCCTCGTCGCGGTCACTCCCAATGCGATGAATGGAGGCTGGGCGATGAGTCCCGATCAGCCGTGTAAGCCGGGCAATTACTGCCCCTATGCTTGTCCTCCTGGTCAGGTTTCCATGCAATGGGATCCCAAGGCAACTTCTTACAGTTACCCTCAGTCGATGGTATGTTTTCTTTTTTGGGGGGGGGATATTGGCGGGCTGCCGCATCCACCTGTCACATGCAAGGGGGGGCGGGGGGCTGCAGCCTCGTATTGAGGGGGACAGTTGATCGATTGAACTGACATTCTCTTGTAGAATGGAGGTTTGTACTGTGACAAGGACGGCCAGATCTCGAAGCCTTTCCCCGACAAGCCGTACTGTGCCGATGGTACAGGTGCGGTTCAGGCCATGAACAAGGCTGGAAAGCCGGTTGCCTTCTGCCAAACCGTCTTGCCTGGTAACGAGGCCATGCTGATTCCGACCCTCGTGGAGGAATTGTCCACGCTCGCCGTTCCCGGAACCTCATATTGGTGCGAGACCGCGGCGCAATACTATGTCAACGCCCCCGGTGTCACGGTGGAGGAGGCTTGTGTGTGGGGCTCCAGCTCCAACCCCGTGGGTAACTGGTCTCCCTTCACGGCCGGAGCCAATACGGCTTCCAATGGCGACACCTACTTGAAGATCGGCTGGAACCCTATCTACCTTGAGCCTGCGACTCCCTTCCGCGATGTCAAGCCCGATTTCGGCATTGAAATCTTGTGCGACGGCGATGGATGCAATGGTCTCCCATGCCGGATCGACCCTTCCTCCATGGGCGTGAACCGGATGAAGGCTCCGGATGTCTTCACCGGCGCGGGTGGTGCGACTGGTTGTGTGGTCACCGTGCCCTCCGGGGCCAAGGCTCAAATTGTGGTGTTTGACACCAGCAGTGATGGTCTTCATCTGGGCAAGTCCCTCAAGATTGACGAGTCGAGTTCGAGTAGCTCCAGCAGCTCCTCTAGCTCCAGCAGCAGCACCACCACTTCCTCGAAGACGTCGACTTCCACTAGCACTGTTGCGTCTACTACTTCGACCTCAACCTCGGAGAGCTCTTCAACTCACTCTTCTACCTCATCGACTCACTCCGCCACTTCCACAGTGGCCTCCACGTCTGCTGAGGCGACCTCGACCGACGCATCCTCTTTCAGCTCGGACTTTTACAGCACGCAGTCTCTCAAGCCCAGTTCAACCATGGGATACACTTATCGCCCGCACGTGTTCACCGGTTCTGCCGACATTCAATTCGCAAGCGCGACCACCAGCTCTGCCCCTGCCGCCAGCACCTCTGCCAAGCACAACAGCGCCACTTCGGCCACCGTTTCTTTCGCAAGTGTCGCGATCGGTGCCATTACCGCCCTGGTGTTTGCCTACTGAATGATTGATTCATCCTCGGGAAGTCTGGCGAGGGGAGGCATGTCGTCGACGCAACCGTACAGATGCGACGCCAAGACGTGCACACCCACCCTTCCATGTTCCATCCTATCCCCTCCTGGGATTATCTCTAACTGCAGACATGCATTTCACTTTATATTCCTGCACCTTTAATCTTTCTTCCTACTTTTCAACCCGGTGCCCTCCCTTCTATTATCCCCTGTTTTAATTTTACTTATTCCGATTTCTACGATTCTTCAGCGCTTCCCACGGAAACTGCGCTATACTTGACTCTTGACGACTTTGCCACGTTGCCATTTCTATATTCCCCCCCCCCCTCCCCCCCCCCTTTGCTGTTTTTCACGACCCTCTCTGTTCAATTCATATATCCCTTGTGGCTCGTCAGCCTCACCCATATTTTTTTTTTTTTTGCTTTTTGATCATCTCTGCTAGTATCAGACTATTTGTTTTTCTCTCCCCTTTGATATCCCCATCTTCAATTTTTATGTCTTTCAAATCTACTTTTACTGCTGCGCATTGGGGCTCTTGATCACTTCTTACTTTTCACAGGGGGTCCATGTTCGAACGACCGATGAATGTTTTGGGAGCCGAGCGAGTTTTGGGCGGATTTATTAGGTGGATGGGATAATTTATTGCTGCAAGTTTTAATACTGCCCTGCGCTGGGCTGCCGATATCCACTTCTCTCTGAGTGTGTGTAATTTACCATGATGCATGTCTTGCAAGTTTGTGAATCCTTGGTGGGGGCGAAGCGTGGATTTTGAGTAAATATAAGACTAATCCCGTCAGGCATTTCTCTTGACTTGTGTAGGTGGTAGTTGATTTGGACGCAGTGAATACTGAATCGATAGATATGTGGTGACTGGTAAACTTTTACAGAAACCATAATAGGCCTTGGGCAGTGGGCACTGAAAATCAAGTGCTAGACGTAGTGATGTAGACTATGGTAACTTACAGTTGATGCGACTTTCCTCGGGAGGATGTCCATAAGAGATCCATCTCTAGATACTGTTCTCATTTCACACGTTCCACCGAATGGCATCATATGTTTCTAGGTCTACTAGACACGTCTATCATATGCACATTGCACCGTATCTGCCAGAGAAATATTTCACACTTGACACGGGTTCCAGCTTCACAGTATCATGACTGCCCAGCCAACCCCTCGGCCTTCTCAATCTCTTCCCGACTCGGGCACCACTTCTTCTGCAGATCGGAATCCAAACTCAAGGCGTACACATCCTTGGGCCACCACTCGCCCCAGCTGGTGAGGAAGATTTGCTCGGGATCAGCGGGGATGTCGTTGCGGGTGAAGGCCTCAAGAAGGCTTCGGGCTCCTGTGATTCGACAAGTATTAGAAACGTGTCGAAGAGGTCATATGTGGAGAAGGATGGTCATTTCAGGTTTTGCTGTTGCTGAGAGAACTTACCTTCAGGCACAGTCTTGGCATCACTCATGTTCATCGACAGGCCCATATCGGTGGCCAGGTTGGTATTGGGCACCAGACCTGGGGAAACAGCCACAACGGTACAACCGGGCAGATTTTGACGCCAGTAATGAGCACCGAGCAACTGGACGAACTTGGAGCCGCAGTAGACGACGTACTTTCCGGCGTCGGAATTGGCTTTCATGTCCGTGTCGAGGGTTTCTTGAGAGGACAGAAATACAAAATTTGTGAGTTTTGGGCGGTATTCGATGATGATGATGATGAAATAGAACGATTTCTCAGAGAATTCTAGGTGTATGACTTACTGGGGTCTTGATCGCGCACATTGCGAATTGCACCAGAAGATACGAAGACAATGCGTGACTTGGATGCGAGAAGTGTTTCCCGGATGAGGTGAACCAGATAGTGCTGGGCTAGAAAGCAAAGTAACGCAGATCGTTAATATGCTGGTCACTTCGCAAAGATTCATTCCTTCGGTCAAGCCCTTCCCCGCAATCACCGCCTCGACGCGGTCCAGGCAAGAACGAAGGATCGTCAAAGGGATCGTTGAAACACATACCAAGATGATTGACAACCAATCCATCACACCACTGTGACCCATGAGATGACGGACCCTGGGCAGCATCGAGTGTACCCGCAGCCAAGAACAAGAAGTCAATAGTATGTCTCCCCAGCTGAGTCAGTGCCTTTTGCGCAAAGAGCTGCACACTGCGCAGGTCTTTCAGGTCCAATGGAAGAATATGGACTTGATTTTGGGCGGTGTCGTAGTTGAGAGCATCGTAAGCAGCCTGTGTGCGTTTGGTATCGCGGGCGCCGATGATGAAGGTGTAAGGCTCGGGATGGTCGAGAAGGAGTTGTTTGATGGATTCGAAGCCCTGTCGAGGTCAGCAATTCGGCGGTGGACGTTGTTGTGCGTGAAGCCCACAGAGCTTTGAAGATTCCAGTACCAAGGGGTCGGAACCTTGCAATGCGGTTGAGGTAGTACTTGAACATTACGTAGGCAGCTGTAGAACAGCTTTGAAGTTGAAGAGGGAAGACGTAGAGGAGACGAGTGTGTTTTGGTTCGGGGTCGAACTATAGTACCTACCAGGCCTGATGACGCGCCGGTCGCGAGGACGATTTTTGCATTTGCAGACATGATGCTTTCTTTTTCCAGAGACGAGTTTGTATATTTGATGAAGAATATGCAAGAACTTTTTCAATCTGGGACTGGGGAATTTGACCACGAACTAGAAATATCAGCTTTGACAAGTCTTTATAGTTAGGCCGATGGTCCAGGAAGCTGATTTATCATCCTCGTCAGCTCGGTTGGCTGCCCCGCAGCTTATCAAGCCCGCCCGGGGTACCCGCTTACTGACGTATTTACCGAGCGCCTATCGGTCACTCCTGTAACCTTAGTGACCCTTACAGCCTCTCAGCCTATTGAGCTATCTAATTGAAGGTGGTGGAAGGTGAGTCGTGATTTGATTACTCAGAAACTACATGCAGGGAGTAGTACTATCTAAGTGAGTGGTTAACTATGTACTGCATAGTACATACGTAGTTGTAAGTAGGTACTGTACCTAATCGGTAGTCGGTAGACTCTGTACATGGGAAGTGCCTGAACCCCACCGAAACCTCGTACTGCTGACATCGCGAAACCTTCAACCATCAAGTCTTCCGGTTCTCAAATACAGCTCCACGGCCAACTCCGAGGACATCGAGTTCAAAACTATCGGCGGCTAAGGTTGTTTGCATGTCGTGCGGGTATAAAAGAGCTGCAGGTTAGCCAGCGCATGAAATGACAAGGTCTCATTGTATGTCGGTGGATGCGGCCAAGTTCTGACCATCAAGGGTGCATGTTGGGACCAGTTCCATCAAGGTTGAGATATCTTATTACGGGCTGTCAGATGGATGTATTGAGTCGTCCATTCGGCGATTCAGATTAATACAATCCCGCAAACGCGCTAAGCTGTGGATAGAAGCCTTAGCCCGACGTTTGGGGGGTAGAAAGCAACTGAATCTATGCTTTCGATGATGGTAAGCAAAAGCATCAAACGTGCAACTGACCTTGATGTATCTCGATGTACGTGTCGAATCGCATTCAAGATTTCTCTGGTCACACCCAGCTATCCGACAGTACGTTAAATGAGATGTAGCCCATCAAGTGAGATATACTTGATGAGAGGCATCACGCTCATGTCGTATAGGTATTCACCAGAGCATGTTCCGCTCTGACATCTTCACCTGCACGGGTCAATTTGCTGATTATAATTTACCGGTCACAGCAGTGACTTTCGACTTTCTCATGTTCAAACATTGAAATGGTAAGCTTCCATTGCCCTTCTCCCTGTAGCTCCGAAATTCGAACTTAATTCTACCTTGTTACAGTCGATTGATACCAATTCGGCCCCGTCTTCAAAGCTTTGGGCAGCAGCGAAGTATGGCCGCGACAAGTCCCATTCTTCTACAGCTTGAAGGTCTGCCAGTGTCCGGCGGTGAGGTCAGGATTTGTCCGACCTGACTTGGCTCAATCACCATGTGATTCCAGAACGGTTAAAATAGATCACAGACTACTACTAGTAGGCATTGTGAGACTGTGGGTAGTAGGTCCCACCGACAGGCCTTCAACCTCACGTCAGATTTCAGCGTTTCCATAGCGCTGGCTTGACTCTCGTCCAATCCAACCATCTCATGCGCGGAGATTCATCGATGAGACATCCTCCCGCGTCAGACTGAAAGAGGAAATTGCAATCACTGGGCACCTGAGGCCATTGTGCAGACCCGCAGAAGATATGTTTTCGCAAGCTCAGTACAGTAGTGAGCTTCGCAACGTTGAACCCAAGATCTGAACGGCTGTCCCAGGCACCATCAACGCTAGATACCCTTCCTCTGCCAATGGTCATACATAGGGCTGGTGGACCTACTATGGGTATGATCGCCTCGAATACCGAAGAATTGGAAGTTGGTCCATAAAGTCGCTGTCCCATACGGAGTTGCAGACAGGCACGGTGTACGCCAGTCGACGACTTTGAATGCGCATCGACAGGACCCTATCACTGCGACCATTGAGTCTAAGCCCGGGTCTCGGTGGCAGCCTTCTACGCAGCAATTCTCACCATCAAACGAGGACTAACTCGAGGTGAAATTGGCCTAAACAAGATGTGATATGATTTATAAAGCGTACCTCCATCCCCCCCCCCCCCCGACATGAGTGGAGGGACCTATGGCCTTTTCTTTGATGCCGTGTCGAAGTGGACGGAAGCGATTGCAAGCCCCAGGCCGTGGCCCAATATTCAAGGACTACTGTACTCGCTTGGGATGCATGTTTCTGGATTTTCCGATTCGCTATTAAATTTCGGGAGGCTGATCCACATCGATACCTACTAATACACTCTTATCCTGACCCCGTTTCAAAGGAACCCTGGAGCACGAGTCAGGGACAATAGTCAACCTAGGGCTAAAAATAACACCGCCACGGAGGAGAGCGAAAGTGTGAGATTCGAGTGTGGCCGTGGGGTTCGATTCCAACGGACGGACCAGATGGAAAGGAGCGTGCACCCTCCATGCATCGCAACCCACGCACAGGATCGCCAATCAACTTGCCTGCTCGACTTCTGGACCAGCATCAACATGGTCCACAGTCCGCTTTTCCTCCAGATCCCCCGAGTGTCAACAAGATCGATCAGGTACCGGGCTCCACCATCTCGACGCTAAACTACTTCTGGACGCAATCCCGTATCTGACAAGTGGATCTCACAGTCGCTTCTCAGCACTGTGATTGGCATGCTCGGATCATGATGTCATTTTCCGAGACAGCAGCAGCAGCGGCAGTCGCGCCTTACCCGATTAAGGAAGTATACAGCTCTTTCTCGTCGAACTTGACCACTGTGATTATGTGTCAAAGTGCAGTTTGCAAATGGTCGCTCCATTGCTGACTCTGGTATGCACTATCTGTGAGCAATTGCTCTGAAGCAAAACATATGACCAGACCAAAAAAAATCTGTTATCGCCCATATTGGCTAAGCTATAAGAAGGAGCCCGGCGCCTGTACTTCATCTGCTCCCGCGAAAGCAGAAATTGCGTCTTGCTTGATATCTCCGAAGTGCAGCAACATACTTGCGCTTGGGAATAGCAGAAGAAACATCTCTTAACACGGTAGGTCACTCTTCTGTCGGAAGTCTTCCCGCGCCCAAGAAACTCATCTATGATTCCGACAACAGGCCCCTCTTTGTGCAGTCACCATGGAAGCCACGACTTCACTCCTCAAGCGTGATGCCAGCTCCCCCTCAAACTATCCCGCCTATGTGTTGGCTATCATCGTGGGTTGCATTGCGTGCGTTCTCATCGGATATGGTATCTTTACCATGTACCACGGAGTAGAGGAGGAAACCTACCGCGAACTCAGCCAGCAACAGCGACAATACATGCATGAGGTACGACAACGTACGCTTGATGATCTCGAAGCAGCCTCACGGCGGTACACCAGAGCTCATGATAGTCCGAGAGAGACTCCCAAGAAGATGCAGGCCGTGTGATGGAATCGTGGTCGTCGGAAATCGTCTCTGGGTCTATAGGCATGGATGGTGTTCGGGCGTTATGCGGTACACGGAGTATTCATTACGTTACCTGTGGATTTCCAAGTCTACAGTTGTCATTCCTTCTTCATATTTCTGTGGTTGGTTTTCTTTTTTTTTCTTTTATGAACATGCATCAAGTCCGTTCTTCGAGGCTGGCAGTGCCTCGGGCAGGGACATCACGGTATGGCCCGTGAACGGCAAAGGAGGCGAGAGCACGCGTTTGTATAATTATCTTGTGTGCCCTGCACGGAACAATCCATCGATGGCCATGCTCGACAGCCTCGTTTTCCGACTAAATACCGACCAAGTGTAACGGATTCCACTCCGAGCGAACTCACAGGAACAGGCTGAGCTTTTTTCAACCCTAGCATTCCATATGGGAGAAACTGATTGTCTGAACCTAGCAAGTGGTTCCTCACACTTCAAGTGGTCCGAATATTATCGCACCTTATGTACTGTAGGCTTAGAACCCCCGCCTATCGGCTCGGGTCTGAAGCAACAAAGCGCACTTTACCTGGGCTCCATCCGTTAGCTCTCAGCCTATGGCGCCGCCTTCTGTCATCGCGACAATTTTGCAGGAATCTTCCCGTCTCGAATCATGATTCTCGAGGTCGAAAGATAATCTTCGGCTTACACCACCGAGAGATTGTCGCTAGATAGGTTGAACGGCATAATAAGTGCTTCACGTCAGAAGCCATCACCTCTGCGTGCTCGTTGTCCTCGGCTACAGTGCGTCTCGAGTCTCCATGCGGTTCGCCGCACCACGCCAACTTCTCAGTTCACTCGCGGAATGGTCTATTGAGGGTCACCTTTCTGGTGATCTCGTCAACCACGATGGGCAAGTCTACCCGATGAGTCACTCGGAAGTGTTCGAGTGGAAGCGGATCGAAGTCATCAGGCGTGGCAGTGGATCCACCCGCCTATCGGCGGCCTGGAGAGCAATAGACATGCCTCTTTTCGTTCCGGGTTCTTTTTATTCGGCGAGCGCGCCGATCAGACTGCAGAGATCGGAGTACTTTATATGATCCAAGGAAGATAAGTTGTGCCAGACACCCATAAACTCACCTGGCTTCTGAATATCGACTATCGATTGAGTCCCTGCACACCCTCACCTTGAACTGGCTTGACTCACAGTGACTTCAGCCTTGCTCGAATTCGCTTCTATTACTGTACCAGGGTATACCATACCACTCCTCCATTTGACCATCATGTATTCCAAACCCGTTCACGCCGAGACCTCAATCAAGGCTCTCTTTGAATTTATCAAAGCCAACCCCCTCGGAGTACTCACCACCGCCATCCCCTCCAGCACGCACCATCTCATTCAATCCACCCATATCCCATGGATCCTCGACCCCGTTACAGATGACCCCAACGCCCCCATCAAAGGTCGACTACGAGGCCACATGGCGCGCCAAAACCCCCAATCCAAACGCATGATGGATGCCTGCACCCAATCCCGTTCCAACCCCCTGCAGCAAGAAGTCATGGTCCTCTTCACGGGCGCAGAGCACCACTACGTGACTCCCAAATTCTACACGGAGACGAAGCCGGCGTCGGGAAAAGTGGTGCCGACTTGGAACTATGCTGCTGCCCAAGTATATGGCAGAGCGACCATTCACTTCGACACGGCTGCGCCGGAGACAGGTCAGTTTCTCTCGGAACAATTGCATGCCTTGTCGCAGCATGGTGAGACTTCCGTCATGGGCTATACGGGGGCGGATGGGAAGCCGGGCCCGTGGAAGGTATCCGATGCTCCGGAGCGGTATATTGAAGTGATGAAGAAGGCGATTATTGGAATTGAAGTCACGATTGAGAGCATCGATGGGAAAGTAAAGATGAGTCAGGAAGTCCCTGCCGGAGACCGTCGTGGAGTTGTTCAGGGATTCAAGGAGATGGGATCAGACGTGGGGGATCATATTGCCGCGTTGGTGGAGAAGTGCGGAGCCAAGAAGGATGCTGAACGGGGCGTTCAATGATTTATATAGGTATCGGACGGAAGGGGAAAGACCGAAGCTGCCACTTTGCAGGATATCATCCATGAGTTGAGATGGCTTTTTTAAACATAGATGTTCTCCACAGCTAATCTCACAGTGATAAACATTGCCATGACTCGATAGCTCAAGCTGCGTAATCGGCAAAGGCCCCTCTTGCTGAGATAAGAAAACACAGATACACTGCCCAAGCAGAAGCTTATTCTACTGGTGAATACTAAACACAACCAACCCCATGCAGTCAAAAGCTCGTTTGGTAGCTCCAGGCCGATCAATTGACCGGGCTGATGTTATGCAGTGGGTTCGCCGCAGTGGGCACGGCCGAAACGCCCCGCATTCAAAAGGCCGCTGTCAAGGGACTCCAAGCCCCATGATTCAGGTAGTCCATCCCCCACTGAAGCTCGGTCACCGTGATCAACTTTGCTCATTCCATCCACAACACCACGCCAACTGTACCCCAGCATGCCACCCTCGGCACAGACGGTAAGACTCATGGCTTGATTCTCCTATTGATCATTTCATTTGAGTTCTGCCCCTCCATGAGACTTCAATATTACTACCCGGGGACCTGCTTGAGGGGTACCCCGCATTTGTCGTGCCTTTTCAACCACCCGCCGGATACCAGGCAGGCTCGGGTCCCCTGCATGGCCTGACAATACGAGCGCCGATCATTCAAGCAGATACTAATTCAATCTTCTGTTCTGCAGACTCGTCTGGTCTCGACCCTGCGACTTCTCATCCCGCGTCTCCGTCTCCTCCAAAAGAAAGATACCGCATCCTCCGTCGTACAACGTCGCGAGCTCTCCCAGCTGCTCAGTGAGAATCGCGAGGCTTCTGCGCGCATCCGTGTCGAGAATGTCATCGCCACCGATATCGCGGTCGAAGTGATGGAGATGGTCGAGTTGTACTGTGAATTGCTCCTGGCGCGCGCCAATGTCCTGGATCAACTGGCCTTTGGAGAGAAGGGGACACGTGCGCGGGTGCGCGCCAAGGAGTTGCTCAAGAAGCAAACTCAGCCTCAGACAAATGAAAAGTCGACGACAGCTGCGCCGGAGAGCTCGGGATCTCGCTTTGGATTCGGCTGGCTGGGGGGTTCGCAGAAGAAAGATGCGAACACAGCAGCGGGCGGCGCATCCGAGGGGTCCTTACCTCTTGCCGACGATGACGATGCGTACATGGACACGGCACTAGATGAGGCAGCGGTGGTGATCTTTTATGCATGGCATCGGTTCCCGCACGAACTCCGGGAGCTGACCATGCTCCGAACGATGCTGGGAGAACGATATGGAAAGGAATTTATGACCCTGGCCCAAGATAATAAGGTGGACACCATCAAGGTTCCGGATCGCTTGCTCAAGAGCCTTCGGGTACGCCCACCGACTCAGGAACTGGTCGAAAGCTATCTACGCGAGATTGCCAAGGCGTACGGCGTGGAATGGCCCGGTGGAGAGGAGATGTCAGGAGACCTTGGAGATGCGCCGCCTGAATTTGTCCATGGCACTGACGCGCCAGAAGATGATGACCAAGGTGGTGATCTTCCCGCCACTCCGACCAAACAAGGTGCGGGCTCCGTACCACGACCTAGTCTCACCGAGGCACGACGCGCATCGGAGACAAGCGAATTGAACAAAGCAACTCCCCCTCGAGGACCGGCCGCGCTACAAGGCCGAAGTCCAGTCAGTGTCGCACCACCGGCCCCTCGGACTGACAATCCCAATCCTCGAGTCAGGGTGCCTGGATCTGAGGCGGAGGTTGCTGCCAAGGGTAGCACTGGCAAGAGCAGTGCCGGTGGTATTCCCGAGTTGGATGAGTTGACTCGGAGATTTGCGGATTTGAAGAGAAAGCCCTAGGTTACACTTGACTTCTCCAGAGAAGCCTTCCCCTGTGTTTTTTTATTGCATCGTGGAAACCCTCAAAGGGCTCTTGTCAGCAGCAGTCTCTCTTTTTAGTCTTTCCATATGTGTATCGGGCAAGCGTCTGAACGGAGTCGGCGGGAATATCATCATTGAAACGATTGCCAAGGTCTAATAGTTTAGCGATCACTTCAGTTCCAGGTTTGAAGGCTTATCATGTTACTCAACGTGGCGATGTGTTCATCCTACCAGTGCACTAATAAGGTTCTTTGTGCCAGTGAACATCGACAGCCCGAGTTAGGAACGCAGTGAACGTATGCGATATACATTGAGTGACGTCTTCCACTAGATCAGCCTCAGATTCCTGGCTGGAGTGGATCTGTAGATCGACAAGAATCATATTTTAAAAAAAATGTACACAGAACAACCTCACGTGAGCAAGACTGGTATTTATGCGTCAGTCATTCAACCTTCAGTAGTGGTGACTAGCTCGCACCGCTCATCTTTACTCCAGTACGTCACGTATTTCTGATGACCCGCCTGTGTTTCACCTGACACGAATCAGCATGGCAAGAAAGGGCCCGATGGCGTCTAGTGTCGACTCAGTCAACTAGGTAATTACTAACTACTCACTGCTCAATAACTAGGTAGTTAGTTAGTACTTACTAAGGTTACCTTACTGTCAGCATGTCGTGGAGAACCCAAGTGCCCACGGGTACCTTGACGGGGACTAAAACGCGGGCCGTAATCTCCGATCTGACACGAGGAACTGGAGGCGGAGTGCAGATTATTGCAGAACCATCCATTCCATTGAGCCCTCAACTCGACCGTTGCACCGTGTACGATACATCACCGTTCGCCGTGAATTGCATCATTGATTCCACAGGGTCCCAATTTATTGTGCTGTCTCCAAGCTTTCCCTTCACACAAGGTGACCATGTCGCGAACCTAAAATGCGCGATCTTCCCCCCACTGCTTCTTCTTCTCCTTGCCATATATAGTTTACGCGACCGCTTTGCCTGATCAGTTGGGGTGAGAACGGCGCAACGAGCGCATGACTCGACGACTTTCTGCTTTCCGTATACTCTTTCCTGGCGCCCATCTCTTACTACAGTCTTGCATAGTCTATTGCTTTAGTTTAATACACCTTCGAGCTGTCTACCGAAACAAAATTCTTCCCAACCCTTTCACCTGGGCAATCCCTCGGCATTGGCCGTGCTCGCGTCCGCGCCTCTGAGCAACCTTGAACATGCCCGTGTACATGCTTCACGGCTTTCGCTGGCCTCGCGCAGGCTTCACGGGGATCCGCGTATACATCGTGCTTAATAACCTCGAAGAAGCAGCCGCCGAATACATCCAGCAACCCCTCACCACCGAACTACTCCTCGAATCGTTCCGAAAGACACAAGCCGATCTCATGCCCCGATTACCCGAGCTCCAATTCATCGAGCAGTACGACCCCCACGATGAATCCAGCAACACGGTCAGTCAGGAATACGCGTACGTAGGGGCCAAAGTGGTGACTGTGCCCGATGGCGCCGATGCAAATGGGGATCTGGAGAAGGTCGTGGAGCAAGGGTCGGGGCTCTCGGAGGATGCGACGCAGGCGCTGGAAGCTTTGCGGGACCGTCTGGCGCCCCAGGAGAAGATTGGGTGGTTTATGGTGTACAATGGGGACCCAGATCGATGGTATCCGTCCTCGGACGAGGAGGAGCACGATGAGGATGATGAATACGAGGGTGAGGAAGAGCAGGAGGAGTCTGGTGTGAGTGAGAAGTCTGTCGCTCAGACCGACTCCCAGACGGCTCCGCCAACGCCTCAGAGCTATACGGTATGTCACTGGGACAATGACCACAGACAATCGCTCGGTGGTCAGTCTGGGTTCCCCGAGCTAATCCAAGGGTTTCTACATTCAGGCACGTTTGACGCGATTGTTTAATCGCATGAGCGCTTCTTCGACATCGTAGGCCGAGGTGTTGGCATGGCGTCTGTCCTCGTTGGTCTTTCTCTTCAGTGTTGGCTGCGGGCGCGCTCGGCTCCACGATTCATGATTCCTGATTCCTGATTCCTAATTCCTTTGTTTGAATCTCCCGCAAGCACCGGGACTGCATTACTCCAGCCTGGCGTTTTCCTCTCTGTCTTTACGAATAGTAGTCTCGAGGTTGCAAGTGGAAAGTAACTCAGATTCATTCCAGTTCCTTGTTCAATCAACTTATTTCTCAAGACCGTTCACGTGAATCCCCAAGTATCAAGCTCATTTTATTCTCCACTTGAATCTTTTCGGCATACAGTTGCTCTTCGTAACTATCTACCATCTCCACCATACAACAGATACACTCATGCACTCAGAAAGACGTGACTGAAATGCCAAACTTCAAGATATCGATCGTTGACTTACATCCGTCTCAGCGGTGAACACGGGCAGTATGCGGAGGGGAAGCTCCGCGATAACGGGGCGGTCATCGGAGAATCTCCACAGAGCCGAGCCAGTGCAACAGCTTCAACCCAGATGCCAATCCAGTAAGGTCCCCTCGGCTCGGCTTTCCAATATGGTGCTCTCTTTTATCCTTGTCCAGAATCGCCAGTGAGTGTTTTGTTCCCCTCTCCGGTCTTCCCTTGCGTTCAAGGGGAGATCCGAGACCGTTCGAAGACCGGTCTGACTGACGTGTAGATAGGGGCAAGACGCGTTTGGCAAAGTGGTATGCGCCGTACAGTGTAAGCGAAGCGAAACGATGCGACCTCAAGAGTGGGCATGACTAAGATGTCTGGTTCAGGATGAGGAGAAGGTCAAATTAAAGGGCGAGGTTCGTTTTCTCAACTTCCGGGCCAAAAGGTGTTCTTGGTCTGAGTGTCTGGAACTTCGCTTTGCTCTGGCGTCCTTTCTGTGCTTGGAAGACCCTTCGCTGATGATTTTTCTCGATGTAGGTTCACCGTCTGGTCGCGCCCCGAGACCAAAAATATCAATCGAACTTCGTCGAGTTCCGCCGCAGTACAAAGGTTGTCTACCGCCGATACGCGGGGTTGTTCTTCTGCGTCTGCGTGGACGCCAACGACAACGAACTCGCCTATTTGGAAGCGATTCATTTCTTCGTTGAAGTGCTGGATCAATTCTTCGGGAACGTTTGCGAATTGGATCTTGTGTTCAATTTCTACAAGGTGCGTTTTGTCTCGGGGTTGTGGACTTGTTGCCGGACTCCCGTGAGCAGAAGAGAGGAGAGGCCTTTGGTTGCGTGACCGAGCGCCTTTAGCCCCAAAGAAGAAGACTGACCCGAAGATCTGAACTTTGATAGGTCTATGCTATTCTCGATGAGGTCTTTCTTGCCGGAGAAATTCAAGAGACAAGCAAGCAGGTGGTTTTGACACGACTCGAACATTTGGATAAGCTGGAGTGATACCCTGTTGACACTTTCCCCTGTAAATTTTTTTTTCTCTTCCCTGGTTCATTTTGCTGGGAATACTTTGCATATACTCTGTGCTGCTTGCATCTTTGCAAAGCCACCATGAGCATGGAGTTTTGTTCTACTCTCATCATTCATGGGCATACTGGCGTTTTGATTTCTAGTGGTCAATGGAATGACATTCAATATATTATGGCTGATCAGCTGAAAGCTGAGCGAGCAGATTACCCAGAGTATGCATAGTATGCAGCCTTTTGCGAAACGCAACCTAACACGGCGCCTGGGTATTCGGGACTTGGATTGTGGTTTCCCTCAAAAAAATGAATGAATTGGAAACCCCCGAGACTCGTCATAGACCATATCGAATCAAGAGAGTCGCCGTCGACATCCCCGTCAAAAACACGAGATATCCGAACTTCCCTGTCCCCGGAAGCCAAGGGGAAGCTGCTTTCCTTTTCCTCCTCATGGCGAGAGGTATCTGGATATCGCCGAGGAAAGGCATTCCTCCTGTATCAGCACCTCGCATCTTCGAGTCACTGGGCATCTACTGTAGTTGACAGATCCTCCTATTCAATATCGAATGTGCGTTACAATTACATAGCCAGGTGATGTGCCCCACGGCCCATCAACCGGCCCGTCAATCCAGGCCGCCGTGATCATCTCCACCCCGTCCCTCAGGTTCTTCCCTTCTTGTTCCACCCTCAACTGCCGACATACACTGCCGTCGACGCATACGGCGATCTCACCTGCACCTCCCGCCACGTTACCAAACGGCGAGAAACGGACGGTCTAGAAGAAGGTTTGAAACAAGGCACTGTAGCTTAATTGATGCTTAAATCAACCTCGTGGCTTTTGGCTGTGGGCTTTGGGTGCAGCAGTCAGAGGGTCTCCAGGGCTCCACTGTCAATTGCAGGACAGACGTGCGTGCATCCTACGTGGCCATGCCCGTGGTAAATGATGGCGGATGGTGATGGCGGGATATCAGGACATTGGAATTTAGGAGTTACTCGGAGCCTGGAAGGTCTTATATGGAGAGGGACTAGTATACTCGGCTCGGTTCCTTCGTGATGTTAGTGAGACTTGGTCGATACTTTGTTCATTTGTCTTGCTCTTTGAAGGATGTCTTTCTAACGTGAGTGGATTGGCAGTGATCTTGTTTGTTTGAACAGTCTGCCGGAAGCTTAGGCGACATTCAGTGTAGACGGATGCAGGCGAGTCTCGATAGTCATGGACAATATCCATGTTTAGAGTGGAATGGCTCAGCAAGGCCGAGTTCTTCGAACGAACCCTTGCGCGAGTTTTGAGCAACTTGGATGTCGATGGGGAACTGCGTATAGCTCTACTAAGCACGCAGTCGACGAGGGAAAGCGTCTGGGCCAATGTCAAATCACACCGCATTCGTCCTTGAACAACCTTGACATTCAACATGACTGCATCAGGGAATTCTATAATTCGACGCACAAAAACACGACGGTGACTATACATTTATGCAGTACCCCGAGTTTGAAATGAGCTGTACGATTGCTGCTCCTGCATCGCTGCCAGATCGATCATTCCCAGGCAAGCCGTTCCGCACCTTCGATCAGAGCAATCCTCGCTTCCTCTTTCGATCATCAACCGGACCTTCTTCTGCCCCGGGTCTGCCTTTCCCTTTGCGCATGTAAGAGCTGAACCGCCCGAGACTCCCCAAGCACACGACAGGAACGACAGGAACGACAGGAACGACACCACTCCTGATGCGGGCACGATGTTCTCCGACTCCCCAATTCCGAAGATCTTGGCGAGTGGATCTCTGGCCTGGACCCGAGCGTTGCGGTCAAGAGCAGGTCAGCACGAAGCCTTGGATGTGTTACGCCTGGGAGCACATGGACCATTGGACATGGCAGTGGCCCAATTCAAGACCATTCCAGACTCATCTTTGAGTGTCGACATGCAGTCGATGGGCGACGATCCCACGCACTTTCATCCCACGCGTGGGTCCTAGGAGGAGGGATCACGCCGAGGAGATGATACACACTTCGATGGACTATGGAGCCTATGTGGCATGTACTGTATCACTACTATCTGGCCCTTTCGAGTTTACGTGGTGGTGCGGAGCCAACGGTGGAGCTCTCTTGTCGTCTTCCACTCGTCATTCTCGCATGCTCGAGCGCAAAGGAACCATTTCACTTTGATTGCTCGTCAATGCGGCGCGAAGAGGCGGTTGGAGGCATTGGGAGGCTCGGGAACCTTGAACGTTTGGGGGAGCTTGCCGAACCAAAAGCGAAAAGCAAGAAAAGCCTCGGCGCGGTCATGTAATCCCATCCCCGGGCGAATGTGGAAATTGATCATGTGCCAAAGAATAGTAGTATGGGACATTGGGTTCAGATGGCAGAACCAGAGTTCGCCAAGGTCAGAGTTGGTTGCAAGTGGAAATTGGATCAGGGAAATGGACCCGGTCCAAGCTAAGTCATTTTGACTTTTGTTTATCTCGAGTCTTGACTGACCTGATTCATTGGAAGCCCTTGGCCCCTTCTGGAACTCAGAAGGGCATACAGCCATACAGTATGTACACACTTCCACACTCACATTCCACGGGGCAGTGGAGCCAAAGGACGGAGGACACTGAGCGTCAAGGATTTCTCCTTTACCCACACGTCCACCAACCCGACCCTTTCCATTCGCAAGCCGACTTCTTGTGTGTTGTTGCAAATAGGAAGATTGCATTGCAGAATGTGACACCATCTGAGAGAAAGAGCGAGACAGAAGAGAGAGTGTGTGTGTGTGTCAGACTCAGTGTTGACCAAGTAAGTCCACCCGCATCCAAACCTTTTTAGGACCACGAGTGAATGCCGATTGTTGCGCCTTCCGCAGGTTCCATTCCGCATTCTTTTTTTTTTTTTTTTTTTTTTTTCGGTCTCCTTACTCCTTCTGAGTTTCAGGGACCTCGCATCTGCTCCACTGATAGACCGCGCACCATCCCGTTGTCCTTCTCCTGAATGCTGCGACATGCACGGAAGTACGTACTGTGCAAGTGTACCTTCGTTGAGGATGCGACTCGCGGTAGGACGCGTTGCCCTTCTGTGCCCTCGGCCAATGGGGTCGAACTCAGGCACGGATCGTCCTCCGTCACGCCAGGGCGCCGTCGTGGATCGTGGGTTCAAGTTCAACGAGACCCGCCACGGGCGATGCTGACTCGTGCGGTTGGAGCTTTGGAGGTTGGAGGTTGGAGCTTGGACAACCGGCTTGACATGATGGCCCTGGGAGTTGGCCCACAGCAGGCCCAGCCAGGTCCTGTAGGAATTCCTCTTTCGCGGGACGGAGTCTGCAAGTGGGGACTGGAAAGTTGAAAGGGGGGGGGCAATGGCCAAAGTGGACGTCGGGACAGGACAACGCGCGGTCTTGGGGCTTGGCGGTGCTCAGTGGCGCGTTGGGAAATTTCCGCGTTGGAGGACGGATGGGCGCTTCTCCTGTCCCGAGTCCAGAGTCCAGAGTCCAGAGTCCAGACGTCCTGGTTCGCATCCGTATCGTTGTCATTTCCCAGCCGGGTGTCTGATTACTGATACAGAATTACAGATCGTCCTGCTCTGTATTTTTTCACGACTACGAGCAGAAAGTTATGATTCCATCAATACATCGTGCGTGTCTCGCTTCAAACCGCATCAGCGCAGAGTCCAGATTGCAGATTGCAGAGACGATGGAATCTCATCACAACATCTTCTACAAAACCCGATGCCTGAAGCGGCTTCCAGGTACCTTGCAGAAAACTCTGACCTTGGATCCTTTGTATCATTCGACGTATGCAGGAGGCATACAGCGAGCCTGCGCGCAAATGGATCAAAATGCTCCGACATTCGGTACGGTAATTTGATTGACCTGTACGCACTATGTACGCAGTGGGACTGGTCCCTGGACTGGTTGATGATTGAATGATACCCGTTACACGTGGATCCATGGAACGAGCTCGACATTGGACCGTCGACGTTGACAGTCATGGACTTCCAAGTCGTCCAAGCAGGATTCTTCAACGTTTCAAACGTCTGGCCAAAGGTCTGGTCTATCACTCAAGCAGGACCAAATAGCCATGTCTTCAATTAAGACCGAGTATATCCATCTATACAATCAATGATCTATTGCTGTAGCATGTGATCACTCAGCTGGCGACATGTCTACACCAAGTAACTCTATGGTTGCTTACACTCTTATAGTCGTCAATGTCATCATCAACGACCACCACGGTGAAGGGCCAATACCGTGGAACTGTAAAGTGTAATCAAATGACGTGTTACAATCATAGCAGTAACTCCAATACTCCATTTGGTACGGTTTTCGTTTTTCGACCGAATTTCAAGTTGCTCTTCGCCCCGTACTCATACCGTCCTCAAATCACTCGTCGTCTCATACTACGGTAGCTGTGTAGCTGGTAGCATCCTTCTTTCTGCGTTTCTTCTGCACTGGGCGGACCCACTCTTATGCATTTCGAGTCGTCTTCCCCATCGATCTGGATCTTCCTCTTATCATCAGAATCGCCTGCCTCTTCAAGGCCTTTTTTTTAATCCACCAGCTCGCTCTCCTGTGGATTGGATCTGAATCACTCTCTACTCTACCTTTCCTCTCCTCATCTCTTATCTTTTCATTCCCTTTTCACTGCTCTCCAGTCTCAGCAAGCTCTCTGCAAACATCCACATATTCTATTCATTTACACACACACACACACACACACACACACACACTCCTCGCAATGTCGCTCATGCTATCCGACAACCTTTCACCCCAGCCCGCCACGGACATTTTCACAAGCGACACATGCATTGACCGTCGAAAGTGCCACCGGACAGTGCCCATGAAGGTGTTGGCTCTGGGTGTTGGTCGTACAGGTACTGCTTGTAAGTCTTGAATGAACCACCCGAAACTATCCCGCCTGGTCTTCATCTTGATGGACATGAAATTCCCTCTCCCACATGCCATGGTGCTGATTTCCATGTCTTCGTTGTGATCCACAGCTCTGCGCAAGGCCTTGGAGCGTCTAGGCTATGTCAAGTGCTACCACATGATGTGCGCCAGTGTCGAGAACCCTCCTGATTGTCTGATGTGGCACGATGCCCTCAATGCCAAGTACAAGGGCATTGGCGAATTTGGTCGCAAGGAATGGGATCAGCTCCTGGGTGACTGCCAGGCCGTCTGCGACTGGCCGGCGTGCGCCTTTGCCAAAGAACTCATCGAGGCCTATCCCAACGCCAAGGTCATTCTGACCACCCGCGATGTCGACCCCTGGCACGCCTCCGTCATGAAGACCGTTCACTGGCGAGTGAGCGACCCCGAGCACAAGCTGGTCTCCAACTTCAGCTGGGCGGCGGGCATGTACTATCCCATGCTGAACACCTTCTTTGAAACCTTCTTCCGCGGGGATTTCCCCGGCAAGGGCAAACAAGTCTACAATGAGCATGTGGAATTGGTCCGCAGCTTGGTGCCCGCCGATCGTCTTTTGGAATACAACATCAACGACGGATGGGCTCCCCTGTGCGAGTTCCTCGAGGAGGAGCTTCCCGACACACCCTTTCCCCGTGGCAACGACATGGCCGACTTTTACAAGCGCTGCAGTACCCGCAACCGTCATCAGATGATGAATGCTGCCTTGCAAGCTGTTACCATGGCCGGTGCCGTTGTCGCCACTGGCTTCGCCGCTACCATGGTCTTTAAGCGATTCGTTCGGTAAAGCGGCGGACAAACCGAAACGGTCATCCAGGAACAGCATCAAAAAACCAGAGACGATCACCCCTGTCTCGAATAATCTTCCCCACCAATATTCTGTCTTACCCGCACTTGATTCCTTACATCCAGGCATCTGTTGACCTGGATTTTTGTTCAAAGGGATGCGGGCATCCCTTGAAGGGAACGTGCTCAAGAGTGCGAGCATCCTTAATTTCTCCTTTCTTTGCTTCCATACCTCATGTTCCTTGGTATATTGTTCTTGTCGCTCTCGTCTGAATTCCTTTTCAGCATTCCGCTTCACCTGCTGAGGAAGCCTTCTGGTACAGCGGTCTTCTCCAGAAGAACTTTGTTCTCCTGTCTTTTTCTTTTTCTTTTCTTTTGCTTTGAGATTGATATTCCCCGACCATTGTCTGCGATTTGATTTGATGACTTTTGGCCACCAATGGACCTGCCTTTTCTTGGGACAGTATCACTATCTACTGTCAATCATGCGAGCAGCTACAGTACATAAGATGATCAAAAGATGACTCTACCATGAAATGCGTTCTTTACGAATAACTCTACCTAGTCCTACTCCCTCAGAAATGCTTGGCGTTGAGAGAGTGCTCCAGGAATCCTCGCAACCAAGGGAATCGAAGAATACCTGCCCGACTTGGCGCAGCAGTGCTCACCCTAGATGATCATCCCAGATGAGCAATGTCTTGCTCGACCATTCACTCCATTTTCCACCATAGGGGATCAACCCCCGCGACACTTGCCACTTGCAAGCACTCATTATTCACGAACCGGTAGCCCTGTCTGTCACTGGGTCGATTCGCACTGCCTGGTCTATCCAGCGTATTTCCGTCCTTGATCCAACGCAGGAGAGGAAAAGGAGTCCGCTCCCCACATTGTGACCATACGCTCAGACGCTGTACTTTTGGTCATCACCTTTTTTTTAATTATTATGGTTTTTTGTTTTCTTTTTCAGGGGGCGCCGCGTACCTCCCGTCAGCAGCCGTGCGCCCTGCCGCTCTTCCACTCAACAGGCATTCCATTCGTATTCGCACAGGAAAAAGCCCGCCAGTCTTGGACATGTCCACACGCCACGCTGGGAACTGGGGGGAGTTGGAAACCTTTGGGTAGTGTTGACTGTTGTGACGGTCTGACCAGCGGCTCTGCTCGCTTTGGCTCCAGCTTTTAGTCTCAGTCTCCCCTCTATACTCTAGTGTACTCTACAGGACATTCTAGTACTCTACCATAGTCAGAAGTCGCCTGCACTTGGATAGGAGGTTTCGTCCGTCTTGGCGGAATGACCCCTGGACTGACGGTTCAGGCCCACTTCAATGAGTTTGATGTTCGTTTCTGGGTCGTCGACGATACTCTCGAGCCATCAGGTGGCTGTGATCGACCGTCTTTGACGCTGTATGACCTTGTGCCAATGTGGTGAGGTGTAACACTGTAATTTCACATGTAATTCTACTGTGAGTACCGATCGAAGCCCCGAAGTCGCCTTCTGATTCTCTCGATCTGCTCGCTCCTGTGCAGTGCCTGTGACTACCGGGACCCAGTCTTGTATGTCTTGGCTTCCTCGTTCCGGAGCTCTGCCCGCTCGGAAAAGGGCCTGCCAGCACCGGGACGATGAGCGGGATAAGGTGGACGCCGGATCGGGCTGTAAGGCGAGGAATATACCCAGAGCGGGCTAACCAAGATGTTTGAATACTCACCAGTCAACGCAATCCCCGGACCAACACTCATACTCCTGTACCTGTTGTGGCCGCATGCGGCGTATTATTCACGGGCAGAGCGGAGGTATAATGCTGAATACAGTGAATAGTGACTAGCTCACGATGGATCTTGCTATTGTTCTCATCCTAGGGTTGGCAAATGTGTGCTTGATGGTAAATTTACCAGTCGCTCGTGCGAGTCCGATGGAAAACACAACGTTATATTCAGTTAATTCAATAATCTCACCGGTGGTAATAAAATACCGGTCTAGTCTCCCTGCGGTCGCTACTTCGGGAGCTCCTGAAATAACGCGGATCTCGTCGTGACTCGTAACCCTATCCGACTGTCGACGAGCTGGAAACGTGTCGACCCCAGAAGTGGGTAAGGTTACTAAGAGGTACACTGGTACAATAGCATAGTAGATGTGTATATGGATTGCTCGCCATTCTTTCCATATGTACACGTGGACTGGATCCTTTGACTGCACCCTCGATCGAATGGCAGGCGGACTTGACGGATGCATGGGCGCTTGCGCAGCTTCGTGTTGCAGCTTTGAGACCGAGACCTCCACCGTACACTTCTAGAAAGATGACCACTTTACTGGACGTTGAACAAAGAGAGACCGCGCGTCCATCATGATGTTGTCGTCGTCGTCGTCGTCGTCATTGGTACAATGGATCAGTCACAGAGCTCAGTTTTGAATCTCGTTGGTCCTGATCCATGTTGATTCATGTCCGTGTTAGGTTAGAACTTGTCCACAACTGACAGTCGTATGTGGATTGTGGCGTATGTGGCTGGGGGAAAAACAAAAAACAGCCTGCTGGCGCCTCGCTACGACACAAAGTCACCCATGTCCGTGTCCGTGTCAGTGGTAACTCGTACCGTAAGTGACTTCCAGACAAGGTCATGTCTCGAACTGGCCGCCGATTCGATGCGGCTCCGTCCGAATTGCAGGAATCTGGACCCGGCAATTTCACGTGTCTTGGTCAGAAGTGGAGGGGTTTATTTATTGTTGAATCAGATTACAGTTTGCCCATCTTTTTGTCTAAGGTGCTTATGCCGGTTTTTGGGCCTTTTTCTTCGGTGGGTCTGAGTCCGTCTGTGGTCGGATTCCGAGAATTCTGGCTAGATCGGATCCAGGATCTTGATTCTTGACACACAGACGCTTGATACATGAGTCTAATGGTGAGAATGCAGATTGTTAAGTGTAAGTGGTAAGTAGTCAGTAGTAACTAAGTACTATAAGTAGTAAGTAGTAGTACTTACTAAGTGTACTACAGCATGACTTTGCTGTACTACTCCAGGATGCCGAATGCACGTCGAGAGTGGCTCGCTTGCCCAGCGACAGCAGGGTGATGCAGAGTGCAAGTTACTAGCGCTAGCTTGGCTTGGTCTGACCTTCTGACTGTCGGACGCTAAGCCGGAGCGTGACGCGGCCTGCAACAACAAAAGGATTCAAGAAGATGAACGAGCATCGAACCTTGGCGCCCGTCAAAATTACAGTACGGTTCGTTTCTTTAGTTTGTACAATACCGCTATGTCGGGGAGGAGCGCACTCGTGACCATTGCCCAGATCCATATTTGGCCCGGTGGTAATTCCACGGAAGAAGCGATCAGTATCACTCCAGGGTGTTCACTGTTCACTGTTCATAAACCACCCTAGACAAGACGGGGAGTGGACAATATGAGGGAGCAAACTTTGGTTCCTTCACTGGGACTTCCCGGGGAGACCATGTGGTCCACGAAAAGAGAAAGGATGTGCTCATGTGCTGACTCTGGCCCTCTGCTGAGTCGGGGGAGAAAAACCGGGGAGGGCGTCTTGGCAGCAGGAGACGATCGTGAGCTTAGTACGCTTAACCGTTGCGTGGCTTGCGTCTTATCCCGGCAGTTGAAGACTGACTCCGCCAGTGAGAACCTCGACGGGGGGCTCCGCTCTTTGCGCTGCGGAACACGGCGTCCGGGCAGAGTCAATGGCATACCCAATTACACATTACATACTCAAAACTGTACGATTACGACGCGTATTTCGCTGATACGACCGGAAACTCACGGCCAGCTTCAAGGTGGGTGAACGAGCCCGATCCGCACAGCTTTGGACAGTTATCGCGACCGAGACCAACACACCAAGGAGGTAGAGGGAGGAGATCTTGCTCTTCTTGCCTGGACAAGGGTGAGATCATGCCTTCGTATGTACAGCCTTCGTATGTACAGCCCTACAGCCTACTGCCTGGCTCAACCCCATCTGACGGTCAGTCACTCCGTCGTACGGAGGGTCCCTCCTTTCCTCCACCCCCTCGGCCTCCTCCAGGCTTCTGGAGCCAGTTCCTCGGTACGATACTTCCGGGATGATGAAGATTTGATGATCCATCCGGGCTGCGAACCTGCTCTCCCTACATGCCTGCCCGGATCAGTTCGTACTCCACATCTGCGATTCACTCTTCTTCTCGCTGGCCACAGCATCTTTCTTCTTTTAATTCCTTCGTGATGTGCCGATGTGATATCCATCGAGGTTCATGATCGTCGCCCTTTTCCGTCTCCATGACGAGCTTCTCCGTCCCGCCTGTGCTTTACCTCGGCGGACTGCTACTGCTCTGCTTCCTGCATAGAGCCATTGCCGAAGACGTCGCCTTTTACAAATCGGTGAGTATCCTTTGCGATCTGTTGTTCTTTCTTTCCGGGCTCAGTCCTTGCTCGATTGAATAGCTCGGCCGACCGTGCCTTTGACGCGAGCCAGAGCCTTCTGCAGTCTGTAGTCTGCACTATACCTGTCCTTGGCGTCGTCGTGAAGTCCTACCTATCTAATTGATCATCATGCGTCTCCCCACAGCGGCCCGACATTTCTCCTTTGATTCTCAACATCGAAAAAACGATTCCAGAGAAGCTCGCACCGGGGTATATCTTTATCGCGCCATATGAGGCAGCGAACTCGGGACCATACATCTTCGATAACAACGGGGTAGGTTCGAGCCGATGACCAACCCGTGTGCTCATCGTACAGGTGCAACGACCCACGGACGCTGACTAGTCGGCGACAGGAACTTATATGGAGCGGATGGGGCGTGTCTGGACCGGGAAACGCCCATGGTATCCATGTCTGCAAATACAAAGGTGCCGACCACCTGTGCTTCTTCCAAGGAGATCAGCAAAAGGGATACTGTCGGGGTCATGGAGTCATCTTGGACAAATCGTACCGGATTGTACGATCGGTCCAGCCTGGCGGTGGGATGGCGGCTAGCGACATGCACGAGTTTCGCCCAATCGACGACGGTCGAAGCGCCCTCATGACGGTGTACCAGCAGCGGCAGTTTGACATGAGTCCCTGGAATGTTCGCACCGGCATGGGGTGGATCATGGAGAGCGTCTTTCAGGAAGTGGAGATTGAGACGAGCAAGGTCTTGTTCGAGTGGCGCTCTCTCGATCACGTCGATCCTTCATTGAGCTACACTTGGCCCTCGCATACCGATACGTCAGGAACCGGGCTGCATGCGCTCGAGCCGTGGGACTACTTCCATATCAATTCGGTGGACAAGAATGACGACGGAGACTATCTGATCTCCTCCCGTCACACCTCTGCCATCTACAAAATCTCGGGCCGGGATGGCTCCATCATGTGGCAATTGCACGGAGCAAAACCGACGTTTCGCAACATCAATTTTAGTTTCTCGCAGCAACATGACGCGAGATGGTTGTTTGAGAACACCACCCACTCAGTCATCTCCTTCTACAACAATGGGTATAACGGCTTCAACCAGACTCATCCCATTTCATCTGGGATGATCGTCTTGATTGACCATGTGGAGAAGACCGCGACGCAGATTCGCGAGTATGCACCCGCAGTGTCTGATCTCGTCAGCTCCAGCCAAGGAAACCTACAAGTTCTGCCGAATCAGAATGTGTTTGCAGGCTGGGGTAACAATCCCTTTGTATCGGAACATGATCCAGACGGCAATTTGGTCTTGTGGGCACGATTTGCCGAAAACGTCGTGATGAACTACCGTGCCCAGAAATTCGAGTGGGAAGGGACCCCCACCGATTCCCCGGCTCTTTGGTCATATTCCCGTGCCGGCACACCCGTCTCTCCCTTGCAGTTCTACGTGAGTTGGAATGGCGCCACACAAGTGAAGACGTGGCGCTTCTTTGGCGCTCAAAACGCCACTGGTCCCTGGGAACTTTTAGCGGAGGCGCCCAAGACTGGCTTTGAGACGGAATTCATTCATCCCGCTTATTTCCCGTGGACACGAGCAGGTGCGATTGGCGCGGACGGCCAAGAGCTTGGAATGTCCGAGGTCAAGTATACCTTTGTGCCGTCGTCAGCTCTTCGCGAGTTCTGTCAGATGGATACTTGTCTCGATACTTTCGCCTATGGATTTCCGGGTGAGGAGGGAGCCGAGCCGCACATTCCAACGGCTGGTGTGAAAACCGTGCCGTGGATTGATGCAAAGTACGAAGAAGGCATCTGGTCCTATCCTTCGGGCTTTCCACATATCCATTCGGAGTCGAACTCGTCCTTGTCCTCGGATACAGAATCGGTCAAAGAAGGGGGAGGACCGCCTGGGAGTAAGTGTCATATGATTTCCCCCCCCCCCCCCCCCCCCCCCCCCCCCCCCTTCAATCCCTTGCCGTAGTGATTTTATAGTCAACCACGGAAGAAAGAAACCGCAAACTCCGGCTTACACTTTGCACAGATTCATTCCGGTGGGGTCTTGCGATTGCCGTCGTCATTCAATTGCTCGCTGGCATATACTTTGGCTATCGATATTATTTGAATCGCCAGGAGTTGGAGTTGTCAGATGACGAGTCAGGGAATCCAACGCCTGTGAATAGCGTGCCCTACCAGGGGGCCCTGCAGGGGTCAAAGCATCACCTCCCATGGTGGAATTGGCGGCGATGGACGAGGATGAGAGAGGAGATGAAATATTTTCCTCTTACTGATCGTACTGCTCCTCCGCGCGAGCGGAGAGAATGAAATGTCCGGTAACCGACCTGCATGTGTCATCTCTCGACTTCTGCAATCCTCATGACCCTTGGATTGTCGATATTAGCGTCGATCATATTAGTGACACATTCAAAACTCCCCCCAGAGCTTGTCCAGGTCGCAACTGTCCAGTCCTAGAGGATCAGTAGCTAGGTAGTAGGTACTGTACTCGACTACTCACTAACGAGTATCGGATTTCTTGACAGTCAGCAGTTTGACCGGCGCTGATCACCCCGTCCAGACATTCCCAGCCCTAGTCATGACGTAGCTTTTGCTCCAACTTGCCGAGTTCTCAACATATGTCTTGAGTCCAGAACTGTACCGGAAACCAGGAGGATCTGAAACCGCGACGGTGGTTTCACAATGCCACGCCCCTGAGTCGATCAGCGGGGCTAACTGGTTATTTGGCAACGATAATTGACAACAGCACCTTTTTTTGTTTTTTTGTTTTTTTTTTGTTTTTTTTTTTTTTTTTTTCCAAGTGAACCTCAATCTAAATCTACCGTAGTCAATCTTGCTCATGGGCGCTGGTAAAGAAGAACTGGTAAGACCGCGAATCCAAGCATGCGTTGAAAAGTTTAGTGTTTCCGACGGGTACGTTTCTTTCGATGAAATGTCTGGATTTGGAGCCTGGGACGACGGAGACGCGTGTACTTTTCGGTTACGGGGTTGATTCGAACGTGCGAAGATAAGGTATGGAGTCATTGGATTGCAACTCACACTACATAGTAAATAGTAAATAATACTAATTTCCTGAGTAGTATATAAGAACGAAGTTGTGGCCACAATTTTGAGTCTTCCCATGCTGAATGGAGTCGGCTGCTGGGACACGTCTATCATTCACACTGTAGTACTGGGCAATCCGATGATACTTGCTTGAGCCAAGCATACAGGTAGTTCACTCAGACTGTGAGAGTATCAAGCGAATGCTTGTTGAAAATTGATGACCGTATCTAGGTATGAGCTAGCCACGGGGCAGAGCAGAAGGCCATTGTAGATTGTACAGTTGCAGTTTGCCAGTGTATCCCCTTCCCTGAACGGAGCTCGGCGATGTCGGGACTCGGGACCGGGCATCTCCTTCTAGCTGGGTCACTGACGATCGAGTGCATAATTGCTAATCAATCGGATGCGTCGATGATACAGCGGAGAGTTTGACTGCATGTTCCACCTACTCCTACTCCTACTCCTAGTGTATGTGGCTATGTGCCGCGTGTTCTGACTTCCAACTAACATTGGCTATGATTTCCGCTCCGCGCTGGTTTCAGGCCAGGTACATGGAGAGATGGAGAGTAATTCCACGCTATCTGTCGTAGTGCGCAATTCAATGTTGGAGGTCCAATGTGCTTAGGCCTGCCAGCGCCAGGTGGGCTGGGCTTATTATACCTGGGACTGAGTTTGGGTGTGCCGGCGTGGAAGCTTGCGTATGCTCGATGTGATGGAACTTTATTGTTGATCTTGGATGTTTGTATAATGTATTGTTTGACTTTACTTGTATAACCGTATGACCGTGCTCCGGTGCTGTAAACTCGTATGTATTCATGTATTGTAAAAAATATGCGATTGTACGGTATGTAATCTATTGCCTTGGCTGCATGTCATAGGCCATGGAATGCCGAATCGAAGTGTAGCACTACTCATCAATACAATCCTATAGACGGAGAAAATATTAACAATAACTTGATCGAATGATCATTCAAAGCACAAAGGTAAATAAGCAGAGTCGACCTTGAATACTGCATTCTCTGGGCTATATGTATGTAGAGACATTACCAGATTGTATTGCAAAGACTACAGCAGCTGAGCACTCAGCACTGAGCAGTGAGCAGACCGACAAAATCAAATACAGTAAGAGAAACCTGCGAAGGAGCTCCGGGGAAACAAGTCACGAAAATAATAATCACAAGCATAACCACAATGGCACAATCATGCCAAACCCGATTCCAATCTCCGACCTTCGAGAAAGAACAAATCCAAGCGGAACCTTCTCAATGCATCTTGCATCATCGCCAATTTGGACCTGACTCCACCATATCCACTCTGCCAACCGATCCCGTCTTTTCCAAATCTCCACATTTCCACTCGCGAGTTCCGGTCGCGGGCTCGGCTTTCGCTTGCCACGTAGGTCTTGTGTACAGATGGACACCGCGGCAAATGAGAGGAGGCCAGTCGAGTGCCAAGACTGCCTTGTCGGCAGTCGGATGGGTCTGGCTGGGCGGGTGGATTATTTGATGTCGCTGTCCTCCAGGCGGTCCACTTGTTCAGGGGGAGGAAAAGGGAGAAGGTGGAAGAGCCGTAGGGCTCGACAGGGCGGGTGGAGCGGTCGTCGCAAGCTCGGAACAGTAAGTGCTGTGCAAGTAAGGTATAGGCAGTCAGTTACAGTTACACGGTTACAGTATGTGATTATCCGTTGTCGTGTCAATTGAGCTGGGGAATCGAGTCAAGAAAAGATAGGGAGAAATGGCTGTGAGCCAGAACCTCGGGTCGAGTGCTCGTGTATAGAAGAGCCCGAGGGCTTCGTGCAGAAGATAGCCAAGGTATCAAGATGGCATTCTCGGAAGGACCGAGGCTTCTACAGAAGGAGTGTAAGGGCCTGCGCAATTCAAGGGCATGTACATTGCAAAGGGCAAGATAAATCACATTGACTTGAGTAGGTGCCTCCTGACACCTGTACGATTGGATTAGATACAAAGGTTTAGGAAGATTGCAACGACGATGAACGCGTAGTAGTCGACGGTGGAGGACATCGGTTCGCATATCCGCCTGGATCCTCTTTCAAGATGGGGTATCTATGCGAGAGCTGCCGTTCCATGGCATTGTTCTTCGCAACCCACTCTCACCAAGTAGCTATGCAGCATGCGTAACCTTGTCTTATTACGACCAGCTATTCCGAAAAATGAGGACATATAGTAACGTTACTAACGTATCCCGCTGTGCCTTCGTCTCGAATAGCACAAACAGTGGTTTTCCACCAGCGATTGAGAATAGTCGGACGTGCGAAGTTCCTATCTCAAATCTCAATCGAGTCTTACGAAACCTGGGATATGCCCTGCCGACTGATATTACTCTGATTTGATCCCGATAAGTTGATATACGGCATGGCGTTACCATCAAAATGTCGTGCTATTGTATTGGTGTACTCACCTACTGTATGATAACTTAGCGAATCTATGAACGCATTGTATTCTGTCAAAAGCCGACCAAGCGAGCCACAACGATCACAACGATCACAGTCTCATCCATGGTATCGAGCTGTCAGTGGATTCAGTCTTCACCATTCATATCTCAGAGAAACGCCGAGGCCGAGTATTCTCAAGGATGCCCGACGGTCTGGTCATGAGAGGTTGAATCCTTTGGGGTAAGGTGCGTACTGCGTATAGTTGGACATACGTAGCTTTACCCGATGCCGCGGTCAGCCTCATGCACTAAACAACGGGAAAATAAGAAAATTAAAATCAAGTGAAATGCAGAGGGAGCGAAATGCGTATGATCTAATTAGCATTATTTACTCCAGAGTCCAGACGATGGAAATGATGCTGACCACCGCTTATCTCCTGGCATCTTGCTCCCATAATCCCATTTCAATTTCTCCATGTGACTCGAGATTGTCCTTGGATATTTTCCCATTCTCGCAAACCCCAGATCCACTTCTGAATTCTGATATACTCATCGAAGATTCCGAAAAGAAGCATTGCCTGCGATTTGGACACGAAACGGTGTTCCCAAAGGAGAGAAACCTACATCAAATAGCGACGCAAACCACGTGAAACCGCAACCGCAGGAGTCGTACCATCCTGACTTTGTCAATTGCATTAGCAGCCCTGCTTTCTTGTGTCCCCCCCCCCCCCCCCCCCCCTCCTCTCCCCAACTCCAATCCTGTTCTCGACGTGTCTAGAGCACTAGCAGCTCTCCTCAAGCTGGCCCTGGAGTGGTGCTCTACCACTCTTTTCCTGTCCTTCCGGCCTAGCATTGATTCTACCCTGGCGGGTTCCAATGCGGGTTCTCTTATCCGAAGCTTACACATACCTTACATTCCCCATCGCCCTCCCCCTCTCCTCCCCTCATGCCGGCCAAGTTCCAGCCGCCGACCACCCATAAATCGAGTAATGCCCGCCACGCGCGCACGACCTCTTGGTCCAGTGGCTTTCGTCATCTAGGTGCGTCGCAGACATCCGGAGACTCACCCGACTCTGCATACCCACATCCATCTCGACGTCGCCGCGAATCGACGCATTCCCTCGCCAGCGTCGACGAGGGCTTCTCTCCGCCTGAATCTCCCCATCTGCACGACCGTCCACACGACAGTGCCAATGCTCACGACATGCTGCGCAACACCTCGATGGATCACACGGCTCGCAAAAGTCAGCATGTGCGCAGTCGTTCGCAATCTCAAGGCGCATCGGCGATTCTAGCAGTGCAAGAGTCTGAACTGAACGCCGCCGAGGGCATTCCTGTCCCCGTTGCGCCGCAGGCGGGCCCGGTGACGTGGATGTCGTTACCGCGAAAGGGCCAATTAATCCTGCTCGGCCTCTGTCGGGTCTTTGATTTTCTTCAGATCGCCTCGCTCCAGGCTTACATGTTTTACCAATTAAAGTCCTTTGACGAAAATCTCTCCGATGCGGACGTGGCGACGCAAGCGGGAATACTGCAGGGCGCATTCACCGCGGCGCAATTTGCGACCGCCATACCATGGGGTCGGGTCGCAGATGCTGAATGGGGTGGCCGTCGTTTTGTGCTGCTGGTAGGCCTCGTGGGAACGGCCATCTCGTGCTTGGGAGTAGCATTTGCGACATCGTTTGCGCAGGCCGTCTTTTGGCGCTCATTTGGTGGCGCTATCAATGGAACCGTCGGTATCATTCGGACGATGATTGCGGAAAACGTCAAGGAGAAGAAATACCATTCACGTGCTTTTTTGATTTTGCCCGTTGGTTTCAACGTTGCGTCTCTCTTTGGTCCTGGTAAGTCTTGATCCTGCGAGAAATGGGCCTCGGCATGTTGCAGTAGGCCCGAGGGGATTGTGAGCTTCCAGCTGACATGCATTGCACAGTCATGGGCGGTTTGCTGGCTGATCCAGTCAGAAGCTATCCCCGTCTGTTTGGGCCCAATTCCTCCTTTGGCGGTGAAACCGGAGTACAATGGCTTGTCAAGTATCCCTATGCTTTGCCCATGCTGGCCAATTTTTTCTTCATGTCCAGCTGTGCCGCTCTGGTGGGCTACGGTCTAGAGGAGGTAAGAAATCTCACATCTGTGCAAGCGGTAATTTCAATTCCAAAGAGCACTCGCTGATTTCCTCCACAGACTCTTCTCTCCTGCAAAGGGAAGCCTGGTCTTGGATCCGCCGCGCTGAAGCTTCTTGCGCGCAGTGTAAGAACCGTCCTCGGAAAATCTTCTCCGCTATACTCCAGGCTTCCTCTTCACGAGTACGACGAGGATGGCCCTTTGCTCGGGCGGCACACGGATCGCTCCGAGAGCTACGAGATGGAGGAGAAAGCGTCGCGACCCGGGAGTGTCAAGCGTACCCTGCCATTCCGCAGGATCTGGACAAAGAACGTGCTGTGTACTCTTGTGGCGCAGGCGTTCTTCGACTTTCAAATGGGGTAAGAATTGGTTACCTTTGGGCACTTCTCGTGATTACCGCCCTCTCATTTTTACTGACAACGATGGACTCTCAGAGCTTTCAATAATCTATGGCTACTTTTCCTGTCGACACCGCGTTATGATCCGAACGACCCGAACAGTCCCCCTCGAAGCCTGCCGTTCATCTTCACCGGTGGTTTGGGCATGCTGCCTCAAAGTGTCGGATTCGCAACCTCGATACTCGGCATGATCGGTATGCTTCTGCAGTTCACCATCTATCCATCGATTAACGGCCGCTTGGGTACAGCCAAAAGTTATCAGTACTTCCTCGCGCTGTTCCCTCTGGCTTACGCCCTAGCCCCCTATATGTCCCTTGCGCCGTCCACCACACCACCCCCCGGTCAGGCAAATGGACCCTGGGTCTGGTTCTGGATCATCGTTGTGCTTCTCCTCCAGGTTACTGCTCGAACATTCACTCTGCCGACCTCTATCATTCTACTCAATAACTGTTCCCCGCATCCTTCGGTGCTGGGCACAATGCATGGCATCGGTCAATCTGTGTCGTCTGCCTTCCGCACCATCGGTCCCATATTCTCCGGTGCTTGGTATGGCTATGGATTGGAAATAGGTACCATTGGATTTGCCTGGTGGCTTGTGGCTCTTGTGTCGGTCCTTGGCTGTGTGGCCGCCATATTTGTATATGAAGGCTCAGGTCATGAAATCTATCTCCCGGGGGAGGAAGATGAATTAGAGCACGGCCATTGAGTGGAGTCCCTGTATGATATGATGTATACTTTTTTCACTCTTTCCTGTCCTTTGATGTGGTCCAAGGCTGGACTTTATGTGCATTTGCTCCGGCGTTTATCAGTCTCTAGTGGCCATTTCCTTGGTTGTCGCATGGTCGTCTAGATCTGGGTGATCCTTTCTCGACTACATTTCAATAGTTTTGTTGTGATGCCCAACCCTTCCAATTCTCTCCACTTTTCGCTGTTCTCTTTGCTCATTAGCACAAGTTATTTGATAAAATGATCCATGCATCTTTGGCTTGTAGCATAAATGAGTCCTCAGTCAGGCCTAATATCATAGATCTTTCCATAAGCCCTTTTAATCTTACCCGTACCACTTTCGAGACAGCGTGGATGAAATCCTCGAGCTTCCACACCAAGGGTAAACAGCTTGAGAGTTCCTCACACGACTACCTTGTTTTTTCGAGGCCATGTGGTCACATACATGTACAGTGTGCTTAACATCAACTTTATGAAGATGCACCGTAGCCCTTGACGTAGCTCGCATCAAAAGTCTCCTGGTTCACAGCGAATTGCCGGATATAATCCCGCTCCAAATCATGCGTCCTCCGGCCCAACAAGACCAGGCTGTGCAGCGGAGCACCCATCTCCACCGTGCTCAACTCCTTCAACGTTCCCACAACGAGCTTCTGGTCCGGCGCACCGACGCGGGCCGCACCCACAGCCAAGCTATCCTCGGTGTAAACACCTTCTTGCCGAGTCTCCTCAGTTTCCAGCATCTGGCTAGCGCATTGTGCCACGGTCATATAGCGAGGAGGCTCGAAGATCCGACGGCCACGGGCTAGGTTCTCCATAGATTGTTCCTTGACCTTGATGTCGAGCAGAACAAGCGTGTGCAGACCAATCTGGACATTCTCGCGGACTTTGTCGTAGAATGAAGAGGGTTTCCAGTTCTCGGTGAAGAAGACCATGCTGACGGTTTGTCCGAAGTTATACAGCTGTAGACCAGTGCAGCCAATGCCGGACATGATCGAGGCATTGGGGACAACATTTGTGGGAATGTTCAACTCGCGTGCGCGGAGGACGAGATCGGTGTGTGTTGTGGCACTAATGATGGTGGCGGTTAATACCTTGATTCTTAGATCCCGGCAAACATTTGTGCCCCTTTGGTATATCTTGACCTACCCGAATGGATCACCGACAACCAAGAAGGCGACATCAGCCTTATCGGCACCGGCAAGAATCTCATCACTGCCAGTTTCGACTAGCTCTCTGTCTGCCTCGATGACGGGACGGCCGTAGAACGCTTCCTAATCATTTTGAGCATTTCCGTCAGTCACAAATTCCTCTCATAGTTAATTGAGATATCAATTGGAAGGAGCTCCGTAGCTCCGCATAGAACTCACAAGCTTCTCTTTGTCCACCAGCAGAACGGCTGTGTACGCCTCCAGATAGACACGCTCAGCTTTCTTCACAATCTCCAATCCCCGGACAGTAATGTCCTTTTCATCCGCAAGACCCAGACCCACGAGGTGCAGCATGGTTACTGTCTTTTTCAAACTTTGGTTACCTCTCTAATCTCAATATCCTGGATTTTCATTCTCAAGGCAGACGGAAATGATTATTTGCCCCGCGGCAGAACCTCGCTCTCATCTAGATAAAGACACCGCTTTTGTTTAAAAGCTCCAGCTTATCGATACCCGTATCGGTATCGGCATCCTTATCGTCATCCTTGTCTTTATCTGTTCCCGGATTCTTCTCTCAACGTTTCATCCGATATTGCTCCCTCGAACGGGTGATTGAAGTCTTTTTTTGTTCCACCGGTGACCAAGATTGAAGCGTATAGTTACCTTACAGGCACTTAAAGGCCATCTCACTATCTCTAAGTCATAACAACCACGTGGATTCACGTCGGAAGCTATCAAGATGAGCTCCGATCGTCAACCCAAGTATCGCCAGGAGATCCAGCAGGTATGTACTCACATAGACCTACAATATCTTCCAGATCATCTCGGCAACATAGCTGTGTCTTGTTCCATCTCTCGTCGGCCGTCGATTATATATTCAAGGCTTGAGTGCACGAACCGCTCCAAATGTGAAGACTCGTATTGAGGGTTTCGCATTCCTATGGTGTCTGCCAGCGGCCGCGAAGCGGAGCCGCCCAGGCCGGTTGCTTTATATGCAATTCAGCGGCGTTTCTTTTCGTCGTCTTCGGGCTGGAGCCAAGTCAGGAGTCTTAATGTGACTTGGTGAGGAATTGCGACTTTGGGGATACAATACCCTCGTCGTATTGTCGCACACGCGCTTTTGTTCACATAATGTGCGCTTGTGAATCATCTCTTTCTCGGTTCACCGTACTCATCAATGTCGCCTGGGGACCGCGTGTGAGAGTTATTGCCATCACATCGCTCTTTTTCATTTCAGCTTCTTGCACGCATCCACTTTCGTCCAACATCATCTCTCAGCTTCGTGTCGTCTCAAGTCCCTACTCGTCTCTTGTTGGCTCATTGTCATCGGTTAGAGTCACCTCTCACAGTCAGATCAACCCGCTCTTGTCGAAGTCCACATCCATTTGTGACCTGAGACTGAGTGACAGCCCGCCCAACTCCGAAATATCGGCTGCACTTGGTTTTCAGTACGCTTGGTGTTCAGTGCATTACTTTTTCCCAGCCTGCGTCTGAGGAAGTGAATCATGGCGGCCCTGAAAGCTCAGCTGAGACCCAAGTGGTCGTTCAAACCGATCCTGATCTCCGATGATGCCCGTAGTCTGAGCTCCTGCTCGCATTACTCGACCTGTCTGGAATACATCTCGGATTCGCCCACCCACGTACCTGCACTGGCTCAGGGTGTTCAGAATCCCACACCGCCCTCTACTGCTGGCTTTGAAGCGCCTCGTCTGTTTAAATCTTCTTCTCGAAGGCTGTCCGACGCAAGTGATACCTCCTCGTTCTACGACGGTCACCACAAGACCGGTGCATTCAGCTTTTGCGGAAAGAACAGGAAATCCAAGAGTGATCACGAAACGAAGCCTGCTGAACCTGCCGGTACCATCAGCGAGACTTACGACGCCGAAGACGAGATGGATTTTGACAGCTTCATGTATCCGAGCGCTGCTCTGTTCGACTACCCTTTTACTGACGAGCTCCTCCTTCAGATGATGTTTGTCTCTGGTGAGACTGCTGAAGCCTCCGTAGAAACGACTACACTCATCGAAGACATCACGCGCGAGCAAGTCTTGGAAATCGTAAGTTCACACTACACTCACCCACCTCTTGGCTATCACACGATGTGCCGCTCACCGCTTCATAGCTCACCCGTGGAGCTCAAATGGCTGCTCGCCGTGGCTCACGCTCGATTTCTACCGATGATTTGATCTTCTTGATCCGTCACGATAAGGCCAAGGTCTCCCGCCTCCGTACATTCCTGTCTTGGAAGGACGTTCGTAAGAACGTCAAGGACTCTGACGACAAGGGTGGTGCCGATGCAGCTGATTTTGCCGCTGCCGACGACGCAGCCGGTGTCGTAGCGGGTCCTCAGGACGTTGCGTCCAAGCCCAAAAACAAGCGCGCCAAGGTCGGTCTTGCTTGGGATGTCAACAGCTTCTTCTCGGTTCAGATCCCAGAGCGCGAAGATGAGGAAGATGAAGAGGAGGAAGAGCAAAACTACGCCACCCTCCAGCGCCTGGCAGCCGCCGATGAACGCACCAAGCACATGACCAAGGAGGAGTACGTTGTCTGGTCAGAGTGTCGTCAAGCCTCCTTCACCTACCGCAAGAGCAAGCGTTTCCGTGAGTGGGCGGGCTTTGGCATCGTCACCGAGTCCAAGCCCAACGACGACATCGTGGATATCCTTGGTTTCCTGACCTTCGAGATCGTCCAAACCCTGACCGAGGAAGCGCTGAAGGTCAAAGAGCGTGAGGATCATGAGAAGAACCGTGGAGGTGCAGATGCCTCTGGTGCCGACAATAAGAAACGCAAGCGCGAGACAGGTCTTTTTGATCCTCCCGAGGAAGGCCGTACTCCCGTCGAGCCCCGACACATCCGCGAGGCTTATCGCAAGCTCCAGGCGACTCCTCAGAAGTCGATTGCCATGCTGCTGCACAACGGCCGCGTGCCTGCCAAGCTGCCTCTGAAGCTTGTAAGTTCCTATGCAGGCCTGTCAGAGACAAATTTGAGAGTGGCAATGCTAATGATGACCCTAATTAGATCTGAGAAGCTTCGGGTGTTTCTTGTTGGTTGCTCCTTCTACCTTTGTTTGATTACTTGTTTGCATGATCTAGGAGTTACTGGCCAATCATGATACCCCGGTCTATGTTCGATGGCGCGATTGTATTGGTTCTATCGTTATTCGGGATTGCTCAATGGTGTGGTTTTCTGATGGGGTTGGTTGCCAGCCAACTATTGCTGTGAGACAATGGCAAGGTTGTTGATGTTGTGGGATTAGTTCATCACGCCTAAGTCAACAGGGGTTTCCCTTTTATTTCAATTTGATTTCTCTCAAGAACACTGCTCCGGAACTTCTTAAACGTCATCATCATGATTCGAATCCTCCAATTGTTGAAACGTGCAAATGCCCGTTGTGCAAGTGCACTTGGGCTTGCTGGAAGCTCCTTGTTACGAGGAGGTTTTGTTACATTCTTTACTACCTCATAGACATACGTAGTTACTTTCTTATCCAGACTACTTTCATGAACATTAGTCTTGTTTGACTGGAAAGGGGCTATTTTGATATTCATAACATTCAGAAAGTAAGCTCGCTTTCATGAAATTCGTGACATGACGAAATAATTGAACAAATTTAGAAGAGAAGCAATTTACTCCTGGTGAGATTTGCGCCCTAGAAAAACGAGATATTCCAATGAGCAAAAGAATATCAAGAAGAGCGGGAAAATTAAAAGAAACTTACATTCAGCCAGCTCCTCCGAGCTGAGTTCCCGAATGCTGTTGATAGCAGGCACATCTCCCTTGATCGCACCCTTGACCGTATCCATCGCGCGACCCAGGATACCCTTCTTCGAAGCGACATGGGTCGCCAGCTTCGCTTCCAACTTGATGACTCCAATGCGGGGGTCGGTTGGGCCGCCGTCGTGAACGCCGTCGCCCATATCGCCGATCCAGGCCTTCAATTGCGGGGAGTAATACTTTGAGACGGTGGCGGGGTCGGAGACGATGGACGCGGTGCCGGAGATGGAGGCCCATGATCCGCTGACGGGGTCAAGGAAGGACATGTTGGTCTCTTGGGGGTGGACGGTCAAGTCCATGGTCTTGCCGGAGAAGAGATTGGTGTGGAAGACGAGGTCAATGCCGCCGTGTTCCTGGAATCCGAGATTGAGAAGTCAGTTCTATTGTGTACATGAGCTAGAATGGCGGGGGCGTCTAGGGACGATGCTCGGCGAGGCGTGTCTCTTTGCGAATTGTGGACGCTTCTGTCCACAGAGACGGGCGAATTACACTTACAGTGGCAGCCAAAGCCATGCATCGCGAGGTCAGATATTCGCCGTCAGATTGCTTGGTGGTCAACATGCCAAACTTGACCTGGTTAATGAATTCGACGAGCTCCTCCACCTTCTGAGGCAACGGAGGATCTTCGGCGTTCTGGGCCTTATAGGGGTCAACGGGGTGCTTCCCCGTGGAGGTGTTGATAGTAGCGTTCTCAGTCGACATGGTGATGGAGGGTTTGGTATTGAATGTGCGGGGGGTTGTGGAGGCAGGGAAAAAGAAGCAAGAAGAAATAAAATGTCTGTAATGGCCTTTAATAACCAATTGTCATAATGGGATGACGGTGCACCTCGGATGTGTAGGACAATGTTTACCTAACCATGCATTGCTTCTTGAAACCAGAGCTCAGCAGCATTAGACGCTGTGCTTCCGTTCCATGACACACGTCGTTGTGACGTCAGCCGATCAGATTGATCCGGAATCCGCGTAATGACCGACAGCTCCAGCCCGGTTGGGAAATTTGACATGACCGGTTATTTGATTCGACTGCGCGATCAAGTAGATCTTCCGACCGAAGATTGACATGGAACGCTCCGCATTGTTGCCAAACCGCGGTCATACCTCGCATCTGAAGCTCGATCGGATCGATTGGCGATCGGTATCTCCCCACCCTAAGCGGCAGGCAGTCATTCTTGGGGACATAGTGTCAACTGTCAACAAGCGTAGTGTTGGACACAAGTCTACGGCGTGTCGCCGGTTGATGAGGCCTTGTATGGAAGGGCCTTCAATTAGATTAAACATTAAGGTATTTAGTGATGCGAAGCAATCATTGCCTCGATCCATCTGACGTGAGGCGATGCCCCTTTCAGATTGCCAGCCTTTGATCCTGTGGTCACTGGGGGGTCAGAGGAGATAATCCGAGTCGAGTTCGCCTAGCATTGGGTCGAGCAACATCGCCAGGATTTTTCCTCCTGATGCCCTTTTTGAAGCACCAGTCATGCCACTGATGCCGACGGTCCATAGACCAAGTGAGGGTAGCCGGTGTCGCGCGTGAACGGCCAGCGTAGAAGGCGATTACCGGCTGAGCATCCAAAAGAAGGTGTGTAACAGAAGGACCTGCAGAAAGACCCAGATGCTGTCAAAATGAGTGGCCAAGGTGTAAACTTCCAGTGCTAACAGGGAGACAAATATCAGCTAATTCTGTTACAGCATCCGATTCTCTCTGATATGTTCGAACGAGTGATTGACGAATAAGAGACATGCCTACCTTCGTATAACAGCGTGATCGCTGTCGTGCTCATCTCCCGACAGGCATCTTTTCGAAACCAAGGTGGTATCAAACCGGGGTGACAAGTCTGGCCATCGACAACTTTACAGCCACCGGCCACTCGTCGGCACTCTTGATGGTGTCGACGCCGTTTCATGATCCGTCGGATTCGCCAGTTGCAAAATGCCTCGTCAGTGCGAAAGCAGCACTCTTCCATAGGGCATTCCAGCTTGTTTTCAAAGCGCTCGATCAGCCAGTCGACCTTGAGGGCGACGCCCGTCTGGACAAATTGGTGGAAATGGCGATTCGTATGCTTGAGAGCAAGAGCATCAGGGTATGGCAGTAGTGAAGCAATTTGCATATGAAGCTCTGTCGGAAGGTCCATGAGCTTGATCGCTCGCGATCTCGAGGACTCCCTCATGGTTGAGTGGTCTTGTCGTCACTCTACCAGCAAGACGCTGAAAATGCAAGCGCTTGCTTCTCTGAGTGCTGTTTGCTGTTTCTTTCTATCTTGCAGACTGGGTAAGAAAACGGTTGCCTGGTGGACGGCAATGGCCACGTTGGCGATCACTTCACATGGCTAGGCCGACATCCGAAGGTTGAGCCTCACTACCCACTGCCCACTGCCCACTTCCTGAGAGCCTTTGGGGCCACTCTGGGGCTACTTCTATTGACACTAGGAGGGGCAGGTCACCGCACGGAGCCTTCTGGGCGAGTCATACTGCGCGGTGGGGATCCGGTTTCACTCTTTCCAGTATAGTTCAGCCTCACACTGGCATGGTCCCCAAGCGGAATTGTCAGACTTGAAGGTGGCTGTGATCTGATACAGACACTCTCAATAGACTCCCAATCAAGAGTCCCAATAGTGACTGGATGAAATTGTGCTAAAAAAACAACATGGAACATGTCACAAGGATTAACAAGTTATTAACAGTCATACTACGTCTACCAAAAGGGGCCCTGTCACGACCTACGGACGAGCAGCTCACATGACTAGGACCACGTGAGGACTGGGTCAACGCGAAGGTAAATTGAGTGCCTGAGGCGCGAAGCTTATCTAATTCCAAGTCTTCCGTCCGCCGGGCGGATGCGATAAGAATATGATATCCAAGCTCCAGTGCAAGCAACATTACTTCATCGAATTCGAAGATTGACCGGCTTTATAACCTGAATACCTGGTGGAAGGCCCTCTCTGAGCTCAACAGCCAAGCGCACCAGTCAAAATCACGACCCTGTTCTTGCACATACACATACAAGAAAAAGTACCACCATCGCCATGTCCAAACAAACCGCCGCAGGTCAGCCATCAGACACTGCATTCCGCAAAACATGGGATCGTGAAGAATACGCCAAAAAGGCCGCCGATGAGGAAGCCAAGCGCAAAGCCGAAGGCAAAGCCCGCTATGAAGCCAAACTACTTGGCAAGAAATACCATGCCCCCGTGGACTATGGCTCCCTATCCGCAACGTCCGCTCGACAAGAGCGTCTCAAAGTCGATGCGATGGTCGGCAAAACAACGATCGTCCCTGCGGGCTCCGCACTCGGCAAGCGCGGTCGCGGAGCTGGGTTCTACTGTGAGGACTGCGATCTCACGTTCAAAGATAATATCCAGCTGGTGGAGCATTTCAATAGCAAGCAGCATTTGATTGCGACTGGGCAGAGTGGCGAGGTCGCACGGGCGAGTGTGGAGGATGTGCGGATGAGGCTTCGGATGCTAGCGCACCAAAAGCGCGTGCGTGAGGAAGAGGAGCGGAGAGCCTGGCAACTGGATCTGGGCGAGAGGTTACGTGAGCGTGAGGAAGTTGAGGCAAAGGAGAGAGAGGAAAGGAGGCGCAAGCGCAATGAGAAGCGTCGCAAAGGCGGCAATGGGGTCAAGGAGGAGGACAGCTGGGAGGGACGGTTGGGGATCATTGCCTGATTTCTTTTTTTTGTCGGCGTGTGCACTCGATAACCTCGACGTGTTGTTCACATTTCTCATAGGTTTCCTCCTTTCTTACGCACGTGCTTCTATGATACCCGCCACATCAAATTAGGGCGAACTGTTTACCTCAAATCAATGGCTTCCTTGGGTAGCTTTCTGACTGCTCCAGAACAGGGGGTTACCGTTTCGGAGAGCCCAACAAGAATTCAAATCATGATGGTATGGACAATAGAATGATGAACCGAAAAGACAACAGCGCCCTTGTCAAATCCTGTGATCATGACCAGGTTGACATTCAAACTCCAGATGAACAGTGATACCGCAAAACGCTGGGACAAGAAATATGACACAATATCTCAATCGATGCACTCGATCGCCTCGAGCCGTCGCATGGCCCGATTAGCCTGCTTCTCGAACTCATTCACAAGTCGTTCGCACTCTCGCTTCAACCGCTCTTCTCCGTTCTTTGCATTCCACAAGATCCACGCTTCAACCGTCATTCGTTTCTCCGGGCTTGTGAGATCGGCTTTGACACCCTGGAGGAGCTCGGCCAAATATCCATTCTCCTTGTCGCTAGAAGCTCCGAGTAAGACTTCTTCGATATCAACAGGTGTCCAGGGGTGCACAGAAGCCGAAAAGCCTGCATTTAGATTGCGTTTCGATGGGGACGGAGTAACGGCTACGCGTGGTGATTCGGTTGATTTATGCTTATCGGGTGACGCAACAACCAAAGGTCGCTTGGATTGAGGAAGTGCCGAGGGTGGTCTGTTCTCGGCATCAGAGGACTGCGGCGAAAGGGAAGGCGTGCTTTGATGGGACACGGGCACAGGTGAGTCTGCACGATGTGATACCCGCAGGGACAATTGGGAATGTCTCTGAGAGCTGTGCGATTCCGTCAATGACTGGGCGAAGTGTTGCTCCGCTGGGATGTCACTAAATCGCTTCGTTGTCTTCGGCGGCACTGGTGTTCTTTCATGAGTCGACTTTTGCTCCGGTGAAAGTGCCTCTGAGGACGGGACGACCTGGATTTGGTCAGGCAGATCGTCAGGGGAGTCAAACTCTTCAATACTCGGTGAAGATCCAGGAGGGGTCCCGTATCGAACATCTTCCGGACTTTCTGGCGGAGGAGATGGTTCAGGCACTTTGACCTGCTTCGCCTTGTTGGGCTTTTCCTCTTTCTTCAAATTCCTCTTCTTCTTTGAGGGCTTCGCGGCTGGCGCTTCTTCCCCGGCCTCTGGAATAGGCTCGGGTTCATCATGCTCGCTTTCATTCACTTGTACTGCAACCTCTTCTTCCTGGGACAGCTCTTGCTTTCTCTTTGCACTCTTTGTGCCTTTCTTTTTAGAGGTCTTTGATGATTTTGGCTTCACGCTTGCATCTTCCTCGCCATCTGTGAGATCGGCCATACTGGACAGCTTTGTTGTGGCGCGAGAACGCTCTTTAGGTGACTCTGGAATCATCGACGAGCCCTCGATCTCTGGCTCAGCAATTGTCTTTGCCTTTTTCCCAGCTTTGCCCTTCTTCGCAGGCCGACCCTTCTTCCGCACAGGCTCCGCTTCAGGTTCCGCCGTCTTCTCCAACTCGGTTTCCACCTCAGCCCCCAGTTGAGGTTGGTAATCCATAGGTTCAACATTGTCCGTTTCGAGACCTGCTGCAAGCTCAGCCTCAAGCTCCGAATCTCTTGGCAGTCGTGTCCTCGTTGTGTTCTTCGAGACGACAGAGACATCAGACACATTTCTACTCTTGGAGGACCCTTTTTTCGCACCCTTCCGGCCTCTCTTAGGCCCATCGAAACCGCCTTCATCCGCTGAGGTTGCATCGGACATTGGCTGATCCTGGGTCTCGCTCTTGTAGGTGCGGGACACACTGCTGCTGCGCGTTCGTGTAGCGCGACGTTTCAACGCCGGCTCTTCCACGGGCGTAGCTTCGTTTTGAAGTCCAGACTCGTCGTCCTTTGAAATTTTCTCACTGACTCGTTTCTTTGGTCTTCCGGGGCGTTTTTGTTTTGGCGGCTCGGGCTTAATATGCTCTGCATTGTCAATGTCCGTCTGTCCGGAACCTTCTCCATCTTCCCGTTTGCTCTGCTTCGTCTTGCTTTTAGAGCCCTTTTTCGTAATTTTGGTCTTGGATGTCAGCTGCGATACCACATTGTCATCGATCGCCCCGTCGACGTCCATTTCTGAACCATCCGGAATCTCTGAAGCAACCGAAGCGACCGACTGCACCGAAAGCCGTGACGATGCCTTGGAAGGACGTCCCTTCTTTGCCTTGCTTCCTTTGCCCTTCTTCCCCGGTAGCTGTGTGAAAACAAAGAAGGAGCAATCGGGGGAGCGGCGGTGGTGCTCATCACTATGATCGATTCGCTCGTCAGTCGCTTGACTGACCAACAGCCGATTTTTCCACTAATCACTCACAAGGGATCGTCCTCGGGCTCCCAACCATCTAGGGACAATTTGCAATAGGCACAACTGGCCAAGTCGTCGCTGTCATCGTTCGGGCAAAAGTACCACCCTGCTTCAACCATCTAAGAGTTTTGTAAGTACTGGTCTGCAATAAGAGCGCGCTGAGCATATTACCCTTTGCGATTGACAGAGCCAGCCACGTTTTCCATCATGCGGCCATTGCGCCCCGAAAGTTCCAATTCGCGCTTGTACGATCCTCTCGCTGTTAGGGTCCTCTATCGTGGCAGGATTGGAACTATTTTGCTGAACATCCATCATGATTGCCCAGGCGCATTCCGGGGAGTGTTTCAGATGCTCTGTGATGGGATTGTCCTCCTCCTCCCAGCCATCTAACGCTCGGTCACAGTGGAAGCAAGTTGTGTTGTCGGGATTCGTTTCGTATGGTTTGTAGTAGAAGCCGGCATGCGCCAACTGTATCAAAAGTTCTCATTAGAATCATAATCGCTAGGAGGGGTTCTGCAGTCTGCACATGCCTCGGCGGGTGAAGGACTCTGATGGGGCCACGCGATCACGCGGGAGCCCTTTGTTGTTGAAGATCTTCGCTTTTCCAACTTCAGCACAGCATCGAAGCTGGCTAGACGCGCCGAGAATGTGTCCATATCGAGATTATCGAAGCCAAAGACATGCGAGTAGTCAATGGGCTTGGAGTCTGATGCGATATGGATTTATTCGAAGGTCAAAGTTCGGAGCGCTGGCTACCAGCCGATATGGAGTGTTTGGTCTGTTTACTTTTGGTTGTTACACAACGCGGCCCCACGTGATTGCTCTGAGTGACTAAGCGGAGGCGACGTCAGACCCGTAAGATGACCGAGGGTATCGGCGGCATTGAGGAAAACCATGTCAATTGTCGTCGTTTGCCGTTCTTTTCCTTGATCTCAATTGGTTTTCATGATCGATCCCTTAGTCAATTGCTCATAACTTCTCGTTTTGAGCCGAAGTCTCCACTCTTTCATTTCATCGGACTCGATTCCTTGCGACCAGCGGTATGTATCCTGGAGCCGAAACCTATCTTACTCGGCGGAACAGATAGGCTGATGAATACACATGCCATTGACAGATGCTTCGCGCCCACTCCGTGATTCCCAGAGCTATCTGGCGCTCTGCGGCTCGAATCGAGCCTTTTTCGTCGCAAGTATCTTCGGCCCGATGCATTTCAAACCACTCCCGACCAACCTCAGACGCTCCTTTTTATCAATCGACCCTCTCCGGCTGTTCGACCTCACACCTACTCCATAATGACTGCGGCGGAAGTGCGAGGCCAGCTGCCCCTTTCTCAACAAGTTCAACTCTTAGGGAGGCGGACTGGGATCAGAACCCGAATCTTGCCATTTCCAATTTCTCCGAGCTTCCGTCCAAAGACTTCGGCGTCAATCAGCACATGATCATCAATCAAGAATTCAAGGAGGCACTACGACAGATTCTTTGGCAATTCAGAGCACCTATCCGATATGCATTTGCTTACGGGTCTGGGGTGTTTCCACAGAGCGGTTCCGGTACCGCGGGGTCTACCCACCCTGCAGCACCAGCTGCTATTCAAAAGATGCAAAAAGGATCCGGGAAGATGATTGACTTCATTTTTGGTGTCTCCTACTCTCAGCACTGGCATGATTTAAATCTCAACCAGCATCGCGATCACTACTCCGGCCTTGGCTCCATGGGTTCCTATGTGGTTTCTCAGGTACAGGACAAATTCGGCGCGGGAGTCTACTTCAATACTCACATCACTGTCAATGGCACGCTGATCAAATACGGCGTGGTCAATCTTGATACATTGTGCACTGATCTTACCCAGTGGAACACATTGTATCTTGCCGGACGGTTGCACAAGCCAGTCAAGATCCTTCGTGATCACCCTAAAGTGCGACTGGCAAATCAGATGAACCTGCTATCCGCTCTACGAGTGGCACTGCTGCTTCTTCCGGAGCGGTTCAGCGAGTTTGAGCTGTACAACACCATCGCAGGAATCAGTTACATGGGTGACTTGCGCATGGTGCTTCCCACAGAGGACCCGAGCAAAGTGCGCAACATTGTGTCTGGGCAGATGGCCCACTTCCGACGTCTCTACGCTCCTCTTATTGCTAATTTGCCAAACGTTTCTTTCTCTGATCCTCGCTGTGGCCAAAATGATTGGATTGATGATCCTGACTCTGTTCTGGCCATGGTGCAAGACATGGATCCTGTCAAGCGTGGCAATATGGTCCGTCGCCTTCCGGAGGCTTTTAGACAGAAGCTGTACTTCCAGTACCAAGCCCGATTCGCAATCCCGCGGGTTGAGTTTAACAAGATGATGGAAGAGAATGATGATGCCAAGCAAGGAATTGTCCGACGACCCCAAGGTGGTCCATTCGAGCGTCGTATTGCTGAGAATGACCATCTGAAGACCGAAGTTTCCTCATCTATCTCCAAGACCATTCGCTGGCCCAGTACTGTACAGAGCATCAAGGGCACTTTCACTGCTGGTATTGGCAAGAGCTTGGTCTATGTGAAGGAGAAACGAGACAAGCACCGAAAGGCACAAGCTCAACAGGCCCAGTCCAGTGAGAAGGCCCCGAAATCAGAAAGCCCAGCGAAGAGTGAAAAGAAACATGATTAAGATACCCCTGAGAAACTCGAATGGTATTCGCCGCATTCAGTTGAGTTCCACAGATGCACCATAGGGAGGAGGCATTGGCATTTTAGGGGCGTTTCAGGACATTTTGATACTATCACCACCCGCATTCTTTGGCAACACTTTCTTGGATACACAAGAGACATTTCGGTCAACATGCTCGATGTAGACTATGATTATTTTTCAATGTCAACTTCCATCCTTCTTCAATTCCTAGTGGCCTCAAGTCCGGTCTTCAGGGATCACATTGCCGTGGCTCATGGAAGTATCTATTGTATTATAGCTGTGACCGATCAGCATGGGTTAAAACCCATGGTTGACACCAATGTCACGAAGTGGAAAGTCTGGCTATGTAGACTAATACTTCAATGTACGAGCCCTACCTGGTACCTTTCTAGTCGATGTTGGGGCTGGCCGATACTACTCTGAGTCATTGCTGCTTGCATAATACTACCTACTTGTCATGACTCAGTTGTGTACCTAAGTTGTATGGACGAGTAGGGCGGCTTTCTTCCACCGCTGATCCACTCGTCAAATTCCTCCGCTCTCTTCCCCGATAAGCCCTCATCTCCCCGCCACCCCACTGTGACACCTTGCTGTGCACATTCGCAAAGATCAACAGGGTATACACATCCTCCCCACAATGGCACAAAGGAATTCGCCATTCAACCTGGAGACTTGCGCTCGACCCAATATCTTGAAATTACAGCCATATCGATGCGCTCGGGAGTAGGTAGCCACAGTATCCAGATGTCCCCGGCTCTCAGAACTAATGAGTCAGTGACTACAAAGATGACGGAACAAACGTGCTGCTCGACGCCAATGAGAATGCCTACGGCCCGTCACTCGCCTTGAACAACGAGGGTAGACTGAAAGGCTCGCAGTCAGGGTCGACAGAGCCCGAGATTGACCTGTTGGGTTTGAACAGATACCCCGATCCGTAAGTGCTTTTGTCGGCGTTTTCCAGGAATGACATTGACACCTCAACTGGGTTACCGGCCTAATACGATTGTCTATCTCATAGCCACCAGATGGAACTGAAGCAGTTGTTCTGCAACCTCCGCAACACCCACCACCACACACAAAAAACGCTTCGACCCGAGCACATGTTCGTTGGTGTCGGATCAGACGAAGCCATTGATGCTCTTCTCCGGTGTTTCTGCGTGCCTGGAAAGGACAGGATTCTTACCTGCCCGCCTACATATGGAATGTATAGTGTGAGCGCCCAAGTCAATGACATTGAGATTGTGAAGGTGCCGTTGGACGTGGAGAAGGGGTTTCAACTGCAAGCCGACAAGGTCAATGAGGCTCTCTCGGCCGATCCATCAATCAAGCTGGCCTATATCTGCTCACCGGGCAATCCCACCGCGAACCTGATCCGCAAGTCCGACATCCAGAAAGTTCTTGAGCACCCGACCTGGAACGGTGTCGTTGTTGTGGATGAGGCCTACATCGACTTTGCACACGAAGGCGCGAGCTTAGCCGAATGGGTGACCGAATGGCCGAACCTGGTGGTCATGCAGACACTCAGCAAAGCCTTTGGTCTCGCTGGTATCCGACTGGGTGTTGCCTACACCAGCCCGGAGATCGCTCGCTTGCTCAACAGTCTCAAGGCCCCCTACAACATCTCCAGCCCGACCAGCGCTCTTGCGACGGCCGCGCTATCGGAACCCAATCTCTCGGTGATGCGAGATTATCGCGCAAAGATCGTCGGCCAGCGCGACCGTCTGTTGCAGGAGCTTCCGCAGATCCCCGGCATTGGACAGTTCCTCGGCGGCCAGGACTCGAACTTTTTGCTCGTGGAGGTTCTCGATGCCGAGGGACGACCCAGCAATGTCATTGCGCTGGCAGCCTACGAGGCCATGGCTGAGCAACGTGGGGTGGTGGTGCGATTCCGCGGTAAAGAGCACGGGTGTGAGGGCTGCTTGCGTATCACGGTCGGCACCGAGTCCGAAGTCACCCGGTTCCTGAAGGAGATTCGGGTGGTGTTGGAGAAACTGCGCCAAGGGAAGGGTGTCCCGTCGGTGGCGGACGAGGAGCAGCGGGAGCAGGCGGCTGCCGCGGTGGTCGCATAGTTTGATGTCAGGGGTTGCCATCTTCGAGATGAGTGGTATATAGAGATGGAATAAGACAAGCTATTGTTATCTACAAAGGAATATCTTCATCTGACATTTCTCTTGCAGCGGGAATCCAGCCGATACTCCTTCGATGACTTGAGGTAGAGATGATTGTGGTCTCTGCGTACTTGGTAGCCCGGCAGCTTCACTACCCAAAACCCCCGTAAGAGACAAGGTCCGCGTTAGTATCTGGGACTGAAGTCTGCTGGTCACCTTTATGCCGAGTCATGCTCGGCATGATCTATCTCTGACAAATGATTTGCAAGGTCTTGCAAGGCTTTGGGGCCAAAGAGCATGCCTTGACAATAAAGCGTCTGGGTAGGTGGACAGGTGATTCGCTGACTGCCAATCCAGCATCTCAGTATCTGAGGTGAACTCTAGTAGAGCTACAGTGGTAACTACTAACTAGTAGTCACATGCTGATTCTCGAGTGTAGACGGCCTGTCTACGAAGTAGGTAGGCATTGCCACTGAGACCGTGTAGTTCTACGGACTCATCTAGCCAGGATGGCTGGACTGATAAGGTCGACCTCCCAGATTCCAGATTTCGGGGACCTTTGCATTTCGCGTTTTGTTTTTGGGGAACATTGCATTGTGATAAGCGAGTTGTTGCTCTTGGCGTGGACTCGGTGATGGTAGCAAAGTGGATGTACTCCACGCGGGTGAAAGTGGAAGTGATAAGGCTGGCAGTAGCCGCATAATAGAATACAGACTGCCAAGCGTCCGTCTCCTTAGTACTCACTTACTACCTTGGTAGTTACTGTTTAGTGCTTCAGGTTAGGTAGGTAAGATAGGTACTTTGACTTCTAAATACGGTCATAGATAGCGTGTCTGCGGTAGTTAGTAACCTACTACTGATCTACTCTTAGTACTTAGTAGTATCAGTACGACCTCCTAGATGTCGATGACATGTGATTGTGATGTTCCGGCTTCTATTCCGACGGCCGTCCGGTTTCACCACAGAACTGCACCAGTCGTATTCTCCTCGTCCCTTAATTATCGACTCCTCATGGTCTCTGGCTGGGCGTACTTGATAGCCGACCGAGGAATTCTCCACGTAGATGTTTCGCTGCGAAAGAAGAAGGGAGAGAGGGAGAGAGAGACCAGTGGGAGGTTGTCCGAAAATGGGGAAATGCGTCACAAACTCACCATTGATCGGACCGAGGATAGTTGACCCGTGGGACGACGGAGTACTCATGCCCGACCACGACGGAGAAACCAAGGTATTATTATTGAAGGCTTACGGCATCTAGGTAGTCAGTAACTTAATGTTGCTGAGTGCAGGTGACCAGGTTATCACGCACCGCTCGATGGGGATGGAGATCATGTGAGCGTCAAAGCGTCTATTTTTTTTCCATGTCGAGGTAGACGTCAGGAGCAGGGGTAGCTCGAGTGAATGGACGTACAGTTACACAGACTGGGTACTGACTCTAGTGAGTAGTGAGTATATCATTGAAAGCAGTAAGTTAGTAAGACTAGGGCCAAAGTTACCTATTACCTACCTGTATCTATGAAATGTCCTCCTGGATAGTTCATGGACTGCTCTCAGTCTCTCCCCTCTGCGTTTCCAAATACGAGCCTCTTCCCAAGGGCCCCACTTAGTGCTGCTTGATACAGTTGATAGAGTGCAGGAGGTTCTTATCACGCCTCTACCTGCTCGTCGGTATTGATTGGAATCAATTGGAAATGGACGCTCGGAGTCTGGGCTACCTATAGAGGTTGCGATTACGGCAGTCTTCGGCTCCCATGGATAGACGGCCTCCAAGGCGGCTTATTTGCGCCACATAAACTCTCTCGTCTGGTCGGGCTGTGTATCTTTCTCTCTATGTTCCCTCTGAAGATATGGGCAAATGATCATTGAGTAGTAGTAGTAATAGTAGTAGTAGTAGTAGTAGTAGTAGTAGTAGTAGTAGTAGTAGTAGTAGTAGTAGTAGTAGTAGTAGTAGTCCAAGCCTGGAGCCCCAATGCGAACGGACCTGCATGGGCGAGCCTCATTCATAGGGTGGAAACTAGAAGGGCCGCGGTACAGAGTCGTAGATTGATGGGTTCCCCCATCGACATTGGTGCGCTCGTAAAGGAGCGGGTTGATGCAGACCGGCGAGTCAGGGCATGATAATGTGCTTGTCTGAACAACACGCGCTTACCGGCAGTGACCAGTCGAGGACTCGACACTGGACACTGCACAGAACCATGATTCCATCACCATCCCTGGATGACCCGTAATCATGGGTCCCACGCGCTGAAGCCCGCGGTTGACTCGGGGGACTCGATCAACTCGATGATGCGATGATCCCACCGCAACGGCTCTTCTCCACACCTTTGGGGCTGGCTTTGGTGGATCTCTCGTCTCGCCAGGAGCAGCTGGGGAGATTAGGAGATGCTCGTTGACTGGTTCACAACTCCACGCGAATCCTGCATCGTCTCTTGTTATCATCCGAAAGTGTTCACAGGAGCCGTTCTACCAGTGGACGCCGAGAAGCTTTTTCCTCCTTCTCCTTGGTCTCCTTGGCCTTTGGGGGGTTGGCGTGTGGGCGTGGCGGATGGCCGGTGGTAAACTTGGTTCCGTCTGGTGTTTGGGGTCGGATAACCTTTGCCAACGACAGCGCTGGTGGAGTTTACTCTTCCGGTGCCATACTGTCAAACTTGTCAAGTGAGGTGTTCGCTCCCCCGGGACTCACCGACACAACAACCGCGCTGGTCGCTGGTGACGCTCGACGCTTGGCCCCCCTCCTGCTCATCGGGCCTCGTGTGTGGTCGTGATTGCTTCCACCTGAGTAGATCCAGTCACCAACCTGATAGTCCAAAGAGGGTAGAGCATGGAACCTTTTCGTATCAGCCACATCGATGGGCATTACTACTACTACTACTACTACTACTACTACTACTACTACCACTACTACTACTACTACTACTACTACTACTAATACTACTACTACAGTACTACTACTACTCCTCCTGATGCCGCCCCCCAAAGTTTTCCTAAACGACGAGTGACCACTTGACCACCGCAATCTCAACGCGATCCAAGCCTCTCTTTTCCTTCCTCCTACTTCTGATCCTACTTCTGATCCTACTTCTGATCCTACTTCTGATCCTACTTCTGATCCTACTTCTTCCGAATCATTTGAAAGAACACCTCTTCTCGTATCTCTCCCTCACTATCATCGATTGTCCCCCATTCTGAACATCTGCTTCTTGATCTCCACTACTTGCACCTGCTGTCTTGTTTCCTCTGCTTGGATGGACGATCGGCCCACAGTCCATCGCCCTCCCCACCCCGGAGCGTTCAAGGCGGTGCCCCAGTGTCCACCCTCACGTGCGACATGTAAATCAACGACCAAGCTGGTCGGTTCGCACAAGTCTCGCTCGATCAATCGACGGAAGCTGCAGGGAACACAGTGAAAGAGAAGGGCTGACGGGCGCCCGCCCCCCCCCCCCACGCAGACTCCCTCTGCGGAGGTGGTCGAGGGAAGGGGAAAGACGACATCATACAGCGAGGACGGAGGAGCCTCGGAAAGGACTCGAGGTCGGACCCCAGAAGCGTCCATACAGTGATGGCAACCACCTCGTTGATCGTCCGGGACCTCTACCCGCATACGCGCCCAGCGTTTCAATCTCGCAACGATGTGAACCCGACCTTGATGATGAGTTGGTGGGCCACGGGCTTTTCACTGGTGATCATCATCGTTCGACTCTGTGGTCGCTACATTCGGATTGAACGTTTCTTCCCCGAAGACAAGGTGGTCATGTGGAGCGTCATTCCGCTCGTGATTCGCATGGTGCTCATTCATTTTGTTCTTGTTCTGGGAACAAACAATACCCAAACGGCCGGGCTGACAACCGGTCAGGTGGCCGACCGGGTAGTTGGAAGTAAGTTGGTGTTGGTGGCGCGGATCTTCTATGCGATCTAGTAAGACCCTCCTTGCCTATCTTGATGTTGACGGAATGCACGGTTCATACTTCAAATCGAAGGCAAAGTTCAATCGGGCTGACTCACCCTCCGTGTCCTTGTGCAGCATCTGGACGGCCAAACTCACAGTATGCGAGTTCTTCAAACGAGTCACGGGCATGGTCTGGCGCAGGTCGGTGGCTTATTTTCTGCGTTTCATTCATGTCTTTCTTGCGTCGACCCTGATAGCCGTGGTCATGGCGACCCTGGCCGAATGCCACCCATTCCCCCATTATTGGCAGGTCGTCCCCGACCCAGGGCCGAGCTGTCGGAGCGGATACGCGCAGCTGATCACCATGGGTGCATGCGACGTCGTGACGGATCTATTCCTCGTCGCATTTCCCGTACCGATCATCTTGATGGCCCAGATTCCCATCAAACGCAAGCTTGCTCTCGTGATCCTGTTTTGCCTGTCCTTGGTCTTGGTCGCTATTACCTGCTACCGCGTCCCCTCGGTCATCTGGCGGCATGGCGCTCAGCCCTATCGATCCCTGCTCGCATCTCTAGAAATACTCGCAGCAACAGCCGTTTCCAACATCGTCGTCATCGGTTCATTCGTTCGAGACCGCGGCGTGAAGAAGCTCAAGTTCAAGCCCACGGAGGGCTCGGCATCCGTCACCGAGAGTCTCGATCACAGCTATGTCCGCCGTCAAACGGTCATGCAGCATCAATGGGGCAGCGATTGTGATCTCGCCCACGATCTCGGCATCCGACTCGATCCCAAACTCTACTCTTCTGCGCCGGGTACATCCATCCCCGTCCCGGCTCCTCCAGTACCTCTCATGGTGGCCCGCACCGGCTCCCTTGATCCAGCCTGGTCATTCACCCAAAGCCATGGCTCCGACGACGATCGCATCTCCTCTGCCGACAGTTTCGACATCAAAGTGTGTCCGCGCGAGTACCTTCCCACCAGCGAGTCCCCTCGCGACCACCGGCAATCCCCGGCTCCCAACCCGAACCCTCATCATCGTGTCTCTTTCTTCGATGTCGGCGGCCTCCTCGACCCAGAACCTCCTATGCGCGCCCCGGCACGACCGGGTCTCATTACTCGACATACAATCGCCCCTGTACCCGCAATGAACCCCACAGAACTTCCTCGCCATCGCCGTGGCAGCCGAGCCTTCCTGGAAGATCTCGGCGCGATGTTACCTCGGACCACCACCACGCCGCTTCTCCAATCTCGTCTTTCGTGCCCACCATCTCTCCGAGCTGCTCCTCCGTCCGAACCATCCCCACACACTCTCTCGCCTCGTCAATCCTCAGCGGAGCCTGCGCCAGATGCGGACGTTGAGCTCCAAGACGTCGGCCGCTTACTTTCGAGGAACGCGCGCGAACGGTAAGCGCGCGGGGGAATAAGCCTCCCGTCCCTCATTATTCCATGACATTGGCCATCGTTCCTACATGCACTGTTCTCTCCTTTCTCACTTTTCCTTTCCATTGACTCATACCCTTTTCTCTCGTCGCAACTTGTGTTACTTTTTTCTTCAAATTCAGTCTGTTTCCCTGAAGACATCTCCTTGAAATGACGTGTTTAGCAGAGGCGCTGGCGGTGTTCTTTTTTGATTGAATATATACCTTTGAGTATTCACAGGAAATACTATTTAAAGGAGCCGCTGCTCATATCTACCATGATACCGTTTCACTTTGATCAATTTCCCCCTTTTCTAATGAAGAATTGGACACCGTAGTCCTGCTCTTGCTCTTCAATCGACATGTGGAATTCAACAGCCAAGTGCAATTGGGGATACAACTTATCCAGACTTTAGTCCCCATATTGGAAACTAACGAGAGACTCCTGCCCGCTAACCTCTTATCGTGGTCGATATGGCAGTAGTGACACACTCACAGTACCCTCGGCATGTACCCTACTGGTAATACAGACTTGTTGACTACAGGTCACGTTCTACTGAGGGACGGCTTGGAGTAGCGTCAAGCCAGGTTTTATGCAATAGGTGGTTATTGAGAGTGAATCCTCGAGCTTGTCTCTCATCTAGCTTACTGCACAATAAAAAAGGTGGAATGGAGCTGTTGAGGAAAAAAAAAGAAGAAGAAAAAAATATCGTTATGTCACCACATCCTAATTGCACATGTTTCAAGTCCGCTGACATGATAAGGAGATCAAATCAGTCCCCCATACTACAGTCCAGCCACCTCCGTCCCCTGGCTGAACCGTGTTGGAGACTGTGGGAGAAAATGAAACTGTCTTCGCCGGTACGCCATGCTGCCCATAATACAAGGGGGATGAGACTTTTTTGATCTGTGTATGGGGTGCAGAAGGGAGGGGATAAATGAGAAAAAAACCAAGCCAATAACAAAGAAACATAACTCCGTGTCCATTTCCATTTCGTCAAGTCTGGAGAATATCCGCATGGGCTTGGCGCTCATGAGCACTTAGGATGAGGAGCGAGTGAAAACCGAGTAGGTTAGAGCATCCCAGGAGCTTGGATCGAATGGTGGAAGGCTGGACCTGATGCATGTTCCCGGGGGGTATGAGATGCCACTCTAGTCTCTTTTCGGGAAATCTTAAAGCCGAGAGACATGGAAGGGTAAGAGGCCAGGAACGAATTGAGAGGAACAAAAGCCACTTTGAGGGCTAGTCGCACGGTATTGCATTATTCCCTCTAGATGACCCAGCGGTAACTGGCGTAACGTCCGGCGGTTTCACTCTTGCGGATAATCTTCACAACCTGGCCACGGCGCAGACCGAGGTAGCGGGCGACGGGATCAGAAACCTGCATCCGGGGAAGCTGCGACTCCTTCAGACGATAGCGCTGCAACAGCTTGGCCTTCTCTTCGGGGCTGAGCAGAACATGCTTGGGAACAAGCTCGTGTCGGGTGATGTTGACGAGCAGATCTTGTTCCTGGAATGTCTCTCCAATGTGTCCGGGGACACTGTTGAGCATGCGCACGGCGGTTGGTGACAAAGGAACCTGGGTGATGAAAATGCCGGTGTGGAAGTTGTTCTCGGCGACAAAGTGATTGAAGGTGCGGACTTGCTTAGCACCGAGCGAGGAGGATTCGGGGCAGAAGTCAACATAGATGGTACCGCAGTCAGGCTGGGGATTGGGGTTCGATTTGGTCGGCAGTGCAGTGTATTTGAACTTCATCTCCTCGGTGGGGCGCGCCTGGATTTTCATCTTCGTTCGGCTGAATTGAACGAAAGGCCTCAGATTAGTGACAATTCAAATTCACATGACATTGTCTCTCACTCGCTCCGTGCCTCATTTGTGACTTCATCCACGCAAGTGTCTTCGCGACTCATGAATTTCAAGGGAAGGTCGCATACTCGGGATACCCGATCGGGTCTGAATATTTCCGCGCAAAGTCTTCCAACGAGAGCTTCAGTTCGTCTTCTGACACCTCGTAACCCTGAACCCAGCACGAATGAGAGTCAGCTTCATTTTAATTCTCATTTCACACGAGAGCTTGGGAGCAGCCAGTGAGACTTGACTGAGAGACGACAGGGAGCTTACCCGATCCACAAGCATCTCATGAACGGTCTTCCAAGTGCGCCAGAGCCGACTCATCTCCCGGCTGGCATCGGTGCTCGTCGCGAAGTTATCCGCGTCCATGGTGGATAAAATCTGCTTATGAAGAGAGAAGAAAGATAACTCTGCGATTACACAATCAACTCTCAGACGCTAGGAAGAGACCAGAAGGTGAGCGCGCAGAGACAGTGTCGTTGAAAAAAGATAAGGTGCAGGTCGAAAAATCGGCGGGAACTTTCTGCCAGGCGAAGCAGTCTAGCAAAGCGGAGAAACTGACCGAACCGGAGCGCGTTACTTATTATTATTCGCAACGTTTCCCCTTTACCCTCGTGGGCAAGCGGTCTTTTCTTGTGTCTCTTCTCTTCTTTCTGTTTTACCCTTCTCCTTCTTCCTCTCTTCCTTCTGGTCTGAGGATCTGCCTTCCCTTTCTCCTCCCTCTCTCACCCACCTCTCATTTCACAATGGCTACTACTGCCCCTACAGAGGCCCGGGTTAAGCCCACCAAGCCCGATGAGGAAGCCTACAAGGCCAGCCTGGCCCAGGCTGAGAAGGAGCACACTGCGGCCCAGGAAAAATTGGTATGTATGCGTACATGGAATGGTTTATCTTGTCTGAGAATCCCCACTCGAATTGAGCCCACGTGAGACATGCGTTGTCCCGACGTAAACTTGCATCGTGAGGGGGAGGGGTCAGACATTGTGTACCCGCATGTCAATGCTTTCAATTTCCCAATGACATTTGCTAATATGCGCTCAATTTCTAGAACGCTATCAAGGCCAAGCTGGACACCGCGAAGCCTAACAACCAGGATTCCCCGGTCGTGAAGAAGCAGCAAGCCCTTCGCGCTGAACTTTCTTCAATTCGCCAGAAGCAGTCCGGTTTCAAGTCCTCCCGCTCAAGCACCTTGGAAAAGATGAATGCGTTGGAGGCCACTCTCAAGGCCCGCATTGCTGAGCAAAACAACGCCCGTGGCAAGATGCAATTCAAGAACGTGGAAGAGATTGACCGTGAGGTTGCCCGGCTCGAGAAGCAGGTCGACTCCGGCACCCTGCGATTGGTGGACGAGCGCAAAGCTCTGTCCGACATCTCGAACCTCCGCAAGCAACGCAAGAGCTTCGCTGGTCTGGAGGAGTCTCAGAAGGGCATCGATGATCTGAAGGCCCAGATCGCCGAGCTCAAGAAGACCCTGGACAACCCCGAAGCCAAGGCACTCAGCGACAAGTACGCCGAGATCCAGAAGGAACTGGACGCCATCAAGGCCGAGCAGGACAGTGTCTACAAGAACCTCAACGCCCTCCGCGACGAGCGCACCAAGCTGCGCAACGAGCAGCAACAAAAGTATACCGCCATCCGCGACATTAAGGACAACTACTTCAAGGCTCGCCGTGCCTACAAGGAGTATGAGGATGAGGCGTGGCGCATTCGTCGCGAGCGTCAAAAGACTGAGCGCGAAGCGTTTGAGCGTGAGAAGCGCAAGAAGGTCGCCGACAAGAAGCTCGAGGAGGCGTCTCAATTGGCCTACACCGACGAGATCCTCACCGCTCAGGGTCTGATCCGCCACTTCGATCCTTCCTACGACTTTGCCGCTCTGGGGCTGGACGACAAGAAGGATGAGGGCAGCAAGTTTCGTGCCAACGTCGGTCGTACCGTTGATGACTCTGGCCTCAAGGGCATGAAGGTCGTCCGCAAGGATCAGGAGGAAGACTACTTCGTCGGTACTGCTGGCAAGAAGGGTAAGAAGGGAGGCAAGAAGGGTGGTGTCGCCGCTGGTGCTGAGGCCGGCAAGTTCAACATGAACGTTGGTATCATCGAGGACTTTGCCAAGGTCAAGATCGACCCTCCCATGAACCAGTCCGATGTTCCTGCTGTGGTCGAGAAGCTTGCTGCCAAAATCACCGAGTGGAAGAAGAACCAGGCTAGCAAGACCGAGGAGGTAAGATACCGCCCTACATTGTGTTAAGATTCACGCATGCAGTACTGACAGTCTCAACTACAGAACATCAAAAAGGCCAAGGAGGAGATTGCTCGCCTCGAGCAAGAAGAGGCCGCTGCTGCCGAGACCAACGGCCGCAGCACTGACGCTGCCAAGAAGCCCGCCGAAGCCAACATTCTCCCCACTGCCGAGGCTGAGCTGTCCCAGGAGCAGGACGGTGCTGCCGATGCCGCGGAAGAGTTGAAGAAGGCCTCTCTTGAGGACAAGGAGTAGAATCAGATCTGCAATTGCTTGCTTATCTGCATCTTTTCCTCTGTGTTCATTCCCCTTTCTTTTGGCATTTTGTCTATACCACACTTCCTTTGCCTGATTCAATCAAGCCTTTTTTGTTTGCATTCAATTGGTCTTTCGATCGCGCTTGCTGAAATTGCTTGATAGCTGCTTCTCAGATAGGCAGTGTACTGGGTTTCCTTTGCTTTGGCCGCGCCTTTGTCTTCGGCATGAAGTTTTCCAATTCCCTAGAGAGGGCGTCACGCCGGCCTTCTGAGCCACGGCATTCCCGGTCTCCTCGTTTCGTTATTATGATTTATGGCCGAGGATAGCTATTTATCCCCTCGGTGGACCTTGTATTTAGCCATCGTACACGGGCACAAAAGGATATGATACAAAATGACTCGAAGAGCAGACTTTACTAGGTATCTCCGACTAGGTATTCTCGAGCGGGCCGATCTAAGGATGCATCTGCGTAAAGCCCAAGAAGAGGACGCTGGGTTATGACTTGGCAGTCAGTACCACACCAACACGTCACGTCTACAGGACTGTCTCATGCATTGTCACATTCGATCAAGGCTGATTGGCAAATTTCCCCGCCTGCCTTGTCATTTTCTGTAGCAGTATGATTTCATGCACAGCCACTTGACAAGTTGACACCTCCTTCTAGGTTCCCACGAATTAATAACCTTTGCTACCTACCGTACATGACAGCAGTTGACACGGCGCTTGGACCTCGGACCCTCGGACGACATCTTTAGTACTCGGTGCCTTCTCTGTACTCCAGCAGTCCACCTGCCGAGTACCATACCCCAAAGTTCATAGCCTATAACTACTCTATACTGTAGAGTCTGTAGTTGAACAGATCTGTTACTGCAGCTCACCACAGCTGTGGACGCTGCAGGCTGAGTCATCTCCAGCCGTCTGGCACTCCACTTGGCCGGGGGTCACGGGCAGTCCCAGAAGGGATCCACTGCCGTCCGCCGAACCGCCGAACCGCGGAACTGCGCCACGCTCCACTTGCTGCAACGAGCAATTCACGCGCTTCTCAACCAAATGAGAGTCGGTCCGCTTCCAAGCCCTTGGCTGCTGCCCCCAATTTCTCGCCGCCTGAATCATCTCTCCTGCCTACGAGAGGGGCTCTGTTTGAAGACACTTGGAATCCTTTTTCATTCCTCACCATTCTACATTTTACACCTCGACCTTCTTTTTTCGAGCTCGACACCGTCTGCTCTATCTTTTCTACTCCCTCCGACTGTGACGGCTCTAGAGTCTAGACTGTCCGCGAGCTCCACCGTCTCTTGATACAGTACCCTCACCAGAAACCCGCCTACATTATTCTACCATGTCGTACAACAAACCTGTGAGTGTCTCTGTTTTTCCTCAAGGGACGGTCTGCGATTTGGTATGACGACATGACAATATCATGATCGTCGAAATAGCTCATTGTGATTTGCTCTTTGCCAACTACAAATGTCAAGCAGAAACACATTGCTAATACATACCTGCTCTCAATTTGACAGACCAGCCCACCCCCTTCCTATCCCGCCCAGACCTACAACAACGAGGGCTTCCAATCCCCCGCTCCTCACGGTGCCTCTCAAGACTACTACGGAGGCGCACAAGGTGGCCAAGGTGGCTATCCCCCCCAGCAGGGCTACTACCCACCGCAACCCCAGGGACAGATGTACTACCCTCCCCAACAAGGATATCCTCCTCAACAAGGATATCCTCCACAGCAAGGGTGGCCTCCACAGCAACAGCAAGGATACTATGCCGATAACCGAGGCAACGGTGGTGGTGGCTCCGGCGCAGGCGGTATTTGCGCCGGTATCATGGCTGCTTTCGCCTGCTGCTGTTGCTTGGATGTCTTGTTCTGAGGGGTCAGCTCCGGAGCTGGTCCTGTCTGTTCGATAAAAGAGATCTTGTCGAGTCGATTAGGAGGTAATGGGGCTGGTGAGCAGACATGGGCGATATGTGCTCCGAGTCACGTCCGCTTGCTCCTCGATCGATTCTCACGCTAGATGCCTTTTCCTCTCAATTCTGCAGAAAATTCGAGGACGGCGTTGTGAACCGTACGACAGGAAATAAGGTGATCGCAATGCGCCTTCGAACATTCTCTTTCATTTCTCTTTTGTTTATTTTGTTGGCGTTTGTCCGTCCTTTCTGTTGAAGGGGTGGGTACCGTTACCGTCCTGTCCTATTTTTGCTGTCGCTCTTTTTGCCCGTTTCCTTTGCCTTGCTGTCTCTTATCTCCATATATCCCCGGTCATGAATTTTGTTCCTCCCTTGGCGCTCAAGGTGGACACGGCGTTGAAAACAGGATGCGAGGGGTGACTGAGTACTGTTTGAGCTTTGTATCAGAGATGGGACTCTTCTCCCCCGGTTTGTTCGGATATTGCTTTCTTCCCTCCCGACACTCTCTTCAGTGAGTCAATTGGAGTATACGTTTATTCCACATCGCATGAAATTTCGGCTTTGCATTAGACTTGGAGAAAGGTAGGCATAGTAGCCACGCCTCGGTATTTTGTAGATAGGTGGTAGATGTGACATATTCAAGGCATTAAGTTATCGTCAGTCGTCAAATGGCGGACACAAGGGGAAAGATTGGATATAGGGTATCGTAACAGTCGTCAACTGGTCCCAGGCAACAAAAAAAACAAACAAGAACAATGCACAAAGCAATTGAGGTTCCATCCGTCAGGGCATCTTCTCAAGTCCAACCAAAAGAAAGACAGGAAACACCGAGCACAGTATATCCTTCCGAGCACACAGATAGTTATAATCTGTTCAGCCCTCGCATATCCCCTCTACCGTCTCTCCGTCTTGCCCTCTCACTCAACGATATCGACTATCGCCATCGTACGAACTGCCTCCTCCATACTCCAACGGATCCACCGTCCGATACCCCCTCCCTGCGCCCCCCTCTCCTCGGCGACGGCGACACCGTCGACATCATTGACGATTCCTCCTCAATCACCTCCACCAAATCCTGATCATTCGTGATCGAAGTCCCCGTCACCGACTCCTGGCTCATTACATGACTGGGCCTCGCCGACGGCGGTCTCCGATAACTATCGCGGCGACGGTCGCGCTCCTCAACGACCTCAATGGCATCGTCCCGTCGAGACGACGGGGATCGACGACTGCGCACAACGACTTCTTCATCGACGATCGTGGTGTCGTCTGGATTGCCGCGGGTGAGACCGCCCGGGTTCAGGGCGAGGAAGGTTAGGTAGAGGATGAGGAGGACGCCGGCGACGGTGCCGAGAACGATGCCGGCGACGGTGCCTGGGGGTGGGCCCGAGTTGAGGTGGCCGTAGGTGGCGGGGATGGAGATGGTGGAGTAGCGCTTTTCGAGGTGGTTGTGGAGGAGAGGAGGTGCTTGGAGTTGAGGGTTGAGGTGGTATGGTTCCGGTGTGAGGGCGACTGTTGCGTTGTGGGGGTGGTCGAGTCCGTGGGCGGAAATGGATGAGAGGGACTGCATCTTTGAGGAGGGGGCGGTGGTTGTTGAGTTGATCAGGTGTCAAGTTGTCAACGAGGTAGTCGACTGGTGTTGGCTTTTGGTGTCTGAAGGCGCGAGGTGGTGGTGATACCAGATCAAAGAGAGATGAGGCTCTTGTGCAACAGGCCTTTGCCGAGGCTGATTGGTAAAAGATGTGCACTGGCAAAGATGGATGGTCGCAGACAGGACCTTTTAGAGGTTCAAGGTTATGATGGATGGAGTAGACTCTGCAATAGGCGCCAGCGCGGTCGATTGGTGCTACACCTCTTGGCCTGCAGCAAGAAGAACAGTCTCCAAAGTAAAGAGCAGTTGAAAATCTGCGGAATCACGTCTTCGACAAGTCATGATTGCGAAAAGTTTGAATGGTGAAAAATCAGGAGGCTGGGAGTGAGGAACCTCTGCCGTCCGTCAGGCCTGCTTTGAGGAGTCTAGAACATCAACATTGAACCCCAAGAAAAGTGGCTGGGGATCGGCAGCGACGGGAGTGGACTCGTGGAGTGGTGGAACCCAGCGGATACAACACAAATGTCGACTCATCAGGTGAATGGAGAAAAGACTTGTGTAGGTGATGAATGTCTCTCAACGTAAAGATGGATTCAAATGCAAAATTTAGGATTGAGGAAGTTGCATGGCCATTCTATCTTCATCAAGGTGATAAGGCCAGGCTTCGCTTTATTCAAAAGTCATCACGCCTTGTGAAAGCTTAGCCCAGGCACCTTATTCTCGGAGACTGCCAAGTAGTGTTGTTGACATAGACTCTGGATCTACTAGCTGATCTGAACGCGCTGAACCGAATGCACATTCGATTGCTCAATCGAGAACCAAGGTAGTGGATAACTGGATGTACCTACCCAAGTACTAATCTCATCAATGATGGGGCATCTCATTTAGAACTATGATCAGCGTCCGACGCCACTAGAATGAATCAACATGGTAACACATCTGTAGAGCTTCATGGTCAATCGGATGAGCGGACCTCACTCATGCTGCCAAATGCAATCGATGGAAGAAGCGCCGCTCAAAGCTGCTGGCAAGGCCGGGCTTCTTGAAGAAGCGACAACAGAGATAGGGTCGGAGCTAGTCGAGACATTAAAGAGGCGGTACTCACACTTCTGGATCAACGGTAGAGAGTTTCAAGAGTCAATATTCCGGGAAAGTTGAGCTTGGAAGCGGTGCCATGACTTTGCCAAGGTTGATGATTGATGATAGCCAACTGCTCTCGATTAGTGAAATGTTTACTTCTTGTCTTCTAGCTCGCTGGGTGCCATCCATCTCAGGAGCAAAGTAATCTTGAGATTGAATGGCGGCTCCGAAGCCTTACCGTGGATTCCCAATTTTCGTTGAGACACCGAGGATTTCGAATGTCCATGAACAACGTAAATTCTGGGGCGCTGGGCTGGATGTCAAAGCGCTGCTACGGTGGCCCTGCGCTGTCCGCGCGGCGGCACTTCAGACATGCAGCCTTGTAGGACTGCACGGCAATATCCATACGATGATCTTGACCTCTAAAGAAAGCATTTGATGGAATAAGCTCGGCCCCCCGGATTGACGACCTTAAATCCGCTTCGCCAGTCCTCCAGCTTGCGGCCATACCGGACTTAAGGTCCAGACAATGGCGTACCTCTCGAACCGCAGCCTAATCCTGATGAAAAGACTCAGGGGTCGGTGCAATTCACATCTCCGGTGAAGAGAACAAGGCCAGGAGCTCTCATTACGGCGTTACCATTCGTCGTGCGTTTCGCCAATGCTTCACTCGTCTATGGGGGTTGGCATGGTGGGTTGCCTGCCGGTAGCGTTGTGCGGAATTCGGATGAACAAGCTCACTCGGCGTTACGAAGTGAGCATCTGCCCAGTCACTCAAGTCACTTTTGGCGTAGGTTGTGTTGGTGGATAGCTCAAATTCGAGAAACGGGAAACGAGAATCATAGGCTAGTCTGAGGAGATGGGCATAAATAGGGAGGCTGTGTCCCGTTGACAAGAATTGCTTGTCCGTGCTAGAGAGCCTACGATATACAACGATTACAGACGCCTTGATTTGCTCAGTATTCTGCAGTGGTTTTTCGATCATCGGGCCCTTACATACTCAAGATCACACTCTTGAGGACGATCAAAAATGCCCTTGTACGCCAAGGATCAGCCTGCGGGCTTCACAAACGCCGTGGAGAGAATTGCTATTGTTGGTGTAGGTTTCCTTGAGGACTGAGATGTCCCTCACCAGTACATGCAACAGACACTGACAGAGTCTCTATCCCACAGGCCGGAGGGACAGTGGGATCGCACATCGTCACCTCCCTGCTTCAAACCGGAAGACACACAGTCACAGCTCTCTCTCGCCCGGACAGTACCAATAAACCTCCCCCGGGAATTCGAGTCGTGACAGTCGACTATGACAACGAAGACAATCTTGTGACAGCCCTTCGAGGCCAACAATTCCTCATTATCACACTTAGCCCAACAGTGGCCCAGGGCACTCACAGCAAACTCGTCCGGGCCGCCGCCAAGGCTGGGGTCCCCTACATCATGCCCAATGGCTATGGAGGGGACATTGAACGGGTGAAACAGGGCAAAGAGAGCATGCTCGGTCCCATCGCAAAGGCGCATCGGGATGAGATCGAAGCACTTGGTATGCATTGGATCACGGTCTGCTGCGGCTTCTGGTACGATTACAGTCTCGCCGGCGAAGAGCTGCGCTTCGGATTCGACTTTACCCGGAAGGCCTTGACCCTGTATGACGATGGCAACACGAAGAATACCGTGTCTACTTTGTCACAAGTTGGACGGGCGGTGGCCAAGCTGCTCAGTCTCAAGGAGCTTCCGGTGGATGAAAAGGACGAGAGCCTCACATTATCCCACTGGCTGAACAAGGGTCTCTATGTGACCAGCTTCACCATCAGTCAGAGAGAGATGTTTGAAAGTGTCAAGCGCGTGACAGGCACCACGAACGACGACTGGAACGTGACTCATGAACCCTCACAAAAGCGATATGAAGATGGTCTCGCACTTTTGAAAACAGGGAACAGACTCGGGTTTGCCAAGCTTCTGTATGCCAGGGGCTTTTTTCCTGACGACCCCAGTCAGTTTTCGGAAAAGTCAGAAAATGAGCTCCTGGGACTGCCTGAGGAGGATCTTGACAAAGCTACCCAGGTTGGTATTGACATGGTCCCGTCACGGGCACGTGAACAGCAGATTGCGATGTCGTGAATGTCATGACCAAGTTCCCAAAGTGAGTGTTCTTGTGCCATGTCGTGGGGCATGATGAGGGATGTCGAGAATCTCAATAGGAGCATGTGCAGATGGATCGTGTATCCTTGTTAGGTAGTGATAATCTTTCCTTTGTGAGCAACATCACTCTTCATCACCCAGAAGGTCTCTCACAAGGTCTCTTTTCGAAAGCAGAGTATCCGAGGTATATTCGAAGTGATCTGCAATGCGAGATCAATTCTACTGAGTCAGGTGACTGCCTAGACCAATGTGGTGCATACTACCTATTCACTCGACCCAGTTCTCCTGCTACTACCTGGCTTTACTATCCAGTACACTCCTCGCGTTATCAGAGTCTTGAGTGACATCTTCCCTGAAAGATAGCTATTTGGTCGAATGCGTTCAGTCGAAGCGATTGAGGATCACGTGCATTGAGATTCAGTCTTTGAGATTTGTTATCAGACACACTTTGTTGGGAGAAATTCCAACTGAACCTCACAACAAACAAGGTGATCGCCCTCCAATACCTCGAGGGTCGGTGCAAAGGCCGATTGTGGAGACTTCCCCGCACTGTCAACGTTCTCGACTCTCGTGATTGACCATGTTACTGTTCCGAGAACACAGTCGAGTCAATGATCATCATCTCTTTCATTAATGTCCTTCTCATATTGTGCTCTCAGACTCGCCTTGAACAGCACCCCAACATCTGTGGCAAGTCACAATCGCACACCCACTTGGCAACTCAACATCGGAGGAAGAAGCAAGTGGGCGACGAGCTCCGATTAGATAACGAGTGGAGATGTCCATCCTGCACCTCAACCAGTCACAACCCATTGAAGCCAATGGAGGCGAAGAAAAACGAGAGGAAAAGCAACATGCGCAGGACGGTGGATCGACAGTCTCCTCCCTCCCGCGCAGATAACGGCACATGGCCGAGTGAGATCAGTATATAACACAGTCTCCGCATCTCATCGCTCCGGCCGTCCACGGGCGCTTTCTAGCCCGAGGTCTTGCCGTCCGTATCCCTTCAAAGAAAGAACGAGAACAAATTCACCGGGGTGTTGAATGGCCATGGCCATACTCGCACGATGCAAAGACTATATCAAGGGCCATGAGACGGTACCTGGCGAGACAAAATTGCTGCGAAAAATTGACGCTTTCATTTTGTCCTTCTGTTGTCTTTGTTACTTTGCCAATTACCTGGACCGCAGTAACTTGAATAATGCATATGTGTCGGGCATGAAGGAGGAGCTCAGATTCGAGGGAAACCAGCTCAATGTGATCAATACGGTATTCACGGTTGGGTAAGAGCGCCTCCACGGTTCACACCATCCATTGGTTATGGAACAGCGAATCCATGATCGGGTTCTATCCAACCTATTCCTTGACAGATGCTCACAATCTCACAAACAGATATATTATCGGGCAGATTCCTTCAAATCTCGCCTTGACTTATTTACGTCCACATCTCTTCTTCCCCACGATGATGCTCATCTGGGGTGGCCTGACTATGGTCACGGCCGCGGTGCATAATCCTCAAAGTATCATGGCCATCCGCTTTTTCTTGGGCGTCGCCGAAGCAAGTACGTTTGCGGGCACCCATTATATTCTGGGCGCGTGGTACACAGAGAAAGAGCTGGGAAAACGAAGCGGTATCTTCACGGCATCGGGGTTGGCGGGGACGATGTTTGGGGGGTTCATCCAGACCGGTATTCAGAGATCTCTCAACGGTACTCATGGGTTAGCGGGATGGCGATGGCTGTTCATAGTAAGTAATTTTCGTGCTGTTGCATCTCACTTTTCCCGAGGACTCTCTTGACTAAACGAATGACACCAGATTGATGGTCTGATCACTATTCCTATCGCCATATATGGATTCCTTCTATTTCCCGACACCCCTACCACTACCAAAGCACCCTACCTGACCTCCGCGGAGCGCTCCTTGGCCATTGCTCGTATCCCCGAGTCGGGTATTGCCAAAGCTCCCCTCAATTTGACCTTTGTCAAACGCGTCTTCACCTCTTGGCACTGGTACGGCTTTGTGGGTCTCTGGATCATCGCCGGAGAGACTGAATCCTTTTCAAGCAACGCCCTGCTGGCGCTGTACATGAAGTCGGCCCCCGACCGTCACTACACCATTGCACAATTGAATGACTACCCTACTGGCGTGCCCGCGGTTGGCATCGTCTCCACGCTGTTCTGGGCAACCCTAACCGATTTCATGGGTGGCAAGCGGTATCTTGTCGGGTACTTCATTGCCATTACCGGTATCATGACCTCAGCGCTCATTCTGACCCAATTTGAGAAAACAGCCGTGGTATTCGGCGCATACTACTGGGCGGGCGCGGTGTATGCCTGTCAAGCAACCTTCTTTGCCTGGTGCAACGACGCCCTGCGATATCATGATGATCGATTTCGGTCGGTGGTCATTGCAAGCATGAACATGGGGAGTAATGCGGTAAACGCGTGGTGGATCCTGCTCTTTTATTCGGCCAATTTTGCGCCTCGCTTCACCAGGGGTATGTGGGCGATGGTCGGATGCTCAATTGCGCTTGCCTTATGGACAACGGGAATCGTTTGGATGTCGGTGCGAGAGGAGAGAAAACGTCAATGCCATGTGCTAAATGTACATGATCGAGTAGATGCCAAACAGGCGGAAGAGCTTGCTCGGGAGGTGTGATCATGAAGGCACGCTTATATTTAATGAATAATTGAAACGAGACATGAAAATGTCAGGTATTCGAACGAAATGCTATTCACAGACGGTAAGATGCAATTGAGAAATTCGGTTTCTTCATGATGACACCCCCAGTCTCAAAACTCTGACCGACTGAGTTTCTATTCTCCGGGAATGGCAACGCCAGAGACTTCCCTGCAAAGCTTCAACAGCTCCTCCTGCTTTTCCACCTTTCCAGCACCAGGATGCGTCGATCTCGCACCCGCAATAGTCAAGAATGACCCACTTGGAAGATTCGCCAGGTTGCCCACCCCCATCGCCCAGTCAGCAATCGCGTCCCCCGTCTCCTCCAGCCCCGACGAAGCCATACTTCCTCCCATCTTAGTCCGCACCCAACCAGGATGCATACTCACAACCTGGATATCCCCGCCCCAGCGCCGCGCAAACGCATTAGCAAGCATCACATCATGAAGCTTACTATCACTGTATGAATGGGACTGCGTCGCATTGCGCAAGCTCTCGTCGCCCCCGTAATGGCTATCCGAACTCATATACAGCAATCGCGACGTCGGCTTCTTCATCAGACATGTCAGAATGTATGGCGCTAGTGTATTCACGGCAAAAACAGCCGAGATCTTGTCGGCGGTGATTTCGCGACTTGAAGTTGAGCCGTAGCCGATGCCTGCGTTGTGGATAATTGCGTCAAATGTCCCGTTGCCCAGCTTGTTGGCTTCTTGAGCTAGCTGTTTGGTTTCGGTGACAGAGCGCAGATCGGCGACGAGGACGGCTTCAGCTTGGGGGACGGCTTGTCGAGTAGACTCGGCGCGAGCGCTGTTTCGCGCATGGAGAACAACGGAGTGGCCCTTTCCAGCAAGAACTTTGGCAGTCGCAAGACCGATGCCGTCGCTGGAGCCGGTGATGAGGAATCGTGCCATTGTGGGAATTTGAGGGCTTGAGAGAGTGTGGGATCCGAGTCTCACAAGTGCACAGGCTAAGGTACTCCACTATTCGAAGTCGGGAATGTGCTGCAGTAGAAATTTCCAGTACTTTACAGGTGCCAACGCTTTGAACACCTTATTGAATGTGTCGCAAGCTTTAACTCATAGACTCGGCACGTCTAAGGTAGCATGCGGGGATCTCAGTGTCGCGTGACGTCATTCCTCGCTCGTGTGCTACCGTTCATTTTGACGTTGATATGAGACGCAATTAGATTTTGAGTAGATCTGATAATCTTCGATTGCAGGTGGCTGGTAGTATAAGAATTCACTGGTCTTCACTGGTCTCGGTGGCTTGGGCGAAGGCAATTGGAACGAAATACTGATATGTAAGTCTGTACTCTGTACACTTGTAGTACCCGACGCCTTCCCGTGCGACCTGGCCTTGGCAAGTTGGGTAACTTGAGCTTCAAGTCATCTAAGATTCTACTTCGAATGGTCATGAGGCTTGTCCCAGTCTTATGGCCGGAGTCTCACTACAATATTTACAACTGACGAAGCGTGAAAGCTTGCTGTTTTCTTCGTGGGTCAGAGTTATGCCTGGCACTTCGATGCCCAGCTAAGATTCGAATTCGACTGATTCATGTTGTTATCAGACTCGGGCAACTGGCGAGTCGCGAGCCACGATAAGCACTCTGTCACGGGCAGCGCTAGACCCGAAACGTCAGCAGTCCACGTGCGCGGGCGGAGACCATTTCCTTACACATTTGAAAATAAGATTCAACATCTCAACCAGAACCATCAATGCCACAGAGTTAAATTGGAGCATATAGAAACTTCAGTCATGCGCTTTGACCGGACTTGTAGCCTATACAAAATGGCTCGTCAACCATCAGAGTCGCTATTCTAGCGAATAAGACTGATAAATTCTCCACCATTATGGGATCCATCAACACGGATGACCCAACAGCGAACCTGGGACCCGATTCAGACTGCGGATCGGACCTTTTCCCTTTTTCTTCGATCTTTTTTCGTTTCCTTTCCCGTCGGCTAACAGCCTGGCGCGTCCGAGACCTCGAGTGGGGTTGCTACAAGATAAGCAAAAGACACTACCGTTCTACCCATCAGCCACTCAGATGGTGTGATTTTACGTGAATGTCGTCGGCTCTTGAAGGAATATTCCCCTCTACGGAGCGGTAGCGCGCAAACTCCCTTTTCAAGCTTCCAAAAAAAATATCCTCGGGTTTGACCCTCATTCCTGTCATCCTCGCGCGGCTCGCCTGCCTGTCACCATGTCGGGCTATCTTCAGTCTCCGGAGGATAAATTGGGGCCGAAACAGATTGTGCGCGACGTGCAGGCTCCAGTGGCAGAGTCGGTGCCTACATTTACAGCGTCAAGCCCGGAAGATGGGCAGATTGTGACTGAACAGGAGCGACAGAATTTGCTTCGAGGGTTATCGCAACGTCATGTGCAAATGATTGCGATTGCCGGTGCCATCGTATGTCATGATCCTGCGTTGATGTTTGTTTGATCTCGCTCACGACGCCTTTTGCTCGTCCCTTGTTTGGGAAGAAGATATACAGGCATGGCGCATGGCGGGTGTTGACTTTGGATTGCGCTAACATTGGCATGTGTTTAGGGCACAGGACTCTTCCTCGGTCTGGGCGGGTCGATCGCAACGGGGGGCCCTCTCGGAGCTCTTCTCGGATACATGTTTGTGGGAGCGATTGTCTGCTCCATTCAATTTGCACTAGGAGAAGTGACGGCTTTGTTGCCCGTCACAGGTTCCTTTGTCCGTCATGCGGAGGTTCTGATTGATCCTGCGCTTTCCTTTGCGGTCGGTTGGAACATTGTCTACGGCTGCTTCCTGAGCGTACCGAGTGAAATCTCGGCCGCTGTTGTCCTGATACAGTATTGGACAGATATCAATGCTGCCGTGTGGGTAACCATTCTTATCATTATCTCCGTGGTAGTTGCCGTCTCCTTCATTCGTGTCTATGGCGAGGTGGAATTCGTCTTTGCCATTCTCAAGATCCTGCTGGTCATTTTTGTCGTGATACTCGGTCTTGTGATCAGCTTGGGTGGTGTTCCAGGTCGGTCTCTCTCTCTCTCTCTCTCTCTCTCTCTCTCTCTCTTCTTGCTGGTTTCCGACTCTTGTGATCGGGTACCTTGGCGATCGCGACAAGTGCTGACCTACTCTCACTAGGACATCCCCGCTCTGGATTCCACTTTTGGAAGGATCCTGGTCCGTTCGTTGAATACATCGCTACGGGTAGCTGGGGACACTTCCTCGGTTTCTGGGCCGTCATGACCAACGCGGTGTACTCTTTTGCCGGCGTCGAGTCGATTGCCATGGCCGCTGCGGAGACAGTCAATCCCCGTCAAAATATCCCAAAAGCGTGTAAGCGCGTCTTTGCTCGTGTCACGATCTTTTACTTAGCCACCGTGATCGTGGTTGGTATGCTTGTTGCAAGCAATGACCCAGCGCTGGGTGATAGCTCGGGTACCGCAGCGCAGAGTCCGTTCGTCATCGCCGCCAGTAGTGCTGGCATCAAGGTCATTCCATCCTTGGTCAACGCCATCTGTCTGACATCTGCCTGGTCCGCGTCCAACCAGAGCATTCTTGCAGGAACAAGAACGCTCTACGGTCTTGCGATCAAGGGCCATGCTCCCAAGATCTTCCTTCGAACCAATGCATGGGGTGTGCCTTATATGTGTGTGCTTCTCCAGGTGGCCTTCTCGTTGCTGTCTTATATGTGCGTCTCGAGCGGCGCCTTGACCGTCTTTTGGTGGTTTGTGGATCTCACGGCGGCGGGTACATTGGTCTCATGGATCTGCATCTCCTTGAACCATATCCGTCTATTGCAAGCCATGAAGAAGCAGAACATTTCACCTGATCTTCTGCCATGGCACAACCGCATCACGAGTAAGTCCCCTTACCAGATCCCTTTCTTTCTATACCCTCGAGCTCGCAGACTCTAACGCCCCTGCAGGATATACAAGTTGGTTCGCCTTGGTCTCTTGCACCATTATCCTCTTCACAGGCGGCTTCGCCGTTTTCACAGAGGGCAACTGGAGCCCTGCAACCTTCGTGTCAAGCTACCTGTTAGTTCTTGCCCCCCCCCTCCCCCCCCCCCCAACCCAAATTCTCCTCCCTTTTGCCTAACCCAATTGCATTCAAACGCAACTAACCGGTCTCAACAAAAAGGGACATTCCCCTTGTCCTATGCGCATACGGAGGCTACAAGCTCATCCGCCGGACCAAAATCGTGCCGCTCGACCAGATCCCTCTTCAACAAGCACTTTACGAAGCGGAAAACGATCCGGAGAATGTACCTCTCAAGAAGGATAGCTTCCTGGCCAAGGTTAACATTTTGTGGGGTTAGAAGCAGATCTCTCGCCTGTGTTTGGGCACATGGTTTGCTCAAGAGGTAGTGGGAATCCTCCCTTCTTATAGCATGTTTCAACACGTATTAGATGCATAATGACCAAATTTTCTGGTGGGGTCTTCTGGACACAACGTGATGGTTGCTTCATCTGAAACCTCATGATTGAAATTTCTTATCTTGTCAGTAGGGTATTGATAATGATGATCTATGAAGGTGGGACATGTAGCACGGTGATGCCTTGATACTGATTGTTGCTTCAAACTTCAAGATTGTGAATTTGGCTATTTGACTGGACTCGTTACAATTCATTAACGTAGATCATCCGAAAGTGAAGATACCAAGTAGCCCTCGCACCCAAGTCAACACGGAGTGCGAGTTGCCGGACAACATCCAGCCAGCGGCTAGAGCAGCCTTGCGCCATACGATGTGGTGTCATGAGCAGCTACTTTGTCAATTCACCTTCACACCGTTGGTCTTTCAACATTAAGCTCCTTGATTTCAGAGCACAATGGTCTAGAATCCCGACTAGTACGCGCCCGGTCGAGGCTTATATTTTGGCTGGTCCACTGACTTGACCTTGTCCAAGGACGTAAGCACAGGGGTGGCGTTGATCAGCTCAAAGCTGGTCAGCTTAGCACCGTTATCCTGTTGAGCCCAAAGACTCAGAGCAATCCAGTTGGTGCCGTGGTAGTTCAGGATACCCTCGGGAACGGGGAAGCTTGTCTGGGGACCGATATTGTTGACGTATTTACCGTATTGGTATCCGTTAACGTAGAGCTGAGCGCGGTACGCATCGGGAGGAACAGTGCTATTGCCAAAGTTGAAGTACAGCGGGATGTCGTAGCCAGATGGGAGGTCGAGGTCGAAGCTGGCACTGTAGAAGCGGATGCCCGGCTTGGTGAGACCGGTGAACGGGCTGCTGGAGTCCCAGTCCTTGGTGGGTGGCTGGGGCTGGTGGAAGCCTTGACGCTCGGCGTAGAGACCGCCCTCGTTGAGGGGACCGCGGATGGTATCACGGTATTCCTCGCCGCCCAGGTTTCCGGTCAATTTCCAGGTGACGGCGCTAGCTTCGTGTCCAGCGAGGGTGTAGCGGAGGATACCCCGAGGGTTCTTCATCTGTTCTTGGCCGATGGTCCAGTTCTCATCTAGTCCCATGTTGTCAATGACAACCGTGATAACGTAATTCTTGCCGGACTTCAAGGATGGAAGTGTATAGGTAGCGTTGTAGTTGCTGTTAGGACCAGTGCCCGCCCAAGAGCCAATGTATGTCTCATTGACCCAGACAGAGTGACCGTAAGCTGAGCCACCCTGCGTCTGAACGAAGAAAGTGGACTCTTTGCCATTGGCGACGAAATGTCCGCGGTACAGCAGAGCACCAGTGTGGTATCCGTAATCAGACGAGAACAAGCTGGTAGGAGTTTGCAGCTTGTTGGCGCTGTTGCGGGTGTAGGGAAGGTCAGCGGACCTCCACGCAGAGTCATCATACGTGTTCTTGAGTTCCGGAAGGGTATCGATTGATCGCCATTTCAGATCCTTCAATTTAGGGAGATGGACCTTCGGTGCATCATAACAAATGCTGGTCGACCAGATACCGTTCTTGTCGGTGTGAGCCTTGGTCTTCTTGCCGTTGACAATCAAGTTTTTGGCGCAAGAAGGAGCACCGATGACTTCAATGGGAGTGGTAGCGTTGAAGTCCGCCTGGATGTGCAGATCCTCCCCGTTCAGGAATGCGCTTCGAACCAAATAGCCAGCATTTACAATGATGGAAGAGTCAATCGTTTTCTTGCTGACAAAGCCTGGTTCCTTGCCCTTGGTCGGCAGATGAGGTACCCAGTAGTTGTAGGCAGAGTTGCGGTCTATTCGTCTCAAGTTAGCAATGACATTCTTCATGGCCACTCTGACAATTCTGCAGGGGATATCTTACCAATCAGGAAGACTTTGAGGTCTCCGATCTTGACAATGCGACGCTTGCTTGAGACATCCCAAGCAACAACCAGTGCCTTATCCACCTTCTTCGATTTGATGTCGGAGCCGGATCCCTCAGTGACTGAGCTAGCAGAGGCACCAATGACAGCAAACTCGTGGTGCTCACCGGGTCCGCCATAGAGAACGAGGACCTTTTCGTTGTCAAATTTCTTCCACGTGAACACCTCGGCAGTCGAATAGAGGATCTTGGTACCAGCGACGTCATAGTCAGTCACATGGATCTTTGAGTCCCGGCCGCTCAAAGTGAGTTCACCGCCGAGTTGGGGAATGGTCATTTCACCGGCACTGGTCGGAAGCGTGAGGTGATATTTGGCCGAAGCTTGACTGCTGTAGTTCGAATGACGAACGACGAAGAACGAGCCGGTAGAACAGTCACTTCCAAGCAAAGGAGTGACAGTCAGCTCGGCAGTGCTGGTGTACTTGGAAGTGGTCAAGTTTCCAGGATTGGCCACGAGGTAATCAGGAGAAACTTTAGCAAAGTTTCCAAGCAATTTCAGTTCAGAATACTTTTCACGGGTGATGTTTCGCGATTCAGAAATGGGAGAGCCATAGTCGTAAGACGTATAACCGCCAGGATGACCCAAATTGCCCCAGTTGGTTCCACCAAATATCTTGAACTCCCGTTAGCAAGCAGTCCCAACTGCGAGAAAACATCATGAACGTACCATGTACAAGTTGAGGAAGGTAACACCAAAGCTAAAGTCGTTTTTGTAAAAGACTCGCTCGAACTCGTGGTTCAATAGGTGGGCACACTTGGCGAAACCTACGCCACCCCAGGGATCGAACGAACCACCTTGGAACTATGGAGGTTATCAGCATCTCCATTGAAGGGTCAGACATATTGATGATGTCGGAATTACAGACATACCTCGACAATGGAATACGGTGTCGTGGGGCTTTGTTCCTCGTGCAGTGCGTGCCAATTTGTAGGCAGGTCACCATCCGGCCAGACGGAAGGATTGGCGCAGTCGAACCCAAGGGGATAGCCGTCGTGACCATAGATGTCGACTTCTCCCTTGCCAGTACCGGGAGCATTGTGGCCACCAGGATAGGCATCATTGCTAATGAAAGGAACCACAATTCCTGCTTTGCGAGCATGGTCTTCAATGTATTGCATGTACGAGCCGTCGGGAAAACCGTCATAGCCACAGCAAGCTCCAGAGTACTCATTTTCGGGCTGGTAGAGGACGACCGGACCGCCGTTGGTGATTTGCGCCTTAGCAATAGTCGCAGCGATATGTGAAGCATAGCTGTGCGATTTGTGTCAGTAGCTCATGTTATGCATCAGGTCGGACGCAAGGACCGAGGGGCAATCCACATACTTGTCTGTGGACTGGAGGTAGTCTCCAAGGCTAGTTCGTAGTGTACCGTTCACTCTCTGAAGCCATCCTGGGAAGCCACCGCCAGAAACCTCGGCATTGATGTAGGGACCAGGGCGCGCCAGTAGGTAGATACCAGCCTCCTTGGCCGCATCAAAAAAGGGTTGTAGATCGAAGATACCTTCTGCTGTGTAGTGGCCGGGGTTGCCCTCCAACAAGGCCCAATCGACGTAGAAAGACACACAATTGAAACCCAATGCCTTGACCTTCTCAAAGATATCAATGTACAATGAGGCAACGGGCAGACTGCGCCATGTTTTTGTCAGAGGCTATCAATGCAGAGCTCACTTCATCCCGGAGGAACCGCGTCGACATACCGATAGGGATGAACTTCACCACTGAACATCATCAGACGCTCCCCATTGATGAAAATGGATTGCTTATCCCAGGTCACCTGTCGACTCCCAGTACGCTCGTTAGTCTATTGCGTTTTCACCCTCACGCAGCTGTGAGTAACTTTGACTTACATATTTCTGGAGCAACTCCCGCTTCGAGGCATCTGCATGCTCGCGAATGGTGAAGCCGTCGAGCTTGTGGCTTATGGCCGCGCCTGAAGCCTGCGCTGCCAAGGCAACGAAGGCCAACGAAGATAGGAACTTCATGGCTAGGAATTTGCACAGCTTCTGATCGAGAAGCAGGCTAATTTGGGGAACAGCTTCCTTTCCTGCCGTTGGCTTTCTAGAAAAGAAAAATTCCTTCTCGTCGCAGAGGGATCGGCAGGTCTACAAATACTTCACGTCTCAATCCCAACGGCACAGATCGGCAAGCCAGTCATGCTTGCTGCGCTTAGGTTCCATGCCATACCCTCCACGACAGGAGTGAAATTGCGCGCATCTTCGTCCCCTTCAACAGGTTCCTCGTTGGTCAATTGAATTGTTCTCAGGCCTCGGACTGCAGCATCGAGGCTGGATCATTCCAACCCCGCCTCCTCCGAACATTTCGTCATCACAGGGCCTCAAGAAGAGTGTACGCACTAAAGCGGGGAATGGTTGATTGAGTCCAACCTCAAGACGGCGAAAAGCCGATGTAGGAATTATTCTGACCCGTCAAAGCCATATTGATGTACAGGACCGGAGTGGAACTGCGAGACCCTTTTCGGAAGGAGGAGAGATGATCGTCACTTTGCAACTTCAACGAGAACTGGGTTGCGGGGGCGTGCCCCCCCGCAATTTTTCCGCTTATCGTATAGTCTCAAATTCGCATACGCTGGTTGATGATGCATGTCCTGGTAGAGAGGGTCGTGAGGACCTCCGAAGGGTCATTCTTACCCGTCTATTGTCGCTCTTCCTTGCTTGCAATCGCTGAACCTGAGGACATGGCGATGAGCCAATGCTATGCCCATTTGAAACGCACATTAGAGGACATCAATCGAATTAATCCAGACGTGCTGCGCTTATGGGTTGAACGTCACAGCTTCGAGATCACGTCCCTAGTGGCACCGACGCACTGGATACTCAACCGTGCATGTGGATGAGATCAGCTCAGAGCCAGTAGTCAACGACGTGAAGACCTGCAGACGCTACTGTAGCTCGGGGATACCGGAATATCTCTCACCAGTCCGTGCTCTGCTGAGGGACTCGAAGAGCTTGCGCATCTCAGCGCGGTAGCTTGGACATTCGTCCTCCAATGACTCTGAGCTATTGGTCTTCATCAGAGCTTCGCGAAGTGCAACAACAGGCTGCATGCTGCAATTACTAAGACGTCTGAGTGCTACTGCGGGGAAGACGGAACTCACGTTCAGATTTACCCGGAGTGTCCTGGAGGTACTTACTCTACCAGAACCAGGTCCCAGCTTCCGGGAATTCACCGAGAAGAGTCGAGCACGTCGATCGCACGGCCCTCGCTATTTCATTTTCCGACTTCGGGTAATTGCCCGCGAGTCAGGTCATAAAGCGTCGGAATCGCATTATACTTCAGTAGGCCAGGGTTGGTGGGCGGATGACCCAAATGTAAGCTAGATCCGTCGCTTGTAAGGTGCTGGTGGGAGATGAAGAAACGGCAATCAAAAGTCCCCTGCACACTGAGGCTCTGACAAGGCCTGGAAAAAGAGCACTTCGGCACACAATGGCCTGATTTGTTTCGATCATTCACGGTCGGCAATTGCACGGGGAAGTGAGTACTGACAGCGGAGATGCTGGTGGCAATTCTCACGCGGAAATAACAATGGCCTGGCATTGGGTGCCATATAATAGATATTTTGCGGCGCGTAATAGATTGTACACTATTTAAACAGTTTGGTTGAACCGATCCTCCTCATCGCCAGCTTTGGTGTAGGTTTCCCGCACGTCCATCTGCTCCTGCTCGTCTTGGCCCAAAGCAAGGTTCTCTTGCTTCAGCAGCTCCTCCTCGACTGCAACTGGAGGATCAAGCTCGACATCTTGATCGACCTCTTGATCGACCTCTTGATCGACTTCTTGATCGACCTCGACAACGGTTTGCGCATCCTTGTTAGAAGGTTTCTGGGTCTTGACGTTGTGGTTGTTGACGGGAGTGGTATCATTGAAGATACGTAACAGCATTGCCCGACGGTCTTCCTTGGGAAGCATCAGGTTGATAGAGTGCAGAGACCGCCACAGGGGTAAAACCATTCGCTCGCTAGAAAAAGAAGCATTAGTAAGATAGGAATTGGACAGCGTGGATGTAGATGCACATTAGCATGATCACAGCGGACAAGAACTCACTTCAGACCATCTTCCTTGCCATTGGGCTCGACGCGCAAGATACTACAGCCCATAGGGATGTCCTTGACACGCTCACCAATCTCGTCAAGTTGTTTCCAGCCATTGTCGTTGACCTTGGGGAACATCTCGATGAGCAGGCGACGCAAAGTCTCCCGTTGGGTCAGGGTAACGGTGCGCACATCACCAAGCCAAGGCTCGATGAGTCGCAATCCGTCCGTCTGGATCCGCCAGCGGCAGACATTCTCGCGTTGGGCATCCTGCTTCACAAACATCTTTACGCCGCAGTGGACAAACTTCATCCCAGAGCCCTCATTCATGGTCAGGATATCGCGGGCGAGCGCGCTCGTGTAGTACACAGTCCGTGTAGGCTGGCCTTCCGCGTTACGCACCATCCAGCGATCCCGGGGGAAGCGCTCGGACAAATCGAAGAATGCATAGACAGGCACCAGCTCGGGGTGGTTAGGGTCCAAATACTTGTAGGGCTCCTCTTGGACCACCTTCTTCTTGAACCCTTGAACCACGGGGCCAGGGGCAGTGGCAGCCGGGGTGGCCTCGGTCGAGGTACCAACAGATTCGGTCTCGATCAATGCCGGAGGCGGACGATGAACGGGTCGATCACCAATCAAGACCTCGTGTCCATCGTCGAGTCTGGCTTTCTTAGCTGGAAGCTCATCGTCCAATTCATCAGCTTCGCGCTTGGTGGGCGAGGCAGGCTCTGAAGCGTCCAGAGTAACTGAGTAGGGGGGTTGATTCGAAGCCTGAGCGATGGATGCGTTCTTCGCCAGCTCAGCATCAACTTCAGCATCCGCAGGAACCAATTCATCCAAGGCTTCCAACTTCTGGTAGGGCTCGCCGTCCTGCTTGTTGCGGGCATCCAGCTCGGCGGTGAGTGCTGCAATGGAACCCTTGGGCAGTAGCGGGATGACATTCTCAGAAGTCTCGGGTTTCGCCTTGATCTCGGAAGTCTTTTCGAGTACAGTGATGAAGAAACCACCAGTGTCCTGAAGGTGAGGATAGATACGCATGCATCGCTCGAGCGGCAGCTCGGCGGTCTCGCCCGAAGGTGGGAACATGCCCTCTGCCAGTCTAGCCAGGCCGTTGCTGGTCTCCTCCTGCTGTCTTTGGTCAAGGACATCCTTCCAGCTGCCCCAGATACGGCCCTCGCGATCCATGACCTTCCAGGACTTGAGGCCGGGACGACGCTTGAGGCCAGCAAGCTCCTCGCTGCAGTCAATGATCTTGACATTGGCAGCGCCGCCACATCGCTCAATGGCACTGGCAATGACAGCTTCGTTCTCAACAGGATTCATGCTGCAGGTGGAGTACACGACACGTCCACCGACCTTCAGCATTTGCAAGGCGCGCACGAGAATGCGAGCCTGCGTAGTGAAGAGGCCCAGGGCGCTGGAAGGACTCCAATCCTTCCAAACGCCGTAGTTCTTACGAGCGGTACCATCTCCTGAGCAGGGCACATCGGCCAGGATACGATCGAACTTGAGGTATCGATTGATGGGGCGCTTGCCCTCGGGGGCGGGCAAAGGAGGAAGCTTGATGGATGGGTACATTGTGGCATCGTGGTTCGTCACAATCAAGTTGGGCGAGCTGAGACGCTTCATCTGATGAATGAGGAGATGGGCACGCTTGTAATCACTGTCGTTGGCGATCAACAAGCCCGTAGTACGACCATCGTCATTCAAGCCCTCAGGGCCCAAGGGCTCAGGTCCAGCATTGCCTTCCTTGACCTGCTTGGCGATTTCCAAAATTGTGTCCTCCTCGCCGGCATGAAGAGCCTCCATCAATTGCGCCGACTTGCTGCCTGGAGCAGCGCACATGTCCAGAACGGTCATGCCCGGACGAATATCAATGAGCAGCGGAGGGATCATGCTGACCAGCTCCTGCCGACTGATGTTTCCAACTTCGGTCTCTGCAACAAGGAATTTCTGGAATGAAGCAAAGGGCGCATGACGGCGAATAACTTGCTTAGGCGTGGTCATGGACCATGCCAGCTGGTCCGGATACCACGACACGGGACGTGGAGGCTCGACAGGTTGACCTTCATACTCAATGGCAGTGATTTCAGGAATGTAGAAGTCTTTCAGGCGCTGCTGAACGGCGAGAGCATGTCTTGAAGGCGTAATTGTCAGCGGGAACCGCAAATTTACACACAGTGACATTTTCGCATCGAGGAAAAGGCTTGTAACACATACCCTCGAGAGCCTGTGAAACGGAAGCTGTTGGGCAAATCTCTCTTGATCGCATTCCAGAACTCCTCCTTCTCCTCCTCGGGGATGAATTCGGGCTCATTGTAGTATCTCTCGAGCTTCTCGTTCGTACGAGCGATGTCTTGCCAGTTGGTGGAGCGCTGTGCGCGGCCACCGCCGCCACCTTTGCCGCCGCGGTTTCCCTGCAAAAGACATCAATTAGCACGGTCTAGATAGAAGACTGATGGTGTTCGACTGGAAAGCTTACCTTTCTGCCGCCGCGTTTGCCCATTTTGATACGCAGGTGCTTGACTTTATCAGTCGCAAATTACAGCATCAAAAAAAAGACGGAAGAAGCACGAGATTATCTAATCGCTACTGTGGGCCCGTCACGATATCTCACACCCGCCCCGCCAATCATTGTTTGTGGACGTCTACTACCGCAATTTGCAACAGAACAGCATGAGGGATAAGCGGCACGTTAATAAGTTGCTTCATGACATTGACAGTACCGTCGAATATTGCGTTCGAGGCAGGCCGCTGCTAGAGCGTCAGCCGGTTCAAGCTCTACGCAAATGTGTCAATACTTTCTACGTTGCCGACGAATCTACGTGTAATATTCCAGTAGCAGTGGATAGACAAAGGAAAAAGAGGATCGATTGATCTGCCACAACCCAGGCGACAGACTATGTAGTCTACTATGGCAAACCATTAATTGCTATTTCACACACAAGTCCAGGGTCTAAACAGCAACCCAAAACAATGATTGATAATACATTCAAACAAAAATCCACAGCGTCAGTCTCGAAGGACCCGAGAGCAGTCGTCTTTTAATCGCTTCTAGGATCAGCAGAGGGAAATTTAAGACATGTTGCGGGACATGTCGTTGCGGATGCGCTGGTAGTCGAGAATACCCTCGATGCTACCAACAGCGCTCATGGCGATATCCTGATCCCACAGCTTGCGGTTGGCGAAGTCCATGACATGCTTCTCGGTGATAGAGCCGATCACACGCTCAATGTCCTCAGGGCTGAGGCGGCGACCAGTGGTCACGATCTGGCGGCCGATATCCTCAGCGACAGCGGTGGTGCCATCGAGAGACAGAAGGATGGAAGCCTTGAGCTGAGCCTTGGCGCGCTCAACCTCAGAGTTAGAGACGCTCCTGCACAGACGAGACCACTCACGAAGAGTGAAATGGATCAGGTCGTCGAGGTTGGTCAGGTTCTCGGAGACGAGATAGATACCCCAGAGACTGTGATTCACAAATGTTGTCAGCGTTGCACGACAGATTAAAGGAAAAGGAAAAGGAAAAGCAGGCATTCGACCCATGAAATCATGAGACGCAGGAAACTCACCCAGTGTCGCTGTAGCTGGTGGAGAAGCTCATGAAGCTGTTGGCCAGGTGGTTGTGGCTGACGTGAGAGCTAAGCTTGCTGCCGAGGAAAGGAGACTGGCCCATGGCACGGTCCCAGTTACCGACGATAGCCTGGGCGACGAGGGCAGTGAAGTAGTCATCATCCTTCCAGCTGACACCCTCAACGGCAAGGGCGATGTGGGCGGAGGGGATGGTGTCGTCACGAAGACGGACCTCGGAACCAATGAACTCGGGGGTGCGCTTCTGCTCAGCAGCAATAGCAAGAGCGGCGGAAGTGGGAGGCTTGTTGGGGAGGCCACCGAAGTGCTCTTCGGCGAGACGAACGAGCTGCTCGTGGGGAATACCACCAGCACCGACCAGCACCATGCGGTCAGCGGTGTAGTTGGTCTTGATATAATCCGTCAAGTTCTCGCGGGTAATGGTCTGGATGTTCTCCTTGGGGCCAAGGATGGTGCGACCGAGGGGCTGGCCCTGGTAGGCGGTAGCGTGCAAGTGGTCGAAAACGACCTCCTCGAGCTGCTTGTCAACCTCCTCCTGCTCGCGCAGGATCACGTCACGCTCACGCTCGATAGCGGCAGGCTCAAGCTTGGAGTTCTGGAGGATATCGGAGAGGATGTCGACGGCCTTGGGGACATCATTGTTGAAAGCCTTGGCGTAGTACACAGTGTTCTCGCGCTGCAAAGAAATTGATTAGTATTTGTGTTCGCTTGACGATTGGCAATACTGAGGATTCCGGCCGTACCGAGGTATAGGCATTGAGGTGAGCACCCATGTTCTCAATCTCCAGCTCCAATTGGTGTTGGGAACGCTTGTTGGTACCCTAGAAGTCTCGTCAGAATTGTTGTGTCATCTCGTCGTCGAGGAAAAAAGGATATCGAACCTTGAAGGCCAAGTGCTCGAGGAAGTGCGCAGTGCCGTTGGTCCGGTCAGTCTCTGATCGGGAGCCGGCGTCAATCCACACGCCGACGGTGGATGTCTGAGCCCATGGCGAGTAGTCGGTGGCAATCTATAGATATGTGTAAGTAATGATGCGGTGGTAGCAATTCCCATGCTATCTGGCGGTGATGGGAAACGTACGGTGAAACCGTTGGAGAGGGTGGTAGACTGGGTCGTGGATGGCAGCGCAACCGGCGAAGCAAAGCCACGCTTCACGGGCTGGATGGACTTGAGAGCCGCACGGCTCCGGAGAGCCTGGTTGAGGTTGAGAGCCAAGCGGCGGGAGGCCATTGCGGACAAATGGAATGGATGGGAGGGAAGGAGGGGGGTTGAGAAGAAGAGCTGGTGTCGTCGGGGCCCTGAGGTTGAAGTTCGGAAGTCAAATTGTTCGCCCAGCTCGTCGGCCAATCACATGACCCGCTTTTCCAAACCGCCCTGCTCCTCCCGATTACTTCCTTGTCCTCTCTAATCTGACTATGATGGACGTGAACACGGGCGACCGTCATGCTGAGGCGAATAAAATTACAGCCGATAATTGAGAGAATCTCTCGTTTCTCAAAAATTCGGAATATTCAGAGTGTTGCATGTATGTAAGGTTTCAATTCCTGTCAAAATTACCAAGTTTCATGCGTTCGTCTTGTATGATGATCTAGTATCAATTCCCGAGTCTCACAATGAGACTGGCCAAGTCCAACGACGGCCATAATCATACAAAGCTGCTCGCAAATTGCTTAATGTTCTCCAACATAGAGACATCTGCATGGAATCCCATTTGAAAGGCACGATCCGTGGAGAATTGAGGCGTCCATGACTGCACAATCTTGTCCGTGGCAGCATCATATTTCTCCTCCACGAGTGCCCTACGTTCCTGGCCTCCGATCTCTTGGAGAGCCTGCAGCATCTGATGCACACTGACTTTCAAGCCGGGCAAATTCACTGAGCGGGACTCACCGAAGGCCTCCCGGGGAACCGTACGGGCATGTATCAGGTTCTTGATAATTGTGCCGGGCGAACAGATCCACAGCTCGGTGTCTTTCCCAACTGGCAAAACAGCCTTTCTTCCGTGAAAGGGCTCCCGAATGATGTCGCTCGCAAAGCTGCTGGCAGCTTGGGTAGGCGCACCGGCGCGAACAGTAACAGTGGGGAGTCTCACACTTCGCCCATCGATAAAACCGCGACGAGAGTAGTCTGTCACGAGGGTCTCGATGATGAGTTTCTGAGATCCGTACGAGGACGAAGGTACCGGCGGGAAATTTGTCTCGTTAATGATGAATCCTGAGGGTGCTGGACCGTAAACAGCCAGCGACGATGTGAAGACAACCTTCACGCCTGACATCGTCACCCGTAGTCGGTCAAGTATATATCGGGTCGCGTCGAGATTGACCCGCATGCCCAACTCAAAATCGGCTTCCGAGCCACTCGACATGATCCCATGAAGAATATACACAGTCTCGAAGGGAGAGTCTGCACGGATCAGTTCATCCACCTCTTTCGTGGATGTCAAATCAGCTTTGACACACTTGAGTCGGTCCGCATGTTGAGACGCCGAGGCAGGTATGGCTGGCTCGTTCACATCGGTGATGGTGACCGTGGTTGAAGCCGGTGTTAAGGCGAGGAGACCAGCAGCCAGTTCCTGACCGACGTAACCTCCTGCACCGGTAATGAGAATTGACATAGTGGAAGAAGACGAAATCAGAGTGTGGGCAAGTTCGGAGTGTCGAGTAGGCAGCTTCGGTGGCAGCGCGCATCAACTTCGGTCACGCACAAGTTGACGGTTGACAGGCAGGTAATTCAAGACGATTTGCGCAGTCCTGAGTACCGATCAGGCAGCGCATTGGTTCCCATTATATAGTCTGCTCTTGACTACTTCAATGGCAAGAATTGTCCCCCACGTTCCGCCACCAACGGTCGTTGAGCATAGAAGCTCAAGCCACCAATTAAACGACTGTATTAATTGATGACAGTGTGTAGTTGTGTAGTGTCATACCCCCACGGTACTGCGGACCCAAATGGCAGAGCTAAATATCGAGACTTCATACTAGCGGGTCGGTGACAAGCCCGAAAGCCGAGACGGCCAAAGTTGAGGAGACATCGCGGAGAAAGTCCGACTTGGAGAGCCCCGGGCGTGACCCTTGGCTAAAAGACAAAGATTCAATCTGCGCCAACGATAACCTTCGGATGTGCCATATTCAATTGGTACTTTCAATGTCCATGTTCCTCAGACTGGAATTGGCATGCGAGAATTTACAATGCGACCAATTCAGGCCCTGCAATCATCAGTATACTTGTCTACTTCAAATTTGGTAACTTACCACTTGTGTGTTGATGAAGACTAGTGTGGCTACCAGGCAAGGTATTCAATGGAAGACGTTCTTGTAGGGAGATGGAAGCACGTAAAGAAACAACCCAAAATATATATGACTGACTTCTTCCATTGTGAGACAGGGCTCGGCCCAAAGTTGAGCCCGGTGGAAAAAGGCATGCCGTCATTGCAGGATACCTGAGTAACTCCAGCCGTGGAAAAGCAACACGAGCTCAGTTCCGGATAATTCAACACCTTCCAGCAGATACAAATAGGAACAAAGATCATTTCAGTGCGTGCATTTCCCAGAAAGTGAGACCTATTTTGTGACACAAGCAATCGTACATGGCGGAGACAGAATCAAGTCACAATGAAGAAAAGAAGCATTGAACACATCGCGGAACACATGACGCCTGGAGGAATTGAATAGTGAAATGGAACCATAACTGCAGAAAAAGAAAAGGACAGAGACATGACCGAGCAGACCGATTAGGCACCCTTTTTATGAAGAACGAGTGTAGATACCACCAACGATGCAGTGATCACGCTCGAAGGGCTCCAGAGTAAGCTGCTCCTTAGGCTTGATCTTTTCCTCACGCATCTTTTGAACCTCACGAGTGAACACGACCTCGGCGGCGGCTGTGGAGTCGATACAGCTGGCCTTGATAGAGATGAGAACACCACCACCCTCCTTGAGGAACATGTGGGCATTGAGACCGACGATACGGGCCTGGTCAGGCTGGGCAACGTCGGCGAAGATGACATCAACCATGGGGACGAGCATGCGGTAACGGAGGGGGTGGCGGGCGTCCTCAACGATGGGAATAACGTTGGTGCGGTGAGTGGCCATACCGATCAGGTCACGACCAGAACGGTGGGAGAACTCAACAGCGTAGACGTTACCGGTGGGGCCGACAATGTCAGCAACGTGAGAGACGGAGGTACCGCTGGCACCACCGATGTAGAGGACCTTGGAACCGGGCTTCATGTAGATGTTGTCCAGACCACCCAGGATACCGGCAGCCAACTTGGAACGGAAGGGGTTCCAGACACGGTACTCAGTCTTAGTGACGACGCCGTCATCACCGGCGGGAGACTCGACAGAGACACGCTTCTCACCATAGACAGCCTCACCAGGAGTGAGGTTCTTGGTGACGAGCAGATCTTCCTTACCACCGCGGGCAACGAAGACACCGGCGTGACGGTGGTTCTCCTGTGAAACCGATCAAAATTCGGCGGTCAGCTATCGTAACTCTAGTTTTTGACAGCGATCTTTTTTTTTTGCAATTGGGAATCGAAACTCACAATGATGACCTTAGCACCACCACGAGCACCAGCAGCACCACCGCGACCACCGCGGGGGCCGCCACGGCCACCACGTCCACCACGACCGGGGGGACCACCACGGCCTCCACGGCCACCACCACCACGGCCACCGAAGCTACCACCACGGCCACCGCCGCGGCCACCACCGAAGCCACCTTTTAAACAAAAAAAGTCCCCGTCAGCAAGATGAATAAAAGAAATTCGATTGATAGACAACTCAGGCCGCGGGTATTGTGAGTGAGCCGAACGTAAGATAAGGCGCTCCGTCTCCACAGTCACCTGTGTGCGATCTGTCTATCACTTGAGGATGAGCTGAGAAACACTAACCTCGACCACCAGCGCCGCCACGAGGAGCGCCGCCACGACCGCCACGGGGAGGACCACCACGGCCACGAGGAGCAAAGGCCATTGTGAGTGTTGTTGTGGACTTTGCGAAAGGCGAGAGGTCGGAAAGAAATTGAAGTCGAGCTAGCAAATGCTCAGACTAGGTGTGAAGGAATTGAAAAGATCGACCTCGTGTATAGGGAGTCGATCAGAATGTGATGCAAGAGACACAGAAGTTGAAATTCCTGAGTCAAACAGTTGGTGAGAAAAGAAGGACCGTGAAGGTGCTGTTGCGTGCGGGTCGAAGCCGGTGCTGCTCGTTGATCGGTCGAGATTTTTTTGCGCCTGCTGGATCTTTCAGAAAATCAGAATGGCGCTAGCCTCTTTTGCGTTAGCTTGGAGGCGACCGCCCAAGCCACGTGATACAACTGTTTGCGATCATCAAAAAGCGAGCTCACGTGATTTTGATGAACCCTGGAGAGGTGATGCATCATGCATTGCTGCTACTGTTGTTACATATCGTCTTGCTAGAGGTCTGCATTGTGAATGCCTACATACTACGTTATGGACAATATCGTAAATTCTGTTCATACAATTGCTAGTTCGCACGGGTATCTGCAAGGTTTATGTACTGCTTCTTGAACATGCTCCGTTCTTCACCACGCAATGATTCCCTACCGCTTCCCTGACCCATGGACCAACAGTAGGATGACAGGGTGGATTACTTCCCAAAGAAGTAGTAGTTGGCAGAGTATTGTATCTCGAAAGCTGCTGGAAGGCCCTCGCAGGTGCTGGGCGCATTACCCGAAGCTGTATCGACTCGATAAACTCTCTTGTAGTCACCAACAGTATTCTCGATAGTTGACAAGTAAAGCCAGGCGACGGCACCATGCTCTCCCTTGACAGCATTCGCAGGGGCCTTGATTGAATCTACTTTCTTTGTTCGAGCTATTCCAAATTGCTTGGTTGGAGTGGTGTCGAGATTGAAGGTAGGCACTGAACCAACGAAATAATGATGTCCCATCAGCCCTAGGTTTGCCGGTGGAAAAGCTGCTCGGTTATCGCTGGGGAGGGTGATCTTGTAGGCAATATCGGGAAGAAGGTGCACCAGATCAGGGAAGTCTGCGGCTAGACAAGTCACATTGTAGAGATTGGCAACTGCACCAACCAGAACTGGTTTGGATTGGGATGTGGAGTCGGCACAGGAGTAATTCTAGATATTGACTTAGTACGAAGAAGTTACAGAGAGGAGAATTGCAATTAAAAGGCACCGGGGTCTTACCTGTGTTCCTCTTCCCAGAGCCACGTACATTGGCGAGACTCCATCTTGGTCTGGATGCCACTCAGACGCGTATGAGGGTAGGGCAATCTTTGTTGAATCACAAGTGGCCGATGGAGATGTGCTCTGCTTTGCGCCGTTGATGTACATGCTCACTTTGCCGTAAAAGTCTGCGAGCTCTTCCGAGAATTCGTAGACGCCATCAAAATAGTTCGTTGGGGCGGCCAGCGACACTGTCGCCAGAGAGAGGAGAATGTGCACAGCACGCATGTCGAAGCCTGTTCGGGTGCCGAAGATATGTAGACTGAGGCAACGAACAGTGGGCAAGTGACCTCTGCAGTGGATCAGATGCCTATGAAAGTCCTGAACGTAAGACTATTTCAGCGCCAGGCTGATGATGCAACAGGAAGAGAAGTGACGAGTGGTCGCAAGGAATGAGCAGACCGCTGCGCAGGAAAAAGGGAGAAGAACAATCTTGAATTTGAAGGTGACATGTTCTGGCGACAGAAGATGCATATAAAGCCGAGTCAGGTCTGAATTAGGACCTCCATATTGATCATGTTGCAAAGATAGTAACATCCGTCAGATCCGAAACGGGAATCTATTTTAGAAAAGCATAGATACCATGCACTGTGCAGGCGCTGACAGGGATCTTGACCCGATCATGGGCACCCATTGGCTTGGAGAGGCGCCTAGAGACTTCTTCACCAACTATGGTGCAACCTCACTCGCTGTGGACTCAGTTCGTTTCTGAGGTACTCTTAATTTCCGGGCGCGCTAAACAAAACAGCGCGAGTCATCATGGGCCGTATAATCATGGAATCTTTGCTGTTCGCCGGAGGCCCATGCGGCAGGATTCAAGAAGCCTGGCAGAGGCACGTCCTCCTCCAAAATCAGCAGTACACTGGGAGTGTGACTGTTCACTTGTGCAGTGTGCAGGACTTCTGGTCGGACTATAAATAAGTCGCCTCTATGTGGAGAAGTCTCCCCGCGGATGTGATGGGCGGTCGGTTATGCAGTGTGATAGCTCGAAAGAGTTAGCCTGCAGATCCAAGAGGATTCCTCAGGACTTCGCATTACCGAGCCGACTCGGCAAACTCATATTTGTTCGAAAGTGAGAGGCAATGTTACTCAGGTTCAGGACTTGTGAAGCGACAGTCATCTGGGAACAGGTTCAGTGTGAAGGTTGTGAGTAAGGATTAGTACGAGATCTCGGGATTGCCATTCAACTTCAAGACTCACGAACCCGCAAAAGGCCCAAGCGGAAACTCTAAAAGAGCGAGAGGGAGCTTACGCTTACTACTGTCTGGCTTCCTGAAGGATTCCTTCGGTGCACACACTGCTTGACCGTTACCTCCATCGAAAGGGTCATCCGGCGAGTGGTTGACCACATGTGAAGTTCTGGAGTTGTCCATACTCCGCAGTCGGTAAAAGTCCCGGAGATAAGGCGCGTGCGGCCGGGACGCCTGTAACTTCATTGAGTAGGGGCGTGCGCCATCTAATTCTGTCTAGTGTCTACCATCGGCCAGGTCTGGTGCGCGGGTATGAGACAGGCTTGTTCTCTATATTTGGACACCAGAACATCTCTGGCTATTGAAGAGACTCACAGGAGAAGTGCTGAGCGTGTTTTCTCCTCCTGCCTCATGCAGGACTAAGGTCCAAGGTTCTATCGAGGTGAAGGACGTGCCCTGAAGTAGCATTTGATGATAACACCTCCTCATGCTCCGAGTAGTAGGTCATTTCCAACGAACATACACTGCCACGGTCTCCATTCATAACGGCTTGGGTTGCTGCCTCTTAGCTTTCTCGAGAAACAAGGAGCATGCCGAAGACAGATCCGGCAGCACCCTTCCGTCGGTCTTCCATCTCTAGGTGGATGAGAAATCCGGAAGTAGTGACATCAAGATCCGATCGATCTTTGAATGTTTGCAGAGTCAGCTCGCTTCAAAATTAGGGATAGGTCAAGTGGCTTCGATGCTTGGCCATGAGGCAGCCAGTCTCCGGTAGAAAAAGATAAAGGAAAAGATAATTGATAAGTCATTGACTCTGTATCATTGCGGTATCATATTATGCAGACATAAGTTGACCTCCTTCTTGTCAAGCACAAGACCAGAGAAAGGGCCCCTCGCTCAGAAAACGCCAGGATATCGGTGACTCGGCACCTTGAAGAAGCACGATATAGGAAAATAAAAATGTAAAATCGGAGTAGCTTCCGCTGATCACGCATGACATAGATTGCAGGGTAAAGGCTTTGCTATCTAGAAGCCAGATGACCGACCATGGTGAGGTTCCGAAATGTCTCAGCTCGCGTGGTTAAATCCTTCTGGCTGCCAATCATCCCCATGCAACTGGCCGCTGCTGCCACCACCACCAGCGAGCCCTGATCCACTGCTGCTGCCATAAGCCGCGGCAGCAGCGCCGCCAAGAGCGCTCATAGCACTGTGTTTCTCAATCTCGGTCGTGCTCATCATGTACAACACTGTAAAGAGCAGAATATGCAAGGCCAGGCAGTATCCTGCGAAGAGATTGCGACTTGTTCGATTCGCCAAAATGATGCGCGTGAGCGAGAAGACGATCCGCTCAGGGAGTGTCATACGCTTGTAGGCACGGGCGGATTCCCGGCCTCGGAAAGCAGCAAATGGTGAGATGCGCGCCTCGTATGCCGACTGATATCGATCGGGCGCATCGTGCGCGACGTGCATCGAGGACGAGCTTGGACCATTTCCAAATGAAGAAGCTGAAGTCATCGCGCCTTGGCCTCGGTTGTATGTTGAGACATAACGAGTCTTCTCGTACAAGCTTAGGTTGTCTCTTTGCAGGGTTGCAACTTCTTGCCGAAGTGATTTGACAGTGCTGTACAGCTTGGACAGCTCTTCCTCTAATTCGGCGTTCTTCTTCTTGAACCGGTCTCGCTGTGCCTGAATCATAGGCAGTAGGCCAGAGCCACCACCTACGGGCTCTCCTGCCCGGATAGCGTCCATGGTATGGGTGGAAGCGGTGGATTGGTCAAATCCAGAAATGATGGAAGAAGTAGGGGACACCGCTCCGCCTCGTCGGGATGATTGCGGAAACCTGGATGCATAAGTGCCTGCCACGGACATTGCTGACGATGGGAACGTGTTGGCAGCTTCCTCTTGAACACGTAGAAGATCATTCTCCAAGGTCGCGGCCAGTCCTTGTGACTTTTGCAGCTCCTTCTTGGTGGTCGAGAGCTCAACTCGCAGAGAATCCAGTTGGTCCTGGAGGTCGCGAGTCGATACACGAAGTACGGCGAGCTCGTCGGTGAGCTTCTTATTACGTGCCATCAATAGTTGTTCCAGCGAACTCTTGTCTTTTGATTGCGAGGCCGGTGTACCATTATTGCTGGTCTCCTTGTCCGGATTAGACGGTTGTTTGTCATTCTGATCCTCGTCATCGCCTGTGGCGAATTCAATTGACTTGATCATTTCAAGCTCCCGGCGAATATCATCGTAGTCGGAGACCTTCTCGAGACGAGAACGTAGTTCATCCCTCTCCATGGCAGCCTTCGAGGCAGTTCTTTCAACTTGAAGGAGCTTCGCCTCCCACGTGTGTCGGGTCGAGTCTTTGTCATATCGCGCAGCATCAAGCTTGCGCAGCAAGGCGGAATTCTCGGACTGAAGACGCTGATAGTTTGGATCATCCTCAACGGAGACGCTTTGGCCGTGGGTGGAGTGCGAGATAGCCTGGGCCAACTCCAGTCGAAGCTGCTCATTCCGCGCCTCCATATCAGCCAGTCTAAGGCTGGTCTTCTCGAGGTCCGCAGAGACAAGTTCCAATTCCGCAGCTGTAGCTCCAGTACGGAGTTCCTCTGCGCCTTCGTCTTGGTCTCCACCCAGACGCTGGGAGACCTCGTAACTAGCCTTGAGTTCCTTGATCAGTCTGTCCTGATTTTCAAGTTTGTTCTCAAGACTCTTTTCTTTGGCCTCCCAATTGTTTGTTTTCTCCTTGAGTACAGCATTCCATGACTCCTCGATTTCCTTCGCTTTGGTGTCCTGGTTCTCTTCAAGTCTCTTCTTTGATGCGCGTTCCTCCTGTAGTCGCTTCTCGGTCTCCTCTTGTTGCTTCGTGAGGCGATCGACCGATTGTTGCAATTGGGTCTTCTCAGATGTGAGTTTTGGGACCGTGTCTTCCGAGAGCACGAGAGAGTCGACGGAGGCTTCAAGTAGTGGATAAGGATCGGGGGCCTCCGACAGGGATGAATAAAGTTGAAGGAACGCAGAAGATGAGGCCTTTCCTTGGTTTGTCAACAGATCAATGAAGGATTGATACGCTTTCAAGAGACCTTTGTATTCTGAAAGTTTTGCTTCATCCTCCAGTTTCTTGAAGTCCTTGGTCTTTTGAGCGAGTTCTTTCCTTTGCACAAGAGCTTCTCGTTGTTGCGAAACAATATCGGACGCTGTTGTATCGAGTTTGGCTATGGTACTGGCAAGATCAATTCCTACAAGCAGATTGATCAGTAATTTGTCATCGCACGTCGGCTATTGAAAGCAAATCTAATGGTACCTCGCCAAGCTGCAATCGCGCGCTGGAACTTATTGGTTTCTTCAGATAGCTTGTCGGAGAGTCCGGCTGTGCCATCTTGTCGCTGCTCGACGGCGAGACCCTCTGTAAGCGCAAAAGAGTCCATGACCCGCAATAAATCCAGGATGACCGGCTCAGATCACCCAACTTTCGACAGCTACCTAATATTTCGTCGACAATGCAACGGCGCAGAGAGCTTGAATTGGACACGCGGCGCACCCCGGGGCGGTTGATTGTTATTCCGTAAGTATGATGATCTCCGCTTGGAGGGATATCAAGCGTCTGAGCAGGCGCAATAAAAAGTCTACAGGAGTTCTGTATGTGTTCCTGTAAGAAAATTTGTGGACGATCAACAAGCTTCAAGTGGTGTAGGTACGTGAGACTGAATACTTTACTTCACACGCAGACGTGAAGAGTACTGTGTCAATGCTTCTTTGGCCGCTGTCAACCACTTAACTCTGCGGATCCAGTTGTTCCTGATCCAATCGGCCCCTGAAGCGTTGGCCCCATCTCCAACCTTGACCGCCTTTGCCCCATTGCTCTCGATGTTGGCGGGGAGATTAGATAACTTGGTAGCTAGTCATGATGGCTTCAGACGATGGGGTTGGCCCTCGAAAGAGACGGAAAATTGGCTCTCTTGGCTCAGAGCCTTATATTTTGCGTTCATTGTTTGATGATGTTCCACTGGCAACAGACGAAAGCTCGGACGTTCATATCACCACGGTCGAGTTCTGGGGTAAGCTATCGGCGGTCACTCCCGGGGCCCCATTGACGTACGTTGATCGCAAGGCTGATATCGAATTTGCGAAGACGGAAATTTGTATGTAGGCACGTCTGCAGCTGAAGTTTTACATTTTGTCTGCCTCCCACCGGCTTCCGACGATGAACCAACCGAGTCAACCTTTATACTCGCATCCCGACTGCCTATACCATTCCAGAATGAACCAACAGATGACGTGGCCCCCGGAGTTCGACAGATCGTTATACTACCCTCCGTGAACAAAGCTTGTATTCTCTGCAATGGCATGGTCACTTTCTACATGCTCCCGGAGCTCAGCCCGGCGTTCGGAACTACCAAGGTCAATCATTGCCGCTGGATCGGTGGCTTGGATCTCAATCAAGATGCAAGCGATGGTGAAGACCCAGTCCTCATGATAGCCATTCAGAATAGCATCATGCTCATCAGAATAGGAGAGGGAGCCCGACGAGTCAAGCAAATCAAGTTCCCAGGCTGCTTGGTCGCGGCGCGCCGGGGCACCATCGCCTGTGCAGCTGACACTCAATCGTACTCCCTGTTAGAGGTCGAGCATCAGCAAAAAATCCCCTTGTTTCCCATATCGTCGTCGAGCGAGGTATTTGAAACTGGAATTGTCGAAGATGCCTCGAATACAGCACCATTATCGCCGCTGCGACGTTCGCCATCTTCGTCATATCCCAGCTCTCCTCCCATGGACACTCCCGCGCATGGGCGAAGCAGCAGTCTGAATGCATTTGCAAGCATGCTTCAGCCACAGGCTCGATCGACCGGGCATAACAGGTCACCATCGGGCACACCGGATCCTTTTACCTCCACAGGGAGTATTCGCCGCTCAAGCTCTGAGGAGCGAAATGAAGGCGAAGGTGGCCGCGAGCCGCAAAAGTCGGAGGGCGTGGAACAACAGCCTGCCCAGACTGCAGATTCGGGCGATTTCAAGCCACTTCCTGCGCTCCCACCTTTGGGACCGGCAAGGAAACCACTGCAGCCGCACGTGGTCTCGCCCACTCCCACCGAATTTCTTTTGGTCACGGGAACAGAGGAGACAGAACCAGGAGTAGGTATGTTCGTGGATCTGGATGGTGAGGTTGTTCGCGGTACCATCAACTTTCATCGATTTCCAAAGTCTGTCGTGGTAGATTCCGGTGATGACGATCAGGCGCTGCAGCTTAATGAAGACTCAAAAGAAGAGTTCATTTTGGCAATAATTGAATCGGAAGGAAATGAACAGAAGAAATACACGCTCGAGATCCAGAGGTGGGATGCTGATCCTGCTGATATCGAGCGCAATAAGAAGTGGATGGACATACCTGGTGCACACGGCAGTATACAGCACGCGCAAGTGGGCTTGAAACATACTCTTACTCCTAGCAGTCTTGAAAATGGCGAGGTCGGAGCCCTTCTGCAAATGGTCCGCCTGAAAACACCCCTCCTTCCACCTTATATTGCGACAGTGGATCCCCGAACGCAAGACTCGATTGAACAACAGAAGACAGAAAAAGAGCTTTTCGAGTCACAGGAGTCGACGGACTCTGCCGGGACTAAGAAGTCAGCTGCTGCATCAGGCGAACTCGAGTGGGAGACCCGAAAAAACGAGGAGGAATCGAAGTTTGCTCGTGGATTGGGCAAGCTACAGAGCAGCCTCGTTCTCTGGTCCGGCTCGCAAGTTTGGCGACTTTGCAAGAACCCAATGGTTGTCCAATTGGAAGAAACATTACGCAAAGCTCAGCAGTCTGACGGGACAGGTCGCATTACGTTGCAGAGAGACGCGGTCATGGAGTTGATGGTCCTAGTGCAAGACGTCGAGCCAAAGACAGAAGCCGAATTCCTGGGTCTCGGCTATGTGAAGCAGAAAGCCAGTCTGCTACTCTATGGGGATCTGCTATCAATGCGTTCTGAGCACCGTGCCGATCCAACAATCAGAAATACTGAAAGAGCTCTCCTGACTGGCAATCTCGATCCCCGAATTGCTCTGCTGTTCATTCCTTTCCTCAGAGGCGATGTGATTCAAGGGCCGCAAGGCATCTGGGTCCAGTCGGGCCTATCGGCAACTATTGAGCAGTATTTGGACCAGACCGAGCAGCAGAGCCATGATCTGGGAATACACAGCCCGATGCTCAATATGTTGAAGCGCTTCTTGCTGTCATGGCAACAAAAGAGGGGATACGGTAGCATCGCCGACGAAGAATATGTCTTCGATAGCACCGACAGTGCTCTCCTTCATCTAGTCCTTGAGCAGGATGAAAACCTCAATTCGCAGCAGCGGGCGGCATCCACGCGCAGCGAACTCAACAAGCTAGTGGACAATTGGAAAGGCAATTTCGAGCGAGCAGTGTCTCTTCTGGAACAGTATAAGCGACTATACATTCTGAGTCGGCTGTATCAAAGCCGCAAGATGTCTCGAAATGTGCTGAAGACTTGGAGGAGGATCATCGATGGAGAAGCGGATGCAGGCGGCGAGGTTACAGGTGCTGGAGTGGAGGCGCAGATGCGCAAGTATCTCGTGAAAATCAAAGATGTTCAGCTGGTGGAAGAATATGGCTGTTGGCTCGCCGGGCAGAATCCATCACTGGGTATACAGGTGTTTGCAGACAACTCCAGTCGCGTGACTTTTGAACCGGCAGATGTCGTGGTGTTGCTGAAGGAGCGGGCTCCTCGCGCAGTGCAGGTGTATCTCGAGCACCTGGTCTTCGCCAAAAATGTGAGTTTTCCTCAGCGCTACTATTCGTGGGATTGACACATTTGCTGATTTGAGCCATTATCAAGTACACTCAATATGCCGACGACCTCATTGCCTATTATCTCGACGAGGTTCTTTCTGTTCTCGAGTCGTCGTCGGATGCCCGCGCTTCCCTTGCTGAATCCTACTCAACATACCGAGCGCTTCGTCCTCCCAAACCGACGTATCTTAACTTTATCAAGGAAAATACGCCCGTTGAAGCCTGGTGGCAATCCCGATTGCGTCTACTTCAGCTTCTGAGTGGCACGTCGGGCACTCAATTTTCCTCTACAGCATTGCCCTTAGGGGTAACCTACTCCATCCCCACGGTGCTGAAGCGCATCGAACCATTCCAGGATGAGCTCGTTTCCGAAAGTATCATTCTCGACGGCCTGCAGGGACATCACCGTGCCGCGCTTCGGCTCCTCACCCACGGACTCGGCGACTACGACTCCGCCATTCGCTATTGTCTTTTTGGCGGGCCACGCAGCGCAACATCGTCCGGGGAGCCCCCCCGTGTTGGCTGCTACCGACACGCAATCCACCCTCTTCCGCCACCTTCTTGACGAGTTCCTTCAGATTCAGGACCTCACAGACCGTATTGAGCGCACAAGCGATCTGCTCGCACGCTTTGGAGCCTGGTTTGACGTTCGTGAAGTATTGGAACTGGTGCCGGAGGACTGGAGTGTGGATATCCTTGGCGGGTTCTTGGTCCAAGTCTTCCGCAAGATGGTCTCGCAGTCTCGGGAGGCGCGCATCCAACGGGCCTTGAGTGCCAGTCTCAACCTTCGGGTCGGTGTGGAATACACTAATCAGATGGAAAAGGCAGGACCCTGGTTGGAGGATGGGGATGGAGTCCGACGATTGAAAGATGGCAGTGCTGTCGCGGCCACTGCTCCTTCCGCGGACGGTGTGCTTGTGCCTCCCGAAACCGAGGACAATGACTTCGATGATGTAGTCGGCCCGACCTGAGCAAATGTGACACTGCTACATCACCTGATTTTTGCCCATTTACGCGAAGGCCTGCAGCTTCTGTACTTGGTATTCATACTGCCGGGGGCTTGTGAATGGAGATTGGCGTGCACTTGATGATACCTGGAGTTGAACGTGTACATGAGTCTTGTTTTGCTTGAAATGTATTCTTTCTCGAGCCATTTCGGTCGATTTCCCCATTTACAAACTCCATCCGACGTTGACCATAATAAGTAGAATAGGTAAAGAAGGCAGAGGAGTCTGATAACAATGCGTCCAGCCCCATCGTAGCTCAAAGAAGGCATTGCATCACCGGGTTTTCTAGTGGGGGATCCCCTCAATTGGGAGACTATCTCAGCACAACCTTTTCTCGAGGCATGAATTTGGTAGTAGTCCACGTCACCAGGACTCGATAGTAGTTCAAGCTCTTTCCACAAGGGGGTTTGAATGGATTTTCCTTCAAAAATCAGCCCGAGCTTTGCACTGGACCGTCAGGCTACTCATACATGGACATTACTCCTCCGGCTGAACAAAAGGGTTGGCAATCTCCTCACTGCCATCTGCTGGTGAGATGAGAACGATCAAAGTTCCACGTGCCACGATCAGACCCAGAGAGCGAGTGGTCTGGTTGCCGGCATCATCTGGAAAAGGCAGGAAATGCAGTGATTTAGTATGATGGAAGTAGAGAGTTGCGAGGAACTGGGGGGAAGGATCTTCGGTTCAACATACCACGCATAGTCTCCTTGACGTCATCGAGGACGAGGTTCATCAATTGATCATATCCCTTGAGGGTTCCAGTCACTTTTGGGTGCGTGAGGAGAGAGTCAGTAGTGGAGTCTTTGAAGACACATGTTTTATACATGTTGATAGAGGGGGTGATGTGTTGAAGTATAACTTTTGTTTCTTTCTTTTGTGAATGAGGAAAGAAAGAAAGAAGAAAAATAATCAAATTGGAAAAGAGAAGCCAGGCAAAAGGAAAGTGAGCCAGAAAGATAGTAGTGATCTTACCTTCACGGCCTCCATTAAACTTCACCTGAACCTCCTTATCCATGTATTTTCCCAAATCGAGGATGTTCTCCTTCTTCGGCTTCTCTTGTTGTTGTTGGGCAGAGGTACCCGTTTTCTGCTGCTGGCGACCGCCACGGCCACCACCTCCACCACGACCGCCGCGGAACGAGCCTCGCTCAGACATTTTCCGGTGGGAAGAAAAAGAGGGGCAAATAGGAATTGGGGAGGGGGCAAGTGGTTGAAGGGCGGTGAAAGAAGAGAGCGTGAGAGGGTGGGAGAGGAATTGAGCAGGACAATAGAAAGGGTTGGAGGATGGCAACCAGGTCCGGTACGCAGAATGATAATGGCAGAGACGATAGACCGGTTAACTACCGTTCCAGGTGTTCAGTTGGTGGTGTTCACCAGAGGCGGAGAGAGCTCACGAGTGGTACCCGTTTTCGGCGGAGTGCGGTGAAGAACGGTGGACTGGCTTGATTGGTTCCGGGAATCATCCGGAGCCTCGTAGAGTCCCGATGACTTGGCGAGTTGACATGATCTACAGTGAATGATCTTCGAACCGTCAGAATGGTCTAGGTACAGGAGAGTTTCGGGCATGATACTGAGTGAGTCCTCGTACAGTATGGGCAGGGAGTGAAAGGGACGGTGCTGTTGGTGCCCACGAGATACCTGAGGCACCCAAGCTGAACTGGAGGGTGGTCCGGGCGGCAGTGGAAAGATTATGTCATCGGGCAGATCGGACTGGACGGGACTCGATCAGGTGCGCGTCAGGCAGTGGAGCGTCCATGGTCAGACATGAATCGTTCAATTCTTCAACATTCAGCTGAAAGCCCGGTTGGATGTGTGCTCAAGTATATTCCGATGGCTCCAACAACTAGTGCAGACGACGGGGTTCACGTCGGTACTGATCTACATTTATTTCACACAAATGAGCAGAAGAGAATATTACAGTAGTCCGATTTCACAATGATGCACAGCGGCTCCAAGATGGCCAATTAGTCGAATGTGCTTCGCACTCTGGACCCAGCCTCCAGCTTCTAACCGTATACACCGGAAAATGACAAGGTATAGTGACGCTATACGCCATCGTATACTTCTGGGTTCTGACAGCATGCAAGCTGGCGCGACTACCAGGCTAACGCGAACCTGGGGAAAGGCTTACGACCGGAGTGGCAGTGGACCGCCCAACGAGGTAATCAAGTCCGAGGACTCTGCCTGCGTGACTCACTTCACGACATGTTTCTTGGCCAGAATCACGTCAGGATATCAGCGAACAGGCTTTAGAGAACCAGAAGCTAAAGGGGCTCAGGTGCCCACTATAGTCTTGACTCTTGAGTACCACCGAGCCCGACAGGTCAGTTAGGTCAGTCTGGAGCTGGCAGCCGGGGCTCTCTACATAATACATGTAGTCAAGTAAGTTACTGCACGTCCACGACACGGACTGCACTCATTACAGTGACTGGACTCAGTGGACTGCCGCAGTATGAGGGAATTAATTCTCAGCGGACAGTCCAGTCGGCGTCAAGGGTGGCTGATTGGCAGAATGACGGCGGAAGTGGAGGTGGAGGGGAGTGGGAAGTGCAAAGGGGTCGAGAATCGGGAACCTGTCACTCGATCTTGTCTGGTATGTGCATAGTTGCATGCTGCATCCACGAATGGGTCGACATGAAGACTTTCAGGTGACTTCACCATCATTTTCAATAATACTAATACTACCAGCATCGACATCCGAATGACCGACTACAGCCCTGATCACAAAAGCCCCTGGGAACGAAATCCAATGACTCTACGTATCTACCAATCTGGTGTTCCGCTGACACCAATGGATACTGGGGCTTGACGGGCGGGCGGATCTTGTGATTACCATACATACACAGACACCTGTATTACCGTAAGAACCATTTCCCACCCCCCTTGGGTGCCGTCTTCACGGCTAGAGCGGAAGAGACAAAGTGACCTTTACTTACTTCTGCAGAGACGCTAAGCCTATTTTAGAGTAGCTGCGAGGAGTGAAGACTGAAGAATGCCTGAAGCACATAAACAAGTTGAAACAACAACCCCATTACGAAGCCCTTGAATCTTGAGGTGGGCCCCTTTAAGTCCATATCTAAAGCGTGAGCAGCTTCTTGATTGGGGGGCTGTGATCTGAAGATATGACGCAGCGGAGATGATGTTCGACGTATGCAGCTCACGCTTGTTTCTCATCCTTGTAAGCAAAAGGAGCAGGCCATGAGTAGTCAATTATTAAACCATGGTACCTACTAGTTTGGTTCTCTCAGGCCGAGAGTTGGCCTGTTTTGTCACTGCTTTGGCTGGTCTTCACTAGAATCTCTGCAAGACACCAGAGAACGGGCTGTCAAGGCGTCTTGAAAAACATTTGGCAACATGATGACAGGATGCAGCTCATCAAGGAGAACTACTAGGTTTCTCGCACTGGCGACGATTACTGGGTCCCACATGACTGCGATGAAGTAGTACTGGTACTGGTGACCTCACACAGGACTGGCGCTATCAAGAACTCCGACTTGACTTGATTCAACTCCTACCGACTTTCCAAGGACCACCCGTCTGGGCCATCTCTGTCCCTATCGTGTCGTTATCAGCTTGATGGGATGAGTGATAGAAACCCCGATAAGGGTGCTGAAAAGACCCTTGAGCACTAATCCCAATCTGGGTTAGTGCGCTGGAAGTAGCAGTGACACCCGACAGCCCGGCCACGCGGTCCCTGTTGCGACTCGGGCGAATCTCGCCGACCACCTCCAGGCATCCACGAAAACCAACCACTAGACCACATCACCACCGTGCTTCCGCCATCCCTTCCCACTAAGGCTGCGAGCACAAGGCTTATTTTATGGATCGGCGAACGGGCCCACAGTCCCATCAGGTTTAGGTACATGTATGTTGACAACTTGACAGTCAACCGGTATCCTTCGTTTTCGTGATGACATGCTGGTCTCAATGATCGGTCAGCCATGGTCCATGCAATAGTGTGGAACTGGACCGAGTCCTCGCTTTGGGCTCCGATGCGATGATTTCACTGCGAAACACCACACCTGGGGCGGAGGAGACCTGATAGGGCATCGCACAACTGGCGGAAAGCTCCGGCGGGACTCCGCTGGTCACGGGGCTGTTCCGCCTGGTACTGTGCTGTAACAAAAGCTCAACGTAAGGTATTGTAATGCCATCGGTCAACTTGTCAAGCACAGTATTACGAGCTTGCCCTCTCTGCAGCGCGATTCACTTCTATTGTACGGGATACATCTAGGCCAGCATCTGTGTCTGGAGAGAGTATGGGAGCATGCGATCACTCAAAAAGGACAAGGTGTTTCAAATTTCCAGCTTAATAATATTGCCTCAAGTCTCACTATCGTCGCGTCAGGTTCAAGCTTTTCCTTCAAGGAATCGAGGCACCCCTCCGTAGCTTACAGCCTTACAGAAGTGCAGGGCCAGGCTGCCACATTGGCAGGTATTGTACTGGTAAGGTCGTATGTAAAAAATTCCGTCCGTTTCCACCGGCACGCAGAGTCCGCCGGCCCTCGCTCTTTCGGAGTGTCGTGTCTCTCGTCCAGTCCTCGCCTCCCCCGGGGGCCATTATCCACCTGGCGCCGGCTGCCTTGCACCTCACTTTTCATTTCCTTCACACTTGGCCTCCCTCTTCTCCATCTTGAAGAAGCTCGTCAGATCTGTCTTGCTGACATATCGCCCACTCGCTCTTCAACTCTTCAATCCTCTGCGACCCTTCATGGACGTGAGCTGTGTCCGCTTGATCGGCCTTATCCCCAGCGGCTCGACCCGTCCATTGAGTGCTCCGCACTCGACGTGATAACCCTCACAGCTCGCCTGTCTCCGGTCTGGCATCGCCCGAAGCTGACGTTGGCCTCTGTGATCATCCATCAAGTGCATCAAGTGACCTCACTCCGTTCCGCGACCAACTGGGCCCCGTGAAGAGTTCATAGTTGCTCTCTTTCCCGACGAGGTGAACGCAACCAACTTTCTTCCTCAACATGGAGCCCCGCCCTGTGACGGCGGAGCCGTCCAACAAACGGTCGCGATCGCCTGGAGGCGAGCAATTGCAGATTCATCAAACCAAGATGGCGAAGACGCACTCGAACCATCTGCAAATCAACTACCTTGCGCGGCAGTACCCTGACAACCTCCCCTTGGTGTCACCAGAAGACACCATGCCTGCAATCATTCATTTGATTGGCGAGTACGACGGGGTTCTGCATCGCCACGAGAGTATCGCGGGAAACCTCGGCGCATGCCCACTCGGTCCGATTCTGATCAAGCGATTCGAGCGCCTGTTTGATGGACCGCCGCGCGTTCTCAAGTCGCACGGTAAAGACGGTCCCACGGTCACTTGGCTCGATGTGGTTGAGTTTGTCAAAAGCAAGCCGGAGCAATTCAACTTAGAAAAGTCGCGCAATGGCGTGCGCGTCTGTCAGTTCTACACCAAGCAATGCCGGGTGGAGATCAGTGAGGAAGATTTTGTCCTCATTGCCTCGGGTATGCCCCAAAAGATGATCCCTCCACAGCCTATTATCGAGGATGAGGAGAAGGAACTCGGTGCGCTCGAGATCCTCGAAAAGAACCTGCAGCAGATCATTCAAATGGCCGACCAAGGTAAGTGACATTTGAGGGCTGTCTGATCTGTAATCTTTCCGACACATGACAGGATTTCCTGGAGGCTGACGGTGACCGTATCCTATTAGTCTCCGCGCGAGCTCGGCAACTCAGCTATCGATTGAAAAATCGCCGCACCGCCATTGTCAGTCGTCGTGAAAATGACGCCTCTCTCAAGGAGCAAAATCGCACCGCCGCGGCCGCTACAACCGATGTTTGGCAAGAGATCAATAGTCATGGACCGCGTAATGGGCAGAGCCACATGCCTCCATTAGGGTTTGTGGCAGTGAATTCGACCCGACCAGATGGAGAGTCTGGCGAGGCCCACGTTCCTCCGCAATTCATGTTTCCACAAGCGGGCACAGATAATGTCACGATAATCAACGGCACTTCGATCAAGGGTGCGTCACCCACCACTCGAGCCGATTTGATGAAGAAGTTTTTCACCACCGCGGACCGCCAGGCACGCGGATACGATGAAGTCACCGGCAACACGAATCCCGTTCAGCCTCGTCCTCGGCCTCAGGCTCAGGTCTCCGACCCGGCCGAGTACAGTATCTGGAACGGCAAGCCCCAGAATAGCAGTCCCAGCAGGAACGGCAGCGTCCACAACGGCAGCGTCCACAACGGCAGCGTCCACAACGGCAGCGTCCACAATGGCAGCGTCCACAATGGCAGCAACAACGTGACCACCACGAGCTCGACTCCGGTCGCTATTCCTGGCACCCCGTCCTCCCTGCTACCTCCCCCCAAGGCCACCACGCACGACAAGGATGATGGCGGCCCCTACAAATTGGAGATGGTCGCGCGGATGGAGGAACTTCAGCGCGGGGAGCGTATCAGTCCCCCGTGTGATCGATGTCGCCGTCTGCACATGGATTGTTTGAAGAATCTGACGGCCTGCGCAGGTTGTACCAAGAAACATGCCAAGTGCTCCTGGCGGGACGTCAAAGAGGATGAAATCCGCGCGCCATGGGGTCCTTCTGGATCGCGTGAGCCACGCGAGATTCGGGAATCGCATGATCGCATGGAAGATGGCCGTCTACCACCGTTGAATCTTCCAGGGCTCGCGCCGGCCTCGGGCGCGCCGTTGTCAGCTGAGCGAGAGCGTTACGGGCCCGCGGACCGCTCTACACGGCCTTCAGAGACGCCTAGCGACCCACAATACTCTCAGCTTGGTCGTCGGGAATCTGCACCTGGGGCACCTCAGGTCGGGATTGGACCAGGACCTGGCGTCTTTCTGGGTCCTACTGCACCTGACAAGTCTCCGCGGCGTGCGCTGAGCGAGACCGACGGAGCTCACGAGGAACATTATCCTCGCCATCATCCACAACAACCGCAGCAACAACAACAACAACAACAACAACAACAACAACAACAACAACAACAACAACAACAACAACAACAACAACAACAACAACAACAACATCATCATCATCATCACCCGCACCATCACCAACCATCGCCCCATGCATCTCGTCATACGGAGCGACACGCCGATGATGACGATCCAGATGCGAATCAACGGCTGATGCAAGCCATTCTGGACACGGTGGATCACCATGCGCGAGTGGCTGCTGCTGTTCAAGAGAAAGAGCGGGACGCGGAGCGCGCGGGTGAGGGCCAGTCGCACCTCCACCGAGCCGGCAACGGCGAACGAGAGAATGAGCGAGAGCGAGAGCGTGAGCGTGAACGCGAACGGGAACGTGAACATGATCGGGACCGGGATCGAGACCGAGACCGAGAGCATGAACGTCGCGCGGTACAAGCGTAGCCCCTTCCGCTCTGCTTCTTATCTGTACGAAGCATCGATGGTGGTGTGAGGAGCCAGACGCGTGCATCCGACGTCGCTGCTCCAGAGTCCCTTTTTGTTTCTCCGTTTCGTTGTGCAGCCTGGTCTTCTTTCTGCTTCCAGTCTTTGTTTATGTATTGCTGTGAGCGAAGGCGAATCTGGGAACTTGTGGGGGGGTTTCTTTTCCGAGGAGAGCGTGGCATGGCGTCTATTGAATCTTGGTGAGGTACTGGCAATTTTTTTGATATCTGCCGGGTTCGCCTTCTGGCATATCTCTGTAAATTTAGGCATTTGACTCGAACGGATTTGCTAGTTATAAATTTATCAATGTTTGGAAGACTTGATTTACTTTTTCGATCGTCTTCAGCGACCAACCCACCTTTCTTCTTTCATGGCGTCCGCCTGTCGTTACAGCGCAAAACGATTCTTCACACTGGTCTCATGTGACCTTCCTCCCGGCGATCTTCTCTCGTCTGCACTTTCGCTCGACTGGATTTCTCTACGACATTGACAGTTTCCACGATAACGGAAGCACTCCTCTCTTTTAAGCACCCATTCGATACCTAGTTACAACAATCCTTCGAGATTGATAGGTCATCCAAGATACATCCACATCTCACAGCTCTTGACCTACACGAAGACCCAAATCGTCAGATCACCAGACAACATTGACGCAGCACTCAGAATCTGCTCTTTCACATCATGTCCGCGACACAGATCAAGCTTCTGAAGCAAAAATGAGGAACCCGGACACCTTCTGCCCACGGACAGACACACACTTGGATCGATCTCTTCGGCCATCCAACGCATTCGAAAAGAATCCGAACCTTTGTTTTTGAAAGCAGTCACGCGCCCTCCGAAAGCAACATAGACTTGATAGCCCGCCATCACATGCTCCGACAAGACGACACAATCGCCAGAAGTGACAAAAGTTTTTGAAGAAGTCGATGGACCAGACTAGGCCTCCAGTCTTCCGATGGTGGGAAATCTTCTAGAAAAGCACTTTCCCACATATGCCGATCTTGACCGTTCGTCGCCCGTCCATTAGCGGGAATCACTCGAGGAAGTCGCTCGGGTGGTTCTAATTACTCGAGGAAGTCTCGAAGCCTGGACAGTCTTCTGTCGAAAAACGTTCCACACGCCTTCGCCCCTAACGACTGCTGTCGCCATGAGATGGTTCGTTGTCGAATTTCGTATACAAGGGTAAGAAGACATCAACGCGGTGAAAGAATCTTTTATCCACGGTTTATCGTGGAGAGAGAATGGCGTATGTAGCCGAACAGAACGGCTATTATACTAGACTCATCTCGCTGGACAGTTAATAGGAGATGCTATGGCAATGATATCGGTCAGTGAGGACGGAGGACTGTTTTGGGGCGCAAAAAATGAGCAGAAGCGTGCCTGGTATTACAGGTCCTTGGAGTATGATCCCAGCCGCCCACGGCCAGAAAAAGAATGACTCTGATGAGAAGGTCGTCTTCTGAACGCTTTCAGTCTTGACTTCACACCTGTCGCACCATCTCCACTGGAGACGCCACTGACTCGGGGAGCAGCGCAAGTTTATGTGGCCCATCTCTCACTCAGCGGGAGTGGTGAGGGGTGTATCAATCCTTCCTCAAGTCTGACGATTTGTGTAGGAAGACAAGAAACACTGGAGAAGTTTTGGGGCACATTGTCGACTTGTAAGGTCAGTAGGAAATGGAGAGAAGAGGTTCCCATCTTCCCTGTAGCAACCAGCCGGAAGGGTCCGTATCGCCCTTTGTAAAACTTGGGATAAAGCCTTGATCCATCATGTATGAGGCATTCGCTTATTCACATGCCTGACCATTGTATTCTTTGTTGCTAAACCTAGCTGAGGTAGTACCTGCCGTTTTACTAGTACAGTCCTTCTCCTGGTCATGAGTGGAATGTAGCGAGTATCACTGCGAGGCAGTCCTGCTACCGTTAACAGGAAAATCTGGTCCCTCAATCAAGGCTCGATGATTATATTTTTTTTTTCTTTTTTCTTTTTTATATTTACATGAAGCTAGCTCTCATCTTGTATCACCTCTGGCCGCTCTGGTAGACCACACTCCTGCCATCCAGCAAACCCCTTAGGGCAAAGGCTTTGATCAGCTTTACATCTCTCTACAGGTATCTTCCCGTTCGACTCGATAGTGAGGCAGACCTCAGTACTGGTAGATCATGCTGACCCATGTATGAGCATGGATCATGATGCTTGATTGTCCGGTTGAACCTTGCTAGCGAAAGATCGGGAAGTTGATCGTTGAGCGTTTCAACTTCCTACATCGCCGCATTGAAGACCGAGGCAGAGCTCACTCCGGAGTCCTGACTCCACATTACTTTCTCTGTTGTGGTCTTGGCCGTTTACTTTCCATGTTTTTTCCCCTCACTTTGCCGCCGGGTAAATCGTCTCCAGCTGCAGTCGAGTCGGCATTGGATTGTCGCAAAAGCCGATAGTTTAACCCGCCAGCTAAGCGATCTGCCGGTTTCATGAGATCTCTGCCACTGCTCAGATGTTTCTGTCAATCCATGAGACCCTGTCACTGTGTGCTCACCAGCTGAGCGCTCGTGTAACTTGACTATCTTCTCTCTCAGACATTGTTCCCCTCACCCCGCACCGATAACTCTGCGGAGTAACAGACGACTCAATCGGCATTTCAAGAGTCCGTCTCACCACTCTCTTCATCTGGTATCCTCTCCTCCTTATTTTCTCGCCCGTTTTTTTTTTTCGGCCCTCCAATTGCTACCCTCGGGCCCAATCATCATGGACCCGTCACAAGTCAAGATTCCTCCCATGAAAGACCTCACCGTCGACAACATCACGGAAAACGTCCTCACCATCAACTCGCTCTGCGAAGACGAACGCATGAAATACGTCCTCGAGCGCCTCGTCACTCACCTCCACGACTTTGCGCGCGAAACCCGTCTCAGCAGCGCAGAATGGATGACCGGCCTCCAATTCCTCACCGAAGTCGGCCAAATCTGCACCTCCGTCCGACAGGAATTCATCCTCCTCTCCGATATCCTGGGCCTCTCCATCCTCGTCGACTCCATCGACCATCCCAAGCCCCCCGGGTCCACGGAAGGGACCGTCCTGGGTCCGTTCCACACGCACGACGCAGAGGAATTGCGCAATGGAGAGGCCATCTCGCATGATCCCAAGGGGGAACCGCTCTTGGTCGTGTGCACGTTGCGGGATACGGAGGGTCGGCCGATCGAGGGCGCCAAGATTGATATCTGGGAGACCGACTCGACAGGCCATTATGACGTGCAATATGCGGGAAGGGAGAGTCCCGACGGCCGCTGTGTGATGCGATCTGATCCCGACGGCGTCTTTTGGTTCAAGGCCATCACGCCGGTGCCGTATCCGATTCCACATGACGGTCCCGTAGGCAGGTTGTTGAAGAAGTTGCATCGTCATCCGTATCGCCCGAGCCATATGCATTTTATGTTTGAAAAGGAGGGTTACGATCATTTGATAACGTGAGTTCCCCTCCCCATTATTGTCCACACTGGACAATCTCCATGCTCACCAAGAGCCCTAGCCGAAGTTGTCACGCCAAAAGCAGATTGTCACAATGCTAACCCACCACTAGAGCCCTCTACCTCCGCAACGACCCTTACGAAACATCCGACGCAGTCTTCGGCGTCAAAGATTCATTAACCGTCGATCTTGGAAAAGTCGGCCCCGAATACGCCCAGAAATACAATGTGCCCGAGGGACAAGCACTCCTCACATATGACTTTGTCTTGGTCTCGGACGAGGAGACCAAGGAGCTGCGAGCACGGAACTCCATCATGGCGCTGGATAAGCTTGGGCGGAAGGTGAAGATTGTGAATGGGTTGCCCGTGCCCGATTTGGATTGATTTGATTCTACCGATGCTGGGAATTTTTCAGGACAATGAGATCGATATCCATGTGGCCTTTACTTTTGTAAATTTGAGTCATTGGTCGCACCCTATAGTGCTGTATGCTTTCGAGAGATCGAAAGTTCACAACATCGAAGTCTGCCATTGCAGATCACCCACATCAAGTCTCTTCGAGTGTCGGCTACAGTCTCACGCCACCTCGGCTCTCAAAAATAAAATTCCACAAATCTTTTTCTTTAAATTTGTTCAATTCGTTGCCTATCAATAGAGGTTGTATTTCCATTGGAGAGCGCTGTCTGGTCTTCGCCAACTGATCAGAGCCAGGGAGAGGGTGGGAAAAGCAAGTCAACATACAGCAGAGGCGCTCTCCACTCGTGTGCCAATCAGGAAGCGCAGGTGTCCCTGCCTATTTCCTGATTAGACTCACAACTTCACAAGTGAGTGGGCTTGTACAATACCCAAACAATCATCGTTCACAGCGCGTTGAGCGAACATGGACGAAACCCCCACCGGGTCCGTCGCCACCACGGCAAAGTCCCTCTAATGGACTCTTCTCGTTGGCTTCATCAGAGCCTGGAAGGAGGACTCCAAGGCCTTCTTCACTTCCTTGTAGCTGACGATGAAGCAGCTCTGCTCGTCACGGCTGATCAAGGTAATCTTCTCGTCCGACCCGGCATCAAGCTTGTTCAGGCAGGACAGGACATGGCCCAGGTCAATGACGGCATCTCCAGAGCCGTCCACCTGGTGGAACACGTAATCGCGGAAAATCTTCAAGAAATATCGTTCACCAGTCTCCGCCCATTGTCGGTCGTGTTCGTATTCTGGACGCTCATTGATAAAGTTCAGTTTGGTCATGAGACGCACCAAGCGACCATTTTCCAGCTCGCGGCTCAGATCGGACGTGAGCTGATCATCCAAGTGGAGGGCCGAGTCAAAGGTGGACATCAACTGAGACGAGATGCCAGTGATAAACAGATCAATAGTGCGCTCTTGATCCTTCTGCAGTCCATTCAACAACCAGAAGACGGAGTTCTTCAGCTGGGGGCTGTATGCGCGAGTGAAATGTTCCGTCGCTTTGGTCGGGTTGTGCATGACAGTAGGCGAATTGGCGCCCAAGGTGAGCATCAGCTGTCCAAAGTTGACAAGATCTTGTCTTTGAAGATCAACCACAGTTCGCTGTGTATCAAATTGGACCACGTCCAAGATGGCGCAACCGTTCAATCTAATCCGATTCTTCCCTGTCAACAAGACCTTGCTGGCTTCCAATACGCGGGCTGCAAGGCCGTTGGAGTGAAGGGTCTTGAGCGCGTTTGCTATTTGGGTCATGTAACCCCACAGTATTTGCTCGGGGATATGAGTGTTATTCTGCCGACCTTGGAAGCGATTCCCGGCGCCCAAGTGTTGCTCTGCCAAGGTCTTGGACAAAGGATGATAATCGGTGACGAAGATCAAGGAGCTGTCTTGGAAACTGCGACTGGTGAAAGCATCGTGTACAGTGACTATACTGCCACTGCAAATGCGCTTCCATGCCTGGACAGATCGGATTGCTTTTTCATTGGTCAAGCGGAATCCTAAAAATAATGAGCCTAAAGATCCCCTGCAAGTGCAAGACCGAGGCTCTTCCCCGGGCCAAATCGACTTACCTTCGAGTCTTCGCAGCGCGTAAAAGTTGCCGTCCTTGCTGGACTGGGCTTTGTAGACCCAACTCGGATATCCGAAGGTTGCGGCGTTTTTCTGGTGGCTCAGATCCAGTGGCACGAGCGAGTGGAAGTAGTCCACCTGCGCAGGAAGTGTCGTGTCTATAGACGGGTTCTTAGAAAATTTGAAGGCAAGCACTCAAAGCGGGGAAGAGATCATACTGGGGAGGGTTTGCAGAGCAGCTGCTGACTTTTTCTGCAGCTCTTCACGAAAGTCGTTGGGAAGGAAGAGGTCATGGACATTTCGCTGATAGGCCAGTGTGTTCTGAGTGTGAGGGCCGATGGGCGCGTAAAGGTGATATTGCACCTAGATGTTGTCAGAGGTTTACTTGAACTCCCAACTAACGAGGTGAAGGCAAAGAAGCTGGTACGTACTGGCTGCTGGAAACCTCCCGCGTTGGCAAAGAAGGCACCTCCTGCCAACGCACCAGTAGGATCATGGGTATAGGGATTGGCTGAGACGGAGCCAACACCTCCGGTGGCAGACAGAGGAGTTGAAGTGGTCACAAATGGATCGAAGGTCGCTGATGTGTGAATACCGTTTCCGTTGCCCTGGATAGTACCCTGTGTACTTGAATTAGCTTGATCCATGTCAAGGCTGGTGTTTACGTCTCGGCACTGCTGGTCTTCGGGAGAAGAGCTATCTTCCTCGCGTAATGTACTCAGACTCCTAGTCAGACGCTTGAGAAAGTTTTCGACCATGGCGTCTTGTGCAAAATCACGCGAGGTTGAAGTTAAATCGTAAAGGAAATTAAGGCGATGAGAATGCGCCAGAAGTTCATCTGGCTCCGACAAAAGTAGAGCAGGGAATCCACTTCGACCGAACTACAACAGCCCGGCAGGTGCATCCGGAAGGAACTTACCACATGAGCTCCATCAAACCCCTGGGGCACAAATTCTTGCGCTTCAGCTACCGTCCACTCTGCACTTCCAGCCTCTGTTCGTCCTGTTGGCGTGGTCGTGTTTGATCCTTATTTATGAATCAGCTGGGTGTCTTCATCTATGCTTATCAGGGAATGTAGTCGTACGCGATGCTGCCGAGACTCTGGGCTGGAACGGTGCTGCGCTTGCAGCCTTAGGCGAGATGGTAGTCAATTTCTTGGGCGCTGGAGTTCCATTACTGGATAGAACGGATGGGGTGAAGCTTGGCGAGTCCACGTTAAAGCGTTTTTTGCTGTTTGCCCGTATGATAAGGTCAGATCTGCCCGTCATCGTACAGGGTCCGCTTGATAGAGTTGCTTTCATCAGACTCACTTGTCCGCTTGATTTGCAGTGCTCATTTTCAATGGGTCGTGGTTGAAAGCGCAACCTATTCAGGATCATCCCGAGTCAGTCATACAAGGCCCCCGTTGACGATGCGGTGACGAGCACATGTGTTCAGCCGTACCTTTATCCTCGTAGCGGCATCTCCCGTATATGGTGACGTTGCGGCATAGTGTGTCTTTCGCATTCTCTGCTGAGAAGACGCGCAATGTTAGCATGCACTTCGGTCAACAGTCTCCTATACAGATTACGACATGAACTGATCATGGTGTTTTCTCCCATTCTTTTCTGTCTACCCGATATTTTCAGACAACCATTGCACTAACCTCGAGTCTTCATCTTTGGCGATCCCGTCGTGCGACGGGTATCGTCTAGGGGTGGCTTGCTGGATGAAGCCATTGACAAGATGGCTGAATACCGACAGAGAGCGAGGCAGGATCAGTGCAGCACAGTCCCCATCGATCCCAAGTCGGTCTTGTATAACTAGTGATTCTCACGCAAGGACTGCATTCCCTACAATCAATAGGCTTTGTCTGCGCACGTACGCGTCGTTGGAGGGTCGAAGGCGGAAAGAGAGTGGGGAGGTCAATTGTAAATTTCACGGCCGATTCAGGGTAGCTTCATTCCATATAGTCAGTATTCGTAAATATGATGAATAGTGTAGGGTCGATCTTTGATCTTCCAGTTGCGGTCACGTCAGATCACGGCCCTTCCACCGAGCAGATAGGCGCGGGGCGAGTCAACCTCGAAGATGTGATGAGAGACGGGTGCACGGACCAGGCGGTCAGTCCGCTATCATTCCGGACGGATCTCTCACCCTCACCATTTCTAGTCACGGAGGACTGAGCCGAAATTGATCGTACTGCTGGTTTGGTGCTCCTACTTCTATTGTACAGGTCCTGTTGGGGTCGAGTCGGTGAGATCGCCATAGGGATCGTGAGAGGGACGGGAGTCCTGAATCTCATATATAAGATGCATTGGTTTTCTCTCAATAAGTAAGCACAGGTGATGTTACTGATATTCAATTGTGACATGATTTGCAATATCGATTCACCCGTGCCCACGACTTTCCTGCGACAGAGAGAATCTTCTAGGTGTGTTACCTCCTACTACCTAGTGGGCTGGCTAGGTATTAAAGTGGAGTACCCTGGCTCTAACCTGACGCTGGGCATCAAAAATATATCGCTCGACCTAATTACCAGACATGGAGACTAGAGTAACCTATTTTTTCGGGAATTTAGACTTATTGCATAAGTCTGTTATGGTTCGGGCGCATCACAGGTGATGTGGAGTTTGAAAGAGGTCATGGACATGGATGGTAGCAAAGCCTCATGTGCTAGCAGGCTGTCTAACTTATCTGTAGTTGTATGCATGTAGGTTGGTGATCGGTCTTGTGGAACTGCCAGTGCATTGCTAAGATAAGGTACCTTGGCACTTGAAGACCACCGAGGCACCCGACGTGGCCCCCGCAGAATTGCATCAGCGCCAGCTCGGGAAAGAAGGCGGTGTACGAAGCGGTGATGGCAAGCTACCCGTGTGGTCATGTCATGGATGGCACATCACTACTATCGACGAATGTTACCCCAGCTCCGGCCACGGATCAGGAACAATGTCTGAAGCAGAGGTCGACCTCGACCAGCTCTCTGACAGTGAGAGATTGGCGCTGGAACAATATTCTGCGGTGACAGGGCAGGATCTAGCAGATGCCATCCCGTTGTTGCGCCGGTCACAATGGAATGTTCAGGTCGGTGGTCACTTCCTCCGCCTGGAGCTGATGCAAGCTAACACGTACCCCACAAGTTTAGATCGCAATCTCCAAATTCTTTGACGGCGAAGGGCCTGACCTTCTAGAAGAGGCTCGTGCAGCATTACCAGAACCAGCACAGCCCTTTCAGCCGCGTCCGGGTGTTAATCTCATGCACGAAGATATTCTGCAACAAGTTCGCCCAGCTCATCGCAACACCGAGCCCGCCCCACGGATCGATACGCAACCCGAGAATCAGCCCGTCTACCGCCCCCCTCTCATCCTTGCACTCCTATTCACCCCATTCAACCTTGTCTACCGACTTCTTCTCAACTCATTTCGGCTATTCGGGACACTCTTTCCCTTCCTCCCGCGGCTGTTTCGCGCAACTGCAAGCCCAGCCCTCCAAGGCACTCGACAGAACACAACTGGTCGACGACCATTGGCGCCCAAGGACACAGCAGCACGGTTTATCCGAGAGTTTGAAGAAGAGTACGGCTCAAATCCGCTTCAGTTCCTTGAGAATGGCTACAACATGGCTTTGGAACGCGCCCATCGCGATCTCAAGTTCTTGCTGGTGGTCCTGTTATCGTCAGAGCACGACGACACGCATACCTGGGTAAAGGACACTCTTCTTTCACCCGAGGTAGTTGAGCTTGTCAACCCTTCCAGTGGCAACGGAGAAGTTCTCGTCTGGGGTGGCAACGTCCGCGACTCGGAAGCTTATCAAGTCGCCAATTCTTTACGGGTGACCAAATTTCCCTTTGCGGCAGTCGTCTGTCATACCCCCAACGTCTCTTCCACCGCTATGTCCGTGGTGGCTCGGATAGGTGGGCCCTTGTCAGCATCGGAATTCAAGCAACGGTTGACAGCGGCGTTGGACACGAACCGAGCACCTCTTTCACAGATTCGTCAGGAAAGAAGCCAGCAACAGGCATCCCGAAATCTTCGTGAAGAGCAAGACTCGGCGTACGAACGATCCTTGGCAATCGATCGCGAACGGGCACGTCTCCGCCGCGAGGCAGAGGCCGCTCGACAGCAAGAAGAACGGGCGGCCGCGGAACGCGAGGCCGCAGAGCAGAAACGCCAGCAGGATCTGGCTCAGTGGAAGTTGTGGCGGGCGCAAGAGCTTCGCAAGGAACCTGACGCAGACGTTAAGGACACAGTGCGGATTAGCGTGCGACTGCCCTCAGGCGATCGCATCATGCGCCGTTTTGCGCCCGATGCGGATCTGGAAGAACTGTACGCGGTCGTCGAGTGCTGGGATATTATGCAAGACGGCTCACGTCCGACGGATGTTGAGAAACCCGCTGGGTACGAGCATGAGTACGATTTCCACTTGGTGTCTCCAATCCCTCGTGCTGTCTATTCGCTCAAGGACGGGGGTACGATACGTGAAAAGATTGGCCGGGGTGGCAATCTTCTTGTTGAACCTATTGAAGATGATTTTGAGGAAGAAGACGTGGCTGATGACAATCTGGCTTGAGTTGAGGCCATAAAATGATACGAGTCCCAAGTCTTTAGGCTTAGACCGCTGTACTTTTACCCACGAGGAAGCTCATGCCAGGCATGTTTTCATTTGTTCATACGTGGAAAGAATCATCATTGCAAGACCCGCACGGAGTTTGTTGTGATCATTAGGTGCGTTTGGTATGGCGAAGTTTCTGGTCTTTCGGACTGCTGTCAAAGTTGCACAGTCGATCTCGATAGAAGATGCTTGTCCGCACGCGAGACTCATTCTTTTCCCCTGGATTTACCATCGCCCCTGAGTTGTAGATCATTGCCTCCGACCTGTGTCAATGGTTTGAGTATCGAGCCCACACGAGTCGATAACTTGACATGCGTCATTCGGCGCTGCTTCGAACACGCGCACCTCACGCGACAGACTTTTCGACTACGTAATGCTTTATCTGATTCAAACGGCTACTGGGAGGCTCAAGGGCAATACCACTAAACATTAGGTTTCTCATTATGAGTAGAGTTGTGTAACCAGCCCCGACTTGAAGCTTGCTTTCTCATCTCGAACTCCACCTGATCGAACATCATCGACATCCATGACTGTAACTGCGACCAGGCCCAAAGTTGAATACAAGACACCGACGTATCAGAAAGACGGACCAAAGTGGCAAAAGCCACTGATTTCGTCAAACTCGATTCCGATGACCCCAGAGTCATCGCTGATGTCAGTGCGCAGCCCCCGACTTCATCGGTAAGTTACACGCAAGTGGGCTCGACCCAGAACATTTGCACATACGCCAAGCAGTGGATCAATTTGATCTGTAGAGATCTACATACGTAGGCAGCACAGCGACTAGGCCTTTGGATGTGCCAATCGGCAGAACACACGTCCTCGCATTGGAGCCTCCTTGCGTGGCCTAAGGCCAGAGCTGACCAGATGAAAAAAATTGAGCAATAGTACGTATACTGATACGTATACGGATACGTATACGTACAGTAGTAGTAGTAGTAGTAGTAGTAGTAGTAAACATATTGTACGGAAGCGGAATAGCGGTCAACTCCGTCACGGATGCGCTAGTCCCGGAACCGCTTGTGTTTAAGCATATTCGTTAGATCATTTCGAATCTCTTCAGAGTATATCCATTTTCCACGGAGGTTTTTCTAGTGTCTTACACAAAGTCAACTGAAATATTGCAATGATTGATGCGGTAAGCCTAAAAGCCAGGTCTGGATACCGTACGTGCCACAATGATGAACATGAAAGGCAATACAAGAAGCTCATCACAGGTGGATGACTAGGTGAACTTATTCGGAGCCGCCGGCAACATATTAGTGATGGTTCGTGAGCTTGACACCAGACGCTATACGCTACGCACCTGAGCCTTCTGGACAGCACATCAAAGATTCCGCTGCCGGATGGATCCGAGATCTTATGGATCGCCCCGGTCAGTTCGATCAATGGCAGACCCGGACCCGGACTGCCCAGTACGGATTTCGTCTCGGAATGAGCGCAATGTGACTCAGTGTCCATTCACCCGGGGCCGAGCTCAGTGGCTCAAGGGCGCATGGCAAACTTATGGCCGAATTTTGGTCCGTCCGACAGATGTTCCATGTGGATCTGGGCTAAGCTGCGATGAATACCAAATTGGTGATTCAATGGAGGTCCTTACTCCTGTGATTGATGAGAGTGAAGACACATGCATGTCAACCCTTTTATGCGCAAGAATTGTGATCATACTATTACCGTCCTGAGCCTGAAGAAAACGTAGTGATAAACAAGTGAAATGTCTCTAGTCCATGTTCCACAGTCTATACAAACTACTACCACGGGACACCAGGCAGTGTACCTAGAAATAGACTTCACTTCGCAACCCTCCTCTCTCCCCCACGCCTTTTTCCAGTAGAGTACTAGTCTGCTAGAACTCAAGAAAAGTAGCCGTCCCGAGCCGTCGGGCTCCTGGTCGGAATTGATGTCCCCCACGTATTTCGTGGTACTTGCGCAGAGCCTCCGGTGCCAGAGATTGGGCCCTGCGGTCTCGACTTCATCTTCAGCGGGGACCCCTCCAGCTGGAGGTCAGGGGGCAGGTGGGTGCCAGTGGGGGGGCACCTGGAGTAGTACTATCATAAGTTCATAACTATGCAGCCTACTGGGAGGTAGTAGAATACCTAGCAGTGGGCAGTGGGCAGTGGGCAGTGAAGGCCGTAGGGCCTATAGTCACCCCAGCAGGTCCAGCACTGCCAGGCACTGTCCGTATCTAAGACGAGGCTGAGTCAGATCCCTTTCGGATGCTGGAACATCCGGTATCCGGGACCGGATCCTGGAGGCTGTGGAGCCCTGATTGTAAACTTATGTCAGCATTCTCTTTCGCAGGCAGCGAGTACCCATGCCCCACAGACTGCTCGTTCAGAGATCCCGCTCCGGTACCCCTTTATGCTTTTTGGGCGGGAACGATCTAACTTCTGGAATTATGCCGGACCCACTACGGATCATGCTGACTGACTCGAGGAGATTTCTGTAAGGGAGTTAACTGACGTAAGTTTTGAGCCAGGCAGCACCTTGAGCCCTAACATTAGATCACCAGCAAGAAACAGCTACTTATGGTCACCAAAAGGATCGGGAGGTCGACTGCGACCGATGAGATGTATCAAACAGATACCGAGGGCTGGCCTAGTCCATGTTTCATATGATCTGATGGAATTAGACTAGTAGAACACTAGAACAACAGAGAGTAGAGACCCATAATGCAGCCCACCTATAGATCTGATCGTGCATATTGATTGGTACAGGCTGGCCCGAACATCACATCCTGTCAGCCGCCACTTGTACTACGCTCAGAGCGTGTGGGTGCATAATTACACAGACCATCTCAGCATGTAATTGGGGCAATGGAGTTTTCACAGGCATTGGTGAAATAAACTCGTGCTCTTGGCATCCTATGACTCTATTTGAGATCTGAAAATCGTCAATTAGAAAGATATCCTTCTTTACGCTCTTGCTCTATGTTCACCGTCACACACGACGTATCAACCTGTAGTTGGTTTTAAATAATCTCAATGGGCCTCCTTTTCCTCGTGCAAAAGTCCCGGGCATTATAGTCCCGGAGCAAATGTGTAAGGCATCACCTCTTACGTCGTCCACACTTTTCCCGACACGGAAAGTCTAGGACTGCTTATGCAGCAGCCACGTGATGCACATGCCCACATGGTGGTGCACAGGCTACCACTGGCTATCTCCACCCGGCAGTTTATCGCCGCTCGGATCGTCTATCTTCCATCTTCGGAGGCTCAGGCATGATTGTTTCCGGTGCCGAAATGAGGCCAGCGCGTTTGGTTTGCACCAGAAAGTTTCCTTCCTTTTCCCAAATTCGATTTTCTTCTCCTGGATTTTTTTAATCAATTCGCTCTTTTAATACCCTTCATTACCTCTCACCTCTGGTTCTAATTTTCTAATTTCAACTTCACACGATCGATCGCTCTTCAGCGATTCTCCCATCTAATTCTTCATCATCCGGTGCTCACATCGAATCATTAGCGCCTCCCCCTCTCACTATCGACGCCCGCAACGCAACCTTTAGATGGTGGCTTCCTCACACAGCCCCATCTAGGACAATACTCCTATAAAATTGCATTGTCCCAAACACTTAGACATTGAAATTTTCCGAGTTAGGAAAGTCGACCATGTCGTCATTTATTGGGACATTCAATCAGAGCGCGGCCACCGACAACAACACGGAGTCTGTCTCGGTGGCTCGCGAGATCAACAACCATGATCCCGCTCGCAGTATGACCAGTTCAAACACTGCTCTTGACCAGCATGAGGATGTGGGCAATGAGGAGGTTATCGAAGCCGAAGTCACTCGCCTTGCGCGTCGATTGACACGGGAATCTACCCACTGGGCCGAAGGACACAATACCTTTGTCGACGCTGACAAGGATTCGACCTTGGATCCTCATAGTCCCAACTTCAAGGCTCGCAATTGGATGAAGAATGTGCTTGCCATCACCTCTCGTGATCCCGAGCGATATCCTGCTCGCCAGGCCGGTGTCTCCTTTCGCAATCTCAGTGTCCATGGATATGGCAGTCCCACAGACTACCAAAAGGACGTCTTCAACTCGGTCCTACAAGTAGGTGCTCTCGCACGTATGATCACTGGCACAGGAAAGCAGAAGATTCAAATCTTGCGCGACTTTGCTGGTGTCGTCAAAAGCGGCGAGATGCTTGTGGTTCTTGGTCGTCCTGGATCTGGCTGTTCCACTTTCTTGAAGACCTTGGCTGGTGACATGAATGGTATTTACAAGGATGACAAGACCTACATGAACTACCAGGGTATTTCCGACAAGCAGATGAGAAACCAATTCCGTGGCGAGGCGATCTACACGGCCGAGACTGATGTCCACTTTCCCCAACTCACTGTTGGCGACACCCTCAAGTTCGCTGCTTTGGCTCGTGCGCCCCGCAACCGCCTTCCTGGAGTCACTCGTGACCAATACGCTGAGCACATGCGCGATGTGGTTATGGCGATGCTTGGTCTCTCGCATACTATCAACACTCGCGTCGGCAATGACTTTGTGCGTGGTGTCTCTGGTGGTGAGCGCAAGCGTGTTTCTATCGCCGAGGTCGCTTTGTGTGCCAGCCCTCTCCAGTGCTGGGACAACAGTACCCGTGGTCTGGATAGTGCCAATGCGTTGGAATTCTGTAAGACTCTAGGACTGATGGCCAAATATTCTGGAACGACCTGTGCGGTTGCTATTTATCAAGCCTCACAAAGTGCCTACGATGTGAGTATTCTTTACTTCCTCACTACCTGATGTGTTCTGACACTGACGATATCAATTGCGTTCTCTAAAAAGGTCTTTGACAAAGTCACCGTCCTCTACGAAGGTCGCCAGATCTACTTTGGCCGCACTACTGATGCCAAAGCTTTCTTCACCGACATGGGTTTCGAATGCCCCGAGCGCCAGACCACAGCCGATTTCCTGACCTCTTTGACCAGTCCCGCTGAGCGCGTCGTCAAGCCAGGATATGAAAACTTGGTGCCTCGCACTCCCGACGACTTCGCCGCCGCCTGGAAGAATAGCCAGGAATACAAGGCCCTTATGCGTGAGGTCGAAGAGTTTGACCAGGCTTACCCTCTCGGAGGCGACTCGCTGCAGAAGTTCGTCGATTCCCGTCGCGCTATGCAGGCGAAGCACCAGCGCGTCAAGTCTCCGTTCACTATCTCTGTCTGGCAGCAAGTCAAGCTCTGCATGCACCGTGGGTTCTTGCGTCTCAAGGGAGATGCTAGTCTGACCCTCAGTCAGCTGATCGGTAACTTCATCATGGCTCTCATTATCGGCTCTGTTTTCTTCAATCTTGCAGATACCACCGAAAGTTTCTACTCCCGCGGTGCGCTCTTGTTCTTCGCTGTCCTTCTCAACGCCTTCTCAAGTGCACTGGAGATCTTGACTCTGTATGCGCAGCGGCCAATCGTCGAAAAGCAGGCTCGCTACGCAATGTATCATCCTTTTGCCGAAGCCATCGCATCCATGCTCTGTGACATGCCCTACAAGCTCCTCAATGCCGTGACTTTCAATGTGACCCTCTACTTCATGACGAACCTGCGTCGCACTCCCGGCGCATTTTTCACGTTCCTGTTGTTCTCAATCTTCACGACCTTGACAATGTCAATGATCTTCCGGACCATCGCAGCTAGCTCTCGAACGCTCTCCCAGGCTCTCGTACCAGCGGCTATTTTGATACTGGGTTTGGTCATTTACACCGGGTTTACCATTCCGCCTCGCAACATGCTCGGCTGGTCTCGATGGATGAATTACATTGATCCGATTGCGTACGGCTTCGAGTCGCTGATGGTCAATGAGTTTCACAACCGTTGGTTTGACTGTCTCCCACAGTCAATGATCCCTACTGGCCCTGGATACACGAACGTTCCGGCAGACAGCCAGATCTGTTCTGCCAAGGGTGCTCGTGCTGGCGCCACGCGAGTCTTCGGCAACGACTACCTTGCCGACAGCTTCCAGTACTACAACAAGAATAAGTGGCGCAACCTTGGTATCATGATTGCGTTCATGATCTTTTTCATGACCACCCACTTGCTTGCGACAGAGTACATTTCTGAGTCAAAGTCGAAGGGTGAGGTTCTGCTTTTCCGCCGTGGTCACGCTCCCAAGCGCTCCACCAACGAAGATGACGTTGAGCTGGATAACGTCGTGGCTCCTGGCCAGAAGACCAATGACGCCGGCAGTCAAGAAGTCTCTGCTGCCATCCAGCGCCAGACTGCCATTTTCCAGTGGAAGGACGTCTGTTACGATATCAAAATCAAGAAAGAGGAGCGTCGGATTCTTGATCACGTCGATGGATGGGTCAAGCCTGGTACCTGCACTGCTTTGATGGGTGTATCTGGTGCTGGTAAAACCACTCTACTGGATGTCCTTGCCACTCGTGTTACAATGGGTGTCGTCACCGGTGAGATGCTTGTTGATGGACGCCCCCGCGACCAGTCATTCCAGCGCAAGACCGGTTACGTCCAGCAGCAGGATCTTCATCTTTACACAACGACCGTTCGTGAGGCTCTGCGGTTCAGTGCTATCTTGCGTCAGCCCGCCAATGTCTCCCGACAAGAGAAACTAGACTACGTTGAAGAAGTCATCAAGTTGCTGGGGATGGAAGCTTATGCCGATGCCATTGTCGGTGTTCCCGGTGAAGGTATGTTGATCACGCACTCCTGGCGTCCTGACCCACTTGACTCATATTTCTTTAGGTTTGAATGTTGAACAACGCAAGCGCCTAACAATTGGTGTCGAGCTCGCTGCAAAGCCGCAGCTCCTTCTTTTCCTCGACGAACCAACTTCCGGTCTTGACTCTCAGACATCCTGGTCTATTCTTGATCTCATTGATACCTTGACCAAGCATGGTCAGGCTATTCTTTGCACAATTCATCAGCCCTCCGCCATGCTCTTCCAGCGCTTCGATCGTCTTTTGTTCCTCGCCAGAGGTGGCCGAACCGTCTATTTCGGCGATATTGGCGAGAAGTCATCCACTCTTGCTGAATACTTTGAACGCAATGGCGCCTCCAAGCTGCCTATTGACGCGAATCCCGCTGAATGGATGTTGGAGGTCATTGGTGCTGCTCCTGGCTCCCATACTGATATTGATTGGCCTGCAGTCTGGCGTGAAAGCCCTGAGCGAAAGGCCGTTCATGCTCACCTGGAGGAGATGAAAGCCAACCTCTCGCAGAAGCCTGTCGAAGACGCTAGCACAAGCCCGGAAAACTACAAGGAATTCGCTGCGCCTTTTGGAGTCCAGCTCTACGAGTGTCTTACTCGCGTCTTCAGTCAGTACTGGCGTTCTCCAGTATACATTTATTCCAAGGCCGCCCTTTCCATTTTGACGGCTCTCTACATCGGTTTCTCCTTCTTCCAGGCCCAGAACTCTGAACAAGGACTGCAGAATCAGATGTTCAGTATCTTCATGCTGATGACCATCTTCGGAAACCTGGTGCAACAAATCATGCCTCATTTCGTCACTCAACGGTCGTTGTATGAAGTCCGCGAGCGTCCCTCCAAGACCTATTCTTGGCAAGCGTTCATGACTGCGAATATCTTGGTTGAGCTTCCATGGAATACTCTGATGGCTGTCTTCATCTACGTTTGCTGGTACTTCCCCATCGGTCTGTATCGCAATGCTGAAGAGGCCGGTAATCTCCATGAGCGTGAAGGCTTGATGTTCCTGCTTATTTGGTCCTTCTTGCTCTTCACCTCGACCTTTGCGCACATGATGATCGCCGGTATCGACCTCGCTGAGACCGGTGGCAACTTGGCCAATCTGCTGTTCTCACTCTGCTTGGTGTTCTGTGGTGTCCTCGCCACCCCTGCTCAAATGCCCGGTTTTTGGATCTTTATGTACCGTGTCTCTCCATTCACATACCTGGTCTCTGCCATGTTGTCGACCGGTGTTTCCGGCGCGACTGTCACCTGTGAGGCCGTTGAATACCTTCACTTCCAGCCCCCTAGCGGCAAGACTTGCATCCAATACATGGAGCCCTACATCAAGATGGCCGGAGGTTATCTTGAGAATGAGAATGCCACAAGTGACTGCTCGTTCTGTACCATCAAGTCGACGGACGTCTTCCTTGCCTCCGTGACCAGCTACTACAAGGATGCGTGGCGCAACTTTGGCATCATGTGGGTCTACATCATCGTCAACATCTTCTTGGCCGTCGGTATTTACTGGCTTGCTCGGGTTCCCAAGGGTAGCCGCAGCAAGAAGGAGAAGAAAGAATGAGTCCTACCCTCAGCAGACCGAATTACTGCGCTTTCTCTGTGAACTTTGAACTCGAAGAAAGCTCCATGCTACATTTCTCACCACTTAATACCCAAAGTCATTTTTATCTTCTTGTGTGTTAATTCTCACTCTTCATTCCGAATCACCTTTCTTTCCAATCACCCCCATCCACGGTTCCATGAGCGTGGCCTTGAGAGTCTGATGGCCAAAAGTTGCCCACTATGCCTTCCTCCCTTCAGCCTCTCGCTTCTCTTCCCCATTGCTCAGGCATGGCAGATTTCATTCTTGCTTCTCTTTTATCCACCTTTATCTCACCGCATATACACTATTCGTCTCAAGTCCGTTCATTGACAGTCATCTCATCCAGCGCTTTATTGTATAGATTAGATAACCTATTTCATGATTATTCATATTACTCTTGTTCATCTTCATCTTGAAGACACGCGTTGTAGTAACGTAACTTTTTCATTGATACATTCAAAAGTGAGGTGAAAAGGCAAGTCGCAGCTTGAAGCTGAGGTAAGCATCGAGTTCATGGGACTCGCTACCTAGGTACCGTGGACTTCCGCCGTACATCCTCGCCGAACGGATCTCAGACACTACAATAACCCTCCCATAACGGACATTCTTTGGAAAGCGGCCCGAGCTTCCGCAAGCCTAGACTACCTACATCGGCAGATCGCTCCTGCTGAACTCGAAGGACTCCTGAGATTTACATCCAGGGCACGAGGAAGACGAGCCAAACCCGCGGGAAAAAGATCATCTGAAAACCCCCCTAGATGTTATATGCTGCCCATCTTCACGGTACACACCTGGCGTCCTCCATCTCAGCCACACAATGAGATAATAGCAAATACTTGCAGTTCTGAGTCATGACTTTGCATCGTCTTCTTTCTTCCCCCGGGTTGTTACTGTCCATTTATATCATGTTCTGCCGTCTTTCTAATTGAGTCCATTGAGCGTGATGAAATGACCTTTTGGAACCTGTGGTGGCATTAGGCAGAAAATCACCTAAATATCCTGTGAACGCAAGATACCATGGTCAACGGTCGACTCAACATTTGATTTTTCAGATATCTTTCTATGAACTTCCATTGCTACTCCCTATTGATGGAGTTTCCTCCCTCGGGCTTGTGTGGTCTGCGTGGTCTGCGTGGTCAGGCTGCTGCCCAGTCTAGTGTTGAGAGGATTGGAGGTTTTCCGCCTGTGTAGGCAGGTTTTCCCTTCTTCCCTTTCCCTAACCCATTTCTCCTTCGATCTCGTGCTGCTTCCTGTGCCTTTGGACCGCTGTCGGTCTCTCCCCTATTTAGGCTGATCACGCTCACATTCTCATTCACTCTTGTATCCTTCGTCCTAGTCTCTGGGTTCTGGCAAAGCTTTTTCATTCCCCGCATTTACCGGGACGTGGTACTTGATCAAGCCACCTAGTCATTCGTACTTCATTTGGCCTCCAGTCACTGCAGCAATTTTGAAGACCTTCGAGGCCTGTCAGATAGGTGAAACGGCGGTCAGTCCATCTTTTCGAAGGTGTAAATGGAAGAAGCACCGATCAGACTAAACCCCTTTTGGACTGTGGGCCGAAAGATTTTTACCTTGATTGATACTTTTCCTTGGCAAGAAGGCTATGCTTACCACAATACAGGTCAGGCACATATACACGACCCTCAGAAGGATATGGATTATTCCCACTTACAAATTGGTCAGCTACTCTGTATCCGTGCATTGAGTTCGGTGCTCAGTGCTCATAGCGGCCAATAGTGGAAAGTTGTAGAGATGAATGTATCGTCATGCCATGTGATGCAGCGTGCCGAGTTCCGTCGTCGCGAGGACCGCGTTCCTCGCGACATTATTGGTCACGGCCCTAATCAGAACAGATAAGTGGGGATACTGAGGGCCAATCAGATTCGCCCTTCAGAGCCGCACTAACCTATTCTGGTTGCAAAAGGAGCTTTCCTTAGCCTCGTCACCTTTCCACTTATTGATCCTCAGCTTCGTGACTCACTTGAGTCACTTTTACCCTGATTATGTTGCCTTTACATCTTCAGGCTGTCTGGATGTTTGTGTAGGCGCATGTCTGGACCATGGCCTTGGAGGGGGTTTCTCTCTCGATGAGGGAGTCGGGGCTCATCCGGACAAGGTGGGATTTTGGGAGGGGATTTTGGGATATGCGGTCAATCGTGCGACCCCCGGGTTGAAATCCGATAGTCGGGTATCACGGAACCTGACGTGTCTTGAATTATCAAGGCTGGTTCCAGTGCGGTGGTTGAGGTGCTTTTTGGAGGGATCAGTCGGGCACAGACGGAGGAGATTGAGATCATCATTGAGGATTGGTGTCAGGTGTATTGACTCTACAGTGGCCAGTGCGTTTCATACTGGCTCCCTAGTTCTAAGATCAGAGGGCCTTCAATTCGTTGGGGGCTGAGTCCCTCTTTGAGGAACTTCTTCGCCGGTACTGTTTAGACTCCTTCATAATTTCTCCTCCGACCTCATCAGCGTTCTACTTATTCGTTTTCAAATTAGGCCCTCGGCGGTGATGATGACTGAGTAGTGGGCGCTTCACTGACGGTATTAAATATGAGTAGATAACTGCAGTAGATGCACATGAGTACGTCATGGTTTTGCAAGGAGCGATAGCACTACCTCAGTTAGTACTCACTGCTCGGTAGTAAGTAAATCAGTTCGGAAATAACCGGACTGAGACTAGATATGCATGTACTCTCACCGGAGTAAGGTAACGACGATCCCCGGAATCAGAGGGTTCGAGACGTTGTAAACGCCGCCTTGTAGGAACAGGGGGAGCGTGCGGTCGTCAAACAAGGCACTAAAAAGAATATTTTCACAGAAAAAGGGGATTTAAGAATTATTAGTCCACCACTGAAGTAGGCCACTGATGCAGGCGTCTTTGATCCAGAGTTCTGCCTTGGTGGTGGCGGGAGAATATTCGGAACGTCATTTAATTTCTTTTTTTTTTCCCTTTCCGACCTTGTTCTTCTGTCAAGCCTATATAGGTGGGTCTTTGTCCATCCCATCTATTGGATCTCGTCTGTAATACAACAATTTGTTGGACTTGGTAGGGTCGACGTTGACACCTATGGTTTGTCTTCCACGGCAAAGATAAGAGCTTGAAGCCAGACCGCGAGCGTTGTGCATATAGTCTCCATGCCTCCCGAACACCGTGAGCATGGAATCATTCTCCAACGCGCTATATTCAACTACCGGTGCACCTTGACAGTAGAAGGTAGGTATCCTGGGCAGTTTTAGCACAAGTTTACAAGAAGTTTACACATACCCTTTTCGGTAAGGCGTAAACCTTAGGCCAAGCGGTCCGAAAAAAGTTACTCAATCCGGCTAGCGCTATCCCAGGTATTTACAAGTTATAACTACCTAAGATAGCCGGATTGGGCGAAGATTGAGGGTGATACTGGTAATATGATTACGGGGAGGACCCTTTTTTAGACCCAGCCAAGCTCGCACGTCTCCAAGTTCCTTGCGCCGGGTTCTTCAGTCACATGATCCTAGTCAGCTGATCTATCCCCTTACTATCTCCTCACGGGCAATATTGGTGCCTGATTTTGGCCTTTACTGCGAAAGCGGGTCCAAAATTTATCTGCCAGCAAAAAGATGGGTAATGTAAAGTTTGCTAAAACTGCGTCCTGTACACGGGGCCGAAAGGGTGATGTCACTGGTCACCAGAGATTGGCTGGTCTTGATGAGGCTGAGCCGATTCGGGTGCAACGAAGGTCGAAAATGTCCATGTTCGGCACGGCTTCGACGGGGCCCACCAGGATGATCCTCAATGATCGTAATTGAAAAACACCGCCCAAATACAGCTCAAAAGTAAATTAGGATACAGTAGTCCTACAGGTCCGCTGAATGGTCAGCCCTACATAACCTTATCACCGCGCATCGAAAAATGCGAAAATCATTTACATTACACGCAAATCTAGTTCCTGCAAAGTGGTCGTCATATGGCGATGAACTGGAAACAAATGACTAGACTCTTATTCACAATAAAATTCAGTTCCCGTTGGCTTGAATGCTTCTTTCTGGCCCATGTCTATGTTCTCGTCCTATCTAAGCTATATTCTAGCTATTCGTCTGGCAGGGTAGAGAGCTCAACGCGGGACGCTAGCGCATCTCCTCCGGATTTAGCGTCAAGCAAAAGTAGAGCATGAACGTTTTTCAATTTCAAAACAAATAGTACTGAAGGAATCTGCAAGCTTATAAAGTATCACGACACTCATGAGATCAAGTCCAGACATCATACATCCGTTGAGCACCAAATCTTCAACCAAAAAGGGACTGATCATCGTCTGCTCAAGAAATAAGAGAAAGAAAGACTGGGGCAACATTGTCGTGTATACGGCCCGCCATATTAATAGTGAGACAAACATTATCACATATCTCTTCAAGAACCGCAAACCTTCATATTCTGGTAAGACATCACAGGAGGTATATGTGGACTGCGTGTGTCCCGTGCATGGCTCGCTGATGTGCTGTCAGGTTATCCCTTCGATTGAAGGTCTTGCTACATGTGTCGCAAGCGAAGGAACCTCGTGCGAGGTGTTGAGATTTCACATGTCGATTGAGAGCATGCTTATCACAAAACGGGCGTCCTGAATTGCAAGTTTCACTCAATGAACAACGAAGACTGGACCGCCTATATGTAGAAGGGTGGTGTTGGTAAGAATACAGTAAATGATACGTGCGACGTGGTTCGCCGTTTGGAGGAGCTTGGTGGAAGAACACGAACCTCTCCTGCGTTGTCTGCTGCGAGAGACTGCTGCTAGCTGGTCCGGGCAAAAACAATCCGGTGGTGTCATGACTCGCGGAAAGGCCGCAGTTGGGAGTCGACAGTTGACTTTCATCAAATGAAGCATGGTGTGGGTGCATAAGGTCGTGAGGGTTGACGAACACTGGTGCGGCGTACCCATAGCCAGATGGCGTGGACGTGTGCGCGTTGAGGCAGTCGAGGGGGGACGCCAGCTGGGCAAGCTGTTGCTGTCCATACAGGGGCTCCGGTTGCTGGCCATGAAGAGGCTGATATACGTCACAAAGTTGTGACTGGGAGACTTGTTGCTGCTCATGAGGGGGCTGATATACGTCACAAAGTTGTGACTGGGAGACTTGTTGCTGCTCATGAGGGGGCTGATTTACGTCACAAAGCTGTGACTGGGAGGCTTGTTGCCAGCTTTCGGGGGGCTTTTGCTCCTGCCAAAGCATCTGAGATTGGCCACATTGGCTGAGGGTATCGTCCTCATCAGGGCACATCATGTTGTAAGAGCCCGAGCGATACATGATTCACAGTGAAGAGAGGGGAAGGAAATCACTGTTTCCAGATGGATCTGTCTTTCTGATGGTAAGACGGATGGTTCTTGTAATAGGATATGTGAGAGATGTGGTCAAGCTGCACTCAGTCCTGAGCGATCTTTGCAAGAACACCGTAAACCAGAAGAAGTGAAACAAGGGAACTTCATATGTCGATGCGGAAAGCACCGATGAGAAGACAGCCGCGGATCGAGAGAATCAAGCAGAGAAGAAAAAATCAGTAGACGAATATTGGCGGAAAGAGCTCAGTCGAGAGAGAGAGAGAGGGACAGTAGAGAGTGACAATAGAGAAGAATTAGCAAAGTAAAGAGAGACTGGCAAAGGAAGGAGAGACTGGTATAGAGATTTGGTTTGAGCGAGACGAGGAAGATACTTATATGAACAGTCAGGAGTGTCGGAGTATGTGACTGCGACCGTCACGAGTGACTGAACAGTCACAGCCTGGTAGCCCGGGCCCGTAGCCCTGGTGAGAGGTGTAGTAGATCCATGAGCTTGGTACTTGGACATCGTCTCCCACTTTCGGAGTGAGGCGAGGGCTCCTGACATCCGAATCGTCAACCCCAGCCCTCAGGGCGGAGAATTGAAGGAGCGGGAGCTGGAAACTGAAAATCCAAAATTTAGGATCCCAATAAATCACCGCAAAAGATTGGTACACCACGTTTTCTGTCCCTCCCGTCCCAGACTCAAGACTCACTGTAGCTCTCACCTAAAATTACTGGGAACTCAAGGTCTATGTGATTGGACAAACTGCACCACTATTGCGCCTTCACTCAGCCACTGAGGCAAGGAATTAAAAAAAATGAAAAAGTGCCAAAAACACAGCACCTCCGAGCAGAGCCCTGGGGTCTCATGTGTATCAAGGTCTGGATCCTAAACAAACATTTGACAGGCACCATACTCATAGAAGTCAAAGAAGGTTTTGGCCGAACTCCCAGATCACGTTCCCCACCCTAAGCGCCCCAGATATCGTCGATCAGAATAGTCCCTGCACCCTGTCAAGGTAGACAGTGCCGGTCAAATTGAACTGTCCATATCCACTCCGCTGCAGCTCCGACCCAGTGGTTAGTTTTACAAAAACGATATCAAGTTCTGCCGCATATTCAGCGGCATTCGCCCCCTTATGACCTTATCACCGCGCATCAAAAATGCGAAAATAATCAGAGCTGTATGGTACGATCGGGTAATGTGGATCTTACCGGAAATTAATCTCTCACAAAGTGGATATGGCGTTAAACAAATAGGTGACAGGCACTGTACTACTTGGAGACTGAAATCTTCCTATTTCCTCCTCTGAAAGGAGACTCGTCGGGGACATTATTTCTTCATGACGAGGAAATTGCGTATAGTCATATTGACAGCCTGTTCAAATCTCTACGTGAGGTCTTGTTGGATAATGTCGCCGAGAATAAGGTCCTCGTCATTGACATTGATTCATTGGGTATTCAATTGACTGAAGTAAGATCAATGTCGACTGCATACTGTATATACTCCACGTGGGAAATCATCAGTCCGTCTCCCTCATAGAGATTTTGTAAATTCGTGGGGTGAGGATCCTTGACTCCTCGCCACCCCCTGGGCTTCTGTCCCTTTTTTTTTTTTTTTTTGTTTTCATTTCTCCTTATCGTCTTCTTTCTCATTGTTTGTTTTTTTTCCAGTTGAACAATCAGGGCTGAGGCGATACGTACAATGAGTCGTTGAAACAGGGAACAACGGTCCCCACACGGGATGTGACCCAACTACATACAGGTTGTATTCTGTGTTTGTCCTCGGTCACACCGATCTTCTCCCAAAACTCCCATAACTTTCCCCATAACTTTCCCCATAACTTTCACGCGGACCACGCCCCACAAAGCACGGACGAAACGGGCGTCCGAACGAATGGACCGGACTGGCCACAGTTCAGCCAAGGTACATACATCGACGGTGGAGAAACAGACCTTCTCGAAGCCCCAAAGTGCCCCAGTCAGTAAAGACTAAGCCCTATCCGGAAGAACCTAGAATTTCTCCGTGAGACCAGGTCGGATCCATGTCGTGGCCTAACACGGAAAGGCCCCTCACATGACTTGAAGTACCCCGTGAAATACTCTCACCGTCATGTCAATCAGTTCAGACTCCCGAGTCTCCCACAGCTGCGCGTAGTTGACGATGGTCGGCTGGATGTATGTTGATCGACGACGGTTCATGATTGTCCATCCACCCCCCCCCCCCCCCCCCCCCCCCCCCCGGCCCCAATCCTGCCTTCGAGGCTAATGGACCAACCCTCGCGCTCGTTTTAACCCGGAAAAAAAAAAAGACAGTCGGCGGTCTTGCCAAGCTTCCTGCTGCCGGCTGATATGAGGAACGAAGTCCCGGAGGCGCACTGATCTTTCGTTCAACGCAATGGTGCGCAATGCGGCTATGATTTTCAGTCCGAGCCACGGGCAGACGAGAGTACGCTTGAGGATTTCAAGAAGGTTAATATCCTCCCTTCTCTACACTCTGCACTTCCATTGCAATTTACTTGCCTTGCTCGCTGCAGTCATCCACAAAGTCCACGGTGGCCCAGTGACTCTTGAATCTTCATCGGCGTTCTATCCTTGCACCACCAAGAGATTGATCACTCTCGCGCTTGAAGAGGCAGATCCATCGCAGCAAGACATCCTCGTTGCTTTGCTTCTTGACATCGATGCGTACTTGAAAAACAATGGCATTCAATCAAGGGCATTTCTCCGATCGGCAAGACTGTGTCGCGGGTGCTGCGGATGGGCATTCTTTGGCATCTTGGTTGGCAAGCATGCAAGGCTCTTTCTCCCAAGACCAGCATCAAGGCTCTTTCTCCCAAGATCAGCATCGAGACTCCTTCTTCCGAAATCAGCATCGAGACTCCTTCTTCCGAAATCAGCATCGAGACTCCTTCTTCCGAAATCAGCATGTGCCAAACGATTCTTCGGCCCAGGTGACATCCCTGGATCCCAACATGTCTATGAACCCCATGGGTACAGCCGCTGCTCATGGGTGCTCTCAAATTGAGTGGGCTGGGCAGGCTGTACCCGGGAGGCTCATTCCGTCCGTCGATCCATCCCCTCTGGCTGTTAGTAACGCAGCTCAAGGGTGGCCTCTGCAGTTTGACTCTTTCCAGAGGCCCGGTCTTCCGTCAATTCCTACCTTAGGGCCAGTTGTCCGCGGCCTCTGGGTAGGACACGAGCCCGATCCCAGCCCTAGACAAGGCAATCGTCGCAGACCGCGACGGTCAAGGCAGGTGCGGTGAGTTGTTCCCCGTTTGACGTTGGGCACATAAGCATCCCGCTCAGTGCTATCACTGAATTTATTCTGACGCCGTGGCCTCCCTGAGAAATAGTCACCCACCTAATCTTCATTGCCAATGGAGAGACTGCAACCGAAGAACGCCGTTTTGTAATCATGCCGTCCTCGTACGTCATGTCCTGACTCAGCATCTACGGCCTGGCTCGATTCCTTGCCACGTCCAGGATTGTCCTTGGGTCTTCAATCGAGAGGATAATATGTGGGCACACCTTCGGAGCGCACATCGTGAGCGAAGTTCAGGGTCACAGGCTAGAGCCCGACAATCTCCCGAGGTTGGAGCAAGAGCTTAGTCCGAAGCACTTCGACCCTCAACGGCGTGCTTGGGATACCCTGTCTGAACGAAGGCGTCTGGGGATCTCGCAGATAGGAAGATAAAGTATGGCGTGCTGAGGTTTGCTTGTCTCTTCCGTCTTTGGCGTTTAAATGGCTCTAAAATGTCGGAATCTGATTTCCTGTGATCTACTTCTTCAACGTCTTTCATATCATTGGCAGCTTTCTATGTAGGCTCCCCAAGGCACATGGGACATAGTGCATTACATCAAGATCAATCTTAACCGAGAGAGATCTTATAATGAGACATAAACCTTATGGAGCGTTTTGTCCAAGATTGGAATTTCAAGAGAACTTCCGATATCCGAGTACATGAGAGGATAGATACAGAGGGTCGTTATTGACAGGCTATCAGCCTTTGATACCGCTCGGATAGATCTGGAAGACTAAGAAAACAAGACGGATGGGTTTGTAGTGGGATGTATAAGATTCAGAATCTGTCTTTCAAATTGAATCGACACAAGACTGTCTTGCCCTGATAGAGATGGTCACTTTCAACTTCCGCTTTTGAAAAGATCAGTAGGACTCACTCGTACATCTCCATCCATTTTATAAAGATCATCCTTGTAGATTTGCAACGCTACTTTTTGCCACTCACCCAATTTGAAATTACCACTGCTGCCCAATGCCTCCAGCAATTCAGCAAATGGCCCGAAACCCCCTTCCAATCTGCCAGATCGTAGCCGGAGCGAAATCGAGAGTATATATAAGCCGACTATCTCTGATAATCTTGCACAGACTTAGGTACCCTTTTGCTTCAAAACATCCGGTAAAAGAAGTACCTCGCCATTATCAATGGCATGCTGCTGGTAGGTTTGAAGTCCGTACATGTCTATTCCCAGGCTATAGTTCCGGTGATAATATATTCCTCGTCGACGTTTTTCAGTTATCTTTTTTATCCGTATACTTCCAGTAGAAATTAAACGAAACCCTTTGGGACCAAATAGAGTCTCGAAGCTCTTGTGGCGATGAAGTAGCGTTTCACCTTCGAATGCGGGCCATCCAGGCGATACTATCGTCAAAAAAATAATCTCTAGGTATGTGGCAGTTCATTACACCCAATAAGCGCCGTATAGACCTGTAATATTTCAGGTCTCGCAGGATTGAACATCTACGACCTTTTCCAAGAGCCGAGGCTCGCAAAAGGAGCGCAGCAACGTTGATGTCCTCAATAAGATTGGTGGTCTCGTCTTCTTCGACTTTTCTGGCCGCTGGGTTTTGCCGAGCCTCATCCTGTACATATACATCAGTATGGTCCCGATCTGTGATTATGGAGGCTTGAATATACCTCCCACTCTGGACAGGTGTGGTCATCTGGACCCAGATGATCCGTTCACAGATGTCGGGTTCACAGATCTCACTCTCCGCATGTGAGAAAGAGGTTCGATTACAATTGTGGATGTCACATGGCCACATTCTGATCATCAGTCGAGGTGTTGGTGTGATAAATGGTAGTTTTTCTCACTGTCTAGCGGGCTGATAGAACTCATCTTCCCTTTTTTCATCGAGGGGACTAACTAGTCTATGAATTAATGGCGAAACACCAACACTGAATATAAGCACGTCGTCATCTCACACGTGACATCCACGAGGGGCAACCTTTCAAACAGCATGAGCTCGCAGAAACACCGCGTAAGGAGCGAATCAATCAAGCCTGACTTGAATAGGTTAAACTTTGCTCGAAACCATGGATGGACGACCCGTACCCGTTAAGCCACCAGGTACTATCTCGTCCATGGTACAGACGATAAGCTTCGTTCCACCTTAATTAAAGATCCACAGGGCGATCATGGCGATGATCAGCCGGAAATCTTCTCCGACACGGTAAAAAATACCGTTTGTAATACAGGAAAGGAGTGAGACGTTTAGAGTTACACTAGTATTGTGACTTTCCTCAGGTCTTGTTAGCTTCACGCCAAACTCTAAAGAACACGTGGGGCTGCAAGGCACGAACAAAAAAAGGAGACGCCAAAATCTAATCTTGCATGGGAGCACTTGCACTTGGTCTGCCCTTCAGGGATCTTCAATAACCCTGTCATTACGTCATATCGTATTGATTGATGGAAGTCTACATCCCTGCTACGTCACACTCAGAGTTTGTATAGTGAGAACTGGATGTTCGATTCGAGGGTGTACAAGTCAAGTGGATGACAGGGGGAAATATGGACATTAGAAGAAGAGAACGAGGGTGCTGGAGAAGAAAGTCAGACAAAGAGGGCTGTCGGAATCTCTCCTACCCCCCAAAAGGAACCGACCATCTCCGTAGAGAATGTTCAAATGAAGAACATAAAGATGACATTCAAAAGAAATGACATAAAACACCAAGAAAAACCCCCCCGGGTTACCAGGTGAAAGCCTCCTCGGCAAAGTCCACTACTGCCCCCTTGCCAATATTGGCCCGCGCGGCGGACCGCACTTCGTCAGCAAATGCACCGGGGCCACACACGGACACGATCGTCGCGCCGACGCTTTTCGGCATCAACTCCTCCAGAATCACATTTGGTCGACATCGACCCGAGTGCATCTGTACCGTGGCAGAGGGAGAGACGATATCGGCCGCACGCTTGGGTTTTGAAACAAACACTTTGACTATCAAGATTTCACGACGACCCGGTAGCCGCAGAATCTGATCCATCCACTTGCTGATCCAGCTGAGATGCTCCGTAGATCGGACTGACCAAATCAGGTAGACCCGGCGGGTGGCACCACGGGATGTCGCGGCTCGCTCGATTAAATCCCGAGTGAAGAGTAGGTGATGCGTGATTCCTGCACCAGCCGAGAACAGCACAGCTGTACCGTAGCTGGAAAAATTGACAGGATGGGAGCCATAAGGCCCCTCGATGTACCCCGGTGCTCGCAAGATTCCATTGGGCTTGCTGCGGGCCAAATTATACAATTTTCGGGTCATACCCTCCCGGGCACCGACAATGAGTGACACTTCTGTGGGGCGATGACTGGGTTCAAAGTACTGATCCAGGTCGTGGGACTGCTTCTCAAGATCAGAGGTGCTTGGAGTGGTGCTCACCGACTTGACGTCGTGATAGCGAGGAGAATCAGGTGTTGGACTGACGGCCTCGGCCCACGCGATGGAGAAGGGATGCGACATCCACCATGAGACGCAAGGAATGTACGCGAAAACATGGCAGCCGGGTTGAATCTTCACATTCTTAGGCAGATGGAAAGTCACTCGGCATGCTTCTCCCGGGAGAGCTTGAACGGTCATCTGAGTGGACCCATGCTTGGTGGAAATGTTGAGATACGCAAGGCGAACAAGACGCGTAATGCGCTCGAGAAACCAAATGATGGCAATCACGCTGCCCCAGCTGCGTTGAGAAAGGCTGTCGAGCTGAAGATGGTACCAGACGCCGAGGAAGGTGAGAAGTGCCGCAAGTTGATGCAGGTGCAAGAATGTCTCGTAAAATGCATGGCGGATGGGGGAGAGGGATTGAATGCATAGGAAGATCATGGAGACCGTAGCGACTAGGCCCCAAGTGAAGAAGGGAGTACTACGTACACGGAACAACATGTCGTCCATGTCCTTTTCGTTGACTGCATTGATCGCCCAGGCGACCGTATGAACAACTGACTCGACCATCACGATACGACCGAGCCATCGGTGAAGCAGGTTGTAGGTATCGAAACTGATATGCAAGATGGAAATCAAAGGGTTGTTGCGAGTTGCGAGCAGGAAGAGCGGCACCATATTCAAGACAGCCAGTACTCCAGAACGGCCACGAAGTTCAGCGAGCAGCGCAGCTGGTGTGTTGACGGCATAATCCAAGTAGCAGCAGTAGAATACTTGACTCGAGAAGTACAAAACGACCAGGACAAATTGGAAGCGAGACGGCAACGTTCCCACCCCGATCGCCCGTGACAACTGAATTTCTCGGTTATGTCTCTTCCTCCCAATGGGCGAATAGAGAACGTGTTTCTTGATATTCGTCCATAACGCTGACGTCTCTTCTCGCCAATACGCCTGTTGCAAACCAGTTGAGGCGAATGATGAGATTTGACGCAGATAGGCATGAACAAGTTGCGCTATTCGTCCAGAAAAGACAATGAAGGCGAGAATCGCGGCCGAGGAATAGACGATGCGAATGAACAAGATATCACGAGGAACTTGAACACCCCCTAGTCCTCTGGAATATTCATAGATATATGTTTCATTCGATCCGTAGCCGCTGGACGCGTCCTTCGGAGCAGAAGTCGCCATTGGAATTGATTCTGCGTGCGGTAAATCGGCGATGGCAATTGTCGGCGCAAATGAGATCTTGCGATCACGAAGTCAAGGAGTTTGCGTTTGAGCAAAGAAAAATCGGCTAGGGTATAGAGTCGAGATTGCTGACACAAATTCAAGGCTCAGCCTTGAAATTTGTGGAAATGGACTGGCGATGCCGACCTGAAAACAAAATCAAAAATAGCGGTGACCGAAAACTTGTCAGTCTTGTTGGCGTGGCAGAAATAGTAACCAGAAGGTGGAGCTGAGACCAAAACAATGGGTTTCAATCTCGATGGGTTGTGGATGTCGAGGCACAAAGGCATTCACTGTCAAGAAGACAATGATGTTTGTTACCTTTGTGCTCTTGTGCAGTGAAACGAATGTGCTGCGGAGAGGTACGTATGACACGCGAGTGGTTGATCAGCAGGCAGCAGGCCAGTCAACCACGAGAGTCAAACAAGAAAAAATTGAGCAAAATAAGGCAATCGAGTGCGATTCTATGGACTTTTTGAGATGGCCAGAGCGAATTAGCTCAGCTCAAATTTTTGAATGCCTGTTGTGGATCAAAGGCATTGCCCAGTCAATGAGGAATGCTGGACAGGAGGTGCTGCTGTAGTAGATTGACCTGCACACGTTTTCTTCTGTCGGGTAGTGAAGGACTCCACAACAGAATGAGTAGCAAGTGTACAAGAGAGTGAGCGGCAAAGAAGAGTTGATCCAAGATGCGGATCTAAGCAACAGAAGCGAAGGTATTCTATGCGCTCAACGCAGAGATGAAACGGTCTATCTTTCCAGGAAGGGTACCTGCAGGACAATTGGGAAAACCAGTCGATCGGCCTGACAAGAAACGAATGTAGAATTGAGTCGGTGCCAAGAGAAAGAAAATGGAAGGAAAAGGGAGAAAAAAAATAAAGAGTACGACGAAACGAACCGCTGTTCTTCACGCAGAGAGAAGAACTGGCGCCATGGCAGGGGAAAGGGGAGGTTTTATCATTTCTATGCTCATCATAGGTTATGATCTATGGGTATCGGTGGAGTGATGCATAACCCGGCTAGGGGTGCACTGATCACGGTCGGTCAAAGCAGTTCGTCTCAGTGGTGGATTCCACAGGGGAGCACAACGGCTGCACTATCGAATTCGATATTGACGAGCGAGCTCGAGTCATCCACTAGCCCACTAGCCCACTTCACTACTGTCGCGTAGTGGCTGTTGTGATCTTGGAGACTTGGACTCCTCCTGCGTCCTTGGAGCGGGGGCAGGCCCAGTCCTGGATCCGTGGATGGGATGAGCCTCTCGGGTGGACTCCTCTGCTCGGGGTGGATCAGCTACTCTCAGCGTACGAAGGGTCGGCGGAGCCATCGACGTTTCTGAAAGACTCAGGCACCACATGGGCCGCGATCATAATTCGCTGGGCGGCCAAATCGTGCATTGAATACCGCTGGCTTTCCCCCTGCAAAAATCATGCGACCGGCGTGACGCCCTCGAGAGCCCCTCGCCGTACTCATCCCGGCCAAACTAGGGGACTTCGAACATGACTACTGCTTTGAGGGTGCACCATGCGAGCCAGGGAGGGTGTCACAGATGGAGTGGTGGAGACCCTATTCGCGGAAGTCTGCTAGGGACGTCAAGAGGGGCAGGAGGAAAGTTCTGGATGGGCCACCTCATGGGCGAGTCGAAGGCCAAGAATATCTCAAACACTGGCCCTGTGGGTGGGTTTCAAAGCTACTCTTAATTAGAAACAGCGGACAAGAGAGGCTTTGCACAACTCCCCCTGGTGGCGTATCTGTTCTGCATCCCATGGGATGCCATCGATTTTCCATCTAGAGCAAAATGTGCTGTGCATCAGGTCTATCGTCTTGTGAGATGCGACGGAGTTCATTTGAGGATGTAGTAAAGAATAAAGATAAGGTTGTCGTGAGGAGCCGGGGGGTAAAGCGACCCTTGGGACTATGACGGCGGCGGATGAGGCGGTAAGCCACATCGACAGCCTCAGGCAGAAAGGACCGCCCATCGCTCGCCAGCATAAGCGCGATCTCGAAGCACAAGCAGAAGCACGGTCACTTTCAAATGTAGCGACCGACCGGATACGAGAACCCAGTCAGCCAGGATTGATCAAAAAGTGGGTTCGCCAGACGATAGATTTAGGGCCCGAACAAACAACTCCATATGTTCTCTTGTCAAAATGTGAATATTTTAGCCTAACAATATCAGTTTCTACGAGTACCGGGTACATTGGCAGGAGCCGGAGCACGACGCACATGATCCCAAAAATATAAGCGAGCAGGGTGAGCCGTGCGGCGGTTTCATCCCAACTGCCGGATGCTCCACGGACGCCCTGACAAAGCACCGAGTGAGCTTCACGCGGCCTAGAAGTGGAGTGAGCCCTACGAAAAGGAAGCAAGCTGGAGACATGGCGAAGTCTGCCCTCTGCTACATGGGCGCTGACTCGTGCATAACGGCACGACATGCTTGTTTTTTGATTTCTCCACCCAGCATATCCATTAATCCCCGACCTGTGCATGTACATACATATCAACGCTGGTATCGACTGAGCATCCTTCGGGAAGCATGTATGAGAGGAGTATAACCTCCGCTGCCCAGCGTCTCTACTTCAAACCGCTAAAAATGCAAGGGGATGGGAACGGGTGCTATCGTGGGTCCAGACTCAATAGTCGACCCAGTCTACTGCTTTCTTCATTATTAACTTCAGGGATCATGACACTGCTTTTCCTCCACCTTTCACCGGCCCATCCATCCGCCATCGACAGTGATGATTTCACCGGACACATAGCTGCTGGCAGAGCTCGCCAAGAAGACCACCACGCCCTTGAAATCCTCCGGTTGACCCCACCGACCGGCCGGAATTCTGGCCATGATGCCTGCATTTCGGCTCTCGTCGTTGATGAGAGCCGTGTTCATATCCGTCGCAATGTACCCAGGAGCAATGGCATTCACATTGATGCCCTTGGCGATCCACTCATTCGAGAGGGCCTTGGTAAGCTGACCGATGCCACCCTTGGACGCAGCGTAGGCGGGGACGGTGATACCACCCTGGAAGGTCAGGAGAGAGGCAACGTTGATAATTGAGCCTCGGCGACCGGAGGGAAATTCAGAGCCGTCGCGGGACAGCAGGTATGCGCCGAACTCGCGGCACAGAACGAAGACTTGAGAAAGGTTGACTTCGAGGACCTGTTTAGTGGACATAATTAGCATCAGTTCACATGGGCTACAGTACGGTACAACCAAACTTCCGAGGCAGCATCAGAGCTTCTCGTGCTCCCTCCACGATTCAGATCCCGCTGTGAGTAATAATAGATCACCTACCTCGTCCCAATCCTCATCGGGGAATTTCTCGCTGGGATGTCTTCGTTGAATGCCGGCGCAGTTCAGCAGAATGTCCGGCTTGAAGCCCTGGCTCACCACGGCCGGGATGATCTCCTTGACAGCCTTGCGATCGGATAGCTCGGCCACGTGAATGTGCACTTTGCGACCGATACGGTTAGCAACCTCATCCCTGGTTGTGGTGCTGGTCTCATCGCGCTGAACCAGGATGATATCAGCGCCCGCCTCGGCCAGGGCGAGCGCCATGGCCTGACCGATGCCTCGGGTGCCCCCTGTGACGACGGCGGTGCGGCCTTCTAAGGAGAAGAGCGATGATATCGTAGATGACATTGTGTAAAGATGATCGATGGTGATGTTGAACCTCGCAAGATGAAATGCTGTACCAAGATTGATGGATTTATTCTCCTCCAGACGTCGCTCATGATCGTCCTCGAAGGGCTTCCCCACGCGCGGGGGGATGCCAACCTGCGCATAGCCGCGTACTACTGTACTGAATGGACAGATAGGAAGGTTCAATTGCCGACTTCCGTTGCCGCCGGCTGCTCGGCTATTGCCTGCCCCGCGAAGTCAGGTCCTTCCCTGGTTTTTGATCTGCTAAGCACCGTCTCAATAATGCCACCACGCTTCCTATCTGGTTGCGACCGCATGATGTACTGGCGCCTGCGTGCACCGTCTGACTGAGTTGCGAGAGTGGTCAAATTCCGTACTTGAGTGAACAGGATTTCAATTAATGTCAAACATGGTGGCAACTTAAGCCTTTCGGTAGCGGAAGTACCTGAAACAATCGGCCGTGCTTGAACATGAATGATGAGATCGGTGGGCATCATCGTGATACTACAATTGTACGACAATAATCGTAGTAGCCCGGGGGTTGCCGACTTCGATAAAGATAGTTTGTTTCGATGTTTTACTCGCTAGTAGCGTGACGCCAGATTTCGTAGGTGCGACAAGTTCCGAGTCAGGTGCTCAGTTCCCTAAAGCTTCTCCACACCCCAACAAGCTCCAGTCTCGCGAGGCTCCCAGTCCCAGGCCCGGCTTTTCTCCTCCACAGGACCCCCCCCCCCCCCGCGGCCCAGGATCAGTACGTACACTATTATCATCCTCATCCATGATGAGTAATGGCCAGACCCTCGACTCCTCAATTCCCTATCGAAAACACAGTGGGTCTCAGCACTATTGTCGGCCCCTAAACCTGAACATCCCAAATCGGAAAGTAATGTCACATTAATTGCTCAACGGCCCGGTGACAGATGGAGGCCTCAAACGACGAGGTGTCTCGGCGACAGCTCGAGCAAGCTGCTGGGAAGCGTGTCTCGCGTGCTTGTCTGCATTGCAGGCAGCGAAAATCACGATGTGACCTGTAAGGCTTGCCTACCGCCGTTGCGACTCTCGGGGGTCCTCGTCTCGATTGGACAGTTAAAGGATCCCTTGACCTGCATTTGGTGCCGCCCCTTAGAATGATGTCGTTCCTGCATGACGCTGACCTCAAGTGACAGAGATAGCAATGGCAACCCTGGCAAGCCACCATGCCAGAGATGTGTCAGAGAGAATCGCGACTGCGTGCTCGGTGGCTCCAATCGCGGTGGTCGTCGCATTCGTAAGAACAAAATAAAGCACTTCACTCCTGCTTCAGAGTATTCACCCAAAAATGGATCCACGGACGCCGGGACAAGTCCGAATATCCTGAATAGCCTCGGTGCACCGTCGGGGACGTCGTATCCCGGTCCTGTGGTTTTTCTCCCACCGGATCCGTCGGCTGAGGGCTCTACGTCGTCGACGGCAGTAGTGGCTATCGACGGGGACGAGGAAGCTGCTATCGACACTGTACCCCGGAATCCATCTGATGCGTGGCAGTGTTTGACTGATATCGCCACGAAGTCGACCCCAGCCGTCCCTGAAACCCAGATTGGAAATTCTGGTCGATCCGGATCAATCTCAGCTTACCGTGGCACGCGCAGTGGCATCTTGCCTGAGTTCAACACATCAGCCACAGGTATTCGAGCCTATCGACTGGTTCACTCCCGAGCCCTGGACTCGGGCATTGTATGGCAGCTGATCACCCGCTACGCTGAAAATTTCCATCCATATCTTCCCCTGGTGCCTCGGAAATACTTCGAATATGCTGCCCTCGACGACTTCGCCAACAACGAGAAACATCTTTTGACAGCGGTCTTGACCATCGCCTCGAAGGATCTCATTGAACGGCCTGAGATTCACGAATACTGTTCGAAGTACATGCACGAGCTGATCTCCGGCATCGCCGCTGGTGCAGAGTGCGACGTGGAGGCAGTCGAGGCACTGCTACTTCTTGCGGAGTGGGAACCGCAGGGGCTTCGCCCCCGAATTGAGCGAGTCGGCCGAGGCGAAGAAGATCGTGCCGCATGGATGCACGTTGGCCTAGCATTACGCTCGGGCTACTTCATCGGACTGGACAGAACATCGTTTCGAGGTGACCCGCACGGAGACCAGGAATCAGAGGCACGCCGGCGTCTGGCCTGGGCGAGCGCCTATGTTTCTGACCGACTGATCTCTGTACGAATCGGACGTGCGTTCTGGTCGCGTGGCCCTGGACCCATGACCGGTCTGTCGAGTCACGATTTTCCCTCCTTGCAGCCAGTCAAAGAGAGTGACGAGGATTATTCGAAGATTTATCAGGCAATGCTTGACCTGACCCAGCTCTACGGCAATGTGCATGAAGTGCTCTACTCGGGTATGCGCACGAGTAATCAGATGATGTTGATGGGGGATTACGTCAAATATGTTGACGATTTTCGCCTGGCCATTCTGCGATGGAAGTCTCTATGGGGACCATTAGATTGTAAGTTGTAGAATTCTGTTCGTCTTGGAGACATACTGACCTGTGCAGGCTCGCCTCCCATGCGCGCAACGCTTCAGCTGTCATATGAGTACCTGCGTCTTTATACGACTGCATTTGCGTTTCAAGCTGCCATCTCTCAATGCTTAGCAAGGCCCAGAACAGACGGCAGCACGCATCGCGAACGACTCAGGGCGACCTTCAAGAATGTGGCCTCGATGCAGGACTCTCGGTTCATATATGAATCAGTTGATGCTGCGAACGCGTATTTGACAATCCTTGTAGACTCGGTGAACCCAGAAAGACATTTGCATTTCATGCCTCTGCGATTTTATCTGTGGGTACTCCAGCATCCCTGATCAGGACGTACAACTTCTCTGACACGTAGCAGCTACGGTATCTACTCTGCCGTTTTTCTTTACAAAGTAAGCTTCGCCGTTCCCTGCGCAACAAGCTCCAAATTTTCAACTTTTATCTCTGACAGTCCATCACAGGCTCGTTCTTTTGGAATGATGCTTCCATCTGAGGAAGCCAAAGTCCAAGGTCTTGTGGCTCGAACCACCGAGGTTCTCAAACGTGCAAGTGCAGGCCCAGACGACATCGGAGCGCGCTATTCTCGTCTGCTTGAGCTTCTCTGGCGACCGAAGACTCAACCTGCGACAAGTCAATCAGCAGAGCCACGTGGATCGACTGATTTTCAATTGCAATCCGCACTCTCGAATCCGGTCTCGGATTCCACATACATGGACTTTAGCCCAGCACATGATTTCTCGTGGCTAGATCTGGAAGCTGTGGGTGATTACGTCTCTGGTGATCAAACACCAGGTGGACTGCTCGGCCTTGATGTATTCCAGAATGAGGCCATTCCATATCAGGGTGGCCAAGACCGCTCACAGTTCTGGCAATCATCTGCGTGGATGGGTGACATGAGCAGCAATCTACTCTTTTAGTTTAGTCTGGAACCCCGGACGGTATCCGTGAGGGGTGCGATCCAAAGTCTAGCGGCAAATAAATCATGCGGGGGCGGTGGTGTGGGGGTTCCGATCGGAGACAAGGCCGATTGTCGCATGAGGGGTACTCGGGGCTGTCGCAATTGAATTGGAAACGAGACAGTCAGACTTTTCCTGGGCGAGGATAACTCTACCCGATCTCTCTCTTGGAGGAATACCGTCGCTTGCCCTCGTCAGCAGAAAATGTCTATCAACGATTTACGTGGCCGTTTGGCGCTCATCACTGGTGCATCAGGAGGGTAAGTCAATCACCCTTCCAAGGTTACTAAACGAGGTCGATGAACTAACATTAGATACGGTCTCTCAGCATCGGATCGGCTTGTGCAGATCAGCTTGCACAGCATGGTGTTCATCTGGCATTGACTTATTCCAGCAATCTCGAGGCCATGAACAGAATCGTCGAAGAACTGAAAACAAAACATGCGGAGCACCAGCTCCGCATCTCCGTCCACCAAGTCGATGTTGGCTCGGCTGAACAGATTGAGGCCTTGTTCCAACAGATCGAACGCGAGCATGAGCAGCGACCAGATATTCTTGTTTCTAACGCTGGCTACGGTAAACGCTTTCCCAACGTGTGGGACATCACTCTGGAGGAATTTGATTATACACTCAATATCAATCTCCGTGCTTCATTCATACTCGTCAAAGGGGTGGTTGAGCACATGAAGGCTCAGCGCTGGGGTCGCATCGTGTTCATGTCCTCAATTGCCGCACAGGGTGGAGGTATCAATGGATGTCGTAAGTCTTCGCCCCCGATCAGTCCCATCGAGAGTGACAAGCACCGCAACAGAGGAACAAGCCAAGACTAAAGGGACATTGATCTTACAGACTATGCCGCCTCCAAAGGTGGTCTGACGGGGATGATGAAAAACTTGTCCACGCGCCTCGCCGAATATAACATCAGCGTCAATGATGTAGCCCCGGCCATGATCGGTGACACGGGCATGATTCCGAATGCGAATGCAATTCCCGAGGTCGCCGCTGGCATTCCGTTGAAAAGGCTGGGTACACCGGAGGAGACAGCGAATGTGGTGACGATGCTCTGTAAGACTGGCTACATGACCGGTCAAAGTCTGCTGCTGGCTGGGGGGTTGAAATGATGGTACAAAGTCGCGATAAGGTTGCTGTGTTTGTTGCATCATCTGTCCGAGGGAAGGAATTAATTATGGAAAGGGATGATGCCATTTGTGTACTGCAGATCACCAGGGATGGCATATTGACCACTGTCGACGGATACAATGCCGAGTTGGTTGTGTCGAGAGCAAATAAAACCAAATCATGTACACATATTTCTCGTCAAGTTCTTCATCAAAAAGATCTTTCCCACCGGGTATTCTTCACACAATCCTCACCGTCGTTATCGTCATCGCTATCTTAGATAATACTATTTCAACTCCATTTTGACCTCCCTGTTAGACCTTATTCTCAATGACCACCTTCACAACGGGCCTCCCGTCTTCGTCCACACCCTTTCCAGCGAGAATGAATGCGCGCTCACCCTCCTCCAACGGCAACCGGTGTGTGACGACCTTTTCCTCGGTGGTCTTCAGCTTGCCACTCCCCAACAGGCTAATAGCAGCCGGATACGCATAGCCATCGTAGCGGAACACGCCGATAATATCAACCTCGCGCAGAGCAGCCGCACCCACAGGCAACGTCTGGATGGGATTACCCATGCCAATCTGGACAAGCACACCACCGGGCTCGGATGCATAGATACCCGCCTGGACACAGGCCGGGACACCCGTGCAGTCATAGACACGGCTGAAGCCTGATACGGGTGGCATACCGTCCTTTTGTGCTGCTTGCACCAAAGAAGCGGCAACACCCTGTGCATTCGTCAATGCCCAGGCAATCTGTTCGGCGTGGGGCGCGTCCTTGGGAGGTGGGGCGGGGCTGGAGGGGTCTGCGCGGGGGATGAGCGCTGTCTTGAGCCCCAGACCCAGCGAGGCTGCAATTTCCAGTCGTGAAGCGTCAATGTCGGCTACCACGATTGACTCGAAGTTCTCTGAGACGGCCAGCGCCGAAGCAACCAAGAGACCGATGGCGCCAGCACCAAACACCAGTGCCGCAGTACCTTCGCCTGCGGCGTTCGATAGGGCTACCTCCTCCTTTGTCGGTGGATGAGAGCGACGGATCGCGTGAAGGCAGACAGCCAGCGGTTCGACGAGGGCACCGCCCGCATCGGACACAGTATCGGGCAAAGCGTGACACATGGCGGCGGGGTGATTGGTACGTGCCATGAGCGTTCCATCGAGGTGAGGGAAGGTCTTTGCACTGCTACGGAAGCGCATCTTCTTGCAGATGTTGTATCGGCCGTTCTTGCAAAAGGCACATTGTCGACAGGGCAGGCCTACTTCAAGGGCAACTCGGTCGCCAACCTTGAAGCCGGCCCCTACTTCGGGCCCGACGGCGGTGACTACGCCGGCGGATTCGTGGCCCAGACACATGGGCTCGCGGACGACAAAGTCGCCATTGCGGCCGTGGGAGTAGTAGTGTAGATCGGAGCCACAGAGACCTGTGGCGGTCACGGCAACTTGGAGATCTGCGCCGGTTGGAGCTGGGACAGTGCGTGTTTCCTGGTACAGTCGCTTGTTAATGTCGGGTGATTGACTGCAATTGGAATTCCAGAAGGGAAGCTTACCAGACGCAGATCCTTTGCGCCGTGCAAGACAAGCGCAGTTGCTGATGTTTCTGTTGACATGACGAACGGCAGATTCAATCTTATGCGTGGAGGACGAAAAATGTGTGGGAGGGACGACCACAAATGAGTTTTATTTTATTGTTGTCACCAGAAGCACTCAGACTCGTTACGGCATCTGACTCGGCAACATCACTACTGGCAGTCAATCAGTCAAGTTTAGTAGTCTACTGCTGACCTGGCCATTTGGGTCACTCGCCAGTCACGAGTGTGGAGTTTCATCGGTCGATACCATCATTTGCATCAACCCGCGCAAGCGGAGAACCCCATCGCGGGGCATCTCGGCGTTTGATTCCAGATGGACGACTGGGCCACGGTCAAAGAGGAAATCTTCAGTTGCCGAAGTTGCCCCTCGGCTGCTTCCAAACGCCGGGGGTCAACCCCCACGTTGACCCCCGTGGGGGGGAGGTCACGCTTGTCAACAGTAGTGGGGGGTTGTTTATGGTTCCTTTTGGAAGATGTTCCAGACCTCCTAGGAGATAGAGTTGAATCTTCAGAGGACTAGTTTTGACAGTGTCCTCGGATTCAGAATCATTTGAGCTCTTACAGACTCTGATGTTAACTTCGTCAGTGGCCGAGGACTATCAAGCAAGAGGCAACAGTCGTACCTACAGACCATGTCAATAAGACTGCCTTCCAAGATATTGAATACCCGATGAATGAACCTGGCAAATACCAGAAGCCCCGGGTCCCCGCTCTAATCCCACCGAATGACCACATCTCCATGTCTTGTTAGCGCGCGGGGGATCCGCTCAAGCTTTGATCGCGGAATTCAGTTGCTGGTTATCGGTAAAGCTTTCTTTTTCTTTTGTCCTCTTCTCGCTGGAATTTATATTCCATATATAAGTGCACATGTCTGCCTCTCGTGCCTCCGCTCGTCTTTCCTTGTTGGAATCCGCTATCTCTCCTAGGTCTCCCTCCGACCAAACACTATCCTCTATCGTCGTAGGTGCCACGTTACATTCACGGCCTTCCGTCCCATAGCTAATACATCGGCCTTACAGAAATCTTCCAATATGATTGCTTCACAATCTGCGCTCCTCATCGGAGGCATTACTCACGCGCGCCCGGAGTGGGAGGCTCTCTCCTCTATTCTCACCTTAAAAGTAAATTGGAGGCACCTATTCCTCCGCGAGATTGCAAAGTTGCGAACCTGACAAGCTTACATGAACCATGACGCAGGAATTTCCCAGCGGCACTCGTCAAGAATTTATCGAGAATTGCAAAGCGGGTCATTATGACGATGTCGTGGCCATCTACCGTTCAAACACATCTAACAAGGTGAGGACTGAACATGTGGACCCAAGGCCACTGAGTTGCATACAAGATAGAGAGCACAGGCTAACAGTACGCTACTCATGATGATAGTTTACTGGCAACTTTGACGCAGAGCTGCTTTCAATCCTACCCAAGTCAATTCGCTATATTTGCCACAATGGCGCCGGATATGATAACATCGACGTTCCCGCGTGCACGCGGAGAAACATTGCCGTCTCAAGTACACCCGTGGCTGTGAATAATGCAACAGCAGATCTGGGGATTTTCTTGATGATCGGGGCTTTGCGCCAGGCATATGTGCCCATTACTGCTATCCGCGAAGGTACGTCGTTCACGCATTGGGCCTGGAATCGTTGCTCCTTCTCCCACAAAAGTCATCTTGTACTTATTTTACCTTCCTCTCCGTACTAGGCAAATGGCATGGACAAACCACCACCGGCCATGATCCCCAGGGCAAAATCCTCGGAATCCTTGGCATGGGAGGTATTGGACGAGTAAGTCGGAGCCAATCACCTTCGAACTTATAGATGTCACAATCACTGACCCGAATTCACAGGAAATGGCCAGCCGAGCCAAGGCCTTTGGCATGAAAATTCAATATCACAACCGCTCACGACTTCCTGCCGACCTGGAAGCCGGCGCTACCTATGTATCCTTGGACGAGCTTCTCGCCAATTCGGATGTCCTGAGTCTCAACCTGGCCTTGAATGCGTCAACACGTCACATCATTGGAGCACCTGAGTTTGGTAAAATGAAGGATGGTGTTGTGGTTGTTAATACCGCCCGCGGCGCCCTGATTGATGAGGATGCGCTTGTTACTGCCCTGGATTCTGGCAAGGTAAGTAACACACCCTCACAGCCGGGAAACGCTGAGAATTGAGTCTTGAGTATTTCTAACAATTCATAATTTCACAGGTACGCTCTGCCGGGTTGGATGTATACGAAGAAGAGCCCAAAGTTCATCCAGGTCTGTTGAGCAACCCCCGGGTCATGCTGCTCCCGCACATTGGTACAAATACCTTTGAGACGCAAAAGGAGATGGAGATTCTGGTTCTGAATAATCTCAAGTCTGCGGTGGAGAAGGGAGAGTTGATTACACAGGTTCCGGAACAGAAGAAGTGAAGCTTTCTTGAGTGGTGTACTTTGAAATCTATGCATGATTCATGGGGATTTAGGTGGGTCGCATATTTAGACAGGTTTGGATATACACACGTTCGAATTTCTTGTGAAATCACATGCTTTTGCCATGACTGGGTTGTCTACATGGCCAAGTTAGTAACAATAGCGGCAAGTAGTAGAAGATTCTTCCTTATTTGCCAAAAGCCTGGAACTATTGAAAATGGACAGTCGTTGTGAAAAGCAGTAAATCCATCCATGGATATCAAGGATAGAGGATAAATGAAGGTCGAGTGGACAAGAGAGGCCAGTAGGCTCTCGAATTACACACGAGGCCAATTTCTCGGACAAAGCAAGTCGGATACTTCAACAAACCTAATGTTGTAACAAGAAGGATTGGGTCTACCATAACGAACATCTCAGCCCACATTTCGCTGTCAGGATCATACGCAATTAGTCAACTCATTGTGCATGACACATTAAACAAATATGCCTCAGACGGATCTAAATCCGAGTCCCTTGGGGATTAGATCAATCAAACGCGATGCATCGGCTATCGTTGCCTGAGGCATGATATTCGAAACGGCGGAGCTAAGGTTCCCTACCGCTGGGGCACGTGACAGTCACTTACATAATTCTCCACCAAAGGCGGCTAGCGTTAGGGTTCGCTTAGGGCCAGAGTGCCAAGAGCGAAAAAAACCGCACCACAGTTGGACACTAGCGCTAGCCGGTCGACGACGAAAAGCGACAACATCCATTCGACTCCCGAGGACCATCCCCTTAACCTCGCCAACTCCTTCAAGATGGTGAGTGCTACCCCCATGCCCATCGTCAGAAACCCATTGAAATGGCATCGACTATTCCCGTTCTTGAATTGCCATACGGACATCCTCAAAAAGAAGCCCGAAAGCGCTATCCCTTCAAAATCAACTCGAACATGAAGATGCGCCGATCACCGCTGTCATACAACTTTTGGATCCTCATCGACACACCATGATTGCTGACGACCGTCTTCTTTTCTCGCTCTACAGGTCCGTTACGCCGCCCAGGAGATTCCGAATGCCAAGAGCGCCCGCGCGCGCGGGCTCTTACCTGCGTGTCAGCTTCAAGAACACCCGTGAGACTGCTCAGGCTATCAACGGCATGAAGTTGCAGAAGGCCTTGACCTACCTCGACAACGTCACCAAGAAGTCCATGGCTGTTCCCATGCGCCGCTACGCTGGCTCCACTGGCCGCACCGCCCAGGGTGAGTGACTCGAGAAAATTTCATTCGAAGCGCCCACACTACGGGAAATCAAATTGAGCGGCAATGGTGTCAAGGGACGGTATGAAAGGGATTGTTTTGCTGCGTATCCATGGCTGGAGGCTTGGAGAAAAAGAGTTTGGAGTTGCGACTGGATGTTTCTGCGGTGGAAAGTCGAAAAGGGATGCTGGAGGATTGGCTGGGATTTTGACACCGCTGTCGCTCAAAGACTTCTCGTTGTGGACGTATTGACCGGTGGAGATCTGCGACTAACGAAACCACCACTTCAGGCAAGCAGTTCGGTGTCTCCAAGGCCCGCTGGCCCGTCAAGTCCGCCGAGTTCCTGATCGACCTCCTCAAGAACGCCGAGGCCAACGCTGATATCAAGGGTCTCGACACCAGCGCCCTGGTTGTCAAGCGCATCCAGGTTAACCAGGCTCCCAAGGGCCGCCGCCGCACTTACCGTGCTCACGGTCGTGTACGTTTTTCCCCGTTCGATACTCGAGCCACGAGATTCTCCACGAGGCAGTCAACTAACGTTTCTCATCTCTAGATCAACCCCTACATGACCAACCCCTGCCACATCGAGCTCATCCTCACCGAGGCCAACGAGGAGGTCGCCAAGGCCCCCGAGTCCTCCCTCAAGGCCACTCGTCTCTCTTCCCGCCAGCGCGGCTCTCAGCTCCGCCGTGCTCTCACCGAGGCATAAATTTATTGCCGAACATAATGGGAGCAAGGTAGAGGAGATGACTTGGTGGAAAAAGGATTTTGCGGTGGATCGGATTGACCGGAGTTGTTGCGCATCTGTATGTTGGAACGGAAAATGATACCGGATCATACAAGATTATTTTTTTTTCTACGGTCATGGCACCCAGGACCCCGGAGGAGAACCAAAATTAAAAAAGTTCAAACAGCGGCGCTCCGGATCAACGGATATCATGAACCTTGTGTACCTTCCGGTCCGATCATGATTATCAACCTTGGTTCTTCTTCATTGAATTGGTGTTGCTGTCCCTTTTTATGTCTGGGTGCTCGGGAGCGCCGCGAGATCGGCCTTGGAGGTTCAATCCGTTGTAGGACTGTAGCTTGGGAGATGTGCCATGGCCAGATGGACTGGTTCCGTTCATCGACAGTGTCCAAGGATTCGCAATGATTCTGGAATCGTTCGATCCATCCACTTATCCAAATTTATCATGTTTCACGATCTAGACGGCGTTTCTTCATATTTGTGTTCTCCGACTGAGTGGTAATATTTGGACCAGAATGATCGCTGTCTAGTTCGATTGGCGTCGGCTGGCTTGGTGCTCTTTTCAACTGCCGCTGATCTACGCAGGTCAAGGTCTAAACTACCCTGAATCTCTGGAATCGTAGTAAGCCTACTGCTGACTTTTACAGTGCCTACGCGGCTATTGTCCTCATGGTCTTGGTCTTCTGCCAAGGGATCCTGTCAGTCAACCAAAGGCTATCTATCCATGACGGAGACCAGCCCATTTCGGGTACAGCATTAACCATAAAGTATTACAACTCGAATCCAAGCCCGGCTCGAGTAAATAGAGTCATGTGCACAGTGATATGTTCACTCAACGTCCTTTCCAGACGAAGGAAAGACTTGCAGCGTGTTGTAAGAAAGTGATGATCAACACCGGCTAAATCTGTTGTGTCTCTATCCGGCAAATAAGCATCGGGCACCCAATGCGGCTACATTGAGGGGATGATCGGCCGGTTTGGCACGCCCAGTGCAATGAGATGAGGATATAAATCGGTATATATAGTAGACAGTGAGCTCTTCGTTGGAACTCAAAATACGTGCAGGACTATCAGACTCGTATACCTACCTAAAGCGCCATCCTTGAAACTTTAGACTGCGCTTTGAGCCACCAGACCATCTACGGAGGATATACTTGCCAGGTAGGCGCTAGCCGGGAGTCCTTTTGACATGTACCTAGCACGTAAAGCGTTGCGCTAGGATTCACGCTCACGCTGTTTCCTTCATTTACAGAGTCAACTGGATTCAACTGCACAGCTCCCAGCTCTCACCAAGATGTCGCGGCTCGCCGACTATCGACTCCTCTGCTTCGACGTCTACGGCACGCTCATCGACTGGGAGACGGGCCTCCTCGCCGCACTCCAACCCCTCCTCACAAATAAGGGAAGCCATGACGACGACACCTTTTCCCGCGCACATCTTCTCGCCATCTACCAAGAGCTGGAAAGCGAGCAGCAACGCCTCACCCCGGACATGCCGTACCCCGACCTCCTCGCCACCATCCATCCCCAACTCGCAGCTCGACTAGACCTCCCTGCCCCCAGCGAAACCGACAACCAGCGCTTCGGCGAATCCATCGGTACTTGGCCCGCCTTCCCCGATACCGTGGACGCGCTGCACCGGCTCTCCCAGCACTTCAAGCTGGTGGTGCTGTCGAACGTCGACCGGGCGTCCTTTGCGCGTTCCAATGCAGGCAGTCTGCGGGGGTTCCGCTTTGATCGGATCATCACGGCGCAGGATGTGGGATCGTATAAACCGGACTTGCGCAATTTCGAGTACATGAAGGTGACGGTGGAGAGAGAGTTTGGGGTGAAAGCAGGGGAGATTTTACAGACGGCGCAGTCGCAGTTTCACGATCATCGGCCGGCGAGGGAGGTGGGGATTCGGTCGGTTTGGATTGAGAGGCCGGGGGCAACGATGGGAAATTGTTCCACAGAGGAGGCGATCTTTGATTGGCGATTCGAGACCTTGGGCGATATGGCGGATGCCTTGACTCGCGACGAGTGACTTTCAATTGAATGGCATGTGAGACGGGATCGGTGGATGAAAGCGAGCGAAGAGAATATTGTTGCTGCCTACTAAGGTACGTATAGGGTGCATATCCGGTGCCTAGAATATACCTCAAGATTGGACCATTCGATCAGTCACTCGATAAGAGAAAGCCTAGTCAGGTAGCACCCATTCTTGCTTGGTGTGCATTGACGCAAATTGGAGCATGATATCAATCCTATTCTCCATAGTATCATTCAGTGTCTCTTGTTGTTCGTTCTGAATATTTACAATACATCGAGTCGGTGTGAATCTACTCGCATAGAGTATTGCTTGACATTGGATGGCGAGTATGTGGAGACCGGCGGAGGCTTAGCGGATGGTGTAAACTTCGTCTCAGCCACAACGTATTCGTCGATCGGCTTACTGGGTGTGTCTTGACGTGGTCCTCATTGGGCCGAGAATTTTGACCCTGGGTGAGTTTAAACCTTCGGTCGGTATGCATATCGAACTCTTCTCCGCAGTCATATAGTATGACTACCTATATGCACTACTCTGTATAACAAGTACTATGAGATGACGATGCTACACCACCAACCCTACCTAGTTCGCCAAGACCTCAAGAGGTTATACGGTCACTCCTATCAATTCTCCCATCAATAGCTTCGATGAACCTGTGGGGCATTGGGATGGGTTGAAAATGGCAGTGGTGGTTCCGTTGGCTCACAATATCCATCCATACTGTATGTACATTAATGATTGATGACACTATCGTACTACTTGCACCACTCAAGTCACAGGACCCAAGTACTCGATCCACGTGATAGATCGCCCACATGAAATCGCTGGACTTCGATTTGCTGTCTCCGACCATCAAGAGGTTGACGCCTGCGGTCGTCGCAAGCGCATAGCATGTTGAAGATCGCTTTACTCATCATGAAATCGATCGATGAGCGCCATCAAGGCACAGACTGTACGTGTCCCTCGCCGTCCGAGGAGGCAAATTCTGGCCGGAGATACGTAGGCGCATCAAACGCCAAGACGTGACAATCTTCAACCACGGACCAACTATACCCTCGAGAACAGTCGGGAAAAGAAAGTCAAAGAGGAGGCTGACGTCGACTGACTTTGATGGCTTGGTAATGTGACTGCCTTTAATTCCTCCCCCTCGAGCTGACGGGTTATTTGATCAGAACGACCGCCGTCTGACTACGTCGCTGACTCTGCCCAATTTTGAGTCTGGTGTACTCACGAGTCACTTCTCCGTCCGCGTCCAATAGTCTGGATCCCCCGTCACTTTGTTGCGCTTGGGCGGCAGACGTCTCCCTGTACGGCACGCTAATCACCCTCTGGGACTGGCTCTTCGGCTTCCCCCTGATCCTCCAGTGCTGTGTTGACCTCCATTCCTCAACCTCATCCGAGCTTTTGGCGTCGATTGTACTTACCAAAGGCATACCGCAACCATGCCGGCCATGAAGGGGTTTTTGCGCTCCTTCAGCAGCAGTAGTCGCCGATCCAGTACCGTCCCCTCATTGCCCCTTGAGCTTCCCGTCACCCCTATTGTGTCTTCCCCCCGCAACCCGAGTCAAGACAACACAGTGCTGATCTACACATCAGGTCCCGGCGTGGAAAGCGAGCAGGACTCTCACGATGATACCCCAGAGACACTTCTACTGCGAGAAATGGTACAAGCCCAATGCTTCATTTGACCACATCTTTCCCCTCGCGTCCGAGACTAATAGCGCAAAATTTCCCACTGTAGAAAGCATTTTGCGAATCCAACACCACCCCACATAGCCAGAGTCAGGTACGCCGCCTCTTGAAACTCGCCGCGCGCCCGTCCATTCCGACTCTTCCCCATAGGAACTCGCAGATCTCGCTGACGACAGATGGCATCGGTCGCCGTCACCTCCAAGTAGCAGGGGAATGAATACGTCCATCTACCTCGGATCGTTGAGATCGCCGAGTCCAGTCCGACAGCGGCCCGGGAAGCCGCCCAACGGATTCGCAAATACCTCTCGACACCGAACAGCACTCCAACTCACGTTCAATTTAATGCCCTCATGCTGATGCGCATCCTGGGGGATAACCCTGGTCACAGCTTCACCATCAACTTCGACGAGAAGTTCTGTAACGTGATCAAAGACCAGCTTCGCAATGGCCGTGACTGGTACGTGCGGCACTACTTGTGCGAGTACCTTGCGCACCTTGAGGCGACGCGGTACCAGGACGACGATCTTCAAATGCTGCTGCAGGTTTGGGCCAAGATCAAGGCGAAGTCACCAAGGGAATTTGTGAGTGTGGATTGTCGTCCCGGCCATTTTGCAACTGCGAAAGGGCAACGGAAATCACAGAAAACGGGCCAAATGGGAACTGATACCGGGTGAAAAATTTAGGTCCAGCGATATACTGTTCCACCGGGGACGCAGGTCACAAATTTCTCCGCCCAGTATCAAGCGGGGCAGCCTATGCGCTTGCCAAGGCCCTCGAGAACTCTACCCAACCCCGGTGAACTCGCGGCACGCATCGAAGAAGCACGGAACTCGGCGAAGCTGCTGATACAGTTCGTCCAGACTACTCCCCGGCCGAGCTGGATGGAAATGAATTGATCAAAGAATTCATTGAACGATGTCAATCATCCGCACGTACCCTGCAGAGATACATACATTCCACCAATCCAGCTCCTGACGAGGACACCCTTTTGACTTTGATCGAAACCAACGACGAGATTTCCGTCGCCTTGTCACGGCAGCAGCGTGCTATGTTGAAAGCGCGTAAAGCTCGAGGCACGTCTAGCCCAACCCCCAATCCCAGTAGCCCAATTTCACTGGGAAGCGATGGCATGGCGTCGGGTGGCCTAGGCGGAACGTCGACGTTTATACCCGTTGGGTCTGCGTCCAAGGGGCCGACATCAGAGCTCCAGTCCATGCCGTCAATATCGAGATGTCTCGAGGATCAATCCTCGCCCAGGGTCGAGCTCCCCGCCGCAGTGTCCGCCAGTCACTCGACCGCGAGAAGTCGAAAAGCCGTGCAGTACGAGTGGAACTCGGCCGATTTTGAGGTCCAAAATCCATTTGCAGATGAAAATGCCGCGAGTGACTCGGATGCGGAAAGACGTCATCCACAGGCGACTGCTGCGGCCTCTGCCACGAGCGAAGGGCGAGTCCAGGCCCCGCTTACGGAGCAGAAACGTTGACGAATGGATTGGTCGACGGTAAAGAGATGAAGACCGAAGGTTTACAAGTGAAAAGATACCCTAAAGCGAACTGAAACTCTGTTCTGTTGACATGTACGCCATCGACTGTGGCTCGGGTCTGTTCCAGATGCCTTATTGGGGGTCTTGAAGGGCCTGATCCCCCAGGTGTTATTAAACAACCATATTATCCGTTGTCTTCCACCGTATACTCTGCACCTCTACAGTAACTCACCCCCATCTAGTAATCTAGTAATCTACTGCTGTAGTGTACGGTACACTGTACGCTCTTCACTCGTTGTATTGATGAGATGTCCACTTGGAGGATCGTAAATTTGGACTGAAGAGTGCCCGTCAACCGTACAACTCACAAGTTTCGAAGCCTGCAAAAGGGTTGGGACTCGAACACCAATCGTGAACGATCTGCGCTATCTAAACGACTTGGGATGCCCAGGGACTACAGGAAAGGAAGGATGTCTGATGGGTTTGACTCTCCGTTCTGCATGCTTCCGTTCTATCGTGGACATTGTGAATTGAGCTAACGCGCATCGGTGAGCATTGGGTCTGTTTCGCAGTGGTCCCCTTCGGGACCGCTGAGGAGGTTCTCTGTTTCATCCAGAAACCCCACCCTCAGATGTCAGTTCTTTGCAACTCGGAACAAAGCTCGACGACTCTCGAAGCTGTGGAAAATGAAGGCATGTAAGAATCCCGCAGAGGTTTCCTCCACCTGACTGGGGCGCGATACGAATTATCCAGGGTCTTTTGGGGTAGGAACTGTCGGTCTGATATTGCGCAGCCGCACATTGATGTTTTGGAGCAAGCATCATGACAGGATCCACTGTCACTGCCACTTGATCGATATTAACATGGTCTGACGAGTCTCCCAGAGTCTGCTCCTCTCTTGTGTGCTTCTGAACTTTCTGGGCTTACAGCGACCGGCAAATATTATCCGTCAATCATCCTTTTCCACCGAGGACTATCTTGCCCCTGCCGGCGCTGCCATCAACCTGAAACTATCCGCGTCTTAGTTCGGCGCGTGGATCCGGTCTTGGCGCCGAAGTCAAGGTAAAAGTGGGCTTGCCTTTAGCTTCATCCGTCGACCACCGATGACAGGTTCGCATTTTCTTCCGATGAATCGGCTGGCAGGGTCTACTTCAACAAAGTCGAACGTCTCCTGCGTCCAAAGCTTGGTCTAGCCACCGCCCTCACATGTCCGGTCAGTTCAAGGGCTTGTCAAGGTAGCCCCCTCGAATCCTGGCCCGTGTCGGACTGTGGATTTAGTGTTTCAGAGAAACGTTAGATTCATTTACTGGTGTATGATGAGGTAGGAGGACTACTGGCTTTGGAATTCGACCGAGGATGAGCGGCTCTCACCCGGAGGTGAAGTCAGGAGGATGTTGTGGGTTGGATCGTCGTTTGTGGTTGATTGAGGACGCATATCAGTCATGTCCTCCACTCCCCGTACGATGATGCTGTTCGGGCCGTAAAAGGGTTGATCCAAGCATATAAGATCAAGGCTCGGCGCCCGGTCTGGTGGTGGTGATTCTTCTTTTTCATTGATCCATCAAGCTTTCTTGTCTCCCTCTTAACCTTCATACATTCTTTTCCTCCGGTCCGAGACCGTGCAGCATCTACGTGCTATCCATTCACTTTTCAACTCAACAAAAGTCGATACTGGTTTATCGATCTTTCCCTTCATTCTCTTGTCTTTCTATCAAACCTTTTACTTGACTTCCATCGGATCAACACTTTTGGTTCTCAAAAGTCACACTCACACAAAATGAAGAGCTTCGCTGCCACCACTGCTGCCCTTGCGGCCCTTCTTCCTCTGGTTCACGGCCACGGCTTCGTCACTAGCCCTCAGCCCCGTATGCCCGGTCCTGCCATGAAGGCTGCCTGCGGTAACCAGGTCGAGATCAACCAGCAGTCCGACAACTATGGCAACATCCAGGGTGAACTGCAGGTCGCCGCCACCCAGAACGACTACAACGCTGCCGAGTGTGACATCTGGCTGTGCAAGGGTTACAAGTTCGATGACAACAAGGACAACGTTTTCTCCTACAAGGCCGGCCAGACCATCGACTTCGGTGTTGACATCCGCGCCCCTCACACCGGTGTTGCCAACGTCTCCGTTGTCGACACTGCCAGCAACTCTGTGATCGGTCAGCCTTTGATCTCCTGGGACGTGTACGCCTCTACCGCCACTGGTGTCAAGCCCGACGAGACCAGCTTCAAGGTCACCCTCCCCACTGATCTGCCCTCCAAGTGTGCCACCGCGGGTAACTGTGTTCTCCAGTGGTACTGGTACGCCCAGTCCATTGACCAGACCTATGAGTCCTGCATTGACTTCACCGTCGGCGGTGGCTCTGCCTCTGGCTCCGGCTCCAGCTCCTCCGGCTCGACCACCTCCATGCCCGCTACCGCAAAGACCACCACCGCTGCTGTCCAGTCTTCTTCGGCTTCCGTTCAGCCTCTGACCACTCTTGCCACCCAGGCTCGTCAGGGTACCACCCCTACCCAGGCTGCTGGCTCCAACAGCGGTTCCTCTTCCTCCTCTAACGGTGCTGGCACCGCTGCCAGTGGCATCCCCACTGGCTCTGCTCAGGACACCCTCGAATACGTCCGTGCTGTCTTCCAGTACCTTGCCGGTAACTAAGTAGCTTGAGTGGACTGAGGCTCCGCTGGATCTGACAAGTTCCGATGTGGATCGATCTCTTCTGCCTGGAAGATTTGCATGTCCACTGGCTCAATGGAGGGCCACAGGCGATTACTTCGTTGAGAGCTTACCTATAGACTTTCAATTTCAAATCGAATCAAAGTGAGATTAACTTTATGCAACCGTTTTCCCAGAAAAAGAGAAAAGAAACTAGATAGAACCTTTCTTGCACTGTCTCCACCGCAGATTCCTGAGACTGCTCGCAGACAGCCATTATACCAAGCCCAACTGTAAAAGTATCAATAACAGCCGTGCTATCAATCCAACTCCCATGTGATGAAATGCCGCCACCTACGGTACTAAGCCCTCACAAGAATGTCCAGCACTCGCGTAGGTCGAATCAATGGTACATTTCCTTTTCCAACACTGGAGGAAATTACTGGGCGGAGGATCTCGCATTGTAGCTCGATGAGGCTCTGTGCTCATAGGCTAGGTCAATTCACTTATATGAGTTCAAAGCTAGTCTATGGGTTTCAATTGAGGCATTTTTGGAGGTGTGCCACTTGTAATCTCACCTTGGCTTATTTCGCGGAGAATGTACCTCCAACAAACTGGCCTCGTACCAGTACAGCCTTTGGCACGTTGACGCCACACTTGCCATGGAAATCCACGCCAGAGGTGCGTGTCAATAGCAGCTGCTCGGTACTGGCCTGCTTTTGCCAGCACAGCCCCCTTGGGCCAAGCCAATCTTCGGTCTTGGCTTCCTTGGTGCACCTCCCACCCGTCGGAACTGCACGAACAATTGCCGTTCCGGACAATGTACCACTACAAGTCACAGCCGGGTAAATTGCACACTACCACATGTACAGCTACTGATCTGCAGTCTGCACCGATCTCTTATCAGATGCGTCGCTCTCCACTTTCTGCGCCCGCGCAGCCTTTCTTCAGCACATTTTGATTGCGTTGCTTGCTTTTTTCCTCCCCTTCATCCCAGCTTTTTCATTGCTGTTCGCTACTTTCAAACCTTACCCTAATCTAATCAATCTTCCTGTCCTGGAAGTCCAACAGTCACGATGGAGGAGCATATTCGAAACAGTATCTCCAATCACCCCCATCCCTTCCAGCATATGACGGTTGGCTCGCCTCATCCATCACATCGCTCGGAGCGTTTGGCCTCTTGCGCCTACGACGAAGGCACCTCTACAGGCGTAGAGGCTGAAGACCCCAAGATGGCTCAGCAGCAACATCGTCACGTTTCTGCCGATGAGGAGGGCATGCCTCCTCCCCGCTACGACTCCGAAACCGACCCCTTCCAACTCGCCTCGAAGCTGAAGACCGACGAGGAAATCCGCCAGATCAAGGCCAATATTGGCCGGAAGCGCGATAGAGATGGGACTCGCATGATGGAATTGGTGCGAGAGACTGGGGCCAAGGGCAAGAATGCACTCGTGGCGCGTAAATTGCAGGGCTTCTACGAGGAACAGAATGAGAATATTGAGCGGTTGCTTCGTCCTGTGGAGGAACACGTGCGTGCTGCACGGGAGCTCAACTCCGAGAACAGCGTCAAGTACAAGATTGCTGTGTATGGCAGTTTCGCGGCCAACATCATCCTCTGTGTGGTTCAAGTGTACGGTGCTGCGTCTTCAGGATCGCTTTCATTGTTCACGACCATGGCCGACGCGATTTTCGACCCCATGTCCAATTTGACCCTCTTGCTTTGCAACAAGGCCGTGAATCGCGTTGATCCTCGGAAGTTCCCTGCTGGAAAGGCTCGAATCGAGACTGCTGGAAATATCTGCTTTTGCTTCCTGATGACTGCCGTGTCCTTTATCATCATCGCTTTCTCCATCCGCGAAATCGTCGCCGGCTCGGATACCCTCACCTCCTCATTCCATCTGCCTTCGATCATTGCAGTGGCTGTCGCGTTCGTGACCAAGCTGGCCTTGTTCATCTTTTGTTTTGCCCTGCGTGACCAAGTCTCCCAGATCCGAATTCTCTGGGAGGATCATCGCAACGATTTGCTGATCAACGGATCCGGTCTTGCGACCTCCCTTCTCGGTTCCAAGGTGCGCTGGTGGATTGATCCCATGGGTGCCATCCTGCTATCTGTCTTGGTGAGCGGTCTCTGGTTACATTCGGCATATGGCGAGTTCCAATTACTCGTTGGTGTCACTGCCGATACGAAGATGCAACAACTCATCACATATATCTGTACGTTGACCCACCCCCGTCATTCCCGTCTTTGTCTTTCATGCACGGGAGTCTTCCTGTTCTCGAAAGGTAGGCCACCGTACTAATAATTCAACCTTACAGCAATGACCCACTCCCCCTTCATCACTGCAATCGACACCGTCCGCGCTTACACCTCCGGCCCTCGACTCGTCGTCGAAGTGGACATTGTCATGGATGACTCCGCCTCACTGCGTACTACCCACGACGTAGCCGAGGAACTACAGATGAAGCTCGAGTCCCTACCCGATGTAGAGCGTGCCTACGTCCACGTCGATTACGAAACCACCCACAAACCGGAACATTTCTTAAAGAAGGAGCTGTAAAACAGGACCCTGAAAATACCTACACCTCAAGCGCGACATGTGATACTTGCTCCCCCCCCCCCCCCCCCCCCCCTGCCGTCATATTGTCTTCACGTCCATAGCTCTCATAAATCTACCGAGCGCAGGCGCAGACCGAAAACTAGATGAGCGAGAAAAAAAAAAAAAAACAACACCAGCAGTATTCGAATCCAATCTCCCCGGTCGATAAGTCTCTTTCTGGACGTTGTCAAGGGGCTCCTGACAGGGTTGTTTAATCATGAATGTGTAACATCGCTCTTATACTCTATCCAACCCCGTCAAGAGTAAATTCAGAATATGGCGGACGCCAACGATAATTTTGTCTGCTTTCATCCAGAATAGGCGTACATGATTTTGAGCTCTCACATTGAGTAGATTGGGGTGTTCTCCGGCTGATCGAGATGCTTCCATACTTGCAATGTCGTGCATATCTCTCGTTGTTGGCTTCAGGACGAGCAATTATTACATTGGAAAATCTACGTATGCTGGTTATGGTCGCCGGGAACCTGGCCGAGTATCACTTGAGGGGTCATTCAGTCTATTCATAAATTGGTGTCTTGTTCGCCGATGAAAGCTATCCTAGGTATCTATCGAAGATGCGTCGTCCTCAATGCATGGTAACAGAGAGTCCAACAGTAAGGCGTAGAGAAAGCCAGAAAACGAGAAAGAAGAAAAGGAAATGAAGAATGGAAAAAGTGATCGAGGTAATGCGGAACGAACCATTACATGATCAGGTATCAAGAAAGAATGTGAACGACAAAAGTGATGAGAGGAAGGGGGAAGAGGCAGGAGGCCAAAGGAATCGAACCTTCGACGGCCTAGAAAATTCGAGTCTGGATGCAACGTTGCTCTAGGCTGTCTGTTCAAACAGTGCGATGGTGGAGCAAAAGTTGCTTCGGTTTGGCTTCTGTTGAACAAGGCTCTGGCCCGACGACGAGGTCACCATGTTCACGGAGGCCTTGGTGTTCAGACCGTAGATGTGGACTTTGGAACAGTCAACCTCAACCATGTTCTCCTGGCAGTCTTCGGAGTTGAGACAGCTCTGCGCGTAGTTGTCGAAGAAGCTGTACAAGCCGGCGCCATACACGAACAAGTCGGACGTGTTCACGACTCGCAGCCCCCACGATTTCTTGCAAGAAGCGGTCGTACACGTCGAAAAGTCTGGATCATTCCAGGACTTCTGGGGTGTAAAGGGAACAAGGGCGGTTGGGTTGGACTGGTAATAAGGAGTCTCCGTTTGAATCAAGCCCATGAAAACATTGGCCGCATTTGTCACCTGATAGTTGTACAGTTGATGATGCTCAGAGGCGGTACCCCAAAGCCAGACTGGTCCCTTAGACTCGATCAAAACACCGCGCCCGGTGTACACGTTGATCTGAGAGAAATCCGTGCGGTCGAGCTCGTGATCCGCAGTCCACATCCATGCATTCTCAATGTATGCGCTGGCTTGCTCGGTGATATGCAGGAGCATGAAAGCAGCAATACACTCAGGCTTGGGAGTGGTTTGCTTCTCGGGTGTCTTGGGACAAGTGTCACTTTGAAGACCAGTGCCCGCGGCTCCACCAATGCGAACGTGAACATCCCACATGCCAGTAGATCCTTGCGAGGCCGCAGCCACGTTCCACTCCATGAGAATAGCACCGGGAGCGGCACCCTTGGTGGTAATGATCAGATCACTCAATTCGACGGATCCAACGTCGCCCTTCTGACCGATTTGGACGGCGGGGACGGGGTTATTTTCATCTTGGAATTTCGGACCGTTCGCCATAATCATGGGCCAGATCTCACCAGTAATCTTGATGTCCTTGGGCACCTTCAGTGTCGAAGTGATCACGTAGGCACCGTGGTCAAAGTAGACAATCTGATCAGATGTGGCGCTGTCGAGAATTTTCTGAAGCGCAGCAGTATCATCAGAGACTCCATCACCCTTGGCACCAGCAGACTTCACGCTGACGAAGGAAGACGCAGGAACCGTTTCATAGAGAGGCTTTGATCGTTCAAAGACAACTCCGTTGCTGAGAAGTCCGGCGGGTTTGACGCTGGCCTTCATATTGCCCTGTGTGCGGGCGGCAGCGAGCGCCTGGGTGCTGTCTTTGTTGCTGCAAGAGCCTGAGTTACTTCCATGTGACGAGCCTCCACTTGGGCTACTAGGGGTAGCAGCGGGCTGACTAGCGCCGGGGACTGCCATAGTGAAGGAAGGTTGGCTGGATGCAGCGGGATCAGAAGAGGACATGGGGCTGGGTTGGGATTGGATCACGCTAGAGACGTCAGCAGTTGGTGCAGCTGCAGGGCTTTGAGCAGGCGACGATGCTTGGGTAGGCTCTGGCGTTTCCAAGTCGGGGTTGGTAGTCTCGGGGAGGCTCGTAGGGCCAGAGACGGCGCTCGATCCCCCGAGAGGTCCGGTAAGCAGGGAAAGCAAGCTGTTGACGATGCCAGGCACACCGGAGGCCGTGGGTCCAGGGATAGACGTAATGGGGCCGATACGATTACCTGACCCAGCATCTGAGGGCAGAATAGGAACAGATGGGGGCTTGGAGCTTGGAGCGGGCTGAGGAGCCAAAGTGCCAGCACTTATTCTCTGGGAGCAAGCCGTGACAGTCTCGACCACAGTCTGAATAACCGTCACTGTTTCGGCGGCACCTACACCGTCGCTTCCAGTGGCAGCCTTGGGACTGTCATTGATGCCCGAAGTTTGGCCTTCATTGCTGCCAGCGCCAGAACTCAAAGCCCGCTTGGCAACAGGGGTAGAAGGAGAGTAGGTATTGCCTTGCGCCCAGCTCTGGACAAAGGTGCCGCCAGCGAGGATGGTATCTCCCGTGTAGCCAGCGACGGCAACCTTGGAGCCGGAGAAGTCCACATTATCCAGAACGAGAGTGCCACCACCAACAGGGATGCTCTTCTGCGTCCAGGCAGTGACAATTCCAGTGGGGGTGTTCTTGAACTTGCTGTCCAGCATCATGACAGACCCAACGGTCTGATTGGACGGGGAGTTTGACATGTTCAGACCAACCTGGCAGTCGTTGATGCTCAGCGACTTGAACGTCCAAGCCCAGTTCCAGTTCATGAAGATCGCCGTCTGGCAGCCATTGAAGATCAAGTTGCGAGTTGTGAACTGCTGATTGCCAAGGAACATGCCGTAGTTGCCGCCATTGAAAGTGAGATCGGACATGAAACCGCCTGAACCGTTATCCATGAATACACCCTGCTGTTTGTTGGCCGCTCCGCCGCCCTTGATCATCTCAAACCGAATGTTCTGCAAGCTAGTAGCCTGACCGACCTGCCAATGAATACCGGCACCGGCACTGGCAGGCATTGCAGTGAGATCGATGACAAGATTACGAACGGCGCGGAAGAAGTTGTTCTGGTTGGTGTACCAGCTGGCACCGTCATTCTCGTAGGGGTCGGAATCGATGACAGCCATGCCGGCAAAGGAGGCGGCGGCTTTGATGACGGGCAGGTTCACCGCATCGCCAACGATCTGGGTATAGTAGTACTGAATGATGGGCTTGGACACAACATAAGTTCCAGGAGGGAAGTAGACAAGGGCAGGTGTGATTGTCGACGAATCGCAGCCTTTTCCACACCGACCACCGGACGAGATGGCCTCGTTAATCGCGGCTGTGTCATCGGTAGATCCATCACCTATAGGTCCTCTTGTCAGCGATCTGCCATTACAATTTGTCTGGTAGCGGCGTTCCCGAGAAAAGACATACCTTTGGCGCCAAAATCCTTCACATTTCGGAAGATCTTGTAGTCGGCGGACTTGCCGAATGGAACGGTTCCCTGTCGCTTGATGTCACCCACCCAGTAGCTTGAGCCAGCGCGCCTCGATACGGACACATCTAGCGTACTTGAGGATGAGTGCATGGGTATCGCATTGACGAACGATGCGGTAAGTCCGACCAGAAGAATGAATCGTGCGAGGAACATGATGATTGAACTTTGAAATTTGGTCATTTTATCCAACTTTTGAATTCGCTGAGCCAGCAGCGGAAGATGTTGCTCAAGAGATAGTAAGACGGTGATCGACTGGGCACTATCTTTGTAAAGACCGTGTTTCAGTCACCAGGACTGGAAAGTCGTGAATGAAGTATTGAGAAGGGAGCGTGTGACAAGGAAGGAGCTATCGTGGAGTTGACGAGACTGCTCAGGTCTTGAGGTAATCAGAAATCTCGAATGACTAGGCAGTTTCGATCTAATCGTCAAACAATGCTCTTGTTGCTGTTAGCGAGGGCTTTTATTCGACCTTGCAAACAAAGATTGAATGAAAAACAATGGGTGTTAAGGAATGACCCCGTACGATGCACCAGGCAACACCACGGACGAAGAAAGAATGAGAAGTGAAGAGAAAGAAAGGAGGGATCGGCCACAATGCAGGCAAGAACAATGCGAACAGAGGAAAAGGAAACCTCTCCAAATTGGAGCAAGATGACCGATTTAACACAAAAACAGAAAGCCTCATCTAGTCTCGTTTGCAGGCCGCACGCTCTCTCATCGTCTTAAGCACTCACCTCGTAGAATACCCCGTGATTACTGTAAAAGTGGTCACGCACGCCCCAGACTGCGTATTCAAGGTGTATTGAGACGGTAAACCCTAATTCCGGCGCGTAATTTGTGCTGGGCCTGACGAGGAAAGGCGCCAATCACACGGGCACGTCCCTTGAATTTGCCAGGTACCGTCCAATGAAAGCGACTGTACCCCGTACCAACGTCGAAGGTTGAAACACGATAGTTCACGACTGAAACACGGGGGACGGTCGATCCCAGTATCGGCGTTGCAGATTGCTCGATTTCCACGTCGCAAAAATAAGCACCGTCCAGTCACAGGAACGAGACCCTGCTTCGTCAACAAGATGGAGCCGACAATCTCGGCTTGGTTGGCCCCGTGCTGCTGGCCGAGCCCTGGCCGCCCGTAGACCGAGAGAGTTGGAATTGTCGCCGCGTTGAATCTGACAACCAATAGCCGTGTGGAAGACGCGAGTGTCGAAGTATAGAGTGAGAAACTGAGAGCCACTGATGGGAGATTAAGACTGTATAAAGAGCCTGCTCTGATCAAGAGTATTGAAGACCACTGAAACGCAAAACAAGGTACTGCTCAGTTCTTGCTCCTCGACAATTGTCCGTGAGGCCTGCTGCCGGAGGACTACGAGCGCTATATACCAACATGCAAGCAATCTGATTCCCGACAAGGGGATGTGTGCTGCTCCGTAAGGAACAGGGCGTCGTGGAGCACACATTCCATCCATCTCGCCCATGTTCCCGGCTTGATTAGCCTAGCAACGGCTCTAGCTAGTTGGAAGCTCCTTCCAGGGGCCCAGGAAAAACATGGTACCTGTCTATCCCGCCGCGGCAGCAATGTGGAAAGTTCTTCGGAAGTGATCAGCCCGTCAGTGGCGTGGCCGGGAATGTGCACGCCTGCCTCTCCCTCCTAGGATGATCGGGGAGGGACCACTTGGGTGCTCGGAGAGTGGAGCCGTGCCATTGAGACAAGATTCATATGATGAGGCGTAGGGTGCGTCTGGACTGATGCCGTCTGATTTGTCCAAAAGCTGGAGCCGTGCAAATAAGTCAAGGAAGTGCGTTTCAGCAGGCAATGTGATCCCAGTTTAACCGGGCAGAAGAGACCTCCTCTGTATGGAGTTCATTCCGCTTTGGACAGAGGCACTGTAGAGTCACTAGGGTATAGGTAGCACGACGCGGTTCCTCTTCGGCCTAATAGCAGTCAGTGTTCGCTACAGCATGCGTCCAAACTGTGACCGAAATTGGTCGCACTTTTGCAAAGACTCGTGGTTTGTTGTCAGGGCGGCGGTCTTGTTATGCAGACGCATTCCACACGCCCAGGACAAGCTGTCATGACGGCACAGACGGCCGACACGATCCATCTGCCAAGCTGCAGTTCCATGAATCTGCCCCTTGTGACAATGCTAGAAATCACTTCGATCTGACACGTGAGCACCCGGATAGATACCCAGAAGTGGACTCGTGGTAGATGTGGCTGCACTAGCTGCTGTACTCGGTAGCAGATGTTCACATAGGAGAGAGCTTGGGTGTTAGTGAGGAACGGCTGATCACCGCCCGCTGGCCAAGCTTTTCTGCGCCCCATACGCGTCCGGAGGAGTACATTTATAGTCCATAGTTCCATACAGTGCTGAGTGAACTGGACAGCCCTGTCACACAATAGAATGGATACCAGCCCAGACAATATGCATATATAAGTCAAGCATATTAATGACCTATTCTACTACATTATCTACGAGACAGTTTTACGCACTAAGTCCCTTATGCGTGAAGTGGACTGTATTTGTATAGACTTAATATGCATACGGAGGTCCAATCCAGCCCAGTCACTGTCTTTATAATATGCTCATGGCTTAATCCATTAGACATTTATATGGTCTTGACAACTATGATCTCCGTGAGGCCATGAGCTCTGTCTTGATATTGCAAAATCAGCCCGCTCAGATAGATCTCGAGCCGTCAGAAGGACAGGTCCAGCTGTTACCATGAGATCTCAGTCGTCGACCCCCTTTGACACAGATGGGAGTGGGTCGCCTGCAATCGGGGCACGACTATTCTAGTGATGCTACAGTTGAGTGTTTCAGTGTTACACTGCCACACCTTCCGATCTGGGCCATGGGTCTATCTGAATTGGTACCACGTACACGCCACACGTCCTGAGGTGCCCACTCTCAGTCTGGTGTGGAAAACCTCAACACCCGTAACTCTCAGATCTCTATGATTCTACCTGTCTGTGTCCAGCATCAGGATATTCTTGCTAGACAGGACATATCAGTCAAGATCCTCATTGATCAAGTAAATGTCTTAAAACGCGTGCGAGTCTGCGCATTCCTTCGCGCAGGTGACGTGGATCCTCCCAAGCAAAGCAGAGGCGTAAGCAGCCAGTGAACCGGTCGCTGAGCGGCTGAGGACTCCCAACTTCAAACAGCGTGCCTGAAGCGAGGCGCAGATTCTCTTGCTCCTGGGCGGCAGACACCACATCGGCCGCCAAGAGGGGTGCTGGAAGTGAGACCCAGATGAAATAGCCGCCGACCGTGGACCCAGATGACGCCTCAACAGTCACGCCCAAGGGGGCCAGGTGTTCCTGAATGCCAGCCAAGAGCCTATAGTACCTATCTGCGTATGCTGGTTGCAGCACATCGCGAATCCACCGGTTCAAGTATCCCGAGGGGATGAGTTGATCGATGAAAGTGGAACACAATTGCGAAGGAGCGCCGCCAGACCGTGAGGAGCCACTGCACAAGAGGCTTGTCAGCGACTGACCCTATTCTTGCTTGGCTGAATCTGCGCAACAATCGAACCGACTCACGCTTGTGAAATACCATAGGCAACCTTTTCAGATGCTTCAGCCCACCCAGTACGGGCGCCAGGGCCGAGCAGTTTGGAGAAGCTTCCGTTACTGATGGCGTGTCCCCACTCATCTATCGGGCCCCCATCCAGATACCTATCCACGTCCACCAGCCGCGGTAAACACGCGCGTTCAGGCTGTGCCAGACTGTCTCCAGGAGTGGGTGACCATTGTAAGAAATCATACACATCGTCAGTGATCAGCAAGGCGTCGTATTGGCGCGCCAGTCGAACCAATTGTTCTCGGCGGGCTAACGACATGATTTTCGACGTTGGATTTGCGAATGTCGGGACACTGTAGATGACATATTTGTAGATCTTCCGCCAAGGTCGCTCTGGTTTGTACACCTAGAAGTGAGGGTATCAGTCGATGGGTCATCAGGTGGCCTGGCTCAAATCCGCTCGGGTCCAATCGCCGCATCAGGCCACAGCTGGATGGATGACAGTTGTGATGATTACAGGCTGGTTATTCCCCTCTCGCAGCGCCTTATCCTCTGCCGCGCGTAATCCTCTCTCCAAGACCGACAAGTCGACTCCTTCGTCGTCCTCCGGTACTCCATGGATCCGTCCGGAAAAGCCTGCGTCATCCACGATCCGTCCAGCCAAAAAGTATGTCGGATCCACCATCCAGACCTCTCGGGTATATGCTGGATCGGTGAAGACTGCCAGGACACATGCGAGATTCTGACTCGCTCCACCGGTGATGCAAATGCGCCCTGGGGAAATGGGCTGACTCGGCTGGTAGAAGTCCTGAAGCCATTGTGCTAAATGGATCCGGAGAGGTTCATACCCCTCATCTGGGCCGTATTGTAAGGCTGGGTGAGCAATTGAGGGCGTCGTCAGGACTGTTGCGGCGGAGCGGAGGAGTTCGGGGGCGGGGAGGAGCGCGGGGTTCGGCCAGCCGCAGAAGAGATCGATGGGCGGTTGGTCAGGATCTGAATCATGGTGTTGTAGTGCAGTCATATTGGGGAGGGTCCGGGGCCTAGGAGAGGAAGGTGAGCGGGGGGGGGGGATTGCTTGCAATACTGTAGGATGTTGCAGAGTGACAATGAAGTGTGGTGTATGGACACGATGAACGGGATGCGTGGATGAGGGACAAACCGTGGGTCCCGTGCGGGCACTGAGGAAGTGCCCGCCAAATGTCAGTCTCCACGGGTATTTTATGTCATTGAGACTCATTTTGTAAAGATGAGATACATAGGTCTCGATCACCTGACACACTTCCATCGATCTTATCAATCAACGAAAGGTCGAGTCAAAGACTGCATTCACCTCTCTGGCCACTACCTCCAAGTACTGTTTCGCCGGTGGTCGACTACTAAAATAGATGATACAATATAGAACAGACTAGTCACTCATTGAGAGAATGACCTTTCTTGAGCGACGTATCCTTTGGCGTCGTAACCAGCACTAAGGTAGCTAAGCCCAGTAGGGTATACTGTGTACTTCGTGTAGGCAGTCAATTGGAAATGATGTGTAGTCATGTCCGATGCATGATAAAAAATAGAATACTGAAGGTTCTGTACTAATTTAGTGATGAGAGCCTGGACAGTGGCTCATGGGTATTTATATGTTCGAAGAATGCGTATCCATATGGGTGGATGAAACTTGTCAGTTCCAAGGTGGCAGAGTCGGTTCCATGAACGGATGGGGTGCAAGATGACTCAAATGATGTGGATTAGGGCACATGTAAATACCTATGCTGAAACCCGGCCTCGAGGCAGATTTCAGATACCTACTATACAAACTACACAGTACAATAACATCTATCAACAGAAGTAGGACAGTATTTAGTAACTCGGTCACTTGCTTGTTACACTTAGATATCGGGGTAGTTATTTGCCAACCGGGTAGAATACGCAAGTAGTTATACCTTGGTCCCAACATGTGCAGACTACCAACGAGCAGTAACATGTCACTTAGCTGGACGGACCTATGCTAGTGAGACGCGCGGGGTAAGAGGAAAGCTGATTACTGGCCAGTTAATAGTATATTCATCTACAGAGTTATAAAGGGCCTCGTACTAAAACTCCAGATTTGAAAGAACTTGATAGACCGACGACGGGATCTTCATCAAGGTCAAAGATTATTTAGAATATTACGTTTCTCTGCGTTTGATATTGGTCTGTGCTGAGCAGGAGGCCTCATCATACCCTGACGAATCAAACACTACCATTCACGCATGGACACATCACTATAAATGGATCAGTATAGTTTTCACTCTAGAGGACCGTGTACATAAATTAGTATCACAGTACATCAATGTAGGGCTCAGACAGTCAGAGTGAACTATAGTACTTTGTGCATACTGCATAGTTCATACCGTTAATCCGCGCAGATCCACTAGTAGTACCGGTTGTGCCTGGACGCGAGCCAAGGCTGCCGCGCTTCCGGGACGCGGTTAGACCCAAGCGGCAGAGAGCCAAAAAAAAGAAAGAAAAAAGAAAAACAATACCCCCTTACAGATCCGATTGGGTGAAGATGCTCCGGTTACGCTGTATTGGGATTAGCGATCTCTCGAAGGTTCAAGAATTGCCGTTGACGAGCCGCGCTAGTTAGTCATGCCTTGCTGCGGGACATTGACGGGCCGAGGACAATCACATTGACCAGTTTTGATGGATAGCTGGACAATTCTGGACAAGCAGTGAAGGAGAGGACAATACTCCATTTCACGATCTGAATGGGCCTGTGCAGCTGAGGTGAGCAGACGGTGTGCGACTTGGTCGGTTATTTACTCTATCTGCAAAGTCGGACTACACAGTACACAGTACACACTACACAATACACAATACAGAGTACGTCAGTACACAGTACTACTACTGACTTGCTGAGCTGTGAGACTAAGTACATGTAGGATACCTATGTCGGTTCCTGGTCAGCGGATGGCATCCGCTGACCGGTAGATGAATGAATGACCTTGAAAGTACATAGAGTATATTGATCTGAATGACAGCCCCAATCATTACACTCTTTCTGAGTACATTGATTGTACTCAGCTTAACTTGGCACAAATGACTCGTCGCTTATGGTTTGTGCCTATCTCTATGAACAAAATTTCTAAAGCGGGTCGATCATGGACGCCTAGCAAGATACATTATTAGTAATTTAATACCTACTGTTGAGAGTTTACAGTCATTTATGAAATCGAACTATTGAGAAGGAAAAAATAGGGGGTGTAGGGAATGAAGGCCGGTGATCCAGCATTGTTCATATGTATCGTAGTCTTGAATAGCGACCGGTGCACGATCGATTGTGTTACTGTTGGGTAGTTGACGAGTTAAGTAATGGATGCGAACGCACTATATTTTCTAGTTCCTACTGTCTAAGGATCTATAGTCTGTATTCTGTACTCTGTCGCCGATCAGGGACTCAGACTCGGTCGCTCACTCGCCGACCAGCTGACATATGTCGGATGTTACGTGGTGCGTGTATTACTATAGTCCCTTGTGGTCACGAGACACGTTGGTAGGCGGCCTTGTTTGCGCACTCTGGAATAGACCTTGGACTGGAATGAAGCGTATACTGGAAAGGGTAGAGATAGTCACGACGGCCGTCCACGAGAATGATGGAGAAGCCGAGTGACTGCCCAGTCTGAGAATAGGGACCTGGTTTATAGTCCTGTGGTCTTGTACCACTGAGCCCCAGGCTCAGTGCCAACAGCCAACAGCCAACAGTACCAAAATATGCTGTCAGCTCGGCGCAGTCTGATCTGGAGATGCAATCACTGGTGCACCCTCCAACACTGCCACGGGGCCAAACAGGGGACGCACGGTTCGAAGCTGCTGTACCTCGTCCTCATGTCCCATGTTCCGAGGTACCTTGGCAGTTCCGCATCGCGACTGTCAGTTCCCAGGACATGTCCCTCAGGAGGCAACGTGATTGTTGCCTACTTCCAAGAGTACGACTACTTCGGAACTCCAGTATTGTCCCATGCTCCCACAGCTCCAGTGCTTTATACTCTAATGCTCTCTGCAAGTGCACTCTGCTCCGGTAACAACAGACCTTTTCAAGTTGTGGCGCACATGGATCCACCGAGACACAGTCAAGGAACCCACTGCGGACCCCCAAACTTGCTCACTTGGCTGGTCCGACAAGCCGGCTGCGTAACTGCTGGGGACTAGTCATGACTCTAATTGCTATTATTGGCATCGACGCGAAGCCGATCCAGCTCCTTCCAAGACACAGAGAGAGAGAGAGAGAGAGAGAGAGAGAGAGTGTGTGTGTGCCAGTGTGGCATGTCCGCCATGCTCTGCAATTTTTCGTCTGTAAAATACCGTAATTGAGGGGCAATAGTACAAGTATCCAAGAGTCTGCAAGTCAACAGGACAAACGAAGAGTTTGAACCAAATAGCGCCAGTACGAACTCGGTACCTCTTGGCCTTATGTTCCTGTCACCACCAGTTCGGCACTAACTGACCATTATTAGCAACAACCACAACCACAACCGTCGGTTCTTCCGCAGCAGAACCAACAGCTTCTGCAATCAATCCACGATTGTGAAGCACCACATTCTGCAACTGCTAATCGACCGATCATTCTGCCTTGTGTGCAGCCTCCCCTCGGTCGCAGGTCTGCCTCGCAGTCTTTACAAACTGGCGCGGTCGCTGCCTTGACGTCGTCATTCTCTTCGGCTTGTCCTCCCTGCCATTCTTGTAATCCCTCCTGCCGATCCATTCTTCGAACCTCCCCTTGTGCACCCACGACCTCGTTTTTCTCCTCCTGAGTCGTTCATGAGCCACATCGTAGACATCATTCAGCACCACTTCCCTCATTCCTCCTTTCATGTGTCGCAGGCCTTGATTTGCGTGTTCTCTCCTCCTGCTTCGCCCGCCAGCTGCGACCAGCTCCACCCCGTCAATCTTAACCCGGCCTGCGCAGTCGTTTGGCAGCTCGTCTGGCAGCATTACGATTGCTTCCGACGCACTTCCTATCCCACAGATTCTTCCCTCTTGACAACCCTCCCAAGTTGCAGGTGAATCGCCATCTGAGGGCCACCACAAAGATGTTATCAGCTCCCGTTAAGTCGGCCAAGCGTATCTCGTCTCTCTTCTCCCTCGGCTCGTCCAAGGACCAAAATCCGCCCTCCTCCCCCAGTTTGCAAAGCTCCGCAGAAAAACCCCCAAGGCAAGAGACGGCGAAGTAGTTCGCGTCCCACTCGCCATGTATCAACGCCGGCGGCAGTGTACTCGGAGCCGAGAACAATCCCCAGCGCCAGTCTTTCCGATTTCGACCTCAAAAACCTACCGCCTCCTCCGTCATTGCTCGCTTTAAACCAAGAGCTGGCCACTAGTCCGTCGAGCTCTCCGACCGACTCCCGCCCGCGCAGTCGCGGTCGAGACTCGACCCGACCCCCGAGCTCCGCCGGCTTGGCCGTCCCACGCTCAAATCCAGACTCTCGCCCTGACACCCCCTCCAAACGCAAGAGTTGGATGCCCGGCATGATGGCTCGATCGAGGGCAGGGTCGGTGGACAAGCGGGTTCCAACACCATCATTACCTAGCGCCTGGATCGCCGGCTTGGATCAGAAGGTGCTCTACGATCTGGAGCCTTTGTCGAGGGGTGGCCAGGTAAGCAACCGGAGACGCGGAGGGGGACCCATGTGATGGTGGTTGATGAATTGGCTGGGTTGCTAATACGTAATGTCACTGTTTGACAGATTCCTGAACTCTGGAGCGAGACCGGAGACACCTTTGTGTATCTCTTCCCTCAGAACACCGGACGAGCTCCCTCGTTCAGAGTCGATTCAACCATTTTCGCCGAATCGCCCTCTTTGACATATCTCGCCCGTGGGGCCGATTCCAAGCAATTGCAATTGGAGCGGTCCGTAGGAGAGCTGTCGCTCCGAAACCCAGCCTCCCCGCCGTTGAGCCCGAATGAGCGTCTGGCATATGAAGACGACAATGGGAGCGCCGGCAGCCAACGACTGGCGTTGATGGATGACGGGAATGAGGAGGTGCAGGAGCTGCACCTCTACCTACCGATTCCGCTGAACAGCGATGTATCCACTCCCGACTCCAAAATCGCGCCGGAAGATCTGGATACACTGCTCCTGTTCCGCAACCTGTTTGCCTTCTTGCTCGGCCAATCGCTCATTGCGACACCCAAATCGGGCTCGCTGTTCAGTATCTTCATGGACGTGGCGGTCCTTCTCTCTCGATTCGAATTTTCCAACCTGGATGGATCCAACTTTGGCGAAACCGCCACCTCCAGCTTTAGCAACTATTGCGATGAACTGCGACTAGCGGATGTGCGAAAAAGCCGTGAAAAGACGATCGAAGCAATCGTCCTGGGCGAGCGTCTTCGCTACTATCCCCTTTATCTCGAAGGATTTGTCCATGGAGTGGGCAAGCTCGATGAGCTCAAGCAGCTTCGAAGTCCCAAATACAGCTTCATCCACCCGATCACGCAAAAGCGCCTGGAGCGTGGCTTCATTGACCTTGACTCTCGTCTGCGAAGTTTGTATAGCAAGTTGGAGGACTTTGATTTCCCCTCGGTCTTTTCCGGCTTCGCCAACTCCACCACGTCCGAGGAAAGCAAGGTCATCCGGTTCAAGAATTGGAAGGCCAGCTTCCAAGAGTTCCGGCGCTTTACCATCAATTACTACCGCAACAAGTATGGTGCATGGCCTCCCAAAGCCCGGTCTAAAAAGAATGCCTTCGAAGAGAGCGGACTTAACCGCCAATTGCTCCTGGATATCTATGGCGATTTCACCGACTTGTATGACCTCCTTGTCGATCGCACTCGCCTGACTACTCGTACGATTGACTCGTCTGGACCCGGGGAGGATACCACTGCGGAGGACACCAACGCCGTCATCGTCCGTGCCCTTCGCCATGTCTTGAGCGAATATGATCGAAGCACGCCCCCAGTCGCTCCCCCGATTCCTTTCGATGTGCCTCAGCTCCCTTCGGTGCACGGCTTCCATCGCAAGCCGATGGACCCTAAAAAGGAAGCGAAATACCGAACCAAGAAGCTCAAGTCTTCTGACGTGAATGCCGTCCTCATGGATTCTTACACCCGAGAGAGCATGCGGCCTACACCCTTTATCGAAAGTTTCACGCAATTTGAGCGACGTTGCGCGAGCGGGAAAAGCGTGGAAGATATGGTGGAACTGCGCTGTGGGCAGTGGATCTTCCTTTACGCCGTCCTTCAGTCTCTGCCCATGCTCGTAGTGGATGTCCCCGACATTCGCTTCACTGAAGGGGTGGAGTACTTCCTGTGCGTTGCACCTCGTGGTGGTGCTCCGTGGATCCATAACGATACCAAGACCGCGCGTGCGTGGTTTGGTGTCGCCGGTGGAGCTGGTGTGGTCAGTCTTCCATCAGACGTCGTCATGAATAGTGTGGAAGGTGTCTACCGACGCAGTCACTGCTGGCAAGTGGCCGCGCAATGGGCCGAGGCCGGTGCTCTGCTTGACCCATCCATGATGGACGATGCATACGATGAGGACGAATCCTCCCTCTCATCCCCTTACCAAGGACAGCACTCCTCTGCAGGATCCTCTTCTGACCCGCAGCCCCCGTCAATGCTGGGTCCTCAACCAGGTGGCCTCACCCCTCCACCCCCAGCTATCCCTCGCCACCGATCTCCTTCAAGTACTCCTGCTCGAGCCGAGCATCGCCAGTCCATCTACCCTGGCTTGGAGGCCTTGCCGCTCCCAGCGGGTATCGCCCCCATTGAGCCGCCGACTCGACCCATTAGTCGATTCAATCCTAACATGAGTTTCGACGACATCTTGAAGGAAGTACCGAAGAAGGACAAGAAGAAACATTAAGTTCTTTCTATCACAACCTCTTTTTTCTTTTCTCTCCCAATGATACTCTCAATCTTTCTCCCGCCTTCTGGACTCCTCCGATGCAAACCTTTCACCCATAGACTAATTGGGGGACTTGGTCCCTACACTTATCCTTCTTTGCTTTGTTTCCCAACCTCTCATTCTTCATTTTTTTTCACATTCTTACTCTTTCAAACACCTCAAAGGATCTTCAAAACGGCGTTTGCATTCGTGATTTGATGGATTTGGCGTATTGCACAGGAACGCCAGCAGGACTCGAGATGGGCATACCTCCCCCAGCTTGAATGGGGGATGAAGCATGGACAGAACGTGCCACGCCTGCATTAATTTTTTTGGGGTACATCAGCATCAGCAATTTCGGCGGAAGCAATTGACTCTCTTAATTATTGCGCTATTTCTTCCTCTCTTAACATTATCTGCCTGTCACGGAACACCTACCTAGCGCAGAACATCCACTGATATAATACCATCGAGTTCGTCATATTCTCTAAGATTTCCTATTCAGCACGTCGGCTTCGGCTACATGCTCTCGACATGGCAAGTACAAATCTTATGCGTTTGCTTTTGACTAGAACTACAGTATACCATTGTGTACCTGCCATGTACACTGCATAGGCTCGTGCCGAAAGTGCGACCATCAGATGCTGCCAAACGGTACCTGTAGCTCCGAGTCACTCTGACATGACGAACGTAATCTAGTCTAATTGACTCGATCTATAGATATACTGTCGATTGAGTTAGAGATGACTTGTGGTATCTTGATCTGTGCACCTTTTTCACACGATGCTTCCTACAGTAGGTACGTTAATGGTCTCTTGAGTATTATTGTCGTGCTGATATCTCTCCCGTATGCTGTGTGCTGACGTGCCCAAGGTTCCCACTGCATGGATCTTCCCTTATGTCAGTCCTGGCGAAGTTCCTCCGACTCGAAGGCCCTTGGAGCTCAAAATCGGACAACTTGCGGGCGGCAACTCCTGCAGAACACGCTTGATTCCCAGGATACCCAGACTTACAAGAGTCCGCCAGCGGGAGGCTAGATAAACTTTAGTATGTACAAAGCACTGTACAAGTGTACATGCAATAGTGTGTTCACGTGCCTTCGATCTGCGCATCCTAGCCCGTGTTAGACCTCACATTCACAAATGTCCCGACTTAAGTACCCAGGGTGGCGGCTTACCCACCAATCAACACGGAAGGGGAAAACACGAAGCGCAGCAGCCACAGCGACGCTACTCGTCAAGTCGCCCGCCCCCAATGCCTATCTGTTTTTTGTGATTAAAAAGCTGGGGAGACTCAGCTCGATCCTGTCTAGCGTGCATTTCTTCGCAAGTCTCCGCCTGAGAAAATCTATTCCGACTGTTAGAAATTTCGCAAATTTTTCTTTTCGGAGTTGCGGGCAGCAGATCTTGAGAGTTAGCCGCCTCTGAATGGTTTCTTTGGTTGTTTCTGTATTGAGTATGATGCCAAGCATATGAAGAATCAAGAAATTGCTTCTTTCTTGACAAACACCCCTGCTGGCAGGCCGACCGACCGTAATAGTTTTTGGATCTGTTATCCTTTCTTCATCGAGCCCTCGGCCCGCTTACGTTGAAGAACGATGGGCCGAACTGGTAGCATGGCCAGCGATGGTCATGAGCGGTTGGAACCTCGGCTTCTTCGGGCCGCAGAGAGCGACGACGTAGAAGCTCTTCGCAAGGTGGTGGATCTATCGCGGACATATGGCCAGTTTGGCGATAATCTCCTGCGCGTGGGACTGATGCGCAGTGCGGAACGAGGCTCCGCAGCTGCGACCGAGTACCTCCTGAAGCTGGGCGCACAAGCCGATGTTACAGGCAATAGACTGTCACCACTGCTTCGCGCTGTCGAGCGAAATCACTGCCAAATCGTGCGTCTCTTGCTCGACTTTGGCGCTTCACCCGAAAGCCCAGATAAAGATGGTCGGACGGCGTTGATGACAGCCGCCTGGAAGAACCACGCCGATATCTTGCAGCTTCTTGTCCAGCGCGGTGCGAATGTGAATGCAAGGGACCATCGGAAGCGCAATGTCTTGCACAATCTGGCCGCGGACAAGGAGTGTCGATGGGGGTGGGGCGAGGAGATTGTTCAGATGCTGCTGAGAACGGAGTGTCTCATCGATGGTATCGATGGGCATGATGAACTTGGAAGAACACCACTGCATTGGGCTTGCGCGCAGGGTAATTGGAGATTTGCGGAACTGCTTTTGACAAGACCTGACGGACCCAAGGCGAAGATTGACGCAGCAGAGTCGAGAGGGAAGACTGCATTGCATATTGCTGCTGCACACGATCGAGTCGATATCGTTCAGCTTTTACTACGACATCACGCTTCGATCAATGCTTGCAGTGACGGTGGCTGGACGCCACTCCATAATGCCTGCGAACGAGGCTGCGAGCCTATTGTTCGCATTCTATTGCGCGCCGGCGCTCACATCAACAGTCAATTGTTGAACGGCGTGACGCCTCTACATCTTGCCGCGCAGGGCGGTCATACAGAGGCTGTTCAATGCCTCCTTGAGCGACAAGATTTAAAGAGGCGGGTGCGTGATAACTTTGGCAGTACGCCTTTCTTGCGGGCAGCACAATTCAAGCGCAAGGATATTGTTCTGCTTCTAGCGCCCTTCAACAATGTTGATTCTCTTTCGGATGATGTGAAAGAGGCATGCAAAGCCTTCGAGGCGCCCATCGTTGATTTTGGGAACTTTCACAACGGCAATCGGGTTCAAAAGAAGTCTGTCTTTGACCTTCTCTATGGCCGAGACGCAGAGAACCCTCGGAAGCAGGCCGTCACTACTGTACCTGCGGACAGTCGAGCTACAGACTTTCGGTGGATCCATCTTCCTGCAAACAACATGGCATGGGTCGAGGCGCTGCTCACCAAATCGTTTATCGAAGAAGGTGCACATGACGTTGACGGGTTCAAAGGTCTGGAAAAGTCTTTTAACTATCAGCATCATGGACAGAAGATTCACTCTCATTTCATGCGGCCAATGTGCCAGTATACCCCTCGTTCAATTGAGCGGCATGAAGAAGAAAAAATAGAGAAACTCGAAAGACAACAGTCTGATACAATGCAATCTGTCATGACCGATTCCAGCTCTGTTCATCGCAAACAGAAAGGCTCTGCCGTCAAGCTGGACCGGGTTGAATCCCATTCGCCTGACGAAGGCTCGGGAGGCACCATGGCGAAGAAGCCCAGACATGGCAAGTCTGGGAAACCTGGGAGCAACCCAGGGACACCCAAGAATGAGACGAAAAGCAAAAATCCATGGGGTCATGCGGATAAGCATGGACGCTCCTCCCTGTCTTCTCCGCATTGTCGTGACGCTTCACATTCCCAGGCCTCGTCATGCAATGTCTGCGTGTTCATGCCTTACCTGCATTTTGAGACCACAGAGAGGAGGCAGAAGATGCAAGAGGCAATCCAGCGCGCAGAGCTGTTGTCGCTCCAACCAGCTGGGCTCAAGAGGATCCGTACGCGCGATGAGATGCTTATTGATGCGCACCTGTCATCCTCGACGACGTCCCTCCACGTCCGGCGAACGTTAGACCAGTTCTTCTATCCAAACATCGATACCCAAAGCCGCGATCAAGATCAAGTGGTTTATCGATATCAGACAAAGGGTCCCGGGCGTGACAGCATTGGAACGGATCCGAAGATCTTCATGGTTGACCAGCTCTGGATGTGGATTCTCGGCACAAACCTCATCGTGACAAGCTTTCCACAGCGATGGGATCAACCAAAGAATGATCCTCTCAACGTTCTGGATGGGATTATCGAAGACATCAATTCCAAGACCCGAGATTCAGTCAAGTCGGTGTATGACCTGGCAATCATCATCACAAACAGGTGCTCGGGAATCTTTGACCGTCATCGTCGAGGCGACGATGAGTATCAGTTCTTGGACATGTTTGAGTCCTCCATTGGTATCGCTACTGACCGAGAGACGCTGCTATTCAATCGCTTCAACCATGCCTCTTCGCAAGCATCTGCATGGTTGAGGAGTCACCGCAGATTGAAGCCGCTTGCGCGCAGCTCGGCCCGCTCGATCTCCGGCCGAGAGGGTGTGGACGAGAAATTCTCACCGGATGAGGAAGAGAGTTACCTTGACGATGAGCAACCCCTGTTCATTGACCGCCTGCTAGATATTGGCGAGGAGACAGATCTCCTGGCAGAGACAAAGGATATTCGTGATGAGCTGAATATGATTCGAGCTGTGCTCGAGCATCAGCAGCATGTCTTGACTGACTTGCAAGATGTGATTTGCTCAGTGTATCTTGCGCAGCAGATGTCCCAAACCGATGTGAAGAAGCGTTTCAAAGACCAGCAGCGCGTGATTGACATGCATTTGAAAGATATAGACCGCATGGACAAGCAAGCTGAGCGTATCTACCACTCCATTACCGATCTGCTCGATCTGAAGCAGAAACATGCAAACGCGTTCGAAGCACGATTCGCCCGAGATCAAGCAGCAGGCACAGCTCGCCAGGGAAAGACAATCATGGTGTTTACAATTGTCACCATCATCTTCCTTCCTCTGTCGTTCATCGCCTCGATATTTACGATCAACATGAAAGATTTCCATGATCTAACCCTTGGCTATGTGGCTCAGTACGTGTTTGGCGTCGGGTTCGCCATCTCGATTCCTCTGATCTTGCTCGCGCTGGTTGTCGATGACATCGGCGGTCTCTTGAGATCCAGTTCAGTCCGCGGTCGGAGTTGGCTGTCTCACAAACTGAGTGCAGCTTCTGCACCGAATGGCAGCGATGACCAGCTTCATGATCTCCAAATAGAAAAGATGATGAGTTTGGCGCGAACTCGGAGAAGCCAAGATCTCGGCTACGGACCTGGCCTGTTGCCCATGTCCACTCGTAACTCGAGTAGAAGTCGTTCACGTGCCGGACCACGTGAGAACGGGTTGACGAAAAGTATGATGCGAAGCAGTTACGAAGTCCGCAGAAGTGTGGAATACAGATCCTACTAATTTTATAATGACGGTATGATTTGCAGAGGGGGTTTGCTTTGCCTCGGGTCTGCCGGTCTTCTTCAGTCACTTCGATGTAAAGTAAAATTCATTGCAAAAAGCCTGTGGCATCCCTCATGATGTCTTCTTTAGCAATTATTATGATGATTCCTTTGACATGGAGCGAGTGCAAGGGAGCTTTGCAGTGCTTGAATTGTTCAAAGGTTCCCTTGTATGATTCGACTATCAAAGCCATGAAATTGTAGCCAACTCAAACCTCCCTCGACTGCAGCCTTGCAGCCATGTACATCACCATCGTGCGGACTCCAGCCCAGCCCCACAATTCGTCTAATTGTCATGCAATTGAATGCCTAAAGCCAAACGTTTCCGTTACGTTGGGCTTGGAGCTCGGCGTCTTCTTTTCCAGTCCCGATGATCGCAGCGGGATGGTAGAGGTTCATGACAATCATGACCAAGAACATCAGCAGTGAATCGAAAATGTATCCGAAGACCTCATGGGTCATGATGTATCCGTTGTACCCAGTTTTATACTCCACAAGACGAAACACCGATCGCGCCAGAATGAGAGCGCTCACTGTGTATAAAGTCCAGAGCACAGCAACGCAGCTCGATCGGCGTCGGACGCTCTCCCTGCGTTGACGATCTTCTTCGGTCTTTTGGCCAATCTCCCTCAGCATACGGTAATGAAAGCACGCTGCGACCATCACGAAAACTCCGAAGAAGATGAGCTGAACGACTAGGCCTCCGATCACAACGTAGGACCCGGTGTTGTATGAACTTTCTTTGCCTGTTGCCATCAATCCTCCGCCGGCAGATTGGAGCAAAAAGGAGAATACATCGCCGGAGACGAAGATCTTGGTCAGCCAGCGCACAGGGATCAGGCTCGACTTTTCAGCATGGAGATGTACGATGCTCCGACCGAGGACCATATAGATTGAGGCGGCGTAGAGAGGGGGCGCCAGGAGAATCAACACCGACTGCATCGCGTATATTGGAATTGAGCTCAGGTGATAGTGAGCGACCACGCGACAAACGTATCCAACGATTTGAACTAGATGAAAGGGACTCGAATGTCAATATCGTGGGCCGAGTATAGCAGTTCTGCTGTTCGCGATCATGACAGCATGGATCGACGGTGGAAGGTTCCGTTTTCTGTCATTAAAGACAGAACTTGATGGGAACTTACAAATACCGCCCGTTGTGAAAGGTAGGAAGTACCAGCATTGAAATTTCATCATCTGAATAAGATGAGCAAGTGTTGTGCCACAAAAAAGGACGGCGAAAATCACAGCTGCCGGAATGGACGGCGTGTAGCCGTATAGATTGTCGGGGCTCATGTTGTTCTTGGCCTGTGTTTGATGTGTGAGTGGAAAAGATGTAGTTTCGACAGCGAGATATCTGAAAGGGAAATCGAAAGCTATATCGATCAAGTGAAAAATATTGAGAGTTCAAAGCTGAGAAGCTAGCTATATATGTCTGGTCCTCAACATAAGAACGTTTCATCATTGCATCAGTGATCTCCTTTTGCCAGACACAGCCGCTTAGGCTATCATGTTTAACGACCTCATCTTTGGAGTATGCCGTGCTCAAAGCTGGCAGATCCTGCATTCGATCAAGATAGTCAGAGCTAACAAATGATATGCATGCGTCTAGAAACGATGGCGGTACATAGGCCAAGCACGAGGTGTAGTAGGCGCATCATCCCAGCTCAACATTTAGATCCCAGGCAGCAACAGCCCACCGACACTTTGAACCATTTTACTGGATCAGAAAGAAGACAAGAAAAGAAAATTGAATGTTCTGGATTTACAACTGGCTGAGAAAGTAAAGCAAACGATGTGAGATTCTGCAAGCCCCGTTGCTAAGATGTCTCTGCTGTCGAGACTGAAAGCCAACTTGTAGAGTGTAGACGATCAGATAGGCTAAAGGTCGATGGGAGACTCGTGTCCGAATCCGAGTTCGTATCCGCATCCGTAACCGAACTCGAATTCATGCTTCAGCCGTGCGCGTTCCCCATATTTGGACGTGTAAACTGACAGGCGTAGTCACTGGTCAGTACTCACAACTCAGTAGTCCCTGACACTACAGGGCAGCGATCCGACTGCAAGCCAAAGAAGACAGGGTCTCCTCGCTGTTCTGTCAATGGGTCCGCGCAGGTCACATCGCAAGTCACGCAACGGCTGCCCTGAATGCAAATCTCGCCGCCTAAAGGTCTCAAAGCTCCCCCTCTGTGAACCTGCCCCGACTCCCGAGTCTATTTATGCGCCCTTTCTTTGGTGCTAACCGTGCAATCCAGTGTGATGAGCGCTATCCCTGCGCCAATTGTGTCAAGCATGGTATACAATGTAGCTTTGTCGCGCCTGTCCCCTCGACCCGGACAGCAAGCGCGGACTTGAGCGTCTCCACAAACTCAACCTCGCAGTCTTTACCTGTTCAGAGTGGCCCACCCATTCATCATTCACATGTCCATCTGCCAGGCTCTTTGGATGCGCCGACCCCCAACGGCAGCTTTGTGGGAGGTATCTCTGGCTCTGGTAGTAGCCCGCCTGAATCGGAGACTCGGTTGGATCTGCTTAATCACTTGCCCGATCCTCGATATGAAGTTTCAGGATATCGACAGAATTGGGCCCTGGATTTGGAATTGATGCACCATTTTTCCACGGTAACATGCAACACTTTGGCTATTCGTGAAGATGCTCGTCATGTCTGGCGCGTCGTGATGCCCATGGAAGGGTACTCGAATGAGTACATCCTTCATGGCATACTATCCATTGCCGCCGTTCATAAGTCATATCTCTCTCCCATGCCAGCAAAGAAGGAGAAATACAGCAAAGCCTCTGCATATCATTTGGCCGCAGGCCTCAAGGTCTTTCGAGAATTGATCGCGTCTCCGATCGATACTGCCCATTGGCAGACTGTCTTCTGTTTCGCCTCCATGACCACAATACACTTATGTACTGTTCCCCTTCGGCAAGGTGGCGCTCGATGGCCCGATCCGATTGCAAACACCGTGGAACTGCTGTCGAGTGTGAAAGGGTTGCAAGCAATCATGAGGCCTTTCCTCCCGTCATTAGGCAGATCTCATTTGGCACCCTTAGCAAATGCGGTCTGGCTTGAGAGTGAAATGCGTATTCATAGGTAACTCCCAGATCCGGATTTACCTGCGTATCCATTCTGATAGAGAACTAATGCGCAATTAGTACATCACTCTCGCAACACTCGCTGCTACCATCAGACATCTGGTTGCAACTTGGTCGCCTCCATCAATGGATTAAAACATGTCCAATTCGTCACCTTGACGGGGATGGTGTTGCCCAGGACAGCGACCTCCATCATCGTAAAGACTACGAGATCGCCATCCGGGCGCTTGAGAACTCTACACGGCAAATTGAACTCGCTGGACCTCACCCTGAGGCTGGGATGATATTCCTTTGGGCGTATCCGCTATCTAAGCAGTTCTACAAGGCCTTACTGGCACATTGTCCGGCAGCCCTTGTAATACTGGCGCATTGCTGTGTTCTCCTACAATCTGTCGATGACCGCTGGTACCTCAAGGGTCTTGCGCATCAGCTTCTTCAGGATATTGATAGAAACATCAACCCAGCCTATCGCGACTGGCTTACTTGGCCTAGACATTGGATTTTGCAACCTTGACTTGGCAATACATGAGTCCAGACAGAGGATGGTGAGATTAGTACATGAGAAGAATGTGCCACATTTTCCGACAGGCTTCCTCCGAACAACGGCCTTATCATTTCGATCAATGTGCGTGCTGGTCGCGCATTCGAGAGTCCCCGAGACTTATCATTAACCATCCAACCCTGGATTGATGTGTGCAGGCTGGAAGTGCTTCCATCTACTACAACTTGGAGGAGAACTGTGCCCTGCATTGTCCCAGTCCAGAGGGCCCATCATATACCTGTTGCTCTAAAAGTCGTGTATTGATCTGCGTTGAAGTTTCTTCTCTTAGTGAAAGACGGCAAAGAACCGCGTGCTCCAATTCACTGTGTCTGCTTTTACTTACGTGATGCATTCCCAATTGATCGACTCTTTGCACCCCAAGTAGCCGCATACAAGTCTTCGTCTCATCGGCGAGAACTGTGAGGTCAGTATGAAGAAGAAGAAGAAGAAGAAGAAGAAGAAGAAGAAGAAGAAGAAGAAGAAGAAGAAGAAGAAGAAGAAGAAGCAGACGACAGGGGCAAAAAATTGGCAGCAAACTGTATGTGAAACAACGACCAGGATCACTTACTCTGCAATGTCCTCTTCACACCCTCAACACCTCCAGCCGCCAGTCCCCACAGAGGCGGCCGACCGATACCGACGCCTCTAGCACCCAGGCATAGTGCCTTGACCACATCTGTCCCCCTTCTGACGCCTCCATCGACCCAGACCTCCAATTTGTCGAAGACCTCGGGACAGTACTTTCGCATCTCGAACAAAGTGTGCACAGCAGGCGGAGCAGTGTCAAGTGATCTTCCTCCGTGGTTGGAGAGAATGATCCCTTTCACCTGCAATCGGTGCAAACTTGCGATGTACGCGTCTTCGTGTGTCTGGATACCCTTGAGTACAATCGGCAGATGAGTGCGTGTTTGCAACCAGGCAAGGGTCTCGGTCCAAGTGATGGACGGGTCCATTCCCGCAAAGGCTTTTTTCTCTATGCTTTCCTTGGAGCCCTTGGAGTATGACACCTCGGTAATCTCGTCAATGACATTGCCAAAGCGCTGGTCGTCCTCGCGTTTGCCCATGACGGTTGAATCAAGAGTCAGGACAATGAACTTGATGGCGTTCAACTTGTTCACGCGAGCGACCATTCTCTCACTTTTCGCTCGGTCATCTTGGATATACAGCTGCCACCCGAATGTTTGCTCCCGTGAGGCATTCGCCACAATCTGTTCTGGTGTCATTGAAGCACTGTTGGAGATGATCTGCAGAGCACCAAGACTCCTACAGGCCTCGGCAATCCCAGCCTCTCCTGAGGAATGTCCCAACCGGGCTTGCGCGGCGGGCGAGACGTAGATGGGCAGTGATACTTGATTACCCAATAATCGAGTCTCTAAATTGCATTCAGTACAATCGATGAAGACTCTTGGTCGCAAAAGAATTGACCTGAACGCCTGAGTATTGAGGCTTTTGCTAATCTTGTCATCGGCAGCTGAGTAGTAGTAGGCCCACGCCTTCTTACTCAATTTCTTCGTGGCAAGCTGCTCGAAGTCGTCCATATTGAGAAGGCTTTGCAGGGGTGGATCCTGCTCGATCTGTACAGAAGAATCAGACCGCGGGTCCGATTTCACCACTCTAGCAGGATCAATTGATCCCAGCAGAGCTTCGGGTCTCAGATTGTCCTCCAGCGTGCCTGATGGATGGACTGGGTCGAATTCCTCCGTTGCGTCTTTGCCCGCCCACTTGAGAATCACGTTCGCACCTCCTGGGTGACTTGAGATGAAGTCGGTAACCTTTGAAATGGAAATAAACTGCGCTTTAGACGAATTGTCACTCCTACTGCACGGGTCGAAAGGTTCACTTACATCATAAACCTTTCCGTACAGAACAACCCAGCAACTGCGATAGTTGTTGTGTTTGGCCACTAAAACACCAATCTGAATGTTAACATCAAGTGATGCATTCTTTCTTGGATAAGAGGTAACGTTACCTTCTGCCACGTCAAAGATCCTGCTCATTTTCGCGCAATTACGTGGAGCGAGATTGCACTAGATTATCGGAGGCTGCCTTTCAATGGAGCTCGGATGCTGCACTGGAGGGTTGTGATGCTATAAGGTTTCATGCGAGTCATTCGCCGTCTGTTCCCTTGTCGAGGCTCCGATGAGCAAAGTCAGGGGCAACACGAATCGTGAAGAGCTGTTCAATCCTTGTTGCCGGTTGATTATTTGGCAAGGAGGTCTGTTCGATGAGATGTCGGTCAAAAGTGCTTACCCCGGGAATGCCTGGACATCGTGTCCAATCAACCAATGCGTTTTACCGACGGGAAATACCCGCCGCGAGGATCATACTTTGTTGTGCGGGGTATCGCCGAGTCAGCAACCAAGTGGACGGGAATTGATTGAGTCTTTCAGTTCGACAATCGTCCAGTCTAATCGAACACGATCTATCACAGTGCATACTGCATCGAGGGTGGGCGGCCGGTACCAGCTATACGTGACGGGCGATCTGGACAAGCGTTCTCTAGTCCCGCATTGTTGTTTAGCAGCGGTGATCGTTCTGACCTTTGTGGATGTTCGCGCCCATGATGCGATGAAGATGGCAAATATTGGCACGGGGAAAAGGAATCTTCGAATCGACTCTCTACCACATGACCGTCAAATAGCCGAAAAGGGTATGAATCGCTTCAGGCCTACATCGGTCGTCTCCATACACTGCTGACCTTAGTCGTGTCTAGATTGTCGACAATGTGTCAAGCGCCGCATCAAGTGCGACCGCACTCTTCCGCATTGTCGCAAGTGTGAACTACGCGACATCTCATGCTCAGGCTTTGATCGCCTACAACTCCGCTGGAATCAAGGTATAGCCAGTCGCGGTCGATTCAGAGGCAAGGGCGTTCCACTGCCCAAGATCTGCGGCTCAACGGGACCCCATCTTGGCGGAGTGTCCATTGAACTGAGCGCATCGCCTTCGAGAGACGCAAGTGTAATTAAAACCCACCTCGCTACCTCTTTGAATGACAAATTGCTTCATCACTTCTTCTCCACGGTGGTGCCTCGGTTGACCTGGCTAGATGTTGGGCCTTCGAACCCCTGGAGACGTTTGATCCAGCCCCTGGCCTCCCAATCGCATCATCTGAGATTGTCAATTTCTGGTCTAGCCGCAGCTCATCTAGCGGCGACGGTATCTGGAGAGGGTCAGTCATCCTTCTTCTTGCAGGTGAATAATAGTATTCGCGACGAGACTTTGAAAACCCTGAGCCACGGGTTGCGCAATGAGACGAATACAGGCCGCATGGCTTCTCGGCAGCTTCAGTCCTCGGAGACCGAGTTCTTGAACATGTTAGCGAGCGCACTTGTCCTTTGTTACTCGGAGATGCACATTCCGAGCTCGAACGACTGGGGTCTTCACCTGCGGGCATGTCGTGCAATGGTTGAAAGATGCTTTCTACTCTCGCAGCAGAGCCACCCTCATGACGCGCTGTCAAAGTTCCTGATCAAAGAGGTTGCTGATTTGGAAACCTTTGGCAACCTGGCTAGGTCTCGCGTCTCAGAGAAGGCAATTGTGGGTACGAATTTCAACTCGCTTCTTCACAGTAACCTTTGGACTTTTACGGCATTGATCGATGAGCTCACGAGGGTAGAGAGGCTGCGGTCTAGCTCGCCCAAAAAGTACTTCGGCTCCACCGAGTCAGAGTTGGAAAAGTGGCACGGAAAACTTGGAGCGGCTTACGAAAGTGCAAACGAAATGATCACATCTCTACCAGAATGCGACTCTACGCAGAGTATGTTCCGACTCGTGATTGACGCTCATTACTATGCAACTCTGCTGTATTGCTACCAATGCCTCACTCTGCCTGGGACATATGAGCAACAAAAGCGAGAGTTTTGTGATACTCTCTGGCACAGTATACAATCAGTGACCGACAAATCCTCAGCTGAGTTCATTCACGATGTCTTTTTCCCCTTGTTCATCGTCGGCACCCAATCTCTACACGATATGGAGCGACAGGCGGTGGTGGAAGCAGTCTTTCTCCAGACTATGCATGCCACAGGCTTCTGGTGCAATCAGACAGCACTGCAGATGCTTCGTTCATTCTGGACTCACTCGGACAGGGCAATCGACGAGACTTGGATTCAGTTTGTTCGGCGAAATGCGGCTGCTATTGGACCCTTTGTGATCTTCTAGCACTGCCACTTTGGAGTATCGTGATTTCATGTCGGTTTATGTCAGCAATTACCGGGTCATGGAACGAGACCAAACTGCGGAAGTATCCCCATGAAAACCTTACTTGCATAGAACATGTCCACTGCAATCTGGGATCCCCACCCAGTAATTCATTTTTGACATGAGCCTGTTTTCCTTCCTGGGCGTCTGAACCGTTCGTCCATCTTGCGAATGTCGTACAGCGTCTTTGCATCCGAGGCCCATACTAAGAAATGCAGCTGTCGCGAGGCGTGGCCATGACTCATTGAAGCGGTTTGCCTATTCTTTGCCAGTATAGTCCAGTCATTGTGACATGTTCTTATTGACAAGCACAACATCATGTGTTCGGACTTCTGAACGGCGGAGCAGGTGGATCGTGCTATTGCGCGGCTAAGTAGGGCCCCGTCCATTAGCTCCACTCTGGGCAAATTTACTCTCGCGCATTCATGACTGCGATGTCGTGGTCAAAGGCTGGAAAAGCGTGTGCGAGCGTGTGGTTGACAAATATGATGAATGTTTTACAAGTTCAAGAATCCTTTTTCCATTACAGATAGTTGAGGTCAAGCTACAGCAAGCAGGCGTGCCTTCTGTGCGGACAATCATTGTGACGAGATGATGAAATTCAATTTGATCACTTGCACGAATTGACATCGACTTGAGTGCGTGCGAAGGGCTCAGATCACATGTTCACAGTTTCCTCGTCTTCAACACCGAACAACACCCTCATCGGGTCTTGATAATTCATGAACCCAACACCTGGATCGCATACCCCATAACCAAGCAATCTCTGAGCTTGTGGCTTGAGTTGTCTGGCCCGCTCGAGCGGCACCATCAAAAATTGATTCTCGGCAGGGCGCAGTGTGGGCTTGCACAGGAAGATCCCAACAGTCTCACGATACTCATTCCTGAATTTCAAACGATCAGTTTCAGGAGTCAGGAAATAGAAGATGCAAGATCACGGGTTCCAATACCGTGTGATGTTCGACCCGCCGGCATGGTACAGATTCCCCAGAAAGATGAAAGCGTCGCCAGGCTCAAGTTCCGCTGGAATTGCTTCTTCGTTCAACGGGCGCCGGTCTGGGCCCCATAGATGGGAGCCCGGAATGGCGATTGTGGCGCCATTCTCTTTCGTGGTCTTTGTCAATGCCGTCACGCATCCTATCATCACCGGCATCTCCTTGTCGGTCGGGTGGTAGTCACTTTGTCAGATCAGTATGCCGCTGCATTTGCCATTTAAGTGGGAAGAGTTTGACTGACTTATCATCCCGATGCAATACCTGCTGCCTCCCACCTGGGTTGACTCTGAAACCCACGGTCGACGAGATGATCGGCTTCCCACTCACCGTGACTTGACGGTCATCTCTCCAGAAAGCGAAAGTGGATGAGACCAGCGCATTGGCCACGCTGATGTAGAAGGGATTGCATGCAAGCTCCACGCAGGCGTCAGAGATGCCTAGCAGGCCCGATGCACGCTGGGTGGTCTCGGGGAAGAATCCATATTTATCAGGAACATCCTTGTCAAAGTACGGTTTGAGATCTGCTTTGATCTGTTGGGCCAAGTCACGCGAGATGAGATTTTGAATGATCACTCCGCCGTCACGCTCGATGCACTCGATGGCTGCTTCAGGTGTAGTCGAGATATCACTCGTGTCCAAGCGAACAAATTGGGTACCATGCGCCCGAACAACCATCTTGGACTTGATGCGAATTGCAGATCTGAAATACGCCGAGACACTTGGGAGAAGAGTCCGCAAGCAACGGCAACGAGGAGATGGCAAGGCTATTTAAGCTTCCATCTTTCTTGATCATGACCACCCCGCGGACTGCTTCGTACATGCTCTACCGGTGTACTCTGGGGATTCTTTTCGTCCGTGGAGGCAAGTCTCACCGAGCCACCGACAAAGTCTGTGCCGTCACTCCATCTGAAGACATTGATTGGTATACATGGATCAATGCTCAAAAAGTTGAATGTGTTCAGAAACACCATGACTCCGTGGATAGACTAACCCGAAAGAGTCAGGTCGGCAGAGAAAGTCAGTTGTCGGCATTTGTGGTCGATATCACGCAGTCTGTGACTTCGACATGTCTTGGGAACCTTCAAGACTCTCTCCGACTTTTGGGTCCCTGTGAACTCTCGCTTCTGCTGCACAGTCGCGGCTCCCAGCCCTCCACCACCTCGAGAATAAGATACATGATCAATGCACATGATCACGTGACCACTCCGCCGCCTCTCCTCGTCGATGACCACATCCCCAAGTTGGCCCGCAGCGGAAGTCCGAGCCGGCCAGGACGGGCCTTGTTTTGATTCGACGAGCCTATTGAGCCTACCGGACGGTTGGTGATTTACGGCCGCGCTGCATGGCTCGGCCATCCCCGCTTTGACGCGGCTCTTCGGTGCCACTTCGGGAAACGCAAAAAACTACACCAGTGCACATTCGGTCGTGACCGCACGCCATGCGTCCCGGAATCATGCATTCATAGTTTCATTGTTTAATAGTTTCACACTGCCTTATTGTCAAACATGCCCCATTCTCTAGAATAGAGGCAACGGCCAGCATGAAGGGCTCGCAAATGATGCACGCTGCCGAAGTGGAGCCGACACTCGAAGGGACCCTGTTTTTATGGGACGCTTCGGAGCCCGCCCTCTAGAAAATTTGCATCGTGAGCCAATGGACACGGGCTGCGACAACCCCAGCAGGGCCAGCGCTCCAACAGACATAGAAACTCGAGCGAGAAAACTTCACGGGTGGAGTGGCTTGGCGAGAAGGAGTGAGGATCAACGGGCGAGCTAGACCACGAGCATGGGCAGAGAAATCGCAGGAAATGGTTCCACACGGCGACTGACTCGCAGGCTGTTTTTTCTTCTTTTTTTCGCTCGCTTTTCCTCTTGAAGTCTTTCATGTGCCCAGACCTGGAAAGGGTTCTGTTCCAAAGAGAATTGTCGCAGACGACCCCGCGATCAAGCTTCGAGGCCCCTCAACCATCCAGTGGCCCTGTGAGCCTTCCTCCGTTCAAACGACACTCGTCTACCAGACTGGTACTAGCAGATTAACTCCACGGCCCAAAGCCGTGTTTTCCCCCGAAAAGCAGTGTCTGAGAGAACCACAACGGAGACGTGGCTGCTGGCTCTGACAGGCGCTTTATTTCTCAACTGACGTCGACGCCCGCCAAAACCGAAGCATACTCGAAGATACATTCATTGCGCGCAGCAGGCAACACGCGCCCCCATTCTCGGGCTGGATCAGTGACTTAATCTGCCAGGATATCGACACAGTCACCAACATGGCACATCACACAACTTCCTCGGTCTCCAAGGGCCCCCGGGGCGATGAGCCCATATCAACCAGAGTCAATGAGCAGAACTATGACCAGAGCAAAGAATCAGATGGGTCTGGACAATCCAAAACGTTGCCCAAGTTGAAGCGCGGGATGAAGAGCCGACATCTTCAGATGATCGCAATCGGTAAGTCAATCTGGGTCACAATGCGGTGATAGACGACAAAGACTGTCTTCAACCATGTTGCGTGCTGACCGGAGGACAGGTGGAACAATTGGTACTGGTTTGTTCATCTCCAGTGGAACAGCCCTCGCACACGCCGGCCCCGTGGGCTCTCTGATCGCTTACTCCTTCATTGGCTCGATTGTCTTCTCGGTCATGAGTTCTTTGGGAGAGGTGGCCACCTATATCCCGGTTGCTGGAGCTTTTACATCATATGCGACACGCTTGGTGGACCCCAGTTTGGGATTTGCAATGGGCTGGATCTATTGGTTCTCGTGGGCAATCACCTTTGCTCTCGAATTGACTGCCACGGGTTTGATCATCCAGTTCTGGGATTCCACCATCAACATTGCAATTTTCATTGGCGTCTTTTGGGTGGTAATGACTCTTCTCAATATGCTTCCGGTCAAGTTCTACGGAGAACTGGAGTTTTGGCTCTCGTCTGTGAAGATCATCACCATCATAGGCTTCCTCATCTTCGCCATCTGTATCGACGCCGGTGCCGGCAAACAAGGCTATCTAGGCTTCCACAACTGGGTTCACCCCGGTCCATTTGTGGATTATCTGGTGACCCCGGGCCCAACCGCTAAGTTTGTTGGCTTCTGGGCCGTACTCATACAAGCAGGCTTCGCCTGTCAAGGCACCGAGTTGGTTGGTCTCGCCGCAGGTGAGAGTGAGAATCCTCGTGAGACTGTACCGAAAGCGATCCGGGCGACCTTTATGCGAATCGTGCTCTTCTTCGTCTTCACGGTGTTCTTCATTGGCCTCGTCGTGCCCTCCGATAACCCCGATCTTCTGTCCGGGTCATCCAACGCGTCAGCATCTCCATTTGTGATTGCTGCCAAATTGGCAGGAGTGGACGTGCTACCCAGCATCATCAACGCGGTTTTGCTGACCGTTGTTCTTTCCGCTGCCAATTCCAACATCTACAGTGGCAGCCGTATGCTCGTTGGTCTCGCCAACGAAGGATTTGCGCCCCGATTCCTAGCCAGAACTACCAGCCGCGGTGTTCCTTATTTTGCCGTCTTGCTGACGGCGGCGTTTGGCCTCCTTGGCTTTATGAACCTGTCATCCTCCGGCGGTACGGTCTTCAACTGGCTCCTGAACATTGCCGCTGTCGCCGGCTTTATTCTGTGGGCATCGCTCAATATCTGCCACATCGCGTTTATGCGGGCTCTGAAGGCTCGCGGAATGTCGCGCGACCTTTTGCCCTACAAGGCCCCTTGGCAGCCATACCTTGCCTATTACGGCCTCTTCTTCAACCTCCTCATCATGTTCACCCAGGGGTTCACGTGTTTCATTCCGATATTCAGCGTGCAAGACTTTTTTATCGCCTATGTCAGCATGATTATCTTCGCGGTTCTCTACCTCGGTCACAAACTCGTGTTCCGTGATCCCTTTGTTTCCCCGGCACAAGCCGACCTCGATACTGGTCGGATTGAGATTGAAAATGAGCACTGGGAGGTCAAACGACCGACTACTTGGTACGGCAAGATTTGGTACGCGATCAACGGCTAGCAGAGATGATTTTATTAGGTCAGCATGAGCAGGATGCGACGTTGTGAATCTGTCTTGTGGAGTTCTTTTTCTTCAGCGTGAAGCTCATTAATAGCATGATGTACATTATAGAGAGCCCTGAGTCAATTGTTGTTGTTCGGTGTTGAATTTATAGCATCTTTCATTCCATTGTTCAGTTATTTTAGCTCTTCGTTTAGAGGAGGACACTTGAAATGAAAATGGAATAGATAGGTATTCGGTCGAGGACGTGGTCCGCCCGACTAGCTTTTAGATTTATAGTCTACGTCTACGATGTACGGTGCATTGTCAAAAATGGACGTTGCTTGAATTTTCACTATTGAACAGAAAGGCAATGTAAAGAGAGCCCATGAAGTCATTATTGATTGATACCATCCATTGAATACCAATTTGGGTTATTATATCATTATCCATCCATGAAGCCAAAACCAATGTCAAACAAAAATCACACAAAAAGGAATAACCAAGCCCTTCCAGCATCGCTGCCTCAATTAACTTGCACCTTCACGTACTCCTTGTTCTCCCCACCCTCGCCCTCACTCTCATCATCAGACGCAGATGGAGTCAAAGTCTCGCTGGCAGTCTCCGTCTCCTTCACATCTACCAGCATCGCATCCTTCTCATTACTGATATTCTCCCTCTCGGCAGCATACTTCTCGACCGTGGTCGATCCATCTTCCACAACAATCTTCTTCTTGGCCTGCGGCGCCCGCTGCACCTTCGGCAGTGTCACAATCAGCACGCCGTCCTCCAGCCTGGCCTTGATCTCGTCGACAAGAATATCAGCCGGGGCCTCAGAGGTTCCAACGTGAACATCACGCTGGAAGACACCGACTTCGCGAGCTCGCTCCTTCATGACAAGAGCTTCGTACAAGTCCTCGTTGATTCCAGGGCGATAAGTGACACCCGCAAGACGGAGGACAGACTCTTCCGGGTCATAATCGACACTCAGGTCCTCCTTCTTTGCTCCGGGGAGGGAAACATGCACGATATATGTGGTCGGGGTATCGAACATGTCTAGCGACGGGACAAAGTCGACTCCATCGGGAGTTGGCTCGTTGAACTGGACGCCGAATTGAGATGCGATGTTCCGCAAGAAGTCCATGTTGGGCAGGCCTGGTCCAGCACCGAAGGGCGGACGGCCATGGCCGTGGTGTCTGCCTCGACCACCGCGGGAGCCTCGTCCACATCTGCCTCGGTCACTGGATCCGTGGTGGCCTCCATGAGAAGGATGCTTGTCTTTACCGCATCGTCCATGAGGACGTCCCTCGTGCTGAGACTGGGGCTCGGAGTCTGACGAGGGAGCTGGGCCCTTTTCGGTATTGTGGGCTTCTTCTGCAGAGTGGGAAGGACCAGCAGTAGTCTCGGCGGGTTGGTTCGCTGCGCTGTCGTGCGTCTCGGGGGAATGCGGCTGGTCCTCATCATCGGTCTGATGGGCCCATGCCCAGAACGATGGAGGAGGTCCACGATGGCGCCGATGAGAATGGTGAGGATTTCCCCAGCCCCAGAATGCTGCCGGCGGTGGCGGCGGCGGCGGCGGTGGGTGAGAAGAGTTCACGCTGCGAGGATTGAAGAAGGGGTGGTCATCCAAAGTGGACGCCACATGCTCCCAAAAGGCGTTGGGGGATTGATTTGGATTGTTAAATGAAGCCATCTTGAGGGATTTCAAAGCGTCTTGTGCGACAAGTGAATTGTGATCAAGATACGCGATGAATGTATTGACCAAGACAGGTCTCGAAAGTAAGTTTGAGGGAGAGTGAAAGAGAGATCAATGTGGAACTAGATCAAAATGATAGAGAGTCCGATTGATGGAAAGTAGAAGGGAAAAGAGCCTTCTCCTCCGTCTTTTATAAGACGACCTTCTCGGAGGCAACCATGTGTCGTCGTCATCCCCAGACCGGCCACATCACACACGCTTCGGTGTACGTACACCTAAGCTGCCTTGAGAGCAGAGAGAGAACGGGCTGCGATTCGCTCTCGGCACAATAAGGTAAGCCGACGGACAGGGATTCAAGAATCGGCCAGGTTTATAAGCGTTTTGGATCATCTCCGAAGGCACTGGAATGCTCAGGTTCGTTGGATGCGACTTTTCTCCGCACGGACTTGATCTGCATTTGGCGAGTTTATCACCGAGCTCTGCCAGTTACAGCTGGACACATCTTGGCGCCATTTGCCGGATAGCTATCTCATCTAGAAGCTGTTGGAAGTACATTTGGAGATCTGAGTCACCCCATTCACCTAATGAACGCCACACTGCGCCACATTGGTGGCGAACCATAGGAGCCACTGCGAAAGATGCACAAGGGAATGAATTGATAGCCGGTATTCAAGACCAGGAGCTCCTTTTGAGACCGGGAATTACCCATATGAGGGAATCATATTGATCTGCCTGCGCGGATTTCATGATCAACAATGTTCTGCGGTGCCGTGAGTTCAGCACTCCCAGACAAAGGTATTGAATGCTACTGGGAGAACGTAGCAGACCCAAAAGAGGGGAGAAAGGAATGGTGAGATTGAATCTGGTGAGAGGTGCCTATCTAAGCTACGAAGGTGGTGTGCGTGGGCGCGCACCACGCTGGTGAGACGCGCCAAACCACTAAGCTATCTCAACACCCCCTGGACCTCGATCCACCAATCTCACCCAAGAGGTAATGCCTGAAAATATGAAAAACATGAAAAGTGATTATATAAATATGTTAATAACGCCTTAATATAGCTTTTTGAGCTTAAAAAGGTATTTAAACCCTTAGAATTAAGCTCGCTATAAAGGCTGTTAAAGAGCCGTTGAATAGCTGTTAAATCCGAGCTTTTTTATGCCTAAAAGGTATAGAAACCTCTCGAATTAGACTCGCTATAGCGGCTTAGTGAAGCTATCTGCGGCCTACTCTATAGTAGAGATTTTGACGAACTTATATACCCCCCTAGAGACCTAGTCCCTAATATAATAATATTTTATATCGATATACTTTGTCCGTTAATATAAATCATAGCTTTTAGTAAGGTAAATAGCGCCCTAGTTATCCTTATAGATTATAGTAGGGAGCTATAGAAGGGATTATATATTAAGCTCCTTAAGGAAGAGCTATAGCTATAATACTTCCTATATAGCTAGAGATACAGCGATATACTTACTCTTAGTAGAGGAAAGAGTAATATATATTTACTTTTTATAAGCCTAAGTAATCGTACTATTTATAAGCTTAAAAAGGAAGCCGGATATAGATATACTAGAATCCGTATACTTTCCTACCTAATCTATATTAACGAATCTAAAGAGAGGATCTAGTAAGTAGGAGTATATAATAGTAAGCGTTTCAGAACTCTTAAGATATCGAAAGATACGCTTTAATATAGTTATATACTTCGTAGAAGGATTATAGGCGTATCTTATAAGTTTTATTACCGTAAATATAATATCTAGTCGCGTATTAACTATTAGCTAAATAAGTAAGTCTACTATCTTACGGTAAGCTTTAACTTCCTCCGGAGCCGTAGTATCCTTATATAGTTATAGGATCTCCTTATTATAAAATAGCGTAGGGACTACGTATATATCTTATAGGTTAAATTTCGCGAGGACTTTACGAATATAGGCGAGCTAAGAAAGTATAACTTTACTATCTATAGATTAAATAATATTAATCGTAAGGAATCGCGTAATAGTACTATTATTAGTAATATCGAAGGATTTACGAATATAGTCCTTAAGCTATATAAGAGATACGTCCGAAGGCGTGATAATTAGTATATTATTAACGTATATAAGAAGGTAGAGCTTACGCTTTATATATATAAAAACTAAGTAATCTGCTTATAGACGAGTCAAATTAAGTACTATAAGAGTACTATAGTGTTCGTAGGTGATCTACGAGAAGGAAAAGAGAAAGGTGAAACACAACTTGATTGGTGAAAAGAAGATGGGAGGAAGAGTGAGGCTATCTAATATGGGTTGTGGGTCCCTCGGTGGTGAGGCGGCAGAATCATCTAAACACCCCCTAGACCAACAAACCATGCCTTCTTCCTAAAAAGGAAAGTACCTATACTCGTGGAAAAAGGAAAGTACCTAATAGGGTAAAAACACCTTATGTTAGTATGATTCCTTACCTAGGGGTATCTTGTATCCCTAAGAGTGTAAGAAATCGGCTATGTTGAATCTTTCTAAGCGGTTTTATAAAGCCGTCAGCGGCCTGTTCCTCAGTAGGAACGCGTTTAAATTTGTAGATACCCTTAGAGACTTAATAGCGAATATAATGATATTTTATATCAATATGTTTCGTACGCTGGTGAAATTCCGGATTCTCCGTGAGACAGATAGTACCGTTATTGTCCTCGAAAATACGAGTCGGAAGGTCTAGAAACACGTTAAATTGAAGCTCCTTTAAGAAGAGATATAGCTATATGACTTCCTGCGTAGCTAATAAGGCCGTAATGTATTTACTTTTAGTTAAAGAAAGCGTAACGCAAGATTGCTTTTTTGGAAACCTATAAGATAGGTCCTCCTGCTAGCTTAAAAACGAAGCCGGACGTAGATATCGCGCTATCTGTATATCTTCCTACCTAATCGGTATTAACGTAGCTATAGAGGGGCTTAAGGTTGCGGCGGTAATAGATATATAGCTTTTTAGTGCCTTTTAAATACCGAAAAACGCGTTTTAACGTAGTAAAGTAGCGGCTTATAGGATTATATAAATATCTAGCTAGTTTAGTAACTGAATATTGGATATTAGGTCTAGTATTGACTATTAGCTAAATTAAGGAACCGATCTTCTTACGGTAATTAAGGATATCCGCGGCCGAAGCTATACTATTATATAGCTTTAGGACTTCCTTTTTAAAGAAGAGCGAATTAACTGTATACGTATCTTATATATTAAACTTTTTAAGGATTTAATTAACGTAGGATTCCTATATTAAGAAGATAGTACTATTATCGTTCTATTAAACGATATCGATTATAAGGAATCGATTAGGAACCTTATTATTAGTAAGATTAAATATTTTTGATAATATAGTCTTTAGCTATAGAATATAGTCTTCCGAAGGCGAAATAATAAGATAGTTATTAATATAGATTAAAATGTAGATACGCTTCGGTAGCTAATTAGGTTAATTAAGGTATTAAATTAAATAGAAGATATAGTAATCTACTTCAGACCGTTCGAATCTAAGCGTAGTAAACGTATCGAAGACTACTTTGTACTATTCTCTAGGGCTCTGTTTTAACCCGTAGAGTATCTTTATAAGAAGGCTGTATATCCCTAGATACTCTTCGCGGATTCCTTTAGGGAGATTAATATAGATCTCTTCTTTTAATTCTATATTTAAGAACGTAGATATAAAATTAATTATATAATATTTCTAGCTAAGTACGGCTATAATTACTATAAAAAGCTTAAAGCTAGTAGCCTTAGCTATTAATATATAAATATCGAGATAGTTAACGCCTTCGCGCTATTTAAAGCCTTTAGCTATAAGGCGCGCTTTATAGGTCCTATTATATTTAACTTTAAAGACCTATCGAAGTAGAATAGGCTTCCTACCCTTAGATAGGCTTATGACTATCTATATACTATTTTTTAGTTACTTTTTAAGCTCCTTATTAATTATAGCTTCCTATTTGTCTTTTTCTAGATAGGATATAGCTTCCTTCTAAGACTTCGGCTCGGAGTTAAAGAGTTTAGAAGTACTATTAATAAAAGTAATCCGGTTTAGTTCCGAAACTGTTTTATCGAGTTCTAAAATTATCGAGAGAAAAACTCGGAGACTTAAGTTCTGTCTCGGCGGAAGGTCCGTATAAGATCCTTTAATAATATTTTGATAGTATAGTATATCTGTACTATTATAAGCCTCTTAGACTGAAACCGTGTAGCTACTTAAATAGAGCTAAGATTTAATAGCGGCTCTGGAAGGCTTTTTAATATGAGTAGAGTGTCTTAGTAGAGGAATAGTTTCTTCTAGACCTTAACCTTCTCTACTATCTTAGACTATATTTTGAATAGTATCTAGAATATTACTTAGAATATTATATTATATATTAACTTAAATATCCTTAATAGATTAACTTAAAAATAAGTTATCTTACGTAGTATTCGAATCTATAGGAAGATTTAGGATAGCTTATACGGTCAGAATAGTTAGAACGGCTAGAACGATTAGAGCGATTAGAACGATTAGAACGCTATTACTATCTAGACTAAGGATCCGTTTAACCTCGCTTCTTAGTATTAGCCTAGGGACTTAAGGTAGCTTTATACGTTCCGAAGGAGGAAGGTCCTTTTAACTTAAAAATAGTATTAGAACTACTAGCTACGGGCGTAGATTTATATAATTTAGAGGTATACCTTAAGGACCACGTTAACTCGGAAAATCCTTATCTAAAAAATCGGTTAGAACGTAGCGGCGTTAATTAGCCGCGTTTTAGGTATCCCCTACGGGAAAACGTAACGTATCTAAGTTATATATAGGTTTTGGGAGTGTCTTAATAGGCGTTTCGTTAAATATAACATTACGCGATATAATAATCTTTCTTAAATATATATTATATAGCCGATAATTACTAGCTTACGAATAGCCTATAAGGCGAGCTTCTAATATATAAGGGGAAAGCTTTAACTAGCGTAGTTCCTTTAGAACGAAATACTATACCTAGTAGCT